CTTAGTTTCTTGTACCATTAAGCGGCGGTTGCACTGTGCGCATGGGGGAGAAGAGCGCCGCATGAACGGTGTGACTAGAACTGTAGCATTAGAACCACGACGGCCATCACCAGCGAGGTTTGCGATTCTTCCGTTGCATTGTCGGTTGGCTACCAGCCAAATGTGTGGATATTCGCTGCTCTGTGACAGGTCTCCCCAAGTCATCTCTATTCAAGCGCTGTTCCCTCAGGGTTTGACGCACCAATCGGAGCCATAGTGACAGGTCCCATACAAGCAGCTGACAGCTTCATTCCACAAGATATAGTAATTCTGTAAACTAGGCTTGCTTTGCATTGTTACTGAAAGCAATGTCGCACTATTGTTTTCTAGCGCTTGCTAGACTTGACAATTGCACTTCGGAGCATCCCGCGGCTTGGGTAGGTATTGCTATTGTTTCCTGAGAACATGGTCTGTACCCCGTACAATGCGCAGGGGCCGGAATGTGGGTGGAGAGTTCCTGTATGGTCTGGTCGGGCGGCGATCAAACGCGGTGGCAGATCTCGAGGGAATCCTAGGCTCGCTTGGGAAAATGTTGTTTACACGCTGGCCACGACGGGAAGAGGGCGAGGTAGGGCTTACCAACACGTCTCACGGCTCGGGCGTCTTCCCGTGAGGGAAGCGCGAGTGACAGCTTGGTTGTCTGGCCGTGAGCCTGTGACGCTGCGGGAGGGGGGTCTCGGCAAGGGAATTGCAGCAATGAATTCCCGGGTGGACGGGCTTCCTTATCATTGCTGTGCTTTTTCCCATCGAGCATTCAGGGGTATCCTTGTTCAAAGCCGGGGTCGACCCTAGGCATTCCCTGTTGATCTTGTTTCCAGATTGCTCTTGGCATGAGACCTTCACGGCGACCACTCTCGACCTGGGTACGTACCAATCTGCTAGGCTCGTCTCTTCGCCGAACCCAATTGTTCTGAATCTGGTGAGGGGGCTAGAAAATCGAGACGTAATTGACCATCTCAGGGAACTTGGCTACCGCCCGAGATGAAATCACCCCGGAAGGCTAGCAAGTCAGCCCATGGAATAGCCTCAGCCACAGAAGGAGAAGACGACGAGAGAAGACGCCGATGATCGAACAACACGCCACCGACAAACGGGTTGACAGCACCATCAGCACCGAGCCTTCGTATCAGACTTGGCTTCCGGACCTGGTTCCAACCGGCCCCAATATCCAACTGTCCACTGTAGACAAGTGAGACGTTCATCATGGGTGCCGACAGATCAGGGCTACTGGCAGGAAACATGACTTCGAATTCTTGCCCGCAATCACGTATCCCACTGACCAAACCACTTGGTAGCTAGCGAAATATTATCGGTTGCCTCCTTTTTCGTTATCCCAGAGCACTTGTTAGAGCCGATGCTGTACCTGAGGCCTAACAGGCAGCTGCCACAGCCGACAGGTGTGTTTCTCGTGTTCGGGGCCCTGCCATCTCCTAAGTGCACAACATTTAATTTATTCACCTTCTCCTTTCTCCCACCTGCATTCAGGATTTACCAGGTTGCCAGAGTCATCCAAGTCGTGCAAGAAATGACGCTCAAGCAATATGAGACGCCTAGTGAAGGAATACGTGGTTGGCGGGGCCTGTGGGCAGATCCGGCAATGTCTAATATTCCATTCCAATTCATGTTGATAGCCGAGTTGAGACGGCAAAGGCAAGGATATATGGACGGTAGGCGAACCATCTAGGATGGAAGACGCCAGGCTTCTTTGCAGAGAGGTCTATGGCATGTGTGATACTCGGCAGACCGACTGAAGGGAGCTGGCCGGAAAGCATATTCCGGTCCAAGACGATTCATCAAACAAAATCAGGTTGATTCCTCCCATCTACCGAGGCTTAATGGTACCGGGAGGAAGGATGAACATTTGGCGAGAGTTCGGGGCGGCTGACAATGGAATCCGGACGCAGACGGCCATAATACGTAAGCTCATCCTGGCTCTGGACAGGAGCATTGCTTGATTTCGTCGACATCCCTCTCGTAGACCCGACTGTGTCACTCGATTCGTCTTTCCCCGCACCCCTTATTTTGATTGACAGGGCACCGATCTGCGTGCGACCTGCTATTCGTTGTAATCAGTTAGCAGATCTGACTACAAAGCGTAGCTGTAACTCAAAAATAGCCTCGCCATTATCAGATGTCCCCGAGACGCCCGCCTGTGGCCACCGAACTGGCATTCTAGTCAGCAAAGTCTCGATATCCTGGGTCCTGGTGTCGCACAGGACTCTCGGACAACTGCGAATTGAGACTAGGCCATCCGGGCAATTTCGTAATATAGTGGCAAAATGGACCTCTGTAGCGGGAGACGGACTAATGTTTCATCTGGATGGAGATTTGTCCTTGCGATTTGTCCTGCAACCTTGGACGAGCCAAACCATGCTTGTTGGCAGGAATGTGAAAGACGTTTTCATGGGTTGAGTGGTCTGTCTGGAGGCCTTGGGAGCATGTAAGTCGGCGAGGGTGAAAACCTTACTGTAATATCGGGAGTGTCACTGAAAGCAAATCTGCTTCTGACAATGTCATTGGCCTTGCTTGGTGTGTTCATGCGCAAAACCGAAGCATCCATGGATGAGAATTCCCATACCACCGAAGACATCGTCATTAGCAGGCCTTTGACGCGTGTTCGTACATGCTAAATGTTCAAGAAGCTTTGGGCCATTGAAAGCTTAACTGGGGCCCTGTCAGCTGTTAGGGCTCCGCACAAGACCTGGCCAGCTCTGAAACAGAGCAGGGACCTAGGGCCCACAAGAGACCTTCTCAATCGAGCACCGACATGTTGTCCGGTTTAGTCTCTGCCACTTTATGGTTGCTGTTCCTGTTTTGGAACGGAAGTCAAAAGTTGGCGACATATCCGGAAGAAATGAAATGTCAGAGGCGCGGTCATTGACCTTTTTTTTTTTTGCTAGCGTGTGGTGCACGGGACGACCATCCTGAGCGACCCGAGATTGATCAGCCCGATTCCTTCCCCGATTCCCGGTAGGCTGGGTCCTGTTTCCGGGGGAGCGTGCCGCTCGGTGGGAAGCGTTTCGTTGGTGGGCTCCCGCCAGGGGGGGGGGGGGGGGGTCCACTGGCCCAACAGACGCCCTTTATGATCTGCGAAGCCAATCGCAGCCCAGCGGGAAACGCAATCCCCCCTCATGAAGCTTTTCCTCGGAACCGGGTGTTGCTCGTGGTGCTGAGATTCGAACCACTACCTGATAATGGCAAGGGCGCAAATGGTTCTAGAGGAATACTTAATCAGGCCTTTCCATACTGCCATATCCAGGAGGGCTTATCCCATAGCTCGCAATTCAATCTGTCCAGGTTGCATGAAACAAACGATGTACTGCACAGTTCAGTGATCCGAGACAAGTTGGTTCCGCACTCTAGCTAGTCCCGACAAATGTCTAGCTGTTGTCGATCAACGCGGATGATCAGCTTGATCTGTCCTGGGTGTTTGGTAACTGGCGTGACAACATGAGGGTTTGCCTTCTTGGACTAGACTTGGACTTCATCTATTCTAGAGGATTGCCTAATTAGTGCAGTTTGATTGGTGATCCGAAAAGCTGGAACGTTGTCATAGCCCTTGGCTTTGAACTTGATGTGCTGAACCAAGCGCCGTGAAACTTTGCTTGATAGCTCTGGCGCCCTTCCCAGGCCATCAACTCGAGACCATTGTGGCTTAAATTGTAGGCTTGCGGTCGGCCGTTGAGAGGTTGAAACCCATGGCAGAATCCTGGAGAATCATGCCGAGGCCGCGCGCCCCCGCGCTGGGGAAAGAAAAAAATATATCTTTTAGTCGCCGACCACTATTCCAACAAACTCACCCACAGTGGGCTAAGCTCTATCAAGAAGAAGCTGCAAAAGTAAAGCACAGCATTGGATGATATGGAGTACCAGCGTCGGCACCGAGATCTCGGAAGGGAAGGTCATACCAGCCTTGCCCAATTGTCATTCGTCATTCCAGGGGCGGCACGGCAGTCCCCGCAGAATGGCACAGCATGTCTTGGAGAGGAGGGTTAGGTTGGTTCTGGTTTGCACAAATTGCGAGCCCATCTTCGGCAATGCGCCCGTCTATTGCTCTTGGTTTCCAGCGGCGTCTTTGTGTGTGGTGCTTGCTGCTGAGTGTTGATGTGTTTTGTGCCTGTGATTTTTTAGGTGCTAGGAAGTCGTGGGGAGGGCACCGTTGAACAACCACCCCCTTCCCCCTTCTTCTCCGCAATCTTCCACCCATGGTGGGATCTTGAGGTTGACGGGTGGCGCAGGAGCTTAAATCTAGGTTGAGTTTCGTAGTGCTGTTTTTTCTAATTGGGCTTTGAACCTTGGGTGTTCTCTAGCGAGCCCAGCTCCTAGGCTCTTTGGAGTCTTGGACTCCCAGGCTTGGCGCCTTCCCGACCTGGAGAAGTCGTTTGTGTGTGGACGGAAGGTGCTCGGTGATCTCTTGCCCTCCTAGGCACGCCAGACACGCCAGACACGCACAGTCCCAAGCTCCTACCGAGTCCGACGACTTTCGGGGCCCATCGGCCGGGAAAAGAGAGAAAGAGGAAAGAGGCAGGGAGAAGACAAACTTCATCGGTAGATACCAAGGTACCTACCGTACCTACCTTACCATAAGCAGGATGAGACAACAACAGTGGCAGGAGCAGTGGCAGGAGCCACGCGTCAAGTCAACTCTTGTGATTCCGGGTTGAAAATTTAAAGTTCAGGTTCTTAAGAGCCAAGGCAGGTACTGTTTGTCTGTACCTCACTCCCGTCTAGTACTCAGATAGCTTGACAATCAGGTATGGACCGTGATGTCGCCTACTCGCATTTTCCGATGCACACGCCCGCATCCTGCTTGCTGGATGGAGCATGCCGTCCACACATCGCTCTGAGACTACCCTGCAATCAACGCACTTCAGCCGGATCGACCTTACCTACCTCAGGCAGGTAGGTACTAGTTACCTAGGTCAGGCACCCGATGAGAAGCGTTGACCGAGGCCGCAAAGATGCAAGACCGGGACACGGGCGCGCAAGACTACCTAACCAGCCTCGGATACCAGTACCATGGAATCACCAGCCGCGGGAAGTTCCCCTAGTTGATACTCAACAGGTTTGTTCGCCGCCCACGGGCCTGTGCATTTCTAACACAGACTAGGCCAACCATCGCCAAGGTACGAAAGTTACTGAATGCCAGACCAAATGCCTGGGACCAAAATGCCCAGGCGAAGTGCGTAATCCATATATGCGTCTATAAATAGCTAATTTCGACAGATGTCCACGCCAGTTCCAGGAACTCGGGGCGATCTAATGCTCTAGAGTCTAGACTAACAGACGGCGCAGACGAGTCGTTGGCGCGAGCGGGAATTCTGCGCGCCGTGGGTCCGTTGCTCGCTGTCTCGCTTGCTGGAGCGCGGGCGCCGGCGCGGTCGTGACGGCGCGCTTGCCCCACAAAGACGTGCAATTCGGCATCATACCCTCAGTGCTGGGAATCGGGTGCGGGCGGGCGCGGGCGCGGGTGCTCGAGGCCATTGTGTGCCATAGTATGGTCCCTGTCCTGCGAGTATGTGACTGTCTGGCGGTTTTCCTTTAGGGCTTGCCGCAGCCGCTCACAAGCATGCACAATCGCCGGAAGCTGCCCGGCTCGAGCGAGAGCTCCCAAAAGAAAAGAAGTAAACAGCTGAGGCAGGGCAATCAATCGAATCAACCTAAGCCGCCAATGGCCGCCGCTTGGGAGAGGCAGGTCTGAGCGGCGGCTCTTGTGTTGTCTTTGCTTCCACCACCCAGACTCCAGAGGTGCTGGGCAACGTGCGTGCACTGTGAAATGGGGGCGTGTCTGCAGATGCGATGGCACCCGTGGGAGGGATCTCCCTGTCAGAAATGCTCGCCCATCGGGCAATTTCATCTGGCTTTGCACCTTGCCTTGGGGGGAGGGGCCACGACTAGGGACGGGGACACCCCTGCACTAGTATGCGGTGCTTTTCCTGTTGCAGCGCACATCAGTACTTACGGCTATCACCAGAGCCGTACAGAGAATGTAGGCATGTTATGTATTGCGGGCGTTAGCTACGTAGGATACCTTATACTGTACCCACGTGCAGTACGAAGTACATAGACGCCTCCTACTCAGTACGGCCCAGTCCAGACCAGTACTCCCGTCCAATACGTGCGAGCCCTATGCGTTTCTCGTCAGGCCCACCACCGTGTTGTATTGGCTCCCTCTGTCTATCTGCCACTGCACCAAGCACTAAGCACCGGTACCAGCAGAAGCAGCAGCACCACCACAGGTGCGAAGGCTAGACCCGGGGGCCACACAGTACTTCAGGCCTGCCTCGTGCCCCAGCGACGGGCTTGGTACCTTGTCCCTGTCCTCCCCGTCTGTCTAGTGCTCTCAACTGTACACTACCCTCCCCTCGACGGCAGACGTCGATGTCATCCTCACCCCCCCTGCTCGAGTTGCCATGCCGGGGACTCGACGTGCCCTAGTCGTCTCCAGACAGTCCGCTCCAACTTTAATATAACTCTTTTGGGACTTCTTTAGCTGCCTTTTTTTTTCCCCTCCTCGAACCCACGAGTTGCCGATCCCAAGTCTTTGGTCGGTTTGGGCCCTTTACCGGATAGCTAGGCTTGTTCATTTCTCCTGAAACCAGTCGATTTTAACTTCACGCCGTTACGACACGCGACTCCTTGGGTGCGCTACTTGTGCGTTGAACCCGTCGTCAACGCCATCAGAACGAGTTCCGCCACTTGGCTGTTCTTATAAAAGACTGCCACCTGCTTCCTTCGATACCGGTTCAGGCCTTTCTGTATCCATCACGATACTCCACTCACTACTGCCTAGACAGAAACATCTCTTCACACAATCACCATAGTCGAGCACCCCCGGTCTTGAACAACTCTTTCATCTCCAATTCTCTCTTGCAGCATTACTCCAAGTAGTGCGGGCAACACCTGGAGCTGGGGTATTTGAAAGAAACGGCCCGTTAACTTGCGCACTTGACTGGCTGTCACTGAGGAAACTTCTCTAGAGGTGGATAACCCCATCACTGAGCCCCATGTCATGGGCAGCCTGGCCTAGCCAGAGCCGAGCCGATTCGAATACTAGTTTACTGACTGGAGTATAGGAGTTGCTATCCTTGCTTTCCCTCTCTCTCTTTTTTGGTCGGCTCCTCCCTTACGGAAATTAGACCGTCCGTTACTACGGAAATCGTTCGAGGGCAAATAAGCAGAGATTCCACAATGTCGATGAACGACAACGCCCAGAACACTCCCAACTCGGCGTCCCAGCGTGAGGCCAGACAACCCGAGTACGATTCGTCAAGGTGCCAAAACGACATTGAGGAGTTTAAACTGCCATCAATCCGTCAGGTACACACATCAACACCACTGGCTGGGATTGTATCTCTTGGTACTAACCCTGTCTCCAGGCGTTCCCACAAATCCAATTTGATTTAAACGCCAGGGCGCCTGAGGGCACTACTTCTCCTTATTACACGCATACCCCAAGCCCGAAGAAGCGCGGGCGAACTTCGGTCGATCAAATCCCACGACCTTACGCAAGTCCTGAAATAGATGGTCAGATGCTGTTCAGCAGCAACAGCCCGTTTTGCGGAAGTTACCACCCTTCCCGCAGCCAGTCACTCTCACTTCGGCCTACACAGTCATTCGACCGGACCCCATTTTCTCCTGCAACATACGTCTCACAATATCAGGACTACATGCGCGGCGGCGGCGAGATGGGACCAGTGGGTTCGAATGGAAGCGGCCCCAATAAGCAGCGGAAACGACGCGGAAACTTGCCCAAGGAAGCGACGGACAAGCTCCGGGCTTGGGTTTTGGCCCACCTGCACCACCCGTACCCAAGCGAGGAGGAAAAACGGGAGCTGGCACGTCAGACGAGGCTGCGGATGAGTAAGTTTCTTTGCCCTTTTTTGGTGTCGCTGAAATCTATCGACAAGTACCTGACCAAGTGCATCACCCGCTCCAGACCAAATATCCAACTGGTTGATCAATGCCCGCCGCCGTGACCCTGCCATAAGACGAAATGCACGCGCCGGGTCGGACGACACGACGCGTAAAAGCGCTCCCTTGAGCGACGGCGAAGGCAGCGCATACGACGACGACCTTGACGGTCTCAAGCGCCTCCGTACGGCCAGCATAAATCGCGGCAGCATCTAATTGCAGGCGGGGGGTGTGAAAAAGGGGGAGATGTGGGGCAGGCCTGTCTGTACACCGTGTCTCTGCGGTCGTACACCACCGCTAGCCATTTCTCTCTGCCTTTACCGCCCTTTTGAATGACCAACGTTCCCCTTCTTCCTTTCTGGTCAAGCTATTCTCCGTTTCTCCCCCTTCCCCCGCGCGTCATTCCATAACGCGGTCAATTTAAGGCGAGCCGCTGTTTTCTTCTGAGACGTTTTCCTCTCGATAATGGGGGTGCGTGTGTACCATATAGATATTACGCCGGGCTCGTACTGTGCTGGTACGTGAACCCCTTTTGGTTTTTCTTGTCATGACGAGCTTCTGGGGCGGCTTTTGGATTGGGTCGGGTTGGGTTGGGAACACCTGTGGTGGTACTCGAGGAACAAAGCCACTTCGGTTTCTCGATACGAAGGAAAAGGGCGGATTGACTAATCACTTGTGTTGACGACAACTAGGGCGGGTGGGCGTTAAATATTTTGTACCACAAGCAGCGGAAACATTTCCCGATAATCTAGATAGAGGGGTCTAGTCTTTACGAAGCATGGTTATTTCCCCACGGGTTCCAGAAAACTTGACAGTCGTGTCCCGTCTCTTTGCAACGTATGGGCGTTGCGAGCAAGGCGGAAATGGAATAAGCGTCCCGACGCCGGCTACACTAACAAGAGACTTGATAAATCGTCCGGGCTAGCCACTTTCATCGTGTTTGACGAGTTCATTCCCACGAGCGCTCGAGTGACATCCGGCTCGGGGGCGGGGAATATAGCCTCGCAGAGAAGGCGGACGCTAGCCCTCGACCGATTGGCTACCTACCTATCCTATCCTTTTGGGAGTTGGGAAAGACAAGACAAGACAAGACGAACCCGAGCGACTGACTGATTGACTGACTGACTGGCTGGCTGACTGACTGACTGACTGGCTGACTGACTGACTGACTGACTGACCGACCGACTCTAACTAACTCGCTCCAAGACACTCACTTCCTAGCTAGGCGCGCGCGCAACACACTACTCCACACGCGACAACACGCGGAATAGAGAAGAGTCGGTAGAAAAGGAGGGGCGTTTTTTTTTTGGTCTCCCCTCTTTTGTCACGCGCGATCTGAGACCCCACGATCATTACAGCAGTCGTGTATGTGTATATGTACATACATATATATGTACGTGTGTGTATGTGTATGTATGTATGTTTCTCTTCTGTGGTGCATCCCCCCCCTTTTCCCCTCTCATCATATGAACTGCTGCTCCTCTTATGTGTGCTTCTGCTTGTCATACCCCAGACAGTGACAGCACCCGCAACACATGTTGATACCATGCCTATATTGATTCCGCCTGTTAGGTATTTAGGCCCATCTTGCCTACCTGCCTGCCTGCCTGTCTTGTCTCAGATGCCGGATCACACACACGCACACACGCTTACAGGTCAAGTCAAAAGTGAGGCTGAGTAACCAGCCAGCCAAACCCCGCCTCCGGGGGGGAGATAGTTGGAGTCGGTGTGCGAGGTTGTGCAATGGGATCGGTGAGTGAGTTGGCGGGCTGTGGTGGGATGGGGCAGGGCAGGGCAGGGCAGGGCAAGGCAGGGCAGGGCAGGGCAGGTTGAGATGATTATGTATGTCTGTCTGTCTGGCTGGCTGGCTTTTGTGTCTGCTACAAGTCGAATGGTGTGATGTGTGTGGGAAAGGGCTTAGTATGGCTTTTGCGAGGGAGTGAGAGAGATGGAAAAAACATAAACACACCAGCCTCCCATTCCGTCTGCTATTCGGCGGATTGCATGCCTGCCTGAGATGGGGCCCCCGGATACCACCTGCCCGCCTACCTGCCTGCCTTGGGTATTTATGTATGCTCCGGTACGGCAGCCAACTAGCAGAACAAGGTTGCCTGCATGTCATGTAATTAATTACATACCTACTTTACCTTCTTTACTCGGCCTCGCCGGCCTGCCCTGCTGAGAGAGCGAGCGAGCGAGCACGTTAAGTATTTCGTCTGCCAGACTTTAAGGTGCGCTTAGTTAGATACCTGGTAACCAGTTGGGCGCACGTCAATCGTCTCTTCGTCTCTTTTCCTGTGTCAAACGTCTGCATGTGGCTGGATCTCCTGGCACAAAGTGCCTTTTCTTTGCTAATCACCGGGCCTTTGTTGTTCCACGTAGCCTGCATGATTTGGGGAGGAGAGGGGGGGGAACATAACCACCTGTTGTATGTATGCATGCAGGACGATAAAAGCTCGAGAGACACACGGGCATATGATATATATTGCAAAACGCGAGTCGGCGCAGACGTCTAGACACATGCCACACATGTGCACCCTCTCGTACAGCTGCCAAGAAGCGGTCAGGAAACATACCTACCTAGGGATGACGAACGAAAGATGCAAAAAAGATAAAACCATGGCCCTGCGAGCTGCCACTAACCCACGGCCTTAGAGCTGTTGCCGCCGCCGCCGCTTGCAGTTGCTAGCAGGTAGCCGCCATTCTCGGAACCGACGTCCTGTGCGCCAGAAGGCAAATAAAAAGGCAGCATCAGTAGTAGTGGTGGCGGTGGTAGCAAAGCACCAGCAGCCGTCAATATAAAACGCCATTTTCATCTCGAATGCCGCGTGGACGAATCGGAACGGAGCATTTACGCTCGCCACGTAAAACAGACAGTTCTACTGTCCACCTGGTCCCATCCACTCAAAAGAAGGGGACAGGGACAGATGACTTGTGGGCAAGACATGCCAGCGTGATTTGGTTTTTGTAATTCCTTTTTTTATTGTTTACCCGTCGAGGGGAACCGCAAAGACGAAAGAAATAAGAAGGAAGCAAACCACGCCTCGTCTGCGATAGAGAGAAAGAGAGATCCCAGCCAATGCTGTCCGACCAATGCACGTAGTAGCACTTTCCACAGCCTGTTTGGGGACACATGAAGAAGAAGACGTGGTCATCAGCGCCACATTAACAGGCCGACGACACGAGAGCGTTGGCTTGTGTCCTGCGTGCATGTCTCTAACACAGCAGCAGCAGCGCAATCGTCAGAGAGGGGGGGCCAGCAGGTGATCAAGTGGCGGCGCATGCTGAACGCGGTGGGACAGCAGCAGGATATGGAGAGAAAGAGTGTAAGCGGCATCAAGATTAGCGAATGGATCAGACGGGCAAAAGGCAACAAACACAAGGGAGAGACGGACGAAAACGAGGGCGGGGGAGGGGACTTGTCACAGGCCGGAAAGGGGAAGAAGAGGAGAAAGAGACGCGGTCTGAGCTTGACGGTACCCCGTACCAGGCAGTACATTGTATACTTTTCTCTGGGTAGTGAGAAGCGTTACCACTCACCTTTGACGGAGCTAGCTGCATGCCCCTAAGACAGCGTAGAAAGGTCTCAGGTCACGAAAAACAAAATAGAAACAAGAACAAAAAAACAACGACGTGTGTTAGATAGAGTTGGACAAGAGATGCCAGCAAGGCGAGAATGCCACCTGGCCAAATTGCAGAGGTGCAGATCCGACCCGAGGCCGAGGAGCCACAGTCGGTCCGCCGTATTGGTGAAGGGACATGCCTACTTCCTACTCAGGGGCGCTAAACTGCAAGTGACATGGTAGGCTTGTGGCCATAACAGGCAGGACTGAAAGAGAGACGACCCCTGACAGGTTCTGACAGACATTCGGGGGGTCCCCGAACAACGAATCAGGGGGAGCGGCGTCCACTCGGATGTGTCCGACAAGGGGGGGACATCTGACTGGCAAGATGACGGACGTCAGCCGGCTGCGGGGATGGCGTCACTAGGCCGGCCGGCAAGCAGGCAGCCAGCCAGTCAGTCAGGGGGGTCGACTGTGTGGCGGGCGTTCATTGTCAAGGTGTGTCTAGCGCCAAACATTCCTAACATTTTCGAACCGACAGATCGCGAGCCCGTCTTATTTAGCTTCGTAGTACGGCTTTAGCGCTTCTTTGGGACAGCCGTGTCGGCCAGAGGCAACCGGGCCTCTCTCGTTGACGTCGTCTTGACTCACCGCGGAAGGGCCCAATCCCAATAGCGACCCCCACGTCATCTTCTGCGTCTAGCAGATTGCCCTTTTGGTTTAGCCCTGGCTCGGGGCTAACGTCTATTTTCACATGCCAAATACTAGAGCCCTGAAAGGATGTGCCAAGCGGTAAGTAGGTACCTAGGTGGGTAGGTAAGCTTTTAGCTGTTCTGCCTGCAAGGCAACTTAAGCAAGGCTGTCTTGCCGCAAAGCTGACACGAGCCGGATGCAACTTGGAACCGAAAAATGATTTGTATGGATTTCGATTGGAGTGAGAGATGAGAGAAAGAGCCGTCGGAGATCGATTAAATGAAGGTTCTTGATTGTGTGAAGAACACACGTTATTTCCCGTCAACGAAACCCGTTGAATTAAAGATGTGTGTTGGTTTAACGGAACTTGGGGATAAAAGGAGAAACAGCCACGAAAGGGTTAGGGTTGGCTGTATATACCGTAGTGGGAATGTTTCAGTCGCTTGCTCGTGCCTAATCGCAGTTTTTTCATCATGCACTTACTCTTCGGGCTGTATGCAAACCAACTCAAAACTGAATGGGATTAAAAAAACCCGAACCAACACAAAAGAGGAAGGTAACGTGGATTTGCAACTCCCAAATGGCAAAAAAAACAAACTCCGATACGGGGAATCGAACCCCGAGCTTCGCGGTGAAAACGCGATATGTTGACCGTTACACTATATCGGATGTAGTGGGGGAATTGAAAGGATTGCGAACTCTCTTGCCGTTGGATAGCTTGGCTCGAACCTAGGGCCTAAGTAGCCCTGCGTTTCTTTTGGGCCCTTTTTGCTGTGGTTTCTGTTGGATGACTGTGCCCCGGACCTCCTGACTCGCGGCGACTGCCGGGGATTTCCCGCGTGGCCGCACGCCCAGAGTCCGTTTTTCGCGAACAGGGGTTGGGGCAACTCGATCCAACAGGGCCGACGCCATTCCAAGCGGCAACGAAGGATGAAATGGAAAGATGAAATGGAAACAGCACCGTCCAGAGTGCCTTTTAGGGACTTTAAAGATTTGAAGAGTTTTGGTTTCTATTATCTCACAGATCATCCTTGGACTTGTTTAAATTCCAAGCCCTCAAATTGCTCAAAACCCCGTTTGTGCAAACAAATGTCGGAAAAGAGTATACGAATCGGAAACTCTCATGACTGGCAATAGAAACAAAGAGCTGCGATAATTGGAACCGGTGGTAGTGTTGGCAGAATTATTTTTGTTTCTTTTATTTTCGGGCTTTATCGTTCCTTCCTTCCATCCCTCCCCATACATACATACCCAACGTAAGATACACATATAGGGAGAGATCAGAGAAATTTATGAACCAGCCACCCTATTTGACGATGCATCCCCGAACAAAAACCTCAGGACACGCATGGCCGTGCTTATTTTGTTTTTAAATATTCCCCCTCCTCCCCCTAAAAAAAGAAAAATGAGAAAGGAGGTCAAATGCATCATCTATACCCCCTCTCACTCATCTCCCATACTAAAACACCCATAAGGCTCCCTGGAAATACCTATTCACGGTAGGTATCCAGAGAAGAGTTGCCCCTTTTGTTACACTACCTCCTCGCTAGCTCAAAACTTCATGGCAAACGACTTGAGGTACTCGTAGTCGGGGACGTTGGCGTCGACGCAGGCGCGGATGACCTTTTGGGCGTTGGTGCCGAATTTCTGGCGCCACTGCTCGTCCTCTTCCTCGGCGGTGGGTGTTTTCTGCGGGTGCCACCATGTGGGCCAGTTAACTTTCTTAATACAATAGATATTATACCTGATATATACACATCTATACACGTACATGCGTAGGTATGCGTGTGTATGGGCCAAGAGAGAGAATACATACCGCGGCGTGGGCGCGGGGCTTGAGCGAGGTGCTGCCAATAGCATCGTCGTGGAAGCCGTTCCACTTCTCGAACGACGCCTTGGCCTCGGCGTGGCTGTCGGGGTCCTCCCAGCGCAGCATGGCGGGCGAGAAGTCGATGCCGACCTGCGCGCAGTAGGCGCGGATGACGTTTTCGGGCTGGTCGAGCAGGTCGTCGGCGTCGACGACGGTCACGGTGACCTTGTCACTGTCACTGCTAGGCGGTGCCGCTGGCGGCTTCCCGTCCGAAGTGGCTACGTCCGGCCCGATGATGCCCTGGTCCCTGAGGTAGTCGAACAGCCGCCGCAGCTCGTCGTAGCCGGCCTCGCTCGGCATGAAGTGGTAGAAGCCCGTCACCTTGTCCAGCGGCGGCACCGTGCAGCGGTAGTACGACGGGATGGCGCGGCGCGGGTGCCGGATCAGGAACGTGAAGTGGAACTGCCGCAGCACGTCCGTCGGGACCACGGTCGAGTTTTTGCTCTCGTCTGCTGTTGTTGTTTTTGTTGTTGCTGTCGCTCCGTTGACCGCTTCGCTCGACGAGGGGCCCAGCAGCGACGGCGCAATTGTGGCCGGCTGCCCGTTTGGCGGCAGCAGGTAGTGCGCGATATCCTTGATAAAGACGCGCTTGTCCTGCCGGGTGTGTGAGTGGGTTGCCTTTAATATTTGTGAAGGCAGCCAGCCGATAGTAGGGGTATACGTGTGTTAACCAGGGGTTGTAAACAAAAGACTAAGGTCCAGGACTTCCCCTTTGTCATAAAGGGGACTGATAGCCCTTTGTATTGCACTGCCTGGGGTAATTTAGGGGCACGAAATAAGTTATGTAAACAAGTTTCCTCTGTCCCCCTTTACCTATGATCTCCGAGCGCACTTGCGCTCGAAATGGGAACAAAAGATGCTGGATGGATTACTAGACATCCCGTCTCCCGGCATTTCTCTCCTCCAATTGGCAAATCCACAGACTTTGTGACAAGACAATAGCAAAAAGAGAGGGAAAACGGCATGAAAAGTAGAGTGGCGAAAAATAAAAGTCCGGTGGCTCGAACCTTGTTGGCAATATCCCGCTGGAGGCTGTTCATGATAGTCTTGTACGTGGTGTTGGCGAAGCCGCTCTTCTTGCGGGCCTCGGCGTCGTCGGCGAAGCGCGAGCTGAGCCGCTCGGGGCCGTAGTAGAAGGCATCGCCAAAAGGCTCGTGGACGCAGTGCAGAATGTCTCGTCTCGTCATGAAAACCTACGGAAAAAAGCAGGCGGAGGCCGAGGAGGGGGAAGACATTAGTTACGCTCCTCATTTCGGGTGTGTTTTTTCTCGTCTTCTTTTCTTTTTCTTTTTTTTTCTCAAAAAAGAAAGAAGATTTCGAGATCTGTTCTGGTTAAAATAGGTACACACCCGTTCAAAGGCCGTTGAGCAGGCCCGTGGGTGGGTAGCCACGAAGATGGGCTTGGAAGACATATTGGTTTGCTTCTTTTCTTTCTTTTCTTTATTGCTTTTGTCCCTTTTATGCTATTTAAGAGGTTAGCTATTGAATGGAGATATTCACACATCGACGGGTCGGCAGGTACCTACCCGTGGCAAACGCAGCAAAGAATGTGTGTGGGAGAGCGAAGTGGAAGTGGCTACGTCAGTGGCAGTAGTCAAAGAAGACAAAAAGAGGGAGCGCCTGGTGTGTGCGAGTAGGGCCGAGTTTAAACGACAACTAAAAAGGCAAGGTAGCCGGAAGTCACAAGGTTGTGGACGAAAGCTGCTCTGGTTCTATATCTTAACTTTTTTCTCTTCTCGCAGACCCCGGCAAAGCTATTCTTATCCTTTCTTCAGCCAATTAAATAATTTCCTTTTCCAACAGAAAGGCATCGTGTACGGACATGTCTCGGGGGGCATCTGTCTCCATAGCAGGAGAGGGGCGGCGGCCGAGGCAGTTGAGGTATTATCATTACCCTATCCGGTGCCCATTCTTTTACACCTTGCCCCCTTTCAACCAAGGTAGGTAGGTAATTAGGTAGGTATGTTGGGATACTCGTGGGAGTGTGCTTTCCCCCTACCCCAAATGCCAAGAAACATTGTTGCCCTTACCCCTATCCAACCTAGCCGCCCCCGCGGCGGCCATCGTAAGCAACGTCATCGGTTGGTTCAAGGACTTTTTACCTCCAAGGGCCTCCCAGAGAAAGAAGAGACGGACGAAAGTGCGTGTTTTCCATTGCATGGCGAACTGTCATGATCCTTGTCTCGCACTGCGGGCTTTTTGTGGGGGCTCACGTAATGGGAATCTTGAATTTCGTTTCCGCCTCAGGTTTTTTTTTGGGCTGGATGTGATCTGCCGCATGAAGATTTTCCACGTTTTCGGACGAACAAGGCACGTGGCAGACGGATCCGTGGGGGAAAGCTGTCAAAGACAAGAACGTGGAATTGAATGAATTGGGAATGATTGATAATTTTAACGCCTGGTGATAGAAAACGGGAAGAAATGAGAGAGAAATGGACTAATTGTCGTCATTCAAACATTCCTTGGTGTTACTAAGAACACAGCGTGGCGACTCTCCCAGAATGCGTCCTGGAAACATCCCAGTCGCACGAACCGCTGCCGCCCAGTTCCGTCGCAGCTGTCCTGCCGGTACCGAGTAAAAATACTGAAAGGAACTGGCACCCTCTGTAAATGTTGAACCGACCCTGAAAGGCCCCCCTTGAGTCCGTTGTTACTTTACTTTGTCCAGGGGCTGGCTACATGAGAAATACACAGGGACTGACTTGGTTCGTCTCTTTGTACGTACAATAATACATTTGTTGTTTTACTTCTCCCTCCGTGCATCCGTTACATACCTACCTATGTTCATGTGTAGAAAACAGATCCCCCAAAGCCTCCAAGGAAGTGGCTTGGCTCGAGGGGCTTACTGTGCCAGTTCCAGAGCAGCCTGCCTTTCGTGCATCTTCAGCCTGTGGCCGGGCAAGCGCAGCGGCCCCACGACGTGCGTGACGTTTTCCGGCCACTCGGCGGCCCAGTGCCTGTCCTCCTCGTTGGCCCAGTAGATGGTGGCGCGGTGGATTTGCAGGACGCGTTCTTCCTCGGGTGTCACCGTCTCGACGACGGCCGACGCCTTCAGGCTCGCTTCCACCTCCGCTTCCGCCGCCTCCACCGCCTCCTCGACCTCGGCGGCTGCCACCGCCTCCTGCTTCGCTACCGGCTCGGAACCCGCCTCACCTGCCGCAGCTGCGTCGTCAAGCGCAGCGGCCTTCTTCTTGGTGATGCTGGCCTCCTTCTTAGGCTTCTCCTTCTTGGGCTTCTCCGGCACTGGGTAGTACCACATCTTGTTGCCCTTGCCGATGCCGCCGAGGACGGCCGAAATGTCGGCAACACTGTTTCCCCTCTGGTCGTTGAGCTCGACGCCGCGGTCGTGCTTCTTCATCTGGATCAGTTGCCCGTCGTCCCACTCGAGGTCGTGGCGCAGCTTGAGCTCGCGCAGCTTCTGGTACACCGACCGCCCTACCAGCCCCATCGTGTCCTTCCCTATAGATGGCGGTTCTGCCGCCGCCTCCGGGTTATGTTTAAAGTCGATCAAGGCCATCGGCCGCCAGTAGTCCTTGCGCAGCTTGGCGGGCACCAGCTTCTTGCCCGTGAAGGGCACCTGCTCGAAGGCTTTGATGGGCTGCAGTCAGCGTCAGCGATGCCAAACTCCGGGTGCACAAGTAAGCCTGCTTCCCGCAGAGGGGGAGAGCAAAGGCCCGCCGGGGAGAGGGACAAAAAAGCAGACAGCCGCACCTTCAATAACGGCTCGAGGGAGTAGATGATGCGGCCCTCCTCGATGTGAGTCCACACCCAGATCTGCTCGCCGTGGCCGCGCGGGTGAGACTTTGTATCGTGCGACTCTTTCCTCCTGGGGCGCGCCGATGTGGTGCTGAAGGAGCGAAATGCGGCGGCTGCAGAGAGGGAGAGGGAGAGGTAGCGCCGACATACTACTGTCGTCGGCGAGCTGGTCACCATCGCCACGGCCGCCGCTGACACTGTCGCCGCCGCCGCCGATGACGACGCGCGCAGGGCGCTGCAGTAGTAGTTCATTGTGCTGTGTCGTTGGCCGCCGCTGCTGCGTCTCTCCTCGGCGCTGACCTGATTAATCTGGAGCCTCGAGGTTGCGCGCCGGCCGCTGGGAGATTTCGCCATGTCATTTTTTGGGCGCTGGGGCCAGCGAGCTGAATTGAAGCTCTTGATTGGGTGGGGAAATATGGGGCTCAATCAGCTAGTTCTCCTGTTCAGAGTCCGTCTGGCCGCTGCAACACCTAAATTGTCTACCTAATGCGTCAAGTTCAGGAATCACAAAATGCAACTTTAGGTAACTTGATAGCCTTTAGTGCGGCAAAATGCCTATTCATTTTTGAGTCCCTATTGCTAGTGATGCATTGAGCTGTCTCTACATACATGTTCTTCTGTTAAGGTAACTCTATATTATTTGACTCCAAGTGGAGGCCGAGTACGGTTGCCTAGGCCCAGGCCATGCCTCGCAAACGAACAACCATGCCTCAAAAAAGATTTCATGAGATGTGGCATTACTTCTCATAATCGTCATCATGTCCCGCCATGGGGGGTTTTATGCCAATACTTCACAGTTTAGTGCCGCACCCCTCTTGAACTTCAACTTATCCGCCATCATCCTGACAGCATACTCTAGCTGTTGTAGATGTCCTCATCCATCGAGTCATGCCAATACTTCACAGTTTAGTGCCGCACCCCTCTTGAACTTCAACTTATCCGCCATCATCCTGACAGCATACTCTAGCTGTTGTAGATGTCCTCATCCATCGAGTCTGGCGCGATCTCCTCAATCGTATCATCATCATCATCAACCATCATTTCCTCATCTTCATCATCGCTCGCCGTGTGGTTGCTCAGAACCGTGACCTTGCCATTAACAACATCCACACGAGCAACCTCGCCGTTGCGGATATTGCCGCGGAGGATCAGAACCGCCATGCGGTTAAGCACCTCCTTCTCGAGCAGACGTTGGAGCGGTCTCGCGCCGTACGCTGGCGAGTAGCCCGCAGCCCCTAGCTTGTCCTTGGCCTCGTCCGAGACACTGATCGTGACATTTCGGTCGTTGTCGTACAGCCGCTTTTGGATCTCGCTGAGCCTCAGATCGACGATCCTGCGAATCTCGCGCCTGGTGAGACGGTTGAAGATGACGGTCGAGTTGATGCGGTTGAGAAACTCGGGGAGGAAGTAGTTGCGCAGCGCATTCATGACGAGCTCCCGTGTCGTCGGGTCGATTCTGCCATCCCGGGCGTTCGGGCGGGCGAGGTATTCGGCACCGAGATTCGACGTCATGACCACGATGCAGTTCCGCGCGTCCACAACACGTCCTTGCCCGTCAGTGATCCGACCGTCATCCATGAGTTGCAGAAGAACCGTCAAGACCTCCTTCGCAGCCTTCTCGACCTCGTCAAACAGGAGGATAGAGAAGGGCTTGCGACGGAGTGCCTCGGTCAGCTGACCGCCGGAATCGTGTCCGACGTAGCCTGGCGGGGCACCAATCATTCGGCTGAGAGAGTGTCGCTCCTGGTACTCGGACATGTCGAACCGAATCATCGACTTAGGGTCGTCGAATAGGAATTCCGCCAGGGCTTTGGTAAGCAGCGTCTTGCCGGTACCAGACGGACCACAGAAGAGGAAGCTTGGCGGCTGATTCGGGTTGCTAAGACCTGAGCGCTGGAGCCGGATGGCATTGGACACCGATTGCACAGCCTCTTTTTGTCCGACCACAATCTTTCCAAGCACAGACTCCATGTGCAAGAGCTTCTCCTTCTCCGAAGTCCTCAGCCGTGTCACCGGAATGCCAGTCCAACGAGCCACGATCTCATTGATCTGGTCAGGGCCGACAATGTCGGTGACCATAGCACCGCCAGCGTCAGCCGCGTCGGCGTTGAGGGCCGCGTCGGCCGCCGCCTTTTCCCTCTCAAGCTTCTTGATGGCTTGCTCCTGCTCTGGGATGGCGTAGTATTGTAGATCGGCGGCGCGGCTGTGGTCTCCAACTCTGCTGGCATCTTCGGCTTTGACTCGGAGGTTTTCCAACTTCAGCTTCGCCTCTTGGATATCTTTGCCCCGTTGTCTCTCCCGGTCATACTTCTCGCGGAGTGGTCGCAACTCCTCCTCAACATTTTCGGCGTCCTGCTTCGCTATAATGAGGCGTGCTTTGGAAGCATCGTCCTTCTCACGGGATAGGGCGTGAATCTCAATCTTCAGCTGCCGCAATCTCCGCTCAAGAGAGTCGATAATCTCCGGTTGCGATTCTCGAGCTACGCGGACGGCGGCGGCAGCCTCATCAATCAGATCAACCGCCGAATCCGGCAGTCTCCGCTGGGTTAAGTACCGAGCCGCTAGCGTAGCAGCAGCCACGATGGCACTGTCGGTGATGTTGACACCGTGGTGGACTTCGTATTTCTCTTTCAGACCACGCAGAATCGAGACGGTCTCGGGGATCGACGGTTCCTTGACGAGAACCTGTTGAAAACGGCGCTCAAAAGCTGCATCTTTCTCAATGTACTTTCGATATTCGGCCAGGGTGGTTGCACCAATGCAGTGAAGCTGTCCTCTTGCGAGCATGGGCTTCAGCAGGTTGGCCGCGTCCATGCCGCCCTCTCCCGAGGAACCAGCGCCCATCAGGAGATGGATCTCGTCGACAAAGAGAACAATCATCTCCTTTGATTCTTGAATCTCCTTGAGGACTCCCTTCATGCGCTCCTCGAATTCTCCTCGGTATTTGCTTCCGGCGACCAGCGCGCCAACGTCGAGAGACAGTAGCTTGCAGTGCGCTAGATTGTCGGGAACGTCGGCATTGACAATGCGCTGCGCGAGACCCTCAACGACTGTAGTCTTGCCAACACCTGGCTCGCCAATGAGCACGGGGTTGTTCTTGGTTCGGCGGGAGAGAATCCGGACCACGCGCCGAATCTCCTCCTCACGGCCAATAACAGGGTCGATTTTGCCTTCCCTCGCCATGGCTGTCATGTCGATGGTGAACTTGGCAAGATTCTCGTTTTCCTCCTCCGTGTCGGCATTCTTGGAGTCGACGCGTTTCGTGCCACGGATGGCTTGCACAGCGTCCTGCACCAACTTGGGCTTCGGAATGTTGGCCTCCTTGAAGGCCGCTTGGATCGAAGGCTCGTCCGACAAGGCGGTAATGAGGTGGTCAACCGCTATGTACGTGTCCTTTTGGATTTTCTGGAGATCCATGGCTTTGCGGAGCACGTTGTTGAACGAAGGCGCCATGGAGACGTTCTCGGGCGGCGGATCTTGGCTAGGCAGGCGCACGAGGGTCTTCTTCAAGGCGCGGTCGAAAAGCTGGGGGTCGCCGTGGGCTCGCTCAACGACTTGCCGCAGGAGGGTGCTTGTGGTCCCCGGCGGCGCATTCTGCTGGTCCTTGCTCTGGTCTGGGAGGGGGTCGAGGAGGGCGACGGCCAGATGTATTGGCATCAACTGGGAGTGCGCATACTGCTCGGCGAGGACCATGGCGTCTTCTAACGCCTTCTTGGCCCGGTCGGTAAACTCCATCTTTGAGTTCATCTTGACTAGGATGTCGCGAGACAAATGTCTCGATCAAGTTAAAAGTCGCTCTAGGCTGTGGTCGTTTCGCAAAATATGTTGTAGGTAAGACTAGATTGTATTCTTGCGGTGTATTGTTGTAGTGGAAGCTCGGGTGACGTCAGGCTTCTTTCCGAAACTGAAAGCTGCAGGCAGAAGGCAGTTCAAATTGGTTATTCGGTATGCATCCGTAATTGATATTGTGTCTCAGTGAGAAAGAAGAAGGAGACGTTAGAGCGAGGGCAGCAAATTTATTCAAGTGCCTGGTGGGGAGTTGGAAGGAGAACAACTCCGTCTTGATGCCCGAGGCGGCAGTCAAAGGAAGTGGGATGATGGTGCTCACAGCTCCTAGAGGATTCGAGACATCATCCCGCAGTCTCCAGAAGGCCCTAGAACACTCACGCAGGGAAGTGCGCGGGGTACGTTGGTAAGGTACCAGTGTGATTATTGGCCAATGAAGGGAGCCGCGGACCTACCACGCTAGCCTTATATATGCTAGTGCAATACATAACCCACTAAGTATTTCTTAGACTGTTCTTTCTCAGGCGCCTTTTATTTCCGTATTGGGCCTTCCTTCTTGCTGGCACCAAATTTCCTGTGCAATGAACGGTGTAACGGTCCGGTCCAGATATTCCCCGCCAGATGGCCTGATGCTTGGCAATTCGTGCTCCACCCAGTCGCAGACGATGAGGAAAGTCGAGCATGAGTCAAAGTGTCGACAGTGTATGTTCATCGAGTGATGCCTGCCAACAAGCGCACGAGTGGCCTCGTCGTCAGTGTGACGTCTATGGGTATGCCGATCCGAGAGAACAATGACGGCCCCCGCCCTTTCTCGATCTGAGTGGCCTAATGCTTTGTAGCTTTGCGCAACGCAACGCAGCGTCAGGCAACGCAGCTCGTGCAAATCACGAGAGACTGGCTGTCACGCGATCCGCCTCTTGCCCATGCTGCGGAATATTCAATGCCTCGCGACAACCATGGCCCCCTTAAGCGGCAACGTGATACATTTCAAGGAAGCGTCGAGCCTTGTCTACGGACCTCTAGATCATCTGTCGGAAGAGGCTGCCGCCGCCTGGACACCGCCAGACAATCCTGGGGCGGGCGGTCATCGCGGCCGATATCTGTGGACAGATGCCTTTGGCCTTATTAACTTCATTACCCTGTCCAAGGAGACGGCGTCGCCCGTCTATCTAACCTTGGCCAAACGGCTCGCGGTCACAGTTCATGATGTGCTTGGGAGGACGCGAGATGGTACTGCCCGACTGCCGCGGGCCACTGATGCGGAACCTCTCAAGGGCGGGCTCCGCATTGGCAAGGTCGAGGCTCATGGAAGCGACGGTGATGGCCAATATCACCACTACCTTACGTTGTGGATGTTTGCCTTGAACCGTCTAGCCTTGTCATCTGGCGACAAGAAATACAACCAGCTTGCTGTCCAGCTGGCCAAGGCTGTCCATCCCCATTTTGTCCTGCGTAAGGGAGCAGGCGGCCTTCGCATGGTCTGGAAGGTATCAACCGATATGGAAAATGTCCTTGTGCCATCTGAGGGCCATCTCGATGCGGCCACGGGCTTTGTAGTCTACCGGCTACTTCAGCGCACTGCAGAGCACCTCCACGGGCCCCCGGGTGTCCTCAACAATGAGATTGCCGACTACCGCCAGCTCATAAGCCACGAGGTCAAGATGCGGACCAGCAGCGACCCGCTCGACCTGGGAATGGGGCTCTGGATGTGCCATTTCTTTCGGGACGAGGACTGGGCGAGTGTGCTGGGCAGTCAGAGCCTCGAGGTGGCACGTATCATTCTTGACGAGAAACACGGGCTGATGGCAAGGGATCCGGCTCGCCGGCTGGCCTTTCGAGAGTTTGGGGCTTGCTTGGGTCTCGAATGCTTTGGGATCGACGACGAGTTGACAGCGCGCGTAGCCGCTGTTATAGACTTCTGGCAGAAATACCTCTATGGTTCGGCTGAGGAAGATCTTCGTCCTATCTCGCTCGTCATGTATGCCTCGGCACTAATACCGGGAGGTCAGTATGCCAGAGCCATGATCGTTCTGAAACCCATAAGAGAACTGGTTTGCTAACAGTCCCCAGCGTTTCGTGGCGGGTATGTTGGCGGTGAGTAAGCGGGAGGGCAGCCGTCAGCCGGGTGTTGTTGTGCTTTGCTGCGGCTTTTCCTTCACTAGGCAAACATGGTATGGAGGGTTATTTATCCGGAGATATTGCGGAGTCTTGTGTCGTTACTGAGACGAACAAGCCAAGATTACTCAGCTACGAGGAATGCCGCTCGCATGAAGTACTGGACCAACGAAGCAAATCACACCGTCGACCGAACAATGACAATCAGCTTTCAGCTCATAAAGCCACTCGGCAATGATCCAAAGTGACAGCCTGACTTAGCGTACCGAAGACCGTTCCCCCGTTAATAAAGACTAGGGATCTAGGGCGGCCTCCTACAACTTACAAAGAGTAGGTACTCTGTACGCTAGATGAGACGCACCGCATACACCACCCCTTTCTAATCTTGTCGCTCTTTAGGTGGTTGGTTCTACGGACGGACAGACTGACTGACAGGCCGAACCTCCGATCGGAGGCTCTGATTTGTATTTCCCGCATGGCGGCTTGAACGTTTCTTCACTATGGCTCTCTTACTCAAGCATTTGTCAAGCATCTTATTTCTCCTTTTGGTCAACTCCCCGGAATCGTGCACGGTCGGCTGTTGATCCGTCGAATTCACAAAGTCGATCAGCCCCTGCTCTCCCCGGCAACGTGTCTATTTCTTCCCCCACCCCCAACTTCTCGCTAAGACTAGCTGCTTTCATCCAATAGTACAAATCGAAACATTGCATCATGTCGAGAATATGCAGCATGAGGATCCGGTTTGCCAAAACATCCCGTCTCTCACACCTCCCACGCCCCTTACGTCCGCTCAGGAGACCATCCCATTTGTTGCAAGCGCAAGAAGGAGCAATACATGTACCATGTATAATGCAGAGCTACGGCGATTGCCTGGAACGCGAAGCCTGGGGTACATGGATCATGGATCAAGAATGTGGGTGAGGATGAGTATGCTTCTCTTGTGCGGCCCGAGAAAACCGGCAAAACGGAACCGTCTTACCAGACGCGGCGACGGTGCAGCAAACCTAGACTTCGCAACCTGGACAGGCCGTCTTAATTTGCCAGTCGTTATTCTTGGGAATACCCATGCTAGCAAGGGGTTGGGATGGGATCTTTTTTGACAAGATCTGCTGCCTACACTCCGCAAGGGGTCGAGCTGGAAACCCCCTGCAAGAATACTACCACGTACTAAAGTCCGTTTCAAGGGAGCAGTGTCTGGTGTCTGGACTCTGGACATCGTTCGCGCCTATGCCGGCAGTAATAAGCCGACCTGGATGGCGCCAATCGGTAGGTCCCACCCCGGAAGACACCAATTGGTTCTATTTATTATCCTTGCGACCCGCGCCCACGTCAGATTTGAAACGGGAGAATGATAAGGTAGAGAGCTGAGAATGTTGCCATCTACCGCTACACCGGCACACGAAATAGACGCCTGTTGCCTGGCACTCTGGGCAGCAATAGGTAGTAACTTAATTTACCTTGAATGGTCGCAACCCCCACAACAGAGAGGGTGCTTGATCTTGCCCGTGCATTCAATCTGTAATGTACAAAGGTACAGATAGATACAGAATTGCAGATAGCTTCAAGTCTAGTACACCGCCTTACCTAGGTGAGGTAGATAGATACGTCGGTCTACCTCCAATTCCGTCAAAAACTCGCCCACGGCATATGCACCGTTAGTTGTGTAAAAGTTCAAGTTATTAAGAATCAAGCGGAAAGGAAGGAGGAAAGAAGGGACAGTCTGAGGCTGCACAAGAAACCTTATTACCTACTGTACAGTACCTTACTGCGTACCGAGTGCGCCAACTTGGGTCTGTCTGTTACGTAAGGCACGAATACTGGGTGCCTGAGGTATAAATCCTAATTGACTTGACAGCGGACGGGTGAGCTTCTTTGCGAGCTTTGCCAATGCCATGGATTAGACTGATGACAGGGATCAGGGAGTGCTTTGAGCTTATCCCCCTCCTAACCAATGTAAGCAGGTAACACAAGATTAGGTTGAGTGCATTCCAAAGTCACTAGCCCGTAATCCGTAGCCCGTAAAACCCGTACACCCCGTACCCTGGATGTACCCCGTACTGTACATGTACACCGTCCAAGACCAATGGTAGATTCCCAGGGTTAGGGGTGGACACGATGTCCGTTTCGGGCAAGAATTGGCGTGGAAACCTTGATGTCGTTGACGGTTTCTTGGAGACGGAAGCAACGACCACCTCCAATACCTGAGCCACGGTACCATACACTACACCATACCTTGTCGAGGATCCACCTCGATGAGATGTTCCTGCCTACCCGTCTCTAACAACGCACCACTTGGCAGGCGTCAATGCCGCAATTTTTGACGCCTTCATCTCAAAGTTCCTTCCCCTTTATCTAATTAGCTCGAGGTAACACCGGGGCGTAGACCAGGCTCCCGTCCGATTTGCCCATGAGCGCCGCAAGTTCTCTTAGAAGATGTTGTGCCCATTCTTACTTTATGCACACACTCTCACTCTCACTCGCACATACGCACATGCCGGGCACTGGCGGCGTCCCGTGCGCTCGAGCCTGGGCTACCACGTTGTCACCCTGATGCGCGGCCTGCATGGTAATTCGCAGCTTGAAGTGAAGAAGAATAAGGCTCCCGAAATGCATGGGTCCACCAGGGGCGGCGGCGGCGGCGTCGATGGCGTCGAGCACATCCAAAACGGCAGGCGCCCAGGCGGCGCGGGACGCAGTTTCCCTGCTCTCTTTGTTCGTGGGGGAACCTCGAACGGACTGGTCATCCTGCGCGAGCACTTGCCTCCTGCGAGCGAGTGGCCTAGCGTGCTTGCCTCAGCTATGGGGTCGCCTGATGGTAACGGGCGTCAGCTCGACGGCATGGGCTCGGGCCTCTCGTCAACCTCGAAAATCTGCGTCCTTTCTGCCTCCTCGCGCCCCGACTCTGACGTTGAGTTTACCTTCGTCCAGGTGGGCATCAGAGACGGCAGCCTGGACATGGCTGGCAACTGCGGGAACATGTCGTCTATTATTGGCCCTGTCAGCCTGGACGAGGGCCTCGTCGAAGATCCCCGCATCCTGGAAGAAGCCGCCAGCGACAGCTGCAGCCACCCTGATGACATGGCCCGCACGGCTAGCACGGCCACGGCCACGGCCACGACCACGACCACGGCCCTGGTGCGCATCTACAACACAAATACCGCAAAGCTCATCCATGCACGCTTCCCCGTCACTGGTGATCCGCCACGGTATTACGCCAAGGGTGACTATGCCATGGACGGCGTCCCGGGCACCGGCTCAAAGATCGTGCTCAGCTTCCTCAGCCCAGGCGGAGCGAAGACGGGCCAGACCCTACCCACAGGCAACCCAGTCAACAATCTCACCCTCTCTGACGGCTCCACCATCCAGGCGTCGCTCGTCGACGTCTCTAACCCTGGCGTCTTCGTCCGGGCCTCTGATGTGGTCCCCGACAGCCTGGGCGGCCTCGACAAGCTCGATCCTGCCGCCGTCGAAGCTAACCCAGCCCTCAAGGCACGCCTCGAGCAGATAAGGCGCGCTGGTGCAGCTAGGATTGGTCTCGACCCCAATACGGAGAGCGTGCCGAAAATAGTCGTCGTATTTCCGCCATCCCCCGCGCGCAAAAACCCGGGGATAAATATCCAGTGTTTAGCGTTATCGATGGGACAAGCTCACAAGGCGGTCCCGCTGACATTGGCCTTGTGCCTTGGCGCGGCCGCATTGCTGCCGGGTACCATTCCGTGCGAGCTTGCCCTCGTGGCTGCTGCCAAGGGAGGTGTCATTACCATCGGTCATCCAAGCGGCAGTTTGGATGTGAGCACTACTATCAGAGACGGCCACGTTCTCTCGGCGGAACTTCATCGAACCGCGCGGGTCTTGATGAGAGGGGACGTGTTCTACCAATGAGGCATATCACTGATGACACCCCGAGCCACATAACTCTACTCATATGTACGCGAGCCACATAACTCTACTCATATGCACGTGAGCCACATTAGCTCGTCAAGGTTGGGCTTCACTGCACTAGCAGACGCCAAGCCGTCCGAGACTCAGAAACGCCTACCATATAACAGCCATGCGTTACGAGATACAGCCAGAGGCGTGCTGCTTTGTCAGCTTGGATATCGGCAGCCGCGAGTAGGGGCGACGCGAAGGAAGAACAGGCGCCGGAAAGCACTGACTTCCCGGCCCGATGGACAATCGCTGACCACATCTAAGCTGCTGACGTGAGACCTATGGATCCGGGGACGTTGTCTTGACCATGCACTGTTTGACTTCATCCCACCGTCATCTTTGTTCCATGACCTGCCTAGAGCGCTGGGGCGCCGGGGGTTTCTAGCTGCCAGCCGGAGTTTTTTCGTGCCGACCACGCTCCTTTGTGGAGCCGCAAATGCGACAGGGCGGCACCTCTCTTCTCGAGTTCTTCTCGAACCATGCTTTTTGTAATGGCATTGTTGATAGCCGAGAATTCGAGCTCGTTACCTGTGGACTGCGGGTTGTTGTGAAGTGTGTTGTTCTGTGGGGTGGTGCGTGCGTTGGGCCGCCATGTTTGTTTGTTTACGATCCGGAGTCAACTCCCCGCTCTGCGGCGATGAGTGAGTACCGACACTTGGCGTTTGTTAGCCACTGCTACGAAAGGCCCCCACGACCAGCTGCCAGTATTTAAGACAGCTTTCTATATAATAGGCGGTTTTTGTTCTGCCGGACAATATCTCCTTTGCAGGCTCGCCCTGTTTGGCCGAGCGATATGGAATACCAAAAATCAATTTCAAATCCGATTACTCATACGATATCGACCTCCAATCTGTTGGCCTTTTACTGGAGCCTAAACCCTTTGCCCTCATCGTTAATTTCTGACAAGTTCCTGGTGCTGACGCCAAAGATGATCACGTATACACCTATACGGCGGCTGACTGCCGGATTCGGAAGTATTTCCAGGTCGAGCTTAGCCCGCCAAAACGTTTCGAAACGGGTGCGTCCACCACGATCGTTGAAGAACTGCCGCCACCCTGCAGCCCTGCCGGGCGGTGTACTCCAAAGTTGCATTGAGACTTCACCTGGGATCCCAGTTGCCTGATCTCCAAGGCCCCAGGCCTGGCTTAGAACCCAGGTGGTTGAAGATGCCGCCGCAAGACCAAACGGCTTAAGAATGGACTGGTGAAGCTGGTCTTCCTACAATCAACTCTCGTCTTCATGAGCCTCTGTCTTGTATCTCGATCCGCCGTGCGTGGAATCTCCTGCCGCTACATTCTTCTGCGTAGTCGGGCCTTGTTTGTTGCTTGCCCCTTTTCGATCAATCGCCGGCCCCCCTGTCTCTCGGCAACCCAGCTCAGCGAAGAGAAGAGTCCTTTGAACAATGGACCACTTCAACGCCACCATCAAAGACGGCAAGCTTGTCAACACGCGGCGAGGGCTGCAAGTCTCGAGACAGAAATTCAACGGCCTGTCTTTTGTGAACTCGTGCCCCCAGGACGACACCCCTGACTCTCCCTCCTCGGCAGCACCCGACCCATCGAGGCCACCCCAGCGCCTGGTAAAGTTCGTTGACAGAGGTTCTGAGCCGCGGCAAGGCTCTTCCAAAGCTCCGAAACAGGATGTCGAACGTGTCGAGTTTACTTTTGCGTCGGACGTGATTCAGCAGAAAAAGCCACGGAGAAAGGCCACACCAAGGGACCAGTTGTTAACCACCACATCGAGCCCATCGTCCCAGAGATCCTCTCGAGCTTCCTCGCATGCGTCATCGCCAGGGGATGGTACCTTGCATCAACCAACCGTCCTGAAAAGCCGGGATATCTCCCCAGCCGAGCACACCGCAGGGGGCGCCCTATCAAGCCCTTCAGCGTGGCAGACAAACGATGCCCCCGCATACCTGACCGAAGAGAACTGGAAGTTGTTCAATCGCTACTTCGCCCACATACCGCCAAAGTTGTACCCATACGAAGATATTCTAACGTACAACCCGGCGAGGGGAGCCGACTTCTACAACATGATGGTCAATGATTCCGCTGCCCTCCATTGCGTGTTGATGAGCGGCACCATTGCAGAAGCCGTCGTCAACATGGAGACGGACCCAAAGGGTTTTGCTTACCACATATCTAAAATCTGTGCCATTCTCAACCAAAAACTGAACCAAAAGCAAGCCGTCGACCCTGTCACTCTGCATTGTATCGCAACTTTGGCTTCGATGGGTGTAAGTCGGATCCTCGCATCTTATAGCTGTTCTGTGTAATCCTACCGCACAACCGTCTTGCATGCATGGCTGACCAGTTACCTCGATTCTATAGTGTTACGTTGGCCGTCTCGACCACTGGCATATGCACATGAGGGGCCTGCAGAAAGTTCTCGACGTCAATGGGGGATTGGATGGTTTGCCACCGGCGTTACTTGCAAAAATACACAAGTAAGCCAGCCCCTGAACCACACCCTTCTCTCCCTCATGTGTTGATGTCGCGATGTAATGATACTAAACAACTATCGTTTACAGAGCCGACCTGAAGGGTGCTGCTGCCCTCGCCTCAACGCCTTACCTACCCTTCACTCGAAAATACGGTCCTATCTCTACCGTGATAAGCGCAGATATCACGGCCAGAACGTCCAGCTCTCTTAGCACCCTGATGGGACGCTTGCACATAAACACAGCTGTCATTGATGCCTTGACCTTGCTCTCACTCCTAGGGTCGTCTATCAGCCTTGCACGGCAGTCTGCTGGGTCTGTTGCCTTCGACCCGCACGCTTTTACGGAGGAGTACCTCGCCGTCATGCATGCTTTGGTCACGCAACCGGGGCCGCTGCGCGATGGCTCGATAGCCCCCTTTACCAGCAACCCATACCCCAACATGCCGGATACTACTAGCAATAATAGCGGTGCCGTGACACGCACCGAGAACTACATGGCGAACCACCGGCTGCAGCACTCTGTAGCTATTACACCTGCCGGCCTAAGCCCTGCCGGTCCCGTTGAGCCAGCGCTGCGCATAGTTGGCTTGCTGTTCCTGAAGGAGCTACTCCCAGATTGGCCCCGAAATCTCGGCGGGTACGCGGTTCTCCTGAGCCTTCTCCGCGGGCATATTTGCGAACTCATGCACAGCTACACTGCTGGGCGAGCCATTGAAGAGCATAGCAGCAGGGATAATGATTATCACACGTTTGTGGGCGGCGGTCCGGCTTCACGAGGAGGGCTGGCTGAGGGAGGGATGGAGATCGACCCCGACCTCCTCGACCCTTTGCTCCAGAGCGACAAGCGACACAAGGGCGGCATCAAGGGGAGACAACAGGGCCACCATCCTTCGAAACAACACGATGCAGGGTTAACGATGACGGCAGAACAAAACAAGCTCGATCTGGACGCCGACGAGCGGGAGCGCGGCCCTCTGGCAGCGACGGACGCGGCAGAGCTGAAGTCCCTCATCATTTGGCTCTGCCTCATCGGCAACCTGGTATCGCTGATCGCCGACGAGAACGAGTGCCGCCAAGCCGACGTCGAGCGCTACCCCCGTGGAGTCTACCGTGACTGCCTGCGCCAGGTCCTCGTGCTGGACGCGGCCAGCGACGACATCGATGCCCTCTTCGACGCGCTGACGCACAACGACCTCGTCATGCTGCGGCTCTTTGATGTCAGAAGCATCAGGGGCGATGGCTGGGATGACAAAGCGGCCCTCAAGGCACTCTTTGTCGAAGAGTTCTGATGCTTTTTCTTATTTGTATCTTTTTTCTAGTACCTGTGTTTGACACAACCAGTTTATACTTTCTATCTTGGTCCGGTCTGGTTTGGTCTGGTAGGTTTGGTAGGTTTTGGTTCGGGTGGTTCGGGTTGGTATATTAAAAGGGGTTCTATTTATTTTATTTTTTCTCTTTGGGATAAATACTTTTTCCTATTTCTTTGCACACTGTTCTGAGACTTTGTCGGTACCTTTTTTCTTCTCTCCTCTCTTTGAATTTTTATACGGCTTTACTATAGAGTAGAGCATTTCTTAGTACTTTGGGTCCCGGGGGGGTATGCATGGTGCTTTTATTATAGGATGGCGTATTTTATTTCCTTTGCAAGGGGCAATTAGGTCGCAGACTGGAACTGCTCGATACGACAGTTACACGAAAGCGCGCCTCGAGTGCCGAAGTTGGATGATGTGAAACAGAAGAAAAGATTCATTGCCAATCAGTCGCGATTGTATATGTAAGATGCATTTGTGAAGAATGATGGTTTTGAAGAAGGGAATCTTATACGGTCAGATATCTGGTTGGTTCCCTCTCCTCTCCAAATCATCGTCACCCCTTCTTCCCCTTTGCAGTGTTGATGTGACACTTGCCTATTGAAGGGTTAGGGTTAATCATTTGTTGAGCAAGAAACAAGGGGTACAGATACGCGGGCAAGGAACAAAACAAAGGAGCACGGGAAAGCGGAAAAGGGGTCATACGGCCGGAGTCACACTAGATGGTTGCAAATGTTATAGCTGTGCTACATATCTCTATACCGAGCGTAGTGCCGTAGCTGCTTTTTGGCGTTCATTCACACGCAGGTATCACCGTGCTGCGTGTCTCGAAGAGAAATCAGGAAGAAATTGTTTGTTTTAAAAGGTATATAACATCCCGCAGAAATCATTCTTTTTTGTATTTCCTCCTTGCCATGCGCTATCAACATTAGTCTTACAACATCACTAGGCCTTCATTTAATCCAGCCGCTTCACCTGACAGGACAAGAGAGGTTGCCCTCTTTCTACTCGTCGTCTTCATCTGCCATGCTAGTGTCAGCAGCAGCAGCGGCCGCTGGTGCGGCGCGATCCTCACTACCGCCCTCGGTTCCCGGGGTCGGCGCATCCTCGTTTTCGTCACCTTTGGCGTTTCCAGCAGTGTCTTCCTCATCGCTCTCATCATCATCGACGATTCTGCCTCGTCGAGGACGCTTAGGCTGTGAGCGGCGTGTTGCAAGGGTTTCGGCTGCATCGTCGTCATCATCGTCGTTCTCTTCGTTTCTGCCGCCGCCTGTTGCGTAATCACCCTGATCGACGTCCATTCGATCGGAGGACGCGCTTTGGCGGCGGCGGGTACGGCGGCGACTGCCGCCGTCGTCGTTCGAGCCAGATGCCGAGCCAGGCGTGGATTGCTGGCGCTCTAGCGCGCGCTCGGCGCGATCCAGTGCGTCGCCACCCTCCTCGTCAGAGCTGTCAACAACAATCTCGGCAGACTTGTATTTGTTCGAGTCCTTGCGGCTCGTGAGGCGCTGCTTCTTCTTAGGCGGGCGGCGGTGTTCGCGGTCGTCGTCACCAGAGCCTTCACCACCATCGGTATCTGCAGCAGCCTTTTTGCGGCGCGACGAGCGGCCGCTCTTGGATGCCTTGGGCTCGCCGGCGCTGCTACGCGGGGCCGTCTTGCGCTTCCGCTTTATCTTGTCGCCTGTCTCGCTATCGGTGGTCATCTCGGCATCAGCGCGGGCGCGCTCCTCCTCGGCGCGTTGCTCGGCGAGCGCGCGATCCCTGGCGGCAATCTCCTCGCGCTCCTTTTTAATCTTCTCCTGGCGTTCGCGCTCCAACTCTTCGACTTTGCGCTTCCCCTCTTCACGACGGCGAAGCTCAGCCTGGCGCAGATTCAGTGCAGCGGTGAGCTTCTCTTTGTTCTTTTCCTCATACTCACGCTGACTAGCTAATGTACGCTCGAGCTGCTTGCGTTGCGTGTTGCGGGCCATATTGGCGCGCTGCTCGATGTCGTGTTTGGGATACGGGGGCTGGTTTGCGGCTGCGATCTCGTCCAAGGCTTTGATCGCTGCTTCCAGACCTTCGGAAGCATCCTCCAGCTGAGCTGATGTGCGCTGGGTTTCGTTCAGCCCATGGATGGTCATGGCCAGCTGGATCTGGGCAAAGGCCACATTGAACTTGAAATGGAGTTGCTCGGGAGAAATAGCAAGGGCCTAGGGAGATATTGGTTAGTGCTGTCACCATGATACTAGGAGGGGGAAATGAAGCTTACCTTCTTCGCATAGTCTAACGCCGTTCCATAGGCATCGAGACTGTGATCAGCTCGCCCCTTGTTCAACCAAGTCCTCGCAAGGCACGAGATGATGTTAACGTCGGTGGCCTTGCCCTCTTTGGAGAGAGCCATCTCATAACTCTCGATGGCCTTGGTGAACTGCTTAAGCTCTGCATATGTATGGCCGAGGTTGACGAAGATACTGGACTCTCTGAGAGTTTCGCGGACTTTTACAAAGACTTGAAGGGCATTCCTGAGGTCCTTCTTGTCTTCAGCCAGAGCAATAGCGATACCCTGCGCGGCATACGCATTCTTAGGGTCAAGCTGGAGAGCTTTGTCAAAGAACTCCACGGCACGGGTATACGTGGCGCTGCGCTTCTGCTTGTCCTGGTCCGTCTCCCGGCGCATCTCCCGGGCAGTCGTCAGAAGCTTATTGCCCATGCCAACAAGAGCATATCGGTCGTGCTTGTCATAATTCTGCAAGGTGTGCTTGAAGTGGCGCTGCTCTGGGTCCTCAGCAGGATTTGCTGGCCGTTTCCGGGCATCGATCTTGCCCAGAAACCAGCCGTAAAGGGCGCGAACTTCCAGATCAGACGGGCTTTCTTGATACAGCTTGGCCACAGCATCGGGTCCCTCCTTGTTGGGCTGCTTCCGAAGCTTGATGTAGGCCAGCCGTGCCCGCGCATCTGTGTAATCGCTGTGGCGCTGCAACAAGCCCTCGTAGGCCTCGACCGCCTTGTCAGTGTTGCCGCGCGCCTCATAACTCCGACCGAGGTTGAAGCTAATTGTTGTGATCAAGGCGTCAGTGTCGACATTCTCATTGGTGCTATCGATGCGGACGCATGACTCGAGAGCCGCCTCAAACATTTCGCTGGCCAGCTCGTGTTTCTCGTCTTGATAGTAGAAACAGCCCATGTTATTGAGGAGCTGAGGTGGTAGAGATTGACGGGCGTTTCTACGAGCCGCTTCATCGTCAGGGTCCGTTGAACTTGAAGGCTGATTGAGTAGCATCCGGCCGAGCTCCAACTTCTCGACTTGCTGAAGGGATGCGAGTGCCCTGTCCGGGCTTTCGTTCTCGTAGAGACGAGCCAGGTTCAGCAGCAAGGCAGAGTCCGGGGACAGGTTCTTATTCGGGTCCTTCCAAGCAGCGCGCACACTCTCCAGAAGACCAATAGCCTTCTTCGCTTCTGCAGTTTTGTCTTCTTTGACGGCAGTATACTGATTAGCGAAGACTTCTTCAGCGTACAGGATACCTAGAAGGGTCATCGCCTCATAATTCTTCTGGTTCTGCAATATCTTCTCGAGTTGAAGCTTGGCCTCGCCCAGGTCGTTCTTCAAAACGGAGAGCTGGGCTGCACCGAACTTGGCAGGCAGGTAGCCATGATTGGCACCGCCTCTGGCATCGTCGGCACGGCGGTAGTAGTCGCTTGCGCGGTCCAAGTCGCCGTCGTGGTGCGCTTTGCGGGCAAGGAGAAACCAGCCGTCGCTTGCAATAGCGTTGACATCGGTGTATTGAATGGCTTTGTGCGCCAACGAGTCGACGGTGTTGAACTTCTTTTTCGAGAGGAAGTAGCCGGCAAATGTGGCACAGGTAAGTGGCAAGTCCTTGTCGAGCTTGTAGGCGGTTTGCGTGTATTCCGTCATGGCCTTTGTGTAAAGCTGGGTAAAGTCGCCGCTCTTTGTCGGGACGCGGCCACTGGAGTCGAGGTAGTATACTCCGAGGAGGATGTTTGCGACTTTGGAATTGGGGCTGATCTCGAGACTGCGCTCCCAGGCAAGCTTGGCGTCGTCTTTGTATCCCAACTGCCAGAAGCAACAACCAATGCCGATTCGAGGATCTGGGTCGACAAGGTCTGGCATCTTGGCCAGAGCCTCTTGATAACCGGCCAATGCGAGGTCGGGCTTGCCGAGCGAGAAAAGCGCACGCGCCCTGCCCATGACGGCTAGCATGTTCTTGCCGTTCGATCTCTTCAGCGCGTCTTCAAATGACTTGATGGCGGCGCGCAGTTGTTCCCCCCTGACATCGCCGGCGCCGGCGCCGGCGGCCTTGGATGGGGCTTGTAGCGAGGCTTTGAGAAGATAGAGAACACCACGGGCCAGAAAGAGCGGAGGGAATGCGGGGTTGATGCGCGAGGCCTCGTTCAAGCTCTGCGTGGCCAGCTGGAGATAGTATTCCTTGGTCTTGGCCTCGGAAACGAGGGAGCCCTCGGGGGCGACTCTCGGGGCCTCCCTGCTCTTCCACAGGTACATCCAGCACAGACAAGTGACGATGCTCAGCTTCTCACGCGGGTTGTTAATCTGCATAGCGTTGGCGCCGCGGATGAGCATTTCGATCGCGAAGTCGATCTTGCGCTGCTTGGCGTAGGCGAGGGCGACTGTCATCCAGTAGGTGCGGGCGGCGTGCTCCATCTCAAAGAGAGTGCAGAGCTCGGTAGGGTCGTCGGCAAGGACCTCGAGGTCAATTTCGACGGCTTCGTCATCTTGGTCCTGCACTGGGATGTCGATGGTCGAGGGTATGTCGGAGAAGCGCTTGCTCTTGGGGGTGGCATAGTGGGGGGGAGCTTGCTTGGATCCATTCGTCGTAGAGCTGTGTTTGGCACTGCCATTCGGGGTGCCGTTGACCTGGGCGCCGACGAGAGCGGAAGCCATCGTGACGGCGATCAGTTTGGTGCAGCCGATCGATGGCGATGCAGCTGGGTGATGCGACCGGTCGATACTGTTGATTCTCTCGGGTTTTCGGGCGACGTAGCGGATTGATGTGAATAAGATTCCAATTCTCAAGTAAGTCGCGGACCGCGGTCGGCGAGCTGCCAGGTCATGTCAAAGAGAAGGGAGTCGCGGCAGGGTTTATTCACCTGCACATCACCCCGGCTCGAATCTTAGTGGAGCGTTATCTGATTGGTCAGAACCTCCACTATGGATCGAGTCCAGGCTCAGTGTGGGTCCCCACCTAACCGTGGCCGCCACCTAAAAGTCCTGGTGAGAAGGTGAGGACCACCTAACCCACTGTGTTTAAGAGTCGGCCACCGAAGGCACCTTACCTCGCGGTGTATACAAAATCTCCGAGACAGCAGGCGTAGGTGTCTGAAATCAACTGCTGAGGTTCTACCAGGAGTAATTACTATACTAATACGTTTATGGAGTAATCAGTTGGAATCAAAGAGGTAGACAACTAACTTATTATAAGGTACCTAGCCCTTGCTTGACACAGTAGCCATCACTTTGACCAGCTCGCAATACGACCTTTGCAGCTTCAATGGACAACCAGGTAACACTTCTTCGACAGAGACAGCGCGGTTATTATACAGTAATAGCTTTGCTACTAGCCATCTTCACTTTTCTTTGCGTCTCGCGGTGCCTCGAGAGAAATTGACTATTACGGATTTTCTTCGTGCTGCCAGTAGTAAAGTGTGACACTGAAGGGCGGTACAAGCCTTTCTTTGGCGCTTTAAGCCACATACATATACGGAGTACGTGTGAGGACTATAGTTGCAGCTTCGTGTGCCAGGCTTGGTAGCGTACAATGAAGAGTGAAGAAGTTACCTCACCTAGTAGTAAAAGCACATTTGTGAGGGTAGTTTCACTAGGAGTCTCGATATTGTACTGCATCTGCACAAGAGCAATATTGGCAGCGCAATGTCAAGATGAGGGTAAGACCATCAGCTTGTTGCTCCGAAAGTACTTAAAGGTATGTACCATTGTACGGATACCACGGCCTACACCAGGCTTTTTCAACCCAAGATAATATATAATCCCGTTATATTGCTATATACTTCCTTTTGATCTTCCGGAGGGTTCGGTTTTACCTGCACCTGATAATCCAGACGGTGGCGGTTGTCCTCTCCCAGGGGGCGCAGATCGCGAGTGTTATCTCCGATGAGTCGAGGTGGGTGATATAGGTAATTTTTGCCCCACACCGGAATATGTAAAATTTCGCCTTTCAGCCACGCTTTCTACTATAACCCCACCAAAACTTGTCGACAAAGAGAAGATCAACGACAAGCCGACTTCAATTCTCCCTGCAGTTCCGTCGACATTTGTGGATAAGAAATCGCGCCCGACAACAGGGATTATCAAAATGGCTGCCCAAACGAAGTGAGTCTTCCGAGCGGGCGGCCTTTCCATTTAGCTGGCGAATCTGTGTGTGCGCTTGGATGTGGAGCTGACGACGTGTGTGCTTCGAAAAAATAGGCACGACTGGGCGGACGACGAGGACCTCGATGATACGACAGCGACGGTCGATCTCCCACCGCCTCAAAAGATCACCAACAAAGACGGCAGCTCGACCATCATCGAGTACCGGTACAATGACAACGGGCAAAAGGTCAAGACCACACGGCGGATCCGCTTCATCACGCATCGCGAGGTGGTGAGCCCCCGCGTGGCCGAGCGCAAGACGTGGGCCAAGTTCGGCGCGAGTGCAAAGGATGGCAACGGCCCGGCTGCCGATACCACGAGCGTCGGCGAGAACATCATCTTCAAGCCATCTGTAAACTGGCGCAAGGATGCCAAGGACGAGGTCAATGACCCCAACGCCCAGGCCATGAAGGACAAGCTCAAGGACAAGAAGGTGAAGTGCCGTATTTGCAACGGCGAGCATTTCACCGCCCGCTGCCCTTACAAGGACACCATGGCCCCGATAGGCGAGGGCGTCGACACGGCAGACGTCGCCGCCGGCATGGGCGACGAGCCTATTGCCCAGGGCCCCGGTGCGGCGGGTGCCGGCAAGAAGGGGTCTTACGTCCCGCCTGCGCTGCGTGGCGATCGCGCTGGTGCTGGTGCCGCCGGCGACCGGATGGGTGGTAAGTACGGCGAGCGGGACGACCTCGCCACACTCAGAGTTACAAACGTAAGCTAATTTTCGTCCAAATCCGCCACTCCTAAAATTATCTGTGTTTTGCAAACACCTTTTGAGGCTAACCCGAATTTCCCGCCTAAAGGTCTCCGAAATGGCCGAGGAATCGGAGCTGCGCGATATGTTCGAGCGGTTCGGCCGCGTTACTCGCGTCTTCCTGGCAAAGGACCGCGACACTGGTCTTGCGAAGGGCTTTGCGTTTATCAGCTTTGCGGACCGCGAGGACGCTGTCAAGGCATGCAACAAGATGGACGGCTGGGGCTTCAAGCACCTCATCCTGAGGGTGGAGTTTGCGAAGAAGGCGGCGTAAGATTGTGCCGGAGGATGATGGGGATGAGCTGGCTACAGTGGAGGAGCATATCATCAACGAGATGTTGCCTACTCGGACTGTGGAATCGCAAGGCGATATCGCAAAGAAGCCACCGAAAACAGTACTCGAAGTCATTCTGGCTGTTGGGTGTGGTTATGTGATGGGGCTGCACTTATTAAGCTGGCGGCGTCCATAGCAAATGCTGGGTAGTAATATGGCTACTATTCCTTCCTTACTCTTCCTGGTAGGAAAGTATATTGTGAAATAAATGACTTGTGTGGTTGCAGCAGTTTGATTTTGCTTCTCTACTGTGACAGCATACCCACCGACAAAAGAAGCCAGACACCGACCATATTAAATATATATGCAGCTCAGAAATTTAAGGGATAGGATAGATAGGCACACAGCGAGAGTGTATTTGGAGAAGATCTTCCACCAATGGTAACCCCCATCGTGAGACGCTGCCCCTGACGACTATGCTGAGCCGAAACAAAACAAAGGAAATGGGTATAAAATGGTCATAGATTTGACACGGGAAACAAGACCAAGAAAAGACAGGAGACAATGAACAAAATGAACAAGTTGTGAGAAGAGCGGAGAAAGGATAATAGGTAAGAAAAGGGTCGAGCTGTTCCCAATTATGTGGATAGGTGGGGTTGCAGTATTCCTTTTTTCTTTTTTTCTTTTTTTTCTTTGACAAATCGAGCACCATGTCAGACGGCTAAAGCAGCCTCCTTGCCCTTTGACTTCTGCTGGTGGTAATGCTCTTCATGCTCCTTGAGCCCCTCAGCTCCGTCGGCCGGGTCCGCCTCGTCGGCTGTGGCGTCGGCTGTGACAATATCATCCGGGCTGACCCGCTTTGTGAGAGCCGGTTGTCCCTCTGCCTCGCCGGCCTTGTTGCGGCGGTGGTCTCGCTTCCCCCGCAGAATATAAGGCACGTTCCTAACTACGGAGAAGGTCAGGGACACGCCGCGCCTCAGGTGGTGGCCGGCCTGGCGGAAGTGCACTCTCGCCTCGGAGAAGTTGGCGTGGGCGGTGGCTGAGCGCTTGGCGGCCTTGTACGCTCGCTCGGCTTGCTGTGCCTGTCGCAGCCTCTCGGACGCCCGTCGACGGTCGGTCTCTAGCGCTGCTTCTGTCCCGGCAGTCCCCGGTCGCCGCTGGCCGCCTAGGTCCGGGAGTGGCTTGTCCATGTTGCCGCCGCCGCCGCCACGAGTTGAGCGGGCCATCGTTGGTTCGGGCTGCAAGGAACACCCAGGCACGGTATGGGCTAGACGAGGTTCTAAGTTGAAGAGTCAGACTATGCTGCACTTTGTGATGGGCAAGAAACAAAAACAATACACATAATATAACACGAAAGAGAAACACAAACGCAAGACTAAAGACGCCATACACGCCGACTTATAGAAACAAAGAGAACCAGAGTGCAGGGACAGTGCTTTCACCCAGCTTGATAGTCCGACACTGGTAATTCCCAGATTCATGCGATGCACCCGTCCATCTCCGGCGTTGGTCGCTTAGCCTCGTCGCCGTGCTCTCTTGGCCAGCCATCCCGAGTCGGCAATCGATCATGGTGCATCCTGACTCCTAAAGCATGAAAATCCAATCAAACGCGTCGGCCGCGACTACTTGCAGGTGAAAATGGAATTGGCGTAAGCTGCTTTCATGTGGCGTTGATTGATTTAACGTGATGATGGGCACGAGGTATCTACTGCGCTGACTTCCTTCCTAAGCCGCTGTAATCCGTACGATGTATGTAATCCCGCCTCCAAGACTGCTTAGCTTGGTGGCACCCACTGGCCGAATAGGCAGGAGCTGTTGCTGCCTACGCCTGCCCTGTTTTTCACTGCGCCCGTTGCTCACAGCGCAGTTCTCTCCGGTACCTGCGTCGGCAATTTGTCCACCCAGCAGTCCGGGTTCAGGGTCCCCTCCAATTTGAAAAGATACCCTCCACCACCGCAGATCTGCAGCCCTGGGATGCCTTTGGTAGGTCATGGAATATGCGGGAAGCGTAACACAGGGTGTCTCGAACTCACCCCCAACGGTTTTCCACGGCATGCGGGTCGTCGGAAACGAATCAACCCACTCCATTGCCCCCGTGGCCGCGCCGACTGGTCAATGACGGAAACGGAGTGGATGCCCACACATTTTTTTTCTAGCATGTGAAATAGAAATATAGGAACCCTGGTCGACTTTACGACCAAGGGTGTGTGTTGCTCTCCAGGTTTCAAGTAATTTGACAGCTGACAGCGATAGCAAGTGCCACTTATTCCAACGCACCCCAGAAACAACAAGTCAGCCTTTTGACGGTTAAAACTTGAAAGTCACCAGCTAGTTCTTCAACGGCGGTTGCATCGATTTACCAAGTCTTTGTTGGATTAGAGACACGGCACGGGAGGTTAAAACTGCCCTAGCTAACTAGCACACCACCTTGGCGCTACGGCAGTCTTCCCGTTGGTTTGGATCGCAGGGTCACAAGATCAACAACCCCGGTCTCGGTCACACTTCCCCTCGCCAACCCTCTTTAAACCTCCAGGTGATGGTTTGACCTCAACCAAAGTTCAACTCTTGTTTTTTCTCCCCCCCCCCGCCTTGCTACGAGCTCAAACCCGGAATTCAACCCCGAGTGAGAATGAGTACGTCGGCAGACTTGCCCGCTGCTGGGCTGGACAGCGTTCGTCAACGTGGCCCAGCCCTGGCGACATCGGAGGAGGGGGCTGAAGCAGCGCCCAACGCCTCCCAACCCGTCGAGAAAGGGGTCAATGGCTTTGAATCGCGGGCCAAGAAGACATACGGGCGGACACCGGGCGGAACTGGTGCGGAATTCTGCCTCAATCGCTCACGATGCATCACCTGCCTTACGCGCCCTTGCTAACAGCGAAATGTCGCTATTTTTGCAGTGTTCGTTGTCCCCACAACTCACGACATGGTGTCGCAGTTGCTCGACCCCCGCGAGCCGAAGAACTTGTCCGATGTCTTGGTCCTCCTCATCCTCGCCCTCCATATATGGGCGGCCTACGCCCTCCCGGCGAATCTGAAGCGCCCCGTCTTCGCAGTCGTCTTCTTGTTCTGGAGAGCGTCCTATAACGTAGGCATTGGGTACTTGTTGACTGTTCAGTCCAAGTACAAGCTGCTGGTGACGTGGGCCCGAAGGTGGAGGCTCTTTGAGAACCCAGAGACGGGTGCAAATCCCCGTCCTTGGCTCTACAGCCTGCTCAAGGGGGAGCTTGAGGCCAAGATTCCCGAGGACTACAAATTCGAGGAAGCCCCCCTCGAGTATAATACGTGGCTCGTATTCCGTCGCGTGGTGGATCTGATTCTCATGTGTGATTTCGTATCGTACTGCCTTTTTGCCATTGTCTGCGGCCACAAGCCAGAGGGCGAAGCACTCGGAATGACCCTTTGCCGTTGGGGCGCCGGAATTACGCTGGTTGGCTTCAACCTCTGGGTCAAGCTGGACGCCCACAGGGTCGTCAAAGACTACGCGTGGTACTGGGGCGGTAAGCTGATGCTTCTCTTTCAAGCGGCTCGTTTACTTTTGACTGACAAATTCAGACTTCTTCTATCTTGTCGAGCAGGAACTCACCTTTGATGGCGTTTTCGAGATGGCGCCTCATCCCATGTATTCCATTGGCTATTCTGGTTACTATGGCATCTCTATGATGGCTGCAAGCTACGACGTGCTATTCATCTCCATCCTCGCCCATGCTGCCCAGTTTGGCTTCCTGGCTATCGTCGAAAACCCGCACATTGAGAAAACATACAACCCACCACCGCCTCGCTTGCGGGCCGAGTCGAGCTTGTCAGAGACTAGTAGCCTCTCGCAAGAATTTGTATCTGAAACGCCAGCATCTTCAATCGCTTCCAGAGATAGCCCAGTGCCGGTCCACAACCTCCTGGGTTTCAAGAACTTTGATCTCTTTCGCACAACCGACTATTCTGTCTTGCTTCTTGTGGGATATCTCTCAGTCCTGGCAGTTGTCACACCAAACACTCCCGTGTACCAAGCCATTTTTGTAGTTCACGCATTGCTGTGGCGTCTGTGGTACTCGGTCGGTCTAGGCGTCATTCTGACGATGCAGTCCAAGGAAAAGATGTTCACCCGGCACTTTCTCAAGTATGGCGAAAGTGCGGGAGAAGCGTGGCGCCAATGGAAGGGAATGTATCATTTAAGCAACACACTATGCCACGCGTCTTTCATCGCCGCGTGCTGGAAGATGTATAACTTCCCCGAGGACTGGAACTATGGCTGGGTGCTGTTGAAGCACGTCGTAGGCGCTAGCTTGATTGCTCTTCAAGTCTGGACCGCCACGAGCATTTACGAGTCCCTCGGCGAGTTTGGGTGGTTCTACGGCGACTTTTTCCTCGATAGCACCGGCAGACTAACATACACGTCCATCTACCGGTTTCTCAACAACCCCGAGCGTGTCATTGGCACCGCAGGGCTTTGGGGCGCTGCCCTCATTACCTGGAGTCGTTCCATATTTCTCATGGCCATTGTTGGTCATATCTTGACCCTCGGGTTCATCTCATATGTGGAGAAGCCGCACATGCAGAAGGTCTACGGCCGGAACCTGCGTGACGAGGCCGGGCTGACAAAGTTTATCAAACGGTCGTTGCCGCCACAAGTGAAGGAGTTGCAGATGAGCGTTGACAAAGTCCTGGATGAGACTAGACACTTTGTGGACGACTTTGTCGAGGCTGCTCGTGCAAGACTAGCGTCTGGCTCCTCGACGATTGCAAGAGACACGTCGGCCTTGTTCAATAAGTATCCCGCCCGTCTTACCCTCAGCCGGATATCTCCCGACGTCGCCGGATACGACCCCAAGCACTATTGGATAGTGCTGGAAGGCACGCCTCTTGTGGCTGCTAGTGAGAAGGCTACAGGTAAGGAGAGCGCCAGCGCGCGGGTTCCCAAAGCCGTCAAGACAAAGGTCTTTGAGTATGGTGCCCCTATCAACGTCAAGTGGACTGCGCCAGCCAACCACAGCAAAAAGGATTGGGTGGGTCTTTACATGGTGACGGACAATCGCTCGAGAGAGTCTACCGAAGTACCATCTCTCGGCCGCTGGGTGCCAACGTGCGCTGGCGAATACGACACTACGACGGACCAGGGCATCATCTCGTGGGATCAGCCGATCGCGGGCCCAAAGAGCCCCGACGGCGATTTTTTGCAGGGTGAAATGGTCTTTGAGGGAGACAAGCTGTGGTGGACGCAGGGTGTCTACGAGTTTCGCTACCACCACGGCGGCGGCCACAACGTCATGTCCATCTCGGAGCCATTCGAGGTTCGTATTGGGAAGTTTGACGACAACGACGAAGATGTGGTGAGCTACCTCCATGGTGCTGCCAGCGAGAAAGCCGTCGAGGAAGCGCTTCTACCCATCGTCCGCAACTGCCTCGATCGCGACCCAGAAATTGCCCCAAATACGACGGACGAGCCGTTTGGCTCTCACGTAGAGAGGGACAGCAAGTATGCCCGCAGAGTCGTGTATGCCATCCACCACATGTTTGGCATTGAATTTGCTCCCGCCGTCGTCCCGGCCGATGGAAACGTGAAGAAGCTGGCATGGCGTGTATGCAATGCGAAACAGGTGTTGGTGAGTGTTTTCTTCTCTTCTCGATTTCGTGCAGGGCCGGTATCATTTTGACTGACGATTCGAATCAAACTAGGCACCGTATAGTATGTCACAGTCAAGAGGCTCGACGACGCCGGTTACGGAAAAGTTCCCAGAAGCATTGTAGAAAGGGGGCGGGGAGGATGGTTGTGTGGCTGGTCTTGCGAAAAGACATTTCAGGAGACATAACGGCGAGGAGAAGGGGAACGAGGAATCGCATAAGATACCACAAGCATTACAAAATCTTTGTCTGTCTGTCTGTCTGTGAATTCCTGGAGAGAAAGGCGGTGGAGACTCACTCAAACGTATAGAGGTTAGCATCGAAAGGAAGCGTCGTTTACTCTGTTATTACTCCGTTAATGAGCGTGCAATTTTTGACGCATGACGAGCATGACGAGCATGACGAGTATCACGAGATTGTTCTTTATGTATTTCTGCGCTTCCTACATACACACCAAGTTTTAGTTGCGGGCTTTGCGACTTTGGCCGATTTTGGAAGCTTTAACCCACGTTTGTTTCCATGTTCTGATGTAGAGTAGGTAGTTGTCGTTTTATTGACGTGATGAAGGAAGTCAACATGCGCGGCAATAAAAGGAGTGAGTCATGGGAGAACCGCACCTTTTTTTGTTTTCCCAGAACACACGAAGAGCAAAATAGAGACTAGAAGGGAAGGGGATGGGGAAAATAATTAAGATATTAATTAATATCTAACTAAAACAGAAGAGATAGATAAAAAGGAACCGGAGGAAGAAAGGGAGATGAAAAAGATAAAAAAAAAGGTGAAGGTCGTGCCCGGGTTCGAACCGGGGTTACTGGAATGATTGAGAGTCGGGTGTGGCTCACGCTTTACCCCCTTGTCAAAATCCAGAGTGATAACCGCTACACTACACAACCGTTGGCATGGTGGGAAACTCCCCTAGCTTTGATCCGAAGGCCGTTAGCTTACCTTATTACGGTAGAGTGGTTTTAGCCCCCACCCTGCATATGAAAGAGGGGTGAGGGTTAGGGTTTTGTGTGTATGTATGTAAGTACGTTCAAAGGCAAGTTGCTTTCTTCACACAGCTACTGGGAGGTCTTGGGTCTTTGTTTCCGTATGTGCTATATGTACAAATCTAAGAGACTTGTCTAGGTATCTGCCTGACCTAGCTAGCCGCGAGAAACGTAATGATTAGTGACAAGATAATTCATATGAAGTGGTGGAAGACCTGTAGATCGAAGGTAGAGCATCGTATGGTATTGTATGTATTTAAATGTATCACAGTACTCATTATATATGCCAATCCCTTTTCACAAAACATTGGGGGCGCGTGCATGCAAGACATCACTTTCCCTGTTGGCAGCATCGAGACTCCCATTGCCAAATTGATTAACTAGTCTATCCCTTGTCCTGAGGTCGAAGGGAAAGTCACCACTCGCAATCCAGGATATCTCGGTAACCATCGCCAGGCCGAAAAGAGGAGCCTTGTGTAAACCTACAGGTTAAAAAATCAAAAGCCAGATAAATAAAGACAACACGCCAACATAGCAACCATATACTCCAGTGTTTCAACCGGAAAGATTGCTGTGTAGCAAATTATACAAGGCTTGACCGCCGCCATCGATGCCACTACTGTAGGTGTGTCTCGACAGATTCATCGATCTCTGCTGCGCCTGCTGCTGCTGCTGCTGCTGCGATTTCTGGTGGCCATGGGTGTGAGATGCCAGGTTGGAGTAGGCATTGGTCCCGCCAGCCGACGAGTTGTAGTTGGACGGCTGTTTGTTAACCGCCGTGAAACTGTACTAGTTCTGATGGCCGCCACCGCCGGTGTGCGACTGGTTCGAGTGCGAGTTGTAGCTCTGCGCCTGTTGCTGCGGCTGCTGCCTATGCTGCTGCGGCTGTTGCAGCGGCGGTGGTTGCGACTGCTGATTGAATCTTCTAGCCGTCGAGCTTCTCGTTTGCATCGTCGACGTTGGACGAACGCTAAATCCCTGCAGCGATTGTGGTTGCTTGGTATTGGTCGAAGACATTGTAAGATGAAGTGCCCGACGATGTGTGCGGGTTGGCGTTGTAAAAATGAGAGTTGCGAGGCTGGGAGGCCGAGTTAGCGGTCCCCCATTGCGTGGCACTAGGTGCCGTTGCAGCCGTACTCGAGTTGGCATAGGATGAGGTCACGCCTTGTGCAACGGGGTTTGACAATGCCGTCGATGAACTGGCATTGGCTGAACGCGTGTTGTAGCTGTCATAGGATGTATACGGGTTCCGAACGGCCGAGGGCGGGTTGTGCGTGTAGGGCTCATAGGCGACACGATTGTTAGCTATGTCAGCCCGGGCGCTAGGATGTTGTGTATAACCGCCGTATCCTGCAGCAGCGGTCGAATCTGCCGCCGTTGTCGAAGTATAGGCAGTGTTCTCTGAGAGAGCCTAGCTTGCCCGAGGTTGGCTGGGTCGGGCTGCCGAGACGCTCTGAACCGGGGTGCGGGTCTGGGCTCGATTGCTTTGGCGAGATTTGGCACGTGTTGGTTGACCACCGTAGGGAGGGTTGTGGGCAAGCTGGGCGGTATTTTGAGCCACAGGCTGTGACGCAGTCTGCCTGCTTAAGTTGTGGCGGGCATCACCGTACCCCTGAGAACCTGACTCCTGTACTACTGACTGCTTAACTCTAGTATCTCTCGGGGAGGTCCTCGGTCTGGGAGCGAGCGCCGGAGTCGTTGTCACGGTTGAGTTGACGGTCTGCCAGTTGCCAAGCTGAGTACCTACGGTTCCATTGTTGACAGATGTGACGTTTGCAGCAGGCCCAGATGGGAGACTGCGCCTCGACCGAGAACTACAGGTTTTCTCAATAGGTGGCGGCTCTTGCTGAACTATCATGGCGGGCTGTTCCTCATAGCCCATATGCGATGGCTCCCCAGGTGGAGGGTACGTGTAATTCTGCATTGACGTATCCTCAACTGTTGTTGATATGTATTCTATTGGAGTAGGTGGTAAGCTGAGTTAGCGAGTCTCTGTAGCTCAAGGGTAAGTCAAGCTAGTTGAGAGCTGGTACATGCCGTGGCTGTGCTGGAAGTTGACTGCGGTCGATTCGGCGGGAGGCGACACGAGCTCGGACGGCGGGAGTTCAGCAGGGTCAATGTGGAAGCCAGGCGATCCCAAGTCTTCCGGCTCGTCGTCCACGTCCATGTCTACATTTACAGCAGCTAACTCAACCGACTCAACTGCTGGCTCGGTTGCCAGCTCGACGTCCTCTTCAACAGACTTCGCGGCCCGGCTCTGTCGAGTTTTCGCAGGGGCATAATAACATGACAGCCCCTCTTCTAGGCACTGGGAGCAAGACGGCTTCTTTTTGCCGCACTGCGCACGTAATTAGGTTTATTTCAAGCTCAGGGGTTCTTGTTACGACAAACTTTTGTCTTTCTACCGCGACAGGTATCGCAAGGTCCTCGGGTCTTCTTTCTATTCTCACTTGCTGCGGCAGCCTCTGTGGCCTCGACTTCCATTTCGTTAAGCGCACTTGCGTCTGCTTGCCCCGATCTTCTCTTCCGAGACTTCTTCGATTTTGAAGGGGCTAGAAGAAAGTACTGGTTGCGCCTGGTCGCTCGCTGACGCAGAATCTGCCGGACTACCCTGCATTTGTGCGGACGGGGAGTCTTGTCCAGACGTCGTATCATCCTTATTAGGGTGGATGATGCGCAACCGCTCCGCTCCATATTTGACAAGCATGGCCAAGGACTCCTTCTGGAGTTCCGGTGACTGATTAGCGAATGTATTAAATTGCTTGGGAGACAGGGTTCGCCGGTCGAGGCTCTCATCGTTGGGAAGCTTGATCGCAACCTCCCGACGTCTCGCTGCTTCTCCCAGAGGCAGATCGAAGACCGAATGATGGTAGACATCGCTGTTGACCGACACGGCTTCCGAGTCGGAACGGGAATTCGTGTTATTGGCAGTAGCAGACCCCACAAGGCCTTCGGGGTAGGCCCCCGAGCCGCCCAGTCCGGTACCCATGTCCTGGGATTGACCGTTGTTGTAAAGTTGGTGCTCTGATAATTGCCCCACGGGCAAGGCGCTAGGCATCTCTGAAGGCATCACTGTTCCGTCTGCAGCAATAGCGGCTGCCGGGTCCTTCTTTTGCGCTGCTTTTTCGGCTGTGAGCTCTCGCCTCCCGGGACCCCATTCCCCTCAGCTCGCCGCTTTCTTCCAGATCTCAGTGTCTTGGGAGAGTTTGGATCTCTTGGCGGTTTTGGGGGCCTCGGTGCCTTTAGCCCCTTAGGTGCTCTTAGTTCCTTGGGCGGCTTAAGGGCTCTGGCTGGCCTCGGTGGCTTGGGCGGTTTTGGTTCCTTCGGTGCCTTCCTGTTCAGGACAAGAGGAGGTGCCTCAGGTGGCGGCGGCACGAGAAGCTCTATCAACTGACTGACCGTCTTATGAATCGGCGTGTGATCATATTTCACGTCGATGGACCTGGTTGACCTGACAAAGGCAATCGTCAAGGAGCCTCGGCAATCGAAAGCCGGACGGCCTTAATAACGCTATGTTAACGGATGGTGGAACAAAAAAAAAGCCGAAGAACGGGGAAGAGAGCACTCACCCAAGTTGAAGTCTCCCTCCTTATAGGTCCATTCGCCAATAACGGTTCGCGCAAGATTCTTTGAGTTCTGGCGGCTCCATGCCTGCCACGAGTCTTTGCAGATGTACGTAAAGGTCCAGCTCTGATCGTTTCTCGACACCTCGCGCACCGTCCAGTTGCTCCCATCGACCTCGCTCAGCGACGCAACGACGTGCTTTGCGACGGATTTTTGCAGCAAGTGGTCGTCGGAGGGTTGGTTTAAAAGGGTGTCGATGGCATTGATCTTGCGCGTCGGCGGGCCGTCAGCCGCGTCCGAAGCGGACGCAACGTTCGACCGGGCGCCTCCAAGCAGCGGGTCAATGTTAGCGGCGCTCTCGAGCACCTCGTTCTCGGTTTCGGTGACGGGGACATCGAAGACGGTGGTTGCCCGCAGTTTCAAGGTGACGGCGATGTGCTCGGCGCGCGTGCCTGTCACCTTCGAGCCGAGAAGATCGCGCAGCTGGGCCTGGAGGTCGGCGACGGAGCCGCACGAGTAGTTGGACTTGTCAGCTCCCAGTAATGCCTCCATCTCGTGTCGCTCTCGGTTTATTCTTGGCGGCGTTCGTCGGTCGCCGTGTTTTGATTAGCGGGACCAATATTGAAGGCACCCCAGACAGCAGCTGGATCGGGGCTAAGCGTTGGTCGCGTCAAGACAACGTTAATGCAAATCGCAGCATTCGGGATGTTGTGGTTGTGGGCGGAAACTGTAGTTCGAGGCGACAAGTGCGGCGCGCAATTGCTAACTACGTGGTGACGAATCGGTGGAGACGAAAGATGGTCACGAAACGAAACTTTCTGCCTGCCCGGTGCTTCTGGGCGCTCAGCTTTGCCTTTTCCGTAATGACAAGAGGTAATGTTACCGAAAAGCTTGTATTCCGTAAGCTTGGCAATTTGTACATGAGTGAGGGTTAGGGTATAATGAGCTGCTCTTTCCCTCTTAAGTCTTCACGTTTGATTGAGAAACAATCACGTAGCACCTTGTTTGATTCAAGGCAGGTGCGATGCCTTAGTGACTTACTACTTCAAGTTGGTACCTAAGACATCTAGGTGAGATAGCAAAGTGAGAAGTGCGTGGCCCTCGCTGTGGACTTTCGAAACCACGAAGATATCAGTCAAGGGAAATCTTGGTGACGAAAAGGAAAGAAATATCTCTCTCCTTTTTTTCTAATAAAAAAACAAGCATGAATAAAACGAACATCACCTGCCCCCTTCTTTCCTTGTTCCTTCCTTGTTCCATTCCTACTTCCTTCCCGTTCTAGACGCCATGATCATAAACCACCCTACTACTGCAGCACCATACACATACGTTATACATCCATTCAGGCAGGACAGAGACTGGGCCTGCCAAATCATAGCAAATTCTCCTCCACCCACTGTCCAAGCTTCTCAAGAAGGTCGGATTTTTTCCCCACTGCACTCAGACCCTTACTCGCCAGTATGCCTTTGAGCACCGCCACTGTCATCTTGCTGAGCGTGTCCTGCTCGTATGCCAACCGCAGCTGAGTATTGCTCAGTGAGTCTGATTCTTTCTTCACAGGCTTAGCACGCTTTGCTGGCCGGTCGCCATCGTCGTCTTCTTCTACGTCTCGCTTGAGAGCTCTGCTATGCATGAGCGACTGAGCCTTCACTGCCGCCTCTGCTTTGAGATCCGCCATGTCTTGCCCAACCCTCTTGTCGATCTGCCTATATTTCGGAATTGTGGCATCATCCAAGGTTTCCGGGACCTCCTCTTCCAGGGCCATTGCTTGGAGAATCTTGTAGTGCCATTGAAGGGATGGGTTTGGGTATTTGAGCGGGTTGTACATGGCTTTTGGCAGCTGCAGATTTTGGACAATACTTCTCATCCTATTTGTGAGCTGGTCGGCCGGTCTTGGTGTGGCGTCCAAGTCAACGGTTCTGACGTCGTCGACGAAAGGCAACGGGTAGAGCCAGAGGCCTGCCGAGAGGAACTGTGTCCCTGTGTTCTCCTCGTCCTTGCTACCCGAAGGGATTATAGCCACCATAACGGGGCTAGCGTTGCTGCGGGCCAAGAACCACGCGATTCCGATCTTGCTGTCCCTGAGCAGCTTCTGCCACAGCGCAGAAAACACACGAGTCGAGCCAACAACACGCTCTTCGCTCGGGAAAATGAAGATCGACTTCTTCATGGAGGCCCACGTTGGTAGTTGCGAGCGCGGCTTGAACCCAATGATACGAATGGTGGGCTCGCCAATCTGCTTCAGCTTTTGTGCTTCCTCCTTGTCAAAGTAAATGTACTCGCCACCAAACTTGTACGCCTTTTTGATCTCGGTCTTGTCAACACTCTTGGTGGACGCGTCCACCTTTGTCGTCTCAGACTGAGCAATCTGGGCCTGCTCTCCGTTGAGGTAGACATAGCAAGTCCGCCTAGGCTCTTGTTTGTGAAGAGGAATGTAGCCCTTGACCGACACGGTAAGACCTGGCGCGATCTCAAATGGCACCTTTGAGAAATACGCCCGCTTTGGTGTCTGCTTTGAGTTGATATTTGATATCAGCGAACTCAGGAGGGTAAGGCCGTCGCCCGATTTGGACGATGTGACCCGGCCCGATATGCCTTCTTCGGCAGTAGGATCGCGGTAAATAATGTCCTGTCACGACTTAGCATCGACTCACAGTCCATTGATTCATGCAGTCAGGCCAATCTTACATCGTAAAACTTGGACACATCAAATTTCTTTCCCTCACGGCTGATGGGGAAAAGCTCAATGACAACACCCAAATCGTAGAGATCTTTAGCTCGCACCGCGGCTGAAGACTTTGCCGTTTTGTCGTTGCCATGCGGCTGGTCATTATCGGTGATAATGAAGAGCCGCCGGGAACCGAAGTTGGGAGCGTTGGTGGTAAAGACCTGGTTGGCACAAAAGAGAACATTGGACATGTTGGCAGGCTCCTTGGACGGAACAAGGATTTCGTCGGAGCCCTGCTCGTCTTCTTCTACCAATTCCTTCAGCTTCCTAACATCATGAGCACCAGGTTCGTCGAGGTCCTTGAAGAGGTAGCAGAAGGGATAGCCAGAACTGCTGCGGGCGCTCGATTCGTCCCGGAACTTTGACTTCTTGGTGCCAAAGAGCAAGACGCCCATCATGTCCTTAGGCTGGGAAATAATACGCTGCTGCATGATCTGGTTGGCGCATTTCAGCGCTGCTGTGACAGCCGAGTCCTTGTCGGCCTTTTTACTGTCGGTCGCAGACGGCGGCTCCAACATGGAGCGGCTGATGTCGATGGCAAACAGAACCGCATCTTTTTGGGCTTTATAGTCCTGGTGGCCGTATCAGTGTATGCTGCTAAAGTCCAATTGATTCGCAAGACGATTCAAGACTAACATTCTCATCAAGTTCCTCGTCGCCGTCGTCGGCATCTGGCCGTCTCTCCTCGTAGCCTCCCCACGCCATTTCCGTGCTATGGGATGCGAAAGTTGTACTGATTATTTCGCTGGACCATTTGAGTCGGTTGTGGCTGATGAGCGATGACAACGGCCTAAGTCAAGCACAATAACGGACGTGAACCGTTGATGCGACCGACGCTTCCAATCATGAGAGCGAACGCGGTGATTCCAACAGCTTAACAAGGACGCGTCTGCCTAAACGCCAGACCATGTGACACCACTCACTACCAGGGCCATCGCACCTGCTAATGTCGCATGCCTGATTGGCTATTTTCACCCGATCCGGCCCCAAGGGGAAAGCCCTGGCCATCAGACCCTACAGCCCCTACAGCCCCCAAGGGGTAGACTTCCCCGCCATTATACCGTCACCTGCCGAGCTGCCCGGTTGATAGCTTCTGTCGCTGGACTGGAGAAAGCTGCTCCATATAGCGAAGGTGGCCTAATAAAAGCCGGCATCATCCATCCTGTCCCTCGCGCACCAGACCGACGCAGTGGCAAAAAACAGCTGAGACAAGTAGGAGCCCCTCGATAAATACTTTCCGGTGCCATAAATCGATCAATTGGCATTGCACTCGTCTTCCTTTCTCCCTACACACTGTCCAGTGCCTCGCTGAATCCGAGGCCCCGTCGTCTGAGCTCCCATCTGGTTTTAAGCTGGTGCCAATCGTTCATCATCCGAACCATGGCCTTCCGACTACCGGCGAGCCGGCTTTGCAAAGCCGTGGCAGTGCCGGCCAGCACAGTCCGACCAATGCGAACCCCAGGACTCTCGAGGCATACATCACAAAAGCAGCTACGATGGCTTGCAACGCCGACACCGCAGCATCCCGAAACGCAAAATGCTACTGGCTCTAGGGGCCCGACGGCTATGGTGTTCCTGAACATGGGCGGGCCATCTACGACTGACGAAGTGGGAGACTTTCTCAGCAGACTTTTTGTACGGGTTATTTCCTGCCCAATGTCCTCTATTGCGGCTCCTGACTGACTGGTGCATTCTGTTCTGTCTAGTCGGATGCCGATCTCATCCCCTTGGGACGGCTCCAAGGCTACATCGGGCCTCTTCTCTCGAAGCGCCGGACGCCAAAAATTCAGAAGCAGTACGCCGCTATTGGAGGAGGATCGCCAATCCGGAAGTGGTCTGAGCTTCAATGCGCGGAGATGTGCAAGCTTCTAGACAAGATATCTCCCGAGACGGCGCCACATAAACCCTATGTCGCGTTCCGGTACGCCAACCCGCTCACCGAGGACATGTATGAGAGACTATTGGCCGACGGCTTTGGCAATGGCAATGGCGGGAGAGCTGTAGCCTTCACGCAGTATCCTCAGTACTCGTGCTCCACAACGGGGAGTAGCATCAACGAGCTGTGGAAGTGGAGGCAGAGACTGGAAGGCAAGTCGGGGCCGTTGGAAGATGGCAATGATGGCGCCATTGAGTGGAGCGTGATTGACCGGTGGCCTGTCCACCCGGGTCTTGTCGAAGCATTTGCCAGAAATATTGAGGAGAAGCTGGCCGAGTACCCCGAGGAACGCAGGGACAAGGTTGTCTTGCTCTTCTCGGCGCACAGTTTGCCAATGTCTGTGGTTAACAGAGGTACGTGTATATGTCAAGCCCCTTGGTGTATGTCAGGACAACACTTCCGAGACACCAAGCTGACAATGACGGAAAATATCAGGCGACCCCTATCCTGCTGAGGTGGCCGCGACTGTCTACGCGGTGATGCAGCGGCTCAAGTTTTCCAACCAGTACCGGCTGTGCTGGCAGTCGCAGGTAGGGCCCCAGCCGTGGCTCGGCCCACAGACAGCGACGTCGGTCAAAGAATACATTGCAAAAGGGCAGAAGGACCTCGTCCTGATCCCGATAGCATTTACCTCTGACCATATCGAGACGCTCTACGAACTCGACAAGGAGATCATCAGGGAGTCGGGCCACGCCGACACAGTCAAGCGCGTCGAGAGCTTGAACGGAAACCCGATTTTTATCGAGGCGCTGGCAAACCTGGCCAAGTCTCACTTGGACAGCGGGATCACGGCCTCGTTGCAGATGGGCCTGCGGTGTCCAGGCTGTAAAAGCGATCGATGTGCAGAGTCGAAGAAGTTCTTCGCCGGGCAGCCAGCGTTGGCAGCGCCGTAAAGAGACATGCACAGCAAAGCGTGTACCTATCTATACCCGTGATGGAGGGGGTGAAGGCTGGTAACATTTGGGCGCATTTACCGATCGACAAACAATGGTGGCTTGCAGGCTGCATTTGTGGTGAGCGTCGATGCGTTTCGGAAATTCTAGTTCTGATGCCCATTGACGGAAGTGAGCTGCCGGCCGGCTGCCGCCGTATACATGTCTACAGTTGCTTGTATGGCCAGCGGATGAGGGTCTCATGACATTGCTTTCTATTCTGCTGGCTTTGCTGGCTTTGCGTTCAAGCCTAGGGCTACCTAACCTATCAACAGCACACGGGGCGATACTGGTTGTCTGGAAACGCTCTATACACGTCGTGGTGCAGTGAGCGCTGGTGTGGTACTACAAAGGTAGTAGGGCGGGGGCTTGTTGCGCGCATCGGATCTGGCAAGCTCCGAAGGCCGACAGGCTCAGAAATGCCACCCGGGAGTGCGGCATGGCGCGTCATCGATTAGGTGCCAGTTATCAAACACTTGGCTAAACTGGAAGCGCTGGCCAGTTGCCATTGGGCAAATACGATCACTCGGCCTTCTTCGCTGATAGCTACCTAACCCTGCGTAGGGATTTGGGAGAGAGCGCAAGGGGCCTGGGCAGTTTATAGCAGTGAGAGTCACTTGGTTGTATGCATGTCTCGCATGTAAAAAATATTGGGCGAGTAGAATAATGTATGTGTATGTACAATGCAACACATGTCTAGCCTGTCGGCACGTTTCGCCAGTTCGCCCAGGTACCTAGGCTGTCTCAATTCTACGTTCCTGGATGAAGAAGAAAAAAGCTGTCTCACTTGCGGCACGGGCATCCTGATACTAGCGTATTAGTCGACGTATTCCGTAAGCTTTGGCTCTTCACTGGCGTGCCGAGGGGCTATGAAGAATCCCATATCAAAGGAATTCTACAGGTATGTAATGTAATGTCACTGGCGTCAATGCATGGCTGTGGAACGGCAGCTCCTCTGGGCTTCCAGTTGGTCGGAACAGGCTGGCAGGCAGTCAAAATACGTGCAGACGCCCGCCGTCTCTGCCACGCCCCTGCGAGTCCAACGGTTCAACAAGGCAAGGCACAGACATACCTTACGTGCCGTCGGCGACACAGCGTGCCCAACAGCTGGAGACGCGCAACTGGACCAGACATGCACAGCAATGGAATCTGACCCTTCGGCGTTCGCTAGCTCGGGACATGGCTTATCTACATTGGATCAAACGGGCCAGCCAGCCCACCAGTCCGTCCACCACACCCATCCGGGCATGATGAAAGGTAGGTGGTTGAGGGATGGATGGATACGTCGGGTACCTCGCTCGGATACTTGGCAGGCCAGCTTTCTTGCTCCACAACTCCCGAGACAGGGGCACCAAAGTTACTTACCAACCATTACCCACCCACCCACGTCCCACGCGCCCCCAATACCTACATCCCGTCTTTTATCTATACCCGGCCAGATCCATGCTCTCATCGGCTGCACTCCCTGCTTGCTCTTCACTCGTTTCGTTCTGATATATACCAAGCTTGCTGATGCCAGTAACGGCCTGTTTTGTCTTTCATTCCTTTTTTCTTTTCTTATTCGGCCTTTCACATTATCGACTCGAATCGGTTTCAGGCGACTGCTTGCGTGCGCGAGCTTGTATATTTAGCTTCAAACCTTGGCCCAAAACGGCAGGTTTGACTACGTACATGCCTATCTACCTTACATTCGGTATCGGTATCCATATCTCGCGATCAGTCTGGGGAAGTTAAGGTAGCACGGAGTTAGAAGCTACCTCTTCCAACCTACCAAGGTGGGTGTCTCCATCTTTGGGACTATAACCGCCTAGCCACAAAGCACGTCACTCACTCATTGCCCACGACACTTACCTGAAGGGAAGTGCCCGCGGTTATCGGTCACTCTAGCGGGATAATCGCATCATTTCGTGTCGCAATAGTCAAAAAGGTCAATTAGGACAGCGTCGGCATTCTCTTGTTCCTATTTTTGTTTCTGCATCTTTGCCTTTTTCATCTCTTCGGGTATCCACATCCCCCTTGGCCGTCATCGGCAGCCACCTTTTTCGGGGACTTGGTATCATAACTCGGAGCAGGTTTTCAGGTGCCAACACTATCGATTGATGACGCACAGTCCATGGGGATACCAAGAGACAGACACATAGCTGCAGCAAGAACCACAACGACGGCACCATGACGGCGGGCAGCCCGCGGGACAAACCGTCCCTGTCGGCGGCGCATGTCGAGTCCATCTCGAGCGGTTCCGAGAGCGGCGGGTACCTGCGCGGCAATCACGCCGCGACTCCCAGGGACGACTCTGATGAGATCACCGCCCTGCTGGGCCCCGGCGGCCCCCGCAGAGACCAGGGCAGCCCCCGCAAGGATAGCTGGGTCGGCCTCGAAGATTTCGAGGGCTTTCCCTGGTGGAAGAAGCCATCGGTATGTCTCGCGCCTGCGTCTGCGCCCGCCCGCGCCGGCTGTCCGTCTGTCGTGCATCGTTGCTGCCGGGCTAGTGTGACACGCTGCTGCGTGGTCACCCCCAAAACGTGCTCACTCATCCCTGGCATGGCTAACACTGTACACCAATGTCACAGGTCTGGTGGCTCTTGGTGCCCTACGCGCTCTTTACTCTGGCGTTTGGAGGCTCGATTGTGCCAAAGTTGAATCTGTACGAGGAAGCTCTCCTCCTGCGCCGGGGCGTGAAGACCGCTCCCGTGCTGCCATGTTGCTGATCTTAGACTGCCTTCCAGCATCATCGACCTCATCTGCCAGCGTCACTTTGCCGACAGGTCGGCTGCTGATCCCAAATTCTCATACAAGCCCGTCATATTGGGATCCGACAACCCGCAATGCCTCCTCCCCGAGGTTCAGAGGATTGTCGCCACCTTCATGCTGATTTATAGCGTGCTCATTGGCGTCCTCAGCTCTCTCACGGCACCCAAGCTCGGTGCTCTTTCGGACCGCTATGGCCGCAAGCGCATCATGGTTATCTCGTCCTTTGGCGGCATAGTTGGCGAGGTCATCATCATCCTGACGGCAAAGTATCCCGACGTGATCCACTACAAATGGATCATCGTGGGCGCCTTCTTCGACGGCCTGGCCGGCTCCTTCACCGCTGGCAGCGTCTTGACCCACTCTTACGCCAGTGACTGCACGCCGCCCTCGAAACGCAGCGTTGCCATCGGCTACCTTCACTCGTGCCTCTACTCTGGCTTGGCTTTTGGCCCCCTTATCGCCGGCTACTTCGTCGAGTGGATGGGCTCGCTTGTGAGCATCTTCTACGTGACTTTGGGCTGCCATGTCTTTTTTATCCTCTTCACCTACTTCGCCATCCCCGAGTCGCTGTCCAAGAAGCGCCAGCACCTAGCCCGCGAAAAGTACGCTACGGAGCAGGCCAAGTTTGGGCCAGTTCCGGCCTTTGTGTCCTCCATTCAGAACTATGTTCCCTTCGGAAAGCACTTCACCGATGCCACGCGCTCTTGGCGCGCTGCAAACCCCTTTGCGCCGCTTAAAATCCTGTATCCCACTGGGCCCGGCACCAGCCAGCTGCGGCGCAACCTGCTCGCCATGGCCTTTATCGACTTCTGCATTGTGGGTGTTGCCATGAGCTCCGGGCCCGTCATCATCCTATACACCGAGTACATGTTTAACTGGGGTAACCTTGAGTCGTCGCGCTTTATCTCGCTGACCTACACAGTGCGCGTCGTGATTCTGGTTGGTGTGTTCCCCGTAATCAACTACTTGTTCCGTACACGGAAGCGTCAGGCAAAGATCCGGCGTCAGCGTATGCTTGACGAAGCGGCCGGAATCCCCGTGTCTCCAGCGTTCGAGGCCAAGAACGCGGGTGCCGACAGGCTCGACATCTGGATCCTCCGCACGGCGCTCCTGTCGGACGTGGTCGGCGTGGTCGGCTACATCTTTGTGCGTCGCAGCTACATGTTTGTGCTCTGCGCCATCGTCACAGCGTTTGGAGGGCTCGGCTCTGCTACCATCTCGGCGTCGCTTAGCAAGCAGGTCCCCGCCGACCGCGTCGGCCAGGTCCTCGGCGCCGCCGGCCTGCTCCACGCCCTCTCCCGCATCGTGGCGCCTGCCATCTTCAACGGGCTGTATGCCGCCACGGTCGAGTCGTTCCCGCAGGCCATTTTCATCCTGCTGTCAGCCATGTTTGCCTTGGCATTCTTGGCGTCCCTTTTGGTCCGGCCGCATGGTATGTTTTGCTGTTGTTTTCTTTACCTGAGACTGACTAGAACGGGAGCGTTTGCTGACGAGAAAAATCTGCAGTGTTTTTGGATGAAGATGACGAGCCCGTCGCCGGCGATGCGGGCGCTAGCCGGCCCTCGGACCGCAACGCCAGCCGGCGTGACGAGATGGAGGATGATGAGCTCCTCGGCAGTGTGTAATTGATACATGCATGTATGCTGTATTCGATTTTTCCTTTGTTCCTTTTTTTTTTTTTTTTGGTCAGGATCTCGTTTCATACCTACTTTTACATCTCTTAGACGTGTGAATATCCCTTCATGTTACTGTCTCTGGATATCATCATGGACGAGGCCCGGTTCTATAGAGTATGGATCACCATTGTTGGATGAGGGGCTCGGCGCTATGGAGTTTTGAAGCGGAGTTGAATTTGGCATCTATTTGCCTGGCAATATACTTTTTGTTCCATTTTCTCTTGTTGTATTGTGCGCATCTTGGGCTAGCAGAGGAGCATGAGCATAGCACGAGCAAGGGGCGGTTCTTGTTGTTTAGCCGGCTCTCAAAGCTGCTATGTATTTAGATCGATGGGCGGATCTCGTTAGATGTCTTAGTTTTCTGTGAATGGGTGAGTGCATGATCGGAGGTGTGATAATGACATTCTTGTTCCAGCATGTTTGATAATGGTTCACCGTGGTTTAGTGTTTGCGTGGGCGGGATTTCCCCGTGATTGCGATTGCCTTGGTACAGGTTTCGGATGAATACATTCATTCACTGTGTGGCGTGTTGTAACATTGAAAGAAGGCCAGCAAGTTGCTCGACGAATGATGGTGTGGGCGGGGATGGGTGCGGGAACTATAAAACTGGAGATGGAGAACAGTACCTGAACAAGGACCTGAACTTGGCGTAACCAAGACGCCAATTGGAGACAACAACCATCAATCAATACACACACCCACCAAGAACTAAACTGCCGGCGTTTGACTTTTGCCAGCTACCTTCATATCTTTCTTACCCGCGCAGCAGCAGCCCGCAAGGAAGGACCGACCGACCTGGGCAGGTCGGGACGTTTCTTTGTACTGTACGTACTTCGTACCCAGTGGGAAGGCATTCTCACCTATCTCTCGTGTGCGACTCTCGTTCGATTGATCGGCACAGAGGCATGCTCGTCGCGACTGCCGGGAGGACCTCGAGGCGACAAGTCGGCAACCTCTTCTTCTTCTTCTTCTCTACCGGGTCCTTGTCGGGTGGTTGTGGTTGTTATTGTTATTATTCTTATTTACGGTACCCTCCATCATCAAGACTAGCCAGCAACAAGCCCGCTAGTCGCGCCACCTCCTCGTCGTCTCGCCACCTCGAATCTAGGGGTCTCTACCACTGCCACAGCCTCGGTCGCCCGCGGCAAGGGCCGCTGCCGCTGCTTCGCCAGGCACGGACCATGACGGCTTCCACCTCGGCTGCCGGGCCGGCGCCGGGCCCGTCGTCGTCGCAACCGCCCCAGCAGCCACAGCCACAGCTGGATGGGCAGCAAGACCAGCTGCAGGCGAAAGAGCCGGAAACCATTTATTTTGGCCCGTTTGAAGTCACCAACCAAGTGAGTTTGAGTTTTTTTTCATGGCATTTCTGTCCAGCATTTTTGGCATGTTTTGTGCCACGCTTGTGATGCACTGGCACGTCTGTGTCCAAGAATAAACTGCTCTATATCTGGGCTGCATTGCACGCCTCTCCATTTCCACACTTCGGTGTCTATCTGTCTTATCTTCCTTCTCCCGCCTTTTCTCGGTCACATCTCATCAAGCCTGGCATTCATTCACGCACGTCCTCATACATACATAAACACACATGCCTCTATTCATCCGCGCCCAAGATGAGAATACAACACTGACACGTGCCCTCCCAAGGTCTTCCTCACCACAACGCATTCCTTCGCGCTGGTGAACCTCAAACCGCTGCTCCCCGGGCACGTGCTGGTGTGTCCAAAGCGGCGGCACCAGCGGCTGACGGAGCTGTCGGCGGCGGAGCTGACGGACCTGTTTGGCGCAGTGCAGCGGGTCGAGCGGATGCTGGCGCGGCATTACTTCCCCACCACCACTCCATCTTCTCTAATCCCAGCATCCCCGAGCGACGGCTCCTTCAACATCGCGCTGCAGGACGGGCCCGAGGCCGGTCAGACGGTCAGCCACGTGCACGTGCACGTGATCCCGCGGATCCGCGGGTCGACGGCCAAGGCGGCCGAGACGCCGACCGACGAGCTGTACGAGCGCATGGCCGACGAGGACGGGAACGTGGGTGGCGCCCACTGGGACCGCGAGTTCTTTCCCCCCACCGCCGCCGGCTACCGCCCCCGCCCCGGCGGCAAGTTCCCCGCTATCGAGGATTGCGACCGCAGGCCGCGGTCCATGGCTGAGATGGAGGCCGAGGCCGCCGTCTTTCGCCGCGCCCTGGCCGACATGGACGCCGAGCTGGTCACGCTACGCGGCGGCGGCAGCGGCAGTGGCCATGACGGTGTAGTGGTGGACGGTGCTGGCAAACCCCCGGCGACGACGGACGGGAGATGACGTACGTGGCTGCAAGGCTGTCGCATGTGTTCCTAATAGCCAACTGCGTCTGCTTGGGGAAAGGGAAGCCGGGGACAAGGAGGGCAGAAAATCCTGCCAGGGGCCCCTTTTCTCCAGTGTCTACATAGTTGTTGAATTATTCTGTTTCCCCGCGCGAACATGTGTACATACATAGGCAGGTGTGTGTGTCTATCCGATAGCCTCTTGTGGTTAGTACGTCCTAGCCAGGAAGTGACACAGAGGAATCGAGGACGAGACTACATCAGAGACTCGAATCTGCCGAGCCTTTGTCAACTCGTCTCGCGCCGCAAAAATGATAATTATAGCGTATTGTCTCTGTGAAATACCTGTAGAGGGCAAAAACGCGAAAGAAAAACAGAAGAAGAAAAGGGAAGATATAGAATGCTAGGAATTACCTCTGTTGACTAGGGCTAGGAGAATGAGGATACACGGTCTGTATACCTAGGATATCGAGAGACGTCGCTCAGCAGGATCCAAGAAATATAGATATATACGCAAGCTTCTGCACTCTGCATTGTCACAAGACACAAAGGGTGTATTTAAGGTGGTTCCATATTCTCTAACAAAACAAATATAGACACGAAATCCATCGCCACCAAATGCTTTGATATATCCAACTAACCAACCCCCCTTTCTCTTTTTCTTTGCCTCCAACGTTCTGCCACCGCTTGCTCGCGCCGCTACGGGCCAGAAAGAGAGAAAGAGGAATATAAATAAAATACAAGTATATATGAGTCGTTTTAATCATTTCACGTTACCCCCCTTAACACAAGGACAATAGTACCTACCTCCCACCCCGGCAGGGATTTTCTTCCACATATACCGGCCTATACAAATCACATGAGGGATGACTTTATTCCAAAAAATAAGAAAAGAACAAATCGAAGACAGAAAAAAACCCCGGCTAAGCCCGCCTGTCATTTATCCAACGCATGCAAACCAAAAATCCCGGCGATACAAACCCAAGCAAAATACAGCATGCGCTCAGGTCAGTCCAGCCCAGGAAGATGGTCTAGACTGCCCATCCCACGTAGCGAGTCGAACCCACCCGTGTCCATGTCGTTGGCGCGGAGGTTACTGAAGCCGTCGAGGCCGCGGAACATGAACATCGACGACGACGCTGGAGAGCCAGCACCGCTGCTGCCGCTGCCGGCGCCGCCATCCATCCCATTGACACTGTTGGCGGGATTCCACGCCTCAAAGTTCTGCTGCCAGTTGACGCCATCTTTGAGATACCAGTCCTGGCCGTCGATGGCGTAGACGGAGTTTGTTGAGCGGTGGCCACCGCCGCTTGTGCGGGACGGGCCACCACCAACCGTCTGGTTGTTGTTATTATTCTCAAGGATGACGGGCATGTACGACGACGGCTCGTAGCTGGGCATAGTCGCCCACGCGTTGATCCCCGAGAGAGCGTCGCTCATGGACATGGCCGCAGTGCTGACGGGGAGATGGACGCCCATCTGCTGCGCTAACTGCGGCTGCATTTGGCCTTGGCTTTGTTGCATGCCCTGCATGCCTAGCGGTGCCTCCGACAGGCCAAGGCTACTCAGCAGGTCTGGGGATATGGTTGATGGCGCGAGATCGAGGGACATTTGCGGAGGCGTCGGCTGGCTGAACGGGTTCGGAGGGCTGTGGTGCTCCTGCTTGGCAGTTGGCGACGGCGATATGGTCGGTACTGACCTGTTCGGGGAGGGCACATCTGATGTGCTGACGATCCCAAATTCCTCATCAGCCCGCTGCAAGATGACGGCAGCCTCCTCAGGCATGTGCACATTCCCTAGGTCAGGGGTTAGTATTACAGTAGCTCTGGAGGGGCCTGATCTTACTTACACTTTCGAGCCAAGACACTCAGGATGGACAGCGTTCTCCGGGCACACAGCCAGTCCTCGGCAATCTCCTCGAGATGTTTGACGCCATGGATGATGTCTCTCTTGGCTGCCTTTTCGGGCAGGTTTAGCATGTGGATGGTGCAGGCCGAGTGCACCATGTACACGGCAATGTTGCATATTTGCCGCAGGTTGTACACCTTCTTGTACAGTCGCATCAGCTTGGAGATTGCGCCGGCGTTGGCAGTGCAAATTCTGCGAGGCGAGACATGAGCTGGCAATGGAGATGCGGCTGGAGTGTATTTGAGAAACGGCCGGAAAAGATGTATGTATTGTAGGTGGTAAAACATGCTGTGATTCGTGTCAGATGGATGGCGACAGAATGGGTGACTGTGGAGGAGCTTACTGCGTCAAAATCACATTTGGCAGCTGCCCTTCTTTCGGCTCAAACTCCTTGGGTAAATCCTTCTTCCAATCCTCTAGGCGTCGGTGGAGTTCGCTGAGCTTCTTGAGCTCTACTGACTTGCCGCTCGAGCGCCTGATGTGGTTTGGGTGGTAGAAGAAGAGCAGGAGATCACTGCTGATCTCGCACAGCTTGGATAACTGCAGGCCGGCTGCTCTCGTTCTGGATGGCTGTTGGAACGACTGGTCAAACCCAGCGTCGGTGTATGGCGACCACAGCTTGGAGTCCTCGTCCGGGAACACGTCGTATTTGGGCACATTGTAAGTATTCCTGGGAAGTTGAGGCAGGCGACCGAGATAGTTGGACCAGCACTTGTCGAACAGAAAGCAGCCCCAAAACGTAATCCTGCGAGCGTCTACCTCCTGCTCGTTCAGCGAGTCCTTGTCCCTCGAGATGGCGCCCATGTCGAGGTTGAGGCCGATGTCCTGGGCCATCCGGAAGCTCATGCCGCTGTAAACCCAGCCCTTGGCCTCACGTCCGCAGCCGGCCTCACGCACCGACATGAGGGCAAGGGCCTGCACCGTGGTGAGCTTTGGCTTCTCGTACTCGTCGTGCTCAATGATCAACTTCTTGGCCTCGGCAAAGAAGTGGTCGCCCTTGCTCCGGCTATCTCCGTCTACAGCGAAAGCGCCAGCGACGCTTGTGAAGTGGCAGCCCAGGGCGAGCATGGCATTGACCAGCAGGGAGGAGCAGTACACGGTACCGCGCGGATGACCGGATGGCTTCCCGTTGAAGAAGTCGCGGTAAAACAAGCTCTTGGAAAGCGTGGTGAAATAGGGGTAGTGCCAGTTGAAGTACATGTTGATTAGGTGGATGACTAGCTGGGGATCCTTGGTAACCTCGGACCAGCTGGTGACGGGGTCCTCGTCGGGGCGATAGCTCTCGGATTCAGGCTCGTCGGGCAGGTCAACGGGGTCACCCAGGTAGATGAGATGGGAGGTGCCGCCGATGAAGCGGACCGAGCCGTTTTCGAGGCGCAGCTCGCCCATCTTGCGGGCGAGCTCCCTCTCGCCCTCGACCGAGGGGTTGGCGGCAGCGTAGTCATCGTCGTCGACGTCTTGGTCGACATCTGCTTCATCGTCGGCGGTCTCCTCCTCCTTCAGGATGGACTCGGCCACGACGTCGAGGCTGTCGCAGGTACGGATCCTCTGGACGATGGCGAGCACATCTTCCTCAGCCGCGTTCAAGATAGCCTCGATGAGGATCTGGAGAGTGGAGTTCTGGGCCTTGACGGTGTCGGCCTTCTCGCGGTAGACGCCTTTGCGGCGGTGGTCCGTGTTTGGGTCGTAGACACACTCGGTGCCGTAGACGCTGGAGCAGGCTGCGCAACTGGGGAGGGCGCCGTCGCACTTTGACTTTCTCTTGCGGCAGGCGACACAGGCTGTGCTCACACACTTGCGCTTGTTGTTGGCCGCGTCGGCACCGCCACGACGGGACTTTTTCTTGGACGGCGGTCCGGCTTCGGAGCCGGCGGGGCCCTGGCCCTGGCCCTCGTTCACGGCCCCTCTCGGCACCTGCGCCGCCGGGACATCCATGGTCGTGCAGCGCAGTGCAGTGCAGCCGAGCTGTCCGACAGAGACAGCAGTTGCAGTGGAGACGGCGCCAGTGGAGGGTCAACTCGAGGTCACGCAGGTACAAAGGATGCTGCCAGCCAGCCGAGGGCAGCTGTTGCCCACGATCGTTGGGCCCAGTGCCCGTCCGTCCAGTGTCTGACGGTGGAGAATGACGGGAGTGCAGCTTCTCCGCCAGTGCTTTGGGGATGGATTGGATGGATGGTCAGGCAGATTGGTTGTCCGTGATTGGAAAAGATCCCCTCGCAGTAGGTGCTTTGCACCTTCCACTGCACGTCAACCCTGTATCGGTTATGTACAGTACTGCAAAGTATCTGATGTATGCATGTAGGTACCTTCCACAATCAGAGTAGTTCGTAGAAGGTGCTGAGAGTCGAACGGCAACTAAATGGGAGAGCAAGGGGCAGAAAGTAAAACAAAAGGAAAGTCTGACTACTAAGAAGCTAAACCCCCACTTGCTCTCCGAACGAGCGACCGTACTGTAGCGTTTTGAGCTTCAGCGCATAAACGATCTCACGAGGTAGGTGCGTTGCGGGTAAAAGTTACTACTAGGTAGCAGTAGTAAGAAATGGCGATTATTCAGAATCTGGGTTCTCGCCCCACCTCAAAGCTAAACATGTTCCGTCCCTCCCGTCCCCGCACGACAGTCAGCACCGAGTAGTATATATATCCCGTATTGTATTCTATATCCAAGATAGCAAAAACGCTTTGCGCGGGATGACCAATGATGCGAAGACACTACGCAGGCGCAGTCAAGATAGAGAGTGGGCGGCAAGAAGCGGCGTATCGGATCTGAGTGGCTTACTACGTCGCCCAGCGGCATCGGATCGGTACAGTGCTGTAAATACAGTACATACATGAGTAGCGGGCAACTTGCTCATTAGCTCTCCTTGTGCCGCTTGAACGTTGCTGCAGGAGATGCGCGAGGCGTTGGTATACGTGGGGGTTGCACCAAGCCGTGGCTGTATGAGTTTGAAACTTACTTCCAGGCTGTTAGTCGCATGAATTATATATCTGCAAAGCTCAAACGTGGTAGTCTACGGCAAGTTGTGCCCTTCGTAGCTGACGTTGAATAACCTTTAATACATACGTTGTTCAACGGCCTGCATGTTGAGAACCAAAGCGAGGGTGACATGGTGTGTAGTCGAACAGTGAGTGCACCTCACAGACCCAGTCACATAGGTAAAACAGAAGCGTGAACAGAAATAAAAGGACAACCCCAAGGCTGAAATAGGGACAGTGAATGACATGGGCGCATGATCTATCCCACAAAACGCCTCAACAACAACAAGGCCCTACGAAATAGGATATGCCTACCTGGTTTTCTTCCGTAAACAGTAAAATAATTCTACCAGTCCAAAACGCTAACCAGGCCTGGGGGTACTTTACATGTAGCTCAAACCCTGTACTCATGACCATGTCCCGAGAACAAAGCAAAATGAGCACAATCCACCACCAGTAAAGCAAATCATAATCTGAACTAACCTATTGCTCGGTCTTGACATCGACTTTCTTGGCCGGCGGCGCCGAGCCGCCACCATCGCCCTCACGCGCCCGCTTACCATTGGTCTCTCCATTCTTGACTACCGCTCCCGAGTCGGTGGTCGACTTGATAGTGGGAGCCGTGACACTGCAAAAAAATTAGCAAAACGTATTCCGAGATGCGATACAGGGAATGTTCGAAACGTACTTGTTCGTGCTTCGATTCTCGTCCTGGGCGCGCTCATTGCGGTCCCGATTGTTGTCGCCACCCCGGCCGCCGCGTCCGCGACCTCCGCCTCGTCCTCTGCCTAAGTGGCTACGACCGCCCCGAGAGTTCTTAAAGCCGTCCTTCTGGTCGTTCTCTCGGCGCTTCTTCCAATCACTAGAGTCACCCCCCTCACCACCACGATTGCGATCACGGTTCTGGTCACCTCTGCCGCGACCCCAACCGTTGCCCCTGCCATGGCCACGTCCTCGTTCGGAACCCTTGATCTTACCCTCGTAGAAAGTCTTGAGCCGAGCAGTGCTGGGTTCCATCAGACCCTCTTTGATGAGCCTGTTCTTCTCATCAATGTAATCCCTCTTTGACTTGATCACGAGCTCATTGCCGTTGAATTTTGGGGCCGGGCTGGTGCTGATAAAGGTCTTGGCAAGATCCTCTGTGTCAAACTCGACAAACACTGATTCTTTAAACGTATCTTTGTCATCACGGCGAAGAACCACGCGCCGAATGGGTCCGAACTGGGCAAAAAAGGCTTCAACGTCGAATTGGGTCGTCTTGGTTTCCTCGCCAAAACCCTTGGCGTAGACAGTGCGCGTCAAGCGCTCCTTTTGGGCTTCGGTCGACGAAGAATAGGCCTTCTTTCGCTTGACCACCTCCTCACCTTCCTCGCCTGACACCTCCAGCGACTTGCTCTCCTTGAGGGCAGCTACCACAGCCGAGTAAGGCTGGAACCGGGCCATGCGCTTGAAACTGCAGATGGTCTTGAGGCTCATAGGCTTGTTGGCTTCGCCCCCGGTAGTCTCCCACATGAATTTATCGGTAGGCAGGTTGCTGTCGCCGAAGTAGTACTCAACCTTGGGTTTTGTCAGCGGAGGTGATGCTAGAAGTGGGTGGTGTAGTTCCTATGCGAGAGGAAGAGGGAAACGTACCTGGGCACGAATCTTGTGCGGGTCGTCAGTCACTGGCTGAGTCGACGGGTCGAATTTTCTATTCTTCTTGTAGTCCTCGCGACCGGGGCGGACATTTGCCCTGTGCTGTGTCGACTCGCCATTCTGGGTTTTCGGGGCCACACTGGCCTTCTCTTCCTCAACTTCTTCAGTCTTCACTTCGACCTTGTCCTCGGCTTTAATCTCGACGATTTCGGTCATGGAAGTGTCCTCTTTGGTTTCGACAACAGGAGGGATATTCTCTTGGGGAGGCTTGGCGTCATCGCCAACAGCGACAGAGGCAACAGTGGCCTTGTCCTGAACGACTGCGTCGCTCATAATTGATTGGTGACCGCGTTGAGTCCCGAGTTGAGTACTATGGGAGCTGGTGTCGTGTTAGAGGAGATGCGCGCGTAGTATGGGGAAAGGGGGTCCTGAATGCTTGAAGGCGCGGCGAGGAATAAAGTGAGAAGGGAGTGTGCTCCAGCCTTGAGGTGACAGAAAAATGTTGGTGGGGTAAAAGGCACGCGCGGGAGCTGGGAAAAGAGTCACCAAGGTTGGCGCCTGCGGCGAGGACTCGGAATAGATAAAAAAACTTACAAGGAATGGTATTGGTAATCCGTGGTCTTCTTGAACTTGGTAGGATCTTGTTGCTGGCACAAGGAAAATGAGGGATCAATTCGGCTCAGGAAGTCGCCAGTTCGTGGAAACTTTTTTTCTTTCTCCTTCAGCAGTCTCGACCAAGTAAAGCGATTAGTCGCAAAGCGCGAATGGGGGACCCAGAAAGCCTGGCCCCACCTGCTCCATTTGATTTTTCGTGCCTTCACCGCCCGGCTCGCCGCAAAGCCCCACATCAGCTCCAAAGCGTTAGGCTGTTCTGGGTCTAGCTCCCGCTGCAGCCTCCAGGCCGGGCCCTACTATGCCCCCAAGCCTCCAAGCAACTCACGTGAGTGTTAAGAGAACACGGCTGGTCGGTCTGAACTCAGAAATATTTTCGGTTGGTGGCCGCGCTTCGAGATTTTGAAGTTGTCGCTGCCGCTAGGTTCCTGGCCCCTGATACCCCCCGTTCCGCACCGCACCGTACCGCACCGCACCATAAACAAGCCCAGCACCGAGACAGCGGCATCAATTGGCGCCGCCACGCCGCGATGAAGTACCGCAGGGTATCGCGATATCATGGTCTGAAGCGACCAGTACGTGCACTTTCTCTCTCTCCCCTCAGCCTTCGCCTTTCTAGGACAGGAGAGCTTGGCATCGAGCGCGCACCACTAACAATCTCGTCTTTTCTCTTTCTATCTATAGCGCGTCAGACAAACATGGAACAAGTACAACTTATACAACCTCAACAATTTGCGGGAACCCAAGACTCTGTATAACACTTTCTTCCAACAGAAGTGGGGGGCCAAGGCGCTGGCGCGTGGCTACCATGGCGAGCACATCAAGGAGAAGAAATGGGAGCGCATGTTCAGCAGGCGGCTCCTATCCGTTACCGACATGGACCCAAAATACATGGCGCACTTCGACGGGAGCGAGCAGGCCGCCGGCCGTGGCTCTGGAAAGACTCAGGCACCCGGCTCCCCTCCAGCGCCGCGCAATGGCACTTCTACCAAGCACACGCCTTACATGCAAATGACGTTCGCTCCCTTAGAGCGGCGTCTTGATATCGCTATTTTCCGGGCTCTCTTTGCGAGCAGCGCCCGCCAGGCTCACTCCCTGGTTGTACACGGCGCCGTCAAGGTCAACGGAATGAAGGTAGGTTGCTGGCGCGCCTTGCTGCCAATATTTCTCATCTATAGCGGACAACTGACAGTCGACCCTTTCCAGATGAAATATCCCGGCTATCTCCTGAACCCAGGTGATCTCTTCCAAGTTGACGTTGACCGCGTCCTGGATTGCACGGGTGTGAAGAAGGCGACTGCACCAAAGAAGATCGAAGCCGCCTCAGAACCTGTCAAGGAAGAGTCGGGAAAGAAACTGAAGGAAACAAAAATAGCTGCGAAGACCCTCAAGAAAAGACGTGCCGATATTAAAAAGCTTTACTGGATCGCCAAAGGGCTTCTTGAGGGCAAGAGCCAGAGCAAGAGCGATGGCGAGACCGAGACCGAGACCAACAAGGTACTGCGCATGAAAAGGCAAATCAGAGCTCGCAAAAATGCCGTGCGCGCACTGGTCAACACGGTTAAAAAAATTAACCCCCTCACCCCGGACCAGGAGTTCCTCGACGACGAGTCGAAGGCTACGGAACTGGTGACCAATCTTTCCGAGTTGCTGCAGGAGCTCCATTTGGATTTTGTCGACCCCGAAAGGGCGAGACAGAAATTCGTAGAAACGGAAATGGCAAAGGCGAAATTGGAAGCGCAAATGCAAGCCAACAAGTCCACAATGCTTCGTAACCACCCCTCCAATGCGGCAGACATGTCGAAGGCAGAAAAGATGGCAGCCAAGAGGGAAGCCAAGAGGGAAGCCGAGAGAATTCTCTTGGGGCCAGTGAAAGAAGCCGCGGACCAGCTCCAATCGACAGACCGCGGTACTCTCAGCCAGTTGATCGTCAAGCAATTGGTGAACCCATATGACCCGAAGAAAACCTACGTCACCCCATGGCAGCCCAGGCCGTACATGTCGCCCTTCGCCTTCATCCCCCGCTACCTCGAGGTCAACCAGAACATATGTGCCGCCGTATACCTGCGCCACCCGGTCGCTCGCCAGGGCTTGGCCGAGGTGCCGACACCATTCTCGGAGGAACTCAACCAGCTGGCTCACAATTGGTACTTGCGGAGAGGCTAGTTTGCCTATTGCTGCGCGTGATGTTGCAGCAGCAGGAGGGGGGGGACGGCTTCGTGGTACGTGTAGTGTAGAATATAACTCGATATGTATTTATTTACCACCAAGTGTAGGGGGGCAGCATTGTCTTGGCCCTCTCTTCTCCATCATCAATGTATTTTATGTTTTGTACCAATATTATCCCGAATCAAAGAACATACATAGACCCTCGCCCTCAAATTTTCCCACTCATCTTTGAGATTGCAGCACCTCCAACTACCGGCCGAAAACCGTTGCGTAGGTTCGTGGCACAGTTTGTTTCGCCACGGCGGCGCAGGAACAAAACAAGCAACCCGTGCCGGGAGGTTAAATAGAAAGTTTACATACAACCCTTAAAGAGCTGACGGAACGCAAAAGCCTCACTACACTGCGCCGCGTAGTTTTTCATGTCCGCCAAAGTTCACTCACACAAAGGTGTCAAAAAGTCAAACCGATCCACAAAAAGACGATCCTTTTAATTCAGACACAGAAGGGCGCACTAAGCTAAACAATCAGACAGATAAAAAAAAGAGGGGGGGGGGGCTAGGCAGCAGTAGGTGGAAACTAGGAAAACAAAAGTCGGACAAGAGCCGGTAGAAGAAGAGGGCGAGTTAGGGCGGTGAAAGTCGAGAAGAGAGATAGGAAGCCCGAGGAAGACAAGAATGGGTTGGGTATGATGGGGAAGGGGGTTTTCCCATGGCAGAAAGAGAAAGAGACTAGAAAGAAAAGAAAAGTCCTAGAACTTGTTCTGTGCCACGGTCGGCCGTAAAATACAGGTGTGGGATGGGATATCCGGTCGTGCCGTCCCTCTCGTCCCTCGCCTCCGTCATATAAAATTCCTTCTCACGCAATGGCGTCCAAACCCAACCCCAGGAAACCTTCCGCCCTTCCAACCCCTGAGGCACCTGGCCGATGTTCTTTGGGCTTGAAAGGGCTGGTTATTCGAGCGGGAGCTGGTGAAGAAACAACACGCCCTCGACTCTCTAGTCCCACTCCTATGACTCTCTGTCATACCTCTCCGAAGCCGATGGATGGTAATTATGATCGGGTCATACTCGGGGCGCCGACGAAACGTGATTCTCAAGAAACCCTCGAAACCAATTATATCTGCGTAATGTGTTCAAGAACAGCCGACTCAACCTTCAACCACGATGGAAACACCAGTTCTCGAAAGCCTGACCCTTTTTTTGACAGCAAACAGCTTTCCAGCACCCTCTTCCGCCCAATAGGTGCGCATCGGTAGACTTTTAGGCCGCCTTCCCACACAATCTTCCCACGGCAATTAAGAGGAAGTTTTTGATTAAAAGGAGACAAATGAAAAACAAAGAATGGAAAGAAAGAGGCGGCAGGCTGGTATTGTGGGCATCATGATACTGAGACGTGTCGTGGAGGTGGTGCAGCGCACTAGGTGGGCCGCAAATTTATCGGAGAGAGAACCCCTTTCTCTTAGGCTCCTTGTCGATTGGCCGTCCGCTCTCCACCCTCGACTTCTTTTCTTCGAGCTCCAAACGCTGCCGCTCCAACTGCTCTTTCATCTCCCGGTGACGAGCATAGAGCTCCTCCTCGCTCTGCTTCAGCTTGGATTCCTTCTCAGCGACCTTCTGTTGAAAGACCATCTTCATTTCGGCTTCCATCTTGGCGAGCTTCTGCTCGTGGAGAGAGCGCTCTTCCTCTTGCTTGACAGCAGGGTTAACCTCCTTGAAAACGCTCGGGTCTTGAGAGACGCCCATAGCAATCAGCTTGTCTGTCCGATAGTTTTCGTAGAGGTTGTTGTTGGTGTGCTCCTTGAGCTCCTCCATGTGGGTGCGGATGAGCATCTGGCGTAGCTTGACGAAGTCGCAATGCTCCTCGTTGTCCACCTCGATGACACCCCAAGGATAGCGACGACCGCGAACCTTGCGTCCGTCGGCATTCGTGATCTCATTGGTCGCACCGACAACGGCGAACGGGACCTTGGACATGATCTCGTTGTTCTCCGCGATGGTCTCCTCATCATCGAGTTCATACCGGGGGCCTTCGAAAATCTGCACCTTGTGGAACTTTATATCGGCAAGAATCTAGCAGCACATTGTTAGCATCGTGGACTGATACTCTATTATAAAAGGGCAAAAGCTTACTCTCTGCTTGAAGGCATTGATCTCCTCGTCGGTTAGAGTATCCGACTTGGCGATAACCGGGATCAAGTTGACCTTGGTATGCAGCCGCTTCATGACTTCAATGTCAAGCGGCTTCAATGAGTGGCCTGTCGGCTGAATGAAGAAGACGCACGCATGGATGCGGTTGTCCACAATGTTCATACGATTGACCTTATTTTCGGCATCGAGGTAGGCATCGAAGCGCTGCTCAATGTTATCAACAATGGGCCTCCAAGACTCGTCGTTGTTCACGAAGTCGCCGAAACCGGGTGTATCAACGACGGTGAGCCGTAGACGAACTCCGGCCTCCTCGATATCGGCGCTGATGGACTGAATCGTGACTGTCTTCGGAATGATGTCGAGGCTGGGGCCCTTGCGCTCCTTGGGAGGGTAGAGCGAAGTGTTGAAGAGAGTGTTGACGAGGGTCGACTTTCCAAGACCAGATTCACCTGAGCGGAAACTTAGCACTGCACCGGCAATCAAACGGCGGGTCAGAGCGGAAACATACCAACAACCATCACGTTGAAGTTAAAGCCCTTACGAACACTCTTGCGATGCCATTGGTTGGGCAGATTGGCGAAGCCAACGTAGCCCGTCAGCTTCCTTCGGACAATGTTTCTGCTGTCATTGATAGAAGCTTGAGGAGCTGCGGCTGCATGGTCAGAAGATGTGGCTTCTTCAGAGTCTTCCGATCGAGATGACGAAGGCTTGCCCGCGTTTAGAGCGGGCGGCGCCCTAGCAGGAGGAGGAAAATTGGTAGGAATACCGTTTGCAGCTATGAGACGAATACGTTAGCATCTCCGTCGCAAAGTGGTAGGTAGCTAGTCACGGTAGAAATGCTGCTGTTAGGGCACATGGAGTCTGACTATCAAAGGGCCTCCTCAATGGAAACTTGGTGAGAGCGGTCGAGTCCACGAGTTTGGGGTAAAGCTCGTCGTAGGACAGGGGCTTGGTAATTGGTAGCTTGGGAGGATCCTCAATGTCCAACATGCTCCGGTAGTGACGAATGGAATTCTTGAAGTTCTCCTTGTTCTCGCTCGTGGGTAGGCTGCTGGTCCGGTTCCCGGGAATTGGGGGAGTTGACGCCCCGTCCCGAGAAGAGGCTCCTTCGGCGCCGTCGAGACTGATCAGACTCTTCTCAAACTGCACGCTCTTGGTACGGGCCTTGGTGGCATGGTGGACCATTGTAGCGAAGTGCATCTTGATGAATGGGAGCAGGTGGTATTCCGATGGGTAAGATGATTTGTTCCAAAAAAAAAAGTTCCCAAGAAACGGTAGATGGCAGCGAACGAATGCGGCGAATCGGTAGGCCGATTTGTGATGTTGGTATGGAGAGGAGAGGAGGCAGAATCACAGGAGGGAGAGGGCCGGTTTTGAGCGGTTCGAGGTCGAAAGAGGGGAGCGACGTTCGTTGAGCTTCCTCGGCAATGCCTCCTGCAGCTTGGTGCTCTGACACGAGCACGTCGAGCGAAAAACAAAAAGCAAGAGCTTACCCATTTCGACAGGCACCGTGGCGAGCGATCAGTCGTGACCCGGGAGAGCGAGCTTGGGGGAAGGCGCGAAGTCTAGAGAGATGGAGCAAAGGGCGATGTTAGCCAAGCTCGGATCATTCCCACAAAAGGTAACTTCAAGTGACTGTTTTCACAGCCGCGGCAGACAGAACGGGCTGACGAAGAGGCCACAGCACCGGGATCTGCTTCGTACAATGGAAACGGGGTGGAGAGCAAGAGGCAGGCAGGCAGGTCTCGCGGTAGTCGAGTAGAGAAATAGCGCCGGATCTGTGGAGGTTCATTGGGGAAGGAGAAAAAAAGACATGAGGGCACTAGCCGTCGTCGGGTCGGGAGCACATCAAACTTACATACCAGGAACGATGGCGAGCCGAGATATGGTCGCGTGTCAATGGCGCGGCGGAGCGCAGGTTTCTAAGGCAATTGGCAGGTGATTCTGAAATGTAACGCTGGATCGCGTAGCAATACGGAATGAGTGTTCAAATGTACGAAATGTGGTAGAAGGTGAGGATGCGAGATGTTGGGTTGTCGCGGTCGGTCGAGGAAAAATTTAGGTGCGACAGGGCGTTTGGGTGGGAAGATTTCCCGTCGTCTTCCCACGCTGAGCAAAAGGGGTCGTCGTGCTGGGGAATGGAACGGGACAAGTGCGTTTGGCAGCAGCAGCAGGCCTGAGGGGGGGTGTCCACAACCTACCCGACGACAGCGCAGGGGCATGCTAAGGAGCATTAATGAGCAGGGGTCGGGATCTGGAGCTTGTGATTCGCTGGGTCTGCCTGGGAGCTTTCCAATGGCTGGCAGTTCCGTCTCCAGTCCCCACGCGTGAATCTCGGCCTCTGGAAGTTGGCAGGCTGGGACTTCCTGACTGAGGTAGCGCAAATATGTGGTGACCCAGCTTTTGAATGGGCGTTCCTGGAGAGGTGGTGGACGACACCTATTCACAACGAGCGAGAGCAGCTCCAAACTTATTCAGCACTAGACGTCCCAGTCTCCCACCAAGACGCAATTGAAGAAATAACTTTTGGACATGACGCCGGGACCTAAGTTAGCCGTCGGCTCGCTCCCCACCCACTATACCTTAAGGCACGTACTCGGGCGGGCGCGCCCAAAGGGCTTTCCCACGGCCCGCAGCTACATAACGTAATTTATCATGTATGTACCTCAAGGTATGTACGTGCCCTATTTGTAGATTGTTGGCAATTAATATCTGCTTCGCAAGCTGTGGGACGTAACAAGCGGCGGCGGTATGTGGACACATCCCTGCATAAGACCTATGGACCTTGATCCTCACTAAGGCTTATATTTGTTGTCTTGATTTGACAGGACAGCAGGATTCCGTTCGCTTTGCTTGCTTCACCTCAAGTTCCGGGTACTCAACAATTGGAACCTTCCATTTATCACAAAGAATATGGAGTAGCTGCACCAGAAAATGGGGCGGCCTGGGGTTAGTTGGCCCATGCACACAAACTCCACTCTCAAGCCACTCACAAAGTCTCCATTGATCGTTTCAATGTCCGTCCGATTGCTCTCACTGATCACTGATCAAAGATCTTGGATGGAAGGCCTGGTTTAGGAAATACGTTTCAATGATTTTTGGTTGGCCTCGTCTTTGGTTTGTTTCTCGTCTCGGAATGACTATCGCTAATTTCTTCCGGAAGAGAAATAATCTTGTTGATCACCCAACCCCCTTACGTCCCACCAGTGAACCCTGAGGTGGCACGAGCCAGGAAGTCTCTTGGGATCTCGTCTTCGACATCAGACTCTGGCTCCTCGCGCTCGATGGACGATGAACGGGCCGCACCAAACATCAACAACCTGTGCAACTACTCCTGGAACTGAGTACGGTACAATTCAATCCCTAGAAGCTTGCCCTACGAGGTAGAAGGGGTCAGGAACTAGGGGTTCTTGGGATCCAAAAACGGGTCCCTCTTTCCCTCTGTTAGTGACCCACGGACCTGTGTAAAATCGACCGTTATAAAACGGTGACTTCCGTTTTCGAACATGCTGCCTCCCACCCTATGCCCCGCTGAAAGAGACCTCGCGATAAGCCAAATTGATAGCTATGTAGCCGGCTCAGTCGGAATACGGGCCCCAGCGTGCATGCTCTTTGTGGCGCACCGTCTATCGCATGAACCACAATTGCGCTTTGGCCCCTATTCGCTATTTTTTGCGGCGCACGAATCCTTCGAGCCGGCATTCAATTAGTGGCGACCGTAGTACGACTCACTGCTAGCGAACGAGACTTGCGAATGTAACGACAACAAGGAGCTGGAGGAAGCTATCGCCCTTCAACCGTAAACCAATGCATTAGTAAAGGGTAGCTGGTTCCATAGACAAGATAGAGGATAGCTGGTTCCCCTAGACGGGACAGGATATACCAGTACCCGTCAAGACGGGCCTGGTCGAGTTTAGCAACCCGGCTCCTACGAGAGGGGACTCGTTCTAGCACGGCGGGCAAATGGCGTGCGGATTTGGCCAGCACGGTACGGCAGGCGGCGGAGCGGGCTCGGTGGCTACGAAGGAGGCCGAAGAGGAGGCAGCTAGTCTTTAGGCGATTCTCTACGACCCCGGACATAGGGCCCATCGTAATACGTCACGGCAGGTTAGGGCGAGATTACTATACCGACAGAAGTTTAAGGAGGCGGAACAAGCGCTTAAAAAGAGAGGCAATCTTTCACGGCACGGTACCGTAGGCGCTATGGGCAGGCCTACGGGTGCGTGGCCATACTATAACCTACTACAGATTGCAGCTTAGCAGCTTGCAATTCTAGAATCCTTTTGGAAGGTGTGGTATAGCGGTAGTAGGTGCTGAGCCCCGCCGTCACAGTAAGGCCCTGAACAAGCTGATCTGCTAGCTACCCTCCAATGCTGGTTTGGTTGTCGGGCAGTAACGACTTTGACGTACTTCGTGATAATTGAAGAAGCAGTTGAGTTCGTAGAACCCTAGAAATAATTAATAATAAAGAACATAATAGACTCCTAGCACAACCAACGTACCTATCGACTTCATGAATAACGGCCCTCAAGCCAGGGCAAGGCAAAATGCCAGGGAAATGCAGAAGCGAAAGGCGGCCTATGCGACGATGACGTTAACTACCGTGGTAGAGGCTCAGAGTCAGTCAACAACCGGGTTATAGGCAAAAGAAAGGGAGGTCATCAACGAAGGAGGACCCGAAGTGGCGAGGACATTCGCAGATGACTTGCTCTGCGGCCTACAACGACGATTCTTCGAGCTTTTTCGTCTGAACCAGGACGAATTCGCCGTATTGGTGGATTAGTTCCGTGATAACTATGGTGCTGTCAATACGAGGTATTATTCCGTTAAGTTGAAGACTATGATAGTCTTATAGATCGCGGTATTTAACGAACCTCAACAGAATACTGCTCACTTCTTCAAAGTCGGCCAAAGTACAGTCTCTTTGACGATGAAAGAGGTATTACCCTGGTTCGTATAGTATTCGTTACCCTACCTGACGACGACTTCGTGGCTCCCGAGACCGTATTGGACCCCAAATTGCAGTATTATACCGGCGCAATAGGAGTAATAGATGGTACTCACATCCATGCACGAATACCTCTCAAGGATCAAACCCGCTGGAGGAATCGGAAAGGATGGACCTCTTAAAACGTATTCGCGGCGGTAAAATTGACGGCTCTTTCGCATACGTTATTACCGGCGCCGAAGGATCAATGAATAATTCTCGATTGTTGAACTATTACAAACCACTCGACTGTTAGGGTTGTCTGTCTGTAAGGGAGCACGGGCTCCACAGGATGCTGGGGTTGGTAATTATGAAGATAGAACAAAGGGCAAGCTCCTATCGCACGGGTAATACAGTCAAATTGGAATGCCACTCAAAGTGTATGAGTGCAGTGAATGTGTATTGCTTGCTTGAAGAACCAAGCAAGAATTATCTAAGACCGTGGGTACGTCATCGTATATATCTAACTGTGTAACCAATAACAATGGTCCCACTGGCCCGTGGTCCCGAGACCGCAAGGTCTCGGGACGCCGGGCGCGCGGGACACTGTCCCGCGTCCCCGACCTTAAGTGGTTCTAAACCTCGGGACCCAGGGACACTCATAATTAGTTCCTTCCATGGGACGCTCCTGATTAGTCCACACCAAACTGAGCGTGCCCCACTATTGCGCATTTCAACAAGGATTCGTAACACGGCTCTCCATAATTGTAAGAGAAGGCAGGTACGCCGGATCAAGGTGGTCACAATGCAGGTAAGAAGGTGGGCGAGCAACGAGTAGTATTGGTGTGAGACTTCAACCTGGCCCTCGCAAAGGAAGGTGGGCGAGGGCCACTGTTTATATACGTGCTCAGGGGCTCAGGCCCGGGGCGCCATGGCGTGGCGTAGTGGCTTGTGCCAACTGGCAGTGTTCCGGCCAGTTGGTAACAGGTGGTGAGCGCGCACCCTGTGCGCGCGGCTGGTGTTTGGGTTGTCCTTTCCTTACAATAATATAGCTGCCTATACAGAACAGGAATGAGCTTTTTTGCAACCGCTTTGTCACCGCACAGTCAACTGTTATAAGGCAAGGCTGCAATATAGTCGCTGTATTCGTAGAATCTAAAGCTAAAGAAGGAAAAAAGGAAAGAAGCTTCCAAGGCCCAGGCATGGCGCGGGGGAAGTAGGTTGTGTTGTGGGTCGCGTGGTTGTGGTGTGCACAGACCACCGCTTAAATCCAGTGTGGCCAGGTGGGGCCAGGGCGGGACCCACCAATCCAGCCAGTTGTCTGCACTTGCCCTAACACGCTTTGTTATATTGGTGATGTAAACGTTACGGCTTCATTATAAAGAACACCAAATGTTAATAGGAGCGGGGAATCGTCAGGCATCAAGGGCCCGAATTAGTGCCCAATCTAACCAAATCTAGACTTTCCGACTTACATAGTACCCTGGCCGCTACATCGACACTTCCCCACTATATTTATACAGTGGCGTTATATCTTTTACATACTTTGTGCAATCTCCAACTAGCGAAGCAGATTTCGGCAAAGCAGTCAATCAGGGCCTTACTATCCGACGTTACATAATACTGAGCGCACGGGTTCTAATAGGCGTACTTTTCTCCAACGTTATAGGAAAAGGTCATATTTTGCCGTCCTAGGTGCCAAATCTGGCTAGCCTCGACCCGCTCTTTTCGGCACCCTCAACCACGCTCCAGAAGTACCTAGAGCTCGGGCTACCCAATACCTACCTTCTCATCAAATCACTCTAGTTCACTTTCCCCTAACACCCACCACCACGAGCCGCCGAACTTCATTAACAGATCATACATAGCAGACTAAGATACCTACTTCGTACACCTTCGGGCTTTATGGAGCTGAGCTTTCGCAACTTGAGAGCGTAATGGACTGCCCGTCATCGGTCGTCTACAACAAGCAACTTGGGCGTTTGTTGCCTATAGAGGCGTAGCTACGGCGGGGCTATCTGGCATCTGCTAGGCACCCCGCCGCGGCTGGGAACATCGTATCTCCGTCAGTTACGGAAGTGCCTTTCAAAAGTTTTGCGCAATGCCAAGCCAGCCACACCCCTTTAGCTGAATGATCAGCGACCACACCACATCTGGTTTGGCCACGTAATCTTACCCCTCAACCCCGCTTCCACAGCTCAACAGTCAACACAACGATCAAGATGTCGCCAAATACAGATATTTCCATGCGTGCGCTTATAGTTACCCTCAAATCTCCTATTGTGGGCCTTTCTTCGGCCGATGTCTTTGCACAAACCGGGGTTTCCGTTAGTACCGTCAATCGAATATATGCCAGGGCTATTGAGCGTGGATTTGATCCAAATATACGGCCCTTAATTATTAAGGATGAATGGGTTGAAGATGCCCCTCGCTCTGGCCGTCCACGAAAACACACCCCCGAAAATACCGAGAAGGTTATCGCCAAGGTTCGCAAAGATCGATATGGCCGTGAGAAATCCTGTGCTGATCTGGCCGGTGAGCTCAGTACCGAGGGCCTCGACATCTCAGCTATCACAATCTGGAGGATCCTCAAATTAGCAGGATTCAACAAAACGAAGCCAACGAGGAAGCCTGGATTGACGAAGAAGATGAAGGAGGAACGACTGAAGTGGTGTCTTGATCATAAAGATTGGACTTTAGAAGATTGGAAACGTGTTATTTGGTCTGATGAAACTTCTATTGTATTACTTCATCGCCGAGGAGGATATCGTATTTGGAGGAAAGCTGATGAGCGTTTTCTTAAAAGCTGTATTCGTGAACGGTGGAAAGGATATTCGGAGTTTATGTTTTGGGGTTGCTTTTCGTACGATCAAAAGGGGCCTTGCCATTGTTGGCTTCCGGAAACAAAGGCTGAAAAGGAGCAAGCTGAGAAGGATCTTGAGGAATGGAATAAGGAGTTGGAACCAATAATGCGTGAAGAGTGGGAGTTGGATACCAAAATGGGAAGGCTCTCTTTGGTTACGAAACGAGGCAGAAAACCACAATGGCGATGGAACAAAGCGAACGGCAAACTCGTACGAGAATCCAAGGGAGGCATCGACTGGTATCGCTATCAAACCAAGATCCTTATACCAAAGCTTATCCCTTTCGCCAAAAGCTGTGGGCCGAATACGCTTGTTCAGGAGGATAAGGCTGGCGCACACGCTCATCGCGCTCAACAGCGTATATACGATATCCATCAGGTACTCCGCCTCCTCTGGCCAGGTAACTCACCTGATCTTAATATGATAGAGCCTTGTTGGTTCTGGATGAAGAGAGAAACAACCAAAAAGGGAGCCCCAAAAAGCAGGGCTGAGGCTATTCGAGCATGGGAACATTGCTGGAACGAAAAACTTACTCAGCAGCGTATTCAAGCCTGGATTGAAAGGATTGTTGAGCATATACAACAGGTAATAAAGTGCGAAGGAGGTAACGAGTATCGAGAGGGCCGGAAAAGAATAAGGAGCTAGGGGGCCAAGATGGCCAGGGTCGTATGTAATTAAAGAGGGTGGCTTTCTTGGCACTGCGCAAAACTTTTGAAAGGCACCTCCGTACAACGTCAGCGTAATAGTTTTTTCCCACTACTACCCCGGTTCTCCGTATATCTTACAATCAAAGAGAACATCGTATCTCCGTCAATTATAACGTCAATATAATAGGTTTTCTCACTCAACTCAACACCATCTAAAAAACTCGATCATCTACTAGCAAATACGCTCTTTCCGTTTTTGCTTCGAAAAAAATTTCAGCCTTCGCAAGCAATCAATAATAATAGGTACCCTACTTTCCTCACCCCACTTTCCTTACCCCACTTTCCTCACCCCACCTTCCAAGTTCCTTTCCCTCGTTCATAACTCTTTCAAGTTTCCTCCCCAACCCACCTTTCCTACGAAAACAAAAAACCACCTTCGCACTCGTCCTGATTTATAGACAATATAACGGATCTACTTTGAATCGTCACCAAGCTACCTTTCTTTGGCGACATACGTAAGCTTCTCAAGAAGTACCATCGAACCCAGGCATAGTATCAGTCAGTCTGCCGTTCCGGCCATCAGCGACGATCGCAATAAGGGGTAAGTCAGTTCTTTACTCTACTCCTACCGACCGACACTAATTAATCTCAAATAGGTTGCTACCATAGACTCGGGACATACAACTAAGGTCGCTACTAAGCCTTAGTCGATCGATCTCGCAAAGGTTTATACCGAAGACACCGCTCAGGATGTCGCTCTCGAGTGTTCTATAAAGGCCGCTCTCGATGTCAACAATAAAGTAAGTCTTAGGCCGCTTCCGCAATCGCCATCACCACTGACTTCAATCAAGGCTACCATATTTGGCTCTGATGATGATCAGCATGAGACCGGAAATTCAATTGAGGTCGCTTCTGAATCTCAGGATGCCGATATTCAGGTAAGTCACTCTTTTTCCACGATCTCTCGTCTCTAACGGTAACTGACATTCAATCAAGGGCGTAATGAACCCTGAAGTCGGTACACCTCAGGTCGCTATCCAAGTGCCGTCATCCAAACGCGCAAAATATCTCTCGACGGAATACCCATACCTCTCTCTAGATAATGAGACGCAGCACTCGGGCTTCCTCGATATGGCCAAGATTTTCGGCCCACACCCCGATCGGCTCGATTTCACATTCACCGCATCGTGGTACACGGGCCAGTACTCCACGATTTCCATCAAGATCAACGGAGCTACCACCTCCGGTCAGAGATAGGAGGTTGGTAGAATCGTGATTAAAGGATACTCGAATAAGTCTCTTAAGAGCTGTCTTCTCACTAATGAGAGCCTGGCTTCGGAGCTGGCTGTTTTCTGTGGCCCCTCTTTCGATTATGAGACAGCCCCGACACAACTCGTGAAGATCGGAATCGAGTCCGGCTTCTTTGCCATTTCCGTCAGCGACTAGGTTATATAGGAAATAATAACCCGTCACCCGGCCCTTACGACTACTCTGAAGACTATACGAGATACGATTCGGACTGGAAAAGTCAAAAACATCGGACTTACCATTCTCTCTAGGATAAATGAAGAATTCAGATATATCGAGAAGTTGGCTAAAATCCTGGAGAACGCGACGGAGCCGGACAAGAACTCTCAAGACGAGACGGCTCAATACGAGAGGCCTTATCCGTTCTAGGCTTTTTTCCCGAAGAGTCGATACGTAATATAGCTATACTATAGCAACGCTCCTGGTCCTAACTCGGAGGACTTCCCCGAGGATATAAAGACTCAAATTCTACCAGCTATTAATATTTTCGATACTGAAGAGGAGTAGTTGGTCGCGTTGTTATAGGTCAAATCTGCGACCACATAATTACGCTAGACGCGAACTATAATCTGAAGCAGGTTAAGGCAAATGCTTGGGCTATTCAGCTATAGTATTACAACAATAAAGCCTTTCTCCTTATTGTCCAGTCTTTCGACGCTGACGGCGTGTCTCAACCGCGTGAAGGCGAGCTCTGTTACGTCCAACTGCAGGGTATATGTCGCAAGAAGGCTGGGGAGCCTCGGGTCTTTACCCTTCATGACATTCAAGTCCATGTCAAATGCCTCGGTTTGGTCAGTGAAGAAGAGAGGGATCCTGTCGCGTACGATACAGAGACCTGCGGACAATACTTCAGAGCTCTAGAGCACCTTACCCCAGAGGTCGCGAATGATATTCTTCGCCAGCATGACGAGACACCTGCCCAGTACGAACTCCGCATTAGCAGTATGGTCTAGAATTGGTGCGACGCTAGTGTCCTTCGTGTCAATGGAGCTAGAGACGCCGAACCTCAACCTTTCGAGGCGTGCGATATTTGGCAAGCCGTGCGAATTTCCCTCTCCAACGCATTCATCTCCAGCGAGTACTCGGCTTACTTCGTCACGCTCCCTTTAGTTCCGAAAAGCGAAGTTTTGGAAGGCGAGACACGCCCCGTTATCAACGTTGAGTTTCCGATGTTGAAGTGGGAGGTCTCGGATGAGAACATGACCGATGAGAAATACGTCGAGGCTCGCACAGCGGCACATCTTAGTGACTCTCAGCCACTTAAGGTCAAGTTCCAGCCTCTCTTCTCAGCTAGGGCCGCGAGAGCTCTGATCAGTGCCATCAACGACCTTCACATCCCTCAGTCAGCGGATCCTCATTTCCCAATCACGGAACGTTCTAAAGCGGCCTACCTCTATCTGCAGAGCTTCCACAGTACCAACACAAGCAGTGTCTTCGAGAAGTATCCGCATATGGGCTATATTTTTGACAAGCCTAACGAGGTTCCCGCCTTCTTATCTACGCTTTAGGATAGCCTAGATGGAAAGAAACGGGAAGCTTACAAGTCCATGCACGACCTCGAGCACAATATTCACTGGATTGCCGGTGTCGCTGGGACGGGAAAGTCCAAGCTTCTCCAGTTCATTGTCCTCATGGCGTTGTTTGGAGACAAGAACAGCTTTCTCCCGCTGAAGGTCCTCTATCTCGTGAATCAGAACTCCGCTGTTAACGATTTTTCGAAAGAGTTGCAGGACGCGATGGTGAAAATGGGAAAACACAACCATATCATCCGTCTCCACGGCTATTCCAGTGAAATCGACGACTGGAAGAGCCGAATTATTGACGATAAGCGGCCCGACATTTTCGATGAGGGCAATGCCAGACGTGCTTGCATAAGTGTCGAGGACGAGTTTTTGGTCCAACATCAACTGGCCAATATCGCAGTCTCAGTAAACAATGCAGCAAAGGCGTCTAAGAAGCCAAGAATGGAAATCCTGAGCCTCAGCCAGGCTGTATGGAGGTACTATTCTGACCATGTCGATCAATACCCCGACCTCACAGCTGCTCTGACCGAAAAGCGCGATCTTGAAGAGCTCAAGGACAAGATCCAAAACTTGTACACAGATTTTCTGCAACAGTTTGGTGGAGTCGTCACCAGCACCCCGTACACCGGCTGTCTCTCTAAGTTCGTCCGCAATTTCAAGGCAGACATCTGCTTGGTCGATGAAGCCGCGAGAATCAACGATCTAGAGCTTCTCCAAATTCTGAGAAAGCATGATCCAGAGTTGACAGTTGTGGTTGGGGACCCTTGCCAAATAGGCCCGTGGAGACCGCTGAGTAACAAGGAAAACACCATCCAGCCATATGCTGAGTATGTTTCCCGTTCTACCCTCGAGCGTGCAATCAGTTACGGCGGCATTGTCAAGGCTTCTTTGACCTTGAACCATCGCGGACTTGGCGGATTGGTTCGGCTGCCCTCAAGCATCATCTACCATGATACGATGCAGGCGTATTCGCGAGGCCCCGCGTTGTGTCCAGCAGAGATCGATGCATACGCCGAGTTTCTGCGTGGAATCTGTCCAGGCCTTGACAAGAGCAGTCAGCGCATTATCGTTGAATTGCCAAACTCAGCCGCCAAGAGATTGGGAACCTCGACAATTAACATGGATCATGTTCGATACGTCTCTGACTTGGTTGTTAATGCCTCTAAGAACCCGTCTCTGAAGGGGCTGGACGGAAAGCCAAAGTTGATCATGGTCTGCTCGTTTTACCTCCAACAGGCCAAGGAGTATGAACTAGAATTGGCTCGACAAGTGCAGCTTGGAAATCTCAGCGCCGATGGACACAAAAACATTTTAGTCCGTACGGTTGACGGCTCCCAGGGTCTTTCGGCAGATCTTGTCGTCGTGGATTTCGTCCAGAACTCTCGCCCAGGTTTTACCGCTCATCGCCAGTGCCTGTGTGTGGCTTTGACTCGTGCCCGCCAATGCGAGATCATTCTAATATCTCGTGGCATTTTTTTGGGCCATACCGTGGATTCCGAAGGCCTGAAGCACCACGACGTCCGTCTTCTTGGAAAGATCTACCGAGATGTTGCTACGAAGAAGGGCATCGTCACCATCGACATCAAACCGGAGAATGTCGATGATTCCGAACAGAACGCAGACCAGAGCGCTATCTGTTACAATTGCCGTCAGAAGAGACATATGAACAGAAAGTGCCTGGAGCATATAAAGTGCGACAACTGTGATGAGATCGGACACGACAAGGCTATATGCCCTTCTCCTCTGGTCTCGCGCTGCTACAAATGCCATAGTACCGAGCACACCCGCAAGGACTGCACGATGTGTTCGAAGTGCGGTGGTGATCACGACTCCAAGACTTGTAAGGTGAACGTCAAATGCAAGAACTGTGAGGAGATGGGACATATCTCGGCGAACTGCCCGAAGCCGCGGAAGATGATCTGCAAGAATTGCGGGGAGGACGGTCACTTTTCAATTGACTGCCACAGTTGTACCACCTGCAACTCAAAGGATCACCATACCAAAAAGTGCCCGACTACCATTAGGTGCAAGCGATGCAACAACTTGGGTCACCAAAGACGATTCTGCCCGCAGAGGGTTTGCCCATTCTGCAAGGAGAATGGACATATTGAGTCAGACTGCCCGCAACGCCAGATTTCAGATGGGGTGACTTACCTTCCCAAGCGCTTGAACTTGTTGCCGATAGCCATCGTGAAGAAGCACTAGTCGGAGGCTACGGATACTGTGGACGAAAAGGGCAAGAATGCCGTCAGCAGCCTCGCTCGCCTGATTGAGGAAATGAACGATTTCGTTGACCCCGCAACCCGCTTTACTCGCAAGAATCACACTTCCACCCAGGAGGCTAAAGCTTTTAGTGGCATTGATTTTGGTTCGGGTGATGACAATGGTTCTGGTTCGGCTGGTGGTGGTCTCGCGACTGATGACGACGCTTGGGGCGAGGGCACTCAAACTCAATCTTCCGCTCAGGCCGATCAGGCTCCCGCAGGCGATTTTGAGTGGTAATTAGGCACATGGCAGTATTGTAAGATAGGTCTCAAACCTTGTGACTCGGGACCCGGGCAAGTCATTCCAAACTGCCTCGGGCCAGCCAGCCCGGACGCTGGTGGTTTTCTGCTTCAGGTACGATTTGACCCTCTTAACAGTCCACCTACCATTAAGATTCCACGTTCAATTAACACCTGACAGTTTCCTCAGTCACATATACGCGCCTCCCCCCAAATCACTGCCGCATAACATACTTTCCTGCACTATAGCAGTGGCGAATTCGGGATGTTACGAACTTTAACACCATGCCATTGCAGCAAGAAACTATGGTCACGTAAAACTCAATCTTCGGGAAAGCAAACTCGCTAATTTAGACCATGTAAATTTCCTGTTTCCCTCCAACCTGGACTATTCATCTTCTTCACTTACAACATCAACTTCGCTAGTACAGTCATTATTCTACGCCTACTTCATTAACTTCGCTAGTATAGTCATTATTCTACGCCTACTTCATCTCTTTCCCAATCTTTTACTTTCGTCGTCACCCATCATCGACGACGGCCTACATTCAAGATATTCAGGATATTCATGCTACTATTAAAGATCTCGCGAAGTCGTTCAAGGCCCTACACGAGCGGTTGGACTTCGTTTGTCAAGTTATTGAACGCATCGACAAGCGTCTTACAAATGTCGAAGAGCGTCTCACAAATGTCGAAGAGCGTCTTATAAATGTTGAAGAGCGTCTCACAAATGTCGAAGAGAATCTCAAAATAATCGGAGACACGGTGTGCCAGCATCAGATTCAACTCAAAAGCCTCGAAGAGGGTCAACGCCTGATTATCTAGCAGCTCGGCTAGCAGAGTGCTGCAATACTCTGGTAGGCTATTTGCAATTGGCTCCGTTATGACCTTGAGTATTTGCTGACTATAGATAGGTGCCTCAATATATAACGTCATTATCACAATCGATCAATTGCTACCGCACCGCTTATCCCACCTATCGATGGGAATACTTGGCGAGAATATGATAGGCTCCCCTAAACGGCAAATGATATCGCCACGATAGACTATAAGCATACCTTCATTATACTACGTCTAGGTTTCACAAGAAATCTAACTATTTCTAGATACGGTAGCTACGAGAATTCTTTCTGGCCTTGGGTAGCCGTGTGGAGGCGACGTTCTAGAGTTGCGCGATCGTATTAGAGTTTTCATAGGGCTTTTATAAGCGGAGTAATATCTCGTGCTGAGACGATTGGGGATATTGGTATTACTATGGCGGACTAGGAGCGAAAAAAGAATTTTCATAGGGGTTGAGTAATATCTCGTACTGAGACGATTGGGGATATTGGTATTACTATGACGGACTAGGAGCGAAAAAAGAAATATGGTTCATAGTACTTTTATCTAATAGCGAATAATAGACGAGGCAGATGTAGTCTAGCTCAGCTCACTCTTATACCTAACTCCCGCTTTATATCTAGGTGTCGTTCTATTTGCCTCGGGAAGAACAGCAATAAGTTTTCTCAGACACCCCACTGAACGGCTCTAGCCTATCAGCCGCCAATCACCCCGTTACGCGCCTTGCCGGACGGTAACGTTAGTAATTGGTGTTCAAGCTTCAACTCCTCACCAAGCAAAAAGCTTATAACATTTCTTTCACGTCAACCACCGACACGGTCTTACTAGCCAATATTACCAGAGCATCTTAACGCAACTAAAACCTGCTATTTCCATTCCACCAGCCTTCGCCAACACCCCCAGATTTTTCCCATCCTCCACGCTCTACCAGGGATCCTAGCGCACCCTATCCTCGCCGCACCTCCCGCTCGACTCTCAACACTTAACATCCCCGAGACTCCAATCCACCCGCGACGCGCCCTTCCCGCGCCCGCCCACCCTAGGGTATGGCCCCACCCCGTTATAGTATCCGTCTATAATAGCCATTACGGCCGAGCCACCGCCTAAGGCAACACCTACCCGCCCGTCCGCGCACTACCGCGACTCGAGGCTAAGGTCAGAGCAACTATCCCATCCTACGGAGGGAGCGAGGTCGGAGCTACCGCTAATATCGTACGACGGCGAGTCTCTGCTTCTTTAGGAGGCTGTTTCTATGGCGACGCTTAGAGAACTTCTCATTCCTTTGCCCTCCTTATCTACCGTAGTAGCGTACCCGGTACCCGTAGTCGAAGGCGTAAATACCGTAGCATATGGCCGGGCCGGTATCGTCTACCACAACCACTTATATAACCTCCATAACCGCCATATAAGACGGAAGTGCCAGGCCTTCCCAAGCGATGAAGAGCGGGTACGTATAACGGCGTGAAACCTATCGACTAAAGTTACGAAAAAAAGGCGTAAAGGTAAGCGTAAAAATTAAGTTAAGGATTAAGAGAACAGCTATGGAAATATGTCGTCTGGAATTGACCCACTTTTCATGGAATTGGACAGGCCCTGGTTGACATGCCTCTGAGCTTCCTTCATTCTTTGTTATTTCCTTCATTCTTGACTCGGCATGTCCTCATTTCATTCGGAATGCCCTCTTTCGGGCTGATTACAACGCCTCCCTTGCGCTCTCTCCCTGAGTATAAGGAAGCGTTCTTTTCTGTACTTTTAGACCTATTGAGCAGACAATTCAATGCGCTGTCAACTTCGATCGCGTGCAACAAAATAGCTAGGGCTCGCTTCCACCGCGGCGGCTTCTACCCGCCCCCAACTCACCGTCCCCGTAAAACCTCCTATAAGTTATAGAGAAAATGCGATTGGAACAGGCATAACAGCATATATATAGGGATCGCGTACGGTAGGTCGTTTATAATGAGGATAAGCAAATCGCCAGTAGTACCGTCACCCTATATATTGAACTCGTTTTCGTGGGCAGCTGAGCGAGGAAGATAAGGCAACCATTATGGCTTGCAGTAGTTCGAGCAGGACCGCCATATCAGATCTGGATATATATACTAGACTTGTCCCTCGAAAGCGAGCGTTATGGAATTGAGGTTCTTATTACTCGCTAAGACGCCAGCTTCTACCCTCAGTCCTCGGATCTCGAACTCATTTAGGCGTAGTCCCTAGCGCAGCGGATTGGGGAGAATCGCGGATCTGTCACGAATCCCTGTGGATTCCCTGTGGTTATGCACAAAGGTGGGGCATGCACTTTTGGCGCGGGCCAATCAGGAGCGTTCCAGGATTCCGAGCTCTGGAGCTCGGGGACGCGGGACAGGTCCGGTCGGGCGGTGACCCGGACGCGGGACCACGGGACAACGGAACCACTGTTATTGGTTACGTAGATAGATATATACGACGATCGTGTCCACGGTCTTAGATAGTTCTTGCTTGGTTCTTCAAGCAAGCAATACACATTCACTGCACTCATACACTTTGAGTGGCATTCCGATTTGACTGTATTACCCGTGCGATAGGAGCTTGCCCTTTGTTCTATCTTCATAATTACCAACCCCAGCATTCTGTGGAGCCCGTGCTCCCTTACAGACAGACGACCCTAACAGTCGAGTGGTTTGTAATAGGATCAATTCGAAAGACTTACGAGCTAATTAGTCCCTCAAATACCGGCGTCGAGGGGTACAGCGAGTCGTGTTACGTTACGTCACGTTACGTTACACGTCTGAGCTCGAGTGCGGAATTTTTGCCATTGGTTAGAATACGCGAAGCCAGAGCCAGAGGAAACGAAGGAGGAGGAGGAAAGGTAGAATCGTGGGGAGGGACCGAAGGCATAAAAGTATTTATCGTCAAGAGTTGACTTTGCGATCTTGCAGCTGGTACGCGGGGCACTAGGAATAAGGGACAAGTTTTGGGCCCGTACGCTGAACTGTGATTGGCGGATGCCGCGGCCAGGCGAGGTGCGGCCGACCACTCAGAAAACGGAAGCCTCGACGGGAATACATGGATTATACGCGAGAATAGCGTAAGAAATTTCCCTTAAAACGCGGCTCTCAACCACGCCTACAAACGCGGGAGTCGCCCGACCGCAAAGGTTGGCAATCGGCGAATCGGGAATGTAGACGACGTCCAGACGTAGGTCGGCCACCACCCTACGGAGCCAATCGACCTCGACCTACGCCTCCACCACCAATCCTCACAGCCGAGACAGGCCTCACACTCACCAGCCCGCATCCGCACCCGCACTCGTCCCCCGTATCGCTAGTAAAAGCCATGGCCGCGCGGCATAAAGTTCGAGTCCGTCCCGGGCTACTTCGTCGACTACGCCGCTCTCGCGGCCCAGGACCCGACGCTCAAGATCACGACCCAGCCCGGGCTCGGCCTCCTCGACGTCCGTATAAGACCAACGCCGTCGCGGCAGCGGCTGGCCGGACTAAGCCGTAGGAGCGCTTTACGACCTACGTCGACGCGCTTAACGCCCGCAACCCTACCGGCACTACCTCGTATAAAGTCCTCTACTTAACCCATTACGGCATAGGCATCTATAACGCCACCTAGGCCGACGCCAAGCTAATCCCCAAGGGCGTCGTACAGGCCGCGGACCTGGCGCGCTTCTGGGCCGCCGGCATCGCCGAGGCCGGCATCCCCCACCTCTCGACCCTCTATACTAGCCCGCTTACCCGCTACCTCGAGACGACCCGCCTCGTCTTCAGCAATATTTTCGCAGCCGCCGCCGCCGCCTCCTACACCCCGGCCGGCGCCAAGGCCGCGTCCGCATCCATATCCTCTCCCCCCTTCCGCCCTATCGTTAAAGAGCTCCTCCGCGAGCATATAACGGACCATACCTACTACCGCCGTAGCCCCCGCTTATAGACTGCCGCCAATTATTTAGACTACGTTATTAAGGACGGCTTTAAGGGAGAGGACGTCCGCTTTCTCGGCCACTATTAGGAGACGGACGCCGAGCACTTTGACCGCAAGTAGGCCGCGTTTGATAACATCTTCGCCACCAACGCCTGTCGCTTCCTCTCGCTGACCATCCATTCGTACGCCATCGCCGCCATCCTCGAGGCCGTCGGCTCGCCTGTCTTCAAGCTGCCTAAGGGGTCGTCGATGGTGGTACTGGTCAAGGCGACGAGGCTGGAGGGCTAGTTGGTCCTCACTGTCCTTGGGTCGCTTGCTCGACCGTGAAGCGAATACGCGAGCTCTCGCTAACCGGGATCAAAGTCGTACATTTGACCACTCGTGTCCTGACGATTGCGAGGTATGCACGTCGGGTCGGCTCATAATGAAGAGTGATTCGTAGAGATAGAAGGGATTATATATAGCCTATGCAATAACCACTCCCCGTTCAATTCGGTAATATATGAAGGACTCGTCCTACGCTCGATACTACTCAGACAGTCTCTCGTATATCCGTCCCGCGTCTCCTCGCTCGGCCCATCTCGCTCCATGATGGCCGCCCTCCGACGACGCACCCCAAAAAAGCACGCACGCTATCGCGATCCCCGTCCCCCGAAACGCCGGAAACGAGAGAAGAAAAAAAGAGCTTCCTTCATCTAGCTGGTAGTATGCAGGTTCATATTCGTCATTTGCTATAGTGGGCGAACGCCCGCTGCCGTCGTCCTTTTGACTACATCCCCACGCATTGCAATGTGGCAGACTGAAGTGCCAGTTGACGCATTGGCCTCCTGCAGCGTTATCCAACCAGGAGCTATGACCCAGCCTCGAGCCGTCGTTGAGGGTGGGAACGAACGGTCCAGAAGCCCCCAAGTCCAACCAGCCGTGCTTTTCATTTTCTAGGGGTTGCCACGTGATCTCCTACAAATGTTTTGATTGCAACACGACTCTAGCAATTTTTCTATACATTCTCCGTATTCCGTACAAGTACGCACCTATCGTGGAGAGTTGGCTCCAAAGCACACAGTCACAGGACGACCCAAGTTACGCATTCGATTCGCAGGAGATGAGCTCGCAGCTATGCCTGTTGGAGGCACGAATAGCTGCTACCCTTCTGCCCGTGATGGCAGGGGACAATCCCAAAGTCAAAGCCCCGGCTCAAACCTGCAGAATTGCCCGACACTTTGCAGGTCTGGTGGCCTTGTTAACAGCACGGCATGGAGCGAGTGAGACCTTGAACCATCCGAGAAATCCCGCTCCGTGGACAGCGGAGAGGGGGAGGAGTTGGAATGAGGACAAACAGCACGATTGTGCCTGCCAGTGTGTGCTGTGCTCGGTAGTGCAGTGCTGAGAGCCTGTGATGAGCCGTAGCACAATCTCTTGGACTGCCAAACACGCATGCTGTGCACACTTTCACGAAAAGGCAGAGCCCGATCCAAGGACGGCAAGATAGCGTTGCAACTGTGGAGTGTTCCGTACTATGAATGCATCTATTCGTTCGCCTGATGCCGAGCGATCTGGTTCTTGCATATACCCAATACCTACTACGCAGCCGTAGATGGTTTTTTGGTATTCAGTTTATTAGGCGAATACAGTTCCTGCAATATCCGTCCGTTCTCGGTCGTCGACGTCCATCCATTCATTCATTGATGGATGCCCACTTCCCGTCTTTTTGCGGCAATTTTTCGGCTGTACCTGACATTTCCAAGGCGGCACTAATGTGGCCAGGCTGTGACCCATGTTGATGATGTAACGACTGCGAGTCTGACAGTCCTTTATTACCACTTGCAGGTCAGGTCAGGTTTGGTTAGGTATTTACACTACGAATTGACGAACCTTTTTGCTCCGGATCGCACGTTGAGACCACAGACGTGCACGCCCGCGACGTGACAAAAATTGTTCAACTCCAACAGGAAGGGATGCCATGATTATTGCTCTGGGGACAGCTTCATTTGCAGAATGTTAGACCCTCTAACCATGCCACAGCTTGCTTGACCAATCGCTGCCATGAAGATGAAGCTGAAGCTGTCAGCCTCGGTCTCAGAGGCGACGCCGGCGAACCCTCGCCAGCTTCGTCTCACCTTCCACGCCGTGTCTTGTCGCCGATCAGTCGGCCATCTCGCTCACGCCCAGCAACAACAATTACGAGCCAGGCTACGCGGTGGCGCCTGCTTCCTGCATCTGTCACCTTCGCGCATCGCCTTCTTGCCTCGCCAAGCAAGCCGCCATGGATTCTTCTCGTCGCGCCAAGAGAAAGAGCCCGGCGGCTCCAAGTCACCGGCTTCCAAAACGATATCGGTGATAGTCATCGCCGCGTTGCTTACATATTCCCTCTACCCAACTGATGGTAATGTGCAGTCCAATCTGAAGCCTACGGCCGACGGGCGCCTGGGATCCTCCTCCTCGCCGTCGCCCGCCGACGCTGCCAGCGAAGAGACGGGCCAAGGCCCTTGGTCCAGTTTCACTAGCAGCTTCGAGGGCATCTCATTCACAAGCCAGCTCGACGCTGCGAGGCTCTCAGACAGGGTTGTCGACATGCTTCTGCCGGAATGGTCCAAAAGCATTCCCGCCTATGTCAGGAAACTCCAGCGCGAGCTGAACATGGCCCCGGGCTCGTTGGCACAGGAGATCTGGCAGGAAGCCTCGGACCCCTCCATTCATCCCGAAGTCCAGTACGCTGCAAAAGTCCGCGTGTCAGAGCATCTCTGCGACGACGAAAAGACATTTCTCGAGCGCCGTAGAAAGGTCATTGCTCCTGCCTTGGCTAGATACCTAGGCGTCCAGGAAGATAATATTCATCCTGACGATGTCCCTGTCATTGCAATGTGCGGCTCGGGTGGCGGCTTGCGTGCCCTTGTTGCTGGAACCGGCTCGCTGATGGCCTCGACCGAGGACGGTCTCCTCGACTGTGCCACATACACGTCAGGTGTGAGTGGCTCATGCTGGCTCCAGTCCATCGTTTACTCGTCCATCGCGAAAGGAGACTTGCAACGCGCTGCCGACCACCTGAAAGCGCGCCTCGGAATCCACATCGCATATCCTCCCGCCGCCTTTTCGTCCCTAATCTCTGCGCCAACGAACAAGTATCTCTTGAGCGGCATGGTAGAGAAGCTCAAAGGCGACCCAGGCGCAAACTTTGGCTTAGTCGATGTCTATGGCGTCTTGCTCGCTTCAAGACTTCTAGTCCCCAAGGGAGAGCTTGGCGTCAATGAAAAGGACTTCAAACTGTCAAACCAGCAAGAATATGTTCGATATGGCCAGAACCCGTTACCTATCTATACCGCTGTGCGCCATGAGATTCCAGAAGTCGACCCATCAGGCTCCAAAGCGCCGGGTACTGCTTCGGAAGAGGCTAAGGAGACGGCTAAAAAAGAGGGCTGGTTTCAATGGTTCGAGGTAACACCTTATGAGTTCTTCTGCGAGGAGTTCACAGCCGGGATCCCGACCTGGGCCATGGGGAGGAAATTCAAAAACGGCTTGGACCAGCCGACAGACGAGGGCCTTCGACTCCCTGAAGTCCGCATGCCCTTCCTTTTGGGCATCTGGGGCAGTGCATTCTGTGCGACGCTGAGCCACTACTATCGCGAGGTCCGGCCCTTGATTCAGAGCCTCAGTGGCTTTCAGGCCGTTGATGACCTCATTTGGGGTCGCAACAAGGATCTTAGCAAGGTTCATCCAATCGATCCCGCCAGTATTCCAAATTTTGCCTACGGAATGAAAGACGGGCTCCCGCAGACCGTCCCTCCCTCGATCTACGGCAGCGAGTACATCCAGCTCATGGACGCTGGCATGTCGAACAATCTGCCCATTTACCCACTGCTGAGGCCGGGGCGAGATGTCGAGATCATCGTGGCGTTTGATGCCTCTGCCGACATCAAGACAGACAACTGGCTCTCAGTCGTCGAGGGATATGCCCGCCAGAGGGGGATCAAAGGCTGGCCAATCGGAGCCGGATGGCCAAAGGAGTCGGAATCGCCGTCGTCCGTCGTCGACGAGCTCGACGAAGCTGCTTCGGTCTCTAGCGCAGACGCCGAGAAAAAGCTGAGCGAGGCCAAGGCGGACCAGGCGACCCGGTGTGAGGAGGGCCGGGCGCCCGGCACGAACAAGGCAGAAGAGCTAAAGCAGGCCGAGAAGACGGCCCGCGAGCTGGGCTACTGCACGGTCTGGGTAGGCACCACGCAGGAGCGTGAGTCGTCGGACCCGCCGCCGCCGCCAATCGACGACGTCAGCTCGTGGAAGCTGACCGAGCCCGACGCCGGCATCGCGCTTGTGTACCTGCCCTTCCTCGCCAACCCCAAGGCGCTCGTCACGAGCGTCGATAGCGCCGGCAACCACGCCGTCGTCGACCCCGCCGTCAGCGAATACCTCAGCACTTGGAATTTCGTGTACACGCCCGAGCAGATCGACGACGTCGTTGCCCTTGCCCGCGCCAACTACGACGAGGGTCGCGAGCAGATCCGCGCTACGGTCCGCGGCGTCTACGAGCGCAAGAAGAAGAAGCGCCTCGAGCGCGAGCGCGCCATGGCTAAGCAAGAACGCTACCGCCGCCTCATCCGCCTCGGCATGGGCCATAAGCTAGGCCACGACGACGATGACGACGACGACGACGCTTGATCAAATTGGCTACTGATTGAGATCGAGGGGTGTTTATTATGTACTTGATACAGGTTAGTGTATAGTATTGGGCTTTTGGGGCGGATGTATTTGCTGCTTGGGAGGACCTGACTTGCGACCGAAGTCTGTCTTGTGGAATTACAGGGGCCAGAGAGGGAGGGCCGGTTTAATAAATGAGTGATGGCACTGACTCTATGATACCCTGCATATTCGATAGACGCGACGAGACGGCACAAGAACAGGCAATTATTAGACTGTTGATTCTGGACTTGTTCGGTAAAGGTCGGTTAGAGATCGGTACCGGTAAATAAATACAAAATTGAAAATATGAATATATACAGCATGGCAGCAGATTATCTTCCTCAATAGATAAGAGGTTATGTTTTTTTTTTTTTTTTTTTTTTTTTAATTATACAATGATAAGTGGTACGTGTTAGTCTGGCTTTGACCTCCATCGAGAGCAGATATATCAGCGCTCGCGTCTAAATCTATCACAGCTCATGGCCTGAGGGGGAAAAATAATCCAAACTTCCCCACCCTCTTATGCATTTAAAGTTTTGCTGTGTTTGTCTTTTTGTGTTACTAAAATATACAATTCCTCCTCCCCGCCTCCCTCCCCATTTTTTTGCCTCCATTCAGGAAGAAGTCCGGCGGTGGCGTGGGGTCGGAATAAAAGGAGAGAGGGGCGATGGAAGCGACGCTTTGCTTCTGCTTCTTCTCTCACTTATGAGTACGCATAATACCCAGCGCTTTCTTTTTTTCTTTACACCCCTTGTTCGTACAACAAATAAAGAGAGCTTTGCGTGGGCCACCCTCTTTCAAGCGCTTCATTTTTCCAAATATTGGCTCGGACGACGAGAGAGCCACGCAAGGTAGCGAGCGAGGACACGGAGTAAAGACTACCCGTGGATGATCTCTCCAATGTCAATGTATGTGGGCTCCCACGCCTTAGAGCCTTCTACCAACATCTCGCTGGGCACCCGGACGTTCTCGCCAGGGCTGTAGAGGTACCAGGACTTGAGGGAGTTCATGGCAGCCTTGTAGCGGGCGTGGTCGAGGTTGCCGGCCACGGCCTCGCCCAGCTTATCCTTGCCGCTGAAGATGCCGACGACGAAGACGGGCGTGCGCGACAGGCGGCCCGTCTCGGAGAGCAGACGGGCGACGGGCGGCTCGAAGTCCTCGCGCTGGCACAGCCTGGCCAACTCCACCACGGGCGACTTGAACTCGAAGAGCGTCGACACGTCGATTGTCCGCGACAGGATGTGCGCCCGGATGAAGGCCTTGCCCGCCTCGCGGCCGCAGTGCGCATACACTGACCCAACGACGGCGCGCACTGCAGCGGCGTGTGCTCTCTCGGCAGCCGCACGGGTTTCTTCCGTGCCGTATGAAAAGGTACGCTGCGACGAAGTCGGGATCTGTGCCTTCTTTCTCGTATCATAGCCGATCTGCTCGCCGAAATCGTCATCAAAGAGGACTCTGTTGGCGATGCCGCGCCGCCACCTTCCTTGCTCGACTCGACTGTTGTCCTTGCGCCCGTAGCCGAAGCCGATGTGAGAGACGGGCTTGTACATGGAAAATTGCAGCAGGCCCGAGTCTACCTCACCACCGGGCTCCGCGGCACTCTCGACACCCCATGACCGCGCCACACTGTGCAGGGTTTCGTCTCCGGCATAGGCCTTCATGGCGGCATACATGATGGTCATGGGCAGGCGGGGGTAGCGGCACATCAGCCACTCAGCGACATGGTAGTGGGTGATGGTCTGGCCAACAAAGGCGAGATTGACGTTGTTGAACAGGGGGTTCTCGTCAGCAGAGATGTCGACAAGCGCCCTCGCGAGCGTCTGGAGCGGGAGTTTCTGCGGCAACGACAGGCGGGCGTGGAGGGCAGCTAGCTTGGCAGACGTCAAGGCCCGTTCCGGCAAGGGTGAGGGAAGTTTGGTGGCATTCGGAAGCCGCTCCAATGGTGGAAATCGTACGTGATCTGTCCCGTCGTCATAGGGCTCGTCGGCGGCGGTGGCTTCGAGCGCGGAATCGAGCGCCAGAGCCGAGGTCGACTGGTGCCGCACCGCCCGAAACGGCTGGTCAGGTCGGGAGGTCCGCATCACCGCGTGGATTTGGGAGCAGCATGATGGCGCCGCTCCTGCTGGTACTGGCCGAGCCAGCTGGATCGGCCATCTCGGGTCGATTCGTAACCTCTTCATAGCCTAGCCCACGCGTGTGCTTCTGGGGGATGGGTGGATGGATGTATGGACGGAAGCTGTCGCTGCTGCCGAACGAGGAAACCGCGCTTTCTCTCTCCCAGCAGCCAATTGGCAGGATGTTGTCAATCCCGTTGATTGGAAAAGAGGGTATTGGACGTGGTCTGCAGTCGTCGCGCTGGTCGCGTTTCTCCGAGTTCGCCGTTCAGGCCAGCGGGAAGGTTGAAAAAAGTTCTCCAAACGTTGAAGCTCAGAGCCGTGGGTCCGCGCTAGTGAAGTGGACAGGGGATCACGGAAAAGCTGGCTGACATAATAATAATAAGTACCCTCATCTATCTTTTGTTCTAGCTGGGGGCCGTGTCTTCCTGGGACCGGACCGGCCCAAAAACAGCCCCACATTCAGGGAACCCTGCTGGCGGATTAACCGTCGCCCTTTCCAAGCAGCCGATTGGCCCATCGCGCCTACGTCGATGCTCCGTAGCTGTCGACAGGTGCTTAGCTTTCCTGGAACGACGACTTGCGATAAATCGAGCTCGAGTGCGACCGTCGAGTTTTCGATCTAGGTTAGTCTACGTCCTTGCCAGCCACTGCATATCAAAATGGTGCGTGCCCCCATATCCAATTGCATCTTTACAGCGCTCAATTTACTAACAAAAATGCGCAGGGCGGCGGCCCCAAAGTTCCGTGAGTGCTTGATCTTTCCCCCCTCCCAAAACGGAGCATCATCGAGTCGAGTCGAGTCGTCAACAGGATGCTCCCCCCACACAAGCCCTAAGATCGCGTCTCTAACCGCCCAACGCTGCAGTTATCCCAAGCATGTCTGGTCGCCGGCTGGCGGCTGGTACGCTCAGCCTTCCAACTGGAAGGCCAACACGGCTGTCATGGGCCTCGCCGTCCTCGGTATCACAGCTCTTGTATGGAAAGTGAGCGCCGAGCGCGAGTTTCGCCATACGATGCCCGAACCGGGGCGCTTTTATCCGAGCAGATAGTACGTCTTTCTCTGTGCACCGAATCTGTCGTTCCCAGCAACTGACCAGCTTCTTTCCGGTTCTGCGCAGTTGGAGCAAGCAGATAATCGAGCACGAGCGGGCGCAAAAGGAAAAGTCCCAGGACTCGTCATGATATCGTCTCTAGGCGGCGCCCGTTGCCGGGCTCCGAGCAGAGTCCTCGAAACACACTATACATAGGCTCTCTGTCGGGTCGGGGAAACTGGGTCGTTGTAGGTTGGGAGAGACAGCATCGCGTAGCAACAGATGGTAGCAAGTTCTGAACCATCTTATTCTTGCTTCACTCGGCTTTTGTCTATTTGGTGTCTTAGTATCTTGGATTTCTGGGTTCTCTCTTTGCCCCCGACACAATGGGCTTACCCTGGTAGGCAGAATCATCATTTTTGGGCCGAGAGACAAGGCAGTTGACTGCTGCCGGGGCAGTCAACTCCCAGCAGTTAGTCAAGTCAACTGTCATTGTGTCTATTTACAGAGAATATGTGTCACCCTGCCATCTCACTTTACCCTCACTTCACTCCCACTTCACTTTCACCTTACTTTTAAATCGGGTGACTCCCCAAAAACACGAGACCACAACACACAGCCTGTAGTCAGTCACCTTCTCTTCACACACCCACTCTCCTGCACTTCTCTCGCACCCGGTCTTCTTCTCGCATCCTCGGGTTTCCACACTTCTCCTACACACAATGTACCCAGTTCTTTCCTCTCTTCACACCTCAACTCTCGTTTCTTCCCCGGTGCCCCTCCTCACAACCCTCATTTCAAGCACCAGCACCGATATTCAGAACTTGTAAGCAGTCTTTTTAAATTGTACTCACCTATCGTCCTCAGTCGTCTTACCTAGTCGTATTCCGTCTTTCACATATGGACCGTCCAGATGAGATCCCCGCCGATGGCGAAAGCCAGGCCGGCAGCCTCCCGGCCTCCCCGGCCCCACCCCCAGTCGCCGTCAACCCTTTCGGCGCCCCCCTCGCCGCCGCCAACCCCTTCGGGGCCCCCCTCTCGCCGCCCCCCCTTTCGGGGCCCCCTCTTTTGCCGCCCACTCCTTCGGCATCAACTCCTTCGCCGCCAACCCACCGGCCGCCAACCCATTTGCCGCCAACCCATTTGCCGCCAACCCATTTGCCGCCAACCCCCTGGCCGCCGGGTTCCCCGGCGCCGGGAGCCAGGAGGAAGACGCAGAGGGCGAGGCGTCAGATGTGGACATGGCAGAGCACGAGGAAGACGACGGTGACGACGAGGTCGAGAGGGAGAAACTGGCGCTCATGCTCCCAACGGGCAGCAGCAACTTCGCCCCAAAGCCGCTCATGACCTTTATGGTCTACAAACCGGAGATGCAGTGCGAGATCTGCTGGACGACGGGGCTTGAGCTTCCCGAGGATCCCAGCCTCGGTGGCGAGAGTGACCCAGAGGTCGACAACGCGACGCCCGAGCTGCTGCCCTGCGGGCACGTGTTCTGCCACGAGTGCATCACCAGGTGGTACGAGGGCAAGAACTACTTCTGCCCAAGCTGCAAGGCGGAGCTGGTCTACGGCTGCGACCGCGACCACTCCATCCCGCCCATCCCCCTCGCGCAGTCAACCATCGGCGGGATTCCCAAGACTCTGCCAGAGGGCGGGGAGATTCCCGCCCGCTGCACCGACTGCGAAGAGAGCGTCATCAAAGACCGCCAGGCCGTCATCCTCAGAGAGCTCAGGGGCCGGATCGCAGAGTTGCAGCATCAGTTCAGAGAAGGCGACGAAGACGCCGAGAGGCAGCTTGCCGACTTCTACCGGCACCAGGAAGTCCTCCGCGAGGACCAGCAAGAGCTCAACTTTCGCAAATTCACCTATTCGTCCTGGTAGTTTAGCGGAACGAGACCGCACGGCGCAAAATGTCTCGCTGCATTACAAGGGTCTTTGCGGCAGACTCATACATATAACCTGGCACCTAGCACCGACCCATCCTCGTTTGTCTTACCTCTAGACGTTTGTCTCTGATCTTGATGTGGCTAACCGTTCCGGAAAGTAGTTTCTAACCTTTATTTTCCCCGCCTCGTTCCGCACAAAGTCTTTGTAGCAAAGACCCCGTACAATCCTAGTTCTCCCCTCGCCAGCCCTATCCTTGTATGCATATCGCTATGCGCTCTCTGTCTTTGAACGATTTGATTGTTGCTAACCGTCTAGAAATCCAGCTCTTTAACTTGCCACATCTCGTCGCGCACATGGTCTTTCCTTGCGGGAGGCTCGAACAACCTGGTATCATGGGCATTCCTCGCCGAGTATGCATATCACTATGCGTTGGCTGTCTTTAATGCTTGCTTGTTGCTAACCGTCTGCAAAACCAACTCTTTAACTTTTCACGTCTCGTCGCGCACATGGTCGTTCTTTGCGAGAGGCATAAGCAAACCTGGTTCCCTGGCTGTCCTCTTCACGTATGCATTTCGCTATACAACCTCTCTCTAATATGGCTCGTGGCTAACTGTCCGGAAACTCAGTCCTGAACTTGCACATTTACTTGTGCAGCGGTCGTTGCGTGAGGCTCGGACAACCTGGCACTATCGGCAGTCCTCTTCGCGTATGCATGTCACTATACAACCTCTCTTTGATATTGCTCGTGGCCAACTGTCTAGAAACTCAGCCCTGAATCTTGCACATTTACTTGTGCAACTTTCACCGCGGGAGGCTCAAGCAAACCCGGTTTCCTGTCACAGCTCTCTTCACGTACGCATACCGTTACATATACAATATCTCTGTGTTTACACTAGCTAATCTTGCAAAAAGTCAACAGGTCTGACTTTTTACGTTTCGTCGCGCGGATAGTCTTCACGACCGAGTCACAGAACCTGATCACATCAGCATACCCTATCACTTATGACTATCGTTCATTCCACGCCGTTTCTCTTTGCATGTTCTTTATAGCTGACCTCGCAAGACTAGGAATCTGACTTCACTGGACTGAACGCACATCACACTGCCCCTCGCGGCTAGATTTAACCGTGTCCGCGTATTTTCATCAGAAATACAATTCGTAAGCCAGTCGTCTTGTTTTCAGAGTCTCGGATCTTCTAGGTACGCCCAAACGCGGGGCGAAGTACAAGATATTCTGACTTTTCTTTGTTTTGAAACTTGAAGGCTGTCGAGAAGAATGCATGGGATGGATGGATCATCAGAAAGGAGGGGAGAGAGAGGGGCTTCGATACTTGTTTATATTTTTGTTTTGTTTGATTACAACATTTGGCCTACGGAGGTCACAGTCTCGCAAAAGACAAAATCAAAAGGATGCCTTTCCGGCATCCGGTTCTTCTTCACTGCTACCTACCTTACCTACGTACATAGGAATCTACAAACCTCGAGGCTACAGATGAATGGAGCCTAAGGGACAACCGGGCTCACAATCCGATGGATTTTAATAGTACAGAAATAAGACGAGAGAAAAGGGAAGATGAGTTATAGTCAACGTGGATATCATTATTTCCCTTTTAGCTCAAGAAAAAAGAAAAAGTTTGTTACAAAAAGTAGTCGGCCACCGGTTTTTTAGCCGGCATGCCCCTTGAATCCTGCGGCGCCGCCTGGAAGACGCGGTAGCGCCTTGCCGGGCCTGGCTTCAGGCTGGCGAGGTCGTTCTCCATAAGCACGCCGCGCGGGCCGCTCCCAGGCACGCCGCTGCCGCCGCCGATCAGGCCGCCGTCGCTGCGGTTTACGTCGCCGTTGCTGCGGGCAAAGATTCCCAGGCCGCCCTCGTCCTCGGACAGCTCAAGCAGGGCCGCCACGTTGCCGCAGCGGTAGCAGTAGTTGGGCGCTGACCACACCGTCACGATGCTCGTGTCAAACATTTCCTTAAAACCCTCCATGACGAGCTGGTGGGCGCGCGCGATCAGGCTGAGGTCGTTCTTGTAATTGAACACCTTGACTATATCGGCGCCGAACAAGAAGCCCGCCCCGCGCGGCGATAGGCCCCAGCCGTCGATCTCGTCCGGGTCGGACCATAAGAGGTCGCACATGGCGCCTTCGTGCGGCACCTCTTGCTTGCGATCGAGCAGCCGAATCTTGTCCACCATGTCTATCAGCGGACTCAGCCCGCCGTGCACGCACAACACGGCGCCTGCAGGGTTGCCTATCGACCCGCCGCTCGAGCCCGACGCCCCAGAACCAGGAGGGCCCGTGTTTGTGGGCAATCCTACCGCGCCGCCCGCGCCGCCCGCGCCGCCTGTCGCGGCCCCCCCGCCTGCCGTCCCCGACGGTCCGACGCCGTTACTAGTCGGGCCGTTCGGACTCCTCCCCCTGGGCGGCTGTCTGTTGATGCTGTTGCCGGCACCCCGTGGCTGGCGCGGGAACTGCGACATGATCTGCCCGTCGGCGTTGCAGACCTCGATCTCGATGTCCTCCTCGCTCCCCTGCGCCTCACCGTCGCCGCTGGGCGAGAGCGTGTTAGACGCGCCCAACACGATGGCACCCAGCGCGAGGTAGTCGAACACGTCGCAGCAGTAGCGCCAAACGTTGGCGCTGCCGTACTTGCGGAGGCACTCGTCGTAGAACCCGTACACGGTCGTGATCTGTCGAGACTCGTGGTTGCCCCGGATGAGCGTCATCCGGTCTGGGTACCGCACCTTGAGGCAGAGGAGGAGTAGGAAGGACTCGAGCGAGTAGAACCCGCGGTCGACAAAGTCGCCTATCCAGGCAGCACGTTAGATGGTCGGCCACGATATGGTAGCGCAAGGGCAATTTTGGTTTTGGGCTGTACGCACCCATGAAGAGATAGTTTGTGTCGGGGACGTCGCCACCCACACGAAACAGTTCCATGAGGTCGTGGAACTGCCCATGGATATCTCCGCATATCTATCGAGAGGCGCGCGCGCGCAGTTTTAGGACAATGTAATTTGTATCGTGGCAGGCCCGCGATCGAGTCTTCTAGCAACATACCGTGACAGGCGCAGTGACTGTGACGACATTCCCCTCCTCAATCAGCAGCTCCCTGGCCTTGTGGCAAAGCTCGCGCACCTCTGCTTCGGGAATCGGCCGGCATGCTCGCAGTTGAGCAATCGCCCTAGTAATGTTTGCAGAGAGGTCAGATCTGATTTGTGCGTGGCTCGTCTCGTCGCGGAATCTTGGGGGGAAAGGGAGGCGCGGGTGGGCACAATTTACCTGTCGAGATCGCTCATCTTCGCAACTTGGCTGGGGAGGGTAGATGGAATGCGCCTAGCAGCCTAAAGTATGCCGGAAGCCAAAAAGAGCAGTGATCGATTTGTGTCAACTATACCAAGGTGTCATAATGTGTTCTGGGCGCCCTCGACAATATCGCTGGGCGTTCACGAGCGTCGAAAAGTTGCTTGTTCGTTGTGGCGAGGCCTGTATTGGAAGATGGATGCTTTGGTTGAATAACTTTATGGAGCGTCGGCCATTGACAGTTTGCGCAACCCGGCACACGGTTACGACTGAACGCCGGGGAACTGGCCCACGTATGGCGCGCGCCTTTATCGGTCTGAACCGAGACGCCGGATGAAACGGTAATTACGGACATTGGCAGGATTGGCTACACGCACCAGTACGTTTTGAGCAGCACGCTAGCAGTACTGTACGTACAGTACATACAGCCCCACACACGAGCCTACCGCGTGCTGTAACGCTAGCACACGGGCTGCTCATTATGCAGCCGCAGCGCCTCTGCTCCAGTGGGTCGCGGGCAGTAATTACCCAAATATGACCCGCTGCGTGGAAAGAATTTCCAAGCTACAACACCACAACCCAGCAACAACACCTCAGTCCGACGACCGACTCACGACGGGGTTTGGCCTCGTTGGGGCAACAAGCAAGGCCAATCCCTCACACATCATGGTCTGCGAGGTGTTCGACTAAGCATTGGTGAGTCTCCGAGGCTCAATGGGGCTGAAAATCGTCCTAAACTGGGTTATAGGGTTCGTCGAGGTCCTGATTCTAATTTCGCCGCCGTCGCGGCTCCCGCCATGCCACCTCCACACCTCCACCCAAGGTCGCGCATGACCTCGTCGCTCTTCGCAACCACGGTCGTGGCGAGCTTCTTCGTTGTCGCTCTCCCTCACATTCTGCCATGCCCGGCGCCTAGGATCATCTACGCTGACGGCGAAATGTCAGACGGGACCGTCAAGAGGAGGAGGCGGAGGCGGCCGGATTGCGCCGACACAAAGGAAGGCCTTGTTCAGTTCCAGACCAGCATCGAGGACCACGATGAAGCGACCAAGTCCAAGGCGTCGAAGAGGGAGTGTCCTGTGCCCAAGCCCGGCGGCATGCTGGGCGAGCTTCTGGGCTTCAGGAAGACGAACAACGAGGGGCCCCGGTCCGGGCCCGAATCTCGGTGAACGGAGGACGACGACTTTGGCAGAAGAAGCACGTGGAAAAGGTACTGCCCAATTGCTCGACGGAAGGCCAGCCGAGAAGCTGTACAATAAATACCTGGTACATACACGAACGCCCCAATATCGCGGTGCACTCTTACAGCGAGCGTGCCTTGAATACGTCTGCAACATGCAACCCCCGGCACTCCGCAACACACACACACTCGATATTATCGAAGAAGCCTCGGAGAGTGCTTGGACAACGGCCGGCCTTGAGCATTTGTGAAGCGGAAGCAAGAGCTTGTCGCCCATGTCTATCGGCCCTACCTTGTTCGCAGCTGTTTCCTCAGATATTGTAATAAACGGCCCAAGTTGGCCTATAAATAATACGAGAGCATCTTGCCAAGGGGTTGGGACAGAGAAGCCCTCCTCTTTCCGATCTTCCTTCTTTTTTTCTCCCGAAGCTTTTCCCTTGAAACCAAGGTAGCTGGAGAGTATGGACAGCCAGCTCAAATGTGCCTTCGGTGTACGCACCCATGGGTCTATGGGCGAGGCATTGTGTGTTGCGTTCGGGATTTCGCCGATCTTGTGGGGTGATAGGCGGAAGAAGATGTGCTGACAATTTGAGTTCCTAGTGCTAGTGTTGCTTTCTCCTCGGGGGCCTCCTTCGGCTGACTGCAGCAGACGTGATTCTTGTGCCGATGCCGATCGAGGCATTCTGCATGACTTCTACCGGTCTTGGCGAGGTGAAACGGTCGATGAAGTGTTTGCTGAATCACGTGTACTTGCCCGGGCTCTCCCTTTCAGAATAGGGCTTGGTTTTATCCTCTGTCCCAAAGGTAAGGCTTGGCCCGTGGCTAAGCTTTCCAGCGTTCCAAGATGCACGTTCCGTGGAGATCAAGAAGGCCCAGAATCGACTTCTTTCGCTGTGGGAGTGAGTGAGTCTTGTCTGGTTAAGTTGTTTCTTCGCCCAATGCGATGGGCGTCCATTTATCCTTTCGTGCTTCTTTCTACCCAGGACCTGATTTTTTTTTCTTTACCTGTACTGCACAGTAGCGTCTGCGCGTGGCCGGCAGTTGCCATGCATCATGCCATGCACATTCGCCAACCTTCCCGACCCGTATGCTGCGCGCGCGGCTCGATGTCGCCACCGCAGCTGATCACCGCAGCGACTCTTCGTCTCGAAGCCCTCTTTTCGCTTCCCGTTTAATAGGCTTTTTCGGTGCTCCGTTTCATCGACAAATGTCCGGCATTCGCACATGTTCGCGCCGATCAAGCTGGCTCGCTGCTGCTGCTGCCGTACACCTTACCCCACCATCTACTCGCTACACATAAAGGGGCGTGTCTGTGACGGTATATCATGGCGGGCTATCCTAATGGTGTAAAGGTCGTACGTAGAGCCCGGTGTTCTGATATCTATCTAGACGAAGCCTTGTGCTGTTTTACTCTCTTTCCTCTTTCCGTTTCGATTCCCCTCACTTGCGCTTTATAGAATCTTGGAGGTATGTATGGCTCTTCGTAGTCTGGCTGGGCGTATTTTACTAACGTCTTTGAAGCTGCGCTCTATTACTTTGCTTTCTGATTTTCATCTGTTTTGCTTGAAGGCCGGATCTTCACTTCTTCGCGATAACACGCGAACTGCTTGTCATCATGAAATTCACGCTTCTCCTCTCTGCCGGCCTGGCGTCGGCAGTCAACACTGCGAGCCCGGTTGTGCCCAGGCAGAATGCGGCCGACTTCAGTAGCAATGCCCTCGCTAACAACAGCAATGTGGCCAACGGCGTCAACAGCGGTCTTAATAGTGCGTCGAATCTCAACTCTGGGAACCTCAACTCTGGAAACCTCAACTTGGGAAACCTCAACTCTGGAAATCTCAACCTGGGAAACCTCAACTCGGGGAACCTGAACTTGGCAGACTTGAACCTGGGCAACTTGAATGTCGACGGTCTCGATCTCAACAACCTCAACCTCAATAACCAGAATGATCTCATCCAGGCCATTCTCGCCTTAATGAACAACTTCTGCTTGAGCAACCTCCTCGACATAAACAACATCCAGAACCTTGGCCTCAACAACGACCAGGACCTCTTCCTGCAACTAGCGCAGCTTCAGCAGCTCCAGCAGCTTGGATTTTTGAACAATGGTGGCATCCAGTCGCTGTTCTCCAGTGGTCTGGTTGGGGGCAACTTTAACCTCGGTACGAGACATGTCTTCACCACACCCAGATCTCGTGCCAGAGCTGACAGTCTTTCGTTTCAGGCCTTTTCAAGCGAGAGATCGCGGAGAGCAGGAAGACCATGAAGCGAACTAAGCTCAGGCGCGGCTCGAAGGCCAAGCGACAGCAGTGCGCCAATGCCAATGTCAACTCCAACGTTAACAACAATAACAACAACATCAGTAATGCCAATGCCAATGCCAATTCCAATGCCAATGCTGGTGTCAATTCTAACGCCAACGCCAACGGAGCGGTCGCAGCGCCGGTGGCTTCCGCAGCCCCCGCAGCCGTAGCTGCCCCAGCTAATGCCGCCACCGTGGCGCCTGCTGTCGCCTCGGCGGCGCCTGCTGCTGCTGCCGCCACGGCACTCGCGGCGGTGGCTTCTGTCGCGCCCGCCGTTGCAGCTGCGCCGGCGCCGGCGGCTTTCACCCCGATTGCCGCCGCTGACCCAGCTGCCGCCGCCGCCTCTATTCCGGCCGCCGCCGCAGCAGCGCCTACTGCCGCCGCCGCGGCTCCAGCAGCGCCTGCGGCTGCCGCCCCCTCTGCGGAAGCATCTGTCGCACAGCCTGCTGCTGCCCCTGAGGCGTCGCCAGGCAGTGAGACAAACTTGTCTGACTTCACTCGCTAGAACCGGGACGATAGGGCGGAGAGATTGGAGATTGGAGGATTCCAAGAGGGGCTGTCAGCTGAGTAGGCTGACTGACAGACCCTCCTTTTTTTCGGCTCGTCCAAGAAGATGGCCGGTTCAGGCAGAGCCGAGACGCCCAGACCGGGCCAGGCTGTTTGTTGTGTTTTGGGTGTGCCTGCTTTGAGGCTCCGGCAAAATAGGCCAGCCCCGGTAGCCAGCAGATGCGGATGGCTGAGACAGATTTTTTAGCTAGATACCTACCTATACTAGACATACTAGGCACGATATACCGGTACCTTAGAACCATCACGTTATCGTCATGGCCATCGACTCGTCATTGCTCTACGCCGAGTATTTGTCAATCCCCCACACGCTCTCTGTATTGAGCGTGCCCGGCGTCGTTTCTATAGATAGCCACCTGTGCTTCAGTTGACAATGCGTCAAGGTGCTGTTTTGTCTTGTAATTGTTTAGATGCGACGGAAAGTTTGAACGGAGCTGGACTCAGTGCTGCTAATTTTAGTGGGAAGGAGGAGGACAGACAATGCCATCATCCGGGCATGGGCTTGTCTCTCGTTCGTGCCACTCACTGCGTGGGAGTAGTAGGAAGGAACAACACAAAGGAGAGACGAACTGGGGATCCGCCCTCTTCCCAGAGCAAACATTGATACGTAACTGGGGGGGGGAAGTATAGTCGCAGCGGCGGACAAACACCAAACTTTGTCTGTTACGATCCCCTCGTGGTGATGCTTGCTGGGCTGCCCCGGCTTGTTCCCGTGCACAACGGCGTAATCTTGGTTGTTAGGGAGGATCGAATCGAGCAATGGGGCAACACACGGACAAGAGTCTGAACTTCTGAGGTAAGGTTTTGGGGAGAACCCCCTTGCCCTTGGCCCCGTGGGCCGGAAGTAGGGGAGTTCCGACGAGAACCAAGCCCTCCTTCCTCCCCTCGACAATGAGGTCAGTCAGTCGCCCCGCTGAAAAAAGGAAAAGAAAAGAAAAATAAAGTAGAAATAATAATAACTAAGCATCTCACAGCTGCGGCTTGACCAGCTGCCGCTGTCTGGTAAATGCGTAGCCGTGCGACGAAAGTGCTTCACATTCTGAGATCTGCGACAGCTGCGGGTTGAGAATTGTGCCCAGAGGGGAAAGGTCGGGGGTCATTGCATGAGTTGCTTGGACTTTCGCGATGGCTTCAGGGCCGTGCACGCCCAATCATGGCTCAGGTGCCCCCAATCCTCCCTTTTTGGGGGACCGTCCAGTGGTGGCTGCTTTTACCCCAGGTCCATTCCATCCCCTCCAGCCACCACCCACATCTCCTTTTTACAAATCCTCGAATCGGCTCAGCCCATTTCAGCCTCTTCCGTCTGCCACCACATCTTTAACCACCACCCACCCATGCTTTGAGATCCGAAGCGAGGGGAGGAAGGGGGGGGCGGGAACATACTTAGGTAGGGGGGGCTGTCGAGTTTGACAGTTTGAAACGGACGTCAAGCTGCGTTCGGCCGCCGCTGATTCGCTGCATCAATTCGGATCTCGGAGAACCTAGTCGACGGAGTTATAAGCTTAACCACGGGGCAGCCTAAAAATCCCCGGACTGGCCAAGCCGGGCTGGGGGGGGGGACAGAGTCATTAGGCTTTCTCGGGGTGGTAATCCATGTACCGTGGCACCTTTGGGTTGGTGCTTTCTCTTTCCCTGCTAGGTTTGTTCTTAGTGTCGAGATCCTCCTGCTCTTTGGGCCACCGCTCAACGCTCCTTCTGGTGCGATCTGGCGTCAGGCCCCTGCCCGTTACTACCTTGTCAGGCCATCACGTCACGCTGCCAGTCAGGAACCGGACAGCCAGTACCGTCACTAGTGAGTACCAGAGTGGCAGTGGCGGTAGACGCGCTAGATAGACTTGGAAGAAGTGCAAGTGAGTGAGTGCCAGTGTGTCTGTCTAGAGTGATGAGGACGTCGAGGTAGGTGCGATACGAGCGTGACTGCTGCCATCGTGGGTTCAGGGCAGAGCTCAAACGCCGTCACCTCACCCACGGCTTCCGCTATAGGTGGGATTGGTAGTAGTGTTCTCCGTGACACCCCAATTCATCGTGGGCGACTTCCCAATCAGCCTCGAAGGTTTTTTGATCCATCCCGCATACCCAAGGTCGGGTACCTGACTTGGAGGGGTCAAGCGGTCCCAGACCAGAAGGCCCAGCCCAACCCTCCCCGAGGCAGGTAAGGTACGCAGCAGCATCCTGCCATCCGAGCTTTCTTGGCATGCAGGACGTCTGTATTATACCTCTGCCCAGTGCACTCGCGCTTTGCTCCATCGAAACACTACGAAACAACCTGTATATCCTCGCTGTCGATCAGGAAGAAGGACCTGCCTCTGGGTCTCTCTTGCAGAGGCCAGTCCAGCCAAGAAAGGGACGGCCGTACCTACCTTGGCTGCCTGCACCTGCATGTGCCTTGGCAACCTACCAAGAGAGAGATCAGACGACGACGTTTGCTTGGTGCTGCTGGCCGCAGGTTCCGCAGCCCGCCTTGGTGTACTGTGCAGCAGATGTCTGAGCAGAGTCATTCCTCACCACCATGGCTTGTCGTCCATGACGGGCTCCATGGACATATGGCGGGAAGCATCCATGATCCCCCGCGCATCGAGGCGAGCTCAGACTGCTGTAGCCAAGCACCACTCGCTGGCTAGTATTCTTGTCTAGGCAGAGTCAGGTCCTCGTTCCAAAAAGTCGACCGTCTCCATGTCCTGCGGCTTCATAGGCGCCCAGGCTGCCAACCTACGCTAGGTGAGGCTGTCAGGCTGTCCGTCCTTCCTTGTCCTTGCCCTTGGTGTTTCCCTTAGCATGCGCCCCAGCTGTGCTGCTCGGTGGTAGATACTTCCGTGCATGACGTTACAACCCACCAGTCTCGGGACCTTCTCCAGCTCCCTTCCTCTCTCTCTTTCTCCCTCTGGGTGTCAGGCCCCATCCTTGGCGTCCCCCTCCCCCCACCCACAGCTAAGGCGACATGATCCGTGCCCACCACTGCAGACAAGGCGGGCATGGCTGGGCTCTCTGGCAGTGCTCATCCTGGCCATGGTGTTTTACCCGCCCGTTTCCGTCCAGTGACGCCAGATATCTGACACGCTCCGGAAGACTACTCGACCTCCCTTCCGAATAAACTTGATGTCCCTGAAATCCTTGGCACGCGGCTCCTTCTCATGCCTTGCCATGGGGGCTGTCTGCGGCCATGGCCCGGTCAGGTCTGTATATAAGGCGGTCTGGACGGCCGGTAGATGGCACTCTTCTTTTGTTTCCCCATCCCACTCACCAGCCTTTTCAACCATCTTCTTCAGTCATTCATTCTTCAGAGGTAAGCCATCTGATCTGAGAGAGCCTTCTCTCCTTCTAGTCCCCGATTAAGCGAGCTGCTTCGGCACTTGCTTCTGGGAACCGCCTGCCTGACAGTCGCTGACATCCACTTCTCCAAACAGCTGTGCTCGTTGTTCGCTTCCACTCTTTCAGTATCTGAACATTTTTGAGGTACGCCTGGCTGGTACAGTCCTGTCTCTACTACAGACGGGACGATCACTAACCTGGCATGGTTCAGCTGTGCTCTTTTATAATCGTTTAATCCCCCGCCTAGTCGTTTACCCAAATAAACCAGCAAAATGAAGTCTGTCACTCTGATCGTCTCTGCCCTGGCCGCCATGGTCTCTGCCGCCCCGGCCGCCGTTGAGAAAAAGTCCAACTTCGACCTGAGCCAGCTCAACAACCTGAACAACTTCAACCAGGTCAACTTGAACTACCTGCTCAACATCAACCAGCTTCAACTCCAGCAGCTGGGTTTCCTCGGCCAGAACAACAACTTCAACATTCTGGGCTACCAGAACCTGTTCAGCAGCAACCAGTTCGACCTCGCCTCGCTCCTCCAGCTGCAGCAGCTGCAGACCCTGCTCCAGTTCCAGCAGGTCGGTCTCTTCTCCAACTTTGACCTGAGCAGCCTCGACCTCCAGCTCCTCCAGCTCGGACTCCTCAACAACGTTGGCTCCGTCGATCTGTCGCAGTTCATCCAGCCCACCGTTGTCAGCCAGGTCCAGACGATAGCATCCCAGGGTAAGTAACCTTTTCTTGCGCTGGCAGTCTGCAAAAAGCCCTCTTTGTTTTCCACGTGTGTATTCACACGCCCAAGCCCCCTTCGCCCTTGGCTCCGGTTTCCTCCCCGGTGGCGGGAGCGCCTCGGCGAACTTCGCGGCCCCGGTGCCGGCGGCTTCTTTCGCCGCACCTGCACCGGCGGCCGTTGTTCCGAGCGCTTCCGACTCTGAGGTCGTCACCGACGCTGAGCAGAATGCTCAGGAAGGGGGCAGCTCTCTTAACAGGGCCTAGACGAGCCGACCGCGCGCCCCACACTACTACCGATTTGATCGAAAGGCTAATACTTGGGATTCAAGTCCTTGTCCTCAAGGAATAAGCGCAGCAGCCTCCGGCACTACCGACAACCTCCGCTAGAGCGTGTAGCGGAGTCGTTGAAGACAAAATAAAAAAGATGATACCTTTGGGGATGGGGAGATAGACAGTGGCAGCGTCGGGGTCTCGGGGGGTTGGTCAAACGACAAGCACTCGCCAATTCCTTAACAAGAACACCTCACAGACCCTGGGGCGAGCTAGAACACTCAAGTGTTCAGACTTCTCATTTGCCATATATCTATCTCATTTTCTTCTCGCTACGTTTTCCTTCCTCATATTTTCCTTTCATCGAATACGGTGCTTTTTTACGTGTGCGGGTAGACAATAAGACTGGTTGGAATCGGCTGGGCAATCTGGAGCCTGTTCACTTAACGACTGGGGATTGATGAGCTGCGGAGAGATGGACAATCAACCGGATTGGTTTTCCTATTTCTGTCACGAGAGAGAGAGAGAGAGAGAGAATTGATCCTTTGTTCTTGCTTGAGCATCCATAGTCTATCGTCTTCGGGCAGCTGAGCGGTGGTAATAGGGCGGAGCAGCAAAAGAGAAAAGAAAACCCATAAAAAACAGTAACCAACTCTGATGCCTCTTTTCAAAATGTATACTTTTGGGAAAATGCAAGCGAGACCTTGGCAGCATGGCGAATTCGGGCGCGCGAGAGCAACAGGACTGAACTTTGGCATTTAGACAGTCCCCGGGATGTTCTAGTCCCGGTTTCTTGTCCCACCAAGCCTTGTTTCTGTTGCTTCGCTGCCCTTGGCATGGCATGACAGCCGAGCCGACGCAGCAGCCATGGCAGGCAGATCCCCTGTCGTGGGAGTGTTGGATCGGCACCGGCAAACAATGGAAGCGATGGCCTCGGAATTGAATCCCTGTATCTTGAGCAGCTAGGTATAAGGTATATATGGGGTGTTTATGGTATGGTGTGGTACGTGCATTGCGGGCGAGAGGTACTTACTGTGGGTAGGTTGGAGAAGAGAAAGGGGGAAAGGGGGGCACGGGCCTCGGGTTGGAATCCAATGGGGCCGGGGGGTAAAGTTGTGAAACCGGGAAAAGGTTAAAAAGAACAAGACAGACCTAATGTCTGGGCACGATGGTGATATAGATCCTGCTATGCTATTCTGGTCGGCACCTGGGGAATTGAAATTGGGATTGGGATTGGGATGGAGATTGGGTTTGGGGTTCGAGTTGTTTCGTGTTGTCAGAATGGGTGATGTCAGCTGTTTGCTTCTCTTTTGTCTCTTGAATAGATGGTTAAGGTAAGTTGGTAAAGTAGGTATGTATATGACCATGCTGCTGTGCCGGTGCTTGTGTATAGGGCTACGAGGCGTCTATACTGTCTATTCTCTGGCGCTGTTGTATAGGTAGGCAGTTGTGTATATGGAGCTAATATCAGGGGGCGTCAAACATATCAGTGTAGTTTTATTTTCTGTTTGTGCTGCAATATTGATAGATATCATAGAAAAAAGCTAGGTAGGTTGGCGTTTGCGAGTTTGCAAGGCGTGTTGTCTAACATGGATACAGAAGAAGCTAACGAAAAGAGACAAACATCCATGACACCCAAAACTAAAGACCAAGAGAAACTAGGACCATGGGAGAAGAAACAGAGTAGACACGAAGATGCTAGGACATTGCAAGACAAGGCAGAAGCCGAACAGGTGGAATTCTGTTAGTACTGTGAATGAAAATAAATCGATGTCTAACTTTTCTAGGAATTCCGTGCTGATGGGTTTTGTATGACTATGAGCCTTTGGAAACTATTACGAGAGTCTTTAGGTACCTAGAGTTTATTCCCCGTCGAAAACGGAAGTGATGTAGGTACCTACTCGGGCGATTTATTTGTTCGTCAACTCTACCAAGGAGCGACTTCTAGAATGTTAAATCTGCCAAAGGTGAAATGGCTTATACCCATCACCATGTACACACAAGAATAAGTACAGTCAAGCGTTTGCTATAGTACAGCGGCGAGTCAAACAATTGAGCGGTAGCGACAGTGTCATATTTGGTATCTAGACAGTTGCATGGCCTGGGATTATACTTCATAGAGATGCCTAGCGGCTCTAATAATGATTCCTGTCTGATATCGTATTCTAACAGCAAAGAACCTTTTTGTCTTGCATGAAGCAATCGTTTAATTCAGGAGTATGCTATGTCTCACGCCGTAGAGGGTGTTACAAAGTCGAACACAAACAGAACAAAACGATAATAAAGAGTGACACGGAGTATACATCATTTTGAGAATTCATGTCCGCGTATGTCGATACCCAGAACGTTGGTAAGGTAGGTAGTGTAGGTGTGTTCATATTGAGCGTTGTGTTCTTACACGCACACACAAACAAACACATAAACGGTTCTATCAACGCACACACCACAGAACCAACTCCTATATTTACTGCTGCGTTCGCGTTTCTAATTTTAGTTTGCCATGTGCAACTGAGTGACTGTCTGGAAAGCTGAGGTGGCCTAGGCCGTCACTCTCTGTTTGTTGATTAGGTTACTGGACTATATCCGATGGCTTGGCACCTGACGAGATCTTTGTCAGGGGTGCGATCAGGATAAGTGACCTGACATCCGATGGATGATTCCGGCCCCACAAAGGAAGCCAGAAAGCATATGAAATTTTGCATGACCTCAGATGTCGATAGAGTGGGGAATCCAACGGTGCTCAACTCTGATGGGGGTGGCGTCGTCGTGGCGGTTGGTCGGTCTTGACGGGGGGATCAAAGGTTCCTCACTTTGGACTTTCGGCTCCTGACGGCTCCGTATGCAGGACGGAAGGAAAAAATAGAAAAATAGAAAAATAGAAAAAAGCCTGGAAGCTTCTTGGAGAAGCAGGTTCATGTATGTACCCCAGGAAAGTCTCTATTATAGATTAATACATGGCTGCAGGCAGGTTAATATCTGGAGCTACGCCGGCTCGCTCGTCTGGGGAAATCAGGAGGCTCATCCATACATCATCTGCCGGCCGCCCTTAGGCACATGTGTCTTGGAGAGACGCCGGGCAATCGTAAGCACGCACCGTACGGCATCGGGCGATCGGATCGAATTTCGGCGCTCAAATCTGGAAGAGTTCGCCGACTTACCGCGCAACGGAGAAACTCGAAGGGTTGTGCGCAGGCGAGAAATGCAAGGAACAGGGCTTCATAGGTGCCTACTGTACTTGCTTGAGTTGATAGACAAAAGGAAATGATAGTTAATTCGGGAGACGTGGGAAGTGCATGGTCCGCTCGTGCCAGGGTGGACCTGTGGGCCTGTTGGCCAAGGTTACACTAAGCGGTTGGGTTTAAGGCGATCGGCCACGGCATGGAAACAAACTTGGAAAGTTATAAGCTTGGTTCGAGATCTCTAGATGCTGTCAAGAGAGCTAGTTGGCCGGCCAGCTTCCAGGTTGTCAAGATCTCCGTCAGGATCTACAAGGGGGTTGGCAGAACGGACGGATTCTCTACTCCGTAGAATGGCGTCCCTGAAAAGAGAAAGCAAGCAAGAAACGAAAAGGTTGGGATCTCCGAGTGCAGAGTTGCGGGAGCGCCGGGACCCCCCGATCGAGCCTCCGGACGACGGATCGACGGAGTCGCCTCGATGTCTCGAAGTGGATACGAACGCCATCTGATGGGCCCACAAGCTCTTCGAGGGCCTGCAGCGAGAAGTGGCATGCCTGACGTGACAGGAGGTAGAAACACGAGTTTGTGTGCGAACATGGTAAGAGAAAAAAGGCAGAGTAAACAAATACTCTTCTGACCACCAGACGTCTGTCCGTGTGGGGAGGGAGGAGGCGAGAGTTGAAAAATGGAGAGGATGGCACAATATGTGAAGGCCATTATGCAAGACTCAACAAACCCGGAAAGCACCCCGACTGACAATTTTCCAAATTGCCTGACCTTTTTTCACGGGGAGTGCAGTCGCCAATGCAGTTGCTGTTGTCCGGCAGGAGCAGGCCCACCGCCCACCGCCCACCGCCATGGCCCGCGTCGTCGGTCGCTGCTGCTGCTTGCGTTGCCGCCGTTCTCCACATTTCAGAAGGCGCCAGGGTAACGCCAGTGTGCGGCTTCCCTTTTCATCCAGATTGAACAGATTGAAGCCTCGTCAGCAGAGACGGGAGCTGAGCTTTAGCCAGCCCTCAGACTTTTCCCCGCCGTTACCGGCACTGGGGTGCCTGGTTAGGTAGGTTCGATGGTTGACTTCAAGCTCCAATTCTCTCTCTCTCTCTCTCTCCTTTCCAAAGACCGGCTGAGACCGGCGAGGTGCAGGTGCAGATGCCGGTGCCGTGATGCCACGCATGTCTCATTGGGAAAGCAGCCGGCCTGTCCTTGGCCTCCCTGTCCTGGCTGGCTTCACCTCCACTGCGCTCAGCGGTTTCCCGCTGCCCGATGCCGACCCCTCACCTGAAAACTACCTAGGGCCTGAGTGGTTGGCCTCACCGTGCAGGCCGTCTGCAGTGCGTCCACGTCTATCCAGGGCCCTGCCAATGGAATCAACGCCCAAGCCCAATGCCAACGCCGCCACGGATACGGATACGGACGGCAATGTATTAGTGCAAGTATGTACTCCGTACGCCACTTCAAACTGGCTATTGTACGGATACATGTACGAATATGTCTGAAGGTACGAAGCACATACATGACATACTCGTACTGTACATACATAACATGTAGTTGCACCCAAGACAGGCGGTAATGCCCCTGTTCATCTCCTCTCCCCCCCCCAAAAAAAAAATTATTTGGAGGCGCCCCAGCGCCGTTCGACTACCTAGCTTGCCTGCTAGATGTTTCCGCGGTCCGTCTCCAACACGCCAAGACAGCCACGGTCTCGATCTTGGAAGCTTCTTGAGTGGCCTGAGGTGGCTTCCGAGTTTCATTGTTTCGTTTCCCATTGTCTTGCTGCCTTGCCCTGTTCAGCCCTGCACTTTCCCGCACCTGGAAACAGCAAGCGGCTCGGCGATTGGGAGCACAGCCTGGGCTCGAGCCTGGCCAAGCCGTCAATCTACAAAAAAATCGACGGCACAATCTGATCGGCGGAGCCACGTCAGGGGTCTGGGCTTTTTGGAGAACCCACCACCCACTAACAATCCACTACGAGCGGGCAGTAGGAAGATCTGACGAAACCCCCGATGAACCCTCCTAGGCCATAAGAAGCAAGGAACGCCCGCCCACTCGCTCTCGGTTCAGTCGAAGTCCCGAGAGGAAAGGAAAGCTCGTCTCCGCCGGCGTACCTACCTACTTCTGCTTGTGAAGGTCGGGTGAAATACTCGGTACGGCTAGGAACAGTAGTCCTCCCTGAGCTTCTCCTTGTCCTTCCCCAGACTCAGAGGCGGCGCCATCGTCATCGCTTTTCGTCCGTCCAGTCCGTCCAGTACCACCCATCTCCTCGCCTTCGCTCGGCCTCGGCCTCGGCTTGCCTGCCTGACCTCGCAATAATCCGTGAGCCCATTTGTCTGGCAAGCCCGGCTGTTGCTGCGTGCTGGGCGCGGTGTTTCAACGTCCCACGTGCAACCTAAAACCTCGTGTTGTTTGGTAGCCCCGCCAAACCGTGTATCCCACCCCGAGCTCGCCATCGCCGAATCCCTCGTGTGAGCCGGCGGATTGCGTATTTAAAATCTCCGCGCCTCGCCCTCCCGCTCGCTCCTGCCAGAGAGTATACCGCCGCAAGCTTATTCCCGGTGAATATGAACAGCACTTCGGCCCGCTTTGTTCATTTGTGGGCCGTTGGAAGCATTGGGAACCGCCATCCTTGAACTCGCCAGCCGTCCTCTTGGGGAAGCTCTGCCGCCAGCCATGGCCGGATACGCCTCCCACCACTCGGACGACGACTTCGACCTCGACGACGAATACTTTGCCCGCACCTACCGTCCGCTGTCGAACTTGCCCACCCCCCCGCCCTCGTCACGCGACTCTTCGGCTATCCAGAGCCCCAAGAGCCTCCTGGAAGATGGAGGACTCCTCGACTCGGCCCTGCTAGGTGCGTACCATGGTCCTCCCCATGGCGGCCTGTCCTGGTCCGTCTAGAGCGTTTCTAACACGTCACAACAGGCCCAGCAGTCCATTTGGTCAACCTTGTGCCACCAGCCGCGTCTCTAACGCTGCCGTCCGTCTCCCTTGTCCATGAGATGCTCACCCACGCTGACCTGCCTCTCGATACCGTTGCGCTTGCCGTGTGCATTCTTGATTCACTCAGCTCCCGCTTCTCGCTCAATTGGCGATTGATATGTCCTCTAGCCCAGCGGGAACCTACAGATGAGTCTGCGAAGCGCTACACGATGCCGGCAAGTCCGGTTCTCGGTACCACCCAGCTGCACATTGACTGCGTCAACCCCGAAGTCATCATCCTGGCATCGCTTGTCATTTCTGTCAAGTTTCTAGAGGACCGCCAGGAGCCCATGCGGTACTACCGTGCGGCCTGGGGTAAGAACATGTGGACATGCGAGCAGATCAATGTCACTGAACGGTGCATCATGGAAGCCCTGGGCTACAGGATTCTGCCCCTCTGGGATCAGCGCCTAATCGCAGACGCGATGGGCGATATGGAGCGCGCTGGAAGGCAAGCTCTTCTCCCTTTGTATGCCAGCAATGGCAATGTCGCACCCCACTCGCGATCCATGAGTACCGGCAAGGCCGTCTTCGGCTTAGGACTACAGCCAACCCCAGCGGAGACGCCAGTATCTGAGAACTGCCCCATGACCCAGCGAAATCTGGTTGCTGGGGACGATCTTAAAGCTGCCTTTAGAAGCAACAACATCGGGGCCGCCATCCTTACCTGCGATTCGCTCTACCTCCCTCCTGTCCGAGCCAAGAGGAAGAAGAGCTTCTCCGCGAGACGCTGAATTGGCTTCTTTTCCGGGAAATATCGGCAAAGCCCGAGATCGGGTGATTCTGGTCTTAATCAAGAATTTGCTATTTACGGGGGCGGGTTGCATTTCTTTTTTTTGGGACGAGTCTTGCACTCGCTTTTACTTTGGGCTTGGCATTCGTCACGGACGTGAAAAGTCCTTTCGGGGCGTTCTCTTTCGATAATACCTTTGTCTTCTTGTTTATTGCTACTTGAATACCACACATACCCACACGCGCACCCGTGCCTTCTTTCTTGCTTTGATGTTTGGATTTATATTCACTTGCCACAATCGGCCTGCCATTTTGTTTCTTTTGGTGCGTTTGATCGCCCAGATCTTGAAAGCAAGTTGCTCGCCAAGGCCAAAAAGGGGGGCCTGGTGGGGTCGGGACTCGGGGGGAACTGGCTGGCCAGCGGCTTGCTGTTCGCCTCCAGCCCACTGTAATGTTTAAAGCCAAGCGATCACAGATTTTCTTTACCGAGGGGCAAAAAGGGGGTGCTGCAGGCTGCTCAGTTGAGCTCCTAGCAAAGTAAGTACGGAGAAAGGCCGCAGCTCTCCCCCTTTCCCGACCCCCTCCTCATAATATTCTGACGTGCCACGAGGGATGAGGTGACACTTCTTCGCACATTAGGCAAAAAGGAAAATGAGAAAATGGCCAGCAACGCACTCCTCACTGTTGAGATTTTCTCCTGTTTGATGACTTCCTTGCTTGGGAGGGTTGAGATGGGGGCCCCGAGAAAAGACGAGACGGAAACTTTCGCCAATATTTAATTATCTGCAAACAGATGCCGCATCGTGAAATCCAACCTGGACAAACGCAAACGCAAACTCAAAGCAAGAATACCAAATAAGGTAATCAATTAGCTAGTTTTATATATCTATACAATCATACATGTACATGGCTCAAGCACATACCCGAATTCTCATACCACGCTAGTATACAAAGAGCGCACGACATAACAGAAAGAAAGAAAACGACGAAAAGGAATGAAAAACGTATATACATGGATGAAAATACGTGAATATATACAGATGCTCAACAGCATCAGAGAAAAAAAAGGCAATTCAATCTAAACCATTCACTCTAAGAAAACCCCAACAGCGCGAGCTGTAATATTTTCTACTGTAGTCGTTCGTTTCTATATTCTTGGAAATTTATCAAATCTCTACGATGCGCCTCTCTCCCTCGCATTTTAATACGGGCAATTTTGCAAGAACTAGCTTGTCTTTAGATGGACAAAAACTTTTCCTTCAAACCCAAAGATCGATCATGTGAAAGAGATGCGGGTATATCAACTGGACATGACCAGCGCCAGAAGAGCCATGCGACAGTACAGGCCGTATCTCATCTGCAATTGACTGTTAGCACGACAAAGTTTCATTGCATACAAGTATTCTCTTACCTGTCGGAAATACGCAGCGCGCTGGTCAAAGTCGACCTCCTCCGCCACCTCATCGTTCCGCGGCAACGGGTGTAGCACCACCATGCTGCTCTTGGCATGCTTCAGCGTGCTGTTGTCGATGCGGTAGGAATCCTTAACTCTCTCATACTCGCCGAGGTCATCGAACCTCTCCTTCTGCACCCGGGTGCAGTACAAGACGTCGCTCCTGGCCAATATCTCTGGCGTCAGGGTCTCCGACTCACAGACCAGTTGTCCTGCCTCTACCAACTGGTTACGGACGGCGGCCGGGAGACGCAGCGATTTGGGCGAAACGAGCTGGACCTTGACCTGGTAGTGTCTGAGGAGATACACCAGCGAATGAACCGGTCTTCCATACAGGAGATCGCCCACGAAAGTGATGGTCAGGCCCTGAACAGTGCCTAGTTCTTCCCTGATTGTGAAGAGGTCTAGGAAGGCCTGTGTAGGGTGTTCCTTGCTACCGTTGCCGCCGTTGATTACTGGAACCGGGCAGAACTTCCGGGCAACATCAACCGACTTCTCGTCGGGGTGTCTGAGGACAAGGGCGTCGCCGTAGCACGCAAGAGTCCGCAGAGTATCCTGTAGCGTCTCGCCTTTTTGTACCGATGAGTGTGCAGTCGAGATGACGATTGTTCTGCCACCGAGGCGCTGCATTGCGGCGTCAAAAGATGCCGAAGTCCTGGTGGATGGCTCGTAGAACAATGTGCAGAGCACACGCCCACGGAGGATATCCAAGACGCCATCACGCTGTACACCAAGACGCATTTCCTGAGCCACAGTGAAGAGAAGATGGAGATCTGCCCGAGTGTACTGTGCGACCGACAGGACATGCGAGTTCTTGAAGGAAGACGGGCCCGAGACCAGCTCTAGGAGCGGCGAGGTCTTGGGCTGCAAGCTCAGGGAGGGGCCAAGGTCATCCATGTGCGGGACACGAGCCAAGGCATTCAGAGCGGAAGGGGTATTATCGGTAGTCTTCGGCCGCACAATTCCTGGACGAGACCCAGTCAAGCCGTCGGGGAACAGTGCCATGGAACTGTGCACCGGCTTGGTTGGTGGCGACGACAAAACAGCTGGTGGCGGCATCGCCCCGTGCGTCGACATGTCGCTGCCTTTGGGGAGATCAGGCAAGAGGGCGCCGTCAAGGCAGACAACCTTGCTCTGGAATGTCACACGCTGAACTGCGCCTCTCATCACCTTTCCAGAGAAAGGCGACCAGAATTCAGAGGCAGGGACAGCATAGGGGCGGTCAATTTCGACCTCCAGAGACGTGCCAACCTGGTCGTGCAGCTCAAATATCTCCATGGGCTTGTCATGTAGGCGCGTCTTGATATCTTCCAGAGTGAGCTTGCCTTCTGTGACCGAAGTCAACAAGAGCGGAAGTGCGTCGGCAGTTCCAACGGCAGCATCTGTGGGCTTTTGCAAGAAGTGGGCGAGCTGGTATGGCAGGCTTCCAATGGAGAAGACATCAATCGTCTCCAAGTGCTCCCACAGTGCGACCTGATCCTCAATAGCAGGAAGGAATTGGCAGCCTGGGTAGTCCTTCTGAGAGAGATACAGCGAGTAGACGGACACGTCGCAGGTGACTTTGAGGCCCTTCTCCTTGCCGAGCGCAATGAGCTTGATATCATCCTTGGTCGAGACCGCGGTGACGTGAATCCGGCGGCTGTGCAGGCTTGCAAGCAGGAGGATTGAAGCCAGGTCAGAGGTCCTCGCATCTGTGATAATGGGCTTGTGCGTGGGCCAGGCGTCGAAATGAGCCTCGACAGCGGCGACCTTGCTAATGTTGTCTGACAAGTGGTTGAACGGAATAAACAGCGACCCAACCTCGCCAGCGACATGGCTAATCTGATTGGCATTGTTGGAGGTGGCAGTGACTGAGAAATTGAAGTCGCAGTAACTGCCGCGCTTGCTGTTTTGCTGAGCGACCTTGAGCGAAATGGCGTCCGTGATCGAACCAGTCTTGCCGAGAGGCATGACCCTGATCATGCTGAAACCTGCGGCGATAGAAGCCTTTGTGACGCTGTACAGATCACTGCTTCCGTTCGAGACCAGCCCCGGTACGAACGCGGCAACATTGATCAGCCCCGGGAGCACAATGGTCCGGTGGCTTGTCTGATAGTCACGGACACTGATATCGAGATCGAAGTGTCTGGCGATAGCCTCCACCAAGATCTTGGCATTCTTGACGTTGGTGACCAGCGGAATCTGATAGTCGACCGCCATACGGCGTGTTTGGTAACCCTTGCTCATGTAGTTGGCGGGCCGCCTGTACTTGTTGTTCGACGGCAAGTTGATATAGAGGTCGATCATATTGTTGGCCAGATGCTGCGTGAGCGAGTACTCGGATTTCTGGTCGTCCTCCTCTTGCTCGAGAACCTCAAGGTACTGCACAGGAATGTCGTGCTCCTGGAGGAAATCTGCAGTTCCGGCCGTGGCAAAGAGCTTATACCCCAGCTTCTGAAGCTTGGACACTGACGGGAGCATCTCTTTCTTGTCTTTGTAGGACCCGATAGAAAGCAAGATGTTGTTCCTGGGAATCTTGAAACCAGTCGAGAGCAATGCTTTCAGGTAGGCCTCGTATTTATCGGAGCCAAAGGAAGCCACCTCTCCAGTCGAAGCCATCTCAACTCCTAGCACGGGGTCCGCTCCCGACAAGCGCGAGAAGCTGAACTGGGGGACCTTGACACCGACACAGTTGGCCGGACGTTCGACGGCAGGGTACTCCTCGAAAGGAAGGCTCATCATGGCTTTGGTGGCCATCTCGATAAGATCAACCCCCATAACCTTGGAGACGAACGGGAACGAGCGGGATGCTCGAACGTTGCACTCAATGACCTTAATGTCGTTGTCCTTAGCAATGAACTGGATGTTAAACGGGCCTGTGACATTGAGCGCCTCTCCGATCTTGCGGGTAGCCTCTTCGATGCGCTGGATCGTCGTCTTCTCAAGATCTTGAGGCGGGAGGATAAGCGTGGCATCTCCCGAATGGACGCCGGCATTTTCGACGTGCTCCGAAATAAAGTGTCCCACCATCTTGCCATTGTGAGCCACGGCATCCATCTCGACTTCCTTGGCGTTCTCGATATACTTGGTGATGACGACCGGATGCTCAGGAGAGACATCGGCAGCCTGTTGCAGGTAGGCCTCAAGATCCGCCTCGGAGTAGACCGTGTTCATTGCTGCTCCCGAGAGAACATACGATGGCCTGACTAGCACCGGATAGGAAACGCTCTTGCAGAAAGTCTTGGCCTCCTCGAAGCTCGTCAGCTCCTTCCACGTAGGCTGGTCGACGCCGATTCTGTCGAGCATGCGAGAGAACTTGTACCGATTCTCGGCATTGTCGATCATCTCAGGCGATGTTCCAAGGATCTTGACACCAGAACGGTGCAGTGGCAGCGCGATGTTGTTGGGTGTTTGGCCACCCATTGCGCCCAAAACCCCGGTGGCCGACTCCAGCTGGTAAATGTCCAGCACCGTCTCGATGGTAATGTTCTCGAAATACAGCCGATCAGCCTCGTCGTAATCGGTCGATACCGTCTCGGGGTTGAACTGCGACCGTTATTAGCAAGTATTACACTGAAATAGACCCGATGGGGAGGTGCTGTCGAAGAAGAAAGACATGGTGTGGAAAGGGGGCGTGTAAGGGGGATAGTGGTCCGTGCGCGCCAAAAAGAGGCAAGGAGTGTGTTGTTGATGTAGGGGCGGTGTTGAAGAGGTATATGTGGAAAAAGAGACGTGCATGTGGAAAGGGACAACTGGACGTTCGAAAAGGAAACGAAAAGGAAGGAAAATCTGCAACATACATTGACCATGACGGTCTTCAGGCCGGCCGCCCGAAGTGTGCGGATGGCCCTGACGGAACACCAATCGAACTCAACAGAGGAGCCAATGCGGTAAACTCCAGAGCCTAGCACCATGACACCTTGGTCGTCGAACGAGACATCGTGCTCGCTGGCGTTGTAGGACAGGTAGAGATAGTTGGTGAAGGCCGGGAACTCGGCAGCGACGGTATCTATTTGCTTGACAAAGGGGGTGATGCCGGCTTCGAGACGCATACGCCGGACTGCAAGCTCGTTGGAGTCCCAGAACTTGGCCAGCTGGCGGTCGCAGAAACCAAGCTGCTTCGCCTGGCGGAGAAGGTCGAGCCGATTGGCGATGTCGCTGGTGGTGTAGTCGCTCATCTGCTTGCTGAAGTCGCTTAGACCCTTGAGCTTGTTCAGAAACCACTTGTCGATCTTGGTCAGTTCCCAGATCCTGTCTACCGAATAGCCAGCATGCATAGCGTTGGCTATAGCGAAAAGACGCTGGTCCGAGGGCGTCTGCAGCTCATCGTCAATCGACATGAGCGCCTTTGTCTCGTTGAACCCAAGGTTTTGGAAATCGATAGCCCGGATAGCCTTTTGGATGGCCTCCTCAAAGGTTCTGCCTATGCTCATGACCTCGCCAATACTCTTCATTGACGATCCGAGCTGGGTAGAGACGCGCGTGAACTTCTTGAGATCCCAGCGAGGCATCTTGACAACAACGTAATCTAAAGACGGCTCGAAGCAGGCACATGTAACCTTTGTGACCGAGTTCGAAATGTCCTTCAGTAAGATACCGAGACCTAGCTTGGCGGCAACAAAGGCCAATGGGTATCCGGTTGCCTTGGAAGCCAGGGCTGAGGACCTGGAGAGTCTGGCGTTGACCTCGATAATGCAATACTCTCTGGAGAATGGGTTCAGCGCATATTGGATGTTGCACTCGCCAACTACTCCGAGATGACGAATGACGTTGACAGCGGTTGTACGAAGCATGTTGTAGTCCTCGTCCGATAGCGTCTGGGAAGGAGCAACAACGATCGAGTCTCCAGTATGGATCCCGAGCGGGTCGAAGTTTTCCATGTTGCAAACCGTGATGCAGTTATCCTGAGCATCTCTGACGACCTCATACTCGATCTCCTTCCAGCCTTTCATACTGCGCTCAATGAGAACTTGAGGGCTAGCGGCTAGGGCCTTATTGCAAAGGTCGATCAACTCGGGCTCGTTGTTAGCGAAACCACTACCAAGTCCGCCAAGGGCATATGCTGCCCGAACAATGACGGGGAATCCAATGTCCTTGACAACTCTGAGCGCCTCCTCCAGGTTGCTGGCCGACCCTGACTTGGCACACTTTTCGCCAATCGAGTCCATGCTCCGGGCAAAAAGCTCGCGGTCTTCAGTCGTAATGATAGTGTCGATGGGAGTTCCCAGGACCTTGACTCCAAGCCCCCCGAACTCATCCTTGAGCTGGATTCCCACCTGCAGGGCCGTTTGGCCTCCAAAGGTGCAGTATATGGCATCGGGGCGCTCATAGATGATGACTTTGCGGACAAACTGGCTATTGACAGGGAGGAAGTAAACCTTGTCAGCCAGGCCCTTTGACGTCTGGATCGTAGCGATATTCGGGTTGATGAGGACGGTGTAGATGCCTTCCTCTTTTAGCGCCTTGATGGCCTGGCTTCCAGAGTAATCAAACTCTCCGGCTTGGCCGATACTGAGACCGCCGCTTCCAAGGACAAGAACCTTCTTGACATGGACGCGGGGATGAAGCTTGTTGTTCTCCTCGGTTGTGCCGCCGGGAAACTGGACAGCCTTCGTCAGCAGGCTGCTATCGGTGGCGCACTCCATGACGGTGTTGATGAAAACATCGAACAAGAATTCGGTATCCCGCGGGCCAGGGGTGCTTTCAGGATGGAACTGAACGCTAAAGTGCGGCTTGTCTACGTGTATTATGCCTTCATTACTGCCGTCATTAGCATTGACGAAGAGCTCCTGCCATCCAGAGGGAAGGGTGTCGGCATCCACAGCATAGCCGTGATTTTGCGAAGTGATGTGACATTTTCCAGTCACCATGCTCGTGCAAGGGATGTTATGTCCTCGGTTGCCAAACTTCATCTTGATGGTTCCAGCGCCAGCGGCTCTGGCAAGCAATTGATGACCCAAGCAGATACCAAATACTGGCGTACGGTTTTCCGCGATAGCGGCAGTGATATGCTTCACGGTAGAATCCATGACTGCCGGGTCGCCGGGGCCGTTGGAGATGAACAGACCGTCGTACTTTTCGCCGGAGAAGTCATAATTCCACGGGCAGACGAGGACCTCGACTCCGCGCTTGAGGAAACACCTCAGCTGGTTGTATTTCATACCAACATCGAGACACAGAATACGAATGGGGCGGCCTGACGGGTGCTTCTTGATATCCGTCTTTGCGGACGGCCGGTATAGTTTTGGAGACTTGATGGAAACTAAGAGGTGATGAGCATTAATACGACTTAAGATCTCTTCGAAACTCACCGTCTGCCACGAGATTATTCTCGTTGGGGTTGGACCACTCAATTGACTCAAAATAAGGCTTCCAGTCCCCTGCCTTGCCTGGAAGCGTGTTGAAAAGGTCGAGGTTGACAATGCCGTTGGAGGCTCTGTTAGTTAGATCTCGCTTCTGTTGCAACATGCGGCCTAGCATGCTTCCCTTCTGCCGGATCCTCTTCGTCAGGGCGCGCGTATCGACGCCGTATATAGCCGGAACCCCTTGATCTTTGAGCCATGTGCCCAGGGACGTGGTCGCGAGGAAGTGCGAGAAGTCTTCGCCAGCATAGGACGCCGTCACGAGACCAGCGATGTGGATTTGGGAGGACTCGAAGTGAGCAGGCAGATCGCCGAGAAGCTCATCGACCGTCTCTCTCGAGGGTACGCCATAATTGCCGACCAAGGGGAATGTTATGACGAGGATCTGGCCGCGGTACGAGGGATCGGTCACGCTCTCGGGGTAGCCAACCAGGCCGGTCTGGAAGACGAGCTCTCCGGCGATACTCTTGGGGGCGCCGAAGCTGTAGCCCTGATAGGCTGAGCCGTCATTGAGCTCGAGGCACACCAGGCCCTCATTCTCTGTGTTAGCAATGGGCGCCGTAGCCGGCCGGTAGGTGATAGCAGCCATAGCGACTAGGGGCGCAACGTGTAGAGGGTGCGCAGAGGCGCTGCTAGGAGTGAGTCTGGGACAGCTAGAAAATATGAGGATTGCGGTGGATCGAGAGCTCAACAAGTTGCCCAGTGCAGGCGCAAAGAGGAATTGGATATCGCCGGAAGTTGATCACCTGGCAAACTTCATGGTCCAATCTCGAAAACACTCTGCACAGGCTGTGGCTATGTGTATGATTCGAGGACGAGGGTGGAAAATGTGGTCGAAAGAATTTTGTATCGACTTGCCCCGCCAATCCGCCACCATAGCACCCTAGTCTGGCCTATCAAAACTTTTCTAGGGTAGTTTTGGCTTGGTGGTAGGGTAGTTGCAACTGCTGCGGGGTGGACCCATGTTCGCTTCAAGCTCCAACTGTGCTTGCCCAAGTTGGAGAGAATCTGCCAATTTCGACCAGTCACCTCACTGCTCGCCCGCAGCAGTCCAATCCAGCGGGGCGGGTGTGTGACGGGCCAAAATGACAGTGTTTAAACCCAGTTGGGCCGAGGGACCCAGGATTTTGGCTAGACATTACCGAGTAACGACCTGAGGTATTTGTCTTCATGTCGTTAAGGGGGTTTAATGGAAGGGTGAATATATAATAATCACGAGAGCCTGAACAAACAGGTTTCTTCATCAAGCAGCAATATCAGATTGTTGTTCAGATGGGAAACACTTGCACACATAATTACCGTCAGTCCTACCTCTTCTTGACTTGTCGCTGGACGACTGACCTCCCAATTTTAGGTTAGACACAGTCATTTTGGCGAGCTGCACTGTCACTTTCTCCCAGCCCCTGCCCCTGGCGGACCCAACCTTCTTGCAGCATGCAGCTCTGCCGGCCCTTTTTCTTTTCTCAGGCGTCGTCTGTGGTTGGCCAGTGCCCGCCTTGAGGTCGACTTCTTCAGCTCAGGCCGTGATGTTGCGGGGGCAATGCGTCCTTGGATATACCAAGTAGCAAAATGGATACATGCATGGTTATAGACAGCATCTGCAGAACGGCACTTTCACTCGGCCTTTGTGACTGGGCATTCTTTTGGACATGCAGTTTTATAATGTCATCTCGAGGGCGCCCCGCCACGACTCAAATGAGATTCCGAACTATCTTAATGACAGCAAACAACCTAAGAACTGCCCCGCCAGGGTCACCTGTCTGCGTACAAGGAAACATTTCATTATGTCGTGTGGGTGAATTAAGTTTTTCCTATTGGAAAACGTTAGTTGCCTCCTCGTGCCGCAACCCGCAAGCGCATTCTCAGTTCCAGCCCGGTGCCGAATGCCCCACTCCGATAATAGTGGGTCAGCACCGGCTCCGGCTTGGCTCTCCGTCGGCGGCGAAGTCTCCGGAGCAGGGCTATAAAAATTCAGTAAAAACGGGAGATAAAAAGGTCGGGTCGTGAAATTACTTCCCGTCGGGTCTAGATTGGGTATGTGTGTCGCGCTTCCAGAGTCGGCATATCCGTGGTTACATAGATAAGACTCTTCACTCCTAGCAACACTAGCCGAGGGGTGAGACGGAAGCATCTCATGTTTTAACGCAGGTCTTGCTTGCGTCCAAGGTTTGTGTGCATCCCAGCCATGGCGACATTTCTGGCTAGGCGGTGTAGGTGTTTCTTTGTTGGTGCCCCAAAAGGGGGGCTACCCCAGGGAGCAACACACCCACAAGGGTCCTCACACACCTCAGTCGTCGAGCCGTGGCGATTCTAACTTTTCCACTACAAGTATCCGCTACCTCTAGACCACAACACTCATGAGCATTGATAGAAGCACTGAAAATACGGCTCCGCAGTCGCCTTATTTAGTTGATTGTCGAGACTGTTCCTGCCAGTTTCATGCCAGCGCAAGAGAAGCCTGAACTTCCGAGGACTCATCGAGCGAGTCAGAAGTCGTTATATGCCCGCCTGGCCTGAGTCCAATGGTGGGGTCTGTCTCGCTTCCCGTCGTTAGGGTGTGGGTGGGACTGAGCTAAGGGACTGGCTGCAGCTTTTCTTGCAGGATGCCTGCGGCACCCATTCCCAAACAGTGACCTGCGAATTCACCGTCCACCGAAAAATGATCATGCGCCTGGTCACCTTGCCGGCAACTTCGTTTCTGATGCCGACATCCCGCGGGTCCAAGATAAAGCATCCCTTGAGTAGAAAATGTAGTGTGGGGAGAGGGTGGGGTGGCAGAGGTTACTTAGTCAGGTATTCAGGGCAGTAGGAAAACAACAGCCCAGCCTTCTATCGAATCGAGCTGTCGCTTGTGCGCAGGGAGTCGAGGCAGGCTGCCAGGTGGGCATTCTCGATCGAAGTCAGACCGCTCAAGGGCGAGCTTGGGTTGGTCAGGTACTTACATACCTTGGTTAGCGAAGATTGCTGTCCAATGCTTTGCAGGCGTCCACCCCTCAAGAGAATCGCTGCATATGCAGAGAACCTTAGGAGCTGCCATGCCAATACGCCCTGCCTGTTCGTCAGAGCGCCTGCCGAAGTTCAAATCGGCTCGCGCGGTAGCGGCATAAAATGGGCAAATCAGGCGGCTTATAACTAGGTAGTTAGGTTGCCGACAATACACAAAGTTGATGTTCGGTTTGGCATCCATTGGGAGTGCCGACTTTGATAGTCATAGAGGGCACTCTAAGGCCCAGTATCCGTACTTTGTGCGGTGGAACCGATTGACAAGTGCTGCTGTAAAAGAGGTAGGGACCCCCAGCCCCTTGGCAATCAAGCCGCATCCGGGGCTCTTTCCTCGACTTCGTCAACAGCTCGGGCAGCCCATGTGGTCGCAGCTTCCCAAGCATCTGAGGTTCACAACTCCAGCGGTTGTGAGACAGGCAGGATCCAAATGACGTGAGCTAGAGATTTTACGAGTTACGACGTACTTAAGCATGCTCTCCCGGCCCCTTCTATTCTTGCCGATTCCCACAGTCAAGCTTGAGAGTGGAGATAGCACCTAGGTAGCTGTCGACGGATCGCGTTGGTGCCGCCTAGGCCGGCCTGGCCAATTTTTCTAATCGAGGCGCCTCGGCAGCGGGAGCGGGCCCACCATCTCGTCGAGTCCCATCCCATCCCAGATTCCATTCCCATCCCATCCCATCCCATCCCATCCCCGTGGAGGCTGGGCTGTTTGTTTTACGCTGAGGTACAGTACAGCACTGTACCTACGGTAATTCCTTAGGCGGGCAGGACTGCAATCGATTGCAATCCATTTTGAGGGTTCCGGGTTGCATCCCCGATCAAGAAGCACCACCAAGCTGCCCACTTTCTTGATTCTTCTCCCCGCTCCAATGGCGTGTGCACGTCGCCAGTGACGCGCCTGGGCACGCAAAAGCCCGTCCGGAGAATGCTGTCCGCACTTCTGCGACCCTTTACGGGCTGCAGCCCGCGCATTGGTGAAGACGGCGACGGGGACGGCGGGGACGTAGAACACGACATGGGCTTCCGGGCCCGCCCTTTTACCGCCAGCGAGTATAACCAGCACCGCCATGCCACTGCAGACTTTACCGAGGGGGACGACGACGACGAAGCGTCCAATGACGCCGGGCAGCCGAGTAACCAGACCGGCAATCGCGTCGAGCGAGACGAGGATGGCCTGTCCCAGCCTTCAGGCGTCTTGCCCCTCTTCTCTGCTGGCCATCTCGGTACCACATCTCATATTTCTATTCGCCGTCTGGCGGGACTCTTGCTGACCATTGCCTCTCAGATTCGCTGCCAATATATAGCATGACACATGCGATTCGCGTCGTGGTGCAAGCTAGAACTGAAACTACACTGACCTGGGACCAGCTCCGGTCCCCCCAGGTATCCCAATTTCTGGTCAAGCCTATGCAACAGCAAATCCGCACACAGTATTTTTCTAGGGGCACTCTCTACGCCTTGATGGTGAACTGCTTGCAGTTCGAGAAGGAGGGCCACATGAACCCGGGCAATGCTGGCACGAGCAGCACAAGGGCCAAGGTTTGCGAGCTCTTGGCTATCAAGCTGCTCAAGGAATACACAACCCGTGAGCTTATTGACGCCCTTTCATATGACTTTTATCCTCTCCAGGGCATCTCAGGGTCGCAAACTCCAATCACTCCAGCGGTTAAGCCAAAGCCGGTCGCCCTCCGGACTTCGACCCTCGAGGTTGCCATCCGCGCCTCTTCTAAGCGCTTTCTCTCCCACCCCTTGGTGGTACAGCAGCTGGAGGCCATCTGGAACGGCGCCATTAGCTTCTACTCTGCTGCAGATCAGCTCCACCGCCAGGGCTCTGTGTACACTGCCGCCGAGAGCATTCCGTCTCGGCGTCAGAGCAATGCAAGGACGCCGTTGCTAGGTCCCCAGCCAAAGGAAGAGCGCGTCCATTTCCAGCCTTCGTCGCCAGGCCGAAGATCGGCGGCCCTGTACGATCCTCGGGACGCATCCCTCTTCAAGCTGTCCCGACTGCGCGTCCCCCGCTACCGCCAGATTCTGTCCACTTGCTCTCTAGCCGTGCTGATCTGTCTGTTTCTCGCTGTCCTGGTTGAGAGATCCAGCCGTATCACCACATTAGAACTTGTCTTCTGGTTCTGGAGCGCCGGTTTTATGCTGGACGAGATCGTGGGGTTCAACGAACAAGGCTTTTCCCTATACATTATGAGCTTCTGGAACATATTCGATCTTGGCATCTTGCTGCTTCTGATCGTGTATTACTGCATGCGAATCTATGGCGTATTCCTTCTTGATCCTCATAAATGGAATCAAAACGCCTACGACGTGCTAGCGGCCAATGCGATCCTTTTACTCCCCAGGATCTTCAGTGTATTGGATCACTACCAGTATTTCTCGCAGCTCCTAATCGCTTTCCGACTAATGGCGATTGACCTGGCCGCCGTCTTCGTCCTTGTCATGGTCTGCTGTAGTGGCTTCTTTGTCTTCTTCACTCTCTCCAAGAACGAGAATGACCCGGCTGTGGTGGCTTATAAGATATTTCAAATTCTTATGGGCTTCACTCCGGCTGCCTGGGAAGTGTGAGTTCAGACACGCGGGTCACTGTGTGAAGTTGAAAACGAGCTAACCACTTTCAAAGATGGCCGTCTTACAACTGGATGGGGAAACTGCTGATGGGTCTATTTCTCATCATTTGCCACTTTGTCGTCGTGTGAGTGGCTGTGCTCGGCTCGCCGTTGGTTTCTGGAGATGTTAATTCGGATCGTTAGGACCATCCTTATCACGGTATTGACCAACTCCTTCATGTCGATCGCGTCAAACGCAACTCAGGAGCACCAGTACGTCATATCGCACAAGAAACAGAAACCTCCTTAGCAACTCGTAGTGCTAACACTTCCAGGTTTCTCTTCGCCATTAATACCATCTCCATGGTGAAGAATGATGCCCTTTTTTCCTATATTGCACCCGGGAACATCTTTGCGTGGCTGTTCATACCGCTCAGATACTGCATGTCCCTGAAACATTTCGTGTGGCTGAACCGCTCGGTGATCAAGGCCACTCATTTCCCACTACTGTTCTGCATATATGTCTACGAGAAGTACTTTTTAGCCCCGTACATCTACGAGCCCACGGACCTTATCGATCATCCAGGCCGGACTCGTCAGCGAGGCATTTCTCTCTCGGATCCAGCAAGCAGGGCAGCCTTTTTCAGCCCTAGTATTCGGGTACGAGAAGAATCAGCGGTTGGATTCCAAAAGTATCGTGCCCTGGACGAGGTATTCCGGAGGGCTCCTGATTTTGCCACACTGAGGACACATAGGCGAAACGAGCGGCGAAAGACGCAAAATGCCATTAGGACATGGATGGATCAGAACGACGGCGGCTGCAACTCGCCCCATAATTACTCAACAATCGACAGCCGGGTAGCAAATGAATGGGAGAGGAGGTTGAGCATGGCTCGGGAACAGCCAAAGAAATACCCAAGACAAGTCTCAGACGTAAGGTCGGCGGCTAGCGACCCGGCCGATTTCTTCTCGGATGCTGCACACCCAAGGGGCTCTGGGCGTGTCTATCATAATGACGGTATTGCGCGGTTTGACTACGCGTCGAGGGTAAAGGACAACACAGACGGCGAAGCTGATGGCGATGACGAGCTGGTTACAAACGATGAGGACGAGGAAGACAATGCAACCAACAACCAAGGGGATGGACGAAACGATTCGACACATGCTATAGCGGAGGATTACTTTACAACTCCAGTTGCCACTCGGTTTAGCAACGCGGAGCTTGCATTGCCAGTTTCGGCACAGCCGCACCCCAAGACGCCGATATCTCCTCGGCCGGGACCATCTCGGCGGGCATTACACAGCCGAACCTTATCCACAAATACCATTCTGTACGCACCGCAGGAACATGGTAGGCCGCTTAGCTCATCCTCGGCTTCCATAGGACCGGCTTCTCACCCAAGGTCTCGCCCCCTCAGTTCCCGGCCGACACCGGCCGCGACCCCGACGACGGGTGGTGCGGGACGTCGCTCGCCTCGGCGCTCGCTCTATCTGCCTTCACGACCGCACCCGACCTTACCGCCCCGAGACACGGCCCGCAATGTCCCAAACCGTGCAACCTTGGCACTCGACATCCCCGCCAGGAAGTCGCCGATCAGGCGCCAGTCCTCTGTTGATCTTGGTGGCGGCTCATCTGACATAATTGAGGCTGCGGCTTCGGATGATGCCTTTGGGGCGGTACCCTCGAGTTTCAACACCCAGATGGTCATGGCAACAGCCATGCTTGGCCAAAGCGCCCAAGGGGACAGCAATCGAATGAGTAGGTTGATGCTCGCCAAAATGAAGACGCTCGAAGAGAGCCTCGGTGACATGGTGCGCGAGATGCGAGTTCTCCGCAGCACAGTGCCAAGCACGGCGCACAATTCGGGGGACGATGGCAGTGGTGGTAGCAGAAAGCCAAAGGTATCAATAGGAGGAAGCGGACCAGGCTCGGTCTCTACGGGCTCAGCGGGCCCAGCTATAATTGAAGTTGCAGGCCACGATCGTCGACACATACGGAGAACTAGGGCATCAAAATCAGGAAGCCCTAAGCGTAGGTCAAATCTAGGGATGCTGGAGTCCAATCTTGATGACAACCCGACTCAACCTACACAAACCACCAAGGGAAAGGGAAAGGCCAAAGCTATCTCGGACTCTGTTAGTTCTCCCGGTGATGTTGACGACGAGGACGAGTCTGGATTTGTCGGGCTCGGGCATTTCAGTGCGGGGAAGGGAAATTCCTTTTGAGGGTGGAAGAGCAATATTTTCAATTTAGCCCGACTAGGGCCCAGGTTTGGGTTGGTTTGGGGGTGGTTGATATTGGCATTTCCTTGTCTTCTGGGTCATTATACTACATCCTCCTGTATGTGTGTTTTGTGTATATTTCTGCATGTGTACCGGCGGGTGATAGGCTGGTTGGTTATTAGGTGGTTAATGGTTGGGCGGCTGGCTTGGTGCATTAGGAGGCGTATAATTGTTCCAGGATAGGTGACGCAAATACCTCTGTATCTCTCTGTCTGTTTTCTGCCTACGGTCTTCAGATAGTGCTAATTAGACCAGGATAGAAAGGATGAGCTGTCTTTTTTTTATTTACGTGCTTTGGCGACCATTCTTGTGGCAACTATGGTTCGAGTGTATTTCCCAAGTATTGTCGCTTGCTTAGTGTCAGAACAGTTAAGCTCTTCCGGAAACCTGGCTGTATATGAGTGAGGTAGAGACCCGGGCCACAACTATTTGCTCTATAACCCTATAGAGGCCATCCTATGAAAACGAACGAGTTAAGATTAGCTAAGACGACGTAACTAACTCCTACGGGTTTTGTGGTGATAAGAGAGATGGAAACAAATACTGGGAAAGCAATACCGGTTCTATTTGTCATCGAACCACCCCCGTCCATTTTATTTCATTTCTGAGTGGCGGCTACCTTTGCCCCTATCCAATCTTGTTCTATGCTAACCAGTGCTGTATAAGCCAACCTCTTTCTCTTTCTCGAGCTGAAAACACCTAGCGACCCTTTTCATCCTCGCCAGCTTGTTTTCCCGTAGAAAAAGAACAAACAAACGCACAGCGACACAAGAACAAGAGGCAAAGACCCAATAAAGCGGAGGCGTTATGCAGGCGCCGTGATCGTCACACGAGCTTCCTCAGAGAATAGCAGGACCCCTTTAGAATGGCCGGGGTAGAAAGCAAAGTGCAGAAGCTGTGTCTGCCCTTCTAGATGCCGCCGCCGCTCCGGTCGACGCTAACGTAGCGGCCACCAGCGTTCTTCTGCGCCGCCTCGTTTTCGCGCATCGTCGTCGCCACGTGCTTGAAGCCGAGCCCGAGCCCGGCGACGGCGAACCCGAGGGCGATGACACCTGGCCGGCGCCTAGTGGGTTGGGGGAGTGTGAGTAAAGGTAGGTGGGGGGCATCGCGTGCGGGGAGTGATAAAAGGTGGAAATGAGAATAAAAGGGATGGGCAAATCTGACATTACAGGGGTCGAGTAAGGTAAGAAACACCCCCAAAGAGGTGAAGGGGTTTGTGTAGGGAGGGATGATAAAGGGAGGGTGTAGAAGCCCGGGTAAGGTAACCGCTCTGTGAAACATCCAGGGACTTACAGGAGAGGTCGTAACGGCGAGGGGCCCGAAGCAGTGGACCTTGTCGCGGCACTGGGCATCGTCGAGCCTCTAGAATGCTCCATAGCAGGTGTTGGGAAGGTGTGGTAGAGATGTGATAGAGATTGATAGGTCTCAGGCACAAGAACAATGAAGAATTTGTTTAGGATGCGGTAGGCTGTGTAGTAATTGCACGGAACGCTTTGTCTCTCGTCTGCGGCGGGGGGGAATTCGAAAACGGAGCGGAAAAGGAAAGAAAACAAATAATGGGTTATTAGCAGCTCTTCACTAACAGCGTCATAGCATTCCTCGTAACACGGATTGGACAAGCAAAAGGTAGGCTAACTGAAGTTGAAGGCGAAAAGACAAGAGTAAGATCGAAAATTGCCCTGACTAGAAGAGATCGATCGTTTCAGGTCATAGAAGAATCATGTTCCAAAAAAAAAAAAATGGACTGACGTCCGAGAGCGCAAGGGACGAAGCGAAGGGGAACGGGAAAGGCACGCGACCAACCTGCCCGGCTTTCAGCAGCCTGCACTAGTCCCGATAAATGTCGACAGGGGGGTTAAGCTCGGGTGCGGGGTGCTCTTGGCGCAAGGAAACTGGGGGGGGTGGAAACTGGGGGATGTCAGTGGTGCACGAGTGGGGAAGAGACTTAGCAGGAAGCTTCGAACAGTCTGGAATGGCTGCCTTCCGATTCGTGACACGGGTCTTCTCCAACAATATAAGTGGAGTGAAGTGCTTCACGATGACCCGATCCCGCGGGCTGTCATCCCTTTCGTTTTCGTCCTTCTACACTTGGCACTACGGAATATATCTGGCAACATTACTGCACACCACACACCACATACCACACACTACCGCCCATCGGAGCCCTTATTGTTACACGGCTGCGCTACCAACACTCAGCCGCTCATTTCTGTGTCCGTATACAACCCAGCCCATACGATAGAAGAGCAGCGCACCGCTCAAAAGTCTCACATTACGCAACGGGGAGCTGAGTCCCGCTTGGTTGCGTTAACTTTCAGTCTCTCGTTGAGAGCTCGGCTGTATCGGCAACCAGCTGAGCTCGTACTTTTATATGACTTCTTTGTATGAGACATTATGTCGAATTACTGAGCACTGGGCGATGGTGGGTTGATCACCTTGGCCTGCTCCAAACAGCGCCGGGCCGAGTGCCGCAATTTCGGCTCCATCACTATCATGGCATCGGACAGGAAAGAAGCCAGGCCCGATCCCGGAGCCTGAGCACAGGCTTGCGCGAACTGCACAACTTTTGCACTCCACCTCTGTCCACGAATTGAGTGCGGAGAATCGACGCTTGGGAGTCCATGGGCGCACTCCAGGACTACCACCCCGAGAGACCAGATATCGATAGCCGAATTGTAGAGTCGGCATCTATCGAAGGTTTCAGGGGTGGCGTAACGCCGCGATCCGCCAACTCCAGTCAAACATTCAGTCGTCTCAACAGTGTGGCTGAAACCCGAGAGCTGACATGCAGAGGATTCCGCGATACAAGTCTTTTGCTCGGCTTTATATCCCGATGGACAATCGATCTGCTGCGGCCGTGCAGATACTGCAGAGCTGATAGCCTCTGACAGATGACCCCTAAGCTTTCTTCAACAGATAGTGCCTTCGCCTCGTGTTGGTCCTTGAGGGTTCCCAGCGGCATATTCTCGAGGATGAGGAACGGAGGCTTGGTTCTTGTTTCCTGCACCTAGGGCTTTATGAGGCTAATGATATGTGACTAGCCGAAAAAGTAAGAAACTGTTAGTCTCTACTTTCTTTCTCCTTTCATTCTTGTTCCAAACAAAAGTTCATAGCTATGACTTACGAGACGTAGCGTTTGCAAAGTTTCAGCTTCGGCCTCCAATCAGTCAAGGTGGCTCGGTCTAAGGGGCATTTTGGAAGCGTATTGGATCCTAGTACTAACATCCCACACTCGAAAGACCTCCGAATGTCTCCCTCTGCCGAGCAACCCATCCTCAAACAAACAGTAGGGCATTGTCAGCAGGCCGGATTTCCGGCTAGGTGGATCTCCTGGCATCGGCTGTCCTTCATCTGGTTGTTCCATGCTGGGAGGTTTTTAAAGGGGAGCCATAAAGAAACTGCCAAACATCACCTTTGTACAGAGCAGAATTCACGTCGTGGTCTGAGGCCATTATGTGGAACTTGAGGTCTCGATGCAGTACAACAACCAGTGGATACTCGCCGCCAGCACTGGCGCTGGCGCTGGCGCTGCTGCTTGGTAGTATATCTCTAAGAATCTAGGTGAACATGCGCCGTTTCAAGTCGGGGGGTTCCATGCAGCCGGGATACACGACGGCGGCTCCGTCTCCCTTTCCAAGATCTTTCACAATGAGCCGGCTCCGGTCGTCAAAAGATATAGCGCAGTGGGTGCTCCACACACCCTTAAGACATTTACTCCTCGGCAGGACGATGTCGCTGTCCGGATTTGTTCCGAAGACGAGTCCTTGGCCTTTACTAGGGCCCTGCGCCTCGTTAAATCGCAGCTCCAGGGCATAATCTCCGCTATACATGTTGAGGTTTTGAGACTCCATATCTGGATACATGATCCGGCGAGACTGGCTTTCGCGCATGTTGATTGTCTCAACCGCATAAAGAAGACTGTCATATGGGTAGATGCAAGCGATTAAGTTTGCAGCCATTTTCGGGAGGGGCTCTTAACTCAACTCGGGCTTTTGGAAACAGAAGGGTTTGAGGGAAATAAGAGCTTTAAGCAGATGGCTAACTTTATAGGACTTTCGAAGCATAACTAACTCACTTGTCAGCTCAATATCTTCCGTACGCCAGCTAGGTAAGGAATCTTGGTTGAGCATGGTGGCGATGTAGTTACGCGGCGGAAAGAAAAGGCTGATAAAATAGTTTGTCTAAATAGCAAAAAGGACTACAATTCCTAAGTGATGTCTGAGAAGCGACGGGAGGTAGGCATAGGTAAGGTACCTTAGTTGTGAGTTAGGTATCGTGGACCTTTGGGGGACGCGTGGGGGCTGAGGTGGAATCCTCCCGGGCCCCGCATCAGTAACAAGGCCTAGACAGGGGCTCCCTGGCCTGGAAACGGCGGTCGACGTCCCCTGTTCCCAAGAGGTCGGGTCGGTATCCAACCTAATTCGACGACATGCTGCATCAGTATGCCTTTGCTTATATTTGGAGTCATAGCTAAAATATAAGACGTGGTGCATTGGAGCGGTTGCCTGGGGCCCCATCTTATTCATGATTCATTCCATACGGATGTTGCATCGGTATTAACCAACAGGAAGGCAGAACAACAAGCTGCAGGACGTTTCTGGGCCGCAGACAGCCTTGCACCCAATTGCTGCTGGAGTTAGTATCATTCCCGAGGGAGGTAGCGAGGCAAGGTGGCTTCATCGGGCACACCCTCGCGACACAAGGCAGCAGCCTCTCCCTCCACTGTATGGATAGGGCATCTACCGGCACTGGAAATAACCTTGGAATGAGGTGGATACCCTATGATGAAAGTAAGTCTGACACTCGCAGCCTTAGACCTTACCTACCTCGCTGGTGACCGCAGCTCAGCTTGTGCCGTTGCCCCGCATAATTAAGGTAAGTGGTATGTACCTGCCCCCCATCACCCCTCCTTCCTTCCAGACTCGACCAACCATTAACAAAAAGCCCAGCCGCTCTGCCTCTACCAAGCTACGGGAAGGGCTGCCTCCTCTCCCCATGCTTCGCAAGGCAATCGGCAGCAAAATAGTGAAACGGTGGGTTGACACTTTTGCTGTCGTTCGTTTTGTCTGGTTGCGTGTCCGTCCTAGCTTTGCACTGCTTGTGACCTGTCGTGTTGCCCAGCACTTCCAAGTCTCGAAACTGTCCAACTACAGCTGTCTACTTGGGCAGTTTGAGTCTGGGTTGGATCTAAGAATTTCTCGTCCTGAGTGTGTCTGTCTAACGCGGCTCAATAGCCTCGCCATCCCAACATTACTACCTCAGACACTAAATTACTACCCTGCCCGAGGCTCGACCGAGACTAAATTCTTTGAGCCCCTCACGAGCTTCATAACTCGCCCCTCCTTCACTCGTACAGGAAAATATATTCCACCTCTTTCGTTTTCCCCACACAGCGGCGCTCGCGTTTTCTTCCTTTCGCAAACAGCTCGACACACCTAACACAAGTGCCAGAGCCTTGCCGCCGCCAAGATGAGCAGCTCCGTGTACCCCTTCACCTCTCGGGAGGAGGTCAAGAGACGCAATGCGAGAGCCGTCAAGGCTTTTGACCTGCAACGGCTGGAGATCCGGTCACTGAAGTACTCCAACTTTGACGACAACGGCGGCGACGTGTTGGCCGTCGTTACCTTCGACCAGGAATCGGACAGGGGCTGTGCCTGCGACGGCGCGCCCTGGCCCGATGTACAGATCCGCATGTCCCGCGACAAGCTCTTGAGTCTAGGCTCGAGCAAGATCGCCGGCATGTTCGACGACAGGCGCCAGAGGCTGTACCGCCGCCGTTGGGGTTCAAAATCTCTGCCGCCCGGCATCGAGTACATCCTCGATTTCACACCCCCCTCGGAGGGCGCCGAGCTCGCCGATCTCACTGCCGCCCTCTGGCTACCCAGAATGGTCAAGCTCTGGTTTCTCGCCGGCCACTACGAGCCAAACGAGGTTCTGGCAATTGGTCCGGATCCCACCGGTTTTCAGACTCGTCCTCTCGCCAATATGGCTGTCGGCGCCGTTCTTGCCCTGGGCCATGACGATATCTGCAAAGCGCCAAATTGTATGTCCGCGCACATCACGTTCTGTGCGAAGTCATTATTCTCAGCTAACTCTACAGGCCCCCTGGACTTCTCCTACTGGGAGGTCCAAACTGTACCAGGCATCGTCGGCGATGATTCGCCGTCAAGCCAATCTGCGCCTCGTCATATACCCGACTTCCGCAAGGTCGACGACTACTGCCGCATCCGACACCGTGCCGCCGTAATGCGTGTACTCCACGCCATCAACGGCAAAGACCTTTTGCTGAATTCGGCTACCCGGATGTGGACGGTTGCGCAGGTGGCGATCTATCTCGAGGTTCCTAACGTTGTCGTCGGTCCCGTAACTCAATGGCTACTCGCCGAGCCCAACACCAAATTCATGGAGATATGTCCAGAGAAGGCCTACCAGCTGGCCCTTGCCCTGCGCATCCCAGGTGTTCTCATTCATACATTCAAGATCATGGTCAACGAAAACGCCATTGATCTTGCGACTACCAACCCTTCTCCAAGATTGCCACCTGTTACGTGGGCCCAGCGAAGGCGCGATGACTATGGAGATTTCCCCTCCGATGCTATCGAATACGCCAGCCGCGCCATGGTCGAGCGCATGAGTGCAAATCTAGCCATGCTTCGGGCAGACGATGTATTCGAACGACTCCCAGTCAAGATCGGCGAGTGGGAGAAAATGCGCCACTTGGGGGCTCTCATCGAACAGTTTCCCGCCTGCGACCTGAAGTCAGCCTACAATGCCCTATCCGAAGCCACGATAGCCGCATTTCATGGTTTGGTGGGACGGACTCTCGAGTTTCGTCTTCCTGACAATTATTTCGGAGATCTTCTTAGATATCAGCGAACTCACTATGTTCCAGAGAGCGAGCTCCTCGACTTGGCTGACCTATACAAGAAGCTCGAAGCCACACAGCGGTCTCTTACACCGTTCTTCTGGGAGTCGCTTCGGCGTGCTGATGTCATCGTCGCCTTTGGCAGTTCTTTTTACAATGGGAAAACTCTGTCGATGCTGGCTACCGAGTTCAAGGATCTCCTTTGGGAAGCCCGAGATATACTAAAACTCTCGGGGCACCACATGGACATGGACATGTATACGTTCCAGAATACGGTCATGTTCGACCATACGAAGTTCTTTGCTCAGCTCATGTCTGCGGTGAAGGTCTTGTGCCTTGATATATTACATCCCAAAACCGACGAACTCTCCGAACTCTCCGGACTCCGATACGTCTTGTCCGATCACCTCCTTCTTACCCTCGACGAGAAAGAGATGAATTACTTGCCGCTGTGGGCTGGAGGCCTTGACGACGGATCTGGCGGTGTCTTCCAAGACGCCATCCCTCCTGCCGAGATGGGTCCTAGTGAGCCGGGACCCGGATATCACACAGGATATACTATCGCCAGCGAGACGGACACAGAGACCATGGGCTATGCCTCAACTACTACCCCTTCAGACCTCGGTTTTGGCGGTCTTGACATTGGCGATACCTCTACTGTCCGCAGCATGGATGCTGAGCAGAGCGCCTCCAGCGGGCTACCGCGAAACCGGGTCATTGCTGCCCCGTCTGTTTCGTCTGAGACATTCTCGGCCGACTATGCCGAATACGCCGACGCCATGTTTCTGGTACCCGCTCATCATCAAGCGCACGGCCAAGCGCTGGCGAGCTATGTCGAAAATTACGGCGACCATGACGCGGCCTCTCAAATTACCGAGAGCGCGACCATGACTGCTACCGACATGGAAGATGGCAGCTCAGAGGAAGCCCAGGGCGATGAAGACATGGAGTTCTTTTTCGAAGACGACATGGATCTGTCTGATGACGGCAGCTCCACGTTGGACGGCTTTGAGGACGCTAGCGACGATAGCGCTACGCTGTCCTAGGCGCCTCTTACTTCCAGCTTCCTCTTCTTCTCTTCCCTCTCTTTCTTTGCAGCCCTCTTCTTTAAAGACCGACGAGGCTCCTATGCCACCTTCGTGTCCTATTGACCTCTAAAATATAATGGGCGGGTTTTCCTCGTCTTCTACGATATAAAGAAGGGTAAATCAATCTACTTGCGATATCAGAGGGAATGCCTCCAAAAAAGCAACTTTGCACTGCATATGGACATGACGATTAAAGCATACCTCTTCTCACGACATGGCGCACTTGAGCAAATTTCTCTAGTCTAGGTAAAACGGGCATGAGATGGACGACACGTCTTTGGTATGGAGTTTGGGAGTCATTCTCTTCGTTATTTCTTCCTTCTTTCCTTTTTTTTTCTTCACACATTAGAAGGAGAAAAAGAATAAGCGCCGCGATGTGTGGAAGATTAGCTGGATACTTGTTCGAGAGGGCCATTTTCCCAAGCCTTTCTCTTAGTGTAGAGTTTATCATGTATATTTGAGGATCCTGCACGATTTTTGACAACAGGGCGTGTTTAATTTGTACACGTGTACCTTGGTCATGGGCTTGTGAGGATTTTCTGGACAGACATGCCTGTACGAATACATTGCTTTGCATTTAGATTGGTGACTATGTAGGTACCTAGGTAACAAAGGATAGGCGGGAATGGGAAAGCGAAATACAAATAGGCGACTGTGCAAAAGTTCCCGAGAGACTGGGTTCAGTGATGCAACGATTCAAGGAAGACAATCAGCACAAAATACCATGAGCTGCTTCTTCAATGGCCAGGTAGGGCGTTAATTATTTCTATGCATATAATAAGCTACCTAGTATCCGTCCCTCCAAAAAGGAGTACAGATCCCTTTATCCCCTATTTAGCGTGTTGCCGCTTCCCTTGGGGTTGGCCTCGACGTACTCGTCCCAGGCGCGCGCCTTGAGGGTCTCGGCGTCGGCTTTTTCGTAGTCGTCCTCGTTGGGCTCGGGGCGGGCGTAGCTCGCCTCGCCGCCGCCCTCGATAATGCCGCCGCGCCGCCGCTCCTCGTCGAGGTACTCGTCGATGGTCATGGTCGGCAGGTTGTGGCCCGGCCGGAACACTCCCTTGGCCAGCTCCTGCCGGTTGCCCAGCAGCGTGAAAGGCTGTAGCGGCTTGCCTTGCGCCGACAGGATCGGCCCTCCCTTACCCCCGTTGCCGAGCGCACCGCGGACTAGGTCGAGCCGCTCGCTGTACTCCGTGTCTGGTGCCACGCCGTGCGCTTGCAGCAGCTGCCGCCGCCGCCGCCGCACGTCCTCCTCGGCCTGCGCCGTCTGCCCCCCCCGCCCCTCGGCCGACCCATGCTCGGGCGCCGGCGGCGCCTGCGCCAGCACCTCCCACTCGCGGTTCATACCCTCGAGCGCCTGGAACGCCATATGCGCGCTGAACTCCAGGTGCGCAAGGTGCAGCGTGCGCACGGCCTCGTCGTCGGGCCCGCCGTTGTTTTGGTCGCCGCCGTCCTCTTCCTCGTCATCGTCGTGTGCGTCTACCGCGCCGTCGTCATTGTCCTCCGTGTCCCCGCCTACGTCGTTCTTGCCGCCGTGTCTCTTCCGCCGCTGCTGTTGCTCAGCCTCCTGCTGCCGCCCGCGCAGGTAGGCGAGATTGGCGCGGAGCTCCTTCTCGGCGCGGAAATTTGCGATCTTGGCCTCGCGGCGCGCCGCCGGGTCCCCCCCAGCTCCGGCCGTGATGCTGAACTGCGACGGCGCCTCCGTGTACCGCTCCAGCAGGCGGCGGTGCGCGGGCGCCAGCAGCCCGTAGCCGTCGAGCAAGTGCAGGAAGCGCTCGAGCGCGTCGCGCGCGCGCGCCAGCGTGCGCCGCCGTTCTCCGAGTGATGTTGATGGCGCCCGCTGCACCACTTCTGCTAGGTGGTAGTCGACCAGCAGGTACGGTAGGCTCGACGTCGACAGGTCTTCGGCGCCCTCGTTACCGCTGAAGAGTGACAGTTGGGCGGCTAGCTGCCGGCACGCCTCGTAGGTCGCTGTGCACGCGGCCACGCTGTCCGCGTAGCTTGTCGACTGCGTGTCCTGTGCCGCTTCGAGCGCGAGGCGCTGGCTCTCGGCGGCTGCGAAGGTCGCTTTAAGGGATCTTGGGGGGTTGTTGTCCATCGTGGTGTTTATTCCTTTTCTCCTTTTATTTCTGCTTTTTGGCTCTGTGACTTCTTCACCCACCCCTGCTTTTTTCGCTCGCAAATATAGCGGTTGGTCGGGTTGATGTGGTGTGATGTTGAAGGAAGGCTGCGTTGATTCGCTGTGAATGTCACTGCTATGAATGGCGACGCCGGGAAGTATTATTCCATAGTCGCGTGGTCGCTGCTGCGAGTGTGAGGTCTGAACTCGTATTCCTGTTTTTGAATGGCGAGTTCGTCGTGAATTGCTGTCAAAATTGTTTTGTCGTCAACGGTCGTCCAACGAAGCATGCCGCCATGGTTGTTCCTAGCGCAGGGATTTGTAAACCCCTGCTCCCAACCCCCATACGATGAGGGGTAGTTTCGCTGTTGCCCCTCCCCGAAAAGGGCTTATCTGTTATCTATTATCGGTTATCGGTTATCAGTTATCGCTTATCGCTTATCGCTTATCTTATCGGATCGACGACGCGCCAGTGACATGGTAAACTTACATGATGGCTGCTCTGGAAATGGAATGCCCTCTTTCCCTGAGAAATTATTTGCTCGCAAATCCTTCAGCCATTGGCTAGGGGACTAGCTTCTAAATCTCCAGGAATTCCAATGTGGGCTGTTTAGGGGCAACATCAACCGGGCTGTGTTAAAGTGGCATCGGGCTGTGGTGGGGGGCCAATGACGGAAACAGGTTCCTTAGCCCCCTTTGTGACGACGGCGTCATCGGGCCACTAACTCCAACATATATCGACGGCATAAAACAAAAGCCAAGAAGACAACAAATTCTCATCTTAGAGAGTTGAGTTTGGTTATTCTGCACTCGGTCAATGCGAGTCACTTGCCGAAGAGTCCTTTCAGCTTCTGCAGTCGCCCGACGTCGTCTTCCACCCTCACCGACAATGGCGCTACACCCGCCGCAAGAGGCAGCTAAGCTCATCTGTAAGTTGAAGCTTCCACTCTCAGGGCTGACAGTGAAAATGAGTGACGCCCATATCTTTACTTTGTCTGTAGTTTTTAATGCAATTTGTTTTTCATCGGGCCCTTGACTTACCTACATGACGTGACAGTTGCGCCCACGGGTACGGCCGGGGCAGACTCTCCGGCGCCCCTGGCCGTTCCAGGTCCCGCTCGCCAGGCCGGCCAGTTCCTCAAGGCCGAGCAGACTGGCGGTCTGCGTCGACAGGATCTCGACTCGGAGGACCCAATCAAGCAGTTCCACGCGTGGTTCCGCGGAGCTTCTCAGCCCGAGGCTGGCATCGCGCACCCGGAAACCTGCACCCTCTCCACGGCCCAGCTGCCCTCAGGCCGCGTGTCTTCGCGCATCGTGTACATGAAGGAGCTCGACCCGACCGGCTTCGTCATATACAGTAACTTCGGCACCAGCGGCAAGGCGCGGGACCTGTTTGGCACCGCCGACGAGTCCAGCACGGGCAACCCCTGGGCGTCGCTCGTCTTCTGGTGGGAGCCGCTGGAGCGCCAGGTGCGCGTCGAGGGCCGGGCATCGCGGCTCGAGCCGGCCGAGAGCCGGCTCTACTTCGACACGCGGGTGCGCGGTAGCCGCATCGGGGCGTGGGCGAGCCGGCAGAGCGCTGTGCTGGCCCCGGACTTTATGAACAGCCAGGACGACGGGCGGGCGCAGCTCAACGGGTGGGTGCGTGAGGAGGAGGCGAGATTTGAGGGCCAGGACCAGATCCCCGTGCCTGAGTTCTGGGGCGGCCTCAGGATCGTGCCCGAGCGGGTCGAGTTCTGGCAGGGACGCCAGAACCGCCTGCACGACCGCTTCGTCTACGACCGCCTACACGGCGCGGGCAGCGACGAGGCCCAGGGCGGAGAGCCGACCTGGAGTCTGGAGAGGCTGAGCCCTTGATGGGAGCCGTGCCTGATGGCTAGCTGGTGGACTTGCTTGGATATGCCGAGGAGGTCCAGAATTGGTACTTGATCTGATCTGTATTGAATTTCACTCTTCTTCACCTGGCTCCGTCCGACGCTGCAGGTAATGTAGTGAGGCCCGATGCGTAGGCAAATGCAGCTCACCGTATTTGCCTACGTACCTACCTTTGCCATTCAAACTCCCCTTCCAGACCGATCCCAGGTTTTATTTCGCCAGCGATTCGCACAAGCACTCCTTTTCTCATATTTTCTCATCGCTCACGTTCTTTCCTCTTCGCCATTTCTCAGAATCAGACGAAATCACTCGCCCCACGGTCAGGAGGCTCCCCCCAGATCCACTCGCTTCCATTACCGCCTTACCTTACCTACCTTACCTTACCCTGCCATATAGTACCGTGACCTTTTTCACCTACCGCGCCTGCCTCTTTCGCAGTTACTTCTACGAATGGTCCTGCTGCCTTAACAACCTAACCCGCCGACCTGTTTCACCGCAAACAGGGCCGGGCCGGTTTGTCAACCTGTCAACCTCGCTCCTTGCAATCGCACTTGTTGGCGCATCCCTATCCCTCCACCTCTAGTAGCGCACGTTCCATCTTTTCCTCCTACCTACCCCGAACTTGACCATCTTACTACCTCTAGCTACTACCTTTAGTATCCCACCCTGAATCCTAGTCTGGCAGTAGCGAGAAAGAGCAAGATGCCGCACGCCCCGGCCGTGCCATCGGCCCCGCCGCCAGCAGAGGTCACAGGCGACCTAATAGATTTTTCGGACAGCTCTGACCTGATTGACCTCAGCGATCCACCTGTCATTCCAGTGGAGGAGCTCTTGCCAGAGTTGCCAGACGTACCTCGCTTTGTTGAGGGCGACGGGGATGACGACCCGCCTGTTATTCCGGCGGGAAAGCTCTCGCCAGAGTTGCCAGACATACCCCGCGCCGTTGAGGGCGACAAGGATGGCGATGAAGACGCCGCATCGGAAAATAAGGCGGCAGATGCAGAATCAGACAAAGACGGCCCGCCTGCAATTTTGGCGGAGGAGCTCTCTCCAGAGTTTCCAGACGTACCTCGCCTTATTGAGGGCGACGAGGATGGCGATGAAGACGCCGCATCGGAAAAAGAGGCAGCAGATGCAGAATCAGACAGAGACGACCAAGAAGAAGGCGTCAAGCGATGGGTAACCAACGAGGCCCCAAAGCCACGCCGGATATCCGAGAAGAAGCGTGCAGAAAATGCGGCATTCGCGCTGTGGGTCGAGCAAAATCAGCAAAATTTGACCAAAACCGCGAACAAGATCGTTCTCGACGGCGAGCAATCTGCTGGCTGGCTGGTCAAAGACTCTGGAAACAAGAAGGTCATCACGAGCCCTCGCGACTACCAGCTTGAACTCTTTGAGCTGGCCAAAACACAAAACACAATCGCTGTGCTGGACACAGGTCGGTTACTTGCATTTCCCTCCAGCTAGGTCCAGACTTGATGGCGCTGACATATTTCTTTCTACCTTACTCTAGGATCCGGCAAGACGCTAATTGCTGCTTTGCTGTTGCAATGGACATTACAGAATGAGCTCGAAGACCGCGCACAGGAGCTTCCCAAGCGTATAGCATTCTTTCTTGTCGACAAGGTGGCACTTGTGTTCCAGCAGCATGCTTTCTTGACTTGCAACCTGGACTACCCCGTCGAGAAGCTATGTGGCGAGATTGTCGACAGTATCTCGTCGGCCGGGTTTTGGCAGGAGACGCTTGATAACTATATGGCTGTCGTCTGCACTGCCGATATACTCTACAGATGCCTCAACCACTCCTTTCTTCGTATGGAGCAAATCAATCTGCTCGTCTTTGACGAAGCGCACCACACCAAGAAAAACCACCCCTTTGCCCGCATCATCAAGGACCACTACGCCCCGATACTGGATGTCGCGAAGCGACCGCGAATTCTAGGAATGACCGCCTCCCCCGTGGATGCCCAGGTCGACCCAAAGAGAGCTGCTGCGGAGCTGGAGGCGCTTCTTCACAGCCGGATATCCACCGTTTCCAATCCGGATGTGCTTATACAAACCATTTGCAAGCCAAAGTCGGAGCTTGTGGTCGAATATGAAAGCCTGCCCAGGGATTTCGAGACAGAGTTGCACCGGTCGCTGAAAGTTCTCGTCGGAGATCATGAACTGTTCCAGAAACCATGTGCTTTTAGCAAGATGGCGGCAGCGGAGCTGGGGGCCTGGGTCTCTGACCGCTACTGGCAACTGTTCTTCATGGACACATATGGCATGAAGTTGGAGGCAAAGACAGAGCGGAACCTCCTTCGCGAGTATTCGGCCAATCAAACCGTAGATCGACACGTGAAGCAAGTGCAAGATGCCAGGAATTTGGTGTTCACTCACGAATTTCAAAGACCAGCCCTCTCTGAACATCTTCTGTCATCAAAAGCCATAACACTTCACAGAACTCTCCAAGACCAGTTCAACGACGGCGACGTCCACCAACGATGCATCGTATTCGTCAAACAGAGAAATACGGCCAGTATGCTGTCAGATCTGCTGCAACAGTCAGAGATGCAGATCCCGGGTGTTCGTGTGGGCATTCTGGTAAGTGGATGAGCCAAAGTCGGCAATAGTATTGATGCTAATCGAAGTTAATAGACTGGAGGAGGAACATATGCAAGCTGTAAATCGCAAAATTTTAGCTTCCGCACCCAGGTCCAGACAATTCGCAAATTCAAGAACGGCGATATCAACTGTTTGTTTGCAACCTCGGTCGCCGAAGAGGGCCTGGACATTCCCGACTGCAACGTAATCATTCGATTCGACCTCTACGACACCTTGATTCAGTATATACAATCCCGGGGTCGGGCTCGTCAAGCCGACTCCCAATATATCCACATGGTCGAGAAAGGCAACATGATGCACCGCAAAAAGGTCTATCAGAACAAGGCCAACGAACTGGTTATCCGCCAGTTCTGTGTTGCCATGCCCGAAGATCGAAAGCTGACGGGCAACAACTTTGACATGGAGTATTTCCTGCGGAAGGAACAGAACCAACGGCAGTATATTGTTCCAGAAACTGGGGCGAAGCTCAGCTACAAGCAGAGCCTGACCTGTCTTTCCGCCTTCGTCAGCTCTCTGCCACATCCACCTTCGTCAGCTCTTTATCCCGAGTACGTGATTACCTCCGCATTTAGAGGCTTTCAATGTGAGGTCATGTTACCACCGGAATCACCTATCAGAAGTGCCATCGGCAATGTATATGCGAGCAAGGCAGTAGCCAAGTGTTCAGCTGCGTTCGAGATGTGTCTCGCCTTGATACGAGGCAAATATCTCGACAGCCATCTTCGTCCTATATTCACCAAACAACTTCCTGCGATGCGGAATGCCCGTCTGGCAATTAGCTCTAAGAAGAGAGCACAATATGAGATGCGGGTAAAGCCTGAGATCTGGTCTGTCCTCGGAAATCCCGTTGAGCTCTTTGCTATGGCATTGACTTTGGCAGATCCCAAGGCGCTTGGCCGGGCCTCCACGCCGCTTTTGTTGTTGACCCGCCAACCCATACCGCCAACCCCCATGTTCCCCTTATTTTTCGGTTCGAACCGTGCATCAAACGTTTGCTGTACGCCCGTTCCCGAGTCTTTCAAGCTCAAGGACGACAAACTTGTCCAGGCTCTGACATCATTTACCCTGAAAATCTTCGCTGATATATTCAGCAAGGAGTACGAAGCATCCGCAGCTGAGCTTCCCTACTACCTGGCTCCAACGCTCAAGGGCCACGCATTTGACTTCTCATCGGTAACGGACGTCAGCTCAATCGTGGACTGGACGGCTATGGAATTTGTTCAGGCAAACGAACGGATCAAGTATGACTTCAATGAGCCAGATGAGTTCTTCCAAAACAAATATGTCGCGGACCCGTGGGATGGATCACGGAAGTTCTTTGTTATCAGACGTCGCCACGACTTCAAGCCAACAGACCTCGTCCCAGAGGGGGTTGTAGCCCCAGCCCATAGAGCCTGGAGAAGGGCAACTCATAGCATAATAAACTACAGCAACAGTCTGGGGTCTAGATCACGGTCCTGCGTTACTTTCCGGGAGGATCAGCCTGTCGTGGAAGCCGAACTGTTGCCCATTAGAAGAGACCTGCTTGACGAAGCTAGCGTAGATCATGACCCTGCTGCGAACCGGTGTTTCTTGGTCCTTGAGCCAATGAGGATCTCCCCGGTAGGTACCCTTCCGCTCGCATAAAGTGCATTGCTGACCTGACTTGCAGATTTCGGTTGACGTAGTGGCCATGGTCTACAACTTTCCAGCCATCATCCACCGGATCGACTCTAATCTTGTCGCACTCGATGCGTGCAGAATGTTGGGGCTGAGAATTCGTCCGGATCTCGCCTTGGAGGCCTTGACAAAGGACAGCGACAACACGAACGAGCACGGTGCCGAAAAGATCCACTTTCAAGGAGGCATGGGAAAAAATTACGAGAGACTGGAATTTCTCGGCGACGCCTTCCTCAAGATGGCCACCAGTATTTCCATTTTCACGCTCATGCCTGATACGAGCGAGTATGTGTATCACGTTAAACGGATGCTGCTCCTTTGCAACAGAAACCTCTTCAACAATGGACTCGAGGTCAATCTGGAGCAATACATTCGCTCTGTATCCTTCAACCGACGGCGATGGTACCCAGAGGGGTTAACGTTGAAGAAGGGAAAGCGAAGCGAAAGCAAACCCCAGCATACTCTAGGAGACAAAACCATCGCAGACGTTTGCGAGGCCTTGATCGGGGCTGCGTATCTCACCGGTATGGAAACCGACAGCTTTGACCTTGCCATTCAAGCAGTTACGACTGTAGTAAAAGATAAAAACCACGCCATGCTCACCTGGAACGACTACTACGAGGCATATAAGAAACCGGAATGGCAGACAATGCCCGAAACTAGCACCCAGATAGATATGGCGAGGAGATTCCATCGGCGCCTGGGATATGCCTTCAAATATCCTCGACTCCTACGGTCGGCGTTTCAGCACCCGACATACCCCCAGGTATACGAAAAACTGCCGAGCTATCAACGGCTCGAGTGGCTCGGTGATGCACTCCTCGACATGGCTTGTATCGACTTCTTATTTCACCGCTTTCCGGACGCAGACCCGCAGTGGCTTACAGAACACAAGATGGCAATGGTGTCGAACCAGTTCCTCGGCTGCCTCGCTGTTATGTTACAGTTCAACAAGGCGATAATGTTTTCCTCTCCGGTTATCCAAAAACGGCTGGCTGAATATGTTGCCGAGATCAACGACGCCCTGCAGACCGCAAAGGAGGAAGCTGTTGGCGCCGGCAAATCAGAGTCGGAATACCTGCGCAACTTCTGGGTCGAATGCCTGCGACCGCCCAAGTGCCTTCCTGATGTATTAGAGGCATACATTGGGGCCATTTTTGTCGATAGTCACTATGACTACAGCACTGTGCAATTATTCTTCAGGGAACATGTGCAGCCGTTCTTTGAGGACATGAGTCTCTATGACACTTTTGCAAACAAGCATCCAGTTAACTTCCTTGCGAAACTGATGCAAACTAGATTATACTGCACGAGCTGGCGAGTCCTAGTAAAGGAGCTGAAGGGTGACGACATCGACGGGGGCGCTGCCGCTGCCGAGCCTTTAGTTGTATGTGGAGTTCGCGTCCATGAACAGACGATCGCCCACACTGTGGGAGTCAGCAGTCGATATGCCAAGATTTCCGCGGCCGAAAAAGCCATGGAGATTCTAGAGAAAATGACGCGGCAGGAGTTTAAAAGGACATACAGTTGCCAATGCGTTGTCAATGAGGACGAGAAAATAGAAGCGGGGCAGCATGGCTCCGCCGTCTAACACGGGGGGCTTCCTATGATGCACTTTTCTTGCTATTTTGACAAAAGCGCATGGTGAGCGGGAGGTATACAGTGCTTGTTTGGGAACTGTTTGACTAATCCGGGGCTGCTGGGCACTTGGGATGTTAGATATCATGTTGGCATAACTACTTAGATAGTCCTCTTGCAGCGGCCAGTCACTTTGACTTTGACTAGCGAACATCTTTCTCGATAGCATTTCGTAGAACTGCAGGAGAATAAAGCGTCTAGTTTCGGCTGCTGACTTGTTCATTGAGCATATACCAGAGCCCCTATTTAGCCCCTTTTCGCTTCCACCTTTGACCACAGCCACAGCAGACATGGAACCGAACATGCTCAAAAGCTGTATTCAAAACTGGATTCGTGTTTTAATTCCGCGAATCCCTCGGGATACCCCCCCCGCTGAAGCCTTGGGGTCTCTTTCACGTTTCGTGAAACAGGCTAAAAAAAAGTCGAGTGCAAAGGAATAAACACGCGCCGGCTGAGGGTAGTAGGTAAGGTAGCTCAGCTTATTAGCTTGATAGCTTGATATAATCCACCCCCTTTTCCCCCTCGGCCTCAATTTCCTGGCCAGCCGCCCCTAAAACGCCCACCCTACCCCGTTCCGTCCGTCCAGCCCCGGCCCGACCTGTCCTAGCCTGCCACATGTGCATTACGTTGGTAGCATGTTGTTGTTGTTTGTTGTTGTTGTGTAAATGCTCCCGCTCCCCTAAATACCCGGTGACTATGTCAGTATAGATGGAATCCCTCCATCTGTAAATAAATAAATAAGAACGAAGTAATTTGCCGATCGAAAAAGAAAATAGACGCCAAATTCACTCCACGTCGGCGTTGTTCACCTCATCCTCGTCCTCATCGTGAGTTGCGGCTTGGTTGTGTATCCCGCTTGCCAAGGATATTGGCTGTGGCGGCGGCAGTGACGCTGCTGCCGCCGTTACTATGAGTGTAGGAGTTGTTGTTGCTGCTGCTGTTAAGGCGACCTCACTCTTCCTCCCCGACAAGACCGGCGCAGCAGACTGTGCTCGCCGCGCCCTGGAAGATGACGATGACAATGCTTGCGCCCTCTTCCGGGCCTTGACTTCCTTGCGCAGCTTGACGGCTGCCGCGACGTCGACTTTGCCCTCGCGCTCCTCCTCGATCACGTCGCCCGCGGTCGCGTGCTGCTGCTGCTGCTGGCTCGTCCGGCTGCTGCCGCTGTGCAGCGCCGACAGCCGCGTCGTCCCGGTCCCTTGCAGCGTGCGCAGCAAAAACACTTCTGCGCCGTCCAAGTAGTAGTTGTCGTCGTCATCGTCGTCGTCAGCGGCCGTGTCGAGAATGAATCGCCGCGAGCGGCCGAATGTGCCAGCATCGTAGACTGGCGACAGGGCCGTGAGCGAGTGCGCGTGCAGCCCCTCCATCATCATCCTCTTTTGTTGTGGGGAGGATTGCGGAGCGCCGTCGGCGATGGACAGCGCGTCGAACAGCCCCGGAAGCTGCGTGCCGTGCACGCCGTAGCCGACGTCGTCGCGGAAGAGCAGGTCTTCCTCGCCCTCGCCGCGCGGCGGCCGCTGGCATGTGGAGAAGGAGTCGTCGTCCGACGACACGTAGTCGTCGATGTTGAACGCGACGGACTGCGGCGTCTTGGGCGACAGGCCGGTGCCGTTGTCGAGCGAGCTTTCTCTGGACGACTGCACGGGCGAGCACGAGCTGCTGAGGTTGATGGACGTGTTGGCCGTGTGGGGCGACTGCGGCCGCTGGTTGGAGCTGATGTCGGACGCCGTGGGCGTGGCCGACGACGCGGACCACCCGCGCATGCTGCGGTTTCGCAACGAGGCGTGCTCCGAGAACTCGTCTAGGTTGCTGCTGCCCGTGACTGGCACCACGGAGAGACCCCTCGCCGCCGCAATGCTCTCGGGCCTCTCGCGGGCCTTATGGGTAATAGAAGGAGCGCCCCTCACAACTGTGGGAACAAGACAGAACGTTAGCTTCGTCATCACACACGGCCGCGGAAGAACAAATGAATATTAAAAATAAGCACTAACGAGGCGATGGCGCAGAATCTACAGGGGAGACGTCTTCTAAGACAGACATGGTCTCGCTGGCGGAGGGGTTAGACGGGGCCTCCTGGGGAGTAGTCGGCGGGTTGATGCGGCGGAGTTTGCTGCGGGGGTAAGCCAAGGGGGTGAATTCGGTAGCAGCAACAGTCTCTCGACCAGCAAAGGACGACAACGAAACAGAGGACTGCAAAGTGTGTAGGCTGTGGCGCTTGCGCGGGAGTGAAGTAGAGGAGGAGCTAGTGATGATTGCTTCGTGGTGGGAGGGGAGGATGGATGGCCGCAGGGAGAAGGACCTTTCGCTGCGACTGTGAATGTCGGATATAGCTTCATCATCATCAACAACAGGGACGGCGAGCGGTATGCCCGATTTCTTCTTGGCCAGCATGACCGAGTCGCGAGGGATCCGCGGCGGGCGGCCAGCGTCGTGCCGTGTCTTGGGGGGAGCGAGGACGATGGGCGAGCTCAGAGCCGGAAACTTTTCACCCTCATGAACGAGAGCGTTCCGTGAGGCATCGATGAGAATGCCCCCGTTCTGGGCAGAAAAGTGCCTTGCCGCCAAAGTGCCGTTTGCACGGTGCAAAGAAGTGCTCGACATATAAGTGCCGATGGACTGGGGGCGTTTCAGGGGGCGCAAGCTAGGGCTACTGGGGGGGAAGTGGAAGGTGGAACTAGATTTGGTGGTCCGGGGGGCACGGGTGGCGGCGGCGGCGGCGGCGGCGGCGGTCTTGGGTAGAGGGTAGTGACTAGACGAGGTCATGGACTTTGTGCGCGCGCCAGACGCATATATGGCGGGGGTCGGCCTGCGATGCGGCAGGCTGTCGGCGTTCCTCGCATGCTGCTGATGCTGTGACCCGTTCAGTTGGGCGTAGAAAGCCTGCACGTGGGGCGATTCGAGCTCGAAGCCGTTCTGGCCCATATTCCTCTCGGCGACGTCCTCGCCGTAGTCCCTGGCGCCGGCTGCTTGTACTCTGGTCTTGAAATCGGCCGGGTTGATTTCAGACTGGGCGTCGAGGATGTCCTTGAAGCCCCGCCCGCTATCGCTTCGAATCGAGTTGCTTCGAGAATGAGAGCTAAATGTGGCACGAGGAGCCGAGTCCCCAGAGCCATGCGAAGAGGGGCGAGGCCCCGGAGCTGCAGTGCTTGACCTCAGCATGCGGAAAGAAAGAGGAGGTGGCCCTCTTGCGGCCGTCTTCTTCACACGGCGGCCGGCGGTTGCCCAGATGGCATCTGATTGACCTTGGTCGGGCGGCGCCGTGCTCGGCCTCTCCATGCTCTCTTCGCGGAACCGAGAAATGGACGGCGCTGGCGCCACCGGGTCTGCCGCATGTTCGTCATCCAAGGAGAGCTGTGTCCGACTGAACCTGGAGCGGTCTCGTGGAAGGGTGTGCACAGCACTAGACGCACCACCCGAGGATGAATATGGCACTGGCTGTGTTAATATACGATGAAAACTCTCCCGGGGATCGCATATGGGAGGCGAGATACCTCGAGGAGTAGCAACTTGTGCCGCAGTAGAGCCAAAGGAGCCTAGCTTTGGGAGACCATTGCTCTTGCTCTTGTCACCCGGCTTTCGAGAGAGGAAGCTTAAGAAGCCCATGGCGACAAGCAGCGGCCGGCCATCGGCGGCCAGTAGCTTGCAGGTGAAACCCGGCCTCGGTTTGCCGATCGCCGCGAGTTTCTGCAATGAGTCGATCTGCTTTGGCGAGCCTTAACGGGACGGGGTGGCATGCGCAAACCGGAGATGCAAACAAAACGAGGCGGCTCAAAGGCAAGACAGCAGGATAAGCGATCGGACCGAGAAGAGCAAAGGATGAAGTTCTGGTTTCAGCAATGTCAAGAGAGAGAGAGTAGCACCCGAGGCGGAGTTTCCCTAGTTTGAGTACAAAAAAGAACGAGGAGGGGGGAGAAGATGAGAGAAAAGCCGGGTGCGCATGACATGGGGCATGGATAGGATAGGATGGGACAGGACTAGTTGAGCTGAATACTAGAAGCAATACCTTAGCTAGACGGGATGGCAACCCGGGGCGACAGATGACGCCGTGGACCTGGGGCACGCACTTGCACTTGGCACCTGAAGCCGGTACTACTAGTTCCATAGGCATAGGGTAGATGTGTGGCAGCGGCACAGAAGTACAAGTACACGGGAGCATGGGAGGCGAGAGCCCCTGGCCCCTGTTTGAGATGCGTAAATGGGGCCGAAGCGACCTTCCTTTCCGTACCGCTACGGCAGATGGGTCGGTCGGCCGGCGACGGGGCATGGGTGCTGTGTGCTGTGTGATAACTGATATAATAAACCACGTCCATGTCCACAGCCCGGAAGCTATGCATGCCTGCCTGCACGCGTCGCAGCTCCCTCCCAGCCTAGTCTGGCACGAGAGATGGACTGAAGTCTTCACGCAGATGTCTGTGGATGTAAGTGGGGTGTCTCATATGTAAGGTACTCACCCACCCGGACTCTTAGACCCTCACACACACAAGTCTAGCAGTAGTCCAGGTCCACCAACCTATCGATTCGGGGTCGTGTTAGTGTCGGCGGAGGCGTCAACCGCCGAAGGCTGTCCCTGCTGGTGCAAGGTACGTAGGTAGGTTCCTACAGTAGCGCACACGCGAAAACCGGAAAGACAGTCGGATTTTGCGCTCTTCGTAGTTGTATCTTAGTCTTGCCCGATCTTGAACACTTGACACTTGACAAGACTACCTACCCAGTAGCTTCGTAGATGGGCAGACTAGACAACGCACGCTAGACCAGGCCAAGATCTAGGCCGCCCCCCTCGGCATGGTGTGGATGTGCGTATTTGATCTGTGCTGTGTGTGCCATGTGCATGGATGGTCCTCCGGCCGACCATGACTGCCAGAAAACGACTCTTCCTTCTTGGCTGGTATGGGCGGGGGCCGTTTGCACGGTAGGTGAGCAGGTGCGTACGCAGCCAAGGTAAGTAAGAAACCGGCATGCAAAGAATCTGCGAAGAAAAGCAAACGAGAGCGGTTAATTGGATTGGGGGAGGGGAGTGGGCGGCGCATGGACCTGGGCGAGCAATCATCAGTGCTGACTTGGCACCCCCCAAAAGAGAAAAGGCAACAGAAAACATTGTAGACCAACGCAGAGGTTGCTCGCTCGCGATAAGTACACTACAAAACCCACGAGCCAGGCCGTGCGTTTGCTCTAGGCTTGTCGACGGCGCGGTCAAGCTGCCTCGGCAGGTCTGATCCTCAACCGCTTCAAGAAGCTCGCATGCAAGTGGTGCGGGGCCAGGGCCACACATGCAAGCCATAGCGCCAGCCACCTCTGCCTGCCGTGCTTGAGTCCAATGTTGCTTCCTCTCGACGATTTGGGCATGGAAAACGTTTCCTCTCTTTTTTAAATTGTGGCTGAATGAGAGACGCGGGAAGCTACCACCTAACCAAAAAAGTGTTTACAAACCTGAGCCGCCTCAAGAACAGATAAATAATAGACGGACGGCCGAGATTAGCATGACTCATGCGTGACTTTTACGTACCTAGATATGTAGTCGACCAAGTGCTGTGCTGTGTTGTTTGGATACAATCACACAGGGAGGACCTGGGTTGGAAAATAGATCAATAATTGAGTCGATCCGATCGGTACTCGGGACCGGCAGCTTCTCAGGAAATTGCGCGGGCTGAAAATGCTTCCTCCTCCTTGTCGCTGCCAAACAAGGCCACCAAGCATGGCGCCTTCCCTGGAGCTTCTGGCTGTGTTCCATGGCACTGCAGCTGGTGTTTTTTTTAGAGTTTTTTTTTTTTTTTGGCTTTTTCTTTCTTTGCTGGCCCAGGGAGGCTGAAGGGCGACGCCCCTGACGTCCCGCAAGTCCCGTTAGAAAAGGTGCGTCTGTCTCTTCGGAGGGGAGGGGCCCTGGGCTGAGCTTGGGGCGTCAGAAGGAAAGCTGCCAAGCTGGCAGGGGGGTCATCTGCCCGAGAAAGCCCCCCTGCCCACTCGCCGATCTTTCTGGGGTGGCCCTGGTCGATCTGCCCAGGGTCTCAGGCGGGAAATCTTCACAGGGAAGTGCCCACTGACGAGTGACGACGAGAGCTGTGGTGTGGGGCCTTTTTGTTTGCTTTTTTTCATGTCTGTCGCTAGCGGATCGCTCCTTCTTTGCTTTTTATTTTTCCGACATCCTGGAAGCATCGTGTCACACACGTGTTACTCCAAGCTACGTTAGGTACCGAGACTTGCTCTGATCTGCTCCCTTTTCTTCCTTCGCTATCCCCGAGCTAGACTCTCACGCCTCGCCATTGGATGCCGCTGGCATGATGGGAGCGAGTGCTGACGAAGTCCCCGTGAGACGTGAGACTAATCGCAGTGCATTAAGTGCCTACATACTCCCCGAGTGACCCCTCACATAGCACCATACAGCGCCGAGTCCCCCACATGCAATCTGTCCGTATTTTCTGCTAGTTGGCCCAACCTACTACTGGTACCCAGCGCTCGCCCGTCACATGGCGGCGGAAATAAACATCTCTCACGCGGTTGCAAGAGTTCATGTATGCCTAATGTATTTGCGCAGCCGTGGTCGATGTGCGGAGATCCCCAAGGACCACCCCAGCCCGCACCGGGATCAATGTCTCGATGCTCATTACCGCCTCAATCTATAGCCATACGGCAGATGCAGGTACAGATTGGGTCGGCCAGAGCCCTCACTGCCGCTTACCGTGTCAGATGACTCGGCCGATGAAAAGGCACAGCCAGCGCAGCAAACAACAACTTCTTATCAGCCACACCACCATGACGGAAGGGGTGTAATCCTCCCTTTTCTTGCATTGAAATCCTTTTCGTTTCTCCCAGTCTCAGGAGTCCATATCCGGCGGAACTCTGCAGTCGCTACGTATTCGCATGCAGCCTTTTACCGGCTTATTGTTTGCTTCCCAGAGCTTGCCCTGAGACATGTTTTAAACTTTCTGTATAAAAATGGGAGCGATGTCTCGCCAAATGGCCAGCTCGCATTCGGCCCTAACCCTGGGCGCAAAGGTGCCACGGACTTCTTCAGTCTCTCCCGTCGTCGCCGTCTTGAAAGCAGGTTTCTCGAGTCGGAGCTGTGCTGAGCTACCCCATGCGTTGGAGCACACCGACCGCGAGCTGCAGCCCGCAGAAGACGGCCGAGGTGCAGCATGCACTATACTCTACTGGTGCAGGACGGACGATGTGCTCTTAGACGTCGGCGGTCCAAGTCCACGGATGGGATGGGATGGGAAGGTCCTATTCGGTGTGCCACCGTCCAAGTCTCTAACACCCCGTAGGGCACGGGGAAGCTCTAGGTAGGGCGATTCAAAGCTCATGCATCTTCGCAGAACTACTAGGTTGAGAAAGGCACGCACGGCGCACGGAGACAAAACCCAGGTCGCCGACGTGATGCGGGGTCTGCAGTTCCTTTACTTTTTAAGAAATGGCAGTTGCAGAATTGCATTCCTACGCTTTCCCTTTTCCTATTATCTTTTACGCCTTCTTTTTGGTGGAAGACTTGCGGTGTGGTGGGAGAGTTGAGGCTCGTCCGTCTCGTGACATGATTGGCTAGATTCTTGGCTTAGACGCCTCAACACTACTCACTCGCATGTCGCCGCCCTACATAAGGATGATAAGAGCCTCGTCAAGACACATACGACCACAGGCGCCGGAAAACTCGGGATCCCGTCCGCTCTCCCATATATAAGCCGGCGACTGGAAGATTATCTAGGGGTTAAGACGAAAACACCGTTATTTTGCGGCGCACTGTTAAGATGACCGTTTCGCCAGCTTCGCCGTCGCGGCGGCGGCGTCGTCTATTCAAAAGAGGGGTTGGGCTTCCTGTTGGCAGCTCTCGCAATCGGTCGCAATCGGTCGCAAAACAGTTCGCAACGTATACAATTTATAACGCATGCATTTCGCAAAAAAGCTTCCGAGTCGCGCCAAATGACCCCTAAACGCCCCGTTATTGTTCTCAATAAACCTATCAAGTCGCGCGACCACAAAGAGCGACAACGAAAAGCTGACGAGGACAATGAGAAACTCGGGGATGACGATGTCGATAACAGGTGGATAATATGTAAACGCCTACAAAGTGAGCGGGATCGCGCATTGCAAGCGATGCAGCTGTAAGTAATCTCATGGGTTGTATTATTTGCTCTCGTTGACGATAAAGGTATAAATAAATCTAATACCTTTAAGGGCGGGGGCTTTGACCAGATTTGGTTGGATCTTTGTAACGACCAGCTAAAATCAAGTCGTACCTTAGAGATTATGTTGAGTCATCGCAGAAATCCGCCGGGCCCTTGAGGATGTGGAAGGCCAGAGTATCCAGACAATTACGAGTACGAAGACCGTTATATCGTATTGGAAGAACTTGGTTACAGAGGCGTAACGACCTTGACAAATATGGACTGTGGAAGTTGAGGTGGGATCTAGGCGACCCTAAAGATAGCCCGGTGGCTGACATTAGCAATGTGAGTAAGGGGATTTCGACTTTGAGAGAGCGCGCTCCATGCTAAATAAATTTAGCGGATCCGGTCGGATCTCGTAAAGTTATACAACTTAGCGAGCGAATCAGAGCTTTCATTCGAGAAGACCGAGATAACGTCCGATGACCTTTTGTTACTCCTCGATACCTTATAGACGCGGGCTAAGGATATGCCTTGTCGGCCTCAGTTCCGTATCGCGCTCCACTCGACGCTAGTTCTGGTAGGCTTCGGCTTTCGAACGGGTTCGTTAATGAAGTTGCGATATAAGGATATTAGTCTTCTACTCGTTCGGGACCTAAAGAACCAAGCGCGGAACACGCTAGCGGCGGTCATTATAGTAACCCACGAGAAGCGTCAGAAGGCAGATCCCCGAGCCTAAGGGACTGGTATTACGAGCCAATGGTATACAATTACCCACTTCTTCAATATCATTAGCATACTAATTTCCTATAAAGTGTATCCTTTACTATTTTTCTTGCTCCCTGCCAAGTGCTCTGTCTTGTTAGCCTCATCGCCATACAAGCCGTCGCCGACGATAACTTTACCACCCCCTTCGGGTCTCTCGACGAGATTCTTAACCAGCCGAACCTCGAACATACCTGCTCTTTAGGCCTCCCTTGGAAAGATTCTAAGATGGATGATGAGATATTTTCGATAAACTACAACATATTTTGGGAATCATGGCATCGCCTAAAGCTGGTCGCTAGCAACCGAAGCTCAGAGACCGTATTCCCTCCGAGTTGGTGCTAGTTCAGAACTCGACGGTATATTTAGCTATTTGCAAAAAACCTTCTATTTATCTAATTGAGTGTTCCAGGCACCTTAACGCCAGCGTTACGGTCACGTTTCATGGCCAACTCCGAGAGTATCCTCCAACAACACTACCTTCCCCAACACATCCGCAAAGAAGAAGTCATGCCGATCATCTTTGGTACAGAAGCAGCAGGGACACACGAGGGGCTCTACGCAATGTTTCGACGCGCGACTTTGAAGAGAGACGAGAATGCTCCGATATACTTGACCGTTGACGAGGTAAAAAGTATTAACGAGCATGAGGATATGGAGGAGAAGAAGGCCAATGACAAACTACGGCTCGACAAAGGATCGGACGGTAAGACTGCGAGACGAGCTTACAATAAGCTAGCAACCTTTCGACAGGATCTTATAAAGCTTAAGGTCCAGGAGAAGCGAGAGGATTACTTCAAGGAGGCGAATAGAAGAAGGGCTCTTGGGCAATCAACTAGTAACTTAGCCACGCCAATAGCAAACCTGCATAAATTTGCAAGCTCGGACCGCGGCTGTCGACAAGATCGCTACGCGTATTGGCCGCTTTTCTCGCGAGAAAGATCTAGGAGGACACGGGCGGGCGCAGTTCTTTTCAGAGCTACTTCTTGCGTATCTGGAATCCCGGAACACTAATATGGAGATCATCATAGACTCGTTGGGAGATAAAAAAACGCAAGACGTCGCCAAACAGACCAAGAAGGATTGGCAATTCTTGTTATGTGCGGGAGATTTTTCCTTCCGCGGCGGCTTGACAAGGCACAACCAGAATTTCATTATAGTATGGGACAATTCGACACACCTTTTAGTTGTGAGGAGTGCGGCCGTCAGGGAAAGGTGCACGTCGTGCATGGGGCAGAGCAGTGGGGCAACCATGTGGAGAAGTCCCACGGTATAAAGTACACACCGATGCCGCCACGGCACCGGAAGAACCAAAAGGAGACCAGACCAGTCAAGCGAAAGCCCAAAGAAAGGGACGCACGTTGCCTCATCTACCCAGGCATATTCTTTGAAGGAAACAGCTACTCGCGACACTTCAACAAAGAGCATGGGAGTCACTTCCAGGAGCCTTCCCCATGCCTTGAATGTCAGAAACAAGGACATGGTACGGTCGTAATCGAAAGCCGGGCAGGTTGGATGAACCATGTCGAGGTGTATGGATACGATGGACAGACGATGGCCAAGATTCCCGAGCGAGCGGGAGAAAGAGGGAAGAGAAGAGGGAAGAGAAGCCCGCTAGCGCCACGTTAGATTTAGGGAAAAGGAAGATAAGGAGAGAAGAGAAGCTCGCTGGTACGGCGTCAGAGCAGAACATAGATCCTCGGCTTTTAAGGGCTTAGTAGGGGAGTCAGGGCTGGTTTTATTAGGTGTGTACTCGCTGGACCGCGCCCCGGCAGAATACTGGCACGGAGTTGTCAAGCGTGGTGTAAAAAAAGCGCTGAAGGTGGTGTTTCAATACACTACCTGAGGAGAGTGTTGGAGTCGCCGGGTTTTGGCTGGCCAATACAAGAAGTCGCCTCAACTTACCCACACGCGGCATTTGTTAATATAGTTGAGTTCGAGGTCCAAAATGCCGAGCCAGACGCTTGATGAGTTAACCCAGCATGCCTATAGCCGGTTACGTTCCCGTAGCCGACCGGTAAGAAGCATTTAGGAATCAGAAGCAAATATATCCACTCTCCATATTCTATACTCCGACAACCCTTGCGAAGGAATAGAGGGAGGGTGCTGGCCTCGTCAGAACACCAGGGGCAAGTAGAGGGTAGTCAACGCCGTCAGGAGTAGTCGATTATTGGGTCGAGTCGGACTGCGACGCCTGGGTGCGAGATCTGATGGGCCACTAGGTAGTTGACTCCGGTGGCCACGGGCCAGGGCTTGCGGTAACCAGGATGAAGGCGACAGTAATCGCAATATGACTGTTAGTAACATTTGTCTATATATTTTTAAGATAGTCAAGTCGTCCGCTACTCCAGTGGTAGTGTAATCTGTGCCATTCCGGCCCGTGATTTACGAATGCCGATACTGTCAAACTGGCATGCCCAGTGTCTGTATCCGTCGCGTGCTCATGTAGCGTAGGCTGGGCAACTGCCTCCTCATCGCCACCTCGGGCTTGGCGCGTTGACGCCCCGCTTGAAGAGAACCGCCTTCGCTGCTCCTTGTCGCTCGAGCTCGAGCTCGAGCTCAGCTAAACGCTTGATCTTTGCCCCAGCCGGCACTGACGAAACTTGACGAGATCCACAAAGATGGGGGTCGCGAGTTGTTCGGCAGCGGTGGTGATGGCTTCAAAATTACGGAAGGATGATGAAGTGCGCGCGTACGCGGAGCCATCTCCGCCGGCGACAGGAGCGGCGAGCCCACAACGGCCGAGCTTAGCAGAATTACGAGCGAGTCGGCATCAAGATTCCAAACGGGTTGTTGTCACCGACCGAGATTCAGGGCTTCCTCCCGCTATACGAGTAGACGGAAGCGTGGTTCCAACCTGAATAATGGGAGGCCGCGCTCATACACATGTAGTGATCGGTTTGCCTGAAATAAAATCGCGTATACACACTTGATTGCACCACCTGGATTCTCCGTCGCTAAGCGTTCCTCTCGTTGTTCAATCCCACGGCAAGCTGTTTCAACCTCCTCTCCGCCCAAGCTCCCAGACCACCAAAATATCACTCTCCGGATCGTCACCTCGCCAGTCTCGCAGCGCAAACCAAAGATAGCGTACAATCTTTCCCTGCCTGGATTGCACGTTCGTAATTGGGCGATTGAGTGAAGAGAACCTATCCAGACACATATAGCTACGTCTCTATTCAACTACTAAGAAATTATGGAAAAACGCACCTTGATATATTGCCTCGCCCATATTATATACTCCATACGGTGGTCCGGGGTTGCGTCGTCGGGCACTCGAATAAAAGAGGCTGGTGAGGGTGGTCGAGCGGATCGACGGTAGTGCGGGGTAGATTCTCGCAGTAGCCGTCGCCAGAATGACCGTCGCACCGCGCGTAGTTAACCAGTTAGCCCTTGATAATTTACGTCATTCTTTCTTGTGCCTCTCTTTGGGCAACACAAATCTATTTACATACCCTCTACATATTACTTGTGCGAAAAGCTATACCGATGTTGTCGACTATCTTATTGAGAATGGAGCTGAGATCAATGCGACGTGCTTCGCGCCCTGTAGTTGCAATTCTATCTACATGGTAGAGGACGTTTTGCGGGGACAACACGACCTACGTCATTGATACCCCTCCATCTCGCGCTTTGCAGTACGTTTGCTCCAGATCTAACGAAAATACCTAGGCTATATCTAATGCGCTAACATCAAACGTGAATATATCGCCGTTCAACTAGCGAAGAAAGGCGCGCCTTTCTCTATGTCAGAAAAAGACCGTGAATATAATGCGCTACATCTTGCAGCTAAGCGTGGTCTTTCGGGATTTGTCCGCCTCCTAATGCCTGAGTTGAAGCAAAGAATTGGGCGAGACCTCGCTCTTGACAGCTTTGGTCATACTCCTATCCACTATTTGGCGCTATGCCTGAACTACGTGGAAGTTTTGTCTATCGCTAGCGATCTTCAGGCACTTGGGTTCGATATCAATGCAAGCTCGAGACAAAATCCCGACCAGAGCTTGCATCTACAGCTCTTGAGTTTGCATGCGCATTTAGCAACTTCGCAGGAGCCCGTGCATTGCTGAAAGCTGACGCCAAACCTACCTCAAAGTCGATCTCCAATGCGATTAATTCCGATTTTAGCTATACCTATGGTCTGGACAGTGATGAATATGATACGCAGAAAGATGGGTTTTTTGAAATGTAAAACGATTGAGCTGGGTACATACCAAAGACAAATGACTGTGGGCGCGGGGTTCGCTTACCCACTCAATACCACCATTGCGTGAAACATGGGAAGAGATAACAATTAGTGCCATCGGCTTGAATGGCGGCAGTGACGTCGGCGTTCCCGGCACTCGTGGTACTGAGGTAGTTGGTTGCCCAGTGCTGAAATGGAAATTTCGCGGCCGCAATACGGATAGTACCGCAACGAATCCCGGAAATTGCCAGTGTGTAGGCAGTGATCATATGGCTCTAGGAATAGTGAGGGCCGTCCGCACTCTTCTACGCCCCTTGTGCATCTGGAGGGTGAGCTCTGTATTGTCTGTTTATGGCACAGGTGCATGATTCCTCCAGAATATCGTGACAGATGTCAGCTCACTGTCTATCTAAGCACTACGTGTGTACGTATCTGCCGGGCGGATAATTCACGAAGCATGTACCAAATTGAGAACGAAGAACCAGTGTGCACGCGCTTCTAGATCTTTTTGGCATCTAATCTGTGCGTCTCTTAAGCGAATCCCGAGAGAATGGTAACAGCTACGATTGGACATGACAACTTACACTTGAGCTCGGACTGAATGGCGCCAAAAACGGCGCTTACTCGCTTCCATACTGCTTAATTTTGGTCCCCTTTCTAGTTAGCTGGTTGGCTTTGGAGTTATGTGTTGTGGATTTACCATATCGTCTGCGTTGTATTGTCGAATAAGATCTATGACCTCATTTGGGAGCTGCACAAACGGGGATTGATATGGATATCTGTGTAGTTCTCTCTGAAGGGTTTCTAAGTCTTCGGCGCGGCAGCGGACTTCCTAAGCCTTCTTCTGGAATTCCAGCGAAGTATCGAAACTATACATTTGTAAGGTAGAAGGCCTCTTGAAGAGGATGAATCGAGGTTTCCGTGATCTGTCAAACTGCGGGCGCTGCGCGCCTCATCGCGTAACGGGCGACCATGCCCGTAAGGAGATTGATAACAGCCCCTACATACCGCAGCGCATAATTGGTACCTAGGTACTGTCTTCCAGGCCTGCTAAGGACACGCAGTTCAACAATATCTAGTAACACTATTTCATCACTGAGTTGTGTCTGGGCTGCAAGGCTATACGCCAAAGGGGGTTTGGGGTGAATCACGTAAGGGTAAGGCTCTTGAACAGGGTGTGGTACGCAACGGTGATTGCCCTCACAGGCTGGCAGCAACCCCTCGGATTGGAAGGATGCAAGAGCTCAAAAAACGAGGCAGAGGAAGGCAACGCCCCGCGTAACAGGAACAAAAACTGACAGAGTCCGGTATAGCGTAAGCGTAGTCGAGGTCTAATAAGAAGCTGCTACGGACCGCACTTCTGACCATAACAAGTTATGGTCAGAAGTGGGCCCACCCCTCGCACGCGATGGCTTCAACGCAGACGGCTTTCGTAGCCACACGAAACCCACTGAACACGACCGAACGGACTGCTTTTCAACTGCAAATTCTACAGCAATGTCATACTCAAATAATATGGCAGGATCTAGGCCCCAGACAGCACCGGACCTGTCCGTCCGGTGTGTCAGCGCGCTAGACGCTGCGCGAGATAGCGACGACAACGCCTTGGTGTTGACATGCGATCAACTCCAGCAAGTCAACGACTTTCGCAAGCTCCTTGATAGCACCGAAGACACCGACCAGTTACAGCTGTGCGCAGAGAAATGCAGTGAACTACTTGGCCATGGCACCAGCCTACAGCTTCTGATTGCCGCCTATGACGATGTCATGTCAGCTGCCTGTTGCGGGTACAAAAACAAAAAACAGGAGAAGGTTGACAATAACGCCGAGCGCGACGAATGGGACCGCTACTTTGGCGTCGCCACTTCCGCGGCCGAGGTCAAATCCAACTGCCTCAGCGCGCTGAAGGCCGTGGCCACTCGCTGGGGTCGAGAAGTCGTCCTGCACTACCCGTGGGCGTCCAAGGGTAAATATTTCTGGAATCTGCTTCGCGCCGCCGCACTTCATGTCCCGACGTGGCTGATGCCGCGCTGGTATTGAATTTCATCATGTCTGAACGACATGGAGACATTAAACGCCCCAGCATTACCCGTACTCAAGACCCTATCATATCGTCTGACCTGGAGAAACTGAAGAAATTTCCTGTGTGTCGGAAATCCCGGAAATCCCGGATTCTATAGTACCTGCTGGCTTTGGCCTGGACGAGTTTGGCATTATCTTTCACGAGCAATTTGCTGTGCCCCGACCCCCAGCAATACCAGACCGCCGAACCCGATCTATCAACTGAGCCCTCCGACGGCGCCAGCGATTCAGAATTATCAGATCCGCCCGAGACCGATACGGAGCCTTCCGAGCCGCCCACCGGCTCCCAACGTTCCGAAGCCGGCGCGATAGACGATACCACCACCAATCGGTATATAGATGAGCTCCCGAGAGAGATGGAGCCAGATCCAGACTCTGCCCCCCACAGTTCCGAGTCGAATTCACCCAACCCACCTACGCAAATGTCACTTCGCAAACGCACACCGCCATCCTACAGAGAGACCCGGAGCTACGGCTCCTGGTCTCGACCAGCCCCCGTCAAGGCCTCCGCCGTCGCCAAAGCTCCACCGCCTCCATGCCGTCCGTGGTCAACTCACCCTCCCAACCTCGATAATACCACCGCCTTCAAGCCAGAGCCCCTCTTTCCTATCCGCAACCAACTCTGCCATTATCACACTAAGCTCCTTCTTGACTAAGTCATCAAGCGCCCAGCCGCGGACCAGCCTGCTCCTCCTGCCCATCCTCTCACCCGCCGCCGTACCGCCTCGCTGCCTGATATCGGCCAGCCTTTCAAGAAACCGCGACTCGAGGATCCATCTCCATTCCCTGCCATCTCAGCGCATACCGCACCGGCACACGACCAGGAAGCTGATGAGGCTTATCGGAAACAGGTTCTAGGAAGTACGGGGACCTCGCATCCACACCTAGACTCCCAGGCCTTCCACCCCGAAGGGAATGTTCTCTGGATCTCCTTCAGGGACAGACGCTGTGGCTTGTTCTCGGGAATAGGCTGCATAAGCGACTTCGGGTTGAGCTCAACCCGTATCGGCTCGTCGAACTCGCCTAGTAGAATAGTAACCACCCGGATTTGCAGCCGTGAGGATTTTATTGGAGAGTACTGATAACTAGCCATTCCCGACTTTCTCCTAGAGCACTGCTCAGTTGAAGCAAAATTAGGCGATGAAAGCAGGCTCTAGTCGTAGAGTTACGAGTCGACGGGCTACTATATCATCGTTTTTGAGGCTGACATATGATTAACTCAGAGCGTCAGGAAATTCCAATCCGTGCCCTGGTTTTCTCAGGTTTACCTAGCGCTCTCCCCACTCCGGATCTTAAGAAAGATCGCGATCAATACCAGTTAGATCTTGATCACTTAATCAACACCCACAAACACCAACTTACAATCACAGGCGGATAGCAAAAGAAAGCGTAAAAATAAGGTTAAGGATTAAGAGAACAGCTATCGCGCAACACCAGTCGCCGCCCCACAACCCCTGGATTATGACTATTACGGTTGAAGAACGAGCGCTCTAGTCACCTAGCGTAATCCAAAACGAGATAAAAAGATGGTAAGTAGGTGGCATAGAACCGAAACTCCCAGCGTAGTTACCTAGTAGATGGCTAATATAACTAATTTCGAGGACTTTCCAGGCTGTTTACATCCTTAACATCCTCAGTCACTTCGAGCTGAAGAAAACACCGCTCGAAGACGGAGCGATACAGCTGCTGCGTTCCTACCCCGGCTGCGTCATCCTAAGCGTCTGTTGGCTGTTTCTTACGCCTATTGGAATTGCCCTTGTGACTCTTGTCAACATCGCTAGAGATGGCCATGCCATATTGGCTCCATATGGGCTGGACTTCCTCTTTGGTTTGAAGGGCCTTACGACTTTATCCGTTGGAGTTCTTAAGGTACTTCGGCTCTCTTCTATAATATAGCACTACTAACTCACTTTTTAGTTTGCTACGTTCAATTACGATGTTAATAGGGCGATACGTTCCACATTCCCAACATGGTCACATCCCCTTACTATTGGGTTAGTACTCTACTTAATCCATATTGGTTTAGAGATTGGGGTTGCGATAAAGCACGGTCCTGAGTTTCTATGGGCTGCGCCGGCCACTCTCCATCTCCTTATTTCCATTTTTGTTATTATTGGGCTCATCCGGTTAAAAAACGCTCGCTCAAGGCGTGGGCCCGTTGCTGCCTAGTTGCCAATCTATTGGTACTTGTATTACCGAGTATGGGCGCGGGATTTAACGTTAGATGGCTGCATCTGACTCAGTCTCTATCGTGCTTGATTGTTGTTTTGGTGTACGAATCGGGAAAGTAGCCGATTTAGAGGATAATATTTCCTACAAAATGTTCCGCAGTTAGCCGTATTACGGAGGACTCCGAAGACCCGATCTTCATGGAACCTGAGCACCAGGCAGGGAAGATGCGGGACCTGCCGTCTTTGGACGCTGACGGCGAATATGGCTTACACTGGGTGGATGTCAGTGAAAGGAGGTCTGGCTCCTTCGGAAGAATGGGGACTACGTTGGTGGATGAGCCTCAGAGGCCGGCAAAAGCTGTATACGGACGCTGACATAGTATTATTGAGATTGTGGGTAGTGGGTCATATATCCTCCTCGTACAAGTCCATCCAATTGCCAAAGGCTGCAGAGAGCGGAGCTTGATCTATAACACACCTAGATGGAAGGAACGCTCTTCGGCGTTGGCCCCCCCCTGCGGAAATCAGAACGCCTTGTGGCCTTGTCGAGGATTCTGTGACCCCACGTGGACTTGTGTAGGAGGTCTACCACCCACGAGGCGGACGACTCTAGGGAAAGGGGCAGAGAGTTTTTCGGGCTATGTTGATGGTTCAACCGAGCATTTACTTTTCAAGTGAAGTACTGAACCCAAATAACTTGGGTTGGGGAATAATGTTATACCTGCGCTTTACTCACTGTCCCATATTGCATGTGTTTCAGCGTACCTTCTCTACGCACGGTCCAGTCGCGTAAACTCAGGGGTAAAGTAAATAAATGTAGGCACCTCGAGTAGTTTACGTTATGGGGAAAGGTTTGGGAGTCATGAAAAAGAGTTTGGTAAGACTAAAAGGACGGAACATAACGTACGCACGTAATTTCCAGGCATTGAGGCTTTACGTAGATACCTGGACCTCCACTCTATCACTATCATCCGTAATAAAAAGAAAGGGAGAAGAGAAAGAAACTAGCTAATGTTTGTTTTATTTCATTTCAAATGATGCGAGCGCTAGCACTGACGGGCTGTTGGCCAGTGTCGAGGTGGCCGAGGGGGGGACGGGCGGAAGGGTTGGTGTGAAGAAGGGTGGTGATGGCGATGATGACTGCTGTAACATGATGATGATACTGACGCTGTCGGTATCCTCGCCACTGTCGTCTTCGCCGAGTAGAGTGGCGGTGCTGACCTTTCTGGGCGACGATTTAACGCCGTGGCGCGGGCAGTGTGGCGAGATGCGCGTGATGCTGCCGACCAGCTCGTCGTCGGGCGACAGCTACAGCGCGCCCAGGCCGATGTTGCCGAGGCCCTGCAGCTCCATGCCGGAATTGTTGTTGTTGCTGTTATTAATATTGTAGCCGTTGACTCTTGCGGCGTGAAATGCCCTTATTGCGATGAGCGACCGGGCAAGAGAAGAAAGCTCATCGTTTGTGAACGAGAAATAGAGGATACTCCAGACGGCAGGCCTCTTGATGCGTTTCTCAACTCATGAGCTGATAGATGCCACCAAAGATGTATCCTCGGACATCACCCCACCGCCAATGGCCCCCGCCGGCGATCCACCAGGACCTCACAACGATACCGCCCCGCGCACTGCCTCGATAAATGCCCCTGCTTAGGATCACTTCCTGACCTGGACTGCGCAGAGAAGTTCCACGCCGTGAACGAAGATAAGTATAACGTGAAGATACGGCAGGATGTTTAGGTCACCGAATCTCCGTAGCTCAGCAGTAGGAGGAGGGCTCTCTACCGGACGCGGTTTTCTTCCCTGGATGGGGCGTACACTCGGCGTCACGATGAGACGACTTCTTAGTCTCTACACTCTGTCGAGACGCTGTGCAAGCTTTCGGTCTCAGACTTCTGGCGGTAATCCTTCGAGTTGTGACTTGTCGTCTTCGTCCTCGTATTTTTCATCTAAGGGATAAAGAGACTTCATGATGTCGTCTCCATCCATTGTCATTGTCGCGTCTTAACGCGTCGTACCACGCGGCTGATGCGTTTCTAAGGGGCGGCAGTGGAAATCTAAATCAGAAGGGCCTTTAGTCTAGGACCAGGAACAAGTGAGTGCCTTACAGTAGGAACCGTGGGTAATATCGAAGATTCAATATCGATATCTGGATGGAAAAGCACCCCGCATTGCATGGGATTTCCGTTGGGTCCGACGCACAGGCTACAGCAACTAGAGTGACTCTGGTTGCTGTGGCTCGTGCTTGCCCACCGAGCTACTTGACTGCACTTGCCAAAGCGGCTGGCAGTTTCCGCATCCCATGCCCACCTTCCGCACCACCTCGCTCTGCTTTGCGCAGCACCTCGCCGCGTCGTTCTAGACGGCGACAAGGCGCCTCGCCCGCCTGCCCCACAGCTTGTCTTACCGCCGGTTCCTGCCCTTCGCGCCAAGTTTTTATCCCGAAGAGCCACGAGGCCGGTGCCCTGCCGCAGTTGTGGTACAACGACCCTCTCAAGATGCTCGACGCCGCCCCTCGTCCCTCGACTCCATTCTCGGCCTCCCTCGACAGCCTTGAACTCGCCTCGCTCCCACCAGTGCTAAGGCGACGAGCCGGCCCTAACTCCCACAGCACGAGTTAAAGAGCCATCGGCAGTGTTTCTACACAAGAGCGGCCCGGTGTGGCGAAGAGGCTTTTGGAGACGGTGGCTCCCCGGCTCCTATCACTCGATATTCCTGCTTATCGGTCCGCCTGCTGCTCTCGTCCTTACCGGAATCCATTACCTTCCCCTTTGAGACATACGCAAAGTTGACACGTCGAAGCCCTCGACAGGTTCGCAAATAAAAGAAGTCTGCAAGTGCTTCCAGTACGAGTATGGCGTACCTCGGAAACGGGACCCTAACAGGAGGGAAAGAGGGTTCCGTTTTTGCATCCCGAGAACCCCTGGTTTCTGACCCCCTCTACCTCGTATGATAAGCTTCTAACCGCCAGACTAGTAGTTGGGTCGGTGACGACCAGCGAATCCCTGGTGTTGTATGTTTTTTAGTCGTTCTATTTTTGGTGTTTCTTCCTTTTATTATGGAATTTATTATAGGGGGATAGGCTATGGAAGATGCTTTTTACATATCATCCCAATCCTCTCCGCTGATCTCTTTTGCCACTTCTATATCGACATATCGAAAAGGAGATCCTATAGGAAACCACGAATGATATAAATGCAGAAGTGTAAGTTGAAGTAATATAGATATAGATATATGGAAGACTAGCTACGAGCATGGGACCTAGAGGTTGAATCGTGTCTCTCGAGGTTCAAGACGCATTCCCGAGCTTACCCTAATCACCGCCATTTTCAAATAGATCTATGAGAGTAAAGACGACGACTATGACGTAGAATATTTACTCCTCATCTAGCAGAGGCTAGTTTAATTACCGCTCGACTCTCAGTCCACAAGTTCGGACTAGTAGCTGTTGTAGCGCCCCTTTAAAGTATGGGGATACTGGCCGGTATTGTTGGCTCGCTACCTATCGTTGTTCAAAAGAGAGATATCCCCCCCGTCCGTCTCCCCAATGCCGCAGTCGGCAAGCCACTCAAAAACACCACCGTCTCTCGTTGCCCCTCCCCCTTGCCCTCTCCAGTGAAAATGCACCACCACGTCTTCCTTCCTGGCCACGTCTTCCTTCCCCGACATGCCAGCCAGCCCCATTACTCCAAGCTCCCCGCCAGCGCCACACAGCTGAACCTTAGATCCGCACCCTCGCGCTCGAGGAACTTGAGCGGGCCGAGCGCGAGCGCCTTCTCGCTCAAAACATCCTCGTCTTTGTCCAGCGGGCCGCGGTTAATAGGACCCTTGCGCCTGCCATCAAGCTCCCACAGCTCCCCCCCTTCCTTGGTGTCCGTCTTGACAAAGCAGACGTAGTGCAGATCCACATCGTCCTGGGCGCCGGGCGCGGGCGTGTCGCCCTGCGTGGCGGCGCTGCGGTGGGCGGCGGCGAGCTCGGAGCTGGCCTCGAGCAGACGCGCGCGCGCGTCGGGCGCGAGCGGCTCGGCGGCAGCCAGCAGGCGGCCGAGCGTCGAGTTGGGCTCGACAAACCCCCGGGCAGGCCCGTTGGCCGCCGCGTGCAGCAGTCCCATGACGCCGCACGCGTTGCGGATCGTCTGCTGAAACCACAGCACCGGCTCATCCGGCCCGGAGCCGGCGTAGGGTTGCGTCAGGGCGTCCTCGGCTAGGCGGTGCGACTCGTAGGTCGCTGACACGGGGAACACGAGGAGCAGGGCGAGCGCGGGCCGCGGCACGAATGCGAGCAGCTCCGGCTCGGTTAGGCTGTACACATCGTGCACGGCCAGCGCCGGCGACAGGCCCAGCGTGCGCAGCAGCGTCGTCATTAGCTCCGGGTTCGCCTCGAGCGGGATGAACGACGGCGCATCAGCTACGGGGTCCGGGCCAGGGCCGCCGCTGCCGGGTTGTGTGGTTGACGCCATGGATGGCGACTTTGTCCTCTGTATGTCTGGGCGTTGAGTTTTGATTTTAATTTCTGCTGTTGCCCGCGTCCGTCGAGCTGGTTGGTTGGTTGGTGCCGGGCTAGGATCTGGCAGGTTGGACGGTCAAAGATAGGTGATTGAATCGGACCTCTGAAGCAGGCGTGGAACCAACTTCGCGGCTGTCGAGACTCGATAGAGTGTGTGTAAGTTTCCGAATCTGCGCTAGGAAGGTTGAATTTCATGTGACGACGGGAGTTGGCGGAGAGCTCGAGCTCGAGAAAGAGACGTCACACGCGGCGGGTGCCTGGCACTGGGCGTGCAGCGGGGCTTCTGTAGGCTGCCCGGTCTGTAAGGCTGAGCGAGAAGCTATGACCTCATCCGGCAGGAACGCATTGGCGGGTGGCACAGAAGGAGGTATTATTACATAGTGCTGGTACGGTATATCCGTAACTTACCTTTCCGTCTGAATAATTACACTAGGCAAGGTCTATACATGGGCAACCTCTAAATTCACGGGTGTTTACACGGTAAATGATATACGTAGTTATGGGAGTTGTAAAGCAAACATGTATCCCAAACCCTAGCCAACCCCACCCACTCCATATGTGTCAGTATATTTTACTATATACTTTGATCCTGTTCATACAAATGACCTGACCATATCTTTACAGTCCCCGACGTAGGGGGTATGGTAAACAGATCGCTACCGCGGCGCACTCACGCCGCGGGCAGTTACGCGGGTACGGCCTTTTTGCGGGGTCCATCATCCCTGGGCACTACACTGTCGACCTCGGCCTCGAAGGCGCCAGCCTCTGCTTCGCCCTCAAACAGAGGCACCTCTATGCCTTCCAGCACGTCGTCGATCTCTTCTTCGCTCATGAACATGGATTCCCTCTTCTGCTGCATCTTTGTGTAGCGTTTCACCATCTTCCGCCTCTGGGCGAGGGAGTTGAACCTCCAGTGAAGCCCCTCGAGCGCTTCGTTGATCTTCGCCTCGACTAGCGACTTGACGTGGAATGCGAGATGTTGGCTGGTAAAGATTCCCCTGAACCGATACGAGAGCCACAGATAGAGCGTGATGTCCTTGTGGAGGCCCTCTAGTTGCGTTAGGTTTGGAGTCCTGGTCGGTAGGAGCGCGTCTAGATCAATCTCGGGAATATCTAGCAAGTGCCCGCCCTTTAGTTCGGCCACGCACCTCGCAAACGCCTTGAGGGTTCTGACCTGACTAGGCGTCCGCAATTCGCAAGGTGCGCTCAAGAAGATACAGCGGTCCTGCATCGTCAGGTCGAATTCGTGAATGAAGTCGGCAATCGCGACCGTGTCTTTGAGCTGGCATATTTCAAACAGCTCAGAAACCCTCGACAACTCCCGGAGCCGCGTCAGGATAAAGCTCAGGGGCGTCTTTGGAGAGAATGTCGCGGCAAACTTCTCAATCAAGAAGGATGGAGGCATGATGCCCGCCCTTTTCAGGGGCTTAGCAGTCGATTTGAAGGCCTCCTGTATGGCAGGAAGCTCTTCCTCGAGCAGTGACGTGACGTAGCCGATTGATTTGATATGGGCCGGCGGCGACTGGGCCGCCACTACGACGGGGCCGGCGTCTCCGTTTGACTGGGATGCTGCTGCCTTCGATTTTGCTTTTTCCGCGTCTGCGATTTCTCCTCTGGCCGTCTTGTAGCGGCCAGCGCGACCGCCAATCTGCTTGATCTCGGAGACGGTCAGGCTTCGGTGTCCCATGCCGTCAAACTTGGATGCCGCTTCAAAGACGACGCGCTTGATCTCGAGGTTCAAGCCCATACCGATGGCGTCGCTAGCCACCAGGTAATTGTAGTTGTTGTTCGGGTCGTTGAACAGGGCTGCCTGCTGGGCTCTCGTCTCGGGCGGCAGCGAGCCGTAAACGATGGCGCATCGATGGCCCGTCTTTTGCTCAATCGACTGCTTCAGGGCGTGGATGTTAACCCGAGAAAAAGACACGACGGCGTCGCCGTTTTCGAGATTTCTGAAGTCGCCGCGCAAGCTTCTCCCCATGGTCTTTAGGGGGTTTAGCCGCTCGTAGTGGTGTACGATGCACTTGTCGCCGGTCCTGGCGCACAATTCTTGGATGAGGTCGACGGCGCGCTCCTCTCCGCACAGATGCAGCTCCTTGGCCTGCAAGCCGAGGAAGGCCTGCGTCCATGCCCAGCCCCGATAATCGTCGGCTATCATCTGGATCTCGTCGATGACGGCCACGTCGACAACCCTGTTGAGCGGCGACATCTCGACGGTGCAGCTCACAAAATAGTCGTCGACATTCTCGGGTATCCTCTGCTCCTCGCCCGTGACTAGGGCGCAGGGCTTACCTTTGGCGTTGAAACGCGAGTAGATCTCGTGAGCCAACAGCCGCAGGGGGCCGGCGTAGACGCCTGTCTTGGCCGCCTCGAGGGCCTTGAGAGCATTGTACGTCTTGCCCGAGTTTGTTGGGCCGACGTGGAGGTGGATGGTACGCTGCAGCATGCGGGAGGCGGGGAACCACTCGTAGGGGAAGCGCATGTCGGCGATCTCGGTGTGCTTCTCGACGAGGGCCTTGGGGAAGGCGGAGCGCAGCAGGAAGGTCTGGAAGGAATGCTTGAGCTCCGTGGTCATTCCGGGGGCGTCGTACTTGATGAAGGCGTAGCGTAGGTTCCAGAAGAGGGGATTCTCGTGGCGGCCCGTCACGCCGCGTTCGATGGCCAAGGCAAATGACTTGTTGATGGCGGCCCGGAACAGGTTCGCCTCGGCTTTTAACTGCTGTACGCTTGTGACACCAAAGGACGCGAGCTGGATGCCATTGCCGCCCGTCTGCTGGGCAGTTTCGAGAATCGAGGTGAGGCGGGACAAGATGAAGGCTTGGAGCAGCTCATAGTTTCGCTTGCTGGACGGTTTGGGCTGCCGGTTGCGGCGCGGCGTTTCCTTATCATTGTCGAGCTCTTCACGTAGGGACCCGAATTCCCCTCTCCCCTGCGAGCGAGCGAGACAGAAAGTTAGCGCCAACAGTACATTACAGTACAGTACACACCGCAACCGCCGAGGAGGCCCTTTGTCACGCAGAGACTGAGGTGGTTACGCACTCTTCCAACATTGCGTGCCGACGACACGGTTGGTGCTCGGGCTGTTATTGTCGTTGTCGTTGACCTGAAGCAGCGACTGACGCGACTGATGCCGACGGCCCTCGGCAGGCGGCAGGCGCCAACTGTCGCCGCCCTCCTAAACAACAATTTCATGTCGCTGTCGGGGGGTTTTCCGACCTCATGCTGGTCCTTTGGCCGCCGTGGATCGAATTGGGTTTGCCGATTGGGGGTTGTCGTGTCGCAGCCCAAGGTAGGTTGGTAAGTTTTCGTTCCCCGCTCGCGCCGTGATTTGGTATACTTTGGACGCTTGGTAAAATCTTTTTTTTTTGGCCGTCGCATTTCTCCAGCGCAGCCTTATCCAACCCACACCAATCGGCAGATCCCTGTCCCGCGTCCCCTGTTTCCGCGTCGGAGCCTTGCCGCACCGGCCCCGTGGTTGGCTGTTTTGAACTGGCGCACAGTGCGTATTTTCGTACCGTTGGGTTCTTCCCCACCGATGATCAAGTCCGTTCACCTCCAGCGCTTGGGGAGAGTTGGCCCAAGTCCACCCAGGTTCTTCGTCATCATGCAGGCTGCCATCCTCCTTCTCCCGACGACTACGACGACCTAGCATTCAGCACCTGCCTGCGCACCGCATTCTTTGCCGGAATTCCTTTCTTCGTCGGATTCTGCAGCTTGACTCGATACTCGCAGCGAACTTAACCCAATCTTCGACGCCGAACCGGTGGATTGACAGTGGACTCGTCGAACCCGAGCGCATCTTGGGCTCCCTGGTGTCTCGCCCGCATACCATCCCGCCGAGGTCCGGCTAGACACATGCACCAGCCGAGAAACTCAACATAACAACTGCATTTTCCATTCTATCTGCCACTGAGGTAGACCGACCAAGATGGCTTCGTCCTCAACCCCAATAACGCCGCTGCTCTAGTATGTTCGCCTCAATTCCGTCTCTCAATTCCCTCCCCAACGCAGGCCACCGTCTAGAAGCCCTCGTCGCTAACTTACATCCCCCAACCAGCTCGTGCATCGCGCACAACAGCACAATCCTCAGCGAGTGCACGACGTCGGCGTCGAGCCAGACGTCGTCGCTGGCATCGCTGATCCTGCCCAAGATCGACCACTCGACGCCGCAGAAGCTGACGTACACGCACGGGGCGTACCACATCCACTACATCTCGGAGGCGCCGTCAGAGCACCCAGAAGACGGCAGCAGCGCAGGGGGGCTGACGTTCCTAGTAGTAGCAGATAGCAGCCTAGGGCGGCGCATTAGCTTCGGGTTCCTGGTGGAGGCGCGGCGGCGGTTCCTGGCGCGGTTCCCGGCGGCGACGGCCGACTTTGGCGACATGCCCAACTACGGCGCGGCGGCCTTCAACGGCGACCTGCGCGGACTGATGGTCGAGTACGGGACGACGGGCCGCGGGCGCGAGGACGCGCTGACCAACGTGCAGCGTGAGATCGACGACGTGCGCGGCATCATGACGCGCAACATCGAAGGGCTGCTTGAGCGCGGCGAGCGCATCGACCTGCTCGTCGACAAGACGGACCGCCTCGGCGGCAGCGCCCGCGAGTTCCGCGTCCGCAGCCGCGGCCTTAAGCGCCGCATGTGGTGGAAGAACGTCAAGCTCATGGGCCTGCTCGCCTTGGTGCTGGTCCTGATCATCCTGACGATAGTGATTTCGGTCAAGAGCAGCCTGGGCGGCTGAGTGCGAGGTGTGGTGTTGTGTTTCTGGGCTTGACTTGGGTGAGGCAGAGAGAGTCAAAGACTCGAGTCTTGCTTTTCCTTTTTTGTGGGTGTGGCGGTTTGGCTTCCTTTCTTCGTCTTACAGTGTTTTACTATGGCGTTTGTGTGGTGAGCGAGCATCACATTCCCCCAACCGCCAGAAAGAAATCTCTTGCTCATACTGGGAGCTCTGTACATTTTTATCCTCTTTCGCCTCTCTCTCTTGTATTCGAGGGTTCTTTTCCTTTTTTTGTCCGTCTCCAGTACGCACGCGGAAAGAGAGATATCAGCTTTGGAAGGGAAAAACCATACAAGAATGGCTATGCTTCGTTTCTTTTTATTACTACCTACAACTATTTTGTCTCGTTTTGCCTGTTTTCCTTGCCTTTTGAGAGGAACCCAGAACCAGAATCTTGGTTTCATTCCGGTCCTTCCATTGCTTCTGCTACAGATTGTTAACGAGGCGGAAACCTTTTGATACCTGCTCGAGCGAGACGATTCCTCTGCTGGACAATCCTAGATGCTTTTGCTTGCCAAAAGTATATGTAACTTCCAGGTTTGAAGTTCCATGTGCTCCTCTCTGCCTCGCAGCAGGTACCTAGGTAGGTATTGTAGCTATGCTACTTAAAGGCCCTATTGGTAACCAACAGCACAGGTAGGAAAGCCGCTAAAGCGGGACCTAATTAATGCGCCTGCGCCGCACCACACTGCACCACCACCACCTCACCCATCGCTCTGTAGGTGAATTCATAACCTCGGCTTCTGCCCCCCGCGCTGGCCGTCCTGGTAGGCGTAGCCTTGCGCAACGGGGCTTACGTGCCGCGATGACGACACCGACGGCAAGCCAGCAAGTGCGAACGGCGGCTCCCTACGCAGCTTGTCGGTGAAGAAGACGGGATGGCACTGCGACGGATTGTGGTTGTGCTGCTGGTTGTTGTTATTGTGGCAGTGGAGTGGTTTCTGGTGCAGGTGCAGGTGTGTCGGTGCGGGAGGTGCAGGTGCCTGGGCTTGGAGAAGCGGAACTGGCGCCTTTGGGTGTGGATGTGGTTGTGGTTGTGGTTGTACCGTCGCCATGCCTTCCTTGGGTGAGAAAATATGAGGGAGGATGGGGATTGTGGAGTTTTGGCGTGCTATTGGAAAAGGCAGTTCGGAATGGTTGAATTGCTAAAGCTCTCGGTGAAGAGGCGTGTTGCTATGTGGTCTACGGTCGATAGTTGAAAAGGGGCGCCTTCTCTCGTCATTGAAAGTGGCGGGATGATCCCGTCAGTCTCCCACTTCCCCATGTTCTTCACGTGAAGATTTGCCGGTTTTAGCCCCGCTCCAGCGAACATTCTTACCCTTCTAGGCAGGGAGCTAAGGCGGGAACGATATCCGTAGCAGTTAGTGTCCCCGCAAAGAGAGGACATGCAGCTTCTCAGTCACTTTCACACACGATGAAATATAGATTTGAACAAGACAGCAGCGGGCCGAACAGAAGACTGGCCCGATTCAATGTATTACCGAGCAGCCTTGCCGCCGCCAGGCTTTGGTTTTTTGCTGGAGGCGGCGCTCTTTTTGGCCTCGTTCGCCTTGCCCTTCTTGATGGTGTCTAGCAGGGACTCAATCTCGTCGACCTTCTCGGCCGTCTTGGCCTCGTCTTCCATCTTTTCTAGCTCCTTCTTGGCCCTGGCTCTCCGGACAGCCTCATCCTTCTCGACCCTCTCAATCAGCTTGTCGCTCGACTCCCAGAGCTTCTTGGCAATGGCTTCGTCGTCGACGTCCTTGCGCGCGCAGTCTACCACCATGCACTCCTTGATCAGCCGGCCGCCGGGGAGGCGGATTAGGCTTTCCTGGAACACGGCAAACAAGATGGACTGGGCGCCCATCTCGGGGCTCTTGAGGAATAGCCACGAGAAGGCGTAGAGCAGCACGTAGAGCAAAAGGCCCCACAGCGAGCCGCGCGAGAGCCAGCGCCGCGTGCCCGGCGTCCTGGAGAGGCCCGGGTCGACCAGGAACACGCGGGCGTTCATGGGCAGGTCGTCGGGCCGCTTGTAGGCGTCGAGGTGCTTCTGGTACGCCCTGCCAAACGACATGAGGGCCAATTTGCTCCGGGCGTAGGCGCGGCCGGGTGACCAGTCCTTCTTATCGAGCACGGCGTCAAGGGGCGGCGACCCGATGTAGGCAGAGCACGTGGTCAGGATGATGCGCACGTCGCGGTCAAAGGGCTGGGCGCGGATGGCCGGGCTCAGGATGGCCAGCAGGTGGACGTTTGCCAGGTAGTTGACCATCCACGTCGTCTCGACGCCCTCGGCGGTCTCGGTGCGGGAGCCGTCGGGGGGGGTCAGCGTGGCAGCACACAGGATGATCATGTCGAGGCGGCGAGGCGGGGCGTTGTCGATCCAGCGGGTGGCGAACTGGCGGACGCTGTGCAGCGAGGTCAGGTCGACGTGCTCGGCGTAGATGAGGTGGTTTCCGGTGCGCTCACGCATGTCCTCGATGAACTCGACTAGGAAGGGGTCCGAGGCGGCGACGTGGGTCAGTAGCACCACCTGGGCGCCGCGGCGGGCCATCTCGTACGTGGTGGCGGCGCCAATGCCCGACGTGCCGCCCGTGATCAACACGACGCGGCCGTGCATGACGCGCTCGGCCGTGGATGCGGCGCCCGACATGTAGCGCTTGGTCACGGCGAGGGCGCCGAGACCCGTGCCCGCCTTGAGAAGCAGCCACGGGTCGGGCATCCACGGCGGCGGGCCATTGATGATGAACTCGGCGAGCACCGCCAGAGGCATTTCGAGGGGTTGGGATCAGAAATGGGGGTGGCCTGTCACGAGTGCATTTCGGGTGTGTTGGGATGGAGGCCTGGAAAATCATCGAATGCAAGAAGCTTCCAGGCCGTTACGTCGGTCTGTCCACAGCCTAGGCGCCCCTGGCCAGGGGTGGATTAGTGGGGCTGGGCGTTTCCTTGGCTAGCGGTGGGCGCCAGGGGGTTCACAGCCTAGCACCCGACAGAAACCAAGGCCTCGGTGCAAGAGCCGCACGGCACACCCGACCTCACCTTCTTCATCCAACCAACCACAAATCTCGAGAAATTTAGGTAACAACGGTCCAAAGAAGCACGCGCCAAAATGATGACTCAAAGAGGCCTAGGTTGACGTGGGCTCGTCTGATTTTAATTACCAGGAACATCAACGCACCCTAAACTCGCATCGCGCCTGTAATCAAACGGTGTTGCAGTCACGGCCGCGGCCGCGGTTGCAGCCGCAGTCACGGTCGGAATGGCTTCTTCACCCGGGGAAAATGCAGCCGACGCAGAAAATGGCGTCAATGACGACGACGATTATGACGAGATCCCGCTGCAGCACAAACGCCCTTTTGGCACGAGCGCTTACCAGAGACCCATCTCGTTTGTGCCCGCCTCTGCCGACGGCGGCAACCTAGTCAGCTCGTCAAGCCAGCAGCAAACGGAGCAGAAGGGCGAAATCGTGGCCGATTGGTATCTCAGCATAGTCAGCCCCAACACGACCCGGGACGACAGCAAAGCCACAGACGGAAGCCCCGGAGAGATGTGTGAGATCTGCAATCTGCCGCTCGACTCGCTCGACGGCGACGCACGCCGGGCGCACGAGACGACGCTGGCGCACCAGATCTGCATCCCGCACTCGCACCCGCCGTCGGCGCTGGACCGCACGCGCCGCGGGCTGGCCGTTTTGGAGCAGCAGGGCTGGGACCCCGACGCGCGCGACGGCCTGGGCGCCTCCGGCCAGGGCATCATCTTCCCCGTCAAGGTCCGCCCCAAGAACGACCACCTGGGCGTCGGCCTCGCCGTGCCCAAGAACCTGCCGCGCTCCAAGAGGGATGGCAAGCCGCTGCTGCTCAACGCCGGCCAAGTGCGCAAGCAGGTCCGCGACGATGTCAAGAAATCGCGGCGCATCTACCAGGAGCTATTCGGCTCCAAGAACCAGGACAAGCTGGACAAGCTCCTCGGCCGCCCCGGACCGGCTGGTTGAAGGGTCCGTCGTCTGTTTGTCGGATTACGTGTACAAGAATCTATCTGGTCCATCCAGGGATATCGGTAACTACAGTTTGAAACGCGTCTTCGAAGAGCGAGCGAGCATTGCAGGGTTGACTAACCATTAGATTGTTGGAATAGTCTCTTGTTTTGCTTTTTATCTGCGCGTCTGGCTGGCGCATAATGTGAGGAGGGTTCGTGGCATAGCATGATGTGGTAGTTATGGTATGGTATTCTCGAACGCCCCAACACCAACCAACTCCTTTTCTCCCGCCCCCCCCCCCCCCCCCCCACACACTATAAAGAGCCGACAGCCGACGCTGACTCGAAAAGAAGACGGGAGAAGGGTAAAACTAGACGAAATCACTTCCAGCCACGATAGGCAACGGGTATATAGGTAGCTCTATCCATCCATGCATCCATTCCATATAGAAAAATGTCTAGCTACTACTAGGAACCCTGCTTGTCTAACACGTCGCCGCCCAGTCTCGCCCGCACCTCTTTGTCGAGCGACTCGAGCGCGCCACGCACCCACTCGCCCACGGCCGCCATCTTGCGCCCCAGGCTGTCGGGCCGCTCCTTTTCGCGCGCCAGCCGCGAGCCAGTCTCTTCGCCGTCGTCGGCAGCATTAGTAGTAGCAATAGCAGCATGCCGTCCTCTAAAATCGCTGTTGCGCCCGCAATATTTGTCTTCATCCTCATGGCCGTGATTGTTTTGAGGAGTGCTCTTGTCGATGCCGTCATCATAACCACAGCGGTGGCGATCCTGGTCTTGGTGCCGCTTCTTAGTCTTGCCCGCGCCGTCATGTGCGTAAGCAGCCACCCCGTTGGGCAGCGAAACCGCGCCGCGCTCGTCTTTCTCCTTTTTCTCATCCAGCTGCGGCTTCGCGTTCGCGTGCTGTTGCTCTTGGTCGCCCGCCGGCGAGCCTATCATCATCGTCTGGATCTCCTCCATGATCCGCTCGATTAGCGCGTCGGCCGTCGAAGCAGAGGCGTCCCACTCCCGGATCGCCGCCTCGATGACGTTGCGCAGGTCGGCCATGGCCGCCGTCCACTGCGAGCTGCTGGTGCTGCGCTTGTGATTATGAGCGATGGTAGTAGTCTGGGTAGTTGCCGTGGTAGTGGTCTCGGCCGCAATGAAGGTGCCTTTCTCGCAGGCAGATGGAGCAGAGTGTGTCGCGTGCTGCGGTGCTCGCGGCGGGGCATGTGGTATGTGTGCTGGCTGTGGGATCTGTGCCTGCTGTAGATTCTGTGCCTGGTGCAGAGGCGGCAGCGGCATGGGCGGATACGGCGGCATAGGGAGCTGGAGCGGAGACGGGAACGGCCCGCCGAATAGCATTGGCAGTGGCATTCGCATGGGCATTGGCAGCATTGGGAATGGTAGGCCTGGCGGCGGCATCAGCGGCAGTGGCGCCATCGTCACATCTCTGTCCATGGCCGCGCCAGTCGACGGAACACGCAGCGGTTGGACTGCGGCGGCATCCTCTGAAAACGGGGGCTCGAGCTTTCCGATACCCAGGATATCGCGCCGGCGCAGCGGCGAGAGCTCAGACTCGGCCATTTTGCGCGTCGTCGCAATGTCTTCTTCTGCCTCGCAGGTGGGCAGAGCGCTCGGGTGGGCGGCGGGATTGCGCGCCAGATTTGGGTCGAGGTGGTAGTGGTGCGCGGTTTGGGGCGGGGCCTGGTAGACTGGCTGCTCGATGAGGATTCCCGGGTCCAGATGCGCGTGCGGTGGCAAATGGGGCCAGAAAGGAGGAGGAAAGGGGAGGAAAGGGGGGGAGTGAGGATGAAAGGGGGAGAGTGAGGATGAAAGGGGGAGAGTGAGGATGAAAGGGGGAGAGTGAGGATGAAAGGGGAGGTAAGTGTACCAGGCCGCCGAGTGCGCGAGAACCGGATTGAACCACTCTGGCGGTGGCGCGAACGGCCCGCAGTATGCGTGCGCTGGTGGTGGTGGCGGGCCGGCCATATCTACGCTTCTCTACCAGGTTGTTAGCGATGGCTTCGTTTAAAGTTGAGCAGCAGAAGAAAACCCTGCGCTCGTAAGAGAGGCACGCTGGTCATGCCTGGGCTCGGAGGCAGAGATGCTTCTGTTATGTTTTGTTGAAGTTGTTTGGTATCGGGAGCAGAGAGAAAAAAATGTATCGGGCAGTCTACGACGAGACGGAACAGAATCCTCTTGTCGTGTGATAATGCCGCTGCAAAGTCAGGCCGGTATTTCGAGAGAAAAGGAAGAGGGGAAAGCAGGCCGCGGGGGAAACTGCTCGAGTCGACCCCTTAGTATCCAAACTGAGGAGCGAGTGACTATCTCCTCACCCGTGTCTCACTCTGCTCTCAAGTTCATCAGTCTGTTGATATACCAGCTTGAAGGAGTCAAGCAACTGTAATTATAATGTGAGCGTCAAGTGGAGGGTCCAGCTCATCATTAGGGACAGGTTTATAAACACCAACAATGTTCACATTGAAAGGGAACCTTGCATAAGACATAAGAAAACAAGCGATAGGAGGCAAACGACCAGGTTATGTGGCTGTTAAATCCTCAGCTTGAAGACGGGCGGCTATGAACCAGCCCGGTTGCCGTCTTGAGTCTACGATGTGCGTTGTCTGAAGTTTACAATTCATCAGACTTGAGAAAACACAACCCGCCGTAGGAGAAAATAACACACTGCTGACAGAAAACCATATTACAGAATATGTTTCCTCTTTCTTGCTCTCGACCTGTCACCAGCCAAGGCCTCAGGCTTAGCCCTGCTAGCGAGCCATATTATTAGCCCCAGGAGCTTTAGAGAGAGACATACTTGTGCACTCAAGGGGGCTATTTGCCTTCGTCCGTACAGCTGCCTCTGGAATGGCAACGAGACGAAAAGCCTCGGAAGAGCGTCCTGTAGCCAAGGCATATTCCCTTGCCAAGACTTGGTATGAGGCGCCCCCTTTTCCCAAATCCGAAACTAGTCAACAACCCCTATCCCATACATTCAAAAGCTTTCGGGTACCGTAACAACCCCCGAACCAAACATATTGAATCATCTAATTCCACAAACTTAAATTCAAGTGCATTTCAAACCAAACAACTACCCCACTTCAATGATTTAATGCTGATATTGTGCGGACAGCACCTCTTATTCGATTTCCCATTGCAGAAATAAAGAAGAAAACCCCCGAGAAACAGAACCCGGCAAAACAACACAATAACACAAGACACAACCAAGCAAATCAATCAACACCCGCGGAAACATCACAGGCAATGCCTACACACGCAGAGACAGACAGAAAACGAAATATATGCCCAAGGTAGGTAGACATGAATTCTCACCAAACCAACAACCCCACCCACGCAATGCAATGCATGTCTGTATATACAAAGTACGTACCTACCTATCTAGATATGAAACCACGCTTCAACCCTAAATTAAACTCAGTTATGGGCGCTCCATCAGGCTGTCTCTACTATATTTCCCCCTCCACTCTTTCTTTTCATTACCACTTCCCTCCGCAACCTCCTCCTCCCCAACGACACCACACACTACACTACAGCTTCGCCTTTGCGCTTGGCAACACAGCCTCAGCCGGGCGCTGGGGCGGGTTCACCAGCGGATCATAAACAGCATACGCAAGTGCGTCCGCCGGGGTGGTGGCATGCGAGCCAAGGCTCCTGACATCGAGCAGGTCAGGGCCGAGGTCCGCGACCGTGGTGGCGCCGATGAGGCGCATGTTCATCTCCATCTCGTCGCGGAGCAGCTGCATGGCGCGGTCGACACCCGCAAGCCCGTAGGCCGACATGGCGTACAGGAACGGGCGGCCGATGCCGACGCCGCGGGCGCCGAGGCACAGCGCCTTGAGGATGTCGGTGGCGCGGCGCACGCCGCCGTCGACGTACACCTCGATCTTGTCCTGCAGCCCGCGGGCGCGCAGCACCGGCATGGTCTCGGCGAGGACCTCGACGGCGGAGCGGGCGAAATCGAGCTGGCGGCCGCCGTGGTTGGACAGCACGACGCCCTGGACGCCGGCGTCGACAGCCTTCAACACGTCCTCGACGCGCTGCACGCCCTTGAGCACGATGGGCATGGCGGTGATGCTGCGGAACCACGGGATGTCGGCCCAGCTCAGCCCCGGGTCGATGAAGGAGCTAATGGCGCGCGCGGCGCCCTGGCTGCCGTCGGTGGCGTGGCCGGCTGTGGCCTGCACGCTGCTGCCGGGGTCGGTGAACTTGGACCGCATGTCCTTCTCGCGGCGGCCGAGCTGCGGCGCGTCGACGGTGATGAAGAGCCCCTTGCAGCCGCGGCGCTCCGCGTGCCGCACGATGCGCTCCGTGATGGCCCGGTCCTTGTTGACGTACAGCTGCAGCCACTGGACCTGGTGGTCGGTGGCGGCGTCGACGATCTCGTCGAACGAGCACGACGCCAGCGTCGGGATCATCTGGATCACGTTGTGCTTGGCGGCCGCGCGCGTCAGTACTACCTCGCCCTCGGGGTGGCCTAGCTTGCCCAGCGCCGTAGCTGTTACGTAGAAGGGCATGGCGACCTTGGTGCCCAGCATGGTGGTGCTGAAGTCGACGTTGGCCACGTCGACGAGGATGCGCGGGCGGAACCAGATGCGGTGGAAGGCGGCGTGGTTCTCGCGCATTGTCTGTCGTCGTCTGTGTGAGCAAGTAACACACGCTGCCAACCTTGAGGGGGAGGGGGGACTTACAATCTCGTCGTCGGCGGCGCTCGAGTAATACGCCCAGGCCGTCTTCTTCATGACGCGGCGGGCGACGGCCTCAAAGTCGAGCAGGTTGTAGCACTGCTCGAGGAGGGGCATCTCGGCGATGCGGCGCTGGCGGGCCTGCTCGTCGGGCGACGCCGCGTCGGCCTCCTTGGCGCGCGCGACCGTGGCCATGTCGACGGCGCCCAGGTGCTTGGACCTGTCGAGGTACTTGTCGAGCGTGTCGGGCGGGTGGATGGGCTCGAACTCTTCGGTTGCGTCTTTGCCCTGGACCGGGCATAGCATGTCAACGCCCCTGATGGATTCACACGAGAGGAGGCGGACGAACTGCATATTTGAGGATGATCTTTTGCCCTCCGGGGTGTTCTGCGCGGGGCCACAAGAGTCAGTTTCAACATACATCAGGGGGAGGTTTAGGGGCAAACGCAGTTGGGGAGGAACGAACCGGGAAGAAATTCCGTGACATCGTAGGCTCGCCCCTATAAATCCGGAGACATTCATATTCACAGCCATGTCAGACATCTGAGCTTCGTTTCTTTGGTCTGGCCTAGAAGAGCGCGCATACGTGGACAATGACCCAGCAGTCCTTGGCACTGTTGTGTTTGGCAACCTCGACCCCCTTCAACATTTTGGCGGCGAGTCTAGTGTGATGTGTATGCACACGGTGCTGGTCAGGCCAACGAGGTCGGTGGCTTTGAGTTGAGTCGAGTCGACGAGTTTGTCCGGGGAGAAGAAAGTAGTTCAAGACTAGAATATAACCAATTACCTTAGCTTTAGTTTGGCTCTTTCTAAAAATGAATAATAATAATAATAATAATGATAAAGATAATTGATTAGCAGAAACAAAAGATGCGAGTTTTTAGTATTCTGACGACGCGCCTCCAATTGACCGTTTTTCCTTTGCGCCGACACGACAAGAGGGATGACATGCGGGCTGCATGGAGGTTCCCCCCATCATCCCATGTAGAGGTCATCCATCGGCCGAGCTTGTGCGGGGATTGTGGAGGCGTGCTGCGTGGTGGGTGGAGATGGACGACGGGAGTTCCCCGCAAAGATGGGCCGACGCCATTCGAACAGTTACTAGGGTTAGGGTAAGGGCAAGGTTAAATTCTATTTGTCCCCTTCCCCTTCCCATGCGTACACATACCTAATTCTATTCGCCCCTTAAAGACACTTGAAGACCTTAGATCTGCTTTTTTGTACGTATTGGCCAGCCAGTTAGTGAGAACTACCAACCCAAGTCTACAGCTCGTTCATTTATCTGCCTGTATCAACCTTGTAACTGAAATAGGGGGTATAGAACGACTATGTACCGAAAATGTATCATAAATCCAAAAGAAGACGGCTCTCATCGTCCACACATACATACAAACATCTCCCTTCCTTGCCCCTGTCCTGTCCCTGTCTCTTCTGAGCGAGCACTCAGTAAAACGACGGCCTTGGCGAGCGCTGTTTGGCCGTATCGCCGCTGCTGTACGACTCGGCGGAGCTGGTGGGCCGGTCTCCCACGACGCTGCCTCCTCCTCCGCCGCCCATGACGGCGGCCGCCATCCTGCGGCGCGACGTGGTGATGCGCGAGAAGACGTTGCCGCGCCTCTCCTCGTGGCTCCAGTTGCTGGCCCTGTCGTCGCCGGCGGCCGGCGTCTCCCTCAGCGAGTCCGGGTCCATGAACTCCTTGGGGAAGATCCCCCACTTGCCCCTGGAGTTGCAGCCGGACCAGCACCAGTGGTCTTTGCTCGGGACTAGACGGACGTAGACAGTTGTCAGCAACTCAGACTCACCCGAAAAATAGAAGCAAAGGAAGCATGGAAAAGGAACTCACAGGCGATGCTGGTGATGGTCTCGCCCTTGTCGAACTTGAGCCACTCCTTCACGGTCCCCTCCCGAGCAGAAGCCGCGCCGCCGTCCTTGTCCTTGGGCGCCCGCTTCCACCGGGCGACGGCCGTGAAGTTGCTGGTCGACTGGACGCGGACCTCGGTGCGGTCAGGGGGCCGCAGCAGGCGCACCGAATCTATGGGGAAGGCCGCCCGGATGTTGTCGGCCCACCCAACGCCCCAATCGCCCTTGTAGCGGGTAGGGAACTCGATGCCGACGATGCGCGCGCCCGGCATGAAGCGGTGGACGGGCTGGCGGTCGGGAGCGGAACGCATCGAGCCGTGCATGGGGCGGACCTCGGCCGTGGCGACGGCGGCGGGCAGCATGCTGACCTCCTGCGCGATGCCCGTCATGACGGAGCGCACGGGCGGCGCCGTAAAGTGGAGGTCGTTGTTGCCACGGTGCTCGAGGGGGACGGCCTGGACCACCTCTTCGGACGCGCCGCCGATGACCACGAGCCCCGGTATCACCGGCAGCGGCCGCGGGTGCCGTGCCAGGTGATCAAACAGCTGCTTCTGTGAGAGGAACACGGTCGCATCGCTTTCCTCCATCGTCCTCCCTGCGTGCACGCAGAACAGGCACCCGTACAGTTGCTCGTCGATCCGCCGCACCGGAAGGTGGCTCTTGGAGAGGAAGCGCAGGCGGAACGAGACGTCCGCAAGGGTGTGGAATGCCTCCTCTGTCCAAACCAAATAAAAAAAGGGTCAGCCTTGAAAAATGCGATACTCCGTACAGCTCGCGAAGACTAGCACTCACCTTTCCGACTCCGGTCCCTGTCCACGGAATTCCAATCCTGCTCAAACATGCAGCTGTCGCACTTAGCCACGATCACAGTGCCGTGGATCCCGCTCTATCACAGAAAAAGTTAGCCTTCGTCTTCTGAACCGTGCCGTGCACTAGTGGGCATGGCGAGGACGACGTACCGGCCGCTTGATCTTCCTGACGCCCGGATTCCCCCGAAGCACATCCTTGGCGCCCTCGCAGAAGCCCTTGAGCTGATAAAACGAGCTGTCGAGGCCGATCGTGCAGTCCGTATCTCTGGGGCGGGTTGGGCTCGATACCTCCTCCTCAGTAATGACCGGGATGAGGCCTGGCTGCTCGGCCACTATCGAGCTTTCTTGCGGGACGGGGGGTAACCTAGGCTCGTAAGGCGGCGCTGGCTGTGTCATTAGGCTCGACCACGAGGCCCCCGAAGGAGAAGGCTGTGCGTGCGGGTTAGGGCTCGGTTCCCCAAGGGAGTGGAACGAGTCCCGGCTACTGACCGAGGGTGCGGTGCTCTGGTCCGGGTTGGGCGGGTACGAGTTCCTGGGGTCCGACACGGGACTGCTAGTCGTCATCAAGCTGTCCCTGGTGCCACCGCGGTTGTCAAATATCGAAGGGGGATGGATCGAGTCTTGTAGGGAGCTGGCGCGAGAGTCTCTCTGGGAGGGCAGAGTAAATTGAGTAGCGTTTACTTGCGATGACAATAGCCGCTGATACTCCGTCACGGCCTGAGGTGCCCTCCCTGACCCAACCGACGGTGGGTCAGAGCTGATTGGAGATACTGTGTCGCCCGCCCATGGATTTGCGAGGTCGCGAGTAGATGCGCCCTGCTTCCATCGCTCCTCCTCCTCGCGGATCATCTGTTCGACTCCCTGGTCTAGTCGGCGAGGGCGAGTGGCCAGCCCGCTGGCAACGTCGCTACTTGGCGTCATGGGTGACACGACGTTCGAGTCGCCTTCCAGCCGTGGTCGGCGCTCTGGCACGACCTCGGGCTTGACTTCGGGAAGTCTTAGCGGCAGCGGCTCAGTGGGCTGCCAAGGGTTAACGGGGGGTTCTGGTGGTATCTCTTCAGGACTAACAGATTCGGCCGAGCGTTGGACTTCTGCCACTGGCGTTACTGTTGTCGCCGTCGTTGTCGTTGCCCGGTCGTCTTCCCAGGGCTGGATGGGCCCGGCTCTCGACTGCATCACGCTGCGCAGCTGGGCCGACTCGTCGGGCGGCGGTGCGTCGGGCTGTCCGAGGGCCTCATGCTCGGCAAGCTGCCGAGACAGGGCCCGCGTCGTGTCGGATGCCGACGGAGCTCTCGACATGCCAGACACAACCGACAACTCGGGCTCCACATGGGGGTGCTCGAGCTTCATGCGCACTACGACCTCGGCTGTCTTGAAAGCCACGGTCCGCAACACAGCCTGGACTTTGGAAAAGAAATCGGGCTCGAAGCTACCGGCGTCGATGGAGTCGTCAAGGTCACATTCCAGATTATGCAGCTGCTCCCTGACGCCCGAGATCTCGTCTACATCACAGTCAATTAGACTCGGCGCTGGCGGGCGACAGCCGGGGGGGGCACGACCAACTCACCATTCTCCTTGAGGGCGTCGACAAAGTTTGGGCCGTACTCGTCCAGCTGCCTCTTGCACACGGGTTCGATCTTTTTGAGGGCGCGCTCGCCATTGTTGACGAGGGTCTGGGCAGCCTTCTGCGTGGGTAGGTCGTCGGACTCCTTTGCGATCTCGAGGGCCGTCTTGGCCTTGTCGACGACATCGCGGAACGGGCCGAGGACGAGATCTTGTACCTCCTCGTCCATGCCGGCGGCTAGATGGATGCCGGCTGTCTAGGCCAATTCAGCCTGCGATTGCTCGATTGTTTATGTTGCCTGCCCTTTGCACACACGCCGCGGAAGCCTCGCCCGTCTTGCTCTCAGTAAGTCGGGGCCTGCAACAGGTACGCAGCCGTGGGGAACGTCCGGAGGTAGGCAAGGTAATTCGTCATACACCGGAAAGGCCGAGGCGTGATGTACCCGTATGCATGTCCAGTATTCCGAAGGAGCACGAATCCGCGATCCTTCGATTGGTCGTCGACAGCGAGAACACAGCGCCGGCGCAGAGCAGAGCAGAGAGCGATAGTGCACAAGGCAGGAGTTGGACAAAAGGAGAGGAGAGAAGAGAGAAGAGAGGCAAATTCACAGAACACGACACGGCTGCAGAGAGGACCAGACCAGGCCGGTTCCCAAGGTAAGGTAGGTAGGTAGGTAGGTAGGTGTAGGTACGGAGTAAGGTAGATAGATACAGCAGATAGGTTGGCGAGTTGGATGTGCCTGGCAATAATGCAGCTGCAAGCGAGGGTAGTGTAGCCCCTCCTCCTCTTTGATGCAGGGAATCCATCCATACCGCGCTCGACAGCATGAGGTGGTGGCAGACCAGACCAATGATCCTGATGCTGGATGGGGCCCCCTCTCCCCACAGCTCTCCCGAGGGTGGGAGCGACGGGAGAGACACAGGCCAAGCCAGGACGCTGCAGGAGGCTGAAGCTTAGACTTGGACCTTACAAGGCAACCTCGAATCACGCCTCACTCTCTCCCCCTCCCGGTGACCGGATTGATCAAGGGACGATCCTAGCTTCCAATACCTAGGTACCCTGAGTAAACTAGTGGAAGTGGAAGTGTGAAATGGCAGACAGACAGAGGTGGCCGGTCTCGCACCGAGAGAGCCTGGGCTGGGCTGGGCTGGGCTGGGGGAGGGGAACGCGGGGGACAGGGACTACCTGCTCCGTAGTGTAATGGACGACGAGGCTGTGCAAGTGCAAGTGCAAGTGCAAGCGCAAGCGCAATCAATAGAGACAACTCGCCGGGAGGGAGGCTGTGGGGGAGCCTGAGCCTGAGCAGGGCTAGTTACTGTACCTACTGAGCCGCCGCTCGCATGCCCGACTGCATTGGGAGTCAATATGTCTAGATTGAGTGGATGCATGTCATGTCAGATAGTCTGATGTGGTGATACAGGGTATATTACGATGTTGCAAAACACGGCTTTGATGGGATGAAAGATTGGATGCTCTCGCAGAGAGACTAAATACAGACGGGTTCTCCCACTGTATTCTTGAATGTTTCTGGCGCTAATAAAAGTCCTGGGTACGCAACTGAGTAAGCACGCACCCGACTGAACACCACAAAGTGAACCCCACCGACCCTACGACAACCTGAACAACCTCGAAGCCCAAACTCGGAACCCCAAAAGAGACATATCAGACGACTCGGAACAGAAGAGGATAGACACGTTAAAAAAAAAAAGAGTCGGCCCCGAAAAAAGGGAGGAAGAAGCAGTACGCCACAAATTCTAGGCTGGCCTTCGTCGGTGAGCCAAAAAGAGAGCCACAAGGCTTCCACTAGCGTCTCATTACAGCACCGAGGTCATTAGCGGGCCGCAGTCGACCAACATCCATTAGGAGACCGTGGGGCCTGCAACAGGAAAGGAAAAGCAGGCTGGCTGGCAGCCATTCGCTCTCGCTTCCTCAAATCGTTCTCGAGCGGCATCAAACAACCGAGGGGACAAGGATCAACTGCAGCAGGGGTGACGGGGCGACTCTGAGTGCTTTTCTAGAACAATTCGGCGCTCTCCGTTGATCTGCCAAGTCATCTGCGATAACCTGGGCTCTGCAAGCTAACCCACCCTAGTAACATGCCGCTGCCGCCGATGTTCCCGTCCACGAATCCACGATAAGAAAAAGGGGCCAGATATGTGAGCATCATGCAAAACCATTGGAACCTGATTGGTGTTCACCCTTCCAACTTTTTGCCTCTCCAAAGCTTAGACATACGCAGTAGGATGCAGCCCTTGCTGAGAATCCTTGAATACCTTACTTTTGTGACTTGGTAATGTTCGCCGTCGCCTGCTCCGAAATCAGCGACCGTCCAATCTGAATGGTTTCCGATGCCCCTCGTTGCCGTTGCCAGAACCTGATGCGTATTGTTAGCCAGCCACAAAAACAATCCAAAAGTAAACCAGCCAGGGTTCAACTCACTGCTCCTCCGGAGTCCCATTGCCCTTGATTGAAATCCGTCGCGCTTCTTCCTCGAGCGCTTCACGAGTAATCTTCTCGCCGCCACTCAAGCCGGGGCCGTGAGATTCCTCCGTCAAGTCTTGGCTAAACGTCTGCTCCAGAAGCTGCTTGCGCATAGCAAACCGTTCCGCTCGCTCCTTCTGGAGGCCAGGGCTGTCCATAAGATGGACGGCGCTACGGACGATTCGCTGCACGACGAGGTAGACGTGCTCTGAGAACAAAATCGAGAGCAGGAGAGCCCAGCCAGAGATGTCCCACGGCGAGCCGTCCGGTCCGTGCTGGCTCTGGTGAAAGAGAAACACCAATGCGGCGCTGGTGACGCTGCCGAGCCACGACAGAAATCCCAGCGAGTTGAGCCAGGGGCCGATCGAGTCTGCGCGCCATGGGATTGGCCGTTGGCTGCTAATGGCAATCTTCATCGCATCCGACCGGGCTTCGACCCAGTTGTTGACCAGAAACGAGCATGCTGTCAGTGGCCAAACCACCGAGAAGAGCGACAGGTACCCTTTTTGCGAGAGTCAGTATCGGCGTTTCCAGGCTGTCAAGCAATGACTTACCAAACTGAATCACCATTTCCCTATAGTCAACAGTGACATCGTACTCGTCAAGCTCCGCCTCTTCTCTTACACGCCCAAGGAACTCATGCTCCTCGGGCACGTCCCGGACCCGGAGTTCGGCTTTCTTCTCTGAAGAAATTTCAGAATGGACCTCCTCCACCGCCTTGGACATCTTCCGCTTGGCATAAGGCACGATAACCTCGGTGACAAAATTGACTATCTGGGCCGTCACTGTGAAGTAGATGACCTGTTTCGTGAGCCTATCGGGGTTGATTTCCCAGGCTTTGGTCGGCAATGGCTTCCCTTCTGTTGTGAACTTCTGGGCCGTAAGCTGGAACACGTCAAGGTATGGCACCAGGATTTTGCCAAAGGGCACGTAGACAAAAGCAGTGAGGAATATAGGCGAGTACGAAGTGATAAAATTCAGCACAAAAATCTTTTGGACGAATGACGCTTGGTGAGCTACAGGGGGTTGACAGTTAGCCGGGCCGTCCCGCGTGTCCGGAAGCCTCCTTCTCAGGCACTCGTTTTCAGGCACTCACCGTCTTTGGTTTCGTAGTTCTCCATCTCTGTAAGGCGCTCTGCCAGTTTGGTGAGCAGGGTCGTAAGCGTAGGCGTGAAGATGGTCAAGAGGATAGTGGGCAGGAAGGTCTAGTAACAGCTAGTGATTAGCGATCAAGAACCTACGGGATAGGGGGCGTCTGGGCCATCACTAACCAGGTACTGCTTAAAAGGCCCGTTATAGATTTCAGTAATGAAAATCTCAATTGAAAAACAGCTGACAATCAGGGTTCCCAGGACGACAAAACAAGCCAGCGCAAAGGGGGCCTGAAGAAGCTGTCGCGCAAAACGCTTGAAGGGCGAGTACATCCTAATAATCTCGCCAGTCACCGGGTCCTGGGCCTCGTGGTCGAACTGGAACTTTGAGCGAGGAAGCTGGATCTTGGAGACGCCTCGCACCCCCCACTGGACGGCGAGGTCAACCTCCTTCATCTTCCAGTGCTCAAAGAAGACAACAGACCAGAGACAGTTTACTAGGGCGTAGAACCACGAGAACTGCCCTAGGAGCAGCCAGGAAGCGAAGCCAAAGGCTGCGGGGAACAGCAGAAAGGTGAAGTAGGACTGGAGGAAGGCAAAGTAGAAAGCCACGCGCTCGCCGAAGCGGTCGCGGATCTGGTCAATGTCGCTGCTGTCGAGGTAGTACTTGGTGCTCCACTGCTTGATCCACTGGCGGTTGAAGTCGCGGTCGTGGAGGGGGAATATCGATGCCACGTACTTCCAGGCGCCGACCTGCGGCGTGATTCCAGCACCGCCCTCGTTCTTGGGCTTGGTGATGAGCAGGTAGGCCAGGCGCAGGCGCTCGGCGTCGGTGACGGGCTCGTCCTTGAAATACTGCTCCAGGTCCTGGTTGGGCGCCGAGGTCCGCACACCGTACAGCCAGTCTTGGACCCTGTAGCGGTAGATTTGCTTTGCTAGCAGCTTGTCCGAGGCGATCTTGACGAAGACCAGCAATGACGACTTGCCGCCATTGCGGACTTCGGTAGCGAACCCCACGTCGGAGACTTCCTTGACGAGCTGAGTAAAGGCAGCCTCAGCTTCGGCTGCTTCTTGGTCTGTTGCGTATTTGAATCAGCGCCCACGTCTAGGTAGCTTCGTACAGTGTTCTCAAGAGGCAATTGGGTATTCGCGCATTCGAACCTGTTGCGGGGATTCTGTAGTGGATCACGTAGTCGACACTGCGAACAAGAAAAGAGGTCAGCATAAATAAGGTAAGGTAAAGCAAGGGGGTTGAGGCGTTTTACTCAAAGTTGGACTTGTGCCTCGTCCTGTCTTTTACACCGTCTTTGGCCATGGCGGCGGGCCTCAAGAGCTGCGGGGAGGGACGGGATGTAACTTTAAATTGTCTCTATCGCTGTACGAATACTTTGGGTCTTATTGACGGGTGTTGGAAGAACGTGAGGGTGCAATAAGTGTCACCTTTGCCAGAGAGTAAAAAATGCCATAAACACTGGCAAGCTGGTAGCTTCGGTGCGCTGTTGGTGCTGTTGTGCGGTGTTATCACCAAAGTCGGGCAGCGTTGTGCTGGAGCTGAGCTGGGAGGGCGTGATCGACGTCACTGGGTGTCATGGGTCTCTGACAGGGGTCGAACCAGGATCCCAGACAAGCTGAGCTCAAGTCGAGACCTGGGCTGGTCTGTGCTCGGGCAGAATCTCCCGTCCCTTGTCCTTGGCCTTGGCCTTGGCCTTGGCTTGGCTCTCTTGGAGATATTGATTATCTAATCCAGTATCTGAACCACTTAAATCACGTCCCGCTATTACTAAAGGTGTACTCGGTACCTTGATTGCTCTTTCCTTGTCGATGTTCAAGGTGAGGACCTTGACGGCAGGGTCATGCTCTGTTCTTGCCTCTTTGGCGAGCCAGCTTGCCCATAGTTAAGGTCGTAACGCGGGAGCTTGAAGAGATGCCCACCTCAAGTTCGATGGAACTAAGCCCAAGAAAGATGCCGCAAGCGCTTTCTGCACCCGAAGCCGAGTTTCGGCCGTCTAAAAGCGGGCAGGAAATCTCGCCGCAGCGACAATCAGGACGGCATCTTGTCAGGCGAAGGGCGGGAGACAACGACTCTGAACGACAAGCATTCGACATTCGGGAAACAGAATAGGTGGAGACGCAGTGAGGATACCGTACCGAGTAAGCGCGTACCAAAAGACTCGGATGCCGTATAAATGCGTATAAAATAAAATATTAACAGCCCCTGAGACGGGTCTCGACACTTCCTTGCCCACGCTCGCTCCCGAACTTCGGCATTCGTCTTTTTGACTCATTGGTCTGCCTCTGCCCTCCATCAACAGCCCTCAGTACTAGCCAGAGATTTATAAATTTTCTGAAAGTCGCCCTGACAATGGACTCCAACGGCTTCAGAAACGCGGCCATTTCGTCGATTGAGGAAAGTGAGTACCTCATCTTCTTACCTATACCCGCCCGCCAACTCGGAAAATAAGAGACAACAGAGGGCAAAGGCTAACGTGCAACCCAGTCATCGGCTACTATGACAACATCGAGACGCGCAATGTCGTGTCGACGGTCGAGCCGGGCTATCTGAGGAAGCTGCTGCCGACCGAGGCTCCCGCGCAGGGCGAGCCGTGGGCCGACATCCAGAAGGACATCGAGGCCAAGATCCTCCCCGGCATCACGCACTGGTGAGACGGCCTGGCATCTCCGGACCATGTCCCATGTCCCATGTCTCTGACGTCGCCTTGGTTCCGTCTAGGCAGCACCCCGGCTTCCACGCCTTCTTCCCGTGCGCCACCAGCTACCCGTCCATCCTGGGCGAGCTGTACAGCGCCGCCCTGAGCGGGGCCTGCTTCAACTGGATCTGCAGCCCCGCCGTCACCGAGCTCGAGACCATTGTGCTGGACTGGCTGGCCAAGCTGCTGGGCCTGCCCGACTGCTACCTGTCGACGGGCGCGACACGGGGCGGCGGCGTCATCCAGGGCTCGGCCAGCGAGGCCGTGCTAACCGCCATGGTCGCCGCCCGCGAGAAGTACCTGTGCGAGACGGTGCCCGCCGACCTCGACGGTGAAGCCCGCGACGACGCCATCGCCCACAAGCGCAGCCGCATGGTCGCCCTCGCCACCACCACCACCCACAGCTCCACCAAGAAGGCCGCCATCATCCTCGGCGTGCGCTTCATGGCCATCCCCGTGCGCGCCGAGGACAACTACGCCCTCTCGGGCCCCGTCCTCGCCCGGGCCCTCGCCGACTGCCGCGCCCGCGACCTCGAGCCCTTCTTCCTGACCGCCACGCTGGGCACCACCGACACGTGCGCCGTCGACGACTTCGCCGGCATCACGTCGGCCCTCGCCGGCTTCGTCCCCGCCGGCGCGCCCGGCGAGGTGTGGGTGCACGTCGACGCCGCCTACGCCGGCGCCGCCCTGGTGTGCCCCGAGGTTCAGGCGGCCACCAACGTCGCCCTCGTAGCCGGCTTCCACAGCTTCGACATGAACATGCACAAGTGGCTGCTGACCAACTTCGACGCGTCGTGCCTGTACGTGCGCGACCGCGAGTGGTTCGTGCGCGCCCTGACCGTCAACCAGGCCGTCTACGGCAACGCCGCCTCGGACGGCGGCCTCGTGACCGACTACCGCGAGTGGCAGATCCCCCTCGGCCGCCGCTTCCGGAGCCTGAAGGTCTGGTTCGTGCTGCGCAGCTATGGTGCTGACGGCCTGCGCGCCTACATCCGCCGCACCACCAAGCTGGGCGATGACTTTGCCGCCTGGCTGCGCGCCCGAGCCGACCTGTTCGAGATCATGACCGGGCCTAGTTTCGCCCTGACCGTCTTCCGCATGGTCGGCAGGCCCGAGTCGGACGAGGACGAGCGCAACGCCCTCACCAAGGCCCTCTACGACGCCGTCAACGCCACCGGCCACATGTGGGTCACCAGCACCGTGCTCAACGGCCGTTTTGGTATCCGCATGATGACGGGCGTGCGCACCACCGAGAAGGAACACGTCGAGGCCGCCTTCCAGACGCTGGTGGGCGCCGCCGAGGAGATTCTCAAGAGCTGACGACGTCAGCCCCCCACCGAGTGCGCCGTACATGTACCGTCGATAGGATAGCAGTAGTATAAAACCATGTTCTCCTCCGTCCCGTGAGCCTGCCTGCCTGCCGTGTGTGTGTGCCTGATATTCGGGGCCGGCATGTTGTGTCTTGCGGAGGGGCAAAAATTAGGTAACCGCACGTGGACATGCATATATGAACCTAATTTGCCTGCCTGCCTCCCAGTGAAGTAGTTGAACTGGAACACTTAAGGGGCTTACGCCTACTATGTCCAAGGAGCATCGTTTAGGTAGCTCCGAACCCCTTCGCTTCTCAAGAGGCTCAAGGTTCGAGCCTTGGTCGGCCCGTCTTTTTTATTTTTGTCTTTCTGTTTTAGTCTTGCAGGCTGCAACGCATAATATTTCTTCGACATAACGTAATTGCATAGCGAGTGGCCATGTATAGCGAGTGGCCATTCTCCCCACCCCAATTGAACTTTCGCCCGACATGCCAACACTACAAAAAAAACTAAAAATGCCACCTAAACGAAATGAAGCACAAATACAGCTTGCCCTCTAAGCTATAGAACGTAATAAATCACTAAAGCCCTTTGCAGCTGCAAAACTGTATTCGGTACCCCGAAAAACACTTGAGCGGCGATTAAAGGGAATCCTCCCTCGAGCAAACACCATCGCCAACTCTCGGAATCTCGATCCCCTTGAAGAGTAGGTTATTATACAAAAGGTTTTTGACCTATATGAATAAGGATTTTCGCCAGGATACGATGTGGTTGAAGATATGGCCAATTTGCTACGCGTCACGCGTCGGACTACGCTGGGCTTCAAACTTCGTACGACGACAACTAGAGCTCCAGATGCGTTGGACGCGTCCGTACGACTACCAGAGAGCCAAATGCGAAGATCCAGAGATAATTGGCGCGTGGTTTCACCTTGTTCGTAATATAATCGCGAAATATGGGATTATTGAGTCGGATATCTGGAACTTTGACGAGACTGGGTTTATGATGGGTCAAATTTCGCCGATGCTTGTTATTACTTCGTCTGAAGGCCGTAGGAGGGTTAAGAAGATCCAGCCTGGTAATCTGGAATGGGCTACAGTGATCCAGGCTGTACAGTCGGGTGGTAATAGCATCCCTCCGTATGTGGTGGTTGTAGGCAAAATCCACCTCGAAAGTTGGTATTGCGACAGCCCTTTCCCCCCGATTGGACCGTTGATCTCTCGGAAACTGGTTGGACGAATAACCAGATTGGTCTTGATTGGATTAAGCACTTCGACCAATACTCTCGCCGTTATATAATAGGTGGAAAACGTCTCCTAATCCTTGATGGGTATGAGAGCCACCACTCGGCCAACTTCGAAAAATACTTTAAAGAAAACAACATTATTATACTTTGTATGCCTCCGTACTCATCTCATCTACTTCAGCTACTTGATATCGGGTGTTTTAGTGTGTTGAAGCGGTTTTATAGTAAGGAAATCGAGAAGCTAATGCGTAACCATATTCACTATATCACCAAGCCCGACTTCTTTCTCGCTTTCTACAACGCATTTCAAGCAATATTCAAACCTGAAAACGTATAAGGAGGTTTCCGAGGGGCAGGCCTTGTCCCATTTGACCCAGAAAAGGTGATATCCCAGCTAGATATCAAGCTTCGTACACCAATACCTACTTGCCCCCCCGAGGACTCGTACGATAATTGGGTCTCTAAGACACCACAGAATGCTACTAAGGCCTCTCTACAATCAACACACATCAAGGATCGCATTACCAGGCATTAGAGCAGCTCACTAACCCCAATTCTTGAGGCCCTTGACCAAATTGCAAAGGGTATAACGAAGGTTATGCACGAGGTAGTATTGATGAAGGCTCGTATAAGAGAGCTTGAGGAGGCAAATACAGCCTTAAGTAAACGCCGGAGGGCTAAAAAAAAGTCTTATCCAAGCAGGAGGACCATTGACTGTACAGGATGCAAGCGATATTCTGGCTGAAAGGGATGCATACGCCCTACTAGAGGAGGAAAAGCGGTCGGGAGGTGGCCGTACAAGGAGCAATACAGCAGGTTCACGGCACTGTAGTAATTGCGGCAAAACAGGACACAACTCTCGTACGTGCCAGGAGGATGCGAAAATGGATAAGGGATTGGATTCTATGTAGTTTTAATTGATCATTTTTTGTGGTATTAGTGTCGTGCGAAAGCTCAATTGGGGTGGGGAGAGTGGCCACTCGCTATACATAGCCACTCGCTATGCAATTACGTTATCCTTTTATAGCCAATAATATATTTACCTATCTACGTTACCTCCCCGAGCTCCTCTCCCTCGGCCTGTAATCGTGCGCATACCTATCATACCCATCATACCCAAATTTATGACTACACCCCTCGTTGTCGTACCCGCCATACGACGACCCCCGACGGCCGCCGTCCTCTGACCGGGCCCTGTCGCGCCGGTGTCCGCCATCGCCGCCGTACTCTATCCGCCTCTAGTCGCCCTGTTCGCTGTGCCTCCCATCGCGCTCGCCCCTGCCCCTATGCCTATGCCTATGCCTATCCCTCTCACCATCCTTTTCACCACCCCTCTCCCTCTCACCATCCCTCCACCTCCCCCTCTCCCCCCTCTCCCCCCTCTCCCCCCTCTCCCTTCTAGATTTCCCCTCCTTCTCCTCGGCCTCGTGCCTTGCCTCGCACTTCCTCACGTCACGCTCCACGTCCACGGCCAGCAGCAGCCCCGTCAGCAGCAGCCCGGCCGCCGTCACCCACTCGAACGCGCCGCCGCCCTCGCGCTTCTCGACCGCCTTGCGCTGCGCGTGGTGCTGCGGGTGCGCTTTGGACGGGCGCGGGTCTTGCGGGATGAGTTTCTGTGGGATTTTCATTTTCTTTCTCTCTTCCGTGTGGCTCTTGGTCGGTTCGAGTTTTCTTCGCCTTTTGTGCCGGCAGGCAGGGCTTTGTTTTGGTGTTTATTATCCTGCACTGCAAGATCTCCCTTTTGTTGGCTTGGTTGCTGGTTTTATGTTGCAGTTTATTTGCTGAGGATGAGGTCGGTTGCAATGTGATTTCCGGTTGCAACAATCCAATCCAACCCACACACACACAATCAGGTAGTATATAGGTAGGTAGGTAGGTTGGTGGATATCTGGAAATAGAAAGGATCTCCGACTCAAAATTCCGTGGCGGTATGGCGATCAAAGATATTCGACTTCAATACATGTAACTTGGTTCGTGTTATTTTGTTCAGTGGAAAACAAAACCAGAAGGAACAAATGTAGTGGGAATCACCTCTCTTATTTGAGAACGTTGCAACCATCTAAGGTAGGTACGCAACTCGTTCCAGTTATCCAGGTTAGGGTAACCAAAAAAATGCCCCTCTGACTAAAATAAATGCCATCATCGCCAAGTCAAGCGGTTTCACTTGAGCCCACGAATACTGATTGGACATGGCAGGGGGAGCAAGCATTGAAATTCCGATCCGAGATCATCGGTCAAGCTGACTTCGGCAATGTTATGATGTCATGTCGGTCTACACTGAAGAAAATGGGGCGCCACGGAAGAAATATCTGCAGCCCACCACGTCGGTAACGTTGGAGGTCACGTTTGGGATGCATGGAGTTCTCGATCCGACAGGTGGAGAATATTATGCAATGCTATATACATCATACCGCCGCCGGGTATTAGCTTTTTTTCCGTGACCGACTTTAATCTATATATCGCATACATCATACCTACCTAACCCCTCCCATTCATCGTATCAGTCGACTCTACCTTGGCCCATACTCTAAAACAAACAAATATGCGATGCCCGCCAGCTAAAACAAAACAAATATCCAACTTGGTCTGCTGATGCACTGGCCGATGTATCTTGACCGCTTGCTTCTAATGCCAATAGAAATGCTCTTGCAGCAAACGCTCTCTAAATGCTCGCGCGACGCGGCGCCATGGTCCTCCGGAGCGCCTTCTTGGCCTCCGTCTCCTCCACCAGGGGCAACACGCCCTCGTCCCGCAATTTCTCCAGAAACTCTTGGCCGTACTTGTAACCGACCTGGTATATCTCGTCAAACTTGCCAAAGTCCAGTGTTCCGTACTCGTCGATCGGCGGCCGCATGTAGAAGCAGCCCGCCATCGTCTTGGCCCTCTCCAGCGCGTCGACGCTCGACACGTATGCGAGCCGCGCCTGGATCTCAGCCAGCGTCGGCGGATTGGGCACCGACGAGAACGGGTTCCACCGGTTCCAGAACGCCCACAGCCCCGACAGCGTGTCGCCGAATGCCTGTGGCGTGTCGTCGTCGAGCGAGCCCACGTCGATGGCGAAGATGATGTCGGACCCGAGCGACTTCATGTGCGAGACGGTCAGATTGTCCACGTACCCTCCGTCGAGAAGCATGCTGCCCTCGTCGCAGAGCGGCGGCAAGAGTCCGGCCAGCGACATGGACGCGCGCACATATCTCCAAGCATACCCGCTCGTGTGGAACTCGGCCCGGCTCTTGCTGATGTTGGTCGTGTTGCAGTAGTACTCAAGCCAAAAGTCTTCGATCTGCGTCTTACCCAGCGTCTTGAAGATGCCGCGATTGAACTCGTGGCCCGTCGTGTACGATGCCGAGGGATACGTGAGGTCAAAGGCAAATCTCCACATGCTCCCCATCCTGCCCGAAAACTTCTTTGCAAGCCCGTAGATGGGCACCACGTCGGCGTGCCGGGCATATAGCGCCCCAATGAAAGCGCCAATCGAAGTCCCCCCTATGATGTCAATGGGAATGCCTGCCTCTTCCATCGCTCGAATGATGCCAACCTGCGCTATGCCCCTTGCTCCGCCGCCGCCCAGAACAAGGCCGACTGACTTGCCGCAGAGCCTCCGGGCCAGCCGGTGGAAGTCGCCTTTGAACGTCGCCTCGGGAGAATAAAACGCGCTATGTCGCACTTTTCGCGACGTGTACTTTTGGATCCCCGCCTGCAGGATCTGCACCCGCTCCTTGAGACTGGGCCCTGCCCGCTTCGTGGGGGGGTGCAGCGGCATGCTGTTGGCGTTGTATGCCATCTGGACGTGGAAATGCCCGCCATTTATCCACATGCGGTTCTTCAGCCACCTTCTCGTCAACCCGGGGCTCGAGTACCTTTCCTGGTGGAGAAGGACTAGTATCTTCCGCGCTGTTGATTTCATCCCCAACATGAACCGCTCGTATTCCCCAATTTCAGGGGAACCGTCAGCCAAGCCCACAAAAAGGACGCAATCGGCTTGAGCGATGCAGGTCTGTGTCCAGGGGGCGTTGACATTCGTATCTGGACGGAAGGAGGTCAGCGGCTGTATGATACACCTTGTATCGTTCTCGAACACCCCGAATGCACACTGGATAGAAACTCACCAGCCACGTAAATCACTAGCCCGTATTTCTCTTCCAAGTCTGCTAGGTATTGGGAGAGCTTGAGCTTGCCCATCCTGTTGAATGCGTGTTTGCCGAGGTGGTTGAGAATGCCCGCCTGGTGGAGCGATGTTGCTCCGTTGGGCGTCCCCACTTGAGTCAAGGCATTCAGAAGCCTGTTGCTAAACTCGACAACTGGAACCCCGGCCGTGACGGGAAGGACTGCAACGGTGCGGAGATTTAGCGTCGAGGAGCCTTTGTTGATAGAGTTCCTTGCAGCACCGCCGTCTTTGAGACCGCTGGAGTCGTCAACCAAAGCCCTCATGCGAGAGGCGATGATTTTGGAAATCTTGATTGTGATATTCGGGTGCTCCTGGGCCAGGCTGTTAAACAAGGTTCGAGGGAATTTGACTATCTCCGTGTCTCGGATGGCGTGGAGAGTGCCCGAGCGAGCAGACTCGGTCATGACTTCGAGTTCTCCAATACTTTCTCCTTGGCCAAACTCGGCCTTGACATTGACGCCACCGTCCCTCCGATCTTGGACCGACCGCAGCCGCCCGTTGAGGACAATGTAGATGGCTTCACTCTCGTCGCCCTCGTGAAAGATAACTTGGCCGGCATTGACCTGCAGCCACTCTAATGCAAAGTCGATGTGGAGAATCAGACGAGGGAGAAGGCTGGTGAGCCTCTTCGCCATGGTCAGGAGAACAATAGGGTACCGGTCCACAATCCTTTCAATCGACGCAAGTGGAAGGAAGCCGACATAGACATCCGTCTTGGCCACAACGTCGATGAACGACCTATATGACGAGATGGTTCCGACATAACCAGCAAGCCCCCCCGGCTTGATCAAGGCCACGCCCCGGCGGCGCTTGTGGAGTTTCTTAAAGCCATCAAAAGCACCGCCCCCCATTTCGGGCGGCTTCGAGAGACGCGGCGAAGTCTCGCCCCGACTTTGGGCGCCAAAGGAGTCGGTACTGTGCATTGCGTTAAACGAGGATTTGCTTTCCGACCGGAGAATATCCGAGGCAGAGTCGTCCACTTGGATGCATATGTCAAGGAAGCCGTCGATAACATAGTAGAGGCCTGGATTCCTCTCCCCCTGTTCCACCAAGACAGAGCCTTTGGGGAAGAATACGATCTCGACTTCGTCTTTCATGTCTTGGGCGAGCAAGTGGGCGCTCATTCCCGGAGACGTGGCATGTCCTCCCGATGTCATCGACTCGGTGTCGCCGTCGACGGATCCTTCAAGCGCCTCCATAAACCCAAAGGCATTGTTACTGAATACGGCCTTTTGGCGTCTCTGGTCCAATGACACCAGACGCGGGGAATCTTGCGCCGAGTCTGTCTCCCGGGGTCCCAGCAAATTCCCCGTTAGGCCAATGGATTTGAACATGCATTCCAGGATGGATTCACGAAACATGTTGTCCTCATCGGCCGTCTCCCGCTTGTCGAGAGGTACGTGGGCATTCCTCTGCGACGCAAACGGGTTGAAATCACGATGGGCGAGGGGAGATACGACTTCTCGAAGCCCATCCGCCATGAAAGATTGGCCACCGGCGGGGGTGGCGCTCAGTGGACGGAGACCGGTACCTCTTGATGACTGAATGTCGGCCAGTAGATCGCCTGGGCTCGGCGAGACCAAAGGTGAGCGCTCTAGAAACGCTGTGGGACCGAGTTCCGAGTTGGTGCGCTGCTTAGTGAAGGCCTGTAACGCCGCTTCTTTCCGCAGCGTTGTAGTGGACCGGCGGCGACGGCCAGCATGAGCATTGTGCAAAGCGATGCCTTTCCCAACCTCTTCCTCGCCAATCCTCTCCCTCTCGCGGCTGAACTTCTCTTTGAGTCTTTCCAACGCATCCCCGCGCAGGTGGTTGGGGAGCTGCACCATCGTGTACTTCAGCATCATACGCTCTATCTGCAAGACCTCGTCGGTCAAGCCGAGATAGCTGTACGCAGTCGCCAGAGTAACCCTCTGGAACCTCGAGAGAATGACATGGACAATGTGGGCCGTCGCCTTTGGATATATCCTGATAAGACGCCGGAACGCGCTAGCAGGAATTATGGCAATGGTCGTATCGACCGTCGCTCTTCCTATGATATCCGGGTGAGCCGAGCTGGTAGTGCTCCGCTTCGGCACCGGCCTCTGGAGCCTGCCGTGACCCTTGGTCGTCGTGTCTAGGGACATGGGGGGGATCCGAGATAGAGGTTGGCCGTTGGAGGAGAGAGAGAGCGCGTCGACCAACGTCGAGGCAGCGCTTGGCGACGAGGCGTCGAGCTGAGGCGTGTTGGGGAAAGATACGGTCACGTCGTGGGGCTTCCGAAAATCAGCGCTCCGCGGAAAGCGGGCATGGTTGGTGTTAACAACGTTGGGGCGAGGTTCTGGGCTGTCGTCTTCGGTGTGCCGAATGGGGATGTCTTCGGTGAAGAGCGACATGATGGAGAACAGAGACGACATGGGAGCACCGTTTCGGACCTCGGTCAACAACTGGTAGCGCTGTTGGCCAGGGGCAAAGCTTTCATCTTCACTGGAAGGGAAATCATAAGGGGCGCTGTGAGGGCTGCTGGGAGGAGGCTGGCGACCATCCCCAGATGACTTTACAAAGATCTCGACCAAGCCATCGACGACAATGCAGAAGCCCTTCTCCTCCTCCAGGTTCAGCGTCTCGCCGGCTATGAGCTTGCGCGTCTGCATGCTGCGCGTCAACTCGTGGAAGACGGGACGCTCCAGGTAGCCAAAGATCTTGATGGCGCTCAGGAACTCGTCGAAATAGCTCATCAGCCCGGACTTGACACCCTCCTCCTGCGTGTCCGGGAAGAGGTCGATATCAGGTTCCTTGCGCTGCGGTTCAGGAGGGAGGCGAGAGTACATGTTGAGGTAGCGATACCTCACCACCCAGCTAATGCCTGATACCATGGCCAACACAAGAACCATGCTGTACATGAGGCGGTTAGTTGGGCTCGAGTGAAGTGGGTGGGCAGAGAAGTAACTTACAGTGTAGTTGCATTCATGGTGAAGGTCAGGCTCGTTGAGAAGAGGGTGAAGAGAAACGAGGGCACCGAGATGGTGGCCAGCTTGACCGAATAGTACAAAATGATAGACACGAGATGCAACACCCATATCACCAGCCTCGCAAACAGGCCGAGCCACGACGACGACCCATGGGCTTCGGCAACGTCGCTGGCCCGGGTTACCGCCGACGAGAGGGCCGCGGCGGGCCCGTCGCCGAGGGCCGCGGCACTCTTGGAAATGGCGGACACCATTGCTTTTGACAGTTGTCAAGTCAGGCCAAGACAGGTCAGGTCAGATCCGTGTCTCTGTGTGTGATATGTATGGACGTGATAAGCTCTCCCGTCGATAGTTTGTGGCCCTGACGAGGAAGGGCAGATGATGAGAATGAGATGCGACAGCAAGAGCGACAGACTGTGACTGTAACAGCGATTCCAACACGACAGCGTCAGGTCCGCACCGCATGTTACTGATAGTATCCTCAGGTCCTTGTTGTACTAAGGACAAAAGTCAGGTAGTAGGCAAAATCGACATCCATCCCAGCTCCTTTCCCGTCGACCTGCCGATTTAGAATGTGAGGTGAAGTCCGTCATGGGATCACGCCGAAGCGAAGCTCCCCTGATCATTTCAAGTACACAGTACACTAGAACTAGGAAGGCCAATTGACGTAATGCATCGTTTTGTTATGGTGGGGCTCGTCGTTGGTGCGCAAACTTGGGCTCCCGGAGCAGGTCCAGGCTACCGACTCCATCCAGAGCTCAGATTCTAGACGGTGTGGACAGGGGTCAAGGGCCGTGCTTTGCCGAGCAAGCCAAAAGCCCGCCCCTCTCGAGCTTGACCCCTCATCATCCGCAACCGCAACCGCACAATGGTAAGAGAGTGCACAGTGCGTACGGTGCGGCGGACAAAGGCATTAGCCACAGCCCACTTTCTTTCCGTCGCTACACGTAATTTCTGAGTGGCTTCCAAAAAACACTTGCAACACTCACCACAAGCCGTTCAGCTCTCTGGACCGCCACACTCCTCCAAAATCAGGCTTCGACTTCACCGCGACCTTTTCCCATACGACCCGAACCGTTAATTTCTTTCCACTCGGCACCGCCCGGCGTTCTTTCTTGCGCATCGCCGGATTTCCGCTCTCGCACCCCGTCTCTATCCCACGATTGCCCCGCCTGGGAACGGCGCCCCATCGACAAAATGTCGCTCTCCAACTGCCGTTTTTACGAGGAGAAATATCCCGAGATCGACTCGTTTGTCATGGTCAACGTGAAGCAGGTGAGCGATCCGGCCCCCGCATGGATGCGCGCTGTGCTGCGAACATGCGCGGCAGCACGGACACTGGACTGACAAGCCCAGATCGCCGACATGGGAGCCTATGTCAAGTTGCTCGAGTACGACAACATCGACGGAATGATTCTGCTCTCCGAGCTGTCGAGACGGCGCATCAGAAGCATCCAGAAGCTAATTCGAGTTGGGCGCAACGAAGTTGTCGTCGTGCTGCGAGTTGACAAGGAGAAAGGTGGGGCATCCGCGAATCTCAACCCAGCCCACCCCCCCCGCGGCCTGGCCAGTTGCAAAGTGCTAAAGAGACGGCAGGTTATATCGATTTGTCCAAGCGCCGAGTCTCCCCCGAGGACATCGTGCGCTGCGAGGAGCGATACAACAAGAGCAAGATCGTGCACTCTATCATGAGACACGTGGCTGAAAAGACCCTGACCCCGATCGAGGAGCTCTACGAGACAATAGGCTGGCCTCTGACCAAGAAGTATCGCCATTCTCTCGATGCTTTCAAGCTCTCCATAACGTATGTCTATGTCGCTGTTGACTCTCCCCAACACGTGCTTACAAGCTCGCAGGAACCCGGATGTGTGGAGTGACATCAAATTCCCTAGCGAAGCTGCTGCCGAAGAGCTCAAGTCTTACATTGGAAAGCGCCTGACCCCTCAGCCTACGAAAGTGCGCGCCGATGTCGAAGTAACCTGCTTCGGTTACGAGGGTATCGATGCCATCAAGACAGCCCTTCGCACCGCCGAGGCGCGGAACACGGCAGAGACACAGGTCAAGTGCAGACTTGTATCACCCCCGCTCTACGTGTAAGTGCTCCTGTTGGATATAAAGTTGCCCGAAACTGCCATCCGATCCCATGACTAACATAGCAAAGCTTGACAAACACGTGCCTGGACAAGAACGCCGGCATTGCGCGACTAGAGGAGGCCATCGTCGACATTCGTACGAGCATCTCAGCGGCCGGGGGCCAGTTGGTGGTGAAGATGGAGCCCAAGGCGGTTACCGAGTCGGATGATGCCGAACTGCAGGCGCTCATGGAGAAGCGCGAGCGCGAAAATGCCGAAGTTAGCGGTGACGAGAGCGTTAGCGAGAGCGACGACAACATCCCAGCGACCGTTTAAAGGCTGAATCGAAGAGAATGGTCGCGAATCAGCCCGCGCCAGAAACCGGTGCTCGGCCTCGACTTGTATGGGAAGCGGGTGGTCCGAAGGGCAGCGGAAGGAGTAGTTCGTCTTTGCACAGATCTGGCGTCTAGGGGTTATCAAAAAGTCCTTGGGATGATAGAAAGAGTAGCCCGAGATTGCGAATATGATTCATGAAGCGAATACTATGCCAGTAAACGGCAAACAGTCCTCAGTCCTCAGTCCTCACGCCTCAAGCTTGTACAACAAGATAACATTGGGCATGTAAAGCATCTGGATTTAACGTTTCTATATATTATATATTATGTACGCAGATGCGCCTGATTTATCGCTATGCGCGTGTATCAGACGGAGTGCACTTTGTTATGCAGTAACCGGGGCGTCTCTTATCGGTTCTTATCCGGGCTTGGTCGCGGCCGACAATAAGCGTTTATGCATTCGGCCTCACACTCATCCAGTATCGAGGAAACACGCAACTGACCGATGACGACGGCCAGTCCGGAAGTCGTACCCTCCGCCCAGCAGGACCGATGGCAACATGGGGAGGCGCAGGGAGACGACTTAGATTCTTCGGCCAATTCACACACTACCTCATCGGCTATGCGACATGGCTCCCTCCGCTGATCTGGTTCAATACGTCGGTAGCCCAGATCACCTTCATCAGCGGGCCGTCCATGTATCCGTTCCTAAACGCCGAGTACCACGAATCCCGGCGCCAGGACTTGTGTTTGGTGTATAAGCTGTATGCGCGCAAGGATCTTGTGCGCGGCATGTTGGTGACATTCAGGTTCGTTCAACTTGGCGCGGCAGTGGCACTTACTTTATGGGAGAGCTGTGGCCGTCCCCAGCTCGCCATTGGCCTAGCCTGGCCTCTCTCTCTCTCTCTGCTCGCAAGTTTCTAACCACTTAGCGCGCACAACAGAAACCCAGACGACCCGTACAAGATCACGGTCAAGCGAGTCGTTGGCTTGGAGGGCGACGTGGTGAGGACGCGGGCGCCGTATCCCTACGAATACGTCCAGGTCCCCGAGGGGCACGTATGGGTCGAGGGAGACGGCGACAGGAGCAAGGACAGCAACTACTACGGCCCAATCTCGGCTCGCCTCATCACCGGGAAGATCACACATATCCTGTCGCCCTGGAAGAGGGCTGGCCGTGTAAAGTGGTGGGAGCACCCCGAACGACCCGGCGTGCAGAAAGCGCGGGCGTAGCGGAAACACCAAACACCCGCGCTTCTCACTCTCGTGGCTCTGTCCAGCCCGTTAGGTTTAATATGTCCACGGGAGTGGTGTGATTCGCATCCATTTGTACAGATATGCTTGTGTAGAGGCGTTGTACATACCACAGGGTCCAATTGACCGAATCGGACCAAGTGTTGGAGGTTCCTTGTTTTCCAGGTTTGACTCGTTACCAGGTTCCATCCAACGCAAAGTTGAGTGAAGCTTCGCAGCGTCCACTTATCGGTGACAGCGCAGTTCCCTGCAGGGTACGCAGTGTGGCAGCCAGTGAGAGGCACGCACGGGCCATACCCTAGTGTAAGTTTTGAAGGTTACATGGTACGTACTGATACACTTGGTAATACACTACCAAAAATGTTCGACGGAGAAAGAAGATTGGGGTTGCCGGCTTTACTGGGCTTGAATTTTGTACATCAACCTGGCTCCGTAGTTGTTGAACCTCACTCTCTGTGCCGTGCATTTTTGCGCCGATCCAACTTCCAAAGGTCCTGGGTCGCGCAGCACAGTACAAGCGACGGCAGCGAGCTCCTGCACGCATACCCAGGCGGCGCAACTCGTCTTCCATACATACTTTACGCCAAGGGCGATGTTATTTGGCTTCGGCTTCAGCACAGCCAGCCAGCAGGTTACTACGCCCGCCGCCGCCGTCGCCTCGCGAGCCACACACGACGTCGGCGCCGACCTGGCGTCCTCTTCAGGACCACTCCTCGACGATGGACTTACAGATCGGCCGGGCTTCAAGTCGCCGCATGTCAACACCGCACCAGAGCCGCAGCAGCGCGTCCTTAATATGATGCCCGAAGATGGAGTGCTCGAAAGATCCCCGCCTTACCTGCACGTGCGTACTCTCTCTCTCTCTCTCTTTCTGTATCCCGCCCCGGCTCTTCCGTGTCGCCGTATCGGTCGTCTTGCTCTTTTCCGTATTGTGTGCCTGCCGCTAAACCATCTCCAACCAACAGTGCATGGCTGCTGGAGGCCTGGGCGGAACCTGCGGCGACATGCTCATGCACTCGCTAGACACGGTCAAGACTCGACAGCAGGGCGACCCGCACATCCCGCCCAAATACACTTCGCTAGGGTCTTCATACTACAAGATCTTCCGTCAAGAGGGCGTGCGGCGCGGGCTCTATGGCGGCTGGCTACCGGCCCTTTTGGGCTCTTTCCCGGGCACGGTTCTCTTCTTCGGAACCTACGAGTACAGCAAGCGGAACATGATCGAATACGGGGTCCAGCCTCATCTAGCGTACTTGGCCAGTGGTAAGCCTCTTCTGCGGTTTCGAGCTGGAGAAAAAGCATGGCGGAGCTAAGGGGCTGACTCTACAGGTTTCCTTGGCGACTTCGCCGCGTCCATCGTCTACGTTCCATCCGAGGTGCTGAAGACCCGGCTGCAGCTCCAGGGACGCTTCAACAACCCCTTCTTCGCATCGGGGTATAATTATCGGGGGATGGGTGACGCCGTGCGGACTATTGTTCGGCAGGAAGGGCTTTCGGCTCTTTTTTACGGTTTCAGGGCGACTCTCTACCGCGATCTCCCTTATTCCGCACTCCAGTTCATGTTTTACGAGCAAGGCCAGGACTGGGCCCGTCGATATGCGGGAAGTCGCGATATTGGGTGGCAGCTAGAGCTCCTGACAGGCGCGGCGGCGGGCGGACTGGCGGGCACCATCACATGTCCCCTCGACGTTGTCAAGACCAGACTCCAAACTCAACTGCATCCGCAAGCGAATGGCCTTCCGCTCGCAACCACTGATCCAGCTACCAGTAGCAACAGCATCAGCGGTTCGATAAAGAAAGTCCCAGTAGGCCCCGTTAAAGACAGCGGGCATGTTGCAAAGGCCGCGACGACCATCAGCGAGACAGCCGCCGCTGTTCAAAAACGGCTCATATCCACGTCCTCCCCGTCGACATACACGCCGCGGCCCGGAGCCGTCACCCTCGACACGTCGTCGGTGATCACGGGACTCAGGCTGATATACAAAGTCGAGGGCCTCGGGGGCTGGTTCAGAGGAGTCGGCCCGCGCGCGGTATGGACCAGCATACAGAGCGGCTGCATGCTCTTCCTATACCAAGCCATATTACGCAAGCTAGAGGTATACGGCCCCAACGAACGTCCCGAAATCGTCTGAAGAGTTTTTGCTAGATTTAGACAAAATGGAGATGGTAAGACGGCGAGGTTCATGGCGCCAAGGCGGCATGGTTTCTGTATGATTATATATTCGCCACACACCTTGTACTTTTAGGTTCTCCCTGTATATAGGCCGAGGCGGTCTGAACAAGGCCGGGGAACGCAGGGATATGCTACCTCATGTGCCTCTTGTGCGCGCGCGCGCGCACGCACGCACATGAATGTACATTGCGTGTGTGTAATGTGGGTGGTGATGACGGTAGTGCTGGCGTTCAATTCATTGGCGGGCTGGCTGGCTGGTTAGTCGGACTGGATACAATTGCCGTTATTAAAGGGGATATATAGATTAGACACACAAGACGCAATCGCAACTTTTTAACATTTTCTATGTTTGTTTTGTTGAGAAGGCGAAGATTCGTGGAAGGGTAGAAATACGCTGCCTGGCAATCTAGTCAGGAAGGGAAGCTGAACGGCCTTTTATCTTTCTTCTTTTTTGCCTTGAGTATATTTCGATACGGACCTTTACTACCTACCTTGGGTAACCAATCCCTACCTATTCGAGAAACTATCGGGTTGACTATGAATAAGAAGAAAGCCTCTCTCTCCGCTACGTATACTACGCTACCTTACGGCTCGCTCGTAAACTCGCCGACGATGGCTTCGGTGGCTTCGGTAGTTCCGTTCAGCTTAACGATACGATGAAAGGGGTCGTTGTTGACAAAGTCCAAGATAGTTGAGCTGGCCGTTGGTGGGTTATGTAAGCTTAGCATTGTGATCCGGGATGTTTTATCGTCAGAGAGAACTAATTCTCTTAACAGACACTCTACGGGGCTAATCATCGTCTTTATTGCTGGCCCCAGCTATCAGTTCACCCCGGGTGGGCCTTAAGCGTTTACTATGTAGGGCCGTGGTTAAACTGGGCTCAGGCGGATTACATGCTTACCTATGCTCAAAAGTTAGACTGAAGCTAGCATTATTTAATGCAACATACTAGCGTTATGGTATTAACCGGAATTCTAGACTGACTAATATTGAAATTGGTATTAGATGTGGCTATCGATTGTATCAACCCTTTATAAGCTCATTATAAGAGACATCGACGTTTACTCGTCGATGCTCCGAAAACGCCGAGACCAAAGGGGTAGAGTCCTTGGTCACTGGGTCAGAGGCGTTTTGGTAGCCCCGACGAGTAGTATCAGATCTTAGCCATGGTCATAGCTGTTGTGGAAAAATGAAAGGCCTACATGTGCAGTACACGTGCACGGGACCTGTAGCAGTGCAGAGCAGAGCGTTTCCACAAAAACAATACTCTGTACAGAGTAACAGAGACTAGCAAACTCCAATAATCCAGAGCCATGACAAAGACAGTCGAAGCGGCCGTCACGACCAAGAGACGTCCTGTTGGGTTCCCTATACAAGGCTCTTTTGGTCGGCGTGGCCGAGATGAAATCCCACCTAGAACTTAGGAGCCTTCCTCTCGTGGTTGATGAACTGAGCAAATTAGAGACCCTATGCTTAGATATCGGCCTAAACCCCACGAGCCTGAGAGGGCCCAAAAAGCACGAGGTTCTCGGCCACCTCGAAGGATGCAAGGTCTTTCACTTTGCCGGTCACGGGCTCGTGAACCCAGTAGATCCAACCCAGAGTGGCCTTCTTCTAGACGACGAGAACATCACAGTTGAAGATTTTCTGGACATCAACATCAAGTCGGGGGCCCCCTTTCTATGTGTGCTCTCAGCTTGCCTGACAGGGGCAAGCGACGAGAGTCTATTGGAGGACGAAGGGCTCAATCTCATCAGTTCATGCCAATTTGTCGGCTTCCGCCGCACCATCGGCACACTATGGCAAGTCTCAGACAGTGTCTGTGTGGAGGTAGCCGAGGGGTTTTACGCCGAACTCGGCCAGGGTGGCATGACAGGCAATGCTGTGTGCCGAGGTCTTCACCGAACTCTCGTCTCTCTTCGGAACGAATGGGTGGCCAGTGGAAAGCATCTGGCGAATCGGGGTGACATGGGACCGGCAGACGACGATCTGGAGGGGCCGCCAGCCTCGGAATCGCTTTAGGAAGAGTACGAGGCTGTTGTATCAGACGAAGAATTTGGGGGGTGGGGCGCATGACCATGTGGCCGACGAGCAGAGCAGGGAAGACCGAAACGCTGTACTCAGACTCAAGAAATGACACCACCACCCCGTCTATTGAGAGCCGATTAGATTCCTTTCGTTCATTACGGCTCATGATGCACGGCTAGGCCACAGACGTTGAAGTGGACCGGGGTCGGTGCTGTGAGGAGTATCCATTGAGTGAGTGACGGGGAAAGAAACGGAGACAGAATTGCTAGGTCCTAGGAACGAATCGTCATGCGAGATTGAAGTGTCAGTAAGTAAAAGTCATATCGGAGTTGGGGGCCGCTGTATGTTGTTTTGTGTGTTTGTTCAGTGAAATTCCCATGAGCAGCCACAGACTGTTTTGCGACCTTGTATGCTATTTTGGAGTTTCCTTGTTGATTCATTAACGACCGAGTTCGGGGTCTCTGTGGTTTTAGGTACCTTATTATCCATTGGACGGATACCTCAGCTCATCCAAGGGGCAAAGCATTCCGAGAGGGTTAGGGTTGAATACCTACACACTTGGAGTTGAACCGACGGCAAGGTTTGTGCCAGCAACAGCAAACCCAAACATTCCTATCGTAAATCGTATTGTATCTCTGGGAAAGGTTCTCTATATCGCCAATCCCATTCTAGAATCGAGGGACAAATACGTCAGAATGAGGGCTCGGTTTCGTCAAGATGATGATGGGTCTTCACGTGATCACTAGGTAGTGCCTACTAATAAGGCCAATCTGCTCTGAGGAAAAACAGCGAAAGTGGGAACAGGGAGAATCAGACCATGCCAAGACCACCCATCCATACTGCAAGTAGCTCGAGCTCGACAGCTCAGAAACAGCACCAATCCCGCAAAAACTAGGCGACCTCGACGCCGACGCCGACATCAACATAGACAGCGAACCCCCGCGAGCTCAATTGGGAACCATGATCTAACGCGATGGAATTGGCAACACCGAGGCCATGTCGTCGCTTCCCGTGCCCTCCAAGGCTGCCTTGACGGCGATGCGAGGGCTCATCCTGGGCACGTCGTGCACCCTCGCCCTGTTTGCCGAAGACCGCCGCCGCCGCATAAACAAGGCCCTCGCCTTTGTCGAGAATGGGGAGAGGATCAAGGCGGCTCAGAGCTACCGCTCCGGAGGCGCCGCACTGGCCCTAGCCCTAGAAGAGGAGGCATTCTGGGATGCCGGCCTGCTCTCTGCTCCGCCTCCATTCACCATGTCGCCTAAGCTATCCAGGTCGCAACTAGGCCGAACAGAAGCGCACCTTCAAGACGATACCTGGGCTCGGCTTGAGCTGAGTTCAGACGAGGCGAGGCTACAGCAGGAACGGCGGAGTAACCCGCTAGTATCCAAACACCGCAATACTAGTCGCCGCCAGGCCGAAATACACAATTTCTCTTCTACTCAGACCCCGAACAAACCGGACAGCTTCATACCGCCCTTGGCCGACCCGCGCGTCGCACTCGATGCCGCCCTACGCCTCTGGCCCGCTGTAGACCCCAAAACTGTCAAGGCTCTTGCGGCTCCCAGCACTGAAGAAATTGTCTCGTCAGTACAGGATGCGTGTCACACCAAGGACGCGCGGAAGCTCAGTTCCGCCATCAACGACATGATTACGGCATTCCAAACAAAGGCTGCACCAAGCAATCTCGACGGGCCATGGATAGAAGCATCGGCGCTTCTGTGCCGGACATGCCAGGAGCTGGGCCGGGTAAACGATGCGGCCAATATACTGGGCTGGGCCGTGACTCGTGGGCCGCTGAGGGAGAGCGACTACCACGACCACGACCCCCTCTCTCTAATAAGAGCCCTGCTGCCCCAGGAACCCCTAGGCCGTTTCAATCGGGACGCCTACGTTGAGAAAGTCGAAATCGCCACGACTCTGTTCCTGCCAAATTTTACAGAGAGACCGACAGACCTTCAGCCCGAAGCTTTTAGTCTCGGGAAGACACTTATAGAGCTCGCCTTGGTAGCCGAGCGAAAGGGGCGCCTCACCAGCTTGTATCGACGATGCAGCCTACTAACAGAGGACACCAATCACGATTTTGCCGAGTGGTACATTACCAAGATTCACGAGACGGGTGATTTCAAGATGGCCATCAAGCTCATCATAACCCGATATGCCAAGATGTCGCCAAGCGCCGAGTCCATATACCGAGTTGGCGATGTTGCCGTCCAGAGTGTAGGGGCTGCTCACGACCACAAAGCCGACCAGGTCTTGAAGTCGTTGCTGGAGATATGCTCCAAGGACTGCAAGCTGAAGACAGAATGGGTTGTCAGGTTGATGCTCTCACACAGAAATCAGCACCGCGACAGCTTCGAGGAGGTCGAGGCGCTGTTCAATCATGTAGCGGCGGCCAATCTGGAAGATGTCGTCGTGTTTCCGGATGGTGTCTATCGCGTCATGATTGAGATGGCGCTCGAGGCTGGCGAGGAGACCAAGGCCGAGTCGTATATGAATGTGGCTGCGGCTACGATACCGCGGTTTGCCAAAGACGTCCGAGTGCAAGGTCTTTTCGCTCTCTCGTGTGCCAGGGCTGAGGACTGGGAGGGCGTTCGCAGGTCGTTTGAGAAGATGGGGGCGAAGAGGGCAGATGCCCGTGGCAAGGTTTTTGTGCCCATTCTTAAATTATACGCCAAGCAGCACACGGTTCACGAGACGGAGGACTTCATGAGGTCATACATCCGCGATTTCGACGTACCGCTGAATGGCTACATGGTCACCCTCATGGCCAACCAGTACGGCTCGCTGCGGGATCTCGATGCGTTTGTTGGGTGGATAGAATACTGCGCCAGCGCCGGCTTCAAAGTCGACGCCGCCTTTACCAACGCCATTCTCGCCAACTGTCGACGGCAGTGGAAGTTGCCGTTCAGAGACTTACGCACACTATTCCGGAAGTTGAGATTGCTGAACCCTGACTTTGTGGACGATGTGACGGGCCGGATCATGACGGATGCTGCGCTCATGGACTCCAAACTCGGCGGCGACTTTGCTCGCGGCCGTCTCAACTCGCTGAGGGTCAAGCCGAACCTCCGCGCACTCGATGGCAGATGCGCCGAAATCGAAGGCGTGGTCATGGCGATGAAACAAGCCATGGTGTGTAAAAGCCCTGCCAGAGCCCTTTGGATCTACAAGCGGGCTTTGCACCAGGGCATACCTCCTTCCCAGCACGCCCTGCGGCTGGCGGTGCAAGCCCAGCTGAAGACAAAGGAGAACGACTACAGTGCCGCGTTCGACCTCCTCCAGGATGCCAGGAGACGCGGCGATGACATCGATGAGGCTGTCAACTATATTCTCCTCACACGCCTCGGGGAGATCCTTGATGGCATCTCAAGCAGAAAAGCCGCCGCCGTAAGAGCGAAAGCGGTAGAGGCTGCGGATGCGACTCTCAACCTGTTTGCAAGCAAGGGGATAATATTATCGGCGAGTTCGCTGCGCCGAGCCGCGCTTATCTGTCTCAAGGCCGGCATCTCCCGGGCTGCCATCATGTATGCGCTCAAGGCGTCGAAAACGGTGCAGGAAGGGCCATTCTACAATCTGCAGAATTTCAAGATCCTGCTGGCAGCGTACACTGACCTCCTGGACGTTGTGGCGATCAAGAAAGGCATTGCAACGGCGCTCTCCAGCCCCTATGCGGTGGAGGCCGATTGCTTAAAGGCACTGAAGCGTGCTCGGCAGATGGTAGCCGGAGCGGCGGGCAGTGAGCAGATGGAGGCGCTCACAGCCATCCAGGATGGCATCAGGGGTGTGGTAGCAGCACGGGAGGGTCTTCGCGAGCAGGCCAGCAAGCTGGAGGTGAAGGCTGTGGATATCATGAGGCAAGCGGCTCTGGATGCCAACCGCCGCCCTGTCGACTTTGAGACCATTCCGTGGCTGAACAGAAAACCCAAGACTAGGGTTGACAAACGGGCCGGCGAAGGGGCAGTTGACAGTTTTGACAGCGCCTTTGACATACCTGAGGATTGGGTAGGCAAGGAAAATACTACGCCTCCCATCACAGCTGTGGCGTCCTTTTAGAGACGGGGGCCTTCCGGCAGGTGAATAGCGGCAACATAATTCGGTACATGGTAGCTTGCGGTTGCGGTTGACCGCTCGACGGCGCAGCGCTGTTGGACACCAGCATTGCCTATATAAATACACTGTATGTTTGTATAAATCTCGGGCGCCTCTCATTGGCACCCATGTTTCCTACGTGTATTTCTCCAACATATATAATTATATAGTATACGCTTACCTGTGCGTGCACTCCGGACATAGCTTACGTTGTTTATTCCATGCGACGCAAGAGTGAGACGCATCGGTTAACGACACTGTTCACGGCAATGCTCTGTCTCATTTCATGTTATGGGGAAGTATCAATCAATGGACATTCAGACTTTGGCAGGATCACTTGTCCGACTTTGACTTTAGCTTTCTGGGCGGGCTTCGCTGCTTCGCCCCTTTGGTTCGCTGTTGGTTGTCCCCATCCATTTGCAGAGTGCGAGGATTCAGGGGATTCGGGAAGCCCACAATATTTCCGCCAAGCATTAGGCCAGCCGTGTCTCAAATTTCGCGATGAACTGACATGTGAATTCCCAGCCTACCTTAGTAGGGGGGCTGTAGTTCGACAATGGACCCTTGCACCGCTCCGTGATTGGGCGCGCCAGGGCGGCGACTGCCGTACTCGGACGATTCGACCCTGGAGATCAGTAGGTTGTTGGAAAAAAATTTGGATTCGATTCGATTTCAATTCGCCAATTGAGAAACAGAACCGAACCATTCCATTCACTCAACTCAACCGCCAATACGACAAAGGAACCTTCCTTAAAAACTTGCCAATTGCCCCCCATTACAGACAGTCCAGGCCCACTGGGCACCGTTTTTGAGCCCGCCTCCCGACTTCCAATTGCTGCTTGCTTGCTTGCTCCCTTTGCGCCTCGGAATCATTTTCTTCTGCTTTTAGATTTGGAATCATATCGGCAGAGACGAACACACGTAACCCCCACGACACAGCGACGTCTTCGCTCCCCGCCCCGCCCTGCACTGCAGCACCCTCGACACGCCAGTGGATATTGAATTCTTGGACGACGCGTCACCACCACCCCCCGAGACTCCCCATGGCGGGCGACCCCTATTCGCAGGCCGCTCGCGATGAGGAGCGGCGCAATACATTCCACGAGGCGGATGTCGTGGTAGTCGGCGCCGGCATCTTTGGGTGCGCCGTCGCCTTCGCGCTCGCCAACCAGGGCCGGAGCGTCATCCTGCTCGAGCGGTGGATGCACGAGCCCGACCGGATCGTCGGCGAGCTGCTGCAGCCCGGCGGCGTCCGCGCGCTGCAGGCACTGGGGCTGGAGAAGTGCCTAGAGGGCATCGACGCGATCCCCTGCTACGGCTACCACGTGTTGTTCCACGGCGACGACGTGATGATTCCGTACCCCGTCGTGGACGGCGCAGGCCGCCTCGTGGCCTCCGCGAACGACGGCCCCGCGGGGAGTAAAAGCATACAGAAGAAGGGCGAGTCGTCGTCAGCTAGTGGAGGACTCGCGGACGGAGGGATTGGCGACATGAAGAGCAGCCGGCGGCCCGAGGGCAAGAGCTTCCACCACGGCCGCTTCATCTCGCAGCTGCGCAAGGCGTGCCGCAGGCACCCCAACATCTCCATGTTCGAGACCGAGGTGACGGCGACGGTGCGCGGGCAGGATTCGAGCGCCGTGCTGGGGGTGGAGACGCGCACGACCGACAAGGAGACGGGTGTCAAGAAGCCCGACTGCTTCTTCGGGACCCTGACTATCATCGCCGACGGCTACGCTTCCAAGTTCCGCAAGGAGCTGCTCGGCCGCGTCCCCGTGGTGCGCAGCAAGTTCTACGCGCTCGAGCTCATAGACTGCCCCATCAAGCCAGAGGGGTACGGCCACGTGGTCATCGGCGCGTCGTCGCCGGTGCTGCTGTACCAGATCGGCACGCACGAGACGCGCGCGCTCATCGACGTGCCTGAGAAGCTGCCGGCGGCGTCGCCCCAGAACGGCGGCGTGCGCGGCTACATCGAGAAAGTGGTGGTGCCGGTGCTGCCCGAGGAGGCGCGGCCGAGCGTCCTGGCGGCGCTCGCCGACGGCAAGATCCCGCGCAGCATGCCCAACAGCTGGCTGCCGCCAACGCGGCAGGCGCAGCACCAGGGCGTGCTGCTGCTCGGCGACGCCTACAACATGCGCCACCCGCTCACGGGCGGCGGCATGACGGTCGCCTTCAACGACGTGGTTCTGCTGCAGTCGCTGCTGCACCCGGACCGTGTGCCCGACCTGGGCGACCACGCGGCCGTCAGGGCCGCCATGGCCGACTTTTACTGGCGGCGCAAGCCGCTCACCAGCATCATCAACGTGCTAGCCCAGGCCCTGTACAGCCTGTTCGCCGCCGCCGACGACCGCCAGCTGCGCGCCCTGCGCCAGGGCTGCTTCCGCTACTTCCAGCTCGGCCACTACAACGAGCCCGCCGGCCTACTAGGCGGCCTCATCCACCGCCCCACCGTGCTGGCCTACCACTTCTTCACCGTCGCCTTCCTCGGCATCTGGCTCAACATCGTCGCCGTCTGCGGCGGCTCCGTGCTCGGCCTGTGGAAGCTCCCGCTGGCCCTGCTCGATGCCGTCCTGATCCTCTGGAAGGCGTGCGTCGTCTTCCTGCCGACCGTGTGGATGGAATCCACATAATGCCGTGCGATTGACTATCTGATGCTTTCATGACCGGCGATAAAAGAAAATTCGCATATACATTATATACATACTCCTTTAATTAATTCGGATCCCCCCTCGCCGCTCTTGGTCGTTGCCGCCAATCTCCCCCAACTAGATGCTATTAATAACTGTAGCAACGAGCCGAAACCAGGCGAGGAGTAGCAGTTAGAAGACAAAAATGATTGGTTTCGGTCCCCTTTTTATCCTTCTTTGATAATTATACGTGGCTCATGGCCTGACCTGACTTGGCCTAGTCTGTTTCTCTTGATTACTTGCATAGGTACGTATGTTGGTTTTAGGGGGTGGGGGGGATGTTTGGGTGAGGATTCTTTTTTGGAGGGAGAGGGGGGGTAGACACCCTTCCTGTACAGTAAGAGACCATCGATAACTTGCATGTTCTTAGACATAGATATGCTATCTGTAATGGTAATGAGAGATGCTTATTTTTCTTGTATACTTGGGCATCATAAACTCCTACCTACTTAGCTACTTGTTTATCTACCCAGGTAAATACTTGAGGGGCTGGCAACTGTAACGACATAATTCTAGATGGTCTTGGTTTGAACTCGTCAATAGATTCTCTGTGGTTTTGTTTCTTTTTTTACCCTCCCCTTCTGAAAGCCGTCTATATATATTGTAGAAGGGGAAGCCACGTATATATGTACATCTATGCTTGGGAATATTATTTCACAATGAAATAGTGGCAATAGCAACTGCAGAGACGGAAACAAAAAATCACGCCAGCCTCCGGCGATAGACGCCCAGCATCCAGCTGGCGCGCAGCACGGCGAGGCCGACGGCCATGCGGACGCTGTCCTGGACGAGGTTCATCTTGCTGCCGTCGACCTCGTGCCAGGCGACGGGGACCTCGGCGACCTTGATGCCGTAGCTCGAGCCGATGACGGAGCCGTCGCCGGCGAGCACGGGCGTGGCGGGCGCCGACTCGGCCAGCATCAGCATCTCAATGTCGAAGATCCAGCCCTCTGAGTGCATGTACGGCACGATGTGCGGCAGCGCGGCGCGCGAGAACAGCTTGAACCCGCACTGTGTGTCGCGGATGCGTGATGTTGCCGGCGGCGTCAAGATCATCAGCACGAAGTGGAACGACCGCATCAGGAAGTTGCGGATCGCGGACCGCTGTGCGTGCCATTTATTAGCAGGCAGACAGAATAGACAGACAGACAGACAGACAAACAGACAGACAGACAGACAGACAAACAGACAGACAGACAGACAGACAGACAGACAGACAGACAGACAGACAGACAGACAGACAGACAGACAGACAGACAGACAGACAGACAGACAGACAGACAGACAGACAGACAGACAGACAGACAGACAGACAGACAGACAGACAGACGTACCTTGACCACCGCCTCGCTGCCGACCAGGTGCGCGCGGCTGCCAATGGCGACGCCGCGGTTGGAGCCGTCGACAACGTCCTCGCAGCCCTCGATCAGCTTGCCGAGGTCGCTGAACCGCGACGCGCCGTCGGCATCGGCGAACACGGCGTACCTGCCGCGCACGTGGCGGAAGCCGTGCGTGACGCCGCCGCCCTTGCCGCGGTTGCGCTCGAGCGTCACGACGCGCAGCACGTCGTGCAGCCCGTGCCTGCGCGAGAACTTGAGCGCCACCTGCACCGTCCCGTCCCGGCTGCCGTCGTTGACGATGATGATCTCGTAGCCGCCGGACGGGGGTGTTGATGTGTCCTTTGCCGCCGCCGCCGCGCCGCCGCCGTGCTGGTTCTTGAAGACGAGCCGGTGCGGCTTCGTCGCCGAGCCCGCCCCCACCCCGGATTTCTTCTTCTTGCCGGGGGACGCTGCGGTCGTGGCTGCGGCCGACGACGCCGGCCGCCCGAACCGCTGGTCTAGGTACTCGACCATCTCTTCTAGGGTGGGGATGATGCGGTCTTCCTCGTTGTACGCGGGAATCACGACGCTGATGTCCACCTCGGCTGGCTCAATGGCGCCCGTGTCCGTCACGGGGAAGCCGGCGGGAATGGTCGGGTAGCGGGATTCCTGTCGGAGGCGCCCCTCGGCCAGCCAGCGGTCGTACCAGCAGGGGAGCGGCCGCGGGCTACTAGTGGTGCCATCGGGGTTCGTCGTGATGTACGTCTTCTCCGAGGGGGACGGGGCGCGCGGCTTAGGCGCAAGCAAGTAGAGGCCGACAAAAATCTAGGGCAGACAGGCAGCGTCAGCCAGCATAGCTCAGCTAAATAATAGCTAGGGAGACACAAGGCATGTAGAGGTGGTTTCCATACAGTAGCCAAGCCGAGGCCGAGTAGCGCAATAAATCCCAGGAAAAGCCAGTGGGCGGGGGTCTGGCGAGCGGTGTCGAAGAGAAGCCAGACTAGCTGCCCCGGCCAGCTCGGCGGCTTTTGCAAAGTCGCCGTGGCCGCCATGTCTTGTCTTGGATGCGATGCCCGAACGGGCGGAGACAAGTGAACCTAAGCGGGACACACCACACACCACACACTAAGACGGCGCAGACCGGGGCAGCCTCTTCAGACTCCCTTCGGGTCAAGAGATCATAGGAAAGAGCAGCACCTCTATTGCTCGACCGTTCAGTCTAAAATATTGGGCAGAAAAGTACTAGTCTGGAATCTAATACCGGGGCGTTTGGTGCGTGGGTGAGAGCAGCTGTCGGGTGCCCCACGAGGCTTGAGTTTGGTGGTTCAAGCTCTCCGAGCAGGTGGGTGTCGCTGATGCCACGCAGCCTTTAGGGATGTGGCGCGCAAGGCTGGCCAGTGGAAATCCAGGAACCCCCCCTGTCAATCTGCGTGTTCCAATCTGGTTCCCCACGATCAAAAGTCAATCCAATCCTTCCTGCAGGGGGCCCCACTGGGACTGTGGGGCGGGCGAGTTTCGCCAGTTCAGTTCCAGGGCCCGAAGGCCCAAGCCAAGGCACCAAGCAAGCTCAAAGTCAACCTCCGCAACCCTCACTGGAAGGAATCAAGCAGCTCTTGTGTCTAGCCCACAGAGACGCAAATTCTTTGGCTTCACATTTCACAGAATATTGGCTTGACTACACGTCGCCCGAAGCCACTGGCATGCCGATGCATCCAGAAGAGAATCGAATCGAAGGCAACTCGTCTTGGTGCCATCATTACCAACCAGGTGATAACCTAGAAGATTGCAACGGCCGAGATAGCTAAGAGCTCGAGAAATCGCCCTCACCTGTTCCTTATCGTTGCCTTCGGCTATTTTTTCAACTTCATTCCTTCCCGGTCTCGTCCCCTCTCTCATCTCAGCCTTCGAATACCTGCAGTTCCAATACATTTAAAGATGCGGGGTGCGGCATGAAAATATCACTATCAACCATATCAGCTCGTCAGCCGCCTACCCGCTGGTCAGAACCTACAGGGCTATCCGTGCGAAGGAACAAGTTGCAATGCAATGCCGTAAAATGGGTAAAATCCGCAGGCTGCAGGTTCTAGACTGCGGGGTGCTTTTAGACGCCTAGGTGCATACTTAACATACCTATTTAACGTTCACTCGCCGAGAAACCGCCCAGAACACGACAGTTGTTGATCCATCCATGCGCTAGACCGTGCGTGATACGAGAAACGTCAAAACCTCCCATTCGTTAAATTCCCTCATCTGACTGACAACAGGGCACGTATGTAGCCGCGAGACACCACTTACCTAGGTAGCTCCCTTTATTCAGATCATTTATACTTATATACGTAGAAGGTATTCCGTGACCTGGCAGGGAACTGCGTAGCTCATCTCCAAGGCCAATACGGACGCCTGCGTATCGGGGACAGTACCTGGGCTAGGAGGGAGGGGGCGCCCGTTGGGCGTGCACCAGCAGTTGGAATAAAAGCTAGGTATGCGCTGTTATGGAAGAGAAAACAAGAATGGAAAGGACCAGCGATTAAATAGGTTAGATACGTCATGTCAGCCATGTCTCGTTTATGCAGACGTGAGTGCTGCTGCGGGGGAAACCCAGAGACGCTAAAAATGGTTAGGAACATTGTACAACAGCTATGGAGAAGTGATAAAATAGCTGTGAGACAGCTACTGAAAGACCAAGGTAAAAATCGAGGTAGGTTCCGCATGTTGCGGCACCCGTGAAAATATCATGTTTGTAGTGAAGTGGTAATAGAGAACCTACCCAGAGATGCTCGGCTATATCATGAACATAGACAGACCGGGGCATCCCGGACAAGGTCGATGGCATTGTTATTTATTGGCCGAATTTTAAAAGCAACTTAGGTCTTTGTGGTGTTCTGTCTAGAACAGCGCCGTGTGTTTGTGACGCCTTTTGCGTCGCAAACCATAGAAGATAGCTTCCCTCGCTCTGTCCTTAAGCTGTCCCTCTTTCTTTCTCTCACCCAAAGCTCCCAGAGCCAAGGCACGTATGTAGTCCCGAAATGAACGTTTTAAACAAAGTGAAATCGAGTGTCTCTGTAAACTTTAAACGCCAGCTTCCTTGAATCAAACGATAAGAGTAAGTTAATGTCCAATTAACCCCGTAAAAACAAAGCTATGCCTGCTTTGCACCGCCGCTGAAGATATTGATGACAAAGGGAAAATCAGGTAATAGTAAAGAAAATCATTACATGTGTTCTGTCTGTATATACAGAACGCCAGTGCCAGCCCGAATGTCAATGCGAAGGTAAGGACTTAGGCGGTGTTTCCCGTCGGTCTGAGCCTGTCGAGGTTCAGACTGCTACGGCGGGACTCTTGCTGCTTCTAAACGACCATCGGTTCTTCTTAGACGCCTTCGCTACAGGAACCTTGGGCGATGGAACTTTGGAGAGCTTGCCCGATTTTGGAGGGGGGAGAACTAGCTCTTGAGGGGGCGGCAAGCTGGCTTCGTCAAAGCTGGTCGGTAGGGCTGTCACCACTGAAATCGGGCGTATTTTAACCGCCTCTTTCTGCGGCGGGGGGTTTGTCTCTATCGACGCTGAGATGGTGGAATTGATGGTTCCTAATTCGGTAAACCTGGTCATCTTAGACATCCTCCAGCCGGTTTTCGGCGCAGATAGATATGCGGTAGCCTCGGCCACTACAACGGCCACGTCGGCTTCGCTGCGAGGCAACTCTGGCATATCCAGGTCCTTCGTATTCTCGTCTTCGCGCACAGCGGCAGCTGTGACAGGAATCGCTGCCTTGGCGGAGAGTGACGCACTGGATGCAATCTGAACAACCGTTGTCGAGCTGGCAATAGAGGTGGCGGACGACGAGACGCCAGATGTCGGGAGAGGGGAACCAAGCTGCAGAGGGGGGAGCGCAGGGACAGGCGGGATGCCTGCGGCCGCCAGTGAAGTCGTGCTGGCGCCCCTGCTTGGACTTGGCCGCGTCGGATTGGTCCGTGTCGGGGCGAAGGAGGTTCGAGACGACATAACTTGCCGGCTCGTGTCTGATAGCCTGCGGGAATGGCCGGGATGCAGACGATGGACCGAATCCGTCTCGCTCAAGGGCCGTTTCGGCGTCTTGGCCCGTGTTGTGGGATTGGACGAGAGGGTGTGCTTGACCGTCTTCATCTCAAGGTCGTCTTGGGAGCTGGTCGAGTTGCCAGAGCTATCCACTGGCGAGTTCGTGTTGTCAGTACTCACGGCTGGTCCTTCGACAGGAGAGCGGCCATTGGACAGCCTGCTCGACGACCGACTCGGGGCGCCCGAATCGGCCACGAGCCTCTCCACTTCTTTGCCCTTGGAGGGCATGTTGGCAAAATCAACGGGATGGTAGTTGAGCTCGCTCGGCTGGGTGCCCCACCCGGATGGCACGCCGCTATAGCTATAATTTCGGGGGATGTGGACGACGGGGCTGGCATAGGCCGACGGGTACGAGACGTGTGAAAGAGAGCTGTTGAGACGGGGAAGGCCAACTGCGTGGACGGGCGTCATCATGCCGCCCATGCCACCCATGCCCACGCCGTTTGCCGTCATGATGCTGCGCCTCCGGTTCTGCTCTTGAATCCTCTCCCTGTCGACCTCTCTCCAAGTGGCAGGGCCGCCCGACATGGCATCAATGGCGGCATGTCTGGGGACATGCCTGTACGGCGGCTTATCGGCCTCCTGCTTTTGCTTCTCGGCCTGTTTCGCGCTGTGCTCCTTGGCGGCCTGGCGACCACGCTTGATCAACGAGAAGACGGACATTGCTGCAGTTGGACGGCCAGTCGCCGACAAGGGAACCGTCCGCGAACCCCAGCCGGATATGGAGAGGAAGGCTCGCTAATGCTGTCAAGTCGTAGCGAGTCGACAGACTGCGAGTGCGAGTCGACGGCGACGACGCGTGCTACGTCACACGCCAAGAACAGACCTGCCGAAGCTGGAGTGGAATCGGAGACGACTTCGCAAGGTCAAGCTGCAGTTGTGCGGGGGGTTATGACCCAAGAAGATAGTTAAACGGATTATATGGGCGACGTTAGGTGACTTCGGGGTGTGTCATGGAACGACGGAATGGCAACTTCGGTAGTCGGGCACGACACGAGGCTCAGTGGCGCTTTCGGTATTGGATGTTAGAGGCGGCGGGAGGGGCTAGAAACCAAGGGAGCCAGATCCAATGTTTAAGATGGCTTTGGAGAGATAAAACCCGAAAGCTGAAGGGGCCGGTGGGAGTGTGGGCGGCTTGTCTAAAGTACGGAAGGGGAGGCTGGCACAGAATGGTAACAACGTGTGGGCGAGGCCTCGAGAACGAGCACTAAGCTGCGGCTAGGTAAACCCGGGCTCGGTGTGCTTTTGAGTATAGTTTAACAAAACGAAGAGGTTAGGATTTGATTGGTATGTCGCCCCTAAAGATCTCTCGAAACCACAGGCGGCGAAGCATGAGGCGGGTGAATGGAAACGAGAACAAGAGAAATCCTGTGAGGAGAGAGATCTGACCAGGAGCAAGAGCAGCAGCTCAAGACCTCACAGGACGGGTTGCATCTTAAGAGCCAAGCTAGGGTGCCGATGCCTGCCCGGCTTCTTTCATGCTAGGTTATGTATGTCTGTCTGTATATGGTACCATACAGTACATACCGTGAACCGAAGTGGGCGGCGTCCGTCCGCCCTCAGCTCTTGCGAGCGTGGGAGGACGTGCATCTCGATACGGAAACACGGACAGTAACAAGCAACCAGCAACCAGAGCACCGAAGCAGCCACGCGGGGGCCCTGGGCCCTCGCCGACCGCCTTGGGTGCATGAAAGACGAGAGACTTGGCACGCCTGGCCTGACACCATTGAGCAGCGGGGTTGTGGTTTCGGTGCGACAACAGAGAGCTTCCGTAGGGCTCCCCTGGTATCGACCTTTGGGTATTCCTTCCCAGAAAATACACCCTCGTCAGGCCCGCCTTCCCCGTTCTCGTTCTCGTCAAGAGAACTGCAGTGAACTTGAGGAAACAACGGGGCAGCTAAGAAATCCCGAACCTCAACCCACCTAGGAAGTTCTGTGATCGGTACCTTCCCGCTTTATCCCAAACAATTCCCAAGCAACCGAATCAGGTTGAGCAGATCACTCTCCACTAGTAATCTCCATGTCGGGCAGGCAGGCCGGCCGTGCCTGCCTCGCCGATTGCTCTCATCAAGCTGTTCTCGCAGCCAGGGAGGCAGGAGTTCAGAGCAATGGGCAGGAGCCGCGGAGCCAAAGCATCAGTGACCACACAGCAAAATGTCGTCCATTTGAGGAAACCTGGAAGTGGGCCTCTCGTATTGCTTGGGTCTCGAGTGTACTAGTACCCGGAGAGGTGACAAGTGTTGTACCGCGGACGTGGCACGATGTCATAGAAGACTTCGCGAGCCGCCCGGGAGGGTACCGTAGAATGCACAATCTCAGCCGTGGCCGCCGCACATCTGGGCTTCGATAGCGTCCTTTTCCTCCTTCCTGGCCAGCAAATGGACGGGCATGGCCCTCAACCGAAAGACAGCAGCCCAAGCCTGGCGGCGCAAAGTCGCAATAACCGTGGAGTGACTTGGCGCTCTGCAGGTGCCAGGTGCAAGCCAAAACAGGCATGTATGGATCAGCCGCACTCCGGACAGGACAAGGATCCGTTCGTAACGTGAAAAAAAAATGGTGGTGGCCACCGCCGCCGGGTCGCCTGCAACAGGGGCAATTGGGCCTTGCAAGTTTCAACCTCCCCAGAGGCACTGCGCATGGGGATTGGTTTTTGGCTCCTGAATTCGTCTGACTCTGTTGGGCTTTGCCGGGATAAAGGATATAAGGTTCTCGCTCCCGCGCGCCGTCTGACACTGAGACATAAAAGGTACCCTTCGTGATGCTGAGCACCTTCGTGCGCTCGGGTTGCTCCGCCGCTTTCACAATACCCGAAGACGGGACCCCTTCGGCGTCTGCCTTGTCTGCGCCTTTCCATTAAAAGATGCCTGGCCCAGGCACAAGCCTATCTGCGAGCAGTATTTCGTAGTCCAGACACTTATCTGTTACGGACTAAACACAGTTCTACATGAATATGATTAACGTCGAGATGCCGTAAACTACCACCGGAAAATAAAGCGCAGGAAAAAAAACTTCGTGAAACCGTTCAAGTTTTCCAATCAAAGTTGCGACACATACATGGTTATCATTGAAACGGGAGTCTGTGGCTTGCGTAAGCAGTCCTAAAAGAGCTCAATGTGCTTCCGACTTCCGAGCAGAGTAAAGCAAACCCCCAACTAAACTTTGGCCCTTCTTTTACAGATCCGCTGTCTCCATAGGTGCAGATGGTTCAAGGCGAAAATGACAGGTCGCCAACAGAGTCACCGCAATCACCTGAATTCTGACGAAGAAAAAAGCGCCTGTTATCGGGCTCTAGATAGTGTATTCGGTATGTATCTGTACAAAGTGTCCGTAACTAAGTCTTCCCTGTACTGCTCGGCAGTCAGTACGGACATCGTGGAGATCTGTATTTGCCTAGCAGATATCATATTTCATATCATATCAGAGCACAGCCTCTGTCAGTTAGAACCCATGTAGCCGAAAAATCAATACTTGTGGCGGACGTGGGAAGTATTGCCTGGTGGCTGCATGTCTGGAAATGAATAATTGGGTTTTACGGATATCTTGCAGTGCTATACACAACAGCGCAGGGATACAGCCATTCACATATGGCGCTTAATTCAAGGCGTAGTCCGGATTACCATGTTGGTTTTGCAGATACCGAGATTCCAGAAAAGCCCTCCGTAGAATTGGTAGCCTGATTCAAGAACGCTTTGGGCTCTGGGGATGTCTCAAAAGTCAGAAGAAAGGTCCATGGATGGGGTGGGTGGACAAAGAGGGCACCCCCACGCCCTGGCGGCGCGGTGCGGGAGGAGCCCCAGCGTGTTTTAAAGTTGAGCCCGTCAGAAGGCATGTCCTCTGCCGATCGTTTCCCTTCCAACCCTGGGACGGAGAATCGGAAATATTCTTAGCTTCGATTCTCTCGCCAAGCTGGCTGCTACCCCGTACCTCTCTCTTTTGACTACACGACATGCGTCAACATCCATCTCGTCATAAGTCTGTAGGGAACCTCCAGAGCGAGCGAGTGGGCTAGGAAGCCTAGAGACCAGACAAACAACCTGGATTGGCGAGCCAGCCTGACTCTCTAGGACAGCGCACGCCTGCATCCGCGCCTGCAAGCCAAAGCATTGCCTGACACAATGTCGAGTTGCGGCACCACCACCAACAAACAACAAGGGCAGCCTTCAGAATGCGGCTCCTAATCGCCCGCCCCTCCCTCCCATGTAACTATGTCTGCGTCTGCCTGTCAGCCAACTAGTTTCATACGCCATGAGAATTGTTAAGCAAACTGTCTCGGTATCTGCAGAGAGCATTTCAGGTTATCTTTGCTGCCAGTCGGGTCTTGCCTCGACCTTGCATGCCTGTGAGACCATGAGCTGTGCTGTTGTCTCAGTTCAACTTCAGAGGCCTTCCGTAAACCCCACGCCCAAACATAGGCATAGGCACAGACAGACGTGCTTGACGAAATACATCAGGTACCTATCTGCCGTCTTTTAATCTTGTGACGAGGCAGTTGTGCACGATGCATCCAGACAAGACGACCGGCGTGCCGCCGTGGCTTCAAAAACGATAGGGCTGGCCGTCCTCCAGATAACAACACAGTGACACGCAATTGGCCATTTTGCGCCTCTGCGGAATGAAAACCTTGCTTCAACGCGATGCCCCCGTTCGTTGCTCCCAATTGCTTCAGCCCCCCAGATTTTCGGGGACATTCCGTATTGTAGTTCGTCATTACTTTCCGGTGAAAGTTGATGTGAGTGTTTTGCAGATCTCACAGCTGGAATCCCAATTGAACCGCCTGCGGGTTGCCTCATATACGAAGCAGCTGAGAGGTCCAGGGGCAACACAGCGTGTCGATCACTTCAATGGGTGTGTTGCTCAACATGGCCCCGTGACTTCGTTATTCCGTCGAGTCCCCCGAAAAAAAGCAGAAAAGGGACTCGAGTCGTTAACCTGACGATGGCTCCCCATTCGAGGATTACATATCACGTCCATCATGGATCAGGGGTGGCTTTTGTTATCTCGCCGCCCCGCCCGCGTTGTTCGCCCTGTGTACGGATACATCAACTAGCATGTGTCTTCCACGTAGAGCTGCATACATCCTTGTTGCATTTTTGTTCTGGCCCATATGGCCAACAGCAGCCCTAGCGGCTTCTGCCACGTAGAACTAACTACCAGAGCAGGTGCGAACATTTTAGATTTGCCAAACGACGACGCCGCCTCGCGCTCGTGCCCGTCACAGATACATCTTACTATTTTAGTTTAATGCCAATGCTGAGTACCCACAGCATTGGCAGAAAGCCACTCCCGAGGTGTCGGGTAGTGATCGACAACTCGTAAACTAGACCAGTCTTTTGGGAGGGCTGAGAGGGGGGGAGTGTTTCTTTTTTCTCGCAATCGGTTGGTAGGTTGATAGTAAACCGCGATTCCCGAATATCGAACATGGCGTTTGATAAGTTCACCGCCGCACCCACCCATCCCGGATCTTTCTCCTCTCCCAAAGCATGCCAGCCTTATCGAACTTGACGGTCGGGCAGAGAGAGAGGCCCCGTTGCTTCTCGACCTCGACGTTGTTCCTATTCTCTGCGGCCTGCATCTCTTTTCTTTTCTATTCCTTTGCTCCGTCAAATGGTCAACAGAAGAAAAAAATGAAGCAGCGACCATGACAGCTCTGCTCAACAAGGCTGCCGCTAGTCAACTAAATCTTGAAAGGACAAGGGAGGAGAAGAAAGGCCAGAAACACGTTGTGAATCCCCAACATGAAGTCGGATGCAGCGCAGTGCAATCGGCAACTAAGAACCTAGATTTAAAATTCACATTAACAATGCTGCTCGCCTAATGATCTATCTATTCAGATAAAGGGCTCTACCGGCGTTGGATCAAGAGCTGGCTCGTCATATTGAAAGGCGAGACGTTAGGAATAATAAACAACTGGCAGAGAGACTCGAGCCCATTGAGATATATAAAACACCCACACACGCAAGTAGGTAGGTATGGTAGTCGGCAATAAAAGCAACATGAACATTCCTTCAACATCTGCCACAGGCCTCGAGGGTTGATACAAGGCCCGTGAAAATCACTCGAAAGTCTTCAAAGAGATGTGTAGGGTAGGCATATAATGGTCGATGGAGTATTTCCGTATTGCTGCTATAATTAGTCCATAAGCCCGCATGAGAGGGAGTTAGTCCAACAATTCTTAAATTCTAATTATGAATAGAGGTAGAAGCTAAGAGCCGGGCCGGGACGGTTGTGCCGTGGCCGTGGCCGTGGTGGAGTGGACGGCAGGGTACGTGGTTTAGACTTTTGACGGCAAAGACGGGCATGGGATGTGGCGCAAGGTCGGTCTTGTGCCGTGGCAATCGTGTTTCATGTTCTGGGGTGGTCGTGCCGTTGTGGGCACTGGGCAGTCATAGCCGACGAACGAGTTGATTACATCAGACCCCGCGCTTATTCTTGGCCTAGAAAGATTCTTTTTTCGGTTTGGGGAGCACGCTGCATGCCACGGGAGGCAGAGAGGGGCAAAAGAAAAGGTGGAGCCGGCGCTTGGCCTTGGCCTTGGTTGTGCTGGGAGTTCGCGCTAGGCCTGTTTGGGGCCAGACCAAGCAATCAACGCCTCCGCCCACACTCTCGTCCTCACAACCTTGCGCCTTGCAGCATTGACTAACGTCAACGGCCCAAAAGATTTCATCGCCACGACCCATCCCGTTCCCATCGTCTGGGGAAGTACCCAGGCAGGACGCATCGAGTTTGCCGTGCGCCGAAACCGATTCTCACGCAGCAGGGACCTGGGCCTGGGCATTCGGATCGAACTGGGTTTTTTCTTCCTCCCAAGTGAGGTGCTGTCTAATTCCGTCCATTCCCATCGAGCGACCGACGGCTTATCGCACTCGCTCACTCGACCGACCGACCGACCGACCGACATTCTCGTCTCGTCTCGGCTCGGCTCTCCACAAAGCCGCATTTGCATTCGAAGGCGAAACCTGATGGCGACTTAGAAAAATCTAAACCGCGACATCGGATCTTAGATAAAATTTTTTTTAGCAAACCTCGCGCCCCGCCCCAAACGCCCCAAACCATCGTTAGACTCTTCGCCCCATCTTCACCGCGACAAACACGCTGAGCGCGCTGAACCTCGGCGCTCGCCAGACTTCGACACGGTGGCGGCGCTTGCTGTCATCGCTCCGTCCGACACCCAGCTGCCGCTGCAGCAGCAACACCTCATTGTCGCGCTACACCTGCCTATCTCCGCCGCCTATATCGCCGACATCGACGTCGCAGACCCGGCGGTCGAGCCGTTGATGATGGCACAACCCGTGCCACATCAGACGCCGGATAAGAAGCGCGTCAAGGTCTACGAGCTCCGTAACAATGACTGGTTTGATCGCGGAACCGGCTTTTGCACGGCCGCCTTCGTCACTGTATGTTGCCTCCTTCCAATACTCTATACTCTTGCTCCTTCTCTCGCCCTCGCCGCCGCTCACCTTGCTAACCACTCCGTCGTTTTTTTCTGCCCCCGGTTTAGATTGAAGATGGCCAGCCGAAGGAACCTCGCGTCATTGTCGAATCCGAAGACCACCCCGACAGACTTTTACTCGAGACCAAAATAGTTAAGGATGATGGCTTCCAGAAGCAACAAGGCGCGTCTCCGTGGCTGCTTGCCGCCAGTTACACTCGTCTTGTCGGGTCTAACGGTTTCTATTAGATACTCTCATCGTATGGACCGACAATGGCGTCGACATGGCATTGAGTTTCCAGGAGGCTGATGGCTGCGCCCTGATCTGGTTGGTTCTATCCATCTTGCGCGTCAGGCACAATTGCATTGCCTGTCTAACGTTAGCTTGTGACTTTTTCTAGGAAATTTATCGACGGTGTTCAGCAGACCTTTCAGAGTGTCATGGGCGGTCCCGGTACGAGCGAGACCTCGGTGTTCGAAGAGCCATCACCTACTAACCCATTGCTGATAGATGACGGGCTTTCGGATGACATTGCGATAGAAATGCCTGCAGCGATCCAGCTGCCAGCGGCAGACCTCGGGACCCTGTGCGAGCTGGAGTCAAATATGCGAATCATGAGCTCCACGGCCAACGGCCGCGATGCGCTAACGAAAGCAATCATGAGCGATGACTACATCAGCAAACTGATTCCATTAGTGGAGATAGCCGAAGACCTCGAAAGCCTCCCCGACCTGCACCGATTATGTAATATTATGAAGACGGTCCTTCTCCTCAACGACACTAGCATCATCGAACATGCCGTCTCGGACGACTGCGTGCTAGGCGTTGTGGGCGCTCTGGAGTACGACCCCGATTTTCCGAGTCACAAGGCGAACCACCGGCAGTGGTTGAACAGCCAGGGGCGGTACAAGGAGGTTGTGCGAATCGAAGACGACCAAATCCGCCGCAAGATCCACCAGACCTACCGGCTGCAGTATCTCAAGGACGTCGTGCTGGCCCGGATTCTCGACGACCCGACCTTTTCCGTCCTTAACTCGCTCATTTTCTTCAACCAGGTGGACATTGTACAGCATCTCCAGAACAACAGTGGTTTTTTGAACGATCTCTTCAGCATCTTTGCCGATCCGTCCGAGGAGCAATTGCGCAAGAAGGAGGCGGTTCTTTTCATACAACAATGCTGTGCCATTGCCAAGAACCTCCAGCCGCCGGCGCGCCAGAACCTGTACAACAACTTCCTTTCCCACGGCCTCCTGCGCGTGATCAATTTTGGACTGCGGAACCTCGACGTGACAGTCAGGGTTGGCGCGACAGACATTTTGGTCTCCATGATTGACCACGATCCCCAGATGATCCGACATACTATCTACCGACAGATCCAGGAGAAGCAGCAGCCACTCACTGATACCCTAATCGACCTCCTCCTGGTTGAAGTAGACTTGGGCATCAAGTCCCAAGTGTCGGATGCGCTCAAGGTTCTCCTCGACCCAACACCTCCTGGAGGACCGCCCGAGACGAGGAGCGAGTTCATTATCGGCCAGCCCCGTGGAAGGCCCCAGGTAGCCATCGACCCCCAGCAGGAGCTGTTCCTGACCCATTTCTATGAGCATTCGGCTGTTAGACTGTTCAAGCCGCTTCTCGACCTTGAAAAACGGGCCGAGTTGAGGTTTAACGTCCTGCACGACGGGATATTTGGTTACCTAAACGACATTCTTTGCTTCTATATTCGCCAGCACCAGCATCGCAGCAAATACTTTTTACTGCAGCACAATATTGCGCAGAGATTCAACCGGCTGCTCTCCTGCAAGGAGAAGCATCTCCAGCTTGGTGAGTCAACAGCGGCCAACACTGAGACCCCTGGACTAACCAAATACTTGTAGTTGCGATACGATTCTTCCGCCAACTCGTAGTTCTGCAAGATGATTTTTATATCAAGCACCTAGCTGACAAGCAGATCCTCGGGCCGGTACTGGATGTCCTGTTGCGGACAATGCCGCGGGACAATCTCCTGTGCTCTGCTTGCCTGGACCTTTTTGGCCTCATCTATAAAGAGAACATAAAGGAGCTGATAAAACACGTCGTCGAGAATTACCGCGAGAAGGTCATGGCGCTGTCGTACATCGACACTTTCCGCGAGATCCTAAGTCGTTACGACCAGAGTCAGGGCTTCACTGCCGTCGTAGAACCCTACTTTATGGAACCCGAGGACGAAGTCGGCAGGAGACCAATGAATGCGGGCGCAAGGGGCGGCATGATGGAACACCTTACCGTGGAGCATCAGTCTCATCAGGAAGACTATCTGAACACGTCAGACGACGATGACGAGAACCACGCGAGGCCCCCTAATCAGGCTTTATTGTCAAATGGGAACAACACTACAAAGCCCCTCGTCGAGTATACTTCGGATGAAGAGGGCGAGGATAGTGGAGGTGATTCAGTCATGACTACCGGAGCCGACCAGCCCCTACCAGACGACCATGCGAAAGAGAACCAGGCACCGCCGACAACCCCGGGTAGCATTGCCGCAGTCACTCCGCCGCCCGAGCGGCTATCTGAGAAGCGACGCCGGGAAGAGGACGAAGACGACCCGATCGACAAGCTCCAATACCACAAACGCCGAAACAGCAGTGTCAGTTCAACGAACAGTGCGGTCAGCGTCGGCAGCACCATGGGGCTTCGCAAAAAGAAGGCCTTTGGCGGCAGCCGTGACGCCAGTCCAAACCGTGGCGGGCCCAAGAAGATTGCGATTAGCATCTCGTCTACGATCAAGTCGATTACGGCAAAATCCTCGACCTCTGCCAACGAAGATAGCGGCAAGTGAAAAGCGAAAAAAATCTACGAGTCAATGTCAATCGTCATTATTTTTCATCCGATCAACCCTTGATCTTGCCCATCAGCCTTCCTGTTTGGTGACATACGACCGACAAGAGGCGGGTTATTTCCTCCCAAAACACTTGTGAACTAGTTTCCATCGGGGCCATGGCGTGAGGGGGCGTTCTGCTTTCAACTGGAGTTTCTATCGGATTAGGGGCCTGGGCCGGGGAGGTCAGGGGTTGGGAGGCGAGCAATCGTCACGATTTGGTGACTTTTTTTTCTTCATGTCCATTTTTTTGTCAGGGTAACCCTTTTTCTCTACATTTTTGCCTCCCTCATCCCCCGGTTATCTACGACGATCACGCGTGCTCTAGTTTCTTTATTCTTTTTTTTTTCTATATTTTAACCCCACGTCTTGTATTAGGGTAGATTCACTATCGCCGCCAACAATCACCCACACACGCGCCCACACGCACCCGCATACACCTCCTAGCATGCCACAAACACAATAGACCTGGCGGCTGGGACAGCAAGGAAGGTTCGGGTTGCGTCGTTTATACTAACGCTATTTTTACGGGTTGCGGCTACTAGAGAGAGATACGCCACGGTGCATTTTAAAGGAGCAGGGCGGCCCGGGATGAATTAGGTTGGGCGTCAACGGGGTGAGGATGGGCGAGAGGATCACGACCTGGTACGCTCCTCTCCGACGGTACCTCGAGGTTGGGAATACGAGAGGGATCGGTCGGGGATGGGCGGGTTTGGCTGGTTTGACCAAAAGGCGCCAGACAACAGGCGTTGCGCCAGACTGGGGCGCCAACGGGGGCGCCAGCGGCCTGTTCATCCAGTCATTGCCAGCCGGTTTACCGGCGCCGCGATCGGCTTTCGTCTCGTCCTGTCAGTTGAGGACACTGGCATGGGGCTGGGTTGGGATGTAACAACTGGGGATATGGAGGATCTCGCTGCCGCTGCTGCTGCTGTTGCTACTGCAGCCAGCCGGCTAGCAGCAGCGCTGTACCTATGGTGTCTGTCTACCTTTCTTTCACATGAGTAGGTAGGTAGACCCTTCCATGTAAAACATCTGCTGCCACCGCTGCCGTCGCCCCCTGCTTTCGTTCTTTGTGAATATCTCCATGATCTCGGTGTCCCCTCGCCGTGCTTGTAGCACTGGTAATTTTGTGTGTCGTGTTTTACAGGATGCCTGTCATAAACCAAGTATGGCTCTCCCATGTCAGTCCCGAGTTGCGATATCCGTAAGTGGAGAGATATAATGAGGCAGTAAGCCAAGGTGGTTATGTCTTGGTCTGAGAAAGAGCTGCCCTCGTTCTTTCCCACGTACTGGCCTCATCGATATTACGTCGTCCAGCCACAAGGCCCAGCAATGGGCTGAATGCAAGTTGTTTACCGTGTCCGCCGTGAAAAGAGCGTGCCGGTTCTTACGGCAGCAGGCATCTACGTCACCCTCGAAGCTGCAATCAAGATGGAGATTGATGGGGAAGAGTCGTATTAGTCTCGAGTTCCTGCGAAGCATCAGTGCGATGTGGCGCATATCTCCCCAGATGTCCGTTCGCTACACGACAACAGTGAAGAAGCAGAGATGATTTCCGAATACTTCTCTGGCAACATGGCCAATGGAGACATCCGAGAGTGAGTGGGCTATGATCAAAGCTCGCTATCGATTTGACTCCAACTACAACACTTTAAAATCCAAAACGATCTGGCGTTTCAAGATGTGTTCCTCTACACGGCATCTCTCGTCATAGGCTAACACTTCTAGAAACACATCCTCGTGGTAATGGGCTGCGTCGGGGGCGATAAGCTCAAATAGGGGTTTTGATAAATAAAAGGGGCCTAAAAAGCCAATATTAGGGCATGTAGGAAAGAGGAAAAGGACTCAGGAATTATATATTAGGGCTTTCGACAACTACCGCCTTCCTCATACGAAATCAAGCTGACCAAGCCATAAGGCAGTAGGGCCTTTCACCTCTTATGGAATTCCTCACAGCTCGGAACTCGGTAATGTAGCTCATTATATATAAACAAGCCAAAAACACACCGATTTCCAAGGTATCTGTCACGGCCGGCTTGGAATGAGGGCGGAACTCCTCTATTGGGCGCTATAGACGAAGATTCTAAACTAAAGGGAAAAGGGAAAAGAAGCTCAAAAGCCTCCCCTCGCGAGATTCTTCCAGGACGTCTCAAGGTGGGGCTCTGGCTGGTCGGGTGGATCCACCCAACTGGCGTCTGATTAGTCAGAGCGTCTGGGAGGCCTGGAGGACCAGGCCCTCACAGTATCAACAACCGCCAAAGAGGGCATACCACTTATAACAAACAAGTTGGTCCCGATGGAGGTTATACAGCTCAACGTGGAGTGCCTCATGTAGACCGGTCAGGGCCGTGACGAGAATGATCTTGCTCATGTGATGGTTGAGATGATGGCCGTGCCGGACGAGGTCGGTCGTGTTGCTGCTCATATCTGGACCACTTCAACGGCCGTAGAGGTTGTTGTTTTCGACGTCTTTAGGCGTCTTTAGCAACACGCCTCAGAGATATGGGCAGGAATCGGAATTTGCGGTCTCCCTCCTCACGCATGCGCTTAATAGCGGCGAAATCATCGAGATGAATACCTACATAATTAGCCTTCTGTTATATACAGGAAGTAAATAAAATACTAGCCTTAAGGGCTACGGAGATTCCCTATCAGGCCTTCTAACAACTACCACCTCCCTTCATGGAAAACAAACAGGCCGAGCCGCAAGTCAGTCATACCTCTCACGACACAGAATCCTCACCAACAAATCACCGAGACATCAGCAAAGATATATTTAGTCTATATAGCCAATGCCAAAGACCGCTCCTCGAACCTCCAAAATGAGAGCCTCGACAGCCAACCAAGTCTGCCGCTCCAACCCATACAACGACGGCTCTGGCATCTCGCCAAAAGGACGCCCCTCGTATCTATCTCTCCCGCGTCAATCCCGCAACACACAGGCCGAATCATTCAGTCAGTACCTGCGGAACTGCTTCTCCCACTCCTCGAAGCCCTGGACCATCTCCCTCGTGATCTGGCGCTTCTGGGTCTTGATTGCGCTCTCGAGGTCTTGCATCATGATGCCTCCCCCATTCTCCTCCATCACATCCCCACCAGCACTCGCCACCCTGCTGGCGACGTCCCGGTCGTACGCAGCAATGCCAGCAACAGTACAAATACCCTGGATCTCTGCGCCTGAGTAGCCGTCGGTGTCGCGGGCGAGGGCGTCGACGTCGACGTCGGGGTTCATGGCGCGCTGGGCGGCGACGCGGGCGAAGATGGCGCGGCGGGCGGCCTCGTCGGGCGGGCTGACGTAGATGAGCTCGTCGAAGCGGCCGGGGCGCAGCAGCGCCGGGTCCAGCGCCTGCGGCCGGTTGGTGGCGGCCAGCACGATGACGCCCTGCAGCGCCTCGAAGCCGTCCATCTCGTTGAGCAGCGTCGTCAGCACGTTGATGCCTCCTCCAGACGAAGATGATGATGACGGCTTCTGCCCAAACCCGTGCCGCTGGCTGGCGATAGAGTCGATCTCGTCGAAGAAGATCATGCTGGGCGCGACCTCGCGCGCGCGCTGGAAGAGCCGCCGCACGGCCCGCTCCGACTCGCCCACGTACATGTTGAGCAGCTCGGCGCCCTTGACGGCGAAGAAGTTGAGCCCCGACTCGGTCGCCATGGCCTGCGCCGCCATGGTCTTGGAGCAGCCGGGCGGCCCGTAGAGCAGGAACCCTTTCGGCGCCCGCTTGAAGTACCGGCTGAGCACCTCGGCCGACTCGGTCGACAGCCGCACGGCCCGCCGCAGCGACGTCTTGACCGAGTCCTGCCCGCCAATGTCGCTCCAGTGGATCGGCGGCGGCTTGAGGTTGATGTCGTGCATGGCGCTGGGCCGCACGAGCTTCAGCGCCTCCTCGTAGTCTTCGGCCGTGTAATAGGCAGCAGCCGGGGGTGTTTCCGCGTCGGCGTCTGCGTCGGCGTCTGCGTTTGCGTTTGCGTTTGCGTCTGTGTCATCCGTCTGTGCCTCGCTGTGTATGTCGGTCTTGGAATGGCGGATGGCGCCGAGAAGCTGCGCCTCGTCCACCAGCCGCCTGAGGTCCTTGCCGTTGTAGGCGTGCGTTCGCTCGCTAAGCTGGCGCAGGAGTGCCTCCTCCTTGTCCGAATCCACGCCCAGGCCCATGGAGGTTAGTATTTCTCTCCGGCCGTCGACGTCGGGGAGCGGCAGGTAGATCTCGCTGGTGAGCCTGCGAGGCTCTTTCAGGTCCTCGGGGATGTCTGTTGTGTAATCCTGGCAGGACATAACGACTAGGACTTGGGGAGGCTCGCCCCTTGTCGCAGCATCTTCGACCAGGGAGTCGAGGGCCTCGCAGAGGGTTATCACGACTGCGCCACGGTTATTGCGGTCTTTGTCGATCAGCCTCTCGAGCTGGTCGATCAGCACGATGCTTGGCTGGTGGAGGCGAGCCTTTTGGAACGCGTCTTGGATCTCGGCAAGCCTGTCTTTGAACTGGATGCGAAAGACTGTGCCCCAGCCGCTCTTGGCGATGTTGTTTAGCAGTAGTGTCTTGCCGGTGCCATGGCCGCCGTGGACGACGATGGCTGGCGGGATCCCCCTGGGCCTGGCTGGAGAGTGTATGGTAAAGACGCGCAGCAGGTTGTTGAGTTTCTCAACCTGTGCGTCCAGGCCGCGGATGCCCGTCAACTGCAGTTTCTGTCCAGCAGCTGCGTCGACCTGCTCGCCGGCGACAGCACGCTTGGCTATGGTCACTGTAGTTTTCCAGTCCAGGTAGCGGGCGTTCCCGGCGGGCTGCCCGTTGACCGAGGCCACAACGAAAGACCTCTCTGGGCCTCGGAGGGTGAGGTTTCTGAATGTCAGGCCGGCATAGACGTGCTCGACATAGGACAGCCTGCCGCAGAGGAAGAACTCCCACCCGGGGATCTCGGCCGGCCGGAGCGGCTCCTGACCAGCACCACCAGCAGCGGCCGTGTTCTCCTGGGCGGCGGCCTCTGCGGGCTTTGGCGTCGTGGCAGAAGCTGCAGGTGCAGGCGCAGGTGTAAGTCCAGGGGTGATCTCCTCCAGCACAATGTCGACGGCGTCGGGGAGGGTTCCGCCGAGGGCTGTGATGCGCACATGCTCGCCGAGGCGGTAGCCCGAGGCGTCACGGAAGGCGTCGTACATCTGGGTGACGCCCTTATCTAGCTTCTCGGGGGCCTTCCACAGCGTGGCCTCGCGCCGTGGCATGGAGTGCGGGAACGAGCCATCATGGTTTGCGTCGGCTGCCTTCTCGATGAAGACGACCTTGCCGCCGTCTTTGCCGCCCGTGAGCTCGATCAAGGCCTCCTCGCCCACATAGATGCGTGAAGGCTGTCGCTTCTGCAGCTTGCGCTCCGTCTCGCTGTTGACGTGCAGCTTGCGAATGCGGAATTCAAGCGTCTTCATTGCGGCGGTGGCCCTTGACAGAAATAATCAGGTCTCGAACAGAGAAATAAACCAGACAAAATCAGGCCCAAAATAGAAGGTGTTAAGCGCCCCCTCCCCCTTCTCTTTTTATTTATTTTTTTTTATCAAAAAAGAGCAGAAGGTCCTATCCAAATCAGAAAAGGCCCCGAAATCCGAGCCGTTAAGGCTTTGGTCGCAGCCTCCTCATTTGAACATTTCAACATTCTCCTTCTCTTCTCATTTTTCGTTTTTCTTTCTTTCCTCCCTTCTCGTAAAAAATGAAAGAGACAGCGAGGGAAAGACTAACCTAGACGATTGTCCACAGCAACTGCTTCAAGACAAGAAAAGTTGCGAGTGAACGACTAGTGAGTGAGACGAGTCTGACGGGGGCATTTTTTTATTGCGAGGGCTCTTTCCAATTGCATCTGCCAAAAATGTGCGAGCAAGGCAGCGAATGTGTACCGTTGTCGTGTGGTACGGTTTATATAAAATAAAATGGCCCCGTAAATTTACGGGCAGGTTAGGTTGCCTTTTGTGATCGGGTTTCCCTTCGGCCGCCGTGGTGGTCGTCGGGCCGCCTGAAGAATTTGCCGTGGCTCACCGATTGCCGATTTTCAGAATTGTGTTTGGGCGGGTAGGTCAGGCCGGAGCGGGGCCACAGTGAGCGAGCGAGATGGGGCCGCTGTGAGCGCCGACTGTTCCAGCGGGTGCTGCACGGAACAAATCATGGATATCAACACTTCAACTCACTTCTAGCATATGGAAACAGACACAATGGGATGTTAATGATGAATGTAATAGAACCAAGAGCAAAAACCCAAACTCCCGTAACCAAATACTTAGGTGCTCTCTGCCGGCTTGCCCGCCCCTCGAGTTGAGCCTCCCTATTCACCCCTGGCCTTGCCGAGTACAGTAATTCCATTTCTCTCTACAGAAAAACATGATGGGAAGATGGAGAGTAATAAAATAAAATCACACGCGAAAAAGAAAAGGCCGCAGAGTAGCCCACTTCTTTTCGCCAATTCGCCCTCTCCCACCCCCTCGCTCCTTCGACACATCTATGGTGGCTCGCTTGTACGGCGGTTGGACGGGCTTTCCTCCCTGCTCAGTATTGGGAGTCATTTGCCCTTCGTGGTTTTGCCTCGACATTGTTATACCCACGGTTGCTGAGCCGAGGCCGTCCTCTTTCCGCTGTTCTAGGTCATCCAAACAACAGTATCACCAAGTCAAGTCCGCAACCTACGCGCCTAATATCACACGGCCGCTCTCCTCGACGTTCTCTGTTCGCACAACGTCACTCGGGCAAACTTGATCCCCGATCCGTAGCAACACCCCCTTGCTTTAGCAGCACTTGCTGCCTGTTGACGCACCTTGCTCTCCGACGTTGACTGATGCGCCCTGGGCCGGCTCGCTCTTGGATGTGTCAATGATGCGCTTCTTGATGTCGGCCGCGAGGCTGTAGAATGCCTCCTCAATGTTCTGGTTCGTCTTGGCCGAGACCTCGAGGAACGGAATCCCAAGCTCGTCGGCCAGCTCTTGGCCCTGCTCCGTGGTTACCGCCCGCTTCTCTTCCCAGTCGCACTTGTTCCCGATCAGGATCTTGTTGACGCCTTCTGTCGCATGCTGCTCCACGTTGGCGAACCAAGTACGGATATCTGTCGAAAACAGTCTTGTCAGCACTCGTTGATATACCCCCTGCTAGCCCCGTACCGCGACACGGCTGCCAGTATTCCTCCACTAGGGTGCCCACCCAGCATGATAGCGCCCAGAGACAATGCCAACGTGGGATGGAAACGTACTGTTGAACGACCTCTCGTCGGTTACGTCGTAGACCAGGAGAATCCCCATGGCGCCCCGATAGTATGCTGTTGTGATGGTCCGGAAGCGCTCCTGGCCGGCTGTGTCCCAGATCTGCAGCTTGACGCGCTTGCCATCGAGTTCGATTGTCCGGATCTTGAAGTCGATGCCGATGGTCGTGATGAAGGAGGGGGTGAACGAGTCCTCGCTAAACCGCAGCAGACAGCATGACTTGCCCACGCCCGAGTCTCCGATTAGCAGCAGCTTGATCTGTTGTAGACAGCAACGTTAGTACAGAAACCGCTGGCGAGATTGGCGCAGTCATGGATACGGCGCGCATAAACTACCCAGCACTGGCCGCGGCAGCAGCGGCCATCATGGTCCGGAGAGGCACCGGGAGAGCGGGCTGAGAGGGAGAGGCGGGATGCTATTTACCAAGAAGTCGTAGTTCCTGTTACTCGACATGTTGGAAGAGGGGGAGCTGAATACCGCCGCTCGCTATCACGTCGGGGGGTTATTTCTCGGGGAGGACGACGACGGACAAGCTGCGAGCTGCTGAGGTTCAAGGTCGTCGGCAACTAGTAGGACGAAATAGCGTGGCTTGGCAGGTAGGCCGGGCGACTGGAAGGCTCGGAATCGGGTTCGCTGTTCTTTTCGCGATGCGCAGACGGTTAGTTTGTCGTCGTGTCGTCGTCTTGTGGAGGTCGGGGTGTGTGGGTTCCGGTGCTTCGTTCTAGGCGTGCAACAGGCAGATGGACCTGGAGGCGCGGGTGGATCGTCAGACTAAACTGGACGTGAGGTGAGTGACGAGGCAGGCAGGGGTTTCGGCGATTGAGCTGACAGCGACAAGCATAAAACGCAAGAGGGGGCAGGGCCGGCAGGACAAGGTTCGAGGCGGGCTAAGGTACAGTACCTTACCTACAATTGGCAGCGACAAACGGAGCAAATGAATACTGGTATGTACTGTATCGGGCAACCAGTACTTGCTGCGGTGGAGATGTATTCCGTACCTAAGGTAGGTAATTTTGGAGGAAAACTGACGCACTTAGCTGAGGTAGATACGTTGCACAAGAAACCCAAGAATCCGGTTCTTCCTAAATGGACGGGCTACTAATACGTACGAGGTTCGATTAGGCAAGGTAACCTGAGGTGGGAAGTCGTTGATTAGCAGTCAGCAGGATTCCAGAACATCCGATACAGTACTGTATGTACGTCGGGTTTATATACAGATACGCTGCCGTGTATGTAAGGTATGTATGCACCCGTGTCTGCCACTAATAGGAAAATGAGAAGGATTTATAGGTACTTTAGGAAGTAATTAATTGATAGGAAGCTGGCAATGTCAGTGATGCAGTGTTTTACGGATTCTTCTTCTTCAACAGAGGTTCTGCAGCTGATGAGGTGTGACGGCCCCAAGTTAGGCAGGTACATTACATACATACAGTCCAATCTGCCATACCTTAGTAGAGCGTGAGCCTCAAGACGTCGAAGGCCAGGTGCATATGCGCATGAGGGGAGAGGGACGGCGGATGCGGCCGTGGCGGCGAATTCTCCCAGCTGTTCCGAGGCACGTCATTGCGGGTTGCGCGTGAAGAGCGTCCTGGTCTTGGACTTGGAAGGCCCGCTGCGCCACAACGTCTATGGTCATTTGATAGGATCTCCCCCTCTGGTTATAAGGTCTCTATGTAATTGGCAAGTACCATCCAAAAAATTGGCAGTTACGCTCCATGTAAATATATGAAATATACAGCTCGGGAGAAATGCGAGGCCGTTAGGGTACTTCTATGGGGCTTGCTGAAGAAAAATGTCAGGGGCAAACACGCCCTAACTCGAGACCTGCATTCGCACTGTATCCAACACCTGCCGTATAACCAAGGCAAAACTGTTTTGGAGACCAAAACTACCTGCGTGCAGTAGAAAGGTAGGTAGTACAGTAGCGGTCACGGACTTGCATTCGGCGCAAATAATCTGATTACTGTGCTGTCATGCTGTCATGCTGCCATGCTGCCATGTACACTTAGTTGTAGGTGCAGCGACCCACCTCTTGGTCCTGGCTTCACAGACCGCGCATCAAACCTCTCTCGGATTGGTTAACCCCTTTTCGGTTTGTTTTCTCTACCCCCTGATGACCACGCTGCCAGCGAGAGTGTAAAGTACTGTACTCCTCCAGGCTCCAAAACGCTCGACGAGAGAGACACGGTAAAATAGACAGTATATCCATATTTTCGTTTCTGGTTTTGCAACAATGCTCTGCTGGCTCTAATCTAGTATGTACGCTGCTTTGATTAAAAGAACACCACGCTGTCTCTCGCTACCTCATCTTAACCAACCACTCGGCATAGGCCCAGTGGATCCTGTCTAACACCCTCATCTGCATCTTCGTCCCTTTGCTTAGATTGCCTAGCTCGTCGAGATCCTCGATGAACTCCTTTCGCATATCTCTCGGAAGCACATCGTGAGCCAACTTGCGCAGCGCGTGGATTTCGCAGAGCAGCAGACCGTGGTCCTTGTACGAGATCAGGCTGTCACCCGTGAGTTGCCCAACTGTTGATGCCGAAAAAATTCGGTCGATATTCCGCAGCACTCTCACACTGCTTCGCGCCTTGCGGCTCTTACGGACGCTCTTTCGGCCCCCGAAAATGGTCCGCAAATATTGGACGACGCCAATCGTCACTGATCAAAAGTTAGCCGCTTCGCTCAAACTGAAAGCCAAGGCACGACAGACGGAAAAACACTCACCAAATATTCCAGGAGTTAGCCCCACAAAGCCAAAGACCAACTCCTGGCTCTTGAGTAAGGCATCGATCCCACTGATGGCCACTTCGAGGTCGACCTTTGTCTTTTGCACCTGGATAAGCAGTGACCGTACGAGGTCCCCCTTTATCGCGCCTACAAACGGCTGCTTCATGTCCTTCTCGTAGGCCCTGAGCACTGGCGTCACGTCTCCCTCTTTGACCTTGGACCGAATCTCGGTAATCTGGCTGTCTGTGATCGACGAGGCCCCGACAGCCACGTTGGGGTTGTCGCACGCAAAGTCCACTACCATCCGCTCCAGACTCTCCCGGTCTGCCTTCAGACTGTCCCGGCTCATGATGGCAATCTCGCTATTGGTGTCGTGACGGATGGTGCCAATGATTTTGCGCACCGGCTCGACGACCCAGTTGAACCAAAAGTCGCGCGTCGTAGCACCTAGCCCGCGAATCCAGTTCACGATGTCGTCTTGCCGGTTGATCAGAATGCGCAGGATCGTCGAAGATGAGACGATCAAAGCCACTGCCGCCGGCCAATATCTGACCAGCCGCGATGGTCGGCCATTGTGACGCGCAAGTTGGTTCATGCTCCAAAGGTGGCCAGGGATGCCTTGCTGGAGTAAATAAAAGATTCGTCGGGCAAGAACAGCCGGTCTTTCGGCCTCGGCCTCGACCGTGTTGTATGCCTGCATTATTAGTCCCGGATCCTCCTTCACACTATTGAAGATCTTTTCCTCAAACTCCTGGAGATTAGATTCGAGAGACAGGGTGTTTTTGAGAATCATGTCCATTAGGACAACACTCTGTTCCAGGACGCTTTTCCATTCGTTTTCGTCTCTCAAAGCGTGTGGCTGGCCAAATCGGAGACCCTCGCCCATCAGAATTCCGAGCCCGGCCGCGCTCATTTCTCGGAGCTGGCATAGTTGCTGCCGCTTCTCTTGAGCCTCGGCGCGGCACACGTCGACGCGTGAAAACAACCTGCGTCGCAGGTCTGTTATGGACCTCTCTGCAATGCTGGTCCTGACGATGGAATAAAACTGACGCCATTGCCTAGATAAGGTGAGCGACAGGTCGACCTCCAGGTCTGGTCCCTCGTCACCAGCACCGTCAGTTTCTCCAGCGCCCGAAACTTCATCGGCGTTATCGCTATCAGTGTGGTGTTTGGTGCCAAAAGTGTGCGCGTGAGTAATCAGTTCGCCAGGAACGGGCGAGCGAAAGAATTCGTCGTCGTCATGAACGATCTCGTTAGGAGGCATGGCGCGGTTTAGACTCTGAAACCGTGATAAGCTATCGTAGTAAATCTCCTTGCTCCACCACCACATGCGCAACGGCGATGTCTGGACTGTGTAAAGAACGCTGTCCGAATACGAGCCCAGAATTTCGTCCCAATACCAGATGTCGTTTCCCAAGGGGATAATATCGTCCAAGAGAGTGCTCATGACCAGGCCGAACGTCTGCACCGTGGCTTTGCCTACTAGGAGCCATTCAATATCACTTTCGTAGTCAGTCTTGGTTTTGACGACGGGCGGATACATCGCTGAGGTATCGTCTTCAGTCAGAAGGCCCGACTGCATGAGAAGCCTCTGAATCCGGGCTGACTGCAACGGCTGGCCCGAGGCCGACCCGGATGATAGGTTCTTGACTATGCGGAGGAGCTCTTGGACGCGGGGAGACGACAGCACCGTGGCGTCCTCTGCGGCCGAGGGGTGAACTCCTTGGTGCCCATCCCGGAGTCCCAGCTCAGCCAAAGAAACTTCGTCTAAGCGCTCACTCAGACGGCGTACCTGACTGCACCAAACAAAATGCTAAAAGTCAGTGCATCCATTCTTCTCTGGCGGTGCCAGCGCAGGAAGATTGATTACTAACTCGGCCACAATCGACATTTTTCGTATGCGATGCTCTAAACGAGGTTAAGCGCGTTCCGGAGCCCAACAGAGCTTGGGGGCCCTAGGCCTAGGCGAGGGTGTGTCTCCTCGGCCAAATGTCTGCCGTGTGGTTCGATATCGAATGACGCGTCAAGGACTCGTCCCCTCCCAAAAAAATTAAATTTTTGTGGCGAGTTGGGAACCGTTGAGAAACATGCAAGATCAGGCCATGAAATGGCGCCCGGATGCAAAGGCTGCCGTTTGGCTAGAAGTTGCCCGATCTTGTGGAGAGAAAGCTCTTTGCCCTGGGGCCCTAGGGAGGCGGTGCTTGAAAACTGGTTAGCGAATGGCAGCTACCGTCTAGTTGGAACGCCCAAATTTGTGGGTTTATGGCCAGAAATGTCCCCAGCGTGTGTGGAATTAGGCCGCCGATCAAAGGCTCTAAGTTTACAAGTTAGTGGGCAGTGGTTCATCCGAAAACATTTTGGGAAAAGAAGGGATAAACACACAGGCACAGACCAAAGGCCCAAAGAGAATGCGAACAAAACAAGAAGACCTGCACTGGCAGTTACGCCACGCGGGAGGCTCTTGCTGCATCCATCCATTGGTTCCATCGCAGCGGGGCAAGCCCTGGAAGCTGGGAAAGCTGAACAAGCTGGGACCTATGATTTCATCACTTGCTTCCTCGGAGCTTATCGGTATCAGCCCGTTCTCTATTTGCATATCGAGGCTCATGCGCTTAAACCATACTCGATGCGAATACGAATCCGACTGTGGCTTGGCTCGTGCGTGGACGAACCAGACACCAGATTTCCGATTTCTGTCTGAACTTTCGGTTTTGCACGCTAGTGGCGCTGTCGGAAATACGCACCGATCACTCCTAAATCCTTCCCGAGGGCGGTCTGCGACAGTTCAATTCCACATGTTGGGCCCTGAGTTTTTGTTCTGCACATAGTACAGATATGCCGTAAACGCTTTTGTTTTTGTGCCGCGCGAACTGCTACAGTAAAAATAGCTCCTTGGGATGGTAGTTTCCGTTGTCTTGCTGGTGTCATACAGAGTTAAATCGAGACATGCACACAATAGTGCCCTGCAGGCTTGGCAACAGACGGGAAATGGGGGTTTGTGGGGATTCAAGAGCAAGGGGACAGTACTCGTAAATTCCCAGTGAGAGTGTGGTGGTGTGAGTGGTCCGGAAGACGGAAAGGGGTTTCTCAATGTGGGACGATTTCTGGTGTCACTCTGGCTCCATTCTCCGTCCGGTCTCCATTGGCCGACGTGGGTCGGTACGTACCGGCGTGCTCGCCTCTAGCAGCCCGTGCAGATTGCAGAACAATAAAAAAACCCTCCATCCCTGATACTTCTCCGGCTCTCTCCCTCAGTTCAATTGATTGCAGACTGCCCTTGCCTTTGGTTGGTAGTCGGTTGATTATACTTTCTCTCTTTTTGACGGCCTCTTTTTGGTGTTTTGTCGACCTTCCTGCGTTTTATACGGCGACAATCAGTCTAGGGCATCATCCAGAGTCCAACCTCGGGTCTGCCAGCGCCCGTCATGGCGACCGCCATCTTGTACGCCGCCAGTCGCCCTCCTTGGACTTGACTCGCCTGCGACATTGCAGAATAATAGAAGCTGACCACGTCCTCCTTAGGAACGCGACGATTGCCGGCTTCAATTCGACGACTACCTACACGACTGTTTTTGAGGAGATCTCCAAGTACAATGTGCAGCTCAACTACTTTGAGCGCCTCTGGGCGGTACGCACAATCACCGCCGCCCCCCCCCAAACACACCTAAGACGCAGACACTTGGTTCTGACTTTCTTCAAATCAGGCGTGGTACCTATGGATGCAGAATGATACTCTGGCGACCGGCATTATGAGCTTCGTCATGCACGAGGTCATTTACTTTGGCCGGTCTCTGCCGTGGATAATTATCGACGCCATCCCCTACTTCAACAGATACAAACTCCAAAACGTCAGTAACCTCCCCTCTCTACACTCGCGCCGGCGCCCAAGCGACAGCGCCTTGCCGTGAGGCATGCTGACCCACTGTGTAGCAAAAAGTGCCAAGCTGGAGAGAACAGTGGGAGTGCGCCGCCCTCGTCCTGCTAAGCCACTGTACCGTCGAGCTCCCGCAGATTTGGCTGTTCCACCCCATCGCTGTCTACTTCGGCCTGGAATATGGCGTGCCCTTCCCCCCAGCCTGGAAGATTGCCATGCATATTGCAATCTTCTTCGTCCTCGAGGACGCCTGGCACTACTGGTTCCACCGCGCGCTGCACTATGGCCCCCTGTATCGCACCATCCACAAGCTGCACCACACGTACAGCGCGCCCTTTGGCCTCGTTGCCGAGTACGCGTCCCCCATCGAGGTGATGCTGCTAGCCTTCGGCACCATCGGCAGCCCCATCGTGTGGGTCTCCATAACGGGCGACCTGCATATGATCACCATGTATCTGTGGATCGTGTTCCGTCTCTTCCAGGCCATCGACGCCCACAGCGGCTATGACTTCCCCTGGAGCTTGCATCACTTCCTGCCCATATGGGCTGGCGCCGAGCACCACGATGTCCACCACGAGAAATTCATCGGCAACTATGCGTCGAGCTTCAGGTGGTGGGACTATTTCATGGACACGGAGGCGGGTGCCGAGGCGAGCAAGAGACGCCGCGACAAGAAGCTGGCACAGATCAGGGCCAAGAAGGCCCAATAAGTGGCGAGCCTACCGAGGTGGTGGCTTACACATGACGGCCAACAGGCACCTTGGCGATAAGAGCCTCTAATCTTGGATTCTCTGCGAAGCATCTTACGTACAGTGAGACTTGGTAATGCGGCGTTTGCTCGGGATCAGCGGTTGGCGCGTGTCCCGGAAACGGGAGGTGACGAGATGACCCCCGGAGCCTGAGGAACGGCCGTGTCCAGAAAGGCGAAGGGTTCAGTCACGTGTATCTGGTTGTCGCGGAAAGAGGGCTACAGCCGACTCCAATGAATAAAGGGGCGTTGGGAGAGGAAGGAGGACTGGCTAATTATTTCTGTACATATGTTGAGTTTGCCCCTTAATCCTTATTAATAGAGCATGACAATGAAATCCTAACAAGTACGCGTACGCCTCTCCGGGTTGCTCATTATTTGTCGTCAGGATTTGACCCTCGAGTCCCCGCAGAACTCTCGGGTTTCGTTGTCCTAGAACGAGGCCCGAGGCCCGACCTCACGATCATGACTTGTCCATATCTTTCCATTGCCTGATCACGCTGTGGGTGCAGGTCGCTTTATTATCAACCAGATAAGACAGGCTGCATTGTGGTCGCTGTCTTCGGGAATCCGAAGCCGGGAAAAGAAAAAAAAGAACAAGGTTGGGTCACGTGTTGGGGCCTCTCACTTCTTTTGCTCGAATCTTTTTTTTTGGCGTGCATCGCAAGATGCGCACCTGTCGCCGCACAGTTGACCAGGGCTGCACTGTGGTGGGCGCAGAGTGACTGCAGCTGAAGAGAAAGAAATGCGGGGTGGGTTCAGAGTGGCTGCAACTGAAGGCTACCCCCGCACAACAAGACGCGTACCCTGTTCCTCAGCGGTAAGCTATACAGTTTTTGCAACGCTCTTGAATTCGTGTCGTTCTTGAACGAAGTTGACAGCGCATTGAATTGTCTGCTTAAATCAGGTCTAGGAATACACGAATGAAGGCCTTCTTATACTTCAAGACAAGGACGAAGGAAAACGCCGTTCAGCCGTACAGGGTTTATTTTGAGGCTCAGCTGTAGAGAGCATTCGGAGCTTGCCGATTGTGGCTTGAAATGTTGCCCAAAGTGGCTCAAATCTAGGCGACACCCCCCCAGGTTTGCCTGCGGTCAGTAGGTAAGCCTGTAACCCGCCTTATTACCTGATTAGGAAATGGTGATGTTTTCTGTGGTGTTGCGGGTCCACAGGCCCTATGTAGTCTTCCTGATCAAGTGCTGCACGTCCTGTAGGTTCAACATCGCTCTGAAGTGCTCAAATCGTTGCCGAGAGAGGTTCTTCGTCAGGCCGTCGGCAGGCATCTCATCAGTAGGTAGGTGGTTAATGAGGAAGCTTCCTTTCTTGAATTCCTGCGTCATCCACATGTTCTGAATGTCAACATGCCTTAGCTTGCTGTTAATTCTGTCTTCTGTAATAACTAGGCGTATGGCTTGCTTGTTGTCACAGTACAGCTTCAAGGGTTCCTGTAGGTCTAGGGCGATACTGTTAAGCAGGCGTTCGAGGGCAACAGCTTCAGAAGCCGTTGTTTGTAGTGCCCTGAGTTCAGCCTCGGTTGTTGACGTTGTGACAGTGGTTTGCCGGCTTGCTTTCCACACAACTGGCCCCCCTAAGAGGGTCATGAAGTAGCCCTGTGAGGACTTTCTGCTTTCTTCGTCGTCAGCGAAAGAGGCGTCGCTACAGATGACCAAGACCTCTGGCTCTGAACCGGAGGTGCGTACATGGGCTCCGATTTCCACAGGGTGCCCGGCCGTCTTCAGGACCTTTTGTAGGCTGGAAAGAAGTGTGATTGTCCCTAGATAACTATGAATACCTCCTACTACTCCTGTTTTCCGACGCGCTCCTCTTCCTTTGGTTTGTGGAATAACGACGCAATTCGAGACCGCTTGAACTTGCCCGGCATCCCCTTCTGGTTCTCGTGGCCATCGTCATGCTTTCTCTACTCCACTAGCAAACGTTCCTCCTCCTTCTGCTCCTTGGGACTGCCAATCCCGCTGCCCGTCTTGGTAGGTCGGCTGACCTTGAAGGGCTCCGGCGGCTTTCATGCCGGCAAATATCTGCTGCATGGCATATCGCATCTGGAAGAAGTAGATATTTGGCAGCGGGCGTTTCTCCGGGTCAGACGTGCTCAACTCATAGATATCGCCGTGTACGACATATCTAGCGCCAGCCACAATCGAGTCCTGCATCATCCGTTTACGATCTAGCAAGTTGGTCACCTTGCTATGATCCTGGCCGCCATTAGTAAGACCTATCTCGGCATGCCGTTCTTTAAACCAGACGACTTGGAGGTATAGCCTATTTTCTGGATTGGTTGGGTGCTGGATAGGACGGAGAGCAAATTTATACCGGTCCCACAACCGATGGGCGGTAGGCTACAACGGGTGAATGTTTCGTTACTCATAGCCGGCGATGTCGAGCTGTTGGATAGCTTCCAACAGCTAGAATATCTGAAGTGCCCTCCAAAAGTCAATAGGCGTGTATATGGATATGGTGGCTTGGACATCGATAATACATGCGGCGTCAGCTACCTCAACACCGATTAAGGAGCAGCAGCTCTGGTACCAGGGTGGTACCGTCCGCTGGGCTTTTATGTCCTCTTTGCCTTGCTCTTCTGCTTTGCCTTTGCCTTTGCCTTTAGTCGATGTCTGCTCCCCTCCCTCTTCCTTAAGCATCTTAACTACGGTCTCGAAAGGCTTGTTGACCCAGATGTCGATAATCTGTTGGACTAGTGGAGTCAACAGCACTAATTATCCCTAGAAGAACTCGTCGGGGCGACTGAGACTCTATAAAAGTCTCTAGACGCAGTGGAACCAACCTCGAGGACGGATAGAGGGCTATAGCCTGTATTGCGAACAGAGCCTTTATCTTGTTAGCATACGCTGTGGTTTTACGGCCGCCCTCGTTATTACTATTACTGGTATGAGCTATAATTTTGCCTTGAAGAAAGGCGGCGAACTGCCGCTTCAGCTCTTCATCCGTCGTTGGAAGGCGTGATCCTGACGGCTGCGAGCTATCATGAGGGCTCGCATTATCTCGCGCCGAAGTGGAGTCATGCGAGGGCAGATGGGTGGGTGTCGAGGGCAGATCTGTGGACGTCGAGGGTCCGGCACCGGGCAAAGCTGCAAGCGGATGAGGCACCAAATCGATGGAGCGATTGTAGACGAACTTTGTCTCGATCGGCAGAGGCGCGTAATCGGCAGACTTTCGTTTCGGCGGCATGGCGACAACGTATAACGAATTAGGCATCAATCTCTCGTGCGCACGCGTGGGGGTTACTACCGGATCGCTTGTGAGAATTGACGAGGTTTGGAGATTTTGGGAAGAGGTGTTGTGCGGCGGGCAGGCAGTCAACTTGGTTGGTTATGTAGAAGAAGAGAGGAGGAAGTTTTCCATAAATTTCGGTGCTGATAAAGCTCGCGGACATCATCACATGTAGCTGAGACGCTGGGTAAGTTAAAGGAGGGGGGAGTTTATAGGAACCCTGCGCGAGCCAGCGAGTCGGATATTGTGGCTTGCGGCTTGGCCTCGTCAACTCCCTCTGTCGCCTTCGGCTTCACGTCTCGCACCTCTTGATGGACTTTGGCCAGCTTGTCGCATATTGTGGCCAGCTCTATATCCTTTTCGGACAAGCCGCCCACGTCATGCGTTGTCCACGTTATGATAACTTTGTCGTATGACTGGGTGTACGGCAATGGCTCCTAGGTCAGCGGGCTCTTTGCTTCTGGGCTTCAAAGCACGCGGCAGCTTGTAGGGTTGGTGATTAGGCTAGCCAGTGATCTATGTACTTACATTTGACCATTCGGGATGGTGCCGCTTGAGTTTGCATTGTAACGCCACTGCGTTCATGAAGTCCTGATACAAAAGCAAAGTGGTGAGTAAGTTTATGGTATCTATCTCGGCATGTTTTTATGCTTCGGAGAGAGGAAGACAGCACGCACCCAGGCCTTTCTAAAATTGGGAAACTTGAAGGGGCGTGTAATGCAGGTGCCCTTTGAGTCGAGGACCCATGGGCCTCCGGGACGTGCTTGACTCAAGAGCTGGGCCAGATTGTCTCGGAGACGCATGTTGAGTGGCAGATGATGCAGGTCCGGGCCATTGGGAATACGACGGCGAGAGGAAGAATGCAGGTAATGGTAGGCTACTGCCACTCCGAGCGAAGCCTGACTCCCAATGCTGCCGTCGATGGTGCTGGGCTGCCGTCGTCGCGGGAGCTCAGCAAGCCCAGCGAGCCCGAGAATGCGGGGCCTTCCTGCTAGAGCTAGAACTAGAGGGAGGCTCCGCCTAGACATGGCGAGGACCATGATAGCCAGTGCAAGAAACCTAATGGCTCTCTGCTAAAATCGGAGTTGCCAAGCCGTGAAGGCTGGAGGTTGATGAAGCTGTCGCGTGTTTTTCGGCTCGTCACGAACGGTTGCAGGGCCGTCGAGGGAGAAGCGGAAACGATGGCCCGGAGTATGTCTCAATAACCAAGACACAGTGGCCGGCCGAGAGATATGACATTAAAAGTGTCATATGAGATGAATTGGCTGATTGAGACGAAATGCGTCTCTTTTGCTGTATTGAATGGATGAGAAGCTCGATGAGACGACGGTCTGTGGATTAGAATTCTGACCCTTATAGCCGGGTTATCGCTAATGTTAAATGTGGGGCATCCATCAGTTTGCCCCATAAAATATGTCTTTACCGTAAAGATCGCTCGTACGTAGCGAATAACAAGGTATACTAACATATCGTAACTATTTAGACCCCTTATCGAATAGGGCTCCCTATCCTTATATAAACTCGGCCGAGAAACGAAGTCTAATCATGATATTCTAATCGTTGTGTGCAAGCTTGACCGTACGTATTTGGGCCTTCAGGGACGGGGCCTGCCTCCTTCCATAGTTCCCTCAGTAGTCAGCCAGTAAAGACAGACACATGCCCAAACCACATGAACCCAAAGTCCAAAAGTTTGCTGTAAACAGTCCAAATGCTGTGATTATAACCAGACCCAGGTGTTGGTTAGGACATCGGGTACTAGTCTCACTATGCCTGAACCGGCGAGGCTGTTTAAGAGCAAGTCCCAAGGTCTCGGATGCCATTCCTTTCCACCCTCACCTACACGGGGAAGAGAGAGGTCTGCCTCCTTCATTGCCCACCTTCGGTCCCTTGTTGTATGGACAGGCCGGCTAGTACGACGGATTAGTCAGACAGACAGACAGACAATACAAGTCGGCTCGTTGGCGCCAGTACTGCCGCCGGCGACAAATATTGCGAGACGGCTCTTTTTCTCGGGTTGCGTCGCTGCCTGGAGTGTCGTGCTGTCGATCCCGCGGCCTCTCTAGCCTTCCTATGGGTGGGGTGGTCTGGTGACGACGGGGAAGGCATCTTGTGATGCCTGCCCTCCTAGAGATCTCTGGATCTCGACACGAGTCGAGGTCTGTCTCGTCAGGTGTCCGTCTCGCGGCCGCAGCCGGGCGGTTGGTGTTCCAGAAACCCTCTGTTCCCTCCAACAACGAAGAACCGGGGGACCGAGGGCATGGCGCAGAACAACGAGCGACAACAGACCTTCAATGCCTGTCTGCCTGCCTGCCTGCCTGCCTGCCTGACTGCCTGACTGCCTGACTGCCTGACTGCCTGCCTGCCTGTCTGCGAAACGAGAGCCACGCCATCGACACAGATGCCTGTCTCCGACGGCGCGCAGATGCGAAAGGGGAATATTCGGGAAGAGTAGCCGGAGATGGCCGCCCTGTATGAGGGCAAAATGCCCCGATGGAGCAAACAGTCGGCTTTCTTACTCAGACGAGTTTAAAGAAAACGCCACACACCGCATACTATGTGGGGGGGGGAGGGTTCCGGCAACATGACGTTTATTTGTCCAGAACAAGGCCTGAGACGGCGGGAGACATGGATTCGTGCAGCGGCTCCATGCTCACCTGACAAATAAGCGTTGCTCTGGACGGAAGAGAGATGTCGTTTCTTGAGAGCCATGGATTGGCCACCAGCCAGATGACTATTCCGTGGGGACAAAAAAGGGGGCAGAAAACATAAAACGGCAAGGAACAACGACAAAAACGCAAATTTTTGGCGCCTGACCTTGATGAAACGCCGCGAGAACCACAAAAGATGCTGCTTGCTACTAACCGAGACCTAAGGTGGGAATATGAATAGTAATCGTGATGGTTAATTAACATACAAAGTGTCCCATGTTATGCAGATTTATCTGACAGGCAGGCAGGCGAGCGGAAAACGGAGCAGCCGCGTGTGCCCTGGATCAAGGACCGCGAGGCGAATCGCGATGTGTGTGCATGTTGAAACAAGCCGTCCATTGTCTGTCTGTCTGTCTGTCTAGATCACGTCAACACCGCCCACGATAAATGGGACGACTCGTTTTTTTTGTCCTGTGAAGAATTACGAGACTGCTGACTGTCAGTCATCAAGGCCCTTCTTTTTTTAATCATCTCTTATGTACGGCACGTGTGCGATGCGCCTGCCGAGCGGCGAAGATGGCAAGATAGGAGGGGGAGGTGTGCAAGCGGGTGGTGGTGCGTGGTCATCTATGGGGCATACCTTAGGTAGCCAAGCTACTTTTCTGCTCTGTTCGTAAAGGAAAGGGGCCCACTCGATTCTTGCATGGCAGGACAGAGGCATTGTCTTGAGAGACATCTAGGTTCCAAAGTTGGGGGTGCCTTGAGGTGGCTTTCAGTTGCTTCAAAAACCGTTTGACGTAAGAGGAAAAATTACCCGATTGGGAATATGTTAACACACTTGGCCATGTAGGCAGACGCAATTAGATAGGTAACCTTGCTAATTTGTGTATCCCCTCACGCAGTAATCGGCAGAGTAGTAAGACTAACCAGACCTTCTCAAGGCAATTCGTAAAGGCCCTATCGCCATTCTGCGTACGTCAGCCCCCCCGGCGGCCGTGGAATGTGGTATAGTGTAGTCATTGTTACACAACCACCCAAGCACGCAGAAGAAGTCTATCTTGGTCCCGAGGTGGTGTAACCCTGCCAGCCTTTGGTTGCAGTCATGCATGGTCCACAACTTTGATTGCAGAACCTACACTACATACTGTACGAAGTGTACTGACGAGAGAGAAGTGAAACGATGAACAAGGCAGCATCCATGGCAGCAGGTCGGCAGGTCGGCAGGCCGTACGGGGATATTACGTAACATCGACAACAATTGAAGATGGTTGGAGAGAATCGAATCGTTGATGACTTTCTCGACCAGGGTCTTGCCGCCGCCGTTGTTGCTAGTCAAAGCAGTTAACTAGCCGAGCCGCGGCCCAACCAGGTCTGGACGAACACAAAACGGATGTGCGAACTCGATGGACACGTGTAGGCAAGGGACGTACTCGGAACGGAGGACGTCTCGGTCGTTCAAACATAGCGAGCCGGATGACTGAAGTATTACTGATCGTCTGCTGGCCGGGCAAACAGTGGCAGCCGCTGTTCAGTGTTCAGATAATCAGGCTTGCATTTGCCCTGCAGCCGGTGTGCGGGAGGAATCGAGAAGCGGTAGCCGAAAGCATTTGCGACTGGTAACATGGGAATTGGAATAACAGTAAACCCCATTGCCGCGTTATTAGACATGGACAAGAGACAACAAACGGAGAAGAGAGGCGGGCAGGACGGACAGGATGGACAGAACGTACTCTGTACAACGTGCGTACCTTGTCCGTTCCTACCTCTACCAGCACACGTGCTCGATTGCACGGCCGTCCACGACTTCACGACTCCACGCCAATACGCGCACAAAAGCCCCCGGGGGTTACCAAGATCGGAAATGGCGGCTCAGATCAAGTTACCAGTACTACCGTAATTAGTACAGCATAGTATGTATTGTACCGTGGCGGCTGTTGATGCATTCGAAGACTCGATGCAGCCAGCGACTGACAGACTGACTGTCACTGATACCCGGGTTAGGCAAGTGATGCCGCAATCTCGACTCGAGGCACCGTGCTCAGACCTGGCATGAACCAACATCTTCCGTCGCTGGATGCTGGGGCTGTTGGCTTGCTCGTTGGTGTCAAGGCTGTGTGCGGTTGACTTGTGTGGTTGTGTGGACTGTCCATGGTGTGGTCAATGTGAATGGATGGCGGGGTCCAGTACGGGCGAAGTGTCCGTACGGAGCACGGAATGCTATCCATCGGTGGCTTCTTTAGCTTGTCCACACTCTCCCGCCCGTACTCGGTTCGGGGTACGAAGAAGCTCCCAACACACAACGCAATGATGTGCGATGAATAGCGTATTGACACCCATGCTGCAAGGTGCGAGGCAGCCTAGAAACGCATCTGCAATGTGCCCCCAGGGAGATTGAAATGACACCCCGAAAAACTTCCAACCTAAGGGCTCGGGAAATAGAGAGTAATATACGTAGGCAGGCAAGTATCGCTGCCTGCGGACTTTTGTCGCTGTTCATCCAATGTCTAAGAAGGATGGTGTTTAAACGTTAGGTCGGTTTCCATTGTCGGCAATTACCCATAGAGTATCCGCACTTGAGGTGGCTTGGTGTTGAATTAGCACATGCACCGCCCTGCAATTGCTAAGCCATCGAGGTTCCTGCGTCGATGTGGACGGATTCGGCGGGGGTGGCACGGCGAATGTAGTTCAACTTCTTCTGGAATTTGGAAACACGCACCACTTAAGCAACCTAACCTTGAAGTAGAACCGTGTATTCCGTAATCTCACTTACTTGATTAGGTCTTTGTGAAGTGGGTAGCTGCAAGGTTTATTTGGGGGACAGGGTTCGGGGGACGGAAAAATAAAATCACCTTTCCAAGTAAATTTGGACCATGGGACTAAAAGCAAAAGGGCGGGTGGGGCTTCCATCCAACTTGGCTGGGCTCAGGGTTAGATCTTCTGGTGAGGCGAAGGGTGGACTCACTGGACACGTGGAAGACTTGGAAGCATCGCGGAATTCCGCGTGCGACTGCGCTGTGTGTTGGGAGGCGCGTGAGGCAGTGGTAGACTAGTAGCCACTAGGCCAGCCCCTCCCTCAACCCCACTCCACTGCATTTCGCATCTTTCGCGAAAACCCGACATCTCTTCTCTCCAGGTCCCAAGACGATCTGCTGACAAAGCATTCAACATCTGACAAAGAACTCCGAGAGCATACTGGTTCCGAACTGAACCCAAGGACGCCGGAATACCGGAATACCGGAATACTGCGAGGTCAGGTTTCGTGTTGCCACAAGGCCCGAGGAATACGCGCGCATTTGAAGGTGCCCGCTGCGTGTGAGTGAGCAGCCAGGCCGAGCAGTCGTCCAGTCACAGTCGCCAGCAGCGGGCGAACAATCGCTCCCTTCGCTACGGTGTGGTGCGGTGCATCGCGTTGCGCTGCTTATTAGGTAGGTTGGCTTCGACCCAGCCCAGCCGCCATCAATCAATCAATCGCCGCCGCCCTGCTGAGTCAACCATCCTCGCGATTCGTCAGGGTTTCTCGACACGCGTGTTGGACACTACAGGTCCGCCGGAACGGAGTACGTACATACGTACCATACTGAATACCATCATACGGATATCCATCCATCCATACCGACGGGGAAACCTCACGAACCGCACGCACCAAGGCGGCACCGACGGCGAGCTCTTTTCCCATTTGCGTCGTCCGAAAACACTCCCCCCCCCCCCCCCCCCCCCTCCCAGCCACGCGGATTTATGCCAAAAAGTTGGCCGCGGGTTTTCATTGCCACAGGTGTTGGTATCCTGCTGTATCCGTAGGTCGGTCGGAATTTGCAGTCCATCCAGCCCAGTCCAGTCCAGTCAATCGCGGTTCCAAACCCACTGCCACCCTACCCTGTTTGTTACCTTTCCTCAGTTTATTACTACTGCCTAGGTCAGGTTACCTGCTTTCCATTTCCAGGTTTCCTTGGCTCAGTCATCATCATTTATACCTTACCTACCTACCTCCTATCATGAGGTGCTGCAGAAACTGCTCACTTACGCAACCCACTGCACTACTCAGAAGGCTAACCGTTGGCTGACAGCTGCTGCGTAGCTCCTGTCGTCAGCAGTAAATTATCTGCCGGACCCCATTAGGCTTTCTGACGCCGAATAAGACGCTGTTGGTGGGCTGCAGACCACTGCTTCCGGTACTGCTCTTTGCTGTTGTTGTTGCTGCTGCAACTACTGCTGCTGCTGCTTAGCCTAGTAGTAGTAATCCGGCTCAAACCCCAGGTGCTGCAACCCCATCTCTTCCTCGCTGCTGAGTCAGGGCAGCTGTCGCAGAAACATGGCAAGCCTCAAGAACGGTCAGTGGCATTATTTCATTTCCATTCATATCCCCGATGCTTGCAGCGTATGTACAGCATAGCAAGGCAAAGCATAGCGGAGCAGAGCACAACGGAGCAGAGCAGAGCATTGCAGAGAGAGCGAGAGTGTAGTGTAGCAATTGCAAGTGCAAGTGCAAGCGTCAGTGCAAGTGCAATGCAGTGCATCCAGCAGCCAGCAGCAGAGGAAATGCGTTACACCCCTCCTCAAAGGTTCCCCCGGCTCCGTCACTACCATGGATATGATATTCCATTCCACGGCTAGCGATTGCAAGGTGCGAGCCGGAAGAAGACAAGGGCCAAAGTTCTTCCTGTCCTCTTTTCGGTGAGAGCCATGGAGATGCGGACCGCAACGGCGGCCACAGCAACAACCCACTGCGAGACCAACAGCATCGCCCATCACCCTTAGCATCAGCACAGCATCAGCACCAGCATCAGCAACAGTAACGGCAATGGCGGCAAGATACGGAGTACCGCCATTGGGTCCGTCCCGGGGTCGCTGTTGGTCGCACGCGCCGGGAACTGTCACGGATTTGGTCGTTCCCTCTCGCTTTCGCAAATGAACCCTGGCCAGTACATCATACATCCATTACACGTATCCATCCTGGCCGTCCTTTAAGCTATAAATTGTCGCCGAGGCAGGACTTGGCTGCTTATAAACCAACCTCGAACTCCGTTGCGGTCCCCAACATCCCGCATTCCCACAGCTCCGTTAGCTTGTCTGTTACTGTTCATACACCCCCCCCTCTCCCTGGGGTGCTTGAAAGTACCACAACTGGAGACGGCCAGCGTTCCCATTTACATGCTTGCTTGCCCCTCCACACCCACACCTCCAAACGCGCCCCCCCCTTCTTCAAACCACCAGGCGCCCTTTTCTTACCTAACTCTTCACTGGCTAGCAGGCATAGCTCTGCCGCATCGCATCTTGTAAGTCGCTGGCTTGGGTCTGCAAGTTCGTCCCGCAATAAGCTGCGCTCATCACCGTTCCCTGCATCTCGAGCTTGATTGCCTCTAAGTCTCTTGCCTCTAAGTCCGTTATCCCCATACCACCACCTGGGTACCCCCAACCCGTCTGGGACTGAGAGTAACAAGAGTCGAGCTGGGCCCGCCTCATTCCTCGAAAGGGCAGTGTATAGCCGGGCACTGCTGGCCAGCCCAGTTACGATTTCTTGCAGGTCTCTCTGTGCCGCTCGCCGGCCGCTGTCAGGACGGAAGGACTGCGGCACCAGCGGACGCCGGGGAGCAATTGGACTTATATCCATTTTGTTGCACGTAAAGCCATAGACATACTGGCGCGCGCGCGCACACACACAGGCACACCCTCTGGTCAAAGTCTTGCCGTATGCGCACAATAATACGCCGTCCCCTGCCCTACCTACCCTATTTCATGTTCGCTGTTCCTCTTCCCATATCTTCTCGGCTTCCCAGCACCACGGCCATCCATCCTTGCCGACTCGGGGACCGCAAGCTGCAGCTCCGAATCCTGCCGCCTCTCGCCGGATTTGACGGACATATTTGCTCGCTCTTATTATTCCTTCGCTCGCCCTTATCCCGTCTCGCACCTTGTGTCTCTTTTCTGTCTTGAGCTCTTATTGCCCACCTCCCCCCCAAGCCCGTCGGCTTCTAGACTTGTTCTTTTCGTGCACTGACGCGGCCTTCGGCCCCCTCCTACAGAGCCAAGTGCTCGAGAGCATCTTGTCGGGCCCTCGTTAATAAACAACCACAACGACCACATAGCCTATTCGAGTGCACCCTACGCAGCACACTCGCACTCGCACTCGCATTCACCCTCGGACAGCCAAGGAGGCAGTGACGCTTCGCCCGTCTCAGCTACGCATTCGCTGCCACATGGATATAGCCACGCGCCCGCTACCCAAAACGAGTCGCAAATCCACCCAGAACTGCGATCCGGCCTTGACGCGGCTGCGGCGAGCTCTGGATATCCGCCTGTCCCTAGTATGATGCCAGTTGGCATATCAGCACCACCCGATCAATCTGGTGCCATGTCTGGTCCTACGACGCTCGGGGCCCAAGTTGTGGGCGTGGTCGATGTTGGAGACGGAGGCGCGGATGGCCGGAAAGCAAAGCGCGAACTGTCGCAATCTAAACGCGCAGCGCAAAACAGAGCTGCACAGGTACGTAAACTGACAACACTATGCCTCCATCAAATTGCGGTTGGGCTTTATGGTGGCCAACGCTTCTCTTCTGCTCTCTATTCGACTTTCTGGTATGGATAATCCGAGAGTTTTTTTTTTGGCGGCAGGGGGTTGTCGGGAAGTTTGGTGATTAATCATCGCAATATGTCGTTCCTCACGCCAAGTGGCGAGCATGGGCCGAGAGAGAGAAGCTTGGTCGGAGCTTCGGAAGCGGTCCCCAACCGGCATTGGCCGGCCGCCTCAGCCTCTGTCATTTATCGCACTGTCTTACATAAACACGGCTGACTGAGCTGTTTGACGTCACAGAGAGCATTTCGTCAGCGAAAAGAAGGATATATCAAAAAGCTAGAGCAACAAGTGCGCGACTATGCCGAGATGGAGACGAGCTATAAGGCGATGCAGACGGAAAATTACACACTGAGAGAATATGTCATTCATCTACAATCGCGCCTGCTAGATTCCCAGGGCGAATTCCCCCAACCGCCGCCAAACATTAACCTGGCACATCCAACGTCGGCGCGAGCTCCCGAACCTGTGCAGCCGGCGGCCGCGCAACCAGCAAACTCCCTTGAGGTTGCCGCCCAAGCTGTGGCTGGCCTGAGCCGCAGTGAACACATGCAGGCCCGCGATCACTACAACAAGATCTACGAGCACTCCGCCCGTACCGACGACGACAGGACGGCCGAGGAAATCACGCGTCAACTACAGGCCGACGGCGGTCCTGATGGCCTGCCCGCGGCGCCTATGTAGTCTACAACAGAGTTGGCGGCATCTTGTTTATGGAAATCTTTACTCGTTATTTTTGTGTTAGTCACTCTATTTCAGACACAGAGACTCACGGCGTTATTCATAGGCGCAGGGGCTATAAATTTTCTGTTTTACTTTTCTTTCTATCGGGATGGCTTAGGGCTGCGAGAAATGTACGGGGCTTTTCCCGCAATGACTGGCGTTGTGGTAGGGAAAGCATTGCCTTGTTTTTCTTTGTGATAACCTACGTTGTTGCGGAGGACCATGTGCTGGGGGGCGGTACAGACTAAAAGGGGAGAGGGGGGAGAGGGCTGGGGGCTAGGCAGGCTATCGCTGCTGTACAGGTTCATATCCTACTTCTTTTACACCTGTCTCTTGTACAATGTGTCTTTGACTCTGGTTTAACTAGTTAGCCACTTTTGCTCTGCGCTGGAGACGGGCACAGTCCAGCCAAAATACATTTTCACCTTATTATATCTAGTGACTCTTTATTTGTTGATGTAGTGGAGCAGACACACACACATGTAAATTGCACTAAGGAATTAGAAACTAGGTGTATTTTTATTTGGTTCATAAAAACAAAAGGCCCCCTTTTTTCCCCGCCCGTCTTTAGAGATATAAGAAAACACACATGCGCATATCATCGCACCGCCGCTGTCCGCTGCCGCCAAGCCAACGATATTTCAACTAAATGCATTGCCCATGTCATGCTCCTAGGAGTACAGTCAAGACCCATTAGCAATTTGATACCCAGCAAGTTCTTCCCCCCCGGACACGTGTCAGGGCGTGTCAGGGCGGGGCGGGGCGGGGCGCCAGGAAACAACTCACCTTGATATACTCGGCGCCTTTCTCTTGGTACTCTTCTTTGGTAACAAAGGCCCGCTTGGCGTCCGGGGTGGTGGCCCAGCCGGCGGCGCCCTTCCAGGCGTCGAGGACGGCGTCCTGAGCGCGGCGGATGGTGAGCGGGGCGCCGGCGGGCAGCAGCGGGGTGAGGGCGGTGCGCAGACGTTCGTCGAAGTTCTGGAACAGGGTGTTGCCGCCCGTCAGGAAGACGTCGCGCAGAAAGTCGTTCTGGTCGATTCCCGTGATGCCGGGCAGGCGCTGCGTCAGGATGTCGCTGGCCATCTCGACGATGCCGGCCTGGTCGATGCCGGCGATGGCGCTGGGCTGGAACAGGACCTCGGGCACGCGGATGCGCTCGACGTTGAGGTGCAGGCGGTGCGCCTCGGCCGACGAGCCCGCGTCGAACGGCCGCGGCCCGTACCGGAACGCGTGCAGCAGCGACTTGGTCCAGTCCTTTTGCGCCTCGAGCGTGTTCTCGTACGTAAAGTCCTTGTCGTACTCTAGCAGGTCCTGCTCGAGCGCCTTGACGGACGCCTCGAGATCCTCCTCGCCCTCCTCCTCGTCGTCGCTATCACCCTTGTTGGCTCCCATAGCCACGCTGCGGTAGACGCCCCAGTCGTTGTCGTCGGCGCCAAAGTCGTCGTCGTCGCCTCCACGGCGGCGCTTGCGGCCTCCTGCGCCGCCTGTCGGCGTGTCAGAAGCCAGATTCGCGATGTTCTTCATGCGAATCTGGCTGGCCAGTGACTTGCGGTTGCCCAAGTCTGCCTTGAGCCGGTCGCGCTCCTTTATCAGGGCGAGCTTGGCCAGACGCGCCTGGCGCTTGTCCTCCAGCCAGCCTTCGAGATCGTTGGTTCTCCGCTCCTCGTCAAGCCTGGCCTCTTCTGCTATCCTGGCCTTTTCGGCCTCCTTCTCGGCCTTTGCCCGCGCCCGTGCATCGTGGTTTGATTTCATCAGGCGCTGCTGGCGCTTCTGCTTGATACCAGCTTCGTCGAGCTGGTCGTCGGGCACATCGAGGAGGCTGAAGTCGGGGGCTTCTTGCTCCTCCTCTTGCTCGCCTCCTAGGTCCTTCGTCCGCGCCTTCTTGATGGTCCGCTCGAGATCCTTGACCATGCGGTCTAGCGCAGCCTCGTCCTTAACCTCGGCGTCGTCTAACAGGCGCTTCGTCTCTTTCTTGTTTTGGTCTACGAGTTTGCGCTGCACGTCCTTATAGTACTCGAGCTCCTGTTCCTTCTTCAGCAATCTCTCGAGGCGCATCTTGGCGGCCTGTTCTTGTAGTCTTCGGCCGCTCTCCTTCTTTCTCTCGGTAATCCGCGCCAACTCCTCCTCTGTCTTTTGAACAATGACCTCTTCCGTGTACGGGTACTGGACGATGCGTTCCCTCTCCTCAAGTCCTGTCCAGTCAAGGTAGTGCGCGAGCTCATTGTCGTAGTCCTTTGAGACATAGCAGAAATCTCGAACCATGGCCTCGGCCTGTGACGCATTCAACTTGCCAGGGAAGCCGCCGAGGTACTTGAGCTTGATCAATTTTAACAGGTACTCGGCTGCGTGCCACCCACCCCAATTCAGTCTTATGGCCTGGGCCAGCATTGGCTTTGAATTGTAGACGGGGATCATGTGTGTGGCGCTGTACGACGAGGAAACAACCAGGCCCGTCTTGCCTTTGTTGTGGCGGTAGGAGAACAGCGAGTCTATCCCATAGACGAGGGCGGGGGCGCCGTAGCACTCGAAGATGATCTCCGTCATTGCTTTGCGGACAACAAGTCAGAAAAGATAAGGCTCAATGCAAGATCCACAACCTAGAGAGACCAACTCACATTTTCTCGTGTAGGCGAGGTTGGCAACGGCCTCGGTCATGACGATGGGCATGTCAATAGCACCGTCGACACCGTTCATACCGAGCTTTATGAAGACGTGATCCAAGACATGTTCTGTAACATCCCAGTTGCTCACGATGCCAGTGCCAACCTCGAAGGCGTTGCGGATGTGGCCGCGCGCCGTGGTGTCGGCGTAGCAGTCTTGGCCAGCGAAGGAGAAAGTCCTGCCGAGCTTGCGGTCGCGGTACTTGGCCATGATGGGAGGGATCTGGAGTCGGGGTTTCGACTCGAAGGACCAGCCTGCGCGGACAGTTGAAGAGCCTGCAGGACACAATTGGATACGTCAGCGGGGCTGGGTGTCTGTTTCGCGCGATGCGATGGACGGGGCGAGGCTCTCTTACCATTGTCGATGACGATGGCGGCCTGCCCCTCTGGCTGGGCAAGGGCGCGCTCGTGGCCATCTATTTGAGGAGTCAAGTACTTCTCAAACTTTGCTTCCCTGACGGGATGGAGTTTTGGGGAAGGGAGCGTCTTCCATGCGTCGCGACGACCCGCCATGTTAATGTCATCGAGAGCTGAAGGCGCCATGGTTGGGGTTGGATCCGAGTCGCGTGTGCTTCGTGTTAGAACTGGAGCATTGTTAAAGGTTGCATTCCGGTCCAGGTGTTGCGCTGCAGGTCTGGCGTGATGTGCCCGGCCTCGAATTGCATCTGCGTAAGGTTGTGTTGGTTGGCGAGGCGAGGGTTTCTGTCGATGATGTTGCGCTGTAATCCCCAAGGCACGGAATACCTTACTGTACTTCACGGTATTGCACAGTACGGATACACAGTACAACAATGCGGTGAGTTGGCAGGCATTGGCTTAACTGCAACAGCGGGGCACCATCGCCAGCGCCGAGCTCTCCTACGCTCTCTGTATAAGATGCGAACCTCGGAAGTAAAGACTCAGATGAAATGATTATGGTTCTGTATTTGCAGATTGGGTTGTTATGGACTTTCGTTACGGATACCCATGGATCATATCTAAAACGTCCAGCCTCTTGAGATTTGTTCACACGACAACACTTCAACACCCTCGACGGCCAAAGTCTATGCGGGCTCTTTCAGATTGTCCGTGGCTACTAGGTGTCAGTACTGGACGTGCTCCAAAGGCAGCAAGCAGACAAGTTGCACGTACCCTCGAGGTGGAAGAGGACGTTTGACTGGTAGTTCTTGAACATCTGGGCGACCAGCTCGATGTTCATATTCTGGATGTTGATGTCCTGCATGAGGCGATCCTCTTAGCACCAAGAACCAACCAAGCTGTCTGTCACTGGATACGGGATATCTCACCTGGAGAGCCTTGTTCATCACCACGATCGCTTCATTGAGTTTCTCCTGTAAAAAAGCGATGAGCAGGCTGAACGGCGAACTAAAATGGGAGGGTCTTAAGGCATACCACATTTGTGATAATGCGCGACAGAAGCAAGTTCTGCTGGTGCTCGTGGGGGCTCTCCTAACAACAGGGTAAGCAAATTTGGGATCGGGTAGTTTTATATTTATATTTTAACATCCAATGACATACCATGACTGGCTTCGCTGCAATCAAGCTGTTTGTATCGAGGAATATCTTCCGACTCCCGTCAACGCAACTTGGATGTTATTGATCCCTCTTTAGACGTCCAGCCTACCAAGACGGAACCCGCTTCTCGACTTAGACCCACGTCTTTTGGCGGGGTTGAGCAAGCAGCGCGGAGCGCGTCGACAGTGCGAGGGCGGCCCTTCCCAGAGCGGTCAGAACCGGCATAATCGACAGAGCTTCCCCCAAGGCACCGCCAACAGCGTCAGAGCTTCGCTGGTGAGCGCAACATCTCGAGAACGCAGCCAAACAGAAACCACCAGTCACATCGCATCGCCCGCACCACCACAGCCCAAGGCCATGTCGAATCCAGAAGCACAGGCAGCGCAAGCGGCGCACCTGGCAGTGATTGAGCAGCTCGATATCCACTCGATCCACAAGACGTTCCGCAACCCGCACTGGCGCCCAAACCAGCGGCGCAACAAGAACATCAAGACGATCCTCGGCGACGCTTCGCGCAAGGAAGCCTCGGTCATAGCCACTCCGCAGAATGCCAGCGGCGCCGCAACACCGGCTGTCGACGACGGCCTGTCCACCAGCGGCACCTCCACCCCCGCCGTGCCCTCCGCTAACGGCGGCAGCAACGGCAACAGCCTGCAGCCGAACCTGGCCCAGGCGTCACGGAGCCTGTCGAAACTGGTGCTCGAGAAGAGCCTTAATCCGTCCCGGGCCGCTAACGGCGGCGCCGGCGCGGTGGGGCCCGGCCTGTCGACGGCACCCAGTGTGACGTACACCAACATCGAGAGCGCCCCTAGCCTCGTGCCGCTGCGGCACTACTGCGACGTCACGGGGCTGCCGGCGCCGTACCTGGATCCCAAGACCAGGCTCCGCTACCACGACAAAGAGGTCTTTGCCACCATCAGGAGTCTGCCGCCGGGCCTGGGCGAGCAGCACCTCGAGGCAAGGGGTGCCCAGACGGTGTTGAAGTAGTGAATCTGCACACCGGGCTTGGTTATGTACCAAGCAGTCACATTACATGTCCCTGTCGTGGGGGCATTGGGAGTTGGTTGGCTACTGTTGCGATTGGAATTTGGGCATTTGTTCTTTCCCCACTCCCGGTGTTCTAGGAGAATCAAGAAGCAAGCCGAGATACAGGCGGCTGGGCGGAGTTTGCTTTGAATGGGCGCAGTCCATCGTCACGGCGTTTGGAGGGAAAATTCGGTTCTAATTACGAAGGCGTTTCCTCCCATATCACAGAGATATCACAGAGATACACCTTATTTTTCCAGAGCGAAAAACGAGGGTCGCTAGAGAGCCGGTATTATTGCACATAAGCTAGAACGAGGAACGTTTCGATATTGATACCAACATACAACAGAGAACTACTACTACCTAGATAATCAGGACAAGAAAAAAAAGTCATGTACGACCAGCAAAGTCAAGCCCCAACTACGCACTCGCTGCCTTTCGAGAGCAAGATGACAGTCGACGCTCCGGCTTATTGCGGTCAAAGGAAGTACAATTGCTGTATGCCATAACATATAAAAGAATATGCGCGACAGACCACCGAGCACAAACGGCAGTGGAATCGCGCTCGGTTGCTCAAGCAAGATGCTAGAGCCGTCGTGGCAATGCAGAAAGGGTGAGACGGAGGAAGGGATGGCGAGGGCATTGGGAGTGGAGAATAGCAGACACACAAAGGAGATGACAATGACATTTTGATTCCCTTGGTACGTACTGTACATTGATGTTTGACAGCTACTGACACGGTTCCATTTCACTCATGATCGCCAATGTCAGTTTTGATGGCAATGCATTTGTCACTTGCTCCGTCAGCCGGCCAGCACTCGTCCTTCTCTCTGGACGACATCAAAGAATGTTCAATCATGTCGCCGCCGAATGTAAGAGGGGAAGGGTTATGTGCTGGACTTGGCAGGCAGGCAGGCATCTCCTTGTATCGTCGAGACGTTCTTGAACAATGGATGGAGAGGAAGGAAAAAGAGCCGGTGTGTGATTTTACGTTTCGTTTTTCTGGAAAAATCTCCCAGGAACGATGTGTGGAGCTTGGCGGCCAAAAATTCTTTGCCCTGGGCAGGTAGTGGGGGTCGTTTTGAATTAGGATCCTGCCGGGCCGGCAGCCTTGGCCGCCTGGTGGTCACTCGCCCACAGAAGGCTCGGGGCGGCGGCGGGCGGGCCACCGCACCACCTACCCCCTGGTCAAAGGAAATAAGCTTTGGTTTGTCGGGTGTTGGAACGGGCTTCGTGTCCCTGTTCGTAGCGCGTGTGCACGCCGCCGCGTAAAGAGGAACGGGGGCAGGGGGGGGGAAGGGGTTGCCGCCAACAGGTCATGGAACCTTTTTTTTTATCCCTTCTCACTTCAGGTCTAACAGGGCATTTTTTGTTGGTTCGACTCTACGTGTAATAATTCTACAAAGGAAATAGAGGCATCACGACCTGTATTTTTCACAAGCTTTGATTTGTTTTAGCTCTTTAATATTCTAGTTAATTTCTCTTCTCCCCTCCCCGCCCCTTCGACTTAGATATCGTGTCCGAAACCGCCCATAATGCCCACAATGTGGTTATCTGACTCCCAAAGTATGTATATACCGCTGGCTATGGTGTCTATTGCGCGCGCGGGTCCCTTCCCATGGTATCCAAAGAGAGAGGCTAATTCGTGTCCCTTTGCGTAGAAATCGGGGTCGCCTTTTGCTCTGGCGGTAGGTGACAACCCAGTCCTCCCCCCGAATCAAGCACCCGATCCGCTCTCGGCCCCGGCCGCCCGGCCTGCGCGACGCGGCCCCTGACAGATAAAGGATGGGGCGAAGCTGCATGCAGCAAGTGGCTGCTGAACTCAAAATCTCCAAGAGGCTGACAGATTTGCTGACTAGGTGGCTTTTTCCTGATCGGCGGAGTCGTGCTCTTCTTTGACCGGGCCATGTTGGCAATGGGAAATGTACGATTAACCCCCATCCTTCCCCCTTACCACTAGTTGCCTTAGGCCTCTACTGACAGCTCTGAACCTAGATTCTCTTCCTCATCGGCTTGACAATTATCATCGGCCCGGCCAAGACGCTCCTATTCTTCGCGCGCAAGCAAAAGGCCAAGGGGACGGCGGCCTTCTTCGCCGGGCTAGCCCTGATCCTCCTCAAATGGCCGCTGATCGGATTCCTAGTCGAGCTCTACGGCATCTTCATCCTCTTCGGCGACTTCCTCGGCACGATAGCCGGCTTTGCACGGAACATACCGGTCATAGGCCCCTACATCGGTCTCCTGGTTGACCGGAGCGGCCTCGGGAGACGAAACGCCGAGCTGCCCGTATGATTTACGAGACCTAGAGGAGGCGTCACCTGGCCCAGCTTATCCGCATCGCCCAGCAGATGTTTTTTCGATTTCTACTACCCGGTGCTTGTCCCCCAGGTTCCGCCCCGCCGCTAGACGCGGAGTGGGCAGAGGGGAAGCGCCCTGTCAGGTTTACCACACTTTTCATTGCCCCAATTCGTGAGAGTTGATGGCGTTGGAAAGCATTATACCCGTATTTTAATAAATGATGTGTGTGTAAGGATATGACTGTACTACTGATAGACGGGGAGTGGTGCACAAGGCACTCAGTATGGGAAAGGAACGCAGCGCAGTATATCTAGGTATCACCCGGCGACAGACTCGCTTTATCTAATGAAAGGGTCAAATGGGGGGGAAGGGGCATTCCGTGAGGGTCGAAAACAGAAGCCTCCATATGCAGGATCTTGGCTCGGAGCATGTTCTGCTTGACCTAGCTAGAAAGACAAAGGAAAACAACCTGCCCGCGTCGCATCGAATCGAATCTCTCTAAGCGTTTCTGGCTCGCGGCCTAGCTCCCCTCCCTGCTGTTCTTCCCTATAGGGACCGTCTATTTCGACGCCGAGAGTACTAATCGCGGTGCCGACAGTTCTCACGCTATCAACGACTTGACACGAGCAGTCACAAATTCAGTAGCCCTGCTGGATCAGGTAGTCTGCGAGCGCCTCAACGGTTGTTGTCGCGTTGCCGACTACGCCCTCCTCGCCGTAGTAGCCAATGAGAATGGCCTGTTTCGTCTTGACGACGATGACTCCGGTCCGTCCCTAGAGAAAAAAGTCCCGTCATCTCGAGTCAGCATACCACGATCTCGCTTAGTTTCGGGAGGGTATAGCAAAAGACAGGTTCAGTACCTCACGGCCGTAGAGATGTCGGTCCTGGATGTCGTACGCCATATATCGAACACCGGCGACTTTAAATCTCTCCTGGAAGGCCTTGGTTACTGCGGGGCCGTTCCCTTCCTCTGCCAGGATCTTGGAGATCTCAGCCATCTCCTCAGGCTCTACCTGTTCATATGATATATGGTCAGACTTGACTCCCAGACTCGTTTCCAAGACTCTGCACCGGCGAGAAGGGGTAGAGGTAATCTCGTACCACGAAGTCAGGCGTCGAGGCCCAGGTGCTGTCGCCGGCAGCGCTGATGATGGCGGCCTTGTTGAGGTGGCCCGTGCCAACAAGGCTGTTTGGTTACAACCTTCGTTAGCACACAGGCTTAAGCTCCTCGGACAACTCGCGGTTCCCGCCCGAAAAGCCAACATGCTTCCTATCGCAGGTGAGTGCCGATAGTTTGGAGGGGAGAGGGGCGGCAGCGTGCCGCAAAGCGTATGCGAACGCAGGAACCCTCTTATGTTTAATTTTCGTACCTTGTATCGACATAAGCTGCAAGTGTTGCGAGTTAGTTCTTCCCGTTTCCCAAAGTAAGTCAAAGGCGGGGTTGCCATGGAGAAGCCATGATCAAAACGGACCTTGCCAGGACATGATGGGCGGGCGGCTGTGTATTCTCTTGTCTGCGAAGTAGAAGGGGAAAGGTAGCAACAAAGAAAGACTGCACACAGAGAGCGATGTGGTAATGGGTGCTTAACTAGGACGGCGAGGGACTGCAGTGCGCAGATCTGGTGATGATGATTGTGGAGGCGGAACAGAGAGGTAGGTTTTGGAACCTCTTTCTCCTCACAGGCGTAGTAATTAATTACCCCGCCAGCGCCGGGGGCCGTACTTGCTTGCCTGTGGCTCAGGTGGAGGGACTGAGGAGGGGTTTCGCTGTGCTTGGCATTATACCTTGCCTTACGTAATCATCGGCTTTCCTAAAACATGTGCCTTGCTGAATGCCAGTGGTTTCCAACTGAACTCAAAACCAAGAAGGTGGCAAACAACGGCGTGAGGACGGGAGTAGCCGAAATGGCTGTCTCTCTTTCTCTGGTTACACTATACAACCTAAGCTCTGCCGCAACCATTGCAGGCTGGATGCGTTAGGTCTCTATCTATTTCCGTCCGAGTGCCTTGCATCCCATCCCGTCTGTCTCTGTCTCTGGCCAGGTCGTCGTCCTGCAACTGCAAGGCGCTGTTTTCTTTTGCTTCTAGAAGCCTGACCGTTTCGAACTCAAAAGGGAGACAAATGCAACAACATGGCGAGGGCCTAGGATGGAGCGTTATTGTCATCATTCTCTCGCACCTCTCTCGGAAACAGTCAGGCGCAGCAGCACACCCTCTCGCAAGTCAACCACGCGAGAGTCCGAAAGCCACGCTAGATGAGGACCCCTCAGATTCAGATGCTCCCCAGGATGTCTGCACGTCGGCGTACCTGTTGTGTGGCCTGCTGCCCTGTAGCATATCCGTCGCCAGTCCCGATGGCAAGGGTAGCTAAGGGGGCGGATTGTATTTACTGACTATTTAGTGTACCTACATCAAATCCAAGTGGCAGGTACATACACGCGTATTCGTCCAGAGACTGCCAAGCGATGGCCAAGTTGGTAGACGCCATTCTGTTTCCACTTGTCACTTCTCATTATTATTATTATTATCCGACATTTGAGGGGCTCATTTCCTATCGGCGGAAGCTCGGAACCAACACGGGCGGATACTCGAACATTTTCGCCTTTGATTCCACGGAAACTTCGTCTGCGGCGCGGTCTGACAGATGACCGTCAAAGTAGTATCCGTACCTGGCGCCAGTCTAGGCAGTGCGAATCACCTTCCGCCATCCGTCCGCTCCCAAGTTTATCCACGCGATGGACTTGAGGAAGAGATCGCCAGATAAAAGGTTCATGCTGCTGGCACAAGTCTGAGACAAGGATCTCCGGAAGCAGATCTGATCTGAGAATCGTCAACGATGGACGCGTGGGTTCAACGTCGGGGGCCCGCCCAGGGTTCAATAGGTGGGGAGATTTCCCTCCCGACCACAACCCTTCCATGGCTGGTGCTGCTCAAACAAGGTTTCTAGAAGGTCGAGATCGAGCCTGATTTATCCGCCGATGCTCCGTCCAAGCGGGTAATCGATCCCACACAGCACCGGAATCCGGACCTTGTTATTGTTGCTGTCGATGACCCGCAAGCCGCTTCTTGTGCCTTTTCTCGGGGGCGCTACTCAGTAGAAGCCAGATCCACCGCCGCCACAGCTCCAACGCTGTCCAGGATTTGTATTTCTGAGACGTTGGCTAAGCGTTGAGAATCGGACGCCGGCCCCCTGTCGCTGGTTCGAAACCGAGCTCTTGGCATCGAGGACCCTGTCGACTCGCAACAGTCCGACATGCGATTGTCGTCCGAGTCTCCGACGATGAACTTTTACGTTCGCAGCAAGCCGAAAAGGAAGACTGTTGTGTCTTTCGGGTACGGGACGAAACATGGCTGACTTACAGCCCTGACCAGTTACCACGTCAAGTTCGGCACAATCAAACTGCTAGCAGCAATGTTGTATATGAACGGAAATCTTATACATACATCTCCAAGCGCTATAGACATGCCATTGGTGGCAAATCCGCATAAACCAAAGGTGGCCAGATTAACACGAGAGACCTTTCGCCGACAACCGGCTATGTATGGCGGGAATATGAGAATCTCTGTGTGCGCCTCATCTCACCGATTATTTGCTTCGTTGCCTTGACCTTGGGAGGTGCAGTGGTTGGTTGGCTGAAGCTGCACCAACAAAGAGCTCTTGGGTCCTCTAATTTTAAAATCCTGAAGCAGCGTTGCAGCGGCAGAGTGCGTAACCAAATCGACAGCAGCAGTTGGTCATCTAAAACAACCTAGATGCATTGCGGCATTGCCACGTCACAGGGAACAATCAGCCAGCCAGCTTCTCTCCAAAAGAATATCGGAACGAACCGAGTGGATGTGAGCTCTCTTCTTTCAGAGCCGCTGGGGAGGCGCCAAGGTAGCTGATTTCGCAATATCTAATTACGGGACGGCAGCCTTACGGAGTGTGATGAGAATGAGAACTTTCTTGGCCCAACACGCAACCCTAGCCACAAACAGACAGCGGTGGCCGTGGGAGAGAGCATCGGGTTGTGATTCGGATCATCGCAGAAACCTCGCCGCGGTCGTGCTCTCTCGCTGTTCCGTACCTGCAGCAAAATGGCCTTTTCCAAGCCTTTGCAGCTGCAAGGGGGATGCAGCTTACACTGGGAACAGCGTTGGCTGACAGGACAGTCCTACTCCTGGGCTGCCACTCGGCTCAGCTCACATAAGGGAGCAGAACGGCTGCCGCTGTGTTGATGTTGATGTTCCTGTTGCCGCGATTTGTCTGCCGTCAGGTGAGCAGGAAAGGATGCAGCAGCTTGGCTGTGGCCCAGCAGTAGGTGGTTTCTGGTTTCCGGGAAATCACCAAGTGGCCGACATATTGAGCCTGTTTCCGTCTGGCACTCGAAGAAGGCTCGCGATTCCACGGGCTGTAGGGGCGGTCCGGTAGTTTGTGCGTCCTCCCCGTCGTCGCGTTCGGCAGCGAGCGGACAGTGTGTGACACAGCAGCAGCACGGCGTATCCTCGTTAGACAAGACGGGGGAGATGAGGGGCTCTAGTAGGCGTCTTGGAGACCTGAAGCAAGAATCTTCAGCGACTCCACGAGGGCGCCCCGCCAAGACTGCCCCAGGATCGCCGCAAAGTGGGCTTTTCTTTTCTCGGCTGGTCGCAAGCGCAAGCCCCTCATGGTTCGTTCAAGCCACCAAAACGCAGGGGGAGCCAGACGACAAACTGCCCATCATCCTCGCATCTCGCATCCCTGAGGCGGGCACTTGGGGCGGCCAAATCCCTGCTGTTGATCAACCTCTGGCGAAAATACCCGCAGCGTAGCCGTCTCCTTCAGATCTCAGACGCCAGGCTCAGGCTCAGTCATGTTTGGGTTTGGCGTGTTCTGGAAGGGAAACCCGCTCGTCGCGACGGGACCCGAGACGAGACAGACGGACGGCTTCAGTTTACATTTTTTTTCTTGTTGACTGACACTTCACACTTCAGGCTCAAGGCTCGCGTGCCTTGCGCCGCTCCGAGGGAGCAATAAGCGCAAATGAGCCCGTAAGATATGTAGACGATAATCTCCCGCCGTCTTTTGCCCAGCGTGCCAGTCGAGGCCGTCTCGGAGCCTCTGTCGCTTTGTTTGGTCTGGTGCCTTAGATGAGGCTGGCCTGTTCATTTTCGGGCGTTGCATCCCCTTCATTTGCAGCAGGTGGGCTGGCGCCGACGATTCGCCCCCCCTCCCTCCGCCCTAGTTGATTAGACGATTTCGAAACGCCCCAAGGCACCACCAAAGGGACCCTACACCTCAGGTAACTACTGTACCTGGACTACCTTACCCCTCGCCGCCCTCCCGCACGCCTCGGTGGAGCCAAACAGCGGTGGCTGCAGTGGCAGTGGGTGGTGGAAGAGTGCCAGTGCCCAGCGGACCGGCCCCTGGCAGGGAAGCCCACTGGGCGGTTCGATTGTTTAGCTGCGGCAAAGTCAGGTACACTTCCCACATAGGGCACTAGCGCGTCAGCATCAACGGCAGCCATGTTGAAAGCGGTCAAGCGCTCCAGATCGCTGAGGGCCCTGACAGCAAGGGCAACAAGTGGCGCTGGCCAAAAACACGATGATGATGCAGGAGGAGTCGGGGAACACCAAGACGGCGGCGTGCACGGTCCGGCAGCCCCCCCCTTGGACCATGGGCATGGACCAGGCAGACAAGGTTCTGCTGTGTCAGGGCCTGCCTTACAACAGGTGCAGGGCCAGCGTGGAGGTGGTGGTGGTGTTACTGCAGGTGGAGGTGGTATTATCGTTGGAGGACGTGGAGGAGGAGGAGCAGGAGGATCACTGGTGCTAGTCGAAAGCAGTGCTGCTGATGCTGCTGGCCCTCCTGGCCTTCAAAACGCCCACATCCCCCCCGTCAGCTTTCCCGGCGGGAAAAATCCCTATCTTGATCGTCCTCTCCCCCCTCCGCCTCCGCCAAAGAATACTACTAGTACCACCGCCGCCACCACCACCACCACAGCAACAACAACAACAACAACAACAATCACAGCAGTTGCCGCCACCACTGTTGCTGTTGCTCCCCCGCCACTCGTTTCAAGACCGCCCGTCATGTTGGCGAGACCAAGTACCTCGTCTGGGCCCGCCCCCAGCCGGAACGGAAATTCGCGGCCAAACTTTGACAAGAGGCTCTCCAAGGACGACATGTCTCTGCTGGGCAGTATGGGTATGGGCAGGAAAAAGGGGCTAAAACCGTACCGAATCGGTGTCAGGGCCGGCGCATACCCCACCCCCGAGTCCAGTCCGGGTAGCTTGCGGTCTCCGATGCCCATCTCGTCGGTACCCACCAGGATGCCAACACCCGTCTCCTTCAGCTCAGCCGAGATCCAGATCGGGATGGCCCTCGGGAGTCCCTCCCACTCCGCTAGCGGCTTCCAGACCGGTTGGCAGCCACAGCCACGAGATGTTTACTCACCACTACCAGCCCAGAGGACACCAGAGCCCCCCGTCCAGAGGCAGAAGACGCAGAAAAGGAGGCTATTCGGATCCCTGTTCGGAAGCAAGAAACATGCCGAACCAGCCAAGATTGCAGAGGCAATCAGTGCGAATGGGAGCACGTTGTCTGTCACGGCCACAGCCACCACCTCACCGCGGAACAAGGACAGCAGCCCCTCCAGGACCACCACTTTCATGACCAGGAAGTCGACCAAGCACAAGCCCCTGATTTCCAGATCAAAAACAGAACTTCGGATGGAAGAAACAGTTCCAGTATTACCAAGCCGCCAACAGCAATCACCCAACGCAGCAGCCATCTGGTCGATCCCATCAGAGCCTGAACCTACCGCCCCCTTTCTAGGCGGTCCCGGACTTCTGGATATTGAAATCCCCGATATCAGGCTCGAGCGATATAGCATCATGTTTAGCGGCGTACTGAACCCCCAAGGAAACAGCAAATCATCCTTGCTCGAAAGGCGGCAGGCGACTCTCGAAAAATTGAAGACGATAAACGACAAGATAAGCGAGGAGAGCGAAGGGAATCACAAGACGCGGCCGCGGAGAGGCACTTCGCCAGCCTTTGCGCTCTTTCCTTCGACGCCAGGGCGCCAGTCTACGGCGGCCGGCACTCTAGCTCCCCCCAAACCTTCTCCCCTAATGCGGTCAAACACGTCGCCAGCCCTCCTCCCGTCACCGTCAAGAGCCGACTTCGATCCCGAGTCGAAGCCTTCGATGGAGCTCCCGACGCGCAGGGAGCGCAAGACGGTCACCATTGTCTCGCCTCGGACTATGGACGAACGCAACCGTGCGGCCCAGGTGGAGAAGCTCCGGGAACAGCAGGTCATGAGCCATCAGGCGCAGCGGGCACAGCAGGCGCAGCAGGCAGCGAGCACGTTCCATTTTGGGCCCGAAGAGTCGGGTCTGATTCTCGACTCGCCGCAGAGCGTGTCTTCAGGGGCGGCGGCTGACGAAGACGACGAGCCGGCAGCCGCGCGACAGGCGCTCGGCTTCAGACCCGCCGCCGCGTCCGAGCCGCAGTGGCAAATGGTGTCGCCGCCCAACTCGACATCGAGCAAGGCCAGCAGCACCACCACGAAGCGGAGCATGTCGTCGTCGGCCTCGTCGACGGCCTCGTCCACGCAGACGCATCTCACGCGGCCCGCGTCGCCCGAGGTGGCCGTCGACCAGGGCGATGCCGCGCTCAAGGCCGCCGTCGAGATCAGCATCGCCCGCCAGATCAGCGTCTCGCGCCAGCAGCGGCAGCTCCTGCGCCCGCTCAAGACTACCATCGGCCGCGAGATGCCGCCGGCCATGGCGACGGGGGGAGGCGGACCGCCGCCCATCATGCTTGCACGCGCCGCCAGCAGCGCCGCCAGCAGCCCCAGCACCACCACCGCCACCGCCACCACCGCCGTCAAGGTGAGCCCCATCGTCATCACCAAGGGTATGATGCGCGGCCGCGTCATCGAGACCAAGCAGTCCATGCCCACCCTCGTCGTGCCGTCCGACGCCCCGCTGCACGTCCACCGCAAGAGCGAGCGCATCGTCCTCGAGGCCGCGTGAAAACAACACACCCGCGATATCAATCAATTCACTTATAGCTTCTTAGAACGCCTTTTACTTTTTTGTGTTTTTTATTCCCTTTCACAGCGGGCGCGTTTTGAATTCGCGCTAAGAGCAGAGATCCAACCCCCTTTTTTTTTCTGGGTCACCTTTCTTACCCTTCTTGCTAGAGCCTTCTTCTTTTCTTCTCTTCCTTTTTCGGTATTCTAGCGGGGAACCCATGATGTAAAAGACGCGGCAAAGCCTTGACGGTATAAAAAGTTTGCATGTGTGTGTGTGTGTGTGTGTGTGTGTGTGCGATATTGTGATATATATAAATTTTCTTTGTCAGCTTCGGTCTGGTTCTGGTTTTGGTTTTGGTCCTGGTTTGGGGTTTTGGTTTAGTTCTGCGACGTCAAAGATACCTCTTGTGCTTTTATTTTTTGTTATGAGATTTTGGGGTTTTGAGAGATACCATTCAGGTTCTCGGCTAGGGGGGGGTTTTTTTGAGACTCTTGATTGAATAAATACCTTTACCTATATTGAGAGTAGAGAGATATTCGCGTTCTTGTCTAACATTGCGCGTTCTGTGAGAAATGAACCACGTGTCATGCGTTAAGGCGGCTTGTTACCTTGTGTGGGAATGGTGAGAAAAGGGGTTGTAGTTTGCTATTGATCCTATTTTGTATTTGAAATTCGAATCTATCTAATTCAGATCTCGATTTTCTTCCTTCGGGTATACACTTCATCCCACACCAAAAAGACACCAGGGAGGCAATACAGGTCCTACAAGAAGTACTTGCCACCCCTTGACTATAGCTTGCAAGACACAGCGCCGTGCGCGCACTCGATTCAACCCTCGTAGTTGCCGGTTTTGGGATAGCCTATCTTAAACGGACTACATGTGCGCACTCATCCCGCTACCATAGTGCCGTGACGTTCATGGTCACCATCCTCTCTGTCCTCCGGTCGAGAATCTCGCGCTTGTGCCAGTCCCTGGCGAAGCGCCTCGACTCGCTCAAAGACTTGAACGACAGCAGGAAGCGCGTGTAGGCGTTCCCGACTATGGTGCCGTCGTCGGCCTGCTGCAATTGTCTTTGTGTAACGATAGCATCTGCTTCTTGGCCCACTGCTGCCGCCGCCCTTGCCGCCCTTGCGGCGGCGGCGGCCTCGACTTCGGCAGTGTACTCGTTCTGCACGCTGAACTTGGCCTCGTGCCGCGTGTGCTCGAGGGGCTGGATCGACGCCACGTCTGTCTCGCCCTCGGGCGGCATCAGCTCCCAGGCAAGATTGCGCGCCTCGCCGTCGGCGTCGATGGCCGCGCGTAGCACTTGGGTGGTCAGAGTGCCGCTTTCAACGTGCACGAGGACCCGCTTCTGGTCGCCGTGCTTGCTCTTCATGCGGAGGTGCTCTAGGAGAAGGGCGTGCTTGTCAGCGAGAGCTATCTCGCCCTTGTCCTTGTTGCCTTTGGAGAGGAGCATCTTCTGGAGGAACTGGGAAGCGTAGAGCTCGAGTTTAGGGGGGGCAGAATGCGGCAGTAGGGTGTATTGCGCGACTTTTGGCGGTCTATGTTCTGTACGTTGTTCTTCCGCAGCCATGTTGTGGCGCTGCAGCACATCTTTGCGGTAGTCGAGGGCCGCAGAGCTGTTGTGGAAGAAGACGTAATACTCGCCCATGGGTTCGTGTGTAAGGGGCGACCGAGTTTGAACAACTATGATGGGGTTAATTCTCTGAGAGGCCAAGGGGATAGGCAAAAGTACGATGGACGCACCTTTGTAAATGCTCAAGGCCCAGCCGTCAACATGCCTTCCCTGGGCGTCTAGGCGGTAGAAATCCGACTCGACCAGGGAGCGAGAGGCAGAGCTGAGGGCCAGGACGGATCGGCCGCCATATAGGACTTGGACTTGGACTTGCAAGTCATCTAAGGGGTTGATAGAGTTGGGTTTCGGAGGGACGTTTGCCTCGAGCCATTGCCTTAGAACTTTGTCGTCATAAGGAGAGAGACGCTTCTCGCCGTCGTAAGGAGAGAGACGGCGGTCCGACGGAGGCTCCCCCCAGGCCACTTTTTTTATTATTAATTCAGGCGGTGGTGGTGGCGGTGTTGGCGGCGGTGGTGGTCGACGTGAAATATCCGCTATTGGCCGTCTGAGGATAGACGATGGGTTTGGCCGTTTGAGGATAGAAGACGGGTCCCGAGGAAACTCCAAAGCGGGAAGGGCAAAAGGTGGGGCAGATTTACTAGGAGAAGGAGAGGGTGGTGATGGTGATGGTGATGGTGGTGGGGTTTCGGCATTCGCAAAGGCCGGTGGGGATTTGGGCTCTGAGGTTGAAGTTGAGGTTGAAGTTGAGGCTGAGTTTGAGGTTGAGGTTGAGGTTGGCGAGGTTGGGGATGAATTGGCTGCGTCGTCCTGATTCCAAAGGCGCTGCTGCACTTTCGCTTTTGCTTTCAATTGGGCTCGGGCTCGCCACTCCCGAGCCAGCGACTCCAGCAGTTGTGGACGCCGTGCATGCATCTCGGCGGCCGGCCGATAATGTCGACCTGCAAGCGATGCGATGAAGACGATCGATGGAGTTTCGTGAGCGAGTGTGACGAGAGCGAGGGTGTGAGGATACAGATGATACAGATAGCTTACCGCCAAGTATCATGCCAAGGAATTACAATACATACTTCGTACAGTGTATGCAAAACCCACAACTATTACGGTAAGTTACATATTCACTAACTGATGTTTTGCAGGACCCCTCAGCCCATCTCGGCCTGCACTCATAACTGACCGTGAGTCAAGGTCCGTAACGGATACGGAACCTACGATACATGCCATCGCCAGCCGAGGAGACAGACGTTGGTGTCGTGTACTTACCTACACAACATACCCATCCCAGGCCTCTTTCGGTCTGCGGAACACCCAACCCAACCCAACAACCCTTGAATGATACATTCAAGTTTTCTACATACAGTAACTGCCCGATTTGGGTATTGTAGATAGTTGGCCGCAAATCAGAGCGACACAAGCCAACAAACATCTTCGCGCCAACTCGAGCTGTGCCAATCGTCGACAATTATCCACCTACCTAGGTACTTAATCAGAGATGGCCCAAATCTCGCCGGCAAGCCCGGCCGAATGGCGTGCCCAGGTCGAGGCAATGAAGGCGGCTGTCGCTGCCCTTCAAAAGCCGAACGTCCAAACCCAGAGCAATGGCGGCGACGATGACAACGACGAGGGTGACTGGGACGACGATGACATTGATCACGCCTACGAACCCAGACGCAGCCCTCGCGACGTCTGGCACTTCATCTCGGACGACGATCTCGACGAGATTGCCTTTGACGCCCAAGAATTTGCTCAGGGCTCAGGCAATCGCCCCCCCCTCGACGACAGCAATGCCCACGGCCTTCGCTGGCTGGCCACTCGCTGCGCCGACGTCTCTGCTCGCCGCTCCGGCCTTGACCCTGACACTCTCCAGGCCCAGGTCCTCGAGGTCTTGAGTGGCAGCCGGCCCGAAGACGACATCCAGTCGTCCCTTACCGACCTAGTCGGCTTTGACGATCTGGACTTTGTCATCGACCTGCTCTCCCACAGGACCGAAATCGTCGCCGCCGTGACGGCTGCCCAAGCTTCTTCCCTCAAAACCGGCCACGCCGGCGACACTGGCTCAGGTCTCCACCTGCTGACGAGGGCCCAGAGAGAAGACGCCCTGCGCCGGAGAGATGCCGAGCACAAGTCTGCTCCCCTGGCCGCCGCCAGTGCCAAGGAGGAAGACTATCCCCATGTCTACCGCACCTTTGCTGCCGGCAACACCCTGAGCCACGCCGGGAAGGGGTATTCCCTCCCTATCGGTAGTCAGAGGCAAGAGTTTGAGAAGTACGAAGAGTACTCTGTGCCCGCCGGCCGCATCGGTACTCTCGGAGCCGGCCGGAAGCTCGTGCCCATCGCCGACATGGACGGCCTGTGCAGGAACACCTTCAGGGGCTACAAGGCCCTGAATCGCATGCAGAGTCTCGTGTACCCCGTAGCCTACAAGACCAGCGAGAACATGCTCATCTGCGCCCCCACCGGTGCCGGCAAGACCGACGCAGCCATGCTCGCCATCCTGCACACCGTCGGCCAGTACCTGACCCCCAATCCGTTTGAGGACCACCAGGCCACCGACTTCGCCGTGAGGTCCGACGAGTTCAAGATCGTTTATGTCGCCCCAATGAAAGCCCTTGCCGCCGAGATCACGGAAAAGATTGGCAAGCGGCTCGCCTGGCTGGGCGTTCGCTGTCGCGAGTTCACCGGCGACATGCATCTGACCAAGTCCGAGATTGTCCAGACCCAGATCATTGTGACCACGCCCGAGAAGTGGGACGTCGTGACGCGAAAGGGCACCGGCGACACGGAGCTCGTGCAGAAGGTTAGGCTGCTCATCATCGACGAGGTGCACATGCTCCACGATGAAAGAGGCGCCGTCCTCGAGTCTCTGGTGGCAAGGACCCAGAGACAGGTCGAGAGCACCCAGTCGCTGATCCGCATCGTCGGCCTCAGCGCCACTCTGCCCAACTACATCGACGTGGCCGACTTCCTGGGCGTCAACAGAAGGGCCGGCCTCTTTTACTTCGATGCCTCCTTCCGGCCCGTGCCGCTTGAGCAGCACTTTATCGGAGTGAAGGGCAAGCCGAACTCCAAGCAGTCTAGGGACAACATGGACGGAGTGGCCTTTGAAAAGGTCCGCGAGATGCTCGAGCTTGACCACCAGGTCATGGTCTTTGTGCACTCGCGGAGAGACACGCAGGCCACTGCAAAGATGCTTTACGAGAAGGCCGTCGACCAGGCCTGCGTCGGCCTTTTTGACCCGAGCGGCCACGAAAAGTACGAGGCCTCCATGAGGGACGTCAAGTCCACCAAGGCGCGCGAGATCCGTGACCTCGTCCCCAAGGGCATGGGCATACACCATGCCGGCATGGCGCGCTCAGACCGAAACCTGATAGAGCACCTGTTTGGAGAGGGCGTGCTCAAGGTGCTGTGCTGTACGGCCACTCTCGCTTGGGGCGTCAACTTGCCCGCAGCCGCCGTGGTGATCAAGGGCACGCAGGTCTACAGCGCCCAGGAAGGCAAGTTTGTCGACCTGGGAATCCTCGACGTGCTGCAGATCTTTGGACGTGCTGGCCGTCCCCAGTTTGAAGACGTTGGCATCGGCATGATCTGCACCACCCAAGACAAGCTGGCCCACTACCTCACGGCCGTGACGGACCAGCTTCCCATCGAATCCAGGTTCTCCGCTAAGCTCGTCGACAACCTCAACGCCGAGATTGCTCTGGGCACCGTCACCTCGATATCCGAGGCCGTAAAGTGGATTAGCTACTCGTATCTCTTCGTGCGCATGAAGAAGAATCCCATGGCCTATGGCATTGACTGGACCGAGATTGGAAGCGACCGCGCGCTGGTCATGAGACGGCGCAAGCTGGCCATCGACGCCGCCAAGAAGCTGGTGGAGAGCCAGATGATCATCTTCAACGCCAACACCGAGGAGCTGCGGAGCAAAGACATAGGCCGCATCGCCAGCCAGTACTACATCCAGCACACGAGTATCCAGATCTTCAACACCATGATGTCTCCCCTGTCTACCGAGAAGGACATTTTGAAGATGATAGCCATGAGCGGCGAGTTCGATAACATCCAGTCGAGGAACAGCGAGACCAACGAGCTGCTAGCCATGAAGAAGAACGAGAACTTTGTCCCCTACGAGATCAGTAGCGGAATCGACACCCCGCAGACCAAGACCAACATCCTTCTTCAGGCCTACATCTCGAGGGCCCAGCCCGAGGACTTTGCGCTCGGGAACGACTTGAACTACGTTGCTCAGCAGGCCGGGCGCATCTGCAGAGCCCTGTTCATGATCTCCCTCACGCGGCGCTGGGGTTTCCAGTGCCTCGTCTTGCTGACCATGGCCAAGTCGATCGAGAGGCGTATCTGGGCATTCCAGCACCCCTTCCACCAGTTCGACCTGCCAAAGCCCGTGCTCAACAACCTTGATGCCAAGGAATCGTTGACGGTCGAGTCGATGAGGGACATGGAGCCCGCAGAGATCGGCGCCTTGGTCAACAACCACCGTATGGGCACAAAGATCTCCCGGCTGCTCCGAAACTTCCCAACTCTCAGTATCGAGGCCGAGATCGCGCCTCTGAATCGCGACGTCCTGAGAGTCAAGCTCTTCATCACGCCCGACTTCAGCTGGAACGACCAGATGCACGGGAATTCCGAGTCGTACTACATCTGGGTCGAGAACTCGGCGACGTCCGAGATCTACCACCATGAGTTCTTCCTCCTCAGCAGGAGAAAGCTTCACGACGACCACGAACTCAACTTCACCATCCCGCTATCCGACCCGCTTCCGGACCAGATCTACGTGAGAGCCGTCTCGGACCGCTGGCTGGGCGCCGAGACCGTCACCGCCGTGTCCTTCCAGCACCTCATCCGGCCAGACACGGAGAGCGTCTACACGGATCTCCTGAATCTACAGCCGCTGCCTATATCGGCGCTCAAGAATTCCGCTCTCGAAGACATGTACGCACAGCGCTTCCAGTTTTTCAACCCCATGCAGACCCAGGTCTTCCACACGCTCTACCACACGCCGGCCAACGTCCTTCTGGGCTCTCCGACCGGGAGTGGCAAGACTGTCACCGCCGAACTGGCCATGTGGTGGGCCTTTCGCGAGCGCCCCGGCTCCAAAGTAGTGTACATTGCCCCGATGAAGGCGCTGGTCCGCGAGCGTGTCAAGGACTGGGGAGCGCGTCTAGCCAGACCGCTGGGCTTGCGGCTCGTCGAGTTGACGGGCGACAACACGCCCGACACACGCACCATCCAGGACGCCGACATCATTGTCACTACTCCCGAGAAGTGGGACGGTATATCGCGTAGTTGGCAGACGAGAAGCTATGTCCGGAAGGTCAGTCTCGTCATCATCGACGAGATCCATCTTCTTGCCGGCGACCGAGGTCCCATTCTCGAGATTATCGTGTCGCGCATGAACTACATCGCGTCGTCGACCGACAACGCAGTCCGCCTCCTGGGCATGTCGACGGCTTGCGCCAACGCGAGCGACCTCGGAAACTGGCTCGGCGTCAAGGAAGGCATGTTCAACTTCCGCCACTCGGTGCGGCCGGTGCCGCTAGAGCTCTTCATTGATGGCTTCCCAGAAATTAGAGGCTTTTGTCCGTTGATGCAGTCCATGAACCGGCCCACTTTCTTGGCCATCCTGAACCACAGTCCCGAGAAGCCCGTCATTGTCTTCGTGCCGTCCCGTCGGCAGACGCGCCTCACGGCCAAGGACCTCATCAACCTCTGCGGTATGGAGGACAACCCAAGGCGCTTCCTCAGCATGGACGAGGATGACCTTCAGCTTAATCTCTCGCGGGTCAAGGACGAGGCGCTGAAAGAAGCCATCAGCTTTGGCATTGGCCTCCACCACGCTGGTCTGGTCGAGTCGGACCGGCAGCTGGCGGAGGAGCTATTCCTGAACAACAAAATTCAGATCCTCGTGGCTACGAGCACGCTCGCCTGGGGCGTGAACCTGCCGGCACACCTGGTCGTGGTCAAGGGCACGCAGTACTACGACGCAAAGATCGAGGCGTACAAGGACATGGACCTGACAGATGTGCTGCAGATGTTGGGAAGAGCCGGGCGGCCGCAGTTTGACGATTCCGGCGTTGCCCGCATTCTCACACAAGACTCCAAGAAAGACTTTTACAAGCATTTCCTGCACACGGGCTTCCCCGTCGAGTCCTCGCTCCACACCGTCCTCGATAACCATCTGGGCGCCGAGATATGTGCCGAGACCGTCTTGACAAAGCAGGATGCGCTCGACTACCTTACGTGGACTTTCTTCTTCCGACGTCTACACAAGAACCCGTCGTATTATGGCCTTGAGATCTCTGCTGAAGAACACAGCGGCACAGCCGCCCAGCAACTTGCCAACGATTACATGATAGAGATGGTGGAGACGTCTCTGGGCGAGCTCGCAGAGTCCAAGTGCGTTGAGGTGTTTCCCAACGGCGACGTGAACCCGACGCCGATGGGCAAGATCATGAGTTACTACTACCTCTCGCACAAGACGATCCGCCAGCTGGTCAAGCACGCCAAAGCGCAAGCGTCCTTCCCTGACGTTCTGTCGTGGATGTGCAGAGCCACCGAGTACGACGAGCTTCCGGTGCGGCACAACGAAGACCTGATCAACGCAGAGCTGTCGCGGAACCTGGCGTTTCCAGGCAGCTCGTTTGGGCTCCCGATGTGGGATCCGCATGTCAAGGCGTTTTTGCTTCTGCAGGCGCACATGTCGCGCATCGACCTCCCCATCACCGACTACGTGGGCGACCAGACCAGTGTTCTAGACCAGGCCATCCGTATCATCCAGGCCTCGATTGACGTGCTAACAGAGATGGGCCACCTGTCGAGCACGCTCGAGTTCATCAAGCTACTCCAGAGCATCAAGAGCGCACGCTGGCCCACAGAGCCACCCCTCTCCATCCTCCCGGGTGTCTCGGTCGACCAGGGCGGGCCGGGGGCAAAGAAGAAGCATGTGACATTACAGGAGCTGAGCAAGCTCAGGCCCGCACAGCTCCAGAAGCTGGCGCGCGACGACCTCTTGCTCTCGTCGGCTGGGCAGGTGGCGCGCTTCCTCAAAGCGGCCGCGGCGATTCCTAACCTGCAGGTCTCGACGGCCAACATCACAACTACGTCGCTGACGGTGCTCCTGAGACGTCTCAACCCCATCACGGAGCGGGAAGCGCGCGTCTACGCGCCGCTGTTCCCCAAGCCGCAGACTGAGGGCTGGTTCGTCGTAGTCGCCGACATGGCAGCCGACGACGTGGTCGCCATCAAGCGCGTCGGCTGGAGCAGCCCCGCCCAGGGGCAAGGGCAAGGGCAAGGGCAAGGGCAAGGAGCCAAGGGCGTCGAGATAGGCGCCCGACCGTCCGCCCGCGCCGTCATCAAGCTGCCCGAGGCGCAGCGCGCGCGCAAGTTGGACGTGTTAGTCATTAGCGATGCCTACGTTGGCTTCGAGTATCGCTTGCTCGGCGTCGACATTCCGGGCCCGCCTGAGGTGGGCGGCGATGATGCGAAGAAGAATCCGAGCTTGGGAGGGGGTAGCGGTGAGGGCGGATCTACGGTTGCTGTAAAGGGGGTATGATTTTCTTTTTTTTTTTGTTGGCAGGACCGGTTGCACCGCTTAGAATTTGGAGGTTAAAAAGTGCATGCATGGTTCCTATGGTGTTTAAGATAGCGGGTTCTAAAATGGTGCATGGGAATGTTTACTGGGTACACATCATAAGGAAATGGTTGAAAATGACTGCCTGACTTTTCCATGTCGCAAGGTTCTCTTGGATTAGGTATTACTCCTTGGTAATGTGCCATACTATCAGCACCTGGGACCACTAGCCAAGGTATCCGTAATATGGCGTGATTTTCCCTGGCATCATGAAATCCATGCCACATTATCGAGGAAGGTACGGTCTACAGGTTAGACAAGACTCGAAAGGACTGTCTAACGACTAACTGGTGCCGTTCTCCATCAGCTGGGCTGTCGGCCGTTCAGCCTTGAAAATGACACTAGTTGCCTGCCTCCCAGGTTACTTATCAGAAGTGGAGGGCAGACCGCCATATGTCCCACCATGTACCGGCCTCCGGCGGGCGATGATGCCGTCTGTGTGTATCTCCTGTCATTGTGGGCAACAACGCATGCGATTAGCGGCCAGGATGACATGATGGAGCGTTTCCCCTAATTACAGCATTACCGTCTATCTGATGGTTCGTTTTTCATATCTTCCTGTGTCTCCAGAAACAAATCACTGTTGTGCTGGAAGCTAGATTAAGAAAAGACATGTTTCTATACAAGCTCCATCCTCTCTTAAGCTCAGGTAATGCTGTCAGTTGCCCTTGGCTGATGACCTACCCCCCAAATGCCATGACGTCAAAGCCTACCGAAAATAGCCACAGGCCTCTCGCACGTGTTTCATCAGTGAGCGAACCCTTTTGGGGGCCCCCTGTCATCCATCCCAAGGAGAAAAAAAAGTCCCCTCCTGCATGCACGTTTCCGTTTCGCTACGCTGCCGCCGTACAGTTACTGCACTTTGGGCGGAGAGGCTGCTGTGCAGCAAGCAGCAGACCAACACTGCCGCACGCGCAACACAAACAAAAAAAATTAAAGAAGCGCAATTAATTGCCTGCCGGCCCGCGCGTTTGTTTGCCCTCTGCCCGCTGCCGCCTTTCGACTCAGCCCCTCAATTAGCCCCCACACCTACCCTAACCTACCTACCTACTCGCTGACTCGGAAGAGGGGCCCTCCTTTTCGGACGACGACATCGATAACGACAACGACAACGACCTTAAAGACGACGGCGACGACACCGACGATAGCATCTCTGGGAAACAGCACCACAAAACAGCAGCCGTTTTCGCATATTCCCTACGTTTTTTTTTAATCCGGTAGCAGGGCGAAACGGCCAGGTCAAGACCTGTAAATTTATATTTATATTTTGTTCGACAAGGAGGAGCACGTCGTTTTGGAGGGTTCCGGGCCAAAACACCACACCGCGTGTGTGCGTGTGTGTGTGTGTGTGTGCTGTATACAGCCCGGGCTGCGCGCCTCGCCTCGCCTCGGCACTATACCGTGGCCATAATATCATATAGCGGTTAATACTCCCCGTCTGACACTCGCTTTGAATCGAGCCGAATACCAGAGAGAGAGAAAGAGAGAGCCAGCACAAACGCCATGTCGTCGCTCGAAGCCAAAATCGTCGTGCTCGGGTCGCAGGGCGTCGGCAAGACGTCGCTGGTGATGCGGTACTGCAAAGGCGCTTTCAACCCGTCGCAGATCACGTCGACGGTCGGCGCGAGCTTCATGACTAAACGGGTCGTCGACTCGGACACGGACACGGTGGTGCGCCTGCAGATCTGGGACACGGGTACGTACATACATACCTAACGTTGCATGGCCCACTCATTGACCGGCCTTTTCCTTTTCCCTCTTGTATGTATACTTTGGTTTGATTAACAGCGGGGGGGGGGAAAGCCGGGCAAGAACGCTTCCGCTCCATCTCGCGCCTCTACTACCGCGGCGCCAACGCCTGCATCCTCTGCTACAGCATCACGGACGCGCAGTCGTTCGCCGAGATGGGCATGTGGCTGACGGAGCTGCGGCGCAACCTGCCGGCCGACATCGTGCTGCACGTGGTGGGCACCAAGGCCGACATGGTGGCGCGCGACCCGTCTAAGCGCGAGGTGCCGTTCGAGCGCTGCATCGCCTATGTGGCCGAGAACCTGGCGCCCGGCATGGGGTCGACGCCGCCACCCACGGCCACCCCGCTCTACGTCGCCGGCACCAACTCGGGCAGTGGCATGTTCAGCAGCGCCGCCACTTCGTCCGCCACCACAATACCCGCGTCGTCAAATGCAGCCGCCGCCGCCGCCGCCGCCAGCGCCGGAACATTACAAGGAGGAGGCGGCGGCGGCGGCGGCGGTGAACCCCGCTCGCCCAGCAGCAAGCGCAGCTCGGGCTTCTGGGGCCAAGAGGCCGGGTGGGACGCGTGCCACGAGATCTCGGCCGAGAGCGGCGAGGGCGTCGAGGAGGTGTTCCGCGTGGTGACGCGCAAGCTGGTCGAGCAGAACCGCAAGATGCAGCAGGCCCTGCTCCTAGCGGCCGGCACCCCCGGCGCCGGCGGCGAGACTCCATGGAGCTACTACGGCAGCAGCGGCATGCCCGCGAGCGGCTTCCTGTCCGCGAGCGCCGGGCCCGATGGCGCTGGCGGGCCTGGCGGTGGGGGAGGCGGCCCGGCCGCGGGATACTTTGACGCCGCCAATGCCCGCGGCAGCTTCCGCGTCGGCAGGGACCGCCGCAGCTGGCTGCTGTTCTCGCCTGCGCTGACATCGACGGACGAGGGCGCTGCTGCTGCTGCTGCTGCTGCTGCTGACGGGAGGAATCAAGAAGGCCTCGACGGGCGAGGGCTTGTTAGGGGGAGGAGGAAATGCTGCTGACATTTTTTGTAGGGGGGTAAGGGTGTTGTTTGTGTTATGTGTCTGGATACATGGACTGAAAGCTGAGGACTAGAGACGGATGCGTGGCTTGGACAAAAGATAGATTGATGGATTAATGGACTGATGGATGGATGCGTGGGAGGGCTGGTTTGGACTGGTTTGGTTTGGCTTTGTTTGGGTGGTGCATCACTTTACGATACCCCGTGGCCGGCTTTGGCTACCGAAGCATGATCGTTTTTTTTAATTCTTCTCTTGTGTGTTGTGTTTTGTGTGTAGTTGTTTTGTGGGGTGGCTGGTCTGGTTTGCGTTGTGTTGCATGATATGTTCTTCTATCTCTCTCTCTCTCTCTCTCTCTCTCTCTCTCTCTCTCTCGTTCGTTGGGGTTCTTATCACTTCCGATGAATGCGTAGGCGCATCTGGCTTTCATCTCTTTTCTTCTTTTTTTCTTCTGGTTTTTTTTTCACTGCTTGAAGCTAGTGTTCGCTTGTCTGTCCGTCTGTCTGTCCGTCTGTCTGTCCGTCTGTCTGTCTGTCTGTCCGTCTGTCCATCTGTCTGTCTGTTCTCATTATTGTTCTTCCCAACCGAGGCATGGCATGGCATGCCGGCAGGCCCGGTTTTCGGTGGGAGGGCAGGTTGGTGAGCGGCATATGTTATTTTCTTTTATAATAAGACATTGCTAAAGAGGTGGGCTGAGGGCCTTTTTGGAATTCCCTGTCATAAAGGGAAGGATGCATTCAGATATATCCAGGAACCTACCTACCGACTAGTAGCATTTTGGTTTGGTTTCTCACATCTTACTTTCTCGCCCTCTCTCTCTCTGCGAGTCTCTCTTGTGTGTGTGTGTGTGTGTGTATTCGTGTGCTTGTCTCCATTTTTGCTCTCCCTTTCGCGTCTGTGGTCTGTCTGTCTCTGCGAATGGCTGGATATCTGGATAGCCGGTTGGGGTGTAAGTCGTTCTCTACACCTACGTTGAAGGGGTCGATGAGAGCTCTGTGTGTGATTTTGCCAGAGACACGGAACGAGGAGGTATAAGGGCGGTAGGGTGCCCTCATCGACTATGTGAAATGGTGAATATTTCCTTTTGTCCAAAGAATGGATATAATTTTTTTTTAAAAAAGAAAAAAAATTCCTTTTTCCCATGTGAGCGAGGGTTGCATGTAGTGACTGGTAAGGCACCAATGCTAATTACCACGCTCTTAATGACGGCTGCGGCTGCGGCCCGACGTAATGTGACGGGACTGCATTGTCACAAGCTCAACCGCTTGATTCCCATTTACAACAAGAGGAAATTGGGGAATGCTACTAGCTAATCTCACCTATCCCGTTACTGGTCTAGTTAAGGAAGGATAAGTAGAGCTAGTCTGCTGCATAGATTCTTTCCAAGAATATAAAACTTTAACGTCTATTGTCTGCCAGTGCTGCCGCTCTTCAACAAAGTTACCTCTCCCTATGTCCATCAAACAATTGAAAAGCCCGATTAGCTCAGTTTGGTTGGCAGCGTCGTACTAATACCGTCAGAAGGCAGTATCTGGTTACGCGAAGGTCAACAGTTCAATTCTGGTACTGGGCAAAGACTTCAATTTATGCTGGTGCGGTGGAGTTGCAAACAAGCATGCCCCCTTTTTTTGTGCTGGCCGAGTGACAAAGCGTGGATGCCCTGGAGCGGCGACGATAGTGACTGATAAACTCGCGGAGATTTCGTTTTGCCTTGATGGAAACGATTAAAGTGAGACGTGAGCTAAATTCAATCGCGCGACACGCCGATCAGCAGACGCGGGACAAGGTCAAATGGCAAAAGCGTATTGAAAAGAAATACAAAGAAATACTAAATCAGTAGTAATAACTGAAGAGAAAGAAAAAAAATAAAGCTGCCCAGTAACAGGATTGAACTGTTGACCTTCGCATAACCAGATACTGCCTTCCGACGGTATTAGTACGACGCTGCTAACCAAACTGAGCTAACCGGGCCTTTTGCTTTGTTGTATTCACAATCTTAAAAGAGCACAAATATTGGCAACCTGCCTAAAGTGGGGCTAGCTCTTCCTCTTATGACTCAATTCCTCCCTGCTTGCATTCTGCAAACCCTCTCTACTAATGGAAAGACAGAAAATGGATATAAGAGAGACTTCCTTCTTTTAAATAACCTAGGAATGCTAGTGGTTTTTCCCCCTAATTCCACCTTGGCGATTACGAGGCGAGCGGCGCGGCAATAACTAATACGACGAAAAAGGGGCTGGCTGGTTTGGTTGCAGTGTAAGCTGTGCAGTGCCCCTTTTTGTCATCAACAAGGAGCCCGAGGACAACAAAGGGTTAGCGACACGTTGTGTTTACTCCTTTCTACTACTGAGTTCCCGATTTGAACCTGCTAAGCTTCAGCCGCCTGGTGGACATCATATCACTGTTATCATCAGACCACCAGTCTATACAACTTCACATACCTACACACACACCCGTTGTGAAAAAGCCATTTCACGTACAGATATTGATGAGTGGATTGTATAATATAGAACATTGGTATATAAGATAAGGCGACAAAATCCCTGGCCCAAGCCCCTGAAGATGCAACGTGAAGCAAGCCCAATCCTCAGCCACTTGGCGTGGCAACCAACTCTAATATGATAACTGAGTATCCATGTTGAAAAACAATGCATGGCCTGCTCTCTCGGCCTCTACCCAACAGACAATAATTTTATACCCGGCCTCTCTCTCTGTAAGTTTCCCTTCGTCATGTGAAGTCATTATGTTGAAACCTGCAACGATCATTCTAGTCGTCCCGGCCCTCCCTTCCCTGCAGAAATTAAGACATGGAGGCGGCACGTGAAAACGCCGTGTCAGTAAGCATGGGGGAAAAAAGAAAAAAGAAGGAAAATATTAGTTTCCAACACCTTCGCATTGCTGCATATCAGCCATCAATTCGCCAAAGTCAAAGTCAAAGTTCAAATCCTGGAGAATATCATCCAGTTGCGCAGGATCCGGTATCATGGCCGCGGCTTCCGCCCCGAGTCCTGGCTCTCCTCCTCTTCCGCCGTCGAGCATCGGGACGGCCTGGGTGCTCTTTCCGCTAACGTTGTTGCCAGTGGTGGCGGCCATATCTGCCATCTGGCTGCCGGGTTTCATGAACATGAACGAATAGGGTGGCGCGTTTAGACTAATGGGCCCTTCCGTCTTGGTGCCTGAAGGCCTATCCGGTAAGCCAGGTGGCGATGGGTCAGTGAGGATGCCGACTTGGCGCTTGAAGCGCTGTAGCCACTCGGGGTCGTCGGCTTCTGTTTGATTCCACGGGTCGTCGCTGAGGCAGCGTGAGCATTCATCCGAGAGAATATTGGGAGAAAGAAGACTCACTCGTCATACAGAATCCACCGCGCCTGATACTGCAACTCATCGTCACTTGGAATGTGGGAGTTGGGGTTGTTGGGCGACATGACAGAGGCGACATAGCGGGTCAGCTCCCGTGCCAGAAACCGGTAGCAGTTGGAGTCGTTGAAGGAAAAGGACTGTTTCATGCGCCTTCCGACCACTGCGTTGGTTTTTCCTGTACCGCTTGCGCTGCCATCGCCACTTCCGCTGGGACTGCCACGCCGGAACCCGCCTGCAGCGGTGAGATCGGGCGTGCTAGAGCCTGTCGGCTTGGTTGTAAATGGGGCAGATGAGGTTAAGGAAGTCAGGCTGCTAGGCAACAACGGTTTGGTGGTCACCGGGTCGTTGCTTGGCACGGCTACAGCGCTCGACTCAGACGGGACCTGGCGCTGCTTGAACGCCGCCAGCCAGGCTGCATTATCAGCGGCGGTCTGATTCCATTCGTCATCAAATTCGTATATGATGATACGCGCCCGTTTCTGAAGGTCATCGTCGCTCGGCTCATGGCCCAGAGATCGCTGGTTGCGTACATACTCGGCCAGCTCCGAGTCGAGGCGGCTGTAGTTATGAATTGTCGAATCGACCGTGTTGGGGTCCTTGGACCGCTTCGCCTCGTCCTGGACGTCTTCGGACCGAGGTAGCACCGCGCGTTGCCGGAATCCGACCAGCCATTGCGTCGAGCTGTAGATTAGACGTAGCAGGAAATTGGCTACCTCGTCCGATGGATGGCTGGATGACTCCTCCATGCGGCCAATGATAGTGCACGCCTCTACCTGCAGCTCGTCGTCCATGGCGGTTAAGCCCAATAAACCGCGAGCTTTAACGAATTCGTGAAGCTGCAGCTCCATCGGATCGTCGTCGAAAATGGTATCCTTGCCGTTGATCTTGAGCTGGGCCTGACGGCTATCGGCGTGAGACCGGATGGGAGCAAGTTGGGCCTGCAGGGTCAATTGGTCGGACGACAGAAGCAAGTCGCGTAACCAGCTCGGCCTCGATGAGATGGCCTGCCTTGAGATCACCTCCGCCCCGAATATAATTCGGCAAGCCTCGAGCTGAAGCTCTTCATCTGTAGGCATCGTCCCCGCCTCGTCGTGTCGGTTGCCAATGTAGAACAGCAGCTCGCTCTTGATCAGCTCGTACGCATTTCGAGCCGACTCTGGAGACCCTTGAGTGGCTTCGTAGGGGTACGGAGTGTTCCTTTCGTCGTGAATGAGCCCTAGCAACATATATAAGTAAGCATCTGCACTTATCACTAGGGGGGGCGAGGAAAAGAGGGCATCGTGACTTACAGGGTGGGATTGAATTCTCGACCATGTCGAGCACAGGGGTTTCGAAACCCCAGTCGCCCTTCCAGTCGGCCATGGAGTAGCCGGTCTTGAAGTGCTCTGCGAGGTGGTCGACACGGATCGTCCACGTGTCCATGACAATGCCGCAAAAGCCACAGCGGGAGCGAATCTCGGGCGTGGACACGCGCCATTGCTCCATGGACCAGTTGACAAACTTGGCCCGGTGGACGAGCTTGAGGTGCTGCCTCAGGTGGTCCTTGCGGTAAAAAGTGCGCTCTGGCAGAGTGCGCTCTTGGCAGGCTGAATGGTTGTGGCTCTCTACGTGAGCGTCGTCCGGGTTGGCCTCGCCGCAAAACACGCACGAGATTTGCCCGTTCTCGGGGTTGAAGGCGCGGGGACCCTCGGGCGTACACACCCACCGCTCAAGCGACAGATGCAGCGATTTCTCGTGCCTCTGCCAATCATGCTTGGTCCTAAACGTTTCCGTGCAAAATGTACATTGGAAGGTCTTGGGCGGCGCGATCAGCGGTCCACTGTGTTGCTCGGGCCCCTTGGCTCCCTTTCTTCTCCTCCGCCGGCGGCCGCGATTCATGGACCCGAGCGAGCCAAACGAGCCGCGCGACATGTGCGAATAAGCCGAGGCGAAGGAGCCGCCGCTCGAATGTGATGTGTTGGCGCTGCTAGCGGAAGATACTGCACAGAGCGACCGGCCCGAGCCGTCGTCGGTAAAGTTGAGGCTGTATGGGCTGTTGAGACCCGACGAGAGCGTCGAGGTCGAGGCAGTGACGGCACGTGCGATAGCTGTCACCGAGGCTGGTTCGTTCTCAGGGGGGGAGTTCTGCCAACGTTGCAGTGGATTCATGTGCTCAAACGACGCAGGTGTGCCCCGTCGTTGAGGGATGTCAATGGCGTTTGTCCAGCTCCGCACGCCGGGTGACGTCGAGCGGGGCGGGGCCATCTTGCGTCTGCGGCGCGAGTTGGCAAGCCAGTTCGTTATCTGGGTCTTGTTGAGGCCCGTCTGCTTCTGGAGCATGTCCTTCTCGTCCTCGGTGGGATATGGGTGTCTGCTATGGGTTGACAGCCAGTTTTTCAGGATCTTGACAGACTCGCGGGAGAAGCGAGCCCCAATCTTAGGCCCGGCGGCCGGGGTCGGGCCGGTGGCGGTGGCAGCGGATGCGAGGTTGGCCAGATCGGATTCCGAGGCGCTGGTGTGCAGCTGCTTCAGGCTGTTGTCAACCAAGACATCCTCCTGGGCGATGGCATCGGGATGGTCACCCATGAGCGGCCAGGGGTTGGATGGGAACATGCCGCTGCTGCCGAAGCTGCAGTAGCAGCGAAGGGCGATACAGCTCGTGCAATAGCCCTTGTACTTTCCCTCGCGCATACGCTTGCACTGGTAGCCGCCGGCCTGGCAGGAAGTACAGGGGGCATCGGGGGTTTCTACTGAATCAAAGGCCTGGGGCGAGTCTCCAGGCTGCTCGAGCGTGAGGCTGTCCGAGGGGTCCATAGCCATGGCGGCGAGCGGGTTGCTGTTCTCAAAGTGCTGCAGGGCCCAGAAGGAGAAATCGTCCCCGACGGCGTTCTCGAGGGCCAGGTCGAGGTCGTGCAGAGGGTCGCCCGCGGCGTCCAGGGATAGGGATGGGGACATTAAGTCAAGGTCCATCATGCCGGACGCCGCCGGGTCGGCGTTGTCCCAGTTGACAAATTCGTCCATCTCGGGTATGACTGGCATACCACAACAATGCTGTGAGGCGGTGGCAGCAACGGAAGGGGCCGAAAGGCGTCAAGTACAGGACCTAGATTTTGCTTTCCCCGTTTTTGATTCGACGACAGGTACGGCTGAGACGTTGGGATGGATGTCAAATCCGAAGGGCGTGTGTGAGTGGACTAGTAATCCGCCTCCTAGTGGATGTTGGCGAGAGGTAAAAGTTCGGAGCCAATGCTACGTAGACGAACGAGTTGTGTATAGAAGGGCCCCACGACTCTGCGAGCACCTCGAGCGGAGAGCAAGAGGTTGAGTTGATTCAACAAGGAGTTGACGACATTGCCACGTGCTGAAATTGGTGGCCGCTGAGATCACCTTTCAGCTGGTTGGTGCGTGCGTGTCTTGCCAAGATGGACGGGGGCGTGAATAGCTTCAAGCAAGACCAACAAACAACATTGGGGGATGATAGACAACCAGAAGTGGGGAAACTAAAATAAAAGGGTAATTGTATTTCGTCTAGCAAGAAATGTTATGTTGTCTCTCTCCAAGACCGAACACCCGTCTGAATCCGGTCTTTTTAATAAAAGAGGAGAAGGAGAAACATGGAAGATGACACTTCGACTGGCTTCAGTTCGCTTCTCAGGGAGATCGGGAAAGGAGTCATATCTTTTTGGCGCACCCAAAAATTGCTGCACAGGATCCATTTCTCGAAGCGTGCACAGAAGGGGGAAAAAAATGTGGTTACGCCTTTCGATTGACATTTGTGGATCAGGCAGACAGGCATCCCCAGCGGTCCTGCCATCCCCAATCCCCCATGCAGCGAACTCGCACTCCCAACCCCTGTCACCGCCCACCTTACCCCGCTACTTCGGCTGCAAGTCAGCGCCTCGTTCGATATCGAATGGGGTTCATGAAGAAGGAAGGAGCCTTTCGTCACGCTCCACTGCTACTACGGATTCCGATTTAGTTAGTACGTATCGGTATGAGAGCAATCAAGGAATTGATGCGAGCGTCTGTCTGGGCCCAGCCCAGGTGCCGTGGTAACACAAGGCACGGTCTCTTTTCTTTCTGGCCCTTCAAGTCTGCTCATGATCACCCCTCCTCGAAATGTACGCGTGCGGCCTTACCGCCATTAGGAGACTCCGCTTGGATGAATCGCATGGATGTGTTTCTTGCCAGATTCTGTTTCTTAGCCCCGAAGAAGATATATCCTCCCCCCCCTCTCAAAGAAATGATAGCGCCTGCGGCCCCCCCACACGGGCCACAACCGACGAAGCCGTATCCGACGACGATCCCGCGATGACGATGGTCCGGTGTTCGTAAAGCTTCTAGCCTGCCATGTCACGCGAGCCGCCCTCAGGGCACAACGGTCAGATCAATGCCCTCAATAACTATTATTTTTCAATTGGCCGCCTAATAATTGGCTCTGTCCAATATGCTCCGGCTGGTCTGATTGCACAGCCTCCCTCTCAAGGCTTCTCTTCTCGTCTGTCTTCTTTGGAGTTCTTTGGGGGGGGGGGGGTCTCCCGCACCCCTTACGCGTATTTTTTCTCTTTTGACCTTGGTACCGTTGATGTAGTTGTCTGCCGAGTTCGGAATGTCAAAGGGACGAATAAATCAATGTCCTGCATCACGCATGGCAAAATGGCGGGAGCTTTCTGTTGTTGTTCACGAGACGGGCGGCTCATGGCGGGCGTCATGGTCCCTTCAATTGAATTACTCAGCAATGGATGGCCTCGGTCTGTGTTTTTGGGTGGTCACGTATTATTTAGGCCGTGCTGATGCTTGGGGTAAAATGCCGAGTGCGCCGGCAATTGACGGCTGGCCGCGCAACAACTCCCTAGTGGCCGCACCGCCCTGCTCCGGACCCGGAGGCTGTCGAAATGCACGGTATACATCCTAGCCGATATTATACCAGGCCCGCGGAGATCCAAGATCCTGTTGGCTTTAAGCAATAAGGTTATTATGTGAGTAGCTGACATGGATCAAGACTCAATACTCAACGAGGCTGGATATCTGGCCAGGTTTATTAGATGCCCAGACCCATCACTGGCTGCTGTATTATCTTCCCCCGTTTTCGCTCTTCGATCAAGTTATAAACAGACCGCATCCGAGCCGAGCCGAGGCCCGAAAACTCGCCGACGGAATCCCGAGTTTGCTGGTCGGAAACGCTGAATAACTATCACTCCTCTGATATGGACCAATTGGAAGGAGCTGCATCACTTTTTTTTTAATATCAGAGTGAATAACGGGTATCTGTAAGTATAATTATGTTACAAGTCTCTGGTCTCCATCCTAGGCATCATCATTGCCCAGCAGACAAACTTGTCGATAATGGGCCTAATCCAAGCCCATGTCAGCAGAGGACCCACGTCCCTCCGTCTGCTCCATACCGTCATTAACCTGGGTATTCCATTAGTTTCGTTAGTTTATTATCGTTGTCGCTCTCCTGCCACCGTCGCGTGCGATGAAATAGTTGCCGAGTTGGCCTTACTGCTGCCCCCATTGAGAATTGGCGAAGACCCATCAGCTAGCATTCATGAGAACGGCGGCATGGCATGCAACATCGATGCTCGGAACGACGAGGGCCGATTCGTTTTGCGGCCCTGGCTTGAGGTAGCAATTCCCTGGCGACCCTGCGCTGCTTGCATTCAATTTGCTCGACCACGCCGGGACGAAACTGACGGCCGCACACGTCGTGTTGACATTGTTTCCAAAGAAGGTTGGCGAGTATTTGGTGTATGAGGCGCAGCTATCCATGCAGGCCTGAAAATCGGCGGTGAATAGCGACAGCAGCGGTTGATATGGAGTATCCATGTTACAAAACCTCTGGAATGTGAGTCCACCGAATACTATCAAGCCGTAACCTATGTCAGTATTGAACCTCATCCCCAAATATTCCTCAAGAGAGAAGAAATCTCGTCTCCATAGGATGGTGGTCTTACAAGAAAAGGACGTGTATTTGGATCCACTGACTGATTCGGGGTTGTCCGCACATCCATCATCGATCAAGCCAGGAGGAAGCGGCGTTTCTGAGGCACCGCCGGGTTTGGTAGTGGACGATGCAGTTGGGGTCCCTGTTCCTGTTCCTGTTCTTGTTGCTGTGGCTAGCGCCAGCGATGAACTCAGGGCTGATATCTTGCTCGTAGCATCGTTTGCGCGTTGTGACTCGATTCCTGTCCCGGCGGCCAATCCGATGACTGCAGCAGACAGCAGTGCAATGATACATGACAGTATAAAGACCAGCATCCCGCAACCGCATGCCGTCCTTGCTTGCGACTTCTTGGGCGGCAGGGGCGGCAGGGGGGGCACCGGTGGCGCCGTCGCTAGCTGGGCATGTGAGGGAAATGGAGATCCAGCCGTCTGGCTACCAGCAATTGAGGGCGCAGACGGCCCGTACCCGTTACCCCGGCTCTCGGGTTTCGGAAGCGCATAGTCTTGGTACTGCTGGGGGTGGTACTGGGGGTGGTGCTGGGGGTGGTGTTGGTTCTGGTGCTGCTGTTGCTGTTGCTGTTGCTGTTGCTGGAATGGCAGTTGGAAAGACTGCTGGAATGGTTGTTGGTATGACTGCTGGTAACCAGGCTGGGCCACAACGTGCTCTCGTTGATAGACAACCTCGGGGAAGTTCTGGGGAGCCGGCTCCATACCCGTGTCATACTTGGAAGCCGTCAGCATGTGCAGTCTGGTGCCAGGAGGCCACTGACCAAGGGAGGGGTTCGCGCGCTCTCCATTCTTACCATCGCGGCCATCGCGTAGCCGTTCGTGTGCGTGGCCGACGTCGAAGGCAGCGGTAGAGACAAGAGCAAGAGCAATAACATTAACAGTAACCGGGGAAGAAGAAAACGAGCGACGCCCCGGAGAGGATTGGGTAGAAGAGAGGTAAGTCTTCGAGACAATAGGAAGCCAAATCAAGCGGCACAGCTCAGGCGTAGCTGGCTCAGGTCTGGTCGAGATATGACGCCGCCGCCCGTCAGCGTGTGTCACTGCCCTCCTCGCTTGTCATTCATTGCCTACCATTTTTGGTCAACCGTCAGCAGAATGTCGCATGAAGTGGGGTATTCCCCTGTCTCCCTCCCACAAGGGGAGGATGTGATGTATTGAATTTTTTGGGTCAGCTCCGTCATCTGCAATCTGCGCTGCGAGTAGTATGTGTAAGCGTCGCCATCCCCATCCACATAAAATCGGCGTTATGCGGCTCGACGGGATATAATTTCATCTGACGGTCGGTTCCTGTGTGCGCTGAGGTATTTAGAATGCCGATTGTTTCAAGGCCTACATAGTAGACCGTCCTCTTTCTTTTCTCCTCTTCTCAATGCGACCGTAATCCATATTTTCGGTTTTGCCATTGCCCCAGACTTTTACAGCAAGTTACCTATAAGTAGTGAGGGTAATCGGGCAGACTGAAACGCGGTGCCTGCTGTGGGACCTGAGCTGAGGAACACTGGGGTGGCGGCGGGAAGGAGCTGCCTTACCTACCGTCACCATGGCTCTAAGCAAGCTAAGATGTGCATAGAGACTTTGATCTTGGCCGATCGTCCGTGCTTGCGGCCGACCGTACGACTTTGGCCGCTATTAACAATTGGGCCGCCGGGCGACAGCATTGGCAAGCAGAGAGGGGGGAAAAGATGCCCAAAAGGCGAGAATGATGCTATGTAAGTAATCTCCCAATGGCGTAGCCCAATCCGCCAGCGAGAAGAAATACGCTGAAACATGCAATCTGTGCAAGGCAGGCACAGGCACAGGCACAGGACAGGCACTGGTCGGCTCCTACCGCTTGAAAAGAGCTGGGCCGGCGGATGCGCCGCGGAGGCACGGCAGAGCCACGGCGGCCACCGAGGCCCGGGTTCCCAGACAATAACCTCAATATCCGTACAACCATTACCTAACGTAGCTCGTGAGAGCTTTTGGGTTGCCGTGCCTCTTCGTGTTTCGGGAATAGTAGGGCTTGTCCTTTCTAATAATAATTCTAGGTCTACACTCGAATTAATTAGTCCAAGGCATCATCACTCTCTGGCGCACTAGTGCATATATCAACCCGCCGCCTAATTAAGGATGCTGGGACCTTATGTAGCAAGACCATTTCTCCATCGCGGTACGATGATGGATCGAGTTACTAAAAGTGCAAGCAGAGTTTCTGGAGTCGTTTTGATGGATTGCCGGGTCATCAATTCGGCAGGTAAATAGGAGTCCAACTCCTGACGGGTGTAGGGCTGAGAACCTTCACCCCTGCGACCCGACACTTGCCCCCAACCACGGAGAACCATACCTGGTACTGTACGTACGTACGTGTGCATCTTATCCGCTTCCTTGGCTAAAATCGTTTCTAGAGTGCGCACTCAATATAAAGGGGGGAGAAACGCAGTACAAGGGAATATAAGAATCTTCTCCATCGAGCCTTGTCACGTCATTTTCCGCCTGTTGCAACCCGTTAAAACGGCCGGCTCCATGATTGGGACCGCCTTCCAACTTGGGTCCCCCTGAATCACCCCACTCTGCCCACCGAGGACAACTCCAGTCGACGCCATGTTCTCCAAGTTTAGAGTTATGATGGCTGCTGTCCTCTCCGTACAACAGTTCGCTTCCCGTCAGCTTCAACCTAGAAAGGGTGGGATGGCACAGGTCAGACGGGACTGGCTTACCTGAATCGAACTCTAGGTATCCATAATTAGGGCCAACCGACATCGCCACTCACAGCGTGCCTGATTGCGTGCAGTTCATTGCTTGCGCTACGCTTCGCGGCCCTGGACACAGAGCCACTGCAGCACCTAATGGATCTGATTGACTGCCGAGGCGAACCTCTACTGATGGACTAGGAACCTGGAGGGAAGGATCCCTCCGCGGACGGCAATCACGACCCCTGTTCGTCTACCCCTCTCGATCCCCAGCTGCCACCTACCGAGACCGTATTGCGTTCTCGGATCGGTGGACGGGAGGGACGCTGGGCGGACGTGCCGTCCCTGGACCGGTGAACCTATGAATGACATGCAGCTGTTCCATTGACCCCGTTCCCAGCCCTCCCGAATCACTGATCGCAGCGAACGGGAGTTGGCCAAGCATGTACATGTACATACAATACATACCTTACTCGGCCAAGCAGTACAAGGTAACGTAAAAGCGGGTTGATTCCAGCCAGCGACGCCCAAACGTCTACGGCCCTAATATGCAGTACTCGGTGTAGGGTCCTTCAATGGTATTCCCTTCCCCCTCCTCGCGGGCCCCCCACCCTCCGCAACCAAAGTGCTGGCTGGGCTCCGACAAGCCATGTCTTGATGTCTGTGAGGTGCAGGAACCACGACCCCAACCCATTGAACTCCCCAATGAAGATAGGGCTACAGGAGCTACATCCATTAGTGCTATCCATGCTCCGTACTTTGAATTGATTAATCGCTGGCCGAGTCTCATTTTGCTCTATTGTACCTGCCTTACTTACACATACCATACACACCTTATACTACCCAAATACATCACCCTTGCTTTCTCCTCTACGCCACATCCAGCAATGCCCACATACCTCTGCCACGGCTTCCGCTGGCAGCGGAAGAGCATCCGCGTGTTTGTGGTGGTGCAGAACCTCGACGACGCCTCGCCCGAGTGGATCGCATCGTCCACGACGTCCCAGGCACTGCTCGAGTCCTTCTACAACCTATTTGACTTTGTGCCCTATTGCGCCGCCCCGCCCGAGCGCCGCCGTCCGTCCTCGTCTAACAGCGACGAGGCCAGGTACCGACACAACCCGGCGGGACCAATTGCAAATGGCGTCGTCACAGGTCGCAGCCGCAGCCAGAGCGAGGCCGCAGCAACCCAGCAGAGCCCGTCCCAGAGCCAGAATCAGAGCCAGAGCCAGAGCCAGAGCGGAGCGTCGCACGCGCAGAAGCCGCCCCTCCAGCTCCCGCCGGCGGAAAGCGACGGAGGCGTCGATACCGCCAGTGCGGACGAATTCAGGGCCCAGGATTGGTCCGTTGTAAAGGTGCTCGAGGAATACGATCCCGACAACCTGGACGAGGTATCGCGCCCGCACGCCTACGTGTCCGACTACGTGGTGCGCGTGGACCTATCCGTGTCCATCGTCGAGGAGATACAACGCTACGAGGAGCGCATGCGCGCGGGCCGCGACCCGCCCATGGCCGGGCCTTCGAGCGACGAGACGGCCAGCAAGAAAAAGAGCTCCAAGAAGCCCGGCTGGTTCGAGAAGTTGCGCGACCAATTGCAGCGCGGCGAAGACATAAGGTGGTATGTTATTGTCAACGGCGACGAGGTCCGCGACTTCCCGAACCCCGAACATTGGTCAGACGACGACCACCCAGAAGAGAGCAGCCCCGTCCAGGAAGAACAGGACCAGGACCAGGAGCAGACGCAGTACCAGAACCACGCGCAATACGACGCGCAGCAGTGGCCCATCATTAACACCGACACCCCGGACCGCGATGTGCTGCCGCAGCGACTCGCGGGGAAAAAACCTGCCCTCCCTGAGAAGGACAATCGCCGTCTCGCGCCCCCGCTGCTCCGGACTAAGGTGTCTGTAGATAGTGCCAGTGCCAGCGCCAGCGCCAGCACTAGCACCGGCCCTGCCCCAGCGCTGAGGCCAAAGACGCCGAGCAAAGCGGGAGGTGGAAGGGGGCTGAGGCGGCTCTTTGGCAAGCAGCCCAAAACCGACGACACATCGCCGTCATGACAGGATGAACGTGTGACAGACCCTCGCGAAGCGTTGTTAAACCGGTTGCTCGCAATGGGCCCCCCTTCAACTTCGAATGCCGGGATTCAACTCACGAAGGGCCTCAGACAAATCACTCGAAAGCCACCTATCTTATTTATATTGTTATCAGCCCCAGGAACGAAAAAAAAAGGGAGGGGGGGTCCGGGGGCCAGAAGGGAAATAAAGAAATACATAAATGGTCGTATTTAAACGAGAAGGTTGGGGGACCATTATGGACTGGCTATATATAATTCCTATCTAGTTTGTAATCTAGAAAAGCAAGCCAGAATCTTACAGGCTGGTTGCGCGTCTTGGGAATAGCATTCAAATCACATTATGATACGGCTGATGCTCATCACTTAGATATTTCGTACCGCAGGTCACGATCAAAGGGTACATACACACACTTTAAACCAATTTAAGGACACCGCTCAAGGGAGTCACGACGCTCAAGTCACGAATTGTTATCAGGCAGTTCCATATATATCCCCTTTCATCTCTTCCTACGTCTTCCCACCTAAGCGTTGAAAATCTACCCCGTGACCGAGTGCTAATTTCCTTATAATTAATGATATAGAAAGAAAAGCAAGGGCTGTGCTTCGCTCTCATGCTTTCGTGTCTGTAGTGGCGTTCTCCTTCTCAAGCTAAGAGGTATCATCATACGTATCCACCGCAGCTACAGAAACATCCGCTAATGCCGCCGTCCCAAGTAGAGCAAAATAAAATGGTGTGTGCTGTTTTGTCACACCATTCCCCGTCTCCGTAACTCCAGGAATGATTGATATACGGAATCCCAAGAGAGAAAGGCGAAGAGAAAATACGTAAAGCAACCAAGGAACTCCGTGATCATCCCGCAATCCCCACCCCAGCCCCGACCTGTGCCGCTCAAGGAAATCTCAATAATATACATACACATTACCATGAAGAAGGCGAAATTAGTTTATCCACCGTCACATCCAGTCACCCTCATCAAACTCGCCATCGGCGTCCGGGGCGTCGTTGCTCTGTTTTCTCGGACGGCCGCGTTTTCTGGGCTGCGATGATGAGCGTGCGCGTTTCTTCCTGCCGCCTGGGGTATTGCCGTTGCCGGTCCCTGGACCCGCCTTACGTTTGCGGCCACGGCCGGCAGTAGAAGGCTCGTCAGCCTGGTCTTCATCATAGTCGTTCGCGCCGGGAGTGGCAGGGTCCTCAGCGCCACCGTTCATCTCGTCGTCGTCTTCCTGAACAAGGAACTCCTTGTCAACCGTCATGAGCTCGACAAAAGCCTTGCACGTCTCCATCATACGGTCGCGCGAGGTCAGCGCCGTCATGATGGTAGCGATCTCGTCCCAGAGCTTCTCGCCCGTGACACCCTGGACCTTGGTGGGTGGCTTGTTGAGATCCTTTGCTTGCGATTTCCCTTTCGCCTCGCGACGGCTAGTGCCCATGTTGTACAACCGGCGAAGATAGGTGCGCGCCTCCCATAGAGCGAGCAAAACCATGGAGCCAGCTGCAAATTGTCGCAGTCGTCTTATGTCAACATCTGGCTGACTGTGCTGCTGCGGAATAGCATGTGTTTCGCCTCCTTCCACTGCTGGATTTGCATCCAAATTGTCTACCCGGACTCGGAAAACCTCCGACTCAATCGCCTGGGCCACTGTAGCACCAGTTGACGTGACAAGCTTCTCCATCGAGGACACGATCGAGTGGAGCTCGCCAATGGTTATATACTCGAAGAAGGCGACATTCTCAACGAGGAAGCGAGAATATTGCACATGGGGCGGAAGCTCCTCGGCAATGTCAAGCCTAGCTACGTCAAAGTCTATTTGAGCGCAGAGCTTCTCAAGGAATTTTTGGCGGTTCTTGGACTTGCTTATTTTGAGAACCTCCATCATTAGTTGGAGCTTTGGGGCAAAGGGGTTGGCGGTTGCGCCGCGTGGGTCTTTGGCGATATCTCGCTGATAAGCAAACGCAGACTGAATTGCCTTGACATACTCGCGCTCCACGACGGTTTCGTGCTTGGCGTGCAAAGCTTTGTGCTCCAGGAAGGCAAGTTCTGAAATCCGAGGATTTGACGATGTCTCGAGCGTGATGAAAGTCACGCCTGTTTCCTTGGGATGAACCAAGCCTTGTCGGTTGATACTGGCAAGCACCTCGACGGCTAGGAAAGCATGGTCGTCTTGGGTGGACGTGGCCACGCGTATGATCTGAGCCAAGAACCGATGTGTCGTGGCGCTTGCTACATCATCGTAGTTGGTGCCTCCTATGACTGTGAGCTCGCGCTTCTTTTCCGATTTGTTGCCGTTAATGGTAGGTGCCTCGGAAGCTTGTTCGGACCGCTTTTCCTCCGTAAGGAGAAATTCCTTGAAGGACCGCAAAATCATGGCTTCTAGAGTCGGGGCTTGCTCGTCAAACACCTGCTGGAAAATGGTGTACACATTTGCAGATACATAATTCCGTGGCCAGGACTGACAGACCAGGCCAACTGAGTCCAGCGCCGCTTTTCTGACTTCCAGAGGCTGAGACTGTGCGGCGAAGGGCACCACGACGTTGACCATGAGCTGCGGAACAGAAGTCCCGCTCCATTTTGGAAATTTGGATTTGAAAATCTCGTGCTCACTGTCGAGGTCACAGTGTTTGCCAACCATTCCGATGATGAGCGAATATCGCTCGAATTGTCGGATGCTGCGCTCATCGAGATGTTGGCTTTGGCTGGTGATGCGCAACTTCTGCATCGGCATCAGGCTAGATACCGCCAACCTCGCAAGGTGCTGCGAGGATTCAAGAAGGGTGCTGATAATCCAGAGACAAGCTACGATATCGTCAAGCAAGAGCCGTGCGACAGAGGAAACAGCGGGCAATAACGCCTGTCGGACTTCTGCAAGAAACTGCGCATGGGCGCTCGAGAGTTGAGGAAGAACTCGGCGGTATATAACCACAACTGCCCTCGACACAGCCAGATCCTCACTAGTTTTGATGCTGGTGATGTGAGGCTTGAGGAGACGCAGCTGTTCAAAAGTGAAGAGACTGGCATCCGCCTTTGCGAATATCATCAGGACGCGAAGGGCATCTAGACCTGATGGGATGGATGGGTCTTCCGAATCTAGGTTGTCGACCAGATCGAACATACTCGCGACTAGCTTCGTGCACACCTGTAGAGATGCCTGGGCGGTCTTGGACTCCGGGGCTAGCAAGTTTTGCAAAACCTTGTCCAGAACGTTGGTGATGTTTCCCTGCTTCACTGTCTGAACCATCAGAGCAACGTGCTCTGCGAGCGAAATTTGGGACACTGCCGAGTTCTCTCCATTGTGAAAAGGAGAAAACCATATCTCCTCAATCACCTGGCGCGCGAGATCTCTCACGCTCTCCTCAGGATCTTGCACGCGGTGAAGCAAGCCGCTTGCAATTGCGCTCCGTACCACCTTGTTGTTGTTGCGGAGGTAGATGTCTTTGGCAAGCTTCATGGCTCGCTTCCGCACACCGGGTCCAGTGTCGATAAACCTGTCAACTACCGTCCCAGTCATCTTCTCCTCCAGTACTGGGCGCATGCCAATACACTTGCCAATGAGCCCCAACGCCGAGTCTCGCACCTGGGTTGACGAGTCATTAGAACACCTCAGAATCAGCTGGATGACCACAGAGTCGCCGTCGAGGATGGAGGGGTCAGTCTCCAACACCTGGTTGATGCTTTTCAGACTCTTGCTTCTCACGGTCGGCTGATCGCTAGCCATTGAGCCAAGGAGAAGGTTCAAAATCATGCTAAACGACTCGCACAGCTGGGAGCGCAGGAGCGTAATGGAATAAGACAGCCTGGCTTGGCCGAGGGAAACTACCTTGAACGAGAATTCGTTCGCCAGCCAGCGGCGGTCATTGATCATTTCCCTAAGGCGGTAGGCCAAACGGCCCAAGTCTTGGTCTCTCTCCTCGAACCCGTCCTCGAGGGAGTCGTATCCAACGCAAAGTTTGGACGCCCAGTCGGATATGATGTAAGAGATGGCGCTCGAGAGATGCGGGTCTTCTGAGAACCGACTTTCAAGGTACTCCAATGTCGCACGGTACGGTCCCGACCACGCGATCATGTGCTCCGGCCGGGATTTCAGCTCGAGGGCCGCGGCTGCCAAGTCTGAAAGGAACATTCCAAGATCACCAGCATCTCTTGCGTCCAGTGCACTCGCCGTTTTCCGCACATGGCCCCTCAGCCTCGAAATTGCAGCACCCATAATGCCCAACAATTCCAAAGCCATGTTCTTTGCGGGCACGCCGGTCTTGTCGCCTTCTACAAGCTTGATCATCATGGCCATAAGCAGCCGGAGGAGTAGCTCCGCTGCTGGCCAATCTGGATTGTCTAGACAAGAAGTGAAATCCTCGACAAAAAGGTCAAGGAGGTTGCGGTAGGGCGTGTCGCCCGACTTGGTCGATTTAAGAGCCCTGTTGACGATGAAGTTGACGACGTACGACGCATTACGCCGAGCCGTATCCATCAAAGGGCTTGCAACTGCAACCAGCTCCTGTATCGCTGTTGAATGCTGGGCTGCAGCATGCTCTTCGTCTCGAATTGAGAATTGGATCGAGGAAAATCCACTGGGAGCGCCCACGCCATCTTCGTCTTTTCCATCCGGAGACTGGGTGGTCTTGTTTCCCCTTGCATCGTCAACCTTCCCCGCGCTTGTCTGAACCAGACGCATGATAAGTGCGGAAACGGGTTGTATGCTGTTGCCATCCACCAGCTTGAATGTCCGGGCTCGTTTCCCTAATGGGAGTTTCTCTAATGATGTCAAGATCTCGTCGAAAATCCCTTGGCGCTGTGCCGGATTCAGCAGGAAAATTTGCGAAAGCATATCCATGGCTACAAGACGAAGACTGTCAAACTTTTGCGTGTCGAGAACCGAGTCCTTCTCTGTATGGGCAGTTTCCATGAAAATGAGTCGCGATGCTGCAAATTCCAGAGTGTTTGTGACGGTATCAGACGTGTCAATCTTTGATATCAGAGTTGACATGAGAGAAAAAAGCTTCTGGCAGTCAGTAAAGAGGGGAGCGATCCTCTTCTTATTTGAAGAAAGCGCCTTGAACAGCTCGGCGGTGCTCTCCGAGCCCCTTAGTTCCGAAATAGGAATGACGATGCCGTCCACGACCCGTTTGAACAAGTTGAGGGACTGCTCAATCGTGTCCTCGGAGTAGAGTTGCTTATCTTCGCGCCCTCCACACATCATCCTCAGTGACGTTCGGGCAGCCTTGATCGCAGTTTCGAGACATGGCAGTTGTTGCAGCCACTGGTCAAGATCCGCGACACCCCAAGACTCGTCAATCTTTATATCTAGAGACTCAGCTTGCTTCAAGGCGCCCTCCGAGAGCTGGAGAAGACGTAAAAGATCCTCCAGAGGAACGGCCTTGAAACAATTCAGAGATATCGTCTTTCCCAGCGAGGCCTGGACCTTGTTGTGGGCCATGGACGTTAACGTTATCTCGTTGTCTGCCGTCAGAAACACCAAATCGTTTCCAGTTTTGTAGTTGGAAGCATGATTTTCAGCTCCAAAAACGTGCTGAAGGAATAAGCTCAACTCATGGAAAGCTGCGTCGGCCCTCTGGCGAAGGTCAAGGCTCTCTCCGTACAGCTCGTCACCATCAACATCTTCCCGCTTTCGTTTCCGCGCCGAGAGACTGGCGGGTTCATCTGGCTCATTAGAAACAACCTGATATTCGCTCTTGATTAATGACTGTACCGGAAGCTCGATAGCTATTGAAGTCCCAGAAGTGGACGGCCGGGCTTGTGCAATTGGTGTCTCCGGCGCGACAGTGATTGAATCTGCAACGTCTTCAGCAACGACCCGAGGCGAGGCAAATACAGGAAGTGCCGGTGGCTGTACAGGTTGCGCTGGTTTAGCTGGCTCCGCTGGTTTCGTTGGCTGGGTTGGTCGTACTGGCTGGATTGATTGTATGGGCTGGCGAATAGCATCCTGCGGGCTAGCGTGAATTACCTTTTGGCCAGGGATCTGAGGGATAGGGACCGGAGTGACTTTCGTCGGAGGGGGCCTTTTCGAAGGGACAGGCGTCGGAGGGATTGCCGAGATCGGTTGCGCGCTTAGGCTGGAGCTAGGGCTTAGTTTAATGACATCGGAGGCCTGTTCGAGCTGACTCTTGGTCGGCAGGACAATTTCCAAACGAGCCGCCTTATTATGCGCATAACCCTGTCGATTCTTTTCGATTACTTTGGATGTCTGCTCGGTCGTTCTAGTGTTTGGGGCTACTGGTGCGCTCTCTTTCGTAGGGACTGGGGTACTTGTGATCGGCGGCGGAGCAAGATGGCCATTTAGAGATGCCGACGTTGGCGTGTCGGGAGTCGGGTAGCGAAAAGGGACTGCAGTCTGGTCGTAGACCATCTTTGAAAGCGACGAGAGTCCGGCAGAGATGGAAGACGGCGGCCTATTATTGGAAGAGGCGGCGCTTGAGGTTTTGGGGCCCGTCTTGAACTTGCTGGAAGTTGTAAGCTGTCAGTCCACTCTCTCTTCAACCTGACGTCAGAACATACAACTCGGTTATGGCCGTTCGCTTGATCAGATGCTGAAGCTGGCTCATGGTCTGCTGAAGGCGCTTCGAGGCGGTATCGTGGGTCTGGGCCTCTTGGTTCAGAGCATCGAAGTCCTGACTGGATATCAGGTCGTTGAGACTCGGCGCAGGTGACGCCGCGCCAATAGAGGGAGGTAGAATGAGGCCTTGAATAAAAATACGGTCAGAGACAGCGCCTTATGAAAGTAGAAGCTAGAGTAGAGGGGAGGGAGAGGAGGGAAGGGAAGGGAGGTTACCCGAGTCGATGGGGACAATTGAGGTGAAAGGCGTGTAAGGAAGTGCCTCTAAGAGTGTGAACGGTCGGGTGAAAAAGGGTCCTCCTCCTCCATCCCCCCCTGAAGACTGAGGCCCGTTGGGCTCGGTGTTGGATGGTCCATCAGAGGCGCCTGGCCGAGGGTTCGCCATGGTGGTTTGCGTGGCTCACGAGTCACGGCGCATGGCTAGGCGATCAATCAACGTCCCCCTCCGTCCTGTCCAGAGTCCTGAGCTCAGCCACTGAAGCTGAGAGAGAATGGCGGCAATCCCAGGGACGAAGCTGCTATGCGGTAGGCACTGTCGAAATGCCGAGATTTTGTGGTTTGTGCCGTCGGGGTTTGGCGTTCGAGAAAGCTTCGTGGGCCTTGAGCGACAAAGAATTGAAGGAAGGTACGTTCTGAGGTCGTCGAATCGACGCATCCAGCTGCAGCCCAGTGCCACTCCAGAAGCCTTGCGCTTGCCGAGACCTTAAGCTCAGTCGGGTTGGCTGGAGCCACGCTAATGCCGCCTGCAACAAGGCTCCCCAGAGGGGCATTGGGTCCGTGCGTCGATCTCAAAGCTTTCCTGGGGACGGGGCAATGGAAGTGGAATGTGGGCCGCAAGTCTCCAATGTCAAGGTCGACGCTAAAACTTTTGTCTTAAAAAGTTGCAAAACCGCCTCTTGAAATCCTTGAAAGAAGTTCCCCAACGCCTTTTCAAGAATTGAAGACCATCATTGATCGAGATAATGGCGGCCATTGGCTCTCTAATCTTTTGCACAGACTGCGGCGATCTTTTGCCCGTGTCAAAGGGCTCTGAGAAGAACATTCTTACTTGCGACTGCTGCGGCGCAGAAAACAAAGGTAGGCCGGTGCTTTTGAAGGGGATGGAGAAGGAGCAGAATGATGAGGCGAGGAGAGGGAGGACTTAACCAGCTAACCGAAATCGCAGACCATACCTGGAAGACGGTTACCACGAGAACAAAACCAGCCGACTTTCCCTCTCTCCTGCGGCAAAAGCTGTCAACCGTCCAGACGGTGGAGAGGCATAACATCCAGACGGAGAGGATCGACCCCAACACAGACTGCGCAAAATGTAAACGGCGCGGCATACGCTATTCCGAGGTCCAGCAGCGTGGTGCAGATGAAGGCTCAACCATTGTGTACAATTGCGATTGCGGTGAAAGGTATTGTTGGAATCACGAGGTGGTCATGCAATGTGGAACAAGCTACTAACACTTTGGTTCGTAGGTGGTCGATCAACAACTAGGCTTTATCGCTTAATAAAGTCGACCTTTCAGCCATATATTTATTTATATGCATTTCAGCACATTGCTATAATTTGGGAGCATATCATATTAAAAGCGACATCGTGCCAAGTTGACTTCATAAAACCCTTTTCACAAACAAAACGCCCCGCCTCCCAAGACGCGCCAAAAGACACTACGCAGTAACCTTTGGGATCAAGGCGTATTCAGCCTCGTTGCTCCTCTCATACTCTGCCATATCCAAAGCTACAATCACGCTCTCCCGTACAACGGCTTCCTTGTCGTCCAGGAATCGTTTCAGGGTCTCCTCGACGCCCTCCTCGTCCCCGAGGCTTCCCAAAGCCTCTGCGGCCTCGTGCCTGACCATGCTGGCCTCCTCGAGATCGCTCAGGGCGGCAGTAAGGGCAGGGATGGATGCAGGATGTGAGAGCTGTCCGAATACGAAGGCGATCTCGTGGCGGAACAGGGCCGACGAGTCGGCGAAGCCCTTGGCAAGAGCATGGACGGCCGGGACAGCAGTGGGAAGGTCGGGAGGCGAGGCCAGGTCACGGAGGCCGAACATGGCCCGGTATCTCCGGAACAGTGCCAGGCTTGTATCTAGGAGGGCTCTCTCCAGCTCTTCAACTGTGCTCTCGGATTCCTGGGGCATGGGTGGAGCAGGGTCGACAGAAGCAAAATCACTGTTCGTTCCTGCTAGTTAGTGACCGCAAAAAGGGTCAAATGTTGCCACGGGAGCCGCGTGGTAGATGCGTACCTTTGCCGCAGCCTTTCCCGTTTCCTCTGCTCCGAGTTCTCCCATTCTATCCTATCGACAGCAATCTCGCACGTCTCCGTGACCACCACCTCTTCCCCGACACGGTCGCGGAATCGCTTGAGAATATCGAGGCTGTCCGCGGCGCCTAGCGCGCCCAGCGCCTCGGCCGCCTCGTGCCTGCACATGGGATCCTCCTGCAGGTCTTCCAAGACAGCCGTCAGGTGCGGGATAGCTGCGTTATTCCCCGTCTGCCCGAGGCAGTATGCCAGCTCGTGCTTGAGCAGCGCCGAGGGCGAATTAAGGGCCGCGGCGATGGCGTCGATGGCGGCCAGCGACTCCTCAGGTGTCGCCGACTGCCGCGCCAGGTGCTTGAGCGAGAACAGCGCCCGAAATCGTACCGACAGGGGTGTTGCCTCGGAGCACAGGCTCTGCCGCAGCGCCTGGATTGTCGAGTTCTCGGTTGCTATGGCCATGGTGGGCTTGCGAGGAATACTGGCTCTCTGGGGGGGGTTTTTTGGGACTTTCTTCCCACTAGCTACTCGGAACGAAGTGAAGCGAAGGGGCGAACAACACCGTGGAAAGAGACGGAATTGAAGCAGCGGGTATATGGAAGGCACAGGGAGGCGAAAGTGATGGGTCTGTTTGCTGGTCTGGTCTGGCCGTGCAAGAGCTCACCTACTTTGGTTGCCGGAATGCGACTAGGCGCCGCGGGGTCCACCTGTGTGTAAATTTTTTGGAGGGGTCGCTGCTGCGTTATCGATAAGTTTGCGATAAGGGTCTTACAGTGTCCCATAGCTAACCCTAATAGCACTCTCACATCCAACGTTGAAAAAGGGGAAGGGGGTGGCCATGGGCTATCCGCTATCTTAAGCTGTAATCCTCAAAAAAAAATTATAATTTCCACGTGGCAAGCCAGAAATTCCAAGAAATGGAGTGCTAGAGAAACACGCTATCTTAGCTGGTCAGAAGTCTGAACAAAGACCATATGAAAGACTTGCCAGCTTTGTGGTCAAAAAAATACCCTGTCGACAAGTGCACAAACAAACACATCTGAAGTCAATAAGTGGACGGTATACAACAGGTGCGTAGAAGGAATATATAGTTTTGGCCTACAGCCTTGTAACTATTCGTTATCCAGCAAGTCAAAAGGGTTTGATGACCGAGGCCTGGCAGAGCCGCTTTGAGAAGTTGCTTTTCGTTTGCTCTTTTTGCTGATTTTTGCGGGCTTTACCGCTTGAGGGCTGGGGGCTGGTTTGCGAAGATAGGGCAACAGCTCTTCGTCGTCGGCACAAATTGTAGCCAGGCATGACAGACCGCCCATATCTCGTATCCGCGCTAGGGTCTCGGCAAAGTCTCGAACGGAAGGGAACCGTCCTAGCGGAGGGAGAGCCGACAGGCATTGGGAAACCTCGGACGTGACCGATGATAGCTCGTGGGTGTGGTGTTTGGTAAAGTTCAAGATCTGCTGCAATATCCGAAGCGAATAGCAGGTCGCCTGCACCTGTGCAAGAAAATGGAGAAACTCCCACGACCCCTCGTCGAGCTTCCGAGCAGCGTCGAGGCGAAGCAGTTGCACACTCAGCGGAGTGCTGGTCTTGCCATGATCTTTTGTCAGAACGACATCCTGCAGCATCGATAGCACAACCCAAACCAACTCGGATTTGCCAACAGCATGTCTGATTTTGGAAACCATGGCCAAAAGTGCAGTGCCATGTTTGTCAATGGAGGAGAGGCGAGGTATCTCGAGTGGCGCCCCCAAGGAAACAGACTGAAGCCTTTTAACCTCCGAGACTATCGGTATCGGTGCGGCTTTGACTGACTGCAAGAGAGCATATGCTAGTTGCCTGACACTTTTGCTGGCCTCCCACGCGCTTGTCCGAGACGGTGAATCAAGCAACAGAGGAAGATACATTTGAAGGTCATTGTCGTCGGATTCTGGCTCCGTTTGGTCATTTTTTGAGCTTCTGTCTTTGTTCTTCGGGCCAGGGAGGCATCGAAGCGCGATCTCGGACACGCGTGGGTCAAGATGTATTTCGTAACCAGGCTTCAAGCTGGATCCCAGCTCAGGAGTCGAATACTTTGCAAGGAAAAGGGAGTAATCTTCTGGGAAATCTGCGGCGGCAATACCCATTTTGGTGTTTCTAATTATCTCCGGCATGCTCAATGTGGGCTCCATAGTCAGCTCAAATGCCAGGCGACAGAGGCCGTCGCCATGCTCGATCGACAGCCTCTGACAAATGTCTGGGCCGCAGTATTGGGGAGCGACAAGACCTTTGGACTCTGCGCACTTTTCGATATCTCCTAGAAAGATAGCACTTCCCCTTGGCCCCAGCGCAGAGACCAGCAGGTCAGAGTCAGACGTTATGACTGCCCCGCCGTTTAGGCGAACATACTCGGCACAGAATCCGTCAGCCTCACCTGGGACAACCGCGGTCAGGGAAGAGTAAACGGCATGGTTTTTCAGATACTCGATAATGGCCGGAACAAAGAAAGGGGGGTCGGGCGCTTTAGACTTGGTTTTGTCGACACCAAGTGATTGGGGAAAAAGGACCTGAGGAGGTTCCGTAGTGGCATGAGGCCGCTCTTTGGGGACGCCATTGAGGTACGCCTGATGGTACTTGGACAAGTCCTGTGAGTTCCTCAAAACTCGCTGTTGCCTCTCGTGATACTTGGACTGTGGGAGGAAACCGTCAAAGTATATGGCAGATCTTCAGAGCCAAGTGGCCATTCAGTGTCAGAAGTGCCCACACAAAGAGAGAGGGGGGGTATAGATAATAAGGGGACTCGGATTTACACTGTGAGGCCGGATGCTTGAATCTCATCGAGCCATGCCACTGTAGTGCAGCCCAAAACGTCGTATGATGGTTGCTCAGAGGGGCTAGACTTTTGAGTACTTCTCAAGCAAAGTGCAAGAATGTGGTAGGCGAGTGCCGGCCCGTCAATGACCACGTTGCATGGTTCAATGACGCCTTTCTGCGCATACGGCTCCAAATGCCTTCTGAGGTGAGGTACGCCCATCCTTCTGGGGAGGAAGGGTGGTAGGGAATAGGTTCGTTTGCTTTCTCGGTAGCGCAGTTGGTTGTTTGGTTTGGAGGCGGTGGGAAAATTGGAAACTGCCAAAACTTCCTCAGAGCTTCAATACAGACAGCAACCCTGGTGTGTTTGTCAACGCTATATCAATACTTCGAGGCCGCTGGCCGGCTTTCCGTCTTTTCATCGTCACAAATTAATAATCCCAAGATTGTTTTTCGAAAAGGCATCGACAAGTATGTCCGGGTTTTTAATAACCGTTGTTGTTTTCCCGCTTCAGATCGAGCTTTTTGACATGATACAACAAAAGGTACGAACAGTGACGTTCTCTAACATTGTAGGGACCCCTGTCGCCAGAACCAAAATACATACCAAACATAAACGGAATAAACCGGGGCTGATTGCTATATCATCCCGACAGTCTCCATCCCCAAGACAGGATGGCAGGAGCTATGCAGGCAGGTAATAACATAGACAGCGCGTCTCTGTAATACAGACAACACTCCCTCTGTGCAATGAATATGTTTAGGAGCCGTCTAAAGTCGACACAGTAAAGGGTTCTTTCGCTTCGGCGTCTTCCCCGCCCTAGCCTCTTTCAGACGCAATTGCACAGTGCGCGCGTGCACGATTCGTCATGCGGGTGATACGCACATTTTTAGTAGGCCAGAACCAGGATTCCAGGCTTGGCTGGCAGGTTTGCCTTTTTGTTTTATTTCAACAAAAAGGATGATATTCACCGAGGTTAAAAAGCGAACACTAAAATCTACTTCATCTTCTTATTATGAACCGTTGCTCAGAAGCCCCAAAGAAAAAGTATAAATCGGACTAGGCACGTGTGCCCGAGATCGGGGATATTCAGCACCTTGACGCACTTTCCCTCCTGTGTTCACAGTCCGGCTGCCCTGTCAACCGAAACTTGCGGGACCGTTGCTGCCAACTCCGAGGCTCTGCCCTCCCGGGGCCCACAAACCAGGTGCTTGTGCTGTGTTGGCCAGTCCCAGTCTCCCCTCGTTCGACTTTTTTGCCTTCTCTTCCCGCTCCCCCCAACCACCGACAATTTTGGAGAAGCCAAGGGAGAAGAAATTTACTATTTGAAGAGTTCGCCCGCCCCTCCTCCCATCCCATTTTCGAGTCCCCGGGCAGGATGCGCGGCACCTTGATCTTCGCGGGCAGTTCATGCCCGGCCCTCACGGGAAAAATATGCGAGAATCTGGGCATGGCGCCGGCTGATGCCGAGCTCTCCCAATTCTCCAATGGCGAAACGAGTGTCAGAATTCTCACCAGCGTGCGCGAGAAGGACGTGTTCGTGATACAGTCAGGCAGCCCCAAGATCAACGACACCATTATGGAGCTGCTCATCATGATCTCCGCCTGCAAAGGAGGATCTGCCAACAAAATTACCGGTACGTCGCTTTACAACAGCCACTCCATTGCGCTTCCTTTGGGCCAAATTACGTCTTGTCCTGTTCTGGACAAGAAGTCTGCCAGAGCCTCGTGCTGACCATTGAACGCAGCTGTACTACCTTATTTCCCTTACAGCCGTCAGTCGAAGAAGAAGTCGCACCGTGGAGCCATCACTGCGAGGATGCTGGCCAATCTCCTTGGTGTCGCCGGCGTCAAACACGTCATCACGGTCGACCTCCACGCGTCCCAGATGCAAGGCTTCTTCAAATGTCCAGTTGACAACCTGCACGCGGAGCCTCTGATCGCTCGCTGGATCCGGCACAACGTGCCCAATTGGAAAGAGGCAGTGGTGGTGTCAAAGAATGCAGGCGGCACCAAACGAGTTACGTCGCTGGCCGACGCTCTTAAGCTCAACTTTGGCATGGTCACGACAGACAAGAAGAGAGGTTCCAACATGACGGCCAGCATGATCATGAACCACCTTGATGGGATAGAGCGGCAGCCCTTCCTCGAATCCATCAGCAATCAGGTGCGTAACAACTCATCGGGGCCCGAGAATGGAACTGCCCCTGCAGACAACGGACAGCCGCGAGCCTCGCGCTCTGTCGCCGATGCCAATGGGTCCCCGCGGCGTGCTAATGGCCTATCGGCCCGCACCCCGAGCCACCCCAGACCTCACTCGCGAGCGCAAGCGCTGTCTCAGGCATCAACATTGAGTGAACTGGACGAGGAGTCGGAGCCTGACGGCCCCGAGTACAACGACCAACGGGCTCATGAAGTGACACACGGCCGGCTGGTCCAGGGCCATATCGTGCCAGACGATTTCCCGTCGCCCGCCACGTCTGCTGCAGACGCGAGCGTCATCGAGGAAGACCCCATGGCCATGTCACACGCCTCGTCCTTCTTTGCTCAACCTCACGCTTTGGGCGGGTCGGGAGATGCGGCAAGCTCTGACGAGGAGGATGAAATTCTCAAGAACCCCAAAATCGAGCACATGATCACTCTGGTCGGAGACGTGAAGAATCGTACGGTTCTCATTGTCGACGACATGATCGACAAGCCCGGCTCCTGGATCGCTGCTGCCGAGACTGTTGTCAAGCGCGGCTTTGCTAAGAGAGTGTATTGCATCGCAACCCATGCCGTCTTTGGAGCCGACTGTCTGGAGCAAATGCAAGCCTGCGATTGTATTGACGCCATTGTTGTGACCAACAGCTACCCTATTCGGGAAGACAAGGCACGCAATGCTAGCAAACTGGTTGTGCTCGATCTCTCTTTTCTTCTCGCTGAGGCGATTCGCCGGAACCATTATGGCGAGTCGATGTCACCGCTGTTCCTACACATGGGGGATTAATACCGCAGCTTGTTCGTCATTTCTTTTTAGAACTTTGGCGTTTGTTAGGTATGTGGGGAGATACGGACTTCAAGCGTCGGCGTTCGGTGATCCAGATACTTGACTTATGACTCTACACCACGGACGCGGGCTTAGACTTGGAGCAGTCAGATACCAAATTGAGATTTTGCGCTCAGTGGCCGATTTGATATCACGCCACAGGTCGCCGCCGTCCTAGACTCCCCGGGAAGTGTCTGGTGCCCTTGGTGAGCAGAAGCCCCGTTTCTCCTCCCCCTTCCCCTCACCCCTCCCTACACCCCCAACGGTGCCGTCACAAGTGACGGCAGGAGCAATATCCACCCCAGGATGTGTTCTTAACGGAACGTTGGTAGAAAAACTGTCCTTTCAGGACTTCCCGGGACAGAAGGCCCGTTGCCCAGACTCCTCCAGTAGGGGGGTCGCTTCCGCAAGGTTGATGGACAACGGGCAAGAGAAATCTCGGCACATTCTTGTGCGTTTTGAAAGTAGTTCCTAAAGATTGATATTGGGGTGATAAGTAGTGGTGATGTCACCCTTTTAGCTATTCTCTAGTAAATACACTCCATTACGCAGTCAATACGCTCTAGCGTCTACAGTTGTGCCCTCTCTGTCTATTTAGATTCAAGTGCAGTGTGGTTTCCCGAAGCCGGCATGGGTTTCTAATCTAAGACTTCGATAGTGGCTACGCTGGCATCTACATGTAGACTTGATGTAATTGCAGCCTGATAATAGACTCGTGGGACTGTCATGTACGCATTGACAAGCAATGCCGACAATCATATAGCTGCTATGAAATTGCGCTGCCTGAGAATGACTTAATGATATAAGATGCTAAACTGGTCTCCCCTGTCCTGATATCCCTCGGTTCAGTCCTAGATTTAGGGCGGAAGTCTGCTAGTTCTCTTTCCTGAACCTACGCTTCGACACCCATTTCCGGCCATGATAATACCAAAGTGTAGACAATTTTTGTTATCCGCCTTTCCTTTCCTTCCCCTTCCGAGATTTGACCCAGACACACCCTTTTTTCGTCATCCCTTCCAACCGTTTTCCTTTTTAGATGTAATTTGACACAGAAACCAACCTAAAACCGCCCACCGGAGTGATTCCCGTGGGATAACTGCCGCGCACAAACACTCGTATTCTCACAAAAGCGTTGCAACAAAGCTGATCAGCCCATGGTAACATGTATTTACCGATCAAATCTCCGGTCCATGCAGCTCGCTTAGGAGCTGTGAGAACTGTTCCATCTCCCGCAACTCTTCGGCCTCGCTCACGTCTTGGAGTAGGTCACCCAAGTGCCCGCCCTTTCCTGCGCTCTTGATGATGCCCCAGGCGCGGCGGAATTCATCGCGTACGGCCACGATGCCGTGGTGGGTCACGGTGCGGGCGACATTGTGATCGAGTTCGAAGGGGTCTTCGATTGCGAACAGGTATCGATGACGGACCTCCTTGACTTCTTGGGTGAACTGGGCACTTCCAGGCTGCTGGGTGGGTTGAATCCCCACCACGCCAGGGGGAGAGTTGGGCTGGAGGCTGGGCGAGAGTTGTCTGAAGCCTGGCGAGCCCATCGGCACCGTGGCAACTGCAGTTGTTGCTTGGCCTGGCGGTGGGGCAGGCATTGATTTAACCTCAATGACGGTTTTGGCACCCGTCCAACCTTTTTCCTTCTTTGTGAGGATACCACCGCGTGTGCGGAGGCTAAGAACGTCGCGGCCCCAGTCAAATCCCCGACAGGGAAATGTGGTCATAAAGTTGCTCTGAGCGTAGTATTCGAAGAAACCCCGGAGAAGATGGCCGGTTGAATCCTTGTTCTGTGTGAGAGTATTCTGACTAGCCAGAAGCTGGATTTCGGCTTCATCTCGCCAAAACATGACATTTCTGCCCTTGCAGGTGACTGTCTCTTCGATTTCTGCTGGCGAGAGGTGTGGGGGAGGAGGTCGAGCTAGCAACTGCAGGTTTGGGCACACAAATGGCTGAGCTACATTCACAAGGTAGTGAAGCATCATCAGGACATAACCATAACTGCTCAAGGTGCCTCGGTAGGGCGAGTTAATGTGCCGAACTTTGGCCCAGTGCTTTACAAACAGAACCAAAGGCCGGACACGAGGGTCGCAAAGAGAGTAGCATCGCAGCAAACGAGTATTCTGCAATGCAAGGTGGGCCGAAAAGTTGACGTCGCACTGAACACCAACCCCAGACTTTGGGAACTCGAGCCGATCTCGGTAGGGGTCTCGTGGTTGGTTGGGTCCCATCTTGGATGGATCACCAAGCCGCCGTATCTCGGACATGACAGCGGCTGACTCCGGGGTAACAGGGACGAAAAAATCAGACTGAGAGCCATGAGATGGAGATTTGACCATGGATCCCCTCAGAAGCTCAACATAAGCTCGGACGCTGGCCGTCGACTCCTCAGGGTAAAGACCCTTCTCCAAGCACTTTTCGAATTCGTGAGCAAGCTGCACACTCTTGTGTCTCCTTGAAACCGCCCGCAGACCCAGATCTTCTAATTTTGCAAACTCTTCGACCCTGTGCCGCACGTCCTCGATCAAAATACCTCGGACGTACTGGTCAATAACTGTACGAAGCACTCGGTTGCTCGGGGATGGAGTGTCATGGCTGCCTAGCTCAAGAAGCACCCTGATGACTCTTGAGTGATACGTGGAGACCGGCTCATACCGGTTCTGAGATAGAAGATAGACTTGAATAGAGGGTATGCGTCTCAGCTGATCCGAAGCCAATTGTAGTTCTCTGTTGTATGCAAGGGGGTCCAGACCGTAATCCGGCTTGTTTTGGAGAGTCTTCCACACCGTGACCCGGGTTTGTGCTTGCTGCTCTTGGGTTTCGTCCTTCTCGTGTATTTGGCGAGAATCCCACACCATGGCCATCTTTTCGCCCTCGACTTGCGTGTACACACCTTGCAGGGTGCGGTAGTGTAGCGGAGAGTTCGGGTCATTTCTCGATAACGACCTATAGCTTAGCAGCCGCTCTCGCAATGCGCGATCCGTAAGCCCATCAACGAATGCGAGACAGAACTCGTACAAGAAGTCGTAGTCGTCCCCTTTAAGCTGGAGTGAGTTGGCGTTTGTCAATTCTATTCCGCCAAGCTTTCGAAAAAGGTTTCTGGCAGTAATGTAATAGTTCGCCAAGCTCCGTTTCTCACCTTGCCTGAGCGAGCGGAATTTCTGCTGTGGGTTATTCTGCGTCGGATTCTCGTCGCTGCTAGACTTTTGGGGCTTGTGGCCCAAAGTTGGCCCTCTGTAATCCTGGGGTTGAATGTCATCTATCGGGTTCAGATCTGGGTCGTCATGATGATCATGATCGTCAGCCTCATCCTGCACACCCCTCTCCCACCTCTCCCGCTCATCCAAAAGATCTGCCCGAAGTTTTGGGGGAGGCTTTTCGCAGATTTTGATGATTGGAACCCTTGTCCGTGTGAGAAGCCGAGCGCCTAGGCCAATGTCTAGAAACGCCTTCTCGACGAGCCTGGGAATAGGGGAGTCCGGGGCATCGGGCTGCACAGGGGAGAGAGGCGAGAGAAGCCCAAGATCCATATCGGCTGCCTTGGTTGCGAATCCCGAGATAAGGCTGCCAAAGCACCGCAGCTGAACACTAGCGGGCGGGAAATCAAGTAGGCCACTATTGACTCTCTCGTGGTGGGTGATGACGGCCCTGGCGACCTCTTCGATCACGGAGCGGAAACGCTCCTTTTCGGCTATGTCAGCAGGTTCAATCTCAGCACCAGCGATGATGGTACAGCAGAGTCCCTCCAGCATGTCTGTCTGGGCCTTTAACTCCTCAGTCCGAACGTGGTTCTGTCTCCCAGGATTGTAGAGGGCATTGCTAGGCCTAGGCGGCCTAGGCGACGTGGCATCGAAGGGAAGGGTTGGAGGGATGTGAGATGCCCGCGGCTCTCCGCCCTGAAGTTGAGCCTGTCGCCAGTCATGATGTTCTGCTGGAGTAGACATGGGCCCATGGTAAGAGAGGGAGGGCTGGTGCCTGGGGTGTGACGGAAACAGCGAGCCTGACGGGGGGCCGTTTGAAAAGGCGTTTCCCCGACTCGGTGGGCGGAAAGTAGCTGACTGCGGCCGTTGAGACCTATAAGGGCCGTTATTTGCGTGCTGCTGCTGCTGCTGTTGGTGGTGGTGAGGGTATCCAGGGGGACTATTGTAGGGCCGAGCTGCCTGGGGCGCCTGGGAACGAGGCTCGATGGGGATAGATAGCTGAGCAGACATTTGGCGGCGCTGTGCCTGATTGAGCCGTTTGCGCGGCGGCTTGGATTTGTCAGGGAGATTCTCTTGGGTCAAGCGGGTAGCATCTGGATCGAGAGCCGGTGCCGGGCTCTGGAGGCTGGAGAAGGACGCATGGCCGCCACGGCTCTGCACAGTCGCGTCTCTCTCTCGATTGCTGATGATCAGGCCGCCCAGGCGATCTTCAAGGTCCCCCCCTTCACTCGGGTGAGCATCCATGCTGGTGTTCCCTGCGACGAGAAAATGCCCAAGACCGGATTCCCGTCAACCTAAAGCCAGTTCAGATGGCAGAGCGGATGAGACCCGAGCAGGAAGCTCGCAATCTTGATGCGACGGACGTTGAAAAGGCGGAGGTCCGAGACGATGGAATTGCGGCCCCGAATCACAATAACCAAAGTGGAAGCGAAAGTGGGAGTGGAGACGGGCTGCAAAGATGTTTCTGAACTGGCGATGCAAGCAAGAAATGCATACGGTATCTCGTTGCATTCCATCCACGGTTTGCTGCTCGGGAGCAAGCTTTGCTGTTGGGGGTGCTACCAGCTAAGGCACGCACATACGGGAGTACTCCGACTGTGTGAAGCTCCTGGAGCTGGAGCGGATGGTGGGGGATGAACGATCGATCGATCTGCCCCTCTCTGCGATGCGCTTGGGGAGCTGCAGCGCGCAACCTACGATGGCGTTGGTAGCGAGACCGAGAGCACAGGGGGTTTGGGAGTCGGTCTTGTGGGAATTAGGCGCGTTTCTCATGTTTCTTGCGCTTTTGCGGCTAGCGTCGATGAGAACCGAGGTGAGAACCTCCACTATGCAGTGTAAGTACTAAGCTTTCGGAAGGCTGAATCCCGTTTATTGCTTGCGAATCTGAACCCTATTTCAGCTACCCTATGGAGAGTGGCTCGAGGCTGATTGGCTATCAGGCTCCCTAGAGTCCCAACTACAAAAGTTGCTGGGACTAAGTCCCCATGGCAGCCCCACTCTGAAAAACGGCTCTGTTTCGCGAACTGAGACGGAGAGCCAAGTACACAGTGTAGGAGCCGAGCCGCAGGAGGGCAGCGCACAAAGGTACAGTACCTTATCTTTCCAGGTTAGGTGCGTTACGCGTTACAACCCAGCGGAGTCGCGCTAGTCAGTTCGCGAAACAGAGCCGTTTTTCAGAGTGGGGCTGCCATACGGATCCGTACTTGGCTCTCCGCCTCAGTGCCCGTGCAGCGACGACAATTGGAAATCGCTTAGTCCTGAGGATTCTTTGAATCGCTCTTTCACATTAACTTCAGCAATCATCATTTCGAGGCCAGACACACAAGGTAAGAAGCTGCACCACCCCCGACCCGAATCGCGCAACTTATTCGCCCTCGTGTGTTCATTTTGGCGAGACTTTGCTCCCGCATAACCGACCACATTTTAAAACCAACGTCTTACCCGGTGGTCTCGCGTTCCTGCGTTCTCAACGATGTGCATCGCCTAGTCTACCTACCTAGACCAAGTCGACACGCCCCGTTCCCACAAACCCAGATCCAGCCTCACCTTCTTTAGTATCCGCGCCCGCATCCTCCCTCGATCTCGATACCCGTGTCGCCTTGTCGTGCGTGCTGCAGATCCATCCAAGATGAGCGCGCCCCCCGCTGGGGCGGGCAACGCCTCCAGGCATACACCAGGTCCACGCAAACCAAAGGTCAACCCTCTCGTGGCACGAAAGAGGCCCATTCCAAGACCTGCGCTTTCACAGAAGCCCAAGGTTGACCAAAACGCCAAGGAAGATGAGGATAAATCAAAATATGTGCCAACGAAGGACGAGCAGATCAAGCTAGACAAGCTGAAGGAAGACCGAAAGAGAAACAACGGATGGAGCCACCCGCCCCCGACAGGCCACTACCAAGAGTTTGACTTGATCACGACAAAGCGGTCTCTTCTCGAGGACATGCGCTTTCATATCATGCGTCTGAGTAAAGGCAAAGGCGAGCGCGCCAACGGAGAAACCATTGTCGACGTGACGAACCAGGACCAGTTCCCTCGGCCCGTCACCCTGCATCGCCGAGACCCTCGTCTACCACCAGTGAGCAAAGTGGTTGTCCAAGAAGACCCCAACCCCGCCGAAACGGGCGATGACGCCGAGGCCGAGCGTCTGCGCCAGGAAAAGGCCGAGAGAGAGGCCCAGCGCGCCCTCGACAAGGCCCAGATAGCTCCCATCATCAAGAGCAACGAGCCAAAGAAGCTGCAACAGCAAAAAAAGGAGAAGGCGGCTGCATTCTATGGTAGGCACAGTGAAGAGCACAAGAAGCAGTCCAGTCTGCGCTACGAGGAAACGCTCCCTTGGCACCTGGAAGATGCCGAAGGCAAGGCGGGCGTGTGGGTGGGGTCGTACATTGCAAGTCTGTCAGACACAAACTGCGCCTTGGTCATTGACGGAGACCGCTTCCGCATGATTCCTCTTGAACGCTTCTACAGATTCGACGAGAAGCCCCCGTTTGCCACCATGTCTCTGGATGCTGCAGAGAACATGATGCTGCAAGGCAAGGATGTGAAGCGCTGGGTCATGATCGACCAAGAGAGACAGGCGGCCGAGAAGGAGAAGGACGAGACACGTCAGTTCTTACGCGGGCGCACTCGTGTCAAGATGGAGAGTGCAACGTCGAGAAGGGCGCCCAAGGGAGAGCGACAAGACGACTATGACATTGACATCTCTGGCGACGAGTTCCAGGACGACGACGAAGCTCCGGGCTTCGAGGCAGACGACGAGGACTCCAAGGAAGTTAAGCAACGCATTCGCCGCGAGCAGGTTGGCGCCAACCTGTTTGGTGAAGGAGAAGAGTCCAAGGTGGACGAAGAGGAGAGAGAAAAGGAGCTTGAAAAGCTTAAGCGAAAGATGATGGGCAAGCAGACCATGAAGGGGTTGGTGAATCTGGAGCATGCCATGGACTACGATAACTCAGACTCGGAGAATGAGGCTAACAATCCTTTTACTGAATCATCGGTGAGTACACGGGTTACTGCTTGCGAGTTGCCGAACCAAGTGCTAACGCGGCGAACAGGAATCGGAATCGGACGAAGAGGAGAAGAAAGAAGAGGAAGTCAGGAGGGAGGAGGAGGCCAAGAAAACAGCCGATGTGAAAGATGTGAAGGATGCGAAAGATGCGAAAGATGCGAAAGACGCGAAAGATGCGAAAGATGCGGGTGCTTCGGGTGCGATCTCCAAGGGCAACACAACGCCTTCGGGGAAGCAGAAGCTGGCAGATAAGAAGGGCAAGCTGAAGCGGCCTGGTTCGCCCAACCTATCCGATTCCAGCGGGACCGAGTCAACGCGTAAAAAGGTAAAGACGGGCAAAGGCACTTCATCCAAGGCACCGAGCCGCTCAGCTACGCCGCTTCCCGGACGGCCAAGGGTTGGTGGTGCCACTAGCGACGGAGAAGCTACGGCTGGCGAGGGCTCTGATGGCGGCTTGAAGCTAAAGAAAAAGATCAAGATCATGACGGGAACCGGCGCGGGTGGTAGCCCATCTCCCTCCCGAGCGGGCAGTCCAGCCCCGCTCAACGACCATCTCTGTAAGTTTCCGACCCTCTCCATTCCCCCACTCCCGAATCCGCCCATGTCATTCGTTCTAACCGCGTTTTCCCTTCTCCAGCAGCAGCCCAAGTCGCCTCCCCGAAGAAGGCCGACGCGACTACTCCGCATGGGTCCCCGGGCCCCGGCCAGCCTGGCGACCGCGTCGAGGCGTGGGAAATCGTCCAGGCTGTTGCTGCCCACCAGCCCATCAGCCTTGGAAACTTGCTTAGGAAGTTCCTTCACCGGATCGACAAGCCTGGAACCACCACCAAGACGGAGTGGATCCATCTTGTTCGGCAGAACGCCGAGTTTGGTCAGGACAAAAACCTGCGCTCTCTAAACAAGTCCTGAGATGGCAGCGGGCACGCCGTCCGGCTGCCGAATTCTTATCGTAGTAGGAGGCCGGATTCTTGTTCGGTAGAATATGGAGGAAACAGTGCTCACGTCGCGTCACCCCCGACTAAACCAGTTCACTTAGGGACGGGCACACCATGGGACTCTTGAGGGTCACAGTAAAAGCTGAGACAGCAGCTGACTGGCTTTCTTGACGGCTTAGGAGTGGGTGTGTAGGTTAGGAAGCCCGTAAGTCGGCGGCGTGGCATGGTGGAATGTACAGTATACTACAGACCTCTGAAATCAAGGAGAGACAAGACAGAAACGATGGGGGCGATATTTGCTACTACGTATTCACGTTTTCCTTTTTACGGTAATTTCAACTCGACGGAGCTTGTGGCAATTAATATCACCTTGCAGTTATCCATGTATTGGTGCGCTTGCCGTTCACCGCGGCCATCAAACAGCATGAGAATGGGGTTTCTTTCGAGAGAAGCCTTACGGGTGTGTATACCATGTTGTTGCCGCCTTCGCCCCCACTAACAGGAAAACAAAGTAGTCCCGAAAATAACTTTTTTTCACCATGCCGCAACAGCCTGTTCAGCTATGATATTTATTTTAATTTTTATATATCGTATCTAGTAGGTGGGTCCTCTCCGTTGTTGAAATACCCGCCCTCTTCTTTTCAGGCAACTCTTCTGCTTTGATTTCTACCCATCTTGGTGCTTGATCACGGGTGGTTTTCTCCGCCCGAGCTAGTTTAATTTATTCTCTAGCGGGAGGGTCAGAAGGGGCAGTTTGATCAGTGAGTGGCATCTCTTGACGGACTTGAGGGTCTTCATGTTCCCGAAATAGAAACGAGTCGACGGCATCTGCATGTCCGTGTGGTTGTGTATGTGCTGTCGAAAGAAAGCCGCTGGAGGAGTAATGGCACACAAGTGTCTCTCTACACGTACGCGTTTTCTCGCCGAGCTATACTTTTCGTAGAAGTCCCCCCTTTGACAGGGCTGCTATCTTCAGCCAGGAGGTGTGTTGACTCGAGAAGATTCAGCAGCAGTAGTTTCTGTGTGTGGGAGAATTCAGGCTTTCAGTTTAGACCTCGATTTTGGGGCCACAGCCTCTCACTCGTCCATCTGCCACGCGTAGTCCAGTGTCTTGTTCCTGTCGCGGCGGTTGATAGCCTTGAATCGCTCCGCCTCGAAGCCGTTTCCACGGTCGACGCCGTCCCAGCGGTAGCCGGGGCGTGTGCCGTAGCGGTTGGGGGGCGCCGCACCCTGGTAGACGGGCCTCCGCTGCTGGGCGCCGCCCTTCTTCTTGCGGCCCCCGGGACCGCCCGAAGCAGCCACAAACTCAGCCATAGGATCATTCCACCGTTGCTGGGCGCGCAGCTCGGCGTTCATTTCCTCGTCGTCCTTGCCGCGCGCCACGGGCATCAACGCGGCGTCCTCGAGCGCTTCGCGCCGCTGCCGTGCCTCCTCCAACTGCACGTCGCCCTTGAGCGCCCGCTTGCGCGCCTCTTCGAGCTGCTCCGCAGCCGCGGCGGCCCGCCGCATCTCTGCTCGCCGCATCGACACGTCGACGCGCCGGCCGGTGGCGTCGCGGAGCACAATCTGGTCCTCCTCTTTATCGTCGCCTGCTGCCGCCGCGCGCTCGGCGTTTAGCCGCGCCAGCTCTTCGCGCTCGGCCTCTTGCCGCCGGCGCAGCTGGGCCGTGATGGCCTTTGCGCTCTGAAGGCCGGCGTGCGTCCCGTCCGTCATCATGGCGACGTCGCCGTCGTTGTCGACTACTCCCCCCACCACGGCCGGCGCCTCGTCCACGGCGGTGGTGCCTACTTCTTCCCGGCGCTCGGCGGCGGCAGAGGCAAGGATGGCGTCTGCTTCTGCTGCTGCGGCGTCGCGGGCATCTTTGGTTTCGGTGGGGATGGGGGGGCCGACCGTCTTCCACGCGGATTTCTTGGCGCGGCGGAACTCGGCGCTCGTGCCGACCACGGTGGCAGGGCCGTCATCGTCCTCGTCGTTCTGCGTGGTGGCAGACGTTCCCCAGTCGTCGTCGGCGACGATCAGCAGGCCGTCGTTGTTGCTGCCGGCATGCTTGCTGCTGCGCTTCCGCTTCTTGGATTTGGATTTGGACGACGACGGCGCGTCGGCGGTGAGGTAGTGCGCTGCCAGGTATGACGCCTTGTCCGAGGGCATTGTGGAAATCGTAGGGGTTTTAATGTGTTCTGATGTCGTCCGATTTCTCGTTATTGTCTGGGGTTGGTGATGGATAATTTACAGCAACTGCCTATCCCAAATCCTGTGGCGGTTGTGTAGCTTCTGCCGCGGCCTGACATTTTACGCGCGCTGTAATCCGTAGTTTCGGCACGTAACGATGATACACACAGACTTCGAAATCTTGGCAGAGCCGTACGGAATACACACGTGTACAGAATGAACGTAACCTCTTACGCCGCCATGATGGCACTGTGGAGGACGAACCCCACATTCCCCCAAGTTTCCCCATACTAGTGCGGAGGGCTTTACGGATTAGTCCCGCAGTTAGGTTGGGGGAGGAGGGAACCACTTTCGTCATAACAATAAAAGGGGCAGTTAGCACTTGCTGGCTTGATAGTTTGAGCCGTTTTGACGAACACAAACTCAAGAGCTGGCTACCAGCAGACTCCACGACCGAAGATGGCCCTAGTTAACACCGCCAGAGAGGTAAGCTTTTGGTTCCGGGAAAGCCCGACGGGACTCGACTCCTAAGAGATAGGAAGCATTTCCAGCGTGTTCCCAGAAGCTGCAACCAACAGAACGGGGTCGATTTAGCGCCTGTACCCAGCGGCTTCTTTGCAGGGTTCCGAGGTGAATCTGCTGCAAGGTGATAAGCTGATAAGATCAGGCACGGGGGTGTGAGGTTGCATGTGCGATCGGAAACGTCATCCGCTTTTTTCGACCGACCTTGCTTTTGCCTTTAAATAAGAGCGTGAAATGCCAAACCGTCGAGTCCAGAAAATATGGGGGGGAAAACATGAGACGCCTCGATAGGCCAGGAGCGTCTTTCGCGGGCCTGGTGACCTTTTGTTCGTCATTTCCAGCAGGAACTTCGTAACGGGGATGGATCCCGTGAGCCATCCCCCAAAGGCATCGCCAGCGCTTAGCTGACGATACGGGGCAGGGCTGAGCTTGGGGGAGGGGGCTGGACTGAGTCAAGTGCTGTCTGCCGTAGGGCTCACCTCTGCTTGCAAGTCTACGTGCTGCGAAATATACTCTCTGCCGATAGAAAAGGCCTCGTCGGGGAAATGGGTCTCACGCACTTACAGACACACCTCGCTGACGTGAGCGATTCCATCCGTCTATAGGCTCAACTTGCACCTCCTAGATAGACTCGCCTTAGTCGGAGCTCAGGTATCCATACGTCCGACTTGGAAGCCGCCTGGACTGTCTTTCTTGGTGTGAAAGGTATCTTGGATTTCTGGTGCATTCGGATTGTTCGAGTCTGAAAAAGCCCGGATGTGATGGAGAATGATGGAGACGAGTACTGCACAAGAGGACTCGACCGGAGCTTCGGATTGCCTAGTTTGGCGGCTCGGCATTAAAGCTGCACTGGCTGCATTAACATCTTAGTAGATCGCATGATATCCCCACGCTGCATGCTTCACTCCACCGGGCAATAAACTACCCCTTATCCGATAGTGCCACAACGGATTCCTCGGCAATGCAACAGCGCTTCCGGGTTCACTCTGTCTACAGTACCTACCGTAGGTCACCTAAGGCAGGTAATAGCTCACAACGGCGGGGTTCGGCTGCTGTTCTCTATAATTGTGCAAGCGGTTACCATGATAAGGAATCCCAATCGCACTCCTGGGCGTGAAATTGAAAATGAGGTGTCTTGTCCGCTTAGGAAATAAAAGCACACATCACTTGCCAAGGTATCTTTACTCGACATCTTCCATCGTCCTGTCACAGGGTCCCCGATTTTGATACCTAAACAAGGGGTTAGCCCGCTGGCAGCCTGCGGGGCGAGGCTCGAAACCGTCCTGCCCTCAAACTGACGACCGTACCATAGAAACGCCATAACAGCCACGCATGAGCGTCTTATAGTTCTATATATCGTACGGGATACTCCGTACTACGGATAGAAAACATGTAAACGTTAACATGCGACGAGAGATACCATGGGGAGACGCACGTCTTATCGGTGATGTCACCCCTCTAAGATCGGAACTTACCGTTTCATGAAGAGAAAATAGCTTTTCCCCGCCCGGCGCGGTTGCTTGCGCTAAAACGTCCATGCCGCCTGGCATTTCCGGTTGATCTGCACTGTGCAGCGATCCGAGCTGCGTTTGCCGAGTGCTAACCGCACGTGGGATGTTCCCTGGGTATCTGCAACCAACTGAAAGGATCTACAGAGGCCACGGGCAAGCGGCGCTGGCTCAGCGCATTCCAGACGCTTTACGCCATCCAGAACCCCGCTGTTTCCAGATTGGAACTTGGGGTCGGTGGAAGCGTTCGTCAGCTTCCGCACAGTATCCTACACGCATATGGTGCTATACATTACGAGGTCATCTCTGCAGTTGGTGCATATGCCTAGCATTCCGACACGAATCGGACTGTGTCTCTCCTGCACACGTTTCCCCCTAACTGGCTATGGAATCTACTGATCTGCGCAATCGGCGGCCTTGGTATTCGCACCGAAAATGGCCAAATGACATTGCTGGGATGGCAGCACGGGGTCCTGGCGATGGGCTTGTCAGGCTCGGGACGGGCGGGCGGGTGGCCGCTGTTCGTGTGTTTGTTTCAGACAAGGTCAAACGTAACCAGCTGCTGTGCGTAATGGAAGGGCCGCGGCGCGGCGCAGCTTGCCATCTGATTCATCTGATTTCGTCGGGGGTTTGAGGCAGAGAAACCGAACCAAGCGCGGCAGGAGCGTACGTTCAGTTCCATTGCCAGGCCCATCTACCAGAGAGAAAGAGGCTGGGAACTCGTCCATCCAAGTCATGAATAGCTCCAGTACGTACGGCAACCAAGACACGAAGCACTGTATTACCAAGGCACAGCTGGGAGCTGGGAATTCAACTGCAGTTGTGTCATCCGCTCTTGCCAGTTCCCGCCCGACTGGAGAAGACGACATTAGATGGGAGAGCGCATGAGCATTCCGTCATGAAGTCACTGCCCTGCTGAGCTGGTGACGATTTGGCACTGCCAGCTACTAATTCAAGGTATCCATCCGTCCACTAGACATTTACCGGGCTGGAGACAGGTGCAGGAGGGCATCCAGCCAGGCGGATACCTATCTTACCTCCTTTTTTCCACGGCAATGCCCCTTAAAGAGGAGAGAGGTGAGGTAGGTACCTCGGTATCTTCGTTAGGTCGCGCTTGCTGTTGGTCATATGCCGTCACTCCCGTCACAAGGCAGGCACGCACACCCCCCCACGATCTCACCCCCTTGGAGTCTGTCTCTAAGCGCCACCCCCCCAGCTTTATCATCGGACATCCCAAAACAGCCTGATAAAGCCGCCTACGCCTCTGTTACCTTAGTTATAACGGGCCGCGCCTTGCTCGCTCGCTCCTCAGGGCCTGGTCCTTTCCTTCTGTCCTCAAACAAAGCAAAACCAACAAATAGGCCCCGGCAAACATTCGTAAGACCCTTCTTCACCTCCTGAGTGGCAGATCAGGGTGAAAGGTTGTAGAATATTTTCTCTGGGCTTTTTTCTTCTTCCTCGCTCGTTGTCACGGACAGCTATCGTTGCATTACTATCATTATCATTCTGCCCGTTCTTCGGCTTATCGCTTATCGCTATCGTCCGTCCCGCTGTTGGTGGCAGTAGCAGCAGCAGCAGTTCCAACCAGTAGCTGTTGTATTGATTCAACCCCTCGGTTCAAGGCCCGTCTCTTTTCTGTCTGAGTCACCGGCCAGGCCCCTGGACGACCTCCTTCTTTGTCACTCCGGAAAGAACAAGCCAAGCCTCTGGCCCAAACACCCCCAGAACACATCTGGAATCTACTAGCCAAACGTCGAACCCCAGAGACAAAGCCGCTCTTTCTCAATTGCGCACTCTTACCTGCATAAGCCGCCATCCACCTCCTAATCCTTATAAGCCCACCACGTCTAACAAGGACGTGCTCCCCGAGTGACTCTTCCCCTCCGAACACAACTGCTGCCCACCCGCTGCCGCCTTTAATACCTCCAGTCTCATACTTCAACTCCTAGGGACAGCCTTTCCCTTAGCAAATCTACCTAGTCCTCTCTACAATCTTTTGAGACAACCCTTGCGACGTAGTACGCCTCTCGCATCACATCGTAACAACCTGTCGTCCTCGACAGTACAACAACAGCCTACCTCAACCGTGCCAGCCACTAGCCGCCTTTTACTTGGGGTCAAACCGTTCTCTCCGTCAACTTGACCCATCGCCTTCTCCAAGGCGATCCGGGACAGCTCTAGCCGGTACTGCACTCGTCCCCGTCCTTGTCGAAAGACAGCACGAAGACAGCGCCTCGGCTTCTTGCCAACCCCTCCTCCCCTAGCCACCACCGAACCGCCCTCTCTTCCTTACCAATGGCTACCGCCTTCGAGTCTCCGGCTCAGTATGAGCGAGACCTGCGCAGCGCCAACCGGCCGTACAAGCGCACCAAGGACAGTTCGGCAAAGTGGCATTACGGGAAGCAGGAGACCTCGGGCGTCCGAGTCGACCAAGTTACCGGGGAGTTTCTGTCGGGCAATCCGGGCCAGCACGCCAAGGTGCGGCCCGTCTCCAAGGGCCATCACTGGTGAGCTGCCCTGTCCTCCAAACGAGCTGCCCATGGCCCCCTCCCTTATTGACACGTGCCTCTGCAGGTCCGCTACGCCGGCGCAGAAGAGGGAGCACAATATCGTCAAGTCTCGGGGCAACTGGGAGATGCCCAGTGGGCGGGTGCGGAGCAAGATCTACGCGAACCGCGAGATCAGCGACGCAGCGACGACCAAGTCGGTCGGGGAGCTCTCGCCGGCGACGCCCCTCAGCGCACGGCTGCCAGATGTGCTTTATAGCTTCGACCGAGCCGACACCCCGGGCCGCCCGGTGACGCTCGACATCTTTGTCAAGCGAGCGACTGGTCGCGACACGGAGCGCCTCGTCGAGCGCGAGTACGAGGTGCTGGACACCAACGGCGAAGCGCTCAAGGGCCGCAGGGCGCGTCGCATCCTGCGCCAGGCGTCACCGGCTGGCCAGCGGGCTCCCCCGGACAAGAAGAGCCCGACTACCTTAGAGGATGAGGACGGCTTTGAGCTTGTCTGAATGTCGCTTGGCGTCTCCTATCTGGATGTTCTTTTCTCTTTCTTCAAGTCACGTTCCTGCAGCAACAGCATCATCATCAGCATTTTTTTCGGTTATCCAACGACCAATCGCTAGCGATGTCTCATTCAACAGGAACAAAGCGACTGGGTCCTTTCACTCTTGCCCCTCATGTTGATTCCCTGGTTAGAGCCCACACTCGCAGCAACTTGTGAGCAATAGTTCGTTTTGGGTCGCTCAATCCTAGAAGAGCATACCAATGAATTTGGGCCATTTGGTTTGATCTTGGGTTCTCATGGTTTTGGTTTGGAGCGTTGAGCTTTCCACCGAGAAGAGAGTTCCTTTTTTCTTTTTGCATATTCTCACTCAGTGCGGGTGAGAAAGGGAAGGCGGGCGCAACAGACTACATACATACCATTATTACCTTTAAACACACAGATATATATATTATTTTGCTACCCTGCGTGCAGTAACTGCGCACTGCAGGGTAAGATCCAAGCTTTTCGCTGGCCATTTTCGTCTGCTGTCCACAGCCAGTAATCATGTGATGAGCACTGGGGATGAATTGAATGAGAACTCGCTCAGCAAGTACGTAAATGTGTTACTATTAGAACCGGTGTCAGTAGTTTTCATATGATTCGGTAAATAACAAGTTTTATCGTAATCTCATACCAACAGGGTCGGAAAAAAGGGGAAGAAAAGTAGAAGTGTGTTTTTGCACTGCAGTTCTTACTAAAAACCCTCATATTCACGTGAGACGAATATTGTCTCATTCAGTTAGAAGCCAAGGGTTCGGTCAACAAAAAAGATCCGCATGCGGACGCAATATGTTATATCCACTATATCTAGGTGTTTGCCAAATTATTCTTTTGGCGGGTATCATAATCGTATACAGTACAGCGTATATTTCATCTCCTGTGCGCGGTGTGGGCAGCATTGCGGCGCCTAGTCAGGTTGTGCAAACTCGCAGAGACGAACATGTGCTTTGGGCTGGTGCGTACTAACCTCGTTCTCTGCCAGCGGGTAATCCCAGAGATTGATAGACGGGTGGGAGCACGACGCATTGGCTGAGGATCTTACGCGGGGAACGAGCGTCCCATGAGGAGCTCATAATAGGCCTTTTGTTCCAGCTCGGAACCAAGAGCCGGGTCGAATTCCTGGTCGTTGAGTTGAGATATGGGCTCGGGGTTGGAACCCATGCTGTAGAAGTCGGCAATTGTCTCGTCTGGCGCGAAGCCTAGAGACGCCAGGGTCCGTGAAGCGGTTGAAGACCTGGTTCCGTTTAGTCTCATCTCAGCACTCGTGCTTCTCACCCAATACTTGGTCTGGCATAAGACGGAACATACCCTTGCGCGGCATCCTTGGCAACTATGTCGGACAGAGAGTTTGAGACCTTGCTTTGGTGGCGGAAAGCGGGACTCAAGAGTGAGTGTGGGCCAGGTGTCTTGGACTCAACTGCGGCTGGGACTGGGACTGCAGCTGACAGAGCAGGCGAACGCGAGGGAGACTGGCGTCTCTGGAGAAGAGCGGGAGACTGCAGAACATGTCTCTTTGCAGGCGCCGAGCGGATCGGCGGGTCAGAATTCTGTTCCTCGGGAAGGTCGTCGTCGTCGGCTTCTAGAGACTGGGCGTTGGTAGCTCCCTCGCCGCCTTGGCCTTCACTGTTTGGCGGGGGGCCGTTGTGGCCGAAGAATGCGCGGAAGACGGAGCTGTCCTGCCACTGGGTAATCAGTGCATCCTGCTGGTTCCCGTCCTTGATGGAAGCCACGACAGCCTTGCCGGTGGTGCTGTGTAGGTGGCCCTCGATGAGAGCATCCAGGCCGGGAATGGCACCCAGTACGGCACCCCAAGCAGCGGCGCTCTCCTTGTATGTGTTGAGAGCGGTACGGTAGCCCTTCTGGGGGCCGCGGCGCTTGGTTGGCCGCAGATAAAGGCAGGGCTTGTTGTGCTTCACACAGACGCTACACTTTGGCTTGCCATTGTCACAAGGCTGGTGGTTGACATGGCAGAAGTCACAGCTAGACGGAAGAGAAGGAGGGGTTGAGCAAGGGAGCTAGCAAGCAATGGAGCTACGGATGAGAGGGAAAATGAGAAGAGAGCCGCCACTCACGCGCGGGAAGCTTTCTTTCTTTTGCGGGGGTTCACAGGGGCCTCGCTGCCCGCATCGGCACCTGTGTCGCTGGCGGGGGGCGGAGGCTCGGCAGCCGACACGAGCCCGGAAGCACGCGACTGTGGTTGCGGTTGCGGTTGCGGTTGCGGCTCTGCGTCTTCGGTGCTGAACTCCATTGGGGGCCGGCAAGTGTTGTCTCCAAGGCTTTGAAACCCATGCGCGCGCGGGGGACAATAGGAGAGGTCGCAAGGAGCCTAGACTAGGGATAACGGGCAACCGATGCCATCCAGCCAGGCCCCAGTCTACCACAGGCGAGTCTGCCGCCGTGTGAGGTCGAGGGGAACTTAGGGCGAGTCCAATGGATGGAGTTAGTCAGTTCCGGTTCCATTACCTTAGGTAAGTTGGTTGAGGACACAATGGGGAAATGCAAATGCATGCTGAGCTGCGCTGCGCTTGCGGATCGATGCGTCTCCACGCCAAAACTCGCGGGGCTCCGGCCTTTTTAGGGGGCTGCCGCTGCTCTCCATGCTAAGTCTTCGGCGAGCATCCGAAAAAAGATTTGGTGCCGTGCTACCGACCCCGGCCCAAAGCGATTCTATGGGTGTTGGACCTAACACCTCTAGGCGAAACTGCGGTGTGAGGTATCCCGGCGATGTATGTACGTATAGGCTGTACATATAAAAACACAAGGACTATAATAAGATATTCAAATGGGTGATGGCAAATAATAATTCAATACCTACTGTGGGTAATATATGCTCAAATCCGTAAGAGACCCGACGAGGTGACCGAATCTCTGTGTTCCAAAAAGATACAAATTGGACGGGAATTGGAGGCAGAGACTTCACGATTGCTTGCTGGCGGGGTAGCCCGGAGACTTCTTCATTGTCGTCCCTTCCTCCAAGGATTGTCCGACACAGTGCAGGGGGGAATACTAAAGTCAGTACCTAAGGTACTTTCCATGTCTGATGCTGAATCGCACTTTCCTTCCTTCGAGAAGAAAGGGGCATGATGGTACGGATATCATGGCTAAGACATTAGGTTGGCGGAGCGTCTATGTTAAACGAGAATTGTAAAAGAGCAAAGGTCTCCCACCCATGGATGTTCGATCATCAGACCGGGAAGTTCTCACAACCAGCCTTATTGTTCGCCGCCAACAAGGGTTATATTCTATGTATTAGCCAGGCGATGGGGTAAATTCCCAGTTTGCCTGCATATTCGAGCAATTCGCACCCAAAGCTGGAGCTGGGACGGTGGGGTAATTACCTACCTACCTGACCTATTAACTCAGCTACCTGAGGTTCCATTGTTAACAAACTGCCGCCTGTTGCTTTCTAAAAGAACCGCTCAGAGGCTGGGCTAACGACGACTTGCACAACAGGGTCTATGTTTTCCCGCCTTTATAATCCCGAACAATCTGCCGACCGACAAGACCGCGCCGGAAATTGATCTGACTCCTGGATAGTGGAAGAGAGTGGCGCGTCAGTCGGTCTATGCCTGAACTTGGCTTCTTGGCTTACTTGCATCAAGTTTGTTTTCAAAAGAAACCAAAAGAAGACACGTCCTTCAACCTCCAGACGCAGCTTCAACTAACCAGGGACCGTTGAGTGTTGGCCGCTGCCGTGTGTTGCCTAGCATCAACCTCGGATGCCGTTGCGCTGCGTTGCCTAGCCTAGCCCGGCCCGGCCCGGCCGCAAACCACAGCACCATCGCACAACAGGGCCACTACTGAGGGAGGCCGTACGGAACAATACCACGGGGCAGGAAAACTCAGGCCGGTATAAGTCTCGCACACGGCTGTCGCTGGCAAGCTGCACTCGCGGCCGAGAAGCTTGTCTTGATGAGCGCGGTACTATCGCCTGCCAAGGAATCCGGGGCGGCCATGTCCATGTCTTCAACTCCCAAAAATGAGCGGGCCTTCGAGCCAAACGCCTCCATCGTGCTCGTTGGCTGCCGCGGAGCCGGGAAGCGCACCCTTGCCTTTATGGCTGCCCTCCATCTCCGCTGGCGCCTCGTCACCGAGGACCACTACTTCGAGAAGGCCATGGGCCTGTCCCGCGGCCAGTTCCTGTCACAGAACGGCAAAGAGCTCTTTGCCCGGCAAAACATCAATGTCTTCAAGCGCATGTTGGATAGCAACAGGACCGGCTGCATAATCGAGTGCGGCATGAGCAGTTTCACCGACGAGGCCCAGGATGCCCTCCGCGCATACTCCGCGACCAATCCCGTCGTGTACATACACCGCGAGAAGGAGCAGATATCCCGTCTCTTGGATGCCGCTGACGCCGAGCAGCTGTTGAAGGCCGACGAGAAGCACAGGGACTGCTCCAACCTTGAGTATTACAATCTCTATGACTCATCCAATGACGCCTCGGTCCCGGGTTCTGGTACGAGCACCCCGATGGACGGCCGCCTGCCTAGCCCCTCTAAGCTCCTGGATGCCCGCGAGGATTTCTTGAAGTTTCTCGATTTCATTACTGGGCGTGCAGCGACTCGCGCTTGGCTTGCAAGCCCGTTTTCGGTCGCTGCCATCCCTCCAGAGCTGAGATCTTACTCGTACGCCTTGCGCCTCCGTCTCTCCGACATCATGGACATGGAGATGGAGTGGGAAGACTTTGAGGCGAGGGCGGATTGCATCGAGCTCATTATTGACCATTGGCCCGACGATCTCCTAAATGTCGTCGCCATGCACGTCGCCTCGATCAGGAGGAAGATCGGCGTCCCTATCATCTACCATGTGGAGGAGAACCCTCGCGGGGAGCGACAAAGGATGCCCGCTGAAAAGGACGCTGTCGACTCTGAACTTCTGGAACTGGGCCTTCGCCTTGGCGTAGAGTACATCAGCTTGGACCTGCAACGCAGCGATGCGTTTGTGAGCCGCGTTCTTCGGCATAGAGGGAGATCCAAGATCATCGGCAACTACTGGTACCTGGGTCTCGGTGCTCTGCCGTGGTACAGCGACAAGCAGCTCGAAAACTATGCGAGAGCTCGCGCCCTTGGCTGCGATGTCATCCGTCTAGTACGGTTCTGTGCCAGCGATAGTAAGGTCGAGGTCTTGGAGGATTTCAAGAAGAAGATAGAGGAAACATTTCCCGATCCGAGGCCGCCACTGGTGGCCTACGACTTTTCCATTCTCGGCGTCAGGACACCCTTTCAAACCAAGATTCTGGGGCCCGTGAAGCATCCAGAAATGGAAAATGAGAGAGACCACCTGGCTACCGTCTGCTCGTATATGTATACCTACAGGCTCCAGTTCCGTCAGTTCCTGCTCGACCCGCTCGAGTTTTACGTGCTCGGCTCTAATGTCTCCTACTCGCTGTCCCCGGCCATGCACAATGCTGCGTATGAATATTCGGGGATGCCTCATACCTTCCACGCCATCACCTGCTCAACATTAGACAGTCTCAATCAAATCTGCCTCAGTGACTCTTTTGGCGGAGCTTCTCTGACAGCGCCTTTCAAGGTTGCTATCATGCCCCACCTCAAGGTGAAGAGCCACCATGCCACTGCCATCGGGGCTGTCAATGTTCTCATCCCGCTTAGGGGGCAGACCAACCTCATAATGGACCACGCCAACTCGAGAAACAAGTCTGGGGTGGTCCGCGACTTTTTCGGCGACAACACAGACTGGAGTGCGATTCTCACTTGTCTCCGCCGCGCCATTAGCCCCCGCAACTTTGTTCAGCCATCCAAGACAACTGCTATTGTCATTGGCGCCGGAGGCATGGCTAGGGCTGCCATCTACGCCCTCATCCAGCTAGGCTGCCGCAACATTTTCATTTATAATCGCACAACAGGCAAGGCGTTCGAGGTCGCCAGGCACTTTAATGAGTGGGCTTCGACTCAAGGGCCGGCGGGCTATAGCCAGCCGAGCGGGCTGACGACGGAGATATGTCGCGTCTTGCCCTCGCTTTCAGAGCCTTGGTCACGCAACTTCCAGCTGCCGACTATGGTAGTGTCGTGTGTTCCAGCCACGAGCGTCGACGGAAACCCTCCGGCCGACTTCGAGATGCCGCTTGGCTGGCTGAAAAGCCCGACTGGGGGCGTCGTGGTCGAGGTTAGTCATCTTTTCCCCTGTGTGCTCACCGAGGTGCAGTATCTGACCGTATGCGCCATTTACTAATCCCTAACCTGCGTTCGGAATAAAGTTGGCATACGAGCCCCTCATCACACCCCTGGTGGCGCAAATGCAAGCATTCCACGACGGCATCTCTCTGGCATGGGTTGTGGTCGACGGCCTTGCCGTCGTGGTTGAGATGGCCATCGAGGCCTTTGAGCTCATGACAGGCCGCATGGCACCAAAGCGGCTCATGAAAGAGATTGGTAGGGGAATCGGGGGGCATAAAAAGCCACGGGATCTGGACGCCGTCTTTGCTGAAATGGAGCGGTAATGTCTCTTTTTGTTTCCTTTTTTGGCCTTCTTGTTAGTTTATACCCGCAGAGTTCTAGGTAGGTAGTGTGACAAAAACGGACCATGATAACTGCCTTCCTTACCTCACCCATTATTACATGCGGCTTATCCACCATCAACACCTAAAGTCCGGGACGGTGGAATGCAACATATTCAGGAGCACCTGGATAATAAAATAAATCTTGAACCACGAGGTTTGGGACGAGTATTTGATATCACGTCAGGGGCTGCCAATCGCAGATAGTTAGGGCCCCAGGAGTACGATACGTCGTTGTGATGTGAGGGCTGAGGTTTTATATAGGGGTCTAGGTTTTATGTCAGCATTGTTACCTACGATACATACCTACGTACGTACGTGCCAATGATGAGAGAACAAAACTACTCTCTTCCTCTCTCCCATCTACCAAGCCGTCTAGCTTATATAACCTAGAGAAAGAAAAGGAGAAATATAAAATTCCGGAGTATCTTTTTTTCGAATTCCTTGTGTTCTCCTAGATTACTTAGACCAACTTAAGTTTTTTGTTCTCTCAAAACGAAATTAATATTTGTCCAAAAGAAAGGAGAAGAATAATAGAGACAAATCAGTCACGAATTTTGCGGACCAAAATATAGGTACCTATCTATACCCACTCATCCACGCCGTGGCGCGCTCGAGGGCGTTGCCGGCCCAGCTCAGATCCCAGTTGACGAGCTGCAGGCTGGCGAGCTCGGCGGGGGTCAGGGCGGCGTGCTCGCGGCCGTCGCGCTGGGCGGCCCAGACGTGGGCGCAGAGGTCCGTGAGGCACGCGTGCGTCAGGGCCGTGGCGCCCTGCGGCGTCGGCCCCAGTTCTCGCCCGCCCCACAGCTTGACCAGCTCAGCGAGCTCAGCACTGTAGTCCCAGTGGCCGTCCGGGTGCTGCACGGCGCACAGCCGCTTGATGACGTCGATGCGGTTGCTCCGGTCGTACGGATACCGCTGGCTCAGGGCGGTGGTGATGGATCTCGGTGAGGCGGTGGCGGTTGGGACTGCGTTCTTCAGGTCGAGGGGTGGTGCTGGGGTTTGCTGTAGATATTGCTGTTGGTACTGTTGCTGGTACTGGTGTGCTTGTTGTTGCTGACTATACTGTGACTGCGGTTGAGGTTGCTGGTATTGATACTGGGGGTTCCCCTACATGTCATCTAATATCAGTACCCGGCGCAAGAAGAGCTTCCGGTATGGAGACACGGAGAGAGGAAAAGACTTACGGGAGGAGCTTGATATACGGGAGTCGAGATAAAGCTTCCTGGTTGGTGGGCTTGCTGGTGCGTGTGTCGGACCACACCCAGAATGAAGATGGCCAGGAGGGCAAGGTCGATGAAGCTGGATACGGGTCAGAAAAGCTCTCTCTCTTGCATCGAGTTACTGACAGCGTAGTCGCGAGGGCTGTACGTAACATACATGTCCAGAGCAGACATGGCCAGGCCGACCTTGCTCCAAGTGGCCACGTCATTTTGCACTGTTCCGTCTGCGTTTCGAAATACTTGATGGGGGAACTTTGTAATATAGTCGACTTGAATGGTGAAGTAGTAGAGGCAAGCACACCAAACGCCTGCACATACGAGCAGCCACGGCGGCACGATATAGAGGTGGTAGGATCCTAGCCGGTTCTGAGTGAAGCAGAAGTACAGCCCGAGTACAAAGTGAAGGCCGGCCTACACAGCGAGCACGTGAGCATCTGTACCTGGGGTTCAGAGCTTGACTTTTTCTAACAGAGCAAGGGAGCTTACCCCGATGACGGCCAGGATAAATGGGATGGCTCCGACATGGAAGATGTAGATGGACGAGTAGATTATGACAGCCGCAACAAAGCCCTGTACAGGAAGCAGCCAGTTGAAGGCGCGCGGAATTCGAACTATGCGCCCACCTGCAGCCATGTTTGTGGCCGGCGACGCAGCAGTTCGCGCGCAACAGGCTTTGGCGGACGCGTCTTGTTCTGGGCTCAAGCTGGTCGTCGACGGCAAGGCGGTCGAGATTTCATGCAATGTGTGTCTGCGGACAGTGTTGGAGCATGAAGACGATAACAGCAGATAAAAGAGCGGCTTGCTACCGAGCAGAACCCGAGACTTCTGGTTTGGCCTGGCGTCGGCTAGGGTCTGGCCGAGCTGCGGCTGAAGGGCCGCGATCGAGCCCAGCCCAAACTGGGCTTGATGGCATGGCAGCCACATTGTTCTTGGCTGCTTTGATAGGGCAGAAGCCAACGTGCGGCAAGCCACGGCGAGATACACAAATACTAGGCATAGTAGGCGAGTGGGAGGCAAAGCCCCACGATCGACAGCAAGTGAAGCCCGTCATATCTGCTAATTCAACATGAATTGCGGATGATGCCGTCAATGACCATGCGTGTCAACAGCGGCAGAGCCGCCAAGAAATGAGGCTGGAAAGCCCCAGCGGCAACTCATATCGAGATTTGAACTGGGGGTTCGATTCTCTGAAAAGGACTTCTTTTGCGGCCTACCTTAGCTCTGTAGTACTTGGCCGAGGTAAGTACTGTACAATACATCTTCCGTCCTGTAAGGGTCTGGCAGAGATGCATAGCAGGGGCCATTTGACGTGTCTCGAGCGCGGGGAAGCAGTCCGTGCGACCCAGCAATTGGCAAGATGGAACTCATGAAAAAGAAACAGGCGTAGATTACTACAAAGTGTCATCCGAGGCGAGGAGGTTCAAGTCCTTGGCGTGTGGCATTGAGTTGCAGTCCGTCCAAACTCGTACTTGCCTCAGGAGACGGGAGTCGATTAGGCGCATTACGTATGCTCCAAGGCAGCAGCCCATCAAGGTTGTCTGTCCGAGCCTTATTCGGCTTGAATGGACGGCTCCTGACGAACATGCGTGAGTGTTGGTATTTTGGGTCGAGGCTAGATATCCTCAAGCTCCAACCTACCTACCTTGGGTAGGCAAGCTCGATATGGAATGTTGTCGGCGTGAGGTGGGCGAGAGGGTTGTAACGGCTCTTAGCTGAGGTTTTAGACAGAATCGCGGGCGGCCTCCCGTCACCGTTCCGAAGCTTGGGACTTGGATAATGGATGGCCCGGGGTTAAGGTAAAGGGCCGGTGACGTGACAATGTCGGACAGAACCGATCAAGAACCACCTTCCATTGACATCAGATTTCTGCAGACTGCCATAACCTGCGCCCGTGTGCTGTCGCGTCGTTGTTGCCCGGTGCAGAAGCGTAATAGAAACGGATTAAGCGTCGTGGGCTGTCCCGCGGCCGCGCTTTCCCTCGAACGGGCTTAATGCTGCGAGGCCCCACAGCAGCTTTCCCATAGGGTTCGTGACTGGACGGCAGGCGCGGTGTTGAGGGCGGGGTGCTAGGCTCCCTAGGCTCCCTGCCTTTTTTATGAGGTGGCCTGCTGCGCCACGATGGAAGGCATAAGGAAGGTATGGACCATTGGAAGTCCTTTGTGCCCATCAACTACTCCACCGCCCGCAGCCTCTAGAGCTGATCTGATCTCACCCGACAGTCTTATTGCCTAGGTTGAAAAGCTTAGGGCGGAGAGCTTACAAGCTACAAGCAAGTCAGCTCGATACTGTGCCCGAGATAATTTTTTATTTTTTATTTTTTTTTATTTTGTTTTTTGCTTGCGGATGCCATTAATTGTTGGTAATGAGCTGCCTGCCTCACCCCCTCACGACCCCGACTTAATTATTTTATCCATCTCTTCTAAATACGTCCCCATTTAGCTTATCTAGCTTAGGTGCTGTACTGTACAGTGCTCAATTCCCGCCCCAGCCAGCGTCGGGTCCGTTCAGTAGCGCGAGGGCCGTAGCCCGCCCGGCTTTGCTGTCTTGCTTCTGGGCTACCTACCGGGTTCTAGGAGCACGAAGCCAGGTTCCAGCCAACCTTGGCAGAACAAAATAAATCAACACACAGCCCCAAGGTGGTGGTTCAAGATGGATCCCAATGACCAGGGCGAGTCGTCTGAAAAGACGCGATTACGCCAGAATTATGAGGCGTCTTCCCCCCGGCCGCCATTACTATCCCCGACCACCGGCACGGTCAGCAGCAACAGCAGTGGCGGCGGCGGCTGCGGCGGCGGAGGTGTCTCACCAATGGGGAGCAGCTCGGTTCCCATGTCCGAGGACGAGCTCACCGAGGCCGAGCTCGGGTCTCAATTCGAGCCGTCGTCGCCCAGCCTCAATGTCCGCTCTCCCACACCGCCGCCTTATTCGGGCCCGTCAACCAGCACCCCACATGAGCCACGGCCACAACACAAGGGCCCGCAGCGGTACCCGGGGCTTCCGCTGCTCGACTATCGGCTTTACAGCCCGCCTCTCTTCATCCCCTCGGGCGACCACACGACCATCCGGTCAACGGCGCCGTATCTGTCGAGCAACGCCTCGGCGCTGGCGGCGCTGGTGAGGTCGCAGTCCACGGTGCCGCCCAAGCCGCAGATCCACATTGTGGGCAAGCGGGGCAGCAAGCTCGACTTCGACATCAAGCTGAACCTCATGAACCTACTAGTACCCGAAGACATGCGCCAGCGCATGGACTACATCCGGTGCGTTGCCGACGGCGAGCTGGCCATGCGGGGCGGCGTCAAGCCGAGCCTCGAGCCCGAGGTCGGCGACGGCGGGCTCGACGAGTGGTGCCGACGCTTCGTCGAGGACTCGGGCTCCGTCAAGACGTTTACGCTAGAGCGCGTCGTGGCCAACATGGACATCAACTGGCTCGAGGGACAGATCCGGAGCATGGTTGCGTCGACGGGCTACAAGGGCCTCGTCACGATAACCTTTCCCGTCTCTCACGCGAAGGTGGTGGTGCAGAACCCGGACAAGGTGAACAAGTTCTTCACCAGCGTCGCGACGCTCTTCGCGGGTAAGAAGAAGTACGAGGTGGCCAAGGCCGTATGGCCGTTTGCGACGCACAAAAACGGCGAGCCTGGCCGGCGCTGCATTGTCCAGAGCGAGGAGACGTGGTGGAGGGAGTGGAAAGATCCCATTAGATACGGTATGTAGGGCTCTGCTCCCCGTTCATGGTTCCCTCACACATACGCTGACCGCGAACTGGAATTAGCCATCGCAACAAAACGGGAAGGCTGGGTGACCAACGAAGACAAGCTCGAGGCCATCATGGAGGGCACGGGGAAGGCGCCGACGATGGACTGGGGGCCCGAGTACTGAGAGGGAGTTAATGCTCGATTGTATCGATTTTTTTGGATTTTTATTCTTTTTTTTTTTTTTTGGCTTACGGGTATCTTTAATGACGGTCTATTTTGTCAACATAGCGATGGAGTTGGTTGCATTTTGGTTTAGATGGATATCCGCCTGGGAGCAACTGAACGGACGAGGAGCCAGCTTACGGTACTTACATACATATCTAGGTAACTAATGTCTACTACGTGTGGGGGCTTGAGGAGAGATTGGAGATATTCATGAATTGTGTGAAATCTGTCTTATTTTGGTCGATATAAATATCAGGGTGAGTATGGTAGAGAGTTCAGCTAGGCATGCTGATGAGACCCCGTTTTCCAGTTGGTGCCCAGCTCAGCCCAGTGCAGCACGGACATGTGTATGCAGGTGCAGATTCCCGTCGGAAGGGAGCCGAGCTGTGGGGGAGTCGGGCGCGGGTGCCAGGTCAGGGCTCTTTTACCCTGTATTCCAGGCTGTTAGGAACAACTCACTCCCCTCCACCTAATCCCGTCTTCTGGTCGAATTCCAAGAGGAAGGCTCAATTGCCCAAGCTATTAAGTACCTATGGGATTATGAAACTACTATCGCGAGATTCACTTTTAATACACGGGGGAGGCTGAGTCTTTTCATGCCTGCCCTTCCTTCATCTCCCCCACGAATGTTTGAAGTCCCCGGCGTGAGTCACTGCCCAAAGTGGCCCAGATCCCAGCCTTACGCTTACGGCTGTGGTAAAACGGCGGCTTCCCAACCCCTGAACGAGGAGGCTGTCGGCCATCGCATCGCGGGGAGAGAGTCACAGCACAGCACATCTTACTTCGTATTGGATGGATGGTATTATGCCTAAGCAAAATAACAAAAGGCCTTTGACGGTGGCCTCGTCCATCTCGTATATATCTCAGAGGCTACAAGGCTTCAGTTTCCCGCTACCAATTCCAGACAACACCAAAAGGGAACGTCTCTATTAATTTGCGAACAGCCTTGGTTGAGAGTGCACCCATCTTGACATTCCCCCTTACCTTCCCCGCGGAAATAAACAAATAAACAAAAAACCAACACCACGCACCACATATCACCAGGTCAATATCCCACCCAGAGATAGATCTGCGCATCGCATGGCGTCTCTCGATGCCATCCCGCTCGCGTCCCACGACACGGCGCTCTGCATCATCCCGCCGCGGCACCTGTGGCCGGCCGTAGACAGCCTGCGAGCGCTCTACGACAAGGCCCACGGCAAGTGGCCGCCACACGTCAACGTCATCTACCCCTTTGTGCGGCCCGAGGCGCTCGGCGCCGCCGCCGAGCGGGTCGCCGCGGCTGTATCCCAGCGCGGGCAGGACGACGACGGCGAAGAGGCGCTGCGCCTGTCGCTGGACGCCGCGGGCGTGTTTGCTGCCCACAACAAGAAACACGACAACACCATCTACCTGCACGACAGCGACTATGTGCGCTGCGCACGGCTCAAGCGGCTGCGGCGGCACGTGCTCGCGGCGCTGGGCCCGTCGTCCCAGTCCCACCAGCAGGCGGCAAACAACTTCCAGATGCACATGACGGTGGCGCAGAGCGCGGACGCCGAGTCGGCGACGCACGGGTTTCTCGTCGACAAGGTGCGCTTGCTGCCAGCCGTCGCGTGGGACGTCGGCGAGCTGTGCATCCTGGTCCGCGAGCGCGTGCAGCTGCAGGGCGCCGCCACGAGCCAGATGAAGCTGTGGGCCAGCGTCAGCCTTTTCGATGGCTCCGTGACCCGACCCGAGCGGCCTCTGGGGTTTCGCGACGACGACAACATGAGGAGGCCTGTCCTGCTGTCGTCGGATGACAGTGGCAACGAGAATGACAATGGCGAGGATGACAAGGACAGGTTGCAGACCAACGCGCCATACCGCTTCGACGGCCGTCTCTGGCGGCGCTATCCAGCAGCGGCTGCCGATGCCCGCAGCGTCGCTGCCGCAGATGCTGCCACACCGCCGGCAGCCACGCTCAGCATCTCGAGCTACAACGTGCTGGCCGAGTTCGACTGGCCGGCGTCCGAGGCGCGGTACCCTCTGCTCCTAAAGAACCTGCTCGCCGACAACGCCGCGGCCGACATGGTGATCCTCCAAGAGGTGACGGACAGCTTCCTGACGTTCCTTCTCGGCGACGGCGGCGTGCGCGCCGCGTACCCCTTCAGCTCGCACGGCCCGCCGGCGCAGCCCGACGTCGCGCCGCTGCCGAGCCTGCTCAACACGGTCGTGCTGAGCAGGCGCGCCTTTGACTGGCAGTGGCTGCCGTTCCGGCGGCAGCACAAGGGCGCCGTGGTTGCGCGGTTCCACGACGTCGGGAAGCGCAGCGAAGCCGGACACCTCGTCCCGGTCGTCTTCGCCGCCGTCCACCTCACGTGCGGCCTCACCGACGGCGCCGTGGCTGCTAAACGGACCGACGTGCAGCGCCTGCTCAGATATCTGGCGAGCGCGTATGCGGGCCACGCGTGGGTGATGGTGGGCGACTTCAACATCTCGACGTCGTCGTACTCGATCGGCGCGGCGCTCGAGAAGAAGACGCTCTCGCCGCTGTCGGCGGGCCATCTCGGCGCGTTCGACGCCTTGTTTGCCGATGCCGCGCTCGACGACGCCTGGCGCGTGTGGAAGGCTGGCCTCGACCGTGGTGGCGGCAGCGACGGTGACAGCGCAGCTGGGGCCGGGGCGGTCGGTGAGGAGCTGTACGATGGCGAGCAAGGCGCCACGTACGACCCGACCGTCAACGGCGTGGCAGCCGCCATCGTCGGGAGCGGCGCCAACATGCGCCCGCAGCGCTACGACCGCATCCTCGTGCGCGGCGAGGGCCTGCTCAAGGTCGCCCGCTTCAACAGGTTCGGCTTCATCAAGGGCCGGACTAAAGGGGGTAGTAGCGCAGAGCCCTCGTACGCGAGTGACCACTGGGGAGTGCGGTGTGTCGTGGCCGTGGGAGGGGAGGATGAGAGTGACATATTAGGTAACAAGCTAGCCGACGAGGAAACCAGCAGCAACAGCTTCGTGGTCCCCGTCTACCTGGTGAGGGCCCCTGAGAGCCTCTCTGCAGCGGGGACGGTGCAGCAGTGCCTGGCCGACCTAGGCGTGATCCCGAGCGAGGACGAGATCTCCAAGCGTAAAGCGGCGCTGAGCTTGCTGAAGAGTGTCCTGCTCGACACACCGGCTTCCCCGAGAGCAGCGGCAGATACCCCGGAGACGACTGCCAGGCCCCTGCAGCCGGTAGCCTTCGTCGTCGTGCCCGTTGGGTCGTACGCGCTGGGGGTCTGGACGGCGGCGTCGGACATGGATGTGCTGTGCATCGGCCAGCTCAGCGCCAACACCTTCTTCGCGCTCGCGACTCAGCGGCTGCGCAAGGCGGCGGCCACGACGCACAGCCACGACATGCGCATCCTGCGCCGGGTCAAGGCGCACTCGGGCACCATGCTCGAGCTCGAGGTGCTGGGCATCAAGATGGACCTGCAGTACTGCCCCGCCGGCGCCGTGGCCGAGAGCTGGCCGGCGGCGCTGCGCCTGCCGTCCACGAACCCCGTGTGGTCGCTGTCGGCGTCCACGCTGGCCAAGCTCAAGGCGGCGCGCGACGCCGATTACCTGGCGCGGTCGGTGCCGGACCGGGTAGCGTTCCGGGCCGCGCACCGGTTCGTCAAGACGTGGGCGCGGTCGCGCGGCATCTACGCGGCGCGCTTCGGGTTCCTCGGGGGCGTGCAGGTCTCCATCCTGCTGGCGCGCGTGTGCAAGCTGCTCGCGCAGCAGCAGCAGCCCTCCTCCCGAGAAACGCTCCCGGTGGGGGACATTCTCGTGTCCTTCTTCCAGCACTACGCCACGTTCGACTGGGCGACGCAGATGGTCTTTGACCCGCTGTTCCATCGCTATTTTGGCGCCCGCCCGCAGCCCCCCTACTCGCGCAACGCCGCGCGCGAGCCGCTTGCCATCCTCGGCTACTTCCCGCCCGCGCTCAACACGGCGCACGCCGCCTCGGTGCCCTCGACCCGCACCATCGCTGACGAGTTCCGCCGTGCGGCGGCATTGCTCTCGCCGCTGTCACCGGGCGGCGACGGGGAGATAAGCACCACCACCACATGGACATCGTTCCTCGCCCCCGAGACGGTGCCCGCCACGGCCTTCCTCGCCGCGTACAAGACGTACGTCAAGATCGAAATACAGTACTGGGGCCTGTCTCTCGCCAAAGGCCAGCAGTTTATCGGCTGGCTCGAGAGCCGCTGCGTCATGATGCTAGTCGATCTGGCGCGGCGGGCGCCCGCGCTGCACGCACGCATGTGGCCCGCGCGGTTTGTCGAGGTTGACGCCGACGCCAACTCCGGCGCGCCAGCACCCTCCTTCACTCGCCAGAACGACAACGAAGACGACGACGGCACAACAACCCGCGAATACCGCGGCTGCTACCTCATCGGGCTGGACGTGGCCGACGTTGCTGACAACAAAACCAAAACCAGCCGCGAGGACATCAAGCTCGCGCTGGGTGGCGTGCAGACGGCGCTGGGGCGGTTCGAGGAGCAGATGCGCGGCGACGAGCGGTTCTACGACGCCAAGTCTTCCTGGATCGGCGCCGAGATTGTCAAAGGGCGCGAGCTGGCAGCCGCCACCGCTCGGTTCGAGGTTGACGCGCGCGAGTGGGGAGACTACACGCCCGGGGACGAGCTCTCGTCGTCCGAGGATGACGAGGATGACGACGGCGACGACGATGAAGATTATGGCGCGGACGATAACGAAGACGACGGCAGGCTCAGCTTTGGCGTCCTCAGCCACGAGGAGGCCAAGAGGCGGAGGAGCAAGAAGCGAGCCGAGAGCAAAAACAAGAAAACCGAGGAAGCCGTGAAGCTCGACACGGGGCGCAAGTTCCGCACGGCGGCCGACGTGATGAACCGCCTACGATGGGACGGCGGGTTTGCCGAGGGCGACTTCCTGGTCGGGTACGAGGACCGGTTCGTTGGGGCGTGCGAGCGCCCGCTCGACGCGTGGAAGACGGAACAGACGGACGAGGAGTTTATCCCGCAGCACCGCATCCTGTATTTCAAGCGGCGCAGCGACGGGGTAGTGGTGTGGGAGCGGAGAACGCGGCTGGATGAGATTTTTGGAAGTGGCGTGTAGTGAGTTATAGAGGCTTCGAGGGTGTGAGTGCTGTGGTGTGTTACCGGGTGAGAATGCGAGTGTAGGCAATGAAAGCGAGAAGGAATACAAAAGGGGGTGGGAAAAACAAGGAAAAATACGCCCCTGAATCACCACAAAGGGTTTCGTAGCACGTCATGAGCGATATCCCCACATGATCAATTACCCGTAGAGTAAATCTTGGATTTTGGCATTTTCCCGTGTAGCCCACAGAAAAGGGGTATCTCATCACTTTTTGATCCCGCCGCCAACAAGACATAATCATTCACCCTGCTCCCTTTCTCCAACTTCTCCTTTCTTTCGCTGCAGCTGCACCTCCCAGAGACTCATCGCCACCGCCCCTTGCGGCACAGCCTCCCTCCAGCCAGAACGATCCGCCCTAGTAGCCGGTAGAAAATCTTCCACCGTCTGCTTTATACTCGGCGGCTTGGCCATATCTGCCGCCGCTACCGAAGCTTTCGCCGCCGCCGCCAGCCCTTGTGGAGGCGCCTGGCCCACCAACGCCCACATTCGTCTCTCCTCATGGTAGGCGGCACGGGCATCAACGGTGTCGGCATAAGCCTCCTGGGCCCGTGCAGTGCGGATGCTCTTCTCCAGGGCCCGCCGCGCCGGCGCCGTAAAGGGGTAGCCGAGCCCAGAGTACCGGGTGAGCTCACTAGCTTCGGCCCAAATCGCTTCCTTATCGTCGTTCTCATAGTCGTCGTGGTCTGTCTCCGGGTCGCTTCTCCGATCTACGCCGTCGTCATCGTCTTCTTCTCCCTTGACGATGGAAGATGAATCCTCGATAGATGGCGTGTCAGAGAGCGCTTCCAGGTCCTCCTCCTCTTCTTCTTCATCCTCCTCTCGATCAGAATTTACCGGACGGCGGGCGTCGTCGTCGTCGTCGTTGTCCTCGTCTTCGACGTCTTCGTGGTAATTACCGCTACCATCGTAGCCTAGGGATTTCTCCACGTCATCGTAAGACATTGGTCCCGGATCCTCGTCGACGCCTCCATCATCGCCCTCTGACAACGCGTCATCGCTATCATCGTACACATCTAGTCTCAGCCGCCTAGGACATCGGGCCCAAAACTTGTGGCCATTGGGATTGAGCCCGAGGGATAATATTGCAGCCTCAACATCTTGACGCCGTACTTTTCTACTAGTTTCCCGGTCCACCTCGCGCTTCGTGCGCACGCGTGACTCACTGACGTACAGAGCGGCAGCGACGAGACGTCTCGTCACAGAAAGGGCTAGCGAGTAGAGGTCTTCAAATGTAGTGGTGCGTATGGTAGGCTTCTCGTCCGAGACGCTGCACCAGTTGTACTCTTCGAAGGAGGCATTCATGAAAACGCGCTCCGACAGCCGTAGCCAAGCGCGAGTTTTGAAGAGCTCCAAGGACTTCAGCTTCTTGTCTTGTGTCTTCTGGCTGTTCTCTGCCTCCATCTCGCTCCAGTTGGACTGGGATATTAGCCAACTGTTAGGGCCCCAGCGTGCCTTTTCGAGCGTCTCCTCGTGCACTTCCTGACGGAATGACACGGCGTCTGCGGCCTCGTCCAGCGCGTGGCAGCAGGGTTGGCTCAGCTCGACAGCGGCTGGTATATCGACGGGCACAATGGGCTTCAGCTCGTCGCGCTGCCTCCGCGCAGCTGCATCTTGCCGCAGCAGACTCAGGTACTGGGCGACTTCCAGCTCAGCCTTGGTCTTGACACGGGCGGTAATGCCCACGGCGTCGTCGGGGCCCAGGCGCGACAGGGCCTCGAAGAAGAGCTCCTTCTCCACGTCGGTCCAGTAGCTGAAGCCAATTTGCGAGGGTGTGAGATTGGACCCGTCATGCGGAACAAAGCGGTCCGCAGCGTCCTGGATGTCGACGTTTAGCAGGGCTAGATATTCGTGGTTGAGTGTGCCCTTGATGCGCTTGAACGGGCGGTCCTCTATTGACGGCGGGTTGAAGGAGCGTTTTCGCGGAGACCACGGCGCCGAGTTGGACCGCGACGGGACCGCATCGGCGTCTAACAATGAAGCACGGCTCCGCAACGAAGGCGAGGGACGGCAGTTGTCTGCCTCGTCGCCTTCGTTCTCCTCGTCGACGGATAGATTGTTGTAGTGGGTGCCAGCCGTCGAGGATCGGTAATGGGGGACGACGCCCCCCAGTGACCCGACTTCATCTTCAGGCTCACTCTTCACAATCCTAGGGGGAGGCAGCAATTGGGCGGGCTGATGCTCCCTATTGCTGCGAAGGCCGCGTGCATCTTCTTCATCTTCTTCATCTTCTTCATGGCTGAAGCTGTAGCTGCCTGGCAGGCTGCCGTCCGACTCCATCGTAGTACGATACCTTAAACCAGATATTAAACCAGATATTGTGACTGCCCTAGGTATGTTCTGTGAAGCTTGGGCCGGTCATGCGTTGGCAGAACATGACAGGCCTTGGGTTGGTCTGGTTTCTGCCTCCACTGCCTGCGGTCGAGGTGACGGCTTGACGACGAGAGTGGGTGAGATGGTGGGGTGGAAATGGCAATGGCAATGCAAATGAACGAGGACTCGGAATTGACTGGGTCCTGGACAGGTGCTACTGTACAAATCGAATTCGCCCGCAAAAAGAATGCAGTTGCAAGGCGGAGATGCACCTTCTTTCTGATGATTTGCTAGGTTGGCTATCAAGGTTCTCCTGGACAAAATATCCAGAGTGCGTCTGTATTAACTTGGAAGGTACGGATACCTACCTTAGGTAGGTTTGGGTTTTCTATTCTGATTGGATAATATCTACTACCGTGGTGGGGGTTTGGTGCAGCACTGGTAAAGTAAACGTTGAACCTAGTGCGTTTCCGTAACAGACCGCCACAGTTCATGGGTAAGGTGTGCAAACGATACAATCAAGCCACCACGTGACCTTTGGTGACTTTTTGGGAAGAACCTGCTAAAAAAAAAATGACTTCAAACCCCCTATATTTCAGGCTTATACCCCTTGGCAAAAAAGGTCACCGCAGTATGGTTTTAAATCCCGGGAGAGGTGTAGATTCCGCCCATGTTTTTATACGTAGGCGTTGCGGCCAACATAGAAAGCTACGTATTCTGACTGGCACCCTTTTTCTCTCTGCACAGTACGGAATACGCTCAGCCTCAACCCAAACCCCAACGACATCGGCCAGTGTTGCATTGCAAGGACGGGATGAATGAGCAACAAGACAACCAAAATAGAGTAAAAGGGCCTGCTTTGCTGCCATGAGGAGACTTCTTAGCCTTGGGTCGCAGAGACTCCGAAGCCCCCTGACAAAGCGCATGCTAGTAGTCGCCAGACTGCGATCGCAACAACAACAAAAACAACAACAGCGATGGTCATCATCGGCCGGTCCGTTGCCCGCGCCCGGCCAAGACGAGACACATGGCGCGCCAGCCACGTCTCTCGGCATACGTCTTCGTAACTACCAGGAAGAATGCATCCAGTCCATCTTGACCTCTTTTGACCAGGGCCACAAGCGCGTTGGTGTCTCGCTCGCTACGGGAAGCGGCAAGACTGTATGAACCACCATCCACTCACTGTTCAGTGTTCCCCCATCTGACCCCTATGTCCGCACTTGTGCTAACATGGGTCTGTCTGTCTGGCAAACAAGGTCATTTTCACACATCTCATTGACCGTGTCAAGCCCTTGTCTCCCACAGCCACCCAGACCCTCATTCTGGCCCACAGAAAGGAGCTTGTCGAGCAGGCCGCGAGACACTGCGCAAACGTCTATCCAGACAAGACCATCGAAGTCGAGATGGCCAAGCTCTCGGCTTCTGGCACCGCCGACATCACCGTTGCCAGCATCCAGAGCATGACCTCCAAGGGCCGCCTTGCCAAGTTCGACCCGAGCCGCTTCAAGCTGGTCCTGGTCGACGAGGCCCACCACATAGTGGCCCCCGGCTACCTGCGAGTCCTGGGCCATCTGGGCCTGGCGACTAAGCAGCCCAGTTCGCCTCACCTGGTAGGCGTTTCTGCCACCTTTTCTCGATTCGACGGACTAGCGCTAGGCGCCGCCATCGACGAGATCGTTTACCACAAGGACTATGTCGACATGATTGGCGAGAAGTGGCTCTGTGATGCCGTTTTCACCACTGTTGACTCCAAGGCAAATCTTTCCAAGGTCAGCCGGCTCGGAAAGGGGGGCGGCGGAGACTTTGACACGGCCGCCCTCTCCCGCGCCGTCAACACGGACGAGATCAACGACATCACCGTCCGGGCTTGGGTTGCCAAGGCTTCGGGAAGGAAGTCGACCCTCGTTTTCTGCGTCGACCTCGCCCACGTGGCCTCGCTGACACAGAGCTTCCGCCACTACGGAGTCGATGCCCGGTTCGTAACAGGCGGTACTCGCACGCGCGAGAGATCCGCGTGCCTAGATGCCTTCAAGGCAGGCGAGTTCCCCGTCCTTCTCAACTGCGGCGTCTTCACCGAGGGCACCGACATTCCCAACATAGACTGTGTCCTCCTGGCTCGGCCAACGAGGTCCCGCAACCTCCTCGTGCAGATGATCGGGCGGGGCATGAGGCTGCACCCTGGCAAGGAGAACTGTCATGTAATTGACATGGTATCCAGCTTGGAGGCGGGCGTTGTCACGACTCCTACGCTGTTCGGCCTGGATCCTGCCGAGCTACTCGACGCCGCGTCAGTCAACACCATGCAGAACATTCGGGACCGCACCATGTCCGACGAAACGGTGAAGAAGCTAGCCCAGCAGCCCGTCGACGTGTCGCAGACGGCAGGGCGCGCTTACAAGGTTACCTTCACCGAATACGACTCGGTATTTGACCTGGTGGCTGATTCGTCTGGTGAGAAGCACATCCGGGCAATTAGCAAGTTTGCCTGGGTCCAAGTGGCCCAGAATCGCTACGTCCTCGACAGCGCTTCAGGGACATTCCTGAGGCTGGAGAAGGTCGAGGATGATGAAACGTCGGGTGCGCCCCGGTTCAAGGCCTGGGAGGTGCGTTCTCTACCGCCCGGCTTGTCGAAGTCGCCGTATGCAGCTCCGCGTCAGCTATTGGTTGCAGAGAGCTTTATTGATGCCGTGCATGGCTGCGATAAATACGCCGGAGAAAAGTTTTACTTTGGGACTATCTATCTGGGCACGAGATGGCGCCAAGGGCCGGCGACAGAAGGTCAATTGAAATTCTTGAACAAACTAAGGAGGTTTCCAGACCAACCCTATGGGCCAGGGGACCTCACCGGAGGCAAGGCAGCCGATATGATTGCAAAGTTCAAGCACGGTGCCCGGGGTAGGTTCGCCAACTTGTTAGCCGATCAGAAGCGGAGACACAAGGCGAGCCTCGTCGTGGACCAAGAGCATGAACGGAAGCTCCGCGAGATTGTTTCGGTTGGCCCTTTGCTGTCGTGACGGGAGTCTAAGTCTGTCAAAGACAGGCAGCCCAGGTCCAGGAATCTTTACTGAACCGGGGCCCTTCAACGCCCGCCCTTCTATACCCATGTCGGGCGGCACAGGACAGGAAAGGCGGGGACGCGCGCGATTCGAGCTCAGGCTGGAGAACTTGAGCCTGGTACGAGTCCGAATCGTGGTCGTGGTCGTGGTTGTGGTCGTGTCCACGGGCGCTCCTTCTTCTACCGAAGCTTCTTACCAAGACACGAGACCGGACCAGACAGATATGCCGCCCACTTCCGTCTGAAGAAGGCGTGCCTGGGACGTGACTTCTTCCTCACTAGACCATCCTAGGTCATGGCTCCGGAAACCCCCCACCGCATCGTCTTTCGTTCCCTATCTAGTAGGCACCGTAGGTAATTTAATTGATGCCGGCGGCGGGCAGAGTCGCAACAGATCGAGGACGGGGTGCCTCCAGCTTGCCACCACAACCGGCGCGCTCTCGACAACCATGGCTTTTTACTTCCACCCGCGCTGCGCTGTATTCATTGTGCTGTGTCCATTCGTTTTCTGATATCCCTCCACTCGCATCTCTAAGCTCAGCCAATCTGGCAACCAAGTTACTACCTTACTTCCCACGGTTCCCGCGCCCCCAGAAATAACTTCCATGAGCCCAATAATCCAGAGCTCCCATCCCTAGAAAGCTTGCTCTGGGCGCCCGAGTCTGAACCATCGGCGCTCTGCACAAACTTACTACCGGCGTCGCCTTTTACCGACGAAGCTGGTGCAAATCGCGCGTTGCTCGCTGCCAAAACCACACACCAAAAAAAAAAAAAAAAGGGGAGGGAACAGGAGCACGCGCACTTCAGTCAGGACTGGCACTCACCTCACATCATATTCACCACTCCATCACCTACCTCTACCTCTCTTCCGTCCGCCTCTCACGTTCACCTCGGCTTTGCAACGGTACCAGTTCCGCCTTGTAGGTGGAAAAAATTTAACTACGTGACGGTTTTCAGCCACCAAGGTTCGCTTGCACCTGCAACTCAAAACTGGCGAACCTTGTATCTTCTTTCCGGCAATCTCAACACCGTACATGGTACCAGAATTATCTGGCCTGCGGGCTCTCCAGCCTGAAGGATTCCACGGACTAGCTATGAAGAGCATGTCGCTCATTTTCCCCAAGCTCGATGTAATGGGCGGAACGCGTGATTCTCGCATCGCGCCTTCTCCGCCATCCTGCGATCAAGTCCTTCTTGATCGGCCCTCTTGCGACCAGTCCCCTCTCGACCAGCCCTCTTTCAGCGCCTCAATTCAGTGCCCGAATCACGACAGCGGATGCGTCTTGTCGCCTACCTTGCCACAGCTCAGGGCGGTCATGGCTCTCTCGAGTGCCTCTAGACCACAGCACCACCGCCGCCAGGGCACATCCGAGAACCTCGAGCCAGCAATCGCTCGAATCATTCCCGGCACCCCCGGCAAAGATGACGCCCAAATGTGTCCAACTTTGGCAGCGCCCTCTGGGGTGCAGCCGGAGCTACCCAGTGCAGATGCCCAACAGCCCGACGTCCCTCATGTCACAGGGACCCTTCCAGGCATGGCAAAGGAAGGGTTCGTGGGACTTCCTAGGTGGAATTTCTCCCCATCGAGGCCTTGTGCCGATACGATTTGTGCCGACGAGCCGGTGCAACCAGAGACAGAGCCGGAGTCGGACTCAGAAGCACAAGTACAATGCGAGCAGTCGTATGCCCATCTCATGGCTTTCCCACCGGCCGATATGGCGGAAGACAACCGCCGGTTCAGCGAGTACTGGAACTGCACGTTCACCGCTCCTATTGTACAAGGCTTCGACTTCGCACAACTTGGAGAGTTCCAATCTGCCTATGCCGAGGACTGTCAACCCCTCAACCTCAAGATGCAAGCAGAGCAGAAAAAGATTGATGTTCTCGTGCAGAATGTGTGCTATAAGCGTCAAATTATCCGCCAACTCCAAGCAGAGTATCTGTCCGCGAGCATGAAAATGAGGCGGGGCATGGGAGAAGAGCGGACCCCCGCAGAAGAAAGATTCCTCTACCGTTTCGTAGCGGAAGAGATGAGAGTGGAGAGCGACATACGTGTGTTGGAGAGGGAGATCAAGGCGATCATGCGCCAGGTCGCCAAAGAAAGAGAGGAGTCTCTTCTCTGTGAATTTGATCCTGCGGCTAGGTTGGCGACGATTCGAGAGAAGGCAGCCGAAAAGATTGCCGAGGAAGAGGACCTGGACTGGATGAAGCTGATGGTGGGTAGAATGGTGGGCAAAAACCTGGAAGAACCAGAATCCGGAAGACCTCTACGTCCGCACAGGGCCTATAACCCCCGTTCTACCAAGTCCGCAACTGGCTGGAATCCCAATCCCTCGCTGGACTCGACCATGCAGAAAATCTCCGGCAACGGCCGTGAAGACGCCGTCGCGGTCCCCGAATGGTTCAAAATTCTCGATTCAAGAGACAAGATTGAGTTATCCGCTCAAGGCCAAGTGGCCAGATTCAAAGAGCTCTTAGCCCTTCTCACCAACAGCTCCCAGAAAATCAGGGAGGGACAAGGACACGTGGTGCCGAAGAAGCCATTCAACAAACATTGGCATGAACCTAATGAAGGCTGGCCGTACAAGCACTGGCAGAAGCACGGGGGTTGGTGGATATGTCGGAATGGGGATAATGCTTCTCTGGCGGAAAATCAATGCCAACCTTGCCGTCAGCGGAGGCAACAAGATGAAGCCTCGGCGAATAACAAGAGGATCAACAAAACGATGTCCCCGGCCGCCCAGTACGATGGCATCATGGCCGAGATCCAGAAAGCCATGGACCCGGCAGCAGAGATGGCTAAGGCGATTGCTATGGAACGGCTCAAGTCGGAGCGGGCCCTGGCAGACAAGCTATTCTGCCGACCTGACGAGGATGGTCGCGACAGCGGCCTTCACATTCAAGACATAGCTCCATAATCAACCCGGCGTCGATCTTAGGGTTCAGGTCGCTCTGGGATCGTCTGCGGGTGCAGACTCGGAATATGCGTATCTGAGATGGGGGAGGAAGCAAGGTTTAGGAGGTCGGGCGTCATTTTGCCTAATATTTCCTTTGCATTTTGAATTCGGAGTTTATGAGGAGTCTTGGAGCAGCGTGATACCCCTTGCTTTTTTGTCCGAGGGATTGCTGTTGCTGTGGGGGCTCCGAGTCGACATCACTCAACCGAGGTGTGCTGCGAAGCTTGGCGAGCGGAAAGGGTAGCGCACTTGATAGCTGACGACACAAACCACTTTTAATGAGCCAGCTGCTTCGACTCTCACCTAGGAGAGTGGAGATGGCGGCCACTGGTTGCTGAAACATGGCCATATGCGTAGCAAAACTTAGCTTTGGCATTGCACCAGGCAGATAGTAGTCGAAAGATTGCCACCTAGGGGCCGTCCACGACGAGTAAGTAATGTAATCTTAATATATCAACGAACAAGGCCTATCCGCCGCATACAACAAGTAATAATACGAGCGGGATGTGATGTCCACTATCTCTCAAGGTGCCAAGCAGTATCGTGTTTGTTATATAACCCCGTAACCCAAGAAAATCCCAATGTGAAGCGCTTAGCTACTACCATGCTAAAATGCCCATACGGAGTGCAAAAATATATACACCCGCTCGCCCGCTCTCGATATTTCCTAAACGATAAACCACACTCCATCTCTCGTAAAACAACAACAACCGATAATCCCACACTGCCCCCAAAAGAAGATGCTCTAAGAGGATGCCGCCGACGAAGAGTCCTGTGATGACTCGTTGCTGTCGCTGCTGCTGTCGAGGCCGCCGATGCGGTGCGTGTCGCAGTCCTTGGCCGTCTCGCGGTACGTCGTCCACGAGCTGCACTTTTCCCGGTTCGCGGCGCAGCTGTGGTGCGTGTCCGACAGCACCACGCACCCGCACCGGTACGTGACGGATACTTTCCAGCAGTAGAACTGGCGGTCCGGCATGTTTGTTGTTTTCTTTTTTTTTTTCTTTCTCTCTCGCTGTTTTCCTTTTTTCGGGAGGGGGGGACGGATTTCTGTCTGCCTATGTGTTTTCCACTCAGCTTGCTGTATGGCTGGCTGGTTAATTTGCTGATTCGTCTTGGGGTTTCCTCGTCGTCTCTACCTTTTTTATTTAGTTTTTGTATACTTTGTATTATATTTTCCCCCCTTGGATTACTGGTCGCGTTCCGGCGCCCTATTCAGGAGAGATTTTGGTAAGATGGGCAAAAGACAAGGGGGTGGGAGCGAGGCTTTATCCCACTTACACTTGTTCAGTGGAGGTTGTCGAGATATGAAACTAACGCCCCGCGGCACAGCAAGCTTAGCCAGTGGGCAACAAGCTCCGTGTGGAGAAGACTTGATTACGGCGTGAAACGGGTTTGGGGAACGGCCTAGTCAGAGACTCGGAGAGGCAAAGTATTACATAGATGGATGGGATGGATGCCATGCTTGAGTCTGGCTGGCTGGCTGGCTATCTCTGGTGTATTTATTTATTCATCGGCTTTGCGAATACCAGGCGGGACGCCTCCAACAACGCCCAGAGCCTCTCTCATTGCGTGCGGCGTGAGTATTGATTTGACGGGTGCTCGCGATTGGACGCCTCCAATGCAGGCAGACCCTCCTTGCATACATCGGCAGGCGGCGTTCTATGTGTTGTACTGCGCAAACATGGGGCTCGCTGTGGACTTGCGAGCCAACGGCAGCGGGCCAGGCGAGGCGAGGCCCTTCTCAAGCTCTCACGCTTCTTACTTGGTAAAACCTGGCATGCCCGGGTTGGCTGCTTCGAGGGCCCTGCTTCTTTTAGCTTCTTGCTGCTGCAGCGCCGCCAGAGGCCCAGAGCGAACGGCCCTGGAGCAGACATGTACGTAGTAGATCCATTGGAGATGGTCTCTCGGTGGCACGTTGAACCAAATGTCTGTGTCCATCTAGACTTCAGTTCTAGGCAGCGTCGGGTGTCAGGAGAGGCCTGTTTGGGATCAGTCAGACGGAGTGCATGCAGCCAACGTCCGGTGCTGCCGGAGCAATACGCGAAAGAGGGCAAAAGCTGGGCGCTCCGCCGAACCCACGGTTCGAGCCGGCAGCCCTACGAAAACGAAGGTTAGTCGTTGTTGGAACCCTACCACGTAGGGGCACAGCGTCAATGAGTTGTAGGTTCATACCCGCGCAAACGCAGACACCCAGGGCAGTACGGAGGGTCCCCAAGGATTCCTTCAGCGGCGTTGGACGCCTGTGAGGTAAGTTCGGATGGATATGGACCTACCTAAAGCTAGAACCTACCAGCTGGGATGCCTGGCCACTTTTGACCACGGTGCACAGCCAAAATCACCTGTGCAGGCAGAGCCTGCCGCCGGCAGGTTCTGTTTGGGCGCTTTCCTGTCGAGAAGTCTTCTATCTGCTGGAAGGCCGTTGCGCTAGCTAGAAAACCAGGGCATAACCGGGGATGGGACTGGCTGGGAATTCCGTGCCCCGAATTTCCGAACGGCCTTTGCCTCGGACGGGGGACGCCTCCTGTAGCTAGCGAGCCCGCCGTTACGGGCCCAAGTTGGGGGACTCCCCCTGCCGAATTGCACGTCATTGGACGCGTGCCTGGCTGGCTGCTGCTTCTGGCACGCTTGCTGACGACTGACTTCCCAGGCTTGCCTTACCCAATGATGACAAGCCAAGGTTGCCGGATCGCCAAAACTTGAACCGCACTTTGTCCTGGGCAGCGCAGCGCATTGCAGTGCAGCCGCTTTACACAATAATTACCATCGACATTGACGCTCGGGTTGAGAGAGATGCCGTAACTTAAATTGATTGTATGCATTATTAATCTTTGTTTCTTCTTTCTTCTCTTTTTCGCACTGGTCCCTCGCTTTGGCCTTCGCTGCGAGCCCCCTTTCCCGTTTCCGTCGACGTGTCTGTCTCCCGATCCCACGACACGACTCCATTCGGACCACGCCCCAACGGCACCGGCACCGGCACGCAAGCGCACGCACGTAGTTCATTGTGCATACTACCATGGCATAAGGGATCATACTCTTGCCTAATCAATCCTTTACTTTTTCCGTTTTCTTCTGCTTGTCTTTGTTTTCTCCAGTGGCCCGAGTTCCGGTCGCAATGCCGCGCTCCAGGCCTGCCACGACAGGCTACGAACGCCTCGCCCAAGCCGACGACATCCTCAGCGACGACTCCGACGATGACCCGCTTGCCTACAGCTCGGCGTCGCTGCAGCCGGCGTCGGCGCCGCGCTTTGCTCCCGTCTCGCAGCCGCGGCCCCACTCGGGCATGACCAGCCCCAAGATGTCGTCGAGCTCCATCCCCGGCATGTCGCGCTCCTCACGCCACCGCCGCCGTCTGCGCAGCAATTCGGGCGTCGACCTCAAGGCCATCAACGCTCGCCTCGAGCGCTGGGCCGACGAGATTGCCAGCAAGTTCAAGCGCGGCCGAGCCAAGAAGACGGGCGATGATGACGAGCGCCTCGAGATCCACCACTCCGTCTTCCAGCCCCCAGAGGGCGTGCGCCCCGTCACCGCTGACATGCTCGCCCGACCCGAGCCCGGCTACATGACCAGGGCCGAGTTCGATGTCATTGTCGGCAGCGTCAGATCCGCCATCCAGCAGGGCGTCCACCCGCGCATGATAGCCCAGGGTAGCTCTGGCAGCTACTTTGCACGCAATCCCGAAGGAAAGGTCATCGGCGTCTTCAAGCCCAAGGACGAGGAGCCCTACGCCGCCGGCAACCCCAAGTGGAATAAGTGGATTCACAGAAACCTGTTCCCATGCTGTTTCGGCAGGGCTTGGTACGTTGCGCCTCTGTTGTTGTTTACCGTTTAAAAGAGACTACCTAGCTAACCCGTGTCTGTCCTTGCCATGACAGCCTCATTCCCAATCTTTCCTACGTCAGCGAGGCCGCCGCCTACGTTCTCGATGCCCAGCTCCGCACCCACATGGTACCCTACACCGACGTGGTCAACCTCTCGTCAAAGTCCTTCCACTACCCCTTCTGGGAGCGATACAACTTCTCAAGAAACAAAAAGCCGCTGCCCGCAAAGCCGGGCAGCTTTCAGGTCTTCCTCAAGGGCTTCAAGGACGCAAACGTCTTTCTGAGGGAGCACCCATGGCCGGACCAATACCTGTCTGGGTTCCGGACGAACGACCCCCACAGGAAACGCAAGAAGCGGTGGGCAGACAACTGCCGGCCGTCGAGGGGCGCGCCAGCCGACGATGTGGAGGGCGGCAACGGACAGGACAGCCCGCAGTCATCTACACCGGGGCCCGGTAACTTTGTCTGGACGCCAACACTGAAGCAATCGTTCAGAGAAGAGCTAGAGAAGCTCGTGATTTTGGATTACATTATGCGCAACACGGACAGAGGGCTGGATAATTGGATGATCAAGGTGGACTGGGAGACGGAACAGGTATCCGTTGTCTCGGAACCGGTTCACTTTAATATGGAGGAGCAGAACGGCACAGCGGCAGAAGACGAATCCGACCTAGTGCCGAGACCTGTTGACTTGTCGCAGCTAGAGCCCGGCCGGACACGGGCTTCGTACCCATATAGGAGGCAGCAGCCCATGGACGCAACGTCGCCGTTACCATCGTCCGGCTTTCGTGAGCCGAAGATAACAATTGGGGCCATTGACAACTCGCTGTCGTGGCCCTGGAAACACCCTGACGCGTGGAGAAGGTGAGTTTATTCGAAGTGCCACTGAACAACATTGAGTGCTCACCAGGCTATGCGTGCTAACTGCTTACCCTCTATCCAGTTTCCCCTTTGGCTGGCTTTTCCTCCCAGTCGACCTCATTGGGCGGCCCTTCTCGCAAAAGACGCGTGACCACTTTCTCCCACTGCTGACGTCGACGCACTGGTGGAGCCAGACGCAGCTCGCGCTCCGGCGCGTGTTCCAGATCGACCCAGACTTCCAGGAACGCATGTTTGCGCGGCAGATAGCCGTCATGAAGGGGCAAGCATGGAACGTTGTCGAGACGCTCAAGATGGCCGACCACGGGCCACTCGAGCTGACGCGCCGCGCCAAGGTCTGTGTCTGGGATGATCTGGTCGATGTGCCAATTGCCGTGCCTATGAGGCTCACGAGCTCGGAGATGCGCCGCCGCGCCGAGGCCGATCTCTTCGTTGCCGAGGATATCGAGGAGGAGGAGATGGATATAGGCGCGACTAACTCTACGCCGGGTCCCGCCCGCACCGCCTCGGCCACGGTAAATGTTGACATATTAAACATATCAAACATATCCATTCCGCCGCAGCAGCCCTCTGAGCTGCCTCACTCTGGGCGCTTCGAGATGGCAACAACTCCTGGGTCGGCCTCGATATCAGCCTCGGGAATCATCCCGGTGCCCGACCCAGATGCTGCCAGCGGTGACGGGTTGCCGCACTCGGTCCCCAGCGAGCCCCTCAGCCACTCTCCCCTCCTCAACGGCAGCGTCAGCTCCTCTCTCCCCGTTACCAACCGCGATACGAGCGAAGTGGAGCGACAGCAGCAACAGCAGCAGCGGCCCAATAACCTCGGTGGCGGCGCTACACGCCCCACATTATCACACACCTCCCTAAGCCACGGGCCCCCGGCCCGATCGCTTAATATGTACTCGCCCGAGCGCCAGCGCGAGCACCAGCGCCGCTTCTCGTTTGCCAACCATGCCGGCCGCCGCAACAGCAACCTGTATTACGGGAATGGTAACGGTAACGGCGGCCACCACCGCTATAGCAGTGATTACACTTATGCCGTCGGTGACGGCGACGACGACGAGCTCGAGGGCGATCTCGGCTATGCTGCCGCCGAGGGCATGGAAGGGAATCAGCGCAAGGTTATTGTCGAGCGTCTCGAGGCGGTCAAGAGCAAGAATCCCGTTTTTACGTGGTGTTAGTTGGGGGTGGGGGTGAAGGAGTTGGTTGGTACTAGATGTGGCAGGAGTGGGACAGGAGGTGGGAGGGGGAAGGGTGTAGAGAAATATTAGATAGAGGTTGTGCATGGAGAATCTGGTGCTTGGTTACAGAAAGAGGAAAAAAGACATCAGGTGGGCGGGACTGGAAAGGCAGGCGAATAGTGCTTATGTTATACTACTGTTACTACTCCGCTCTTGTCTTGCGGTAGCCACATGAACGTGCTTTGCTACTCCCAGAGCATATCCCCCGTCTTGGAAAGAGAGCTTTCCTAAGCTAGCTACCTCCCAGGAAGATAAACACCAGATACCCTAGACCAGCCGCCCCGGTCATTCTCTTCGCTATGCTCCAGGGTCCCGGTCTACTTGGCTGATGACCGTATCTGTCTTCTGTACTCGCCGCGTGCGGTACGTGTAGGAAGGAGGGGATGGTATTCAGAGACGCAAGGAGGGGAGAGATAGAATAGGAGATGATCCCGTAGTCATACAGACACTTCAATGTACACAAATACAATACATATGGACGTCATACGTATAAAGTATTTGTGCGTGTGTGTGTGGGGGGGCGTGCGTGAGAGGAAGCGAGGGTGGGGAGGGGGGTGTGAGAGCGTTGACAAAGACAAAAAAGAAAAGTCCACACACACGACCCATGCCTCAGGGAGCGGGAATATAAAGAAAAAATCTTTTTCGAAAGGGGAAAATGCGTCTATTTTACACCACTGAGGCAGCACACACAAACATATAATATCCGTGTATATGTATGTAGGTAGTATGTAAAGGGAGGTGGTGGGAAGAGGGTACGACTTTCTGCATGAAACGGATCGAGGGAAGGGAAGAACACAACCGCAAGCAAGCACAGGCATGAGAGAGAAAATCTCCATGATTTACCAAAGGAATAACGCAACGCAGTCTGGCCTGTTTCCAAAATCCAGCCCAGACAGACAGACAGACAGACAGAGAAGCAACAGCTTGCTACGTAGGTACGTAGAAAAGGGACGGTGATAATCATATGTTTCGAATAAGTACTGGTATTGGTATATACCAGTCTCAGTGTTTCCGGAATGGGTTATGTGGGGGGGGGGGTGGCAATCAGTGAGCAGAGTATCAACACGCGGGAAGTAACATTGGCCGCCTGTGTGGGATGCGGGAGGGTTAGGTAGGTAGTAGATAGAATGTACTGTAATGTACAACATAGAGTACGGGGCAGTCCGGCGGCCGAGACCAAGGTAGTTGGGATGGGCAAGGCACCTACCTACTTACCTTACGTATCTGCCAGGCAGAGAGGTAAGTACGAACAGATGTCTAAGAGCTAGGACGGAATAAATACCGAGTACTGGGGCATACAGAATTAGAATGCGTTTTCTTCGTTACAATCTGTTTTATTTCTTTTTCATATCTTCCTCCCGAGATCACTCGCTTTTTCGTCTTCCCTCCTACGTATTTTCCATCTGGACAGGGTTGGCAAACCATGACTGGGTTGACATGGGATGTGAATTTGCTGACACCCCTTCGCGTTCGGTTGGCCGGACTCTATAGGCTAGCTTGGGTACGGGTTTTAAGCAGGCCCACGGACAGAGACTAGTTGGGTAGCTTCCGTCCCACAAGCCAGGAAACAGGAAAGGCAGAAAAAGAAAAGAAAAAGAAGAAAAGGAGGGACAAATGAAACGACAAAACGTCTCCCGCACTTTACTGATGGCTTTTGTCTGGTGGCTGTCATTGTCATAGATAACGAGTAGAAAAACCCTCATGACCACCGTAGTGGCTCCATACACGCATACAAGTTGCATAGGCAATCTCAACCAGCCGTCGTCCTCGTTTCCCAGCCTTGTTTGCTCAGAGTTCGGAGAATCGAGATGCGGGGGGGAGAGAGACGGGAAAGATGCAAGTCGAAAGAAGAAAGTCGAAAGAAAAAAACGAAACTTTGGTTACCTGTATTGGCGAGGTTGGGCCCAATATTCAAGTCGGAAAGGCAGGAAAAGTCAGGCTGGTTGTCATCCTTTCCAGTTCTTACTAACGCGGGATATGCCACCAGCGCCACCCGCCAGCTCCGTTGTGGAAAGCCGCGGCCACGACCCGTCGTCTAACCACGTTGGTGGATAGTGGACACGGGTGGAATGCCTCCTAACGAGATGCACGAAATACGCGCCTTGCTCCATCAGGCCCGCCCTGTTCGGCTCCCATAGCCTCTTCTGTTGGAGAAATGTACCTACTGAGTACTGTAGGTACTGTGGTAATAATTTAGCGTCTTGGGTCGTGGGCTGGGATCGGCTACTGTGGAGGTTGGTGCAGTGAGAAGGGATCCGGGCGTTCACTGCTCCGTGCAATATGCGGCCGGCCAAATCTGCTGAGACATCTGACCGAGAAACAGGACCGCCAAGGCCAGCGAGGTCGCCAAAAACGATCACTCTCCGTCATCTGTCATGTCGCACAAACCGTTGTGCTGGGACGAGGTTGAAGGGAAGGGGCAGGTGCTTGTTGGCATGAGCCGGGGGATCGAGCACTGAGCATGAGCAGAATTTTTGATTCTAACCTCCCCCCAAGTCCAGCCCGCCTCCTAATGGAGGGCTGGAGGGTGGTATTTGGTAACTGACTGGCAAAGGAGGGAGGGGAAAGAGGGGGGGAGGGGGTGGAAAGAGAAGCATCATTGGCGACAGACAATGGGGTGGGCAGTACTGTTTTGGGGTGTCCCAGCCTGGAAAGAGCCACGGGATACGGATAGCTATGATCAAAGTCTCTGTGTCATGGAATAGGTAGTTGCACCCAAGCTAGGTAAGGTATGTGTGTAGTATCAAGTATGTAGCTGACCCTGACATGGACCTACAGACAAGAGGTAGTAGGTCGGCACCATAATAGAATCATCAGAAACAAGACGGGCGAATGGCTGGCTCGCTGGCTATCCTGAACCGGTCTGATGAGGGAGGGTTTCAGTGGTAGAACGTTACTAGTTACGGAAAGTCGGCCGACCATCTCGTGTCCCGTCGAGTCCTCGTTTGCGCCCGCGACTCGGCGAGAGCTGGACAATCTCCAGAAAGGTCGGGCTGCAGGGAGGCAGTGAGCGGATCTGCAAGTTTTGTGGGTGTGTGGGAAAAGTACACGTATGAAGTACTTCCCTGTCCCGAGGCGGTGGTGAGCCCTTGTCGATGTCGACAATCCCGCCGAGCACGCAAAACAGACCCTTGTTCGGGCGGGTCTTCCCCTGCTGCCCCGCCCGTCCTTCTGCGCATGCCGTGCTCATCGTCCCAGAATCGGCCTGGTCGGGAAATAAAGGGGGGGTCGGCCGACGGGTCTCGTTTGTCTGTAATGTCGTTCAGCGTATGACGGAGTAGCTTGCAGCATGCAAGACAGACAATACTTGCCTACCTTACCTGCCATGTATGTAGCCATCGTGTCCAAAATAAATAAAATGCATAATGCATCTCTCTGCCGTCAGACTCCCATCTGGCTCCAACAAGACCATCAACATCATGTACAATCTTCCTCTGGGGCTGCGGGGGCGTTCTGTACTGGCACAGCGCAACTTCGTAGCAAGTTATTGTCGGTCGGCAACCCAACGCGCCAGCAAGGGGACGACGTCCCGAGGCAGCCGCCCCCTCGGGTCGCCAGAGAGCCCCGTCCCAGTCCCAGCACTAAGGATACCTATCAGCCCTTGTGGCGCCTTGCATGGTTCCGACCACTTCTGGAGTCCCACCCACCCGAAATGGCCTTTGCGACTATCGAGCTGCTTCGTCCGCTGCTCACCCGCCCCGAGTGAAAGTGGTGCGCAAAAACAAAAAAAAAACCCTCCCCGGTCCATGTTGTTGTTCTCTGCTAAGCCTAGGCATGGGGTACCTTCCCGACTTCATTTCGATAAGAAGCAGGGGCTCTATGGCAACAGTGCGGCGGCATGTAATAGTCGAAGAGATTACTGGTTACGTATTCGGTTTTCGAATCTACGCCAGCACTAGGGTTCGACCTCTACGCAGTATTGCGGACAAACGGTTGAATACCTGCCATGTATGGTTGCAGCGCGACCAGCAAGCACCCCGGTTGTAATAGCTGCAGAAATCATGAGCAATAATTCCACATCAGAAGTTTTAGTGCATGCGGCCACCCCATAACAGCTACCGATAGAGAGAGCAGGTACATACGTACCTAGATGCTACGATGTATATACAGTAAGAAGAAGATAGGTAAGGTAGGAGGTAGGAGGTAGGAGGTAGGAGGTAGGAAGTAGGAGGTAGGATGGAGAATGGTCCTGGCATGGGTACCTTGCTATCCGCCCTCCCTCCCTCTCCGGCTCCGACTGACGCACAGCTCTTGGATAGGAGGTACTTTGGTGACTTGGGGGTGGTACATACTTACCGACAGGGTGGGAGCAGGGGCGGGAGAAGCGCCTTCGCGCCATCAAGACTCGCTCTGCCTCGCTCCGAGACAGATAGGCAAGGTACGTACCTTGGCCCTTGCTGCAATCCGGGCCGGCTGCTTCGCTGCTATACCCGCAGCTCACTCAGGCAGCTCATTAACGGAACGCACTTTTGGACGCCTTGGTAGCGAAACGTCGAACAAAATTTGTCCCTCGCAACCACGCATTGCATTATTGGCTTCTACCCGTCGCCAGCCGTTGCGACCACCATCCGGCAAGGACGGTACCACAGTTGGACTTCCAGGAGAAGGCGTGATGTGACGGCGACGTATCCGTGATGTGACAGGGAGTGTTGGTGCCGGCCCATGTAGCGTTCGCTAGCTGCGTAATAGGAGAGGCCCGGAAATTTTTCCATAATTTCCAAATCCTTCCATTCTCCTTCTTAATCCCGACTCTTGTGTAAACGTGTTCCAACGGCGGCACCGTCCTGGCGGGGCCGCGGTGGGCTTTAACCCTCTCTGCGATCCCAGGTCCATGTCCTTGGGATTCTCCTCATTCCCGCTCCCCTCGGCGTTCGAACCGCCACAGCTTTTGCAGCACAGGGTGACCCTTGCTTGACGTTGGGATCCGCCTGGGAGTGTATGTACGGTACTGCGTGGTTTTACCAAACGAGAAAAGTCCCTCTTCTCCCGTTGGTAGGACGAGGTGAACCTGTGCATTCGGTTTTGAATGGACGCTCGCGCCAGGTGTCTGAAAGGTTCACGTCGCCCGACGACCCGGTTTTCTCTTGCTTGTTTTGATCCTATAGTCCGTTATTGACGGGTCATATGCGAGTGTCGTTATGGGGGCTAGCATTATATTATAGGAATGGCGGCGCAGTAAGCCCGCAACGGTTCCCATTCGTGCTTCGGTTGTGTCGAAAGGAAGCCGGTGGCCGGTTGGATCGCCCGCTGACAACAAGACTACCGCAGGCCCGCAGAGCTCCTAGGATTACCTCATGTCCCGTACATACTGTACATCCACTCGTGGGTTTGGGCGTGCTGCATCAGGCTAAGAGTGTCCTAGCTTCCCAGCCCTGGGTTGACGAAGAGACACGTCAAGCAGCCACTCGAAACACCCCCCGCGTCTCCAATCAAAATAATATCAGCGCCTTTCAACCGGAGCTAGCAGAGCCATGCTGGGACCGCCGAGAGAGGCCCGCCATGTCGGGGGAGAGGGGAGGGGGGGGCACGAGGGGAGACGTGTGTCCCGATTAACAGAGGGTGGTGCAGTGAGTCCCAGTGTTTGTCGAGCGTGAAACACCTAAAGCCACACACACTTTCCCTCTGCCGATGCTTGTAATAAGTCGCACTCCAATGCGCGGGGCCGTCCACGTAGTCGAGGTCAGCCCGTCCTGAGCCAAGCGGTGTAGCGACCAATACATACGTGCTTGGAGCCAAACTGCTGCACTGCGGGCTAGGGGTGGATGGCAAATGTCTCTCCCGCCAGGTATTGCTGAGATTTACCTAGGAAGGAGACATTGGCTGAGAGGGTGCTGTTTTCCCCCATATACGACGGGGACAATGCGCCAGCAAAGTCGACTATGATCGACAACGACATCGTGGCGCGCAGGGTTCCAGCAGGGTCCAGACTGAATTATCTGGGTCGGGGAGACTGGAAGAGTATCCACAGACCAGGCTTTTCTCATTTTACCAGTGTGCCAGGCCCGGATGCCGCATAGAGAAAGAAATGGCAGCCGGTCCGACACTGTTCACTGAAGCCCGTCCGAGGAGCAAGGGGTTAAGAGATATTCCGCCCACGCCCTGAAGCCCACCAACGCCCGTGAACGCCATCACGATGTTTGGTCCCAGGTCCCCGACCTTAATCTTTCTAGCACCCGTGACTCTGCCTGCAAAAGTCTTGAATTCTTTTCCCACCATTTTTGCATTGTCGTGTTCAAGGTATTCCCTATACCATATTCGCAGACCATTTCAACACGACACTTGCAGTGCCACATGGACGAAGAGTATTTTAACCCCATCAGGCCCCAAGACCGCGCCCAAATAGAGAGTACTAAGCCGAGTATAGCGACTCCCAGACTATTCCTGTCGACAACACATATCGTGAGGTTGTCGTACACCACAACAGGGAATTCCAGCGCTATGCTGTAGAAAATGGCGTCTACTTCGCCCCAGTGGACGACGTAAGTAGCTTTCGGTCCGCTAGTCCAAGTCGTTCCCATCATGGTAACCACCCCCGTGCCGTCAAACTAGGACGAAGTCGAGCGCCTCCAATATATGCACGAGGTTTTCAACCTGATGTTCGATAATAGACTGATTTTCCCTCCGATCCCACATCCAAGGAGAATTTTAGAATGCGGCTCCGGATCTGGTTCGTGGGCCTTGGAGGTTGCAGAGCAGCATCCGGAATGCGAGGTCTGTAGCCCTGTCTCTCTCTCGTGTCCTCCATCGGCATTCTGGGGGCCAGCCTGGCGAGAAGCAACCTTAAGTTGTCTTGATGTGACACCTCGAGCGCAGACGGCCCCCTTCGATACGAATCGAACCGAGCGAGAGTACCGGAAACAGCCTCTGGTCCCGAATTAGGGGCGGTACCCTGTTCCTAGAGGAGGGATGATAACTGGAATGACGGAGCGCGGCTTCTTCGTCAGGGGATAACCGTTGACCATGCTCTGTGTCTGTGTATGGTTGTCATTTCACCCGCTGACATTCTGTACACCATCCAGGTCATCGGAATCGACGTATACCCGTACCCAACGGTGGACGGCCTCCCCCCTAACCTCGATCTCCAAGTGGACGATCTAAACAGTCCGTGAGACAGCCCAGCTCTGAATACCAGCAATCTGGCTACGCTGACCGAAGTCCAGATTCACCTTCGCCTCGAATTATTTCGACCTGGTGCACAGCAGAATGATGGCAGGCGGCATCCATGCGAACAGGTGGCAGAGCTATATGACCGACATTCTGCGAGTTCTTCGTCCGGGAGGGTGGTGTCAGATGGTGGAACTATACGCCAACGTTCAGTCTGATAATGGGACCTTGACTGCGAGTAAGTCTGCAGCATCTTTGTGCGGCGTTGATTGTTTCGAGTCCTGATTTGCATACGAAGACCACGCTCTCCAGGTGTGGTCCCAAAGCTATATGCAGAGCATGCAGCCCTACAAGGATCCCAGAGCGCCGCTGCGCCTGCAAAACTGGATGACGCAAGCAGGATTTGTCGAGGTCGAATCGCGGCTATTAACTCTGCCCCTGAGCGGGTGGTCTAACGGTAGGAAACCGAGAGCTCGAGAAATTTTTCAAGGCAAGGGACTCGGGTGGCTGAAGCTCCAACAGATCCACAAAGCAACGCTCTCGGAGAGGCGAATCGTCCAAACGTCCACCGGCTCTTGTCATCGCTTGCCGTGTACCCCTTTACACAGCGTCTTGGGTGAGTGGAAAGCTGCGGATTCAAGTCGTCGAGACCGAGACGTTAACTGTGGGCCTAGCATGACGATCGCCGACGTCCAGCTTCTAGTAGCGCAGGCCCGCAGCGAGGCTGATAATCCTAGTTTTAAGGTAGGAGCAGATATTGGGCAGAAAGCTTTAAGCATTGGGCACCGGTACTCGAGAAGGAGAAGTCATCTCGTTATGCAATGCTTCTCCCGTGTGCTCGTGCTTGCTATAGGTCATCTGCTAACGCGGGCCGTCACCTCGGCAGGCATACTTTCCAGTGTGAGCGGGCCCTCTTGCATGTAGATTGGCGAAGGCCTCTCCCGACAGTTGGCTGACGGCTTGTGATATTAGTTACGTCTGCATTGGCCGCAAACCCGGCACCAGCAGCAGCAGACACCATCGACACGACATTAGTCACAAGGGCGGCCATAGTGGGGGAAAGGGGGGGCGCTCTGGGGATTCGAGAAAACGGGCTCGGCATTGACGAGGATAGTTCTGCCGCAAGCTCTCGTGTGCGTATTTGGGTGCGTAGTCCGTGTGTGCGTGTGCGTTTGCGTTGCTTTTCGAGTGGGCTTGGCAGCTGCATGGCGAGGTGTTTTGGATATTAACTGCCAGCTTAATGAGCTATGATGATGACGATGACGATCATAGATAAAGTACCATATGGCTTTTCTGACGCGGGTTGCTTGTTGCTCGTTGTTCGCTTTGTGTGATCATAGCAACATGCCGATTCGATTTTTTTTGGCCCCCATGGCTCCAACTTAGATCGTCGTTGATGTTTGCCCCAAAAACCCAAACCCCCAACCCTGTCCCCCACCACCGACATCGACCGTGACGCCGCCGTGGAAGAGGGCGTGCTGCTGTGGCAGAAAATAGGGCCCGCTGACTGGTTGAGGATTTATGGAGCGTGGATCACGGTCACCTTGCCAGAAGCCTAGGATATAATGAATTTGAAATGGTGGGTGATGGGAGGCTGATTTCCGTCCCGGCAGACTCCAGACGGGCAAGCGGTAAGCAGCAACTGGAAGCAGAAGGTCCGAGAGCAGGCAGAGGAGCCACATATGACGGGATCAATGGACAAGAGAGGCACCTAGCACGTAGGGCAGGTACGCCTGGCTTAACATGCATGCCATCCGTGCCCGAAGCCACTTCGGGCAGGCATGGAGACGTGGAGGTTGAGAAGGAGCGGTCGTTCCCTTCCACCTCAAGAACTCGGCCACGGAAGGAGCTACGGGCCCGCCAAGTGGAAAGGGGAAAGGGCGGAAGGCGCTAGGCGGCTACAGGTATTCCACGATTACGGTCCCTCCATCTTGGTTCCGGCCGTCTGGGACTCGGTGATTGCATGGCGGATTCGGATGCGTTTCGTCACACACTATCACATACCTTAACTGACGTGCCTTGGCTGGCAAACACACCACCGCTGGCAGTCTTCGGACTCCACCCCTGACCTTGCCTTGTCTCTCAATTTCCTCGTCCTGCGTGGCCTGTGCCGAGGATTTAGGAGGCTATGATCGCGGGTGCCCATTCGATCTTGACACCTAGTGCTATTATCTTGACCATTGGCAATGCAATTCCTTTTCATTCTCTAGGTTCCCGTTATCTTTCCCCTTTTGACGGCATCACAATCCCGTATTGCAACCTAACAGGGCTGAGAAAAAACGTCGAGCTGTCGGGGATCCCGGCAACTTTCCGACCCTGGTTGTGGATCTTGTCGTGTCCGGGGCAAATACAGTCAGGTGACGGTAAATCGCTGTTGCTAATCGCGATCCAGCATGGATGCGGATACATCTGAATCCTGAATGGCCAAGGCCAACTCGCGAAGTGGCCCGAAATGAACCGGGTGCACTCATCAAATAAAGCGGGCGCAAAGCAAAATTGCCCGAAATATGGTCATCACCACACTGGAAAACATAGTCTTTTCTTTTTAACTCGAAAATAAATATCTTGTCGCGCTTCTCGAAGACGTGACGAGTCCTTTCCAGTGGGAACCTAGAGTCCTAGAGTTACTTGAAGTGAAGTCTAGACCCTCATGCCCAGATTTTAGGTTGGCTTACCCAGCTGTGATAAGCATCAAGCCAGTACGGACAGGGAAGCTCCACAAACTAGCGCACTAAGTAAATGACAGGGCCTCTAATTGGTTCTTGGAAACGGAGCATTTTGGCGGGTCGTCCCGCAAAGACCAGAGACGCGATGATCTCGATTCTGATTCTGACAGGAAAAAAACACACGAATACGTACCTTGCGTTAGAGAGAGAAACATCAGGGGCATTCCGCATTCCGCGCATCGCACCCGATACCGAAGCCGTCGACCACCCCGAGCTCCGCCATATCCCGCGCCGTAAAGCTTCAATGGCGAGCACGACCTCGGCTTTCATATTCAGGAGGCTCGGCCGGCCGAGTCTGCAACAAACATGGCCGATGAGAAAAGCAATTAGCCTGGCGCCTTTGAGGCAGATGCCCCGCTCCTACTCGTCCGAGGCGCCGCCGCCGCCGCTGCTAGCAAAACTCAAGACCGACCTCAAGACGGCCATGAGGAATAAGGACTCGACGCGCCTGGCCGTCCTACGCTCTGTGCTTTCAGCGACGCTCAACGCCAGCAAGACGGACAAGCCAATCAAGACGGACCTCCAGCTCGTTGCTCTTCTACGCAAGATTGCACGTACATCCCAAGACTCGGCTGGAGAGTTTCGAGGCGCAGGACGGGATGATTTGGCCGACAAGGAGGAAGCGCAGGCACACCTCCTCGAAGAGTATGCAGCGAGTAGCGGGATCGAGAGCATCAGCGAAGAACAGCTGCGAGAGATCATCATAGCCGCCAAGGACGAGCTCGAATCGAAAGACGCCAAGTCTCTGGCCGGAGAGTTGATGAAGGCGGTGTTTAAGCCCGGCGGACCCCTAGAAGGGAAGGATGTTGAGAAGTCACTTGTGGCCAGGATCGTCAAGGAAGTGGCAAAGCCGCAGTAGGCCTAGAGGTGCCGAAGTTCCCCATTTAACACAAGACTTCGCGCGCCTCGTTGCCTTCCTTTCTAGCAAGGCTTTTATAACAACTGCCTGTACACTATTAACTACCTAGGTACCATATATTGACATGGCAGCCTAGAGTGGTGTCGACATCACCCTGCCAAGGCATCAACATACACACGCACACAGCTTTCATTTGCCCGAGTTGACTGGATGGCTCTACCCAGCCTAGTCCAACTGGAGCAGCCACTCAGAACTTGAGGAATCAATGGGATAAAAAAGTGGATAGACCATGACGTAGGCAGTTATTTGTGGAACAACGTTCCGCAACAGCATGCCCATATGGCCGCCGTGCGGCAGTTGCCCCAACCGACCTACCAGGTGCATCCATAATCTGGAACAGGAAGGGCCTTTTAGACACCAATCACAGCTCACTCTCCTAGGAAGGTAGGGAGGTGCCTTGACTAGGTAAACTTAACTGTCCCCTCCCCCACCAACCTTATACGACCGGGTATGCCACTACAAGCACGCCTTGGAACTCTCTTTGGAGAGTAACAGGAGACGGCTCGAGCGTCGATAGTTTCCGTGTGGGTGGTCAGGATCCCATCGGATCCAGCTCTTAGTGCTCGCTAAGGGGATCTGCCAGGTCCGGGCGTGTCTCTTTTCCCAGGACCATGAGTCAGGCAAGTTAGTAGGTATCTTGAAAAGGCAGCCACATTAGTGCTGCTGTGCCTTGCCTTTTTAAAGAGGCTGCTGTTGCACAAGACCATGCCGCGCCCCCTTCCTTTTTCACGCTTCCTTTGTAAAAGGCGAGAAATGGCAAATCCCCAATCGAAATCTAGGTCAGAGCTGACTTTCCATCCTAAGTCTAGTAGACCTGAGTTCCCCTTCCAAAGACACTCGAGCCACGTTGCGGGGCACAGTTCAGTACGCAGCGCAAATACTCCAACATCATCCCGTTGTTTCTCGAAACACAAGCTGCTTGTATGTAGCGGGTGGGTTGATGGACGAGTTTGACCACCTTTCTCGGTGCTCCCCTCACAGCGTGCCAGAGGCGAGAAAGGCTCAAACAGAATGAGCGCAAAGCCAGAGGCCTCAGCTTCCAGGGACGAGGACATGAATGCAGCGGGGCGGTTCGTGTCACCCGAGTCGGATGTGCCAAGAGGAAGAAAGAGGCACCGGAGAGAAGAGGTCGCCCTTGTTACCGCCACCACTACTACCGCCAAGCAGATACCATCTGGCGAGTCTGCTACGTTCAGGGGCCGCTGCCGGAACCGATCAACTTCCGTGATTACTATCTCTAGCTTCTCGTCGTCCCGCAACGCGTCACGAAGTGCCCCCAGAGACAGCTCGTGCTCGTCGGCGAGAAGAACGCACCTAGTTCGGTTCGTAAAAATCGGCCGCTGCAGAAAAAGGAGCCAGAGTCCGTCTCGATCCCGGTCTCCAAACTCGCTGAAAGACCCGGGCCGCCGTCGGCGGCGGCGGCAGAGGACGAGGAGCCGGGGCCGCGATCATGCGGCTGCGATTCAGTTGCCACCAAAGTTTGAGATGGCGGCTGATGGGCTTGACATGCACGATCAATAGCGGCCCATACCAGAAACTTGCTCCTTCCGTCCTTTAATAGGGAGCCCCTAGCTACTGTTGCTTTACATATTAGGCAATTAACTGCTTTTCACGTCTTCGTATGCGAAACAAAGGCCGACGATGCTTGGTTGAATGGGGTTTTCGGTCATCATTGCGCTTGAATGTTCATGTAACCGTCCGTAAATGGCTTTTGCTCTACTAGCATCCGTATCTGGGGGTTTAACACATCTGACTGGCACTACTTCCTGGTGGTACCTGGGCGATCATGTGGGGTTGAATGGGGCAAGAGTTCGACTGTGCTCCATAGCGCCACGAGCAGGTAAAATTAGCTCCCAGAAACCATGGAAGCCCTACCAGCTTACAGCTTAGTGTTTGTCTAGCCGGCACGTGCTTCGCAATCTCTGCAGTCCAGGGTCACGCGCCTATCGATCCAGCCGACCGACTGACTGCTAGGTTGGAGCTCCGATAAAGCTTTCGGCATCCTCAAGCAGGGCAATGACACCCCCGTATCAACTCAGGTCGACGGCAGCACTTCCACAAACTGCCACTTCCCGCTAATCTCCCCGCTCTCATCCTCGCCGGCCTTAGCAACACGGCTTGGCTTCACGAAAAACGCAAAACGCCTTTCTTTATTTTATTATTATCCCCCACCAACCTGCACGCAGGCGCAAGCGCAGACGCAGACGCAAACGCAAACGCAAACGCAAACGCCCCGCGCCTTCCCTCACGGCGGGCGGTCGGTGCCCCTCGTTCCCCTGACGTTATAGTTAGCTTGCCTATCAATACCCCTCCACGCGCCCTACACCGCAGGTTCGCGTGGCACCCGCCACCACCAACGTACATCACAGCCTTCCTACCTACCTGACCTACCCGAGGTGCATATTTCGTACTCTGTGCACACATACGATTTGCAAACCCATGTCTAAGCCCCACCACTTTGGCCAGCCTCATCGCCCAAACTGACAGCCTTCCTGTTATGCCGGGTTTTGTTGCATCACGCCCGCGGGAAGTAGGCTAGCTAGTCTGCGTGTTGCCAGCAGAAGCAGCGGCAGCAGCAACGGGCTTTTCTGGAAGAAGAAAAAAGGCCAGCCCGTCGGAATGGCTTCCGACAACCAAACAAATGGTGAGAATGAATCAAGCTTTCAGGTCCCCGCATTGCGCCCAAATGCCCACCTTCGCCCTAAACTTGTCGATGCGGCGGATGCGATCGTCAGCCTTCCCCCCTCGGCGATTTTTATGCTATTCTGCAGCCTTGCGCCTCCGTCCACAAACCTGCCACAACCACGCGAGAGGCCGTGCTGATTTATATTTGACTTCTAGGCCACCCACGTCTCAACTTGACCACACTCCAGCAGCGGGACCCCATGCCGTGGGACGCGGCTACGCTCCTCAACCCGCGGGCTGCCTCTGTCGCCTCTTCGACGATGCAACCTGTCGTTGGCGCCCCGAGCCGCTCGTTGAGCAGCTCGAACTTGCCCGACACCATGACCTTTGAGTTCACAACCCCCAGCAATCCATCCGGTAGCAGCCTCTCGGTGCCTGCCTTCGACGGCCAGAACGGCCAGAACCCCCGCCCGCCTAACCCCCCGACCATGCCCATATTCCAGAACGGATTCGGCCAGCGGATTGAGCGCTTGAATAATGTTCAAGAGCGCATACCCGTACCCCAGCCGAAGCGCAGAAAGACGCAGTCAGAAGCCGACCCTCCAAGCGCGAACAGCCCTTTCGACGGCCTAGGCGGATTCACCAGGTTAAGCAGCGGTTCACTGGGCGAGCACGCCAAGAAGGAGGCGACTGACAGCCAGTCCTCGTTGTCTGTCCTGAAGCCTATGGAGACGGTCGATCTGACCGAGAATGACTCGGACGCCGTCGTGATGGCCGAGAAGCCGAAGGACGTCACCAGAGACGAGGAGGTCTGCTTTGGCATGATTGAAGGAGCTACCCTCAACTGTCACCGTGTCCCGGCTCCCAAACCCAACATGGTATCTATCGCCGGCGCTGGCTATTGGCCGCAGGTCAAGGTTGTTCTCAAGAGAAGGGCAGACGATCTCACGAGCAAGATTCACGTCTATGACTATACGCGCGTAATCTTCGGAAACTTGGATCCCAGGACGGCCAACTGTCTTGCTCCTCTTCTCGATTCGCCCTTCCAAATCCGCACTGATTGTCGGATACCCATGCGGCGGAAGCTTCCTGGTGAACAGACTGGTCAGGCGGTCTCCTGCGTCCTCAAGTTTGAGCTGATGGTGTACGGCCCTCGGAGATTCGCCGTAGCCGTGGGAAGACACTTGGTTAGGTTTCAAGTGAACCTTCTCAGTCCTCCCCGGGTCGACGCTGGTGTGAAGGTTGTCAATCCTTTGGCGCAAGAAAACAGGCTCCCGCCTCCATCTCGCCTCAGCAGTCTGGGAGACAAATTTGCGTATCCCCAGCACCCACCCACGGTGCGCACTGTGGAGGAGATCCGCTCTGAAGTTATGGGCGTCTTTGACTCGCTCCAGAAGTCAGAAGATCTCCCAATCATGGACCCGGACGAACGAATCATAACGCCTCTGCTCCAGCACCAGCGCCAAGCCCTCTTCTTCATGACCAACAGGGAGGTAGACACGATCCCCGCATATGGCGATTCCGTGGCCAGCTCCACGTGGCAGCGTAGGAAGAACCAACATGGCTCGGATATATACTACAACGTCATCACGAACCAGGCACAGCAGGAGCGTCCGCCGGCCGCTCTCGGTGGCATCCTTGCGGATATGATGGGTCTGGGCAAGACTCTTAGTATATTGTCTCTTTTGACGACAACGTTGGATGAGTCGGCGGCTTGGTGGAAACAGCCCCCAGTACAGCCAAGGCTGCCTGAGAAGAAGCCTTCCAACAACTCGAGATCCTTTGACGTTCCGAAGCCTCAAAGCGTTGGCCTTACACCGATCAAGCAGAATGGAAAAGCAACCCTTCTCATTTGTCCCCTGAGCACCGTCACAAACTGGGAGGAGCAGATCAAGCAACATGTCAAGCCTGGCAGTCTGTCGTATCACATATATCACGGCCCCAACCGCGTGAAGGATGTGGCGCAGCTGGCCCAGTTTGACATTGTTATCACAACCTACGGCTCTGTCTCGAGTGAGCTGAATGCGCGGGTCAAGAAGAAGCGAGGCGTCTATCCTCTGGAGGAGATTTCGTGGTTCCGAATCGTCCTCGACGAAGCCCACATGATTCGGGAGCAGAACACACTAACGTTCAAATCCGTGTGCCGACTGCAGGCGAGCCGACGGTGGGCAGTCACGGGAACTCCGATACAGAACAAGCTGGAAGATCTTGCGTCACTTCTGGCATTCGTACGACTCAAGCCGTTTGACGAAAAGAGCAAGTTCCTGCAGTACATCATCACCCCTTTCAAGAACGCAGACCCCGAAATTGTGCCCAAGCTTCGGGTCCTGATTGACACGATAACGCTTCGCCGCCTGAAGGATAAAATCGACCTACCGCCGCGGGTTGATGAGATCATCAGGCTCCCGTTCAGCCCAGATGAACAACGCATCTACGACTGGTTTGCTAAGACCGCTCAGGAGAGAGTGCAGGTCCTGACGGGCCAAGGTATAGGACAGGAGCGAATCCTTGGCGGCAAGACAATGATCCATATCCTGCGGTCTATTCTCCAGCTCCGCTTGATTTGTGCCCATGGAAAGGATCTACTCAATGATGATGACCTTGCCGAACTTCAGGGCATGACGGCAGACACTGCGATAGACATTGAAAGCGACGAAGACGAAGAGAAGCCAATGCTACAGGAAGCCAAGGCTTACGAGATGCTCTACTTGATGCAGGAGGGCAATAGCGATACTTGTTTCAGGTGCAATCGCAAGCTAGGCTCCAACGAGGTCATTGACCTTGAATCGGAGCGACAGGAGGACGATATCATGGGCTACATGGCACAATGCTTTCACGTATTCTGCCCAGTCTGCATTGGTACACTGCGCGGCGAGCAACAAGCCGAAGGCAGACCCTCCTGTTCGGGATGTCGAGAGGTTACCGACAGCTCTTCGTGCGTACCACTTCGCCGGACCCGCGCCGACATGGAACATGAATCTCGGTCAGCGAAATCAAACAAGGGTGGAACAGGCAAGATTGTGGCGGACGAACGCTATACGGGTCCTCACACCAAGACTCGTGCCCTCCTCGAGGACTTGCTGGCCTCGAAGCAAAAGAGCGAACAGAACCGCGACGAGCCGCCATACAAGTCCGTTGTCTTCTCAGGCTGGACCTCGCATCTCGATTTGATACAGATCGCCTTAGACAACGCCGGAATTACTTATACGCGCCTCGATGGGAAAATGACGCGCACGGCGCGGAACGCCGCCATGGATTCATTCCGAGATGATCCGTCAGTGCAGGTCATTCTCGTCAGCATCATGGCTGGCGGACTGGGCCTCAACTTGACGACGGCCAACAGCGTGTTCGTCATGGAGCCGCAATTCAACCCGGCGGCCGAAGCCCAGGCCGTTGATCGTGTCCACCGCTTAGGTCAGAAGCGCCCCGTCCGAACGGTCCGCTACATTATTCAGGACAGCTTCGAGGAGAAGATGCTCAAGCTACAGGAGAAGAAGCAGAAGCTTGCGAGCCTCAGTATGGACGGCCGTGACAAGGACAAGGTCATGGACCAGACCGAGGCGGCGAGACAGCGCTTGATGGATCTGCGCAGTCTGTTCAAGTAGTTACGCTGCCCCATTTTCCCCTTGATTTGTTTTTTTTCTTTCCCATTCCTTTTTTGCCTTTATCCCCCACCTCTCCACGCAGTTTATTTTTCCGTCATGGTGGGAAAAGGCTGCCTACCTTTGGGCAACTTCCTTGCGTCCACCAAGGAATTCTATACGAAGACATCCTCATTCGCTTAGTTCTTTACCTATATCCTTTGGTCGTTCACAGATGGTTCTCGAGACAACAGATATATTTTATTGGTCAAGCAGATCACAAGCTTTCGGTTGTGGCCACAGCGGTTGTGGCGGCATATTTGCGAAAGTCGGCTTGATGGGTGGCTCATTTGGGTTTTCAGTTCGGCGGCTTTCTTCTTTCACAGCCTTACACGAATTGCGATTTTCACGGACAGCATACATGGCGGTTTAGGGTCTAGGCAGGCAAGGCTCAGTACCCTAGCATGAGCCGAGGCGCCTTCGGTTTATAGGACAGGCTTGGGTTCCTCGATTCGGGTTGGAGGATATTTGCTCTTTATCATGGCGAGGAGGGCGACGGCGCAGTCAGGCGGCATTTTGAGCACCGGTTGACTGGTTGCCAAGGCAAAGCAGCCGGGTCCTTTGCATGGTTTTTTCACTCTTGTTTTTTTCTTTTTTTCTTTTTCTTGCTAGAGACTCCCCATACTCGTCCATTTCACACCCCCTTCTTCTTCTACCCATGCTGCTGCTGTGGGTGAAAGGGTTTTTTTCGGCGGACATATTTTCTCACGTCTTTATACACACACACAACGGTACCTAGTTAGGAGACGGCGCAGTCGGGTTTTTATTAGTTCTTGGTTCCTCACATAATGAAGAGAGTCTCAGTGACCATATAGACAAACACTTCACACCTTCGTCTACATGCTAGCTGTTGCCATGCTTAACAGAATAGATGTAGTATCATAGGGCACCGACGGAGGTGGACTGAGCTTACCTGTCCGAGGCGAGCCGTTGAACTTTATTTGACAAGCGGCACGGATGCTGGTACTCCGTGTACCGTCCCGGGGTCCTACGGAAACACGGAAGCTCCAGAGGGCCTCAGGCAGAGACGCCACATTGCAGATACCCATGTCTCATGACGCTGAAATTTGTACGAAACGTAATTATACTCTTATGTGCTCGGCCAAGACAGTCCACAAAACTAACTTGTGTACAAACTCAAATATGTGCAGTGTATTGATATCCTTTTTCTATTTATTTTGTCGTCCCACTCATTATGACCCCTTCGGAAGACAAGCTCATTTTAGCCCAGTGTCTCTCCTCTCTCCTCTTGAACGCCAAAAATGCAGAATCGCCCCTGAGGTTGGATAATGGTGTTTACCGCAATGCCACGCCAAGTTGGCCACTCACAAATACTTATACGGTAGCAGCAATGCTATCTCTCGCCGGTGATAGCAGCTCTAATGTAATAAAGACGCCCTTGATCGCTTCTAGTATCGACGACACAAAGCTAAGCGGTCTAAAACAAATGCATTCACGCCTCCCAAATTGTTGGTATCTAATACGTTATGCTGCATCAGCGCTTGCAACTGGCTGGGTAACGCGAGTAGCCTGGGTGCCGGCGCGAACAATCCGTTGTCCAGTCGAATCGTTGATGGCCGCGACGTCCTTATTCTCCGACTGGGCGCGCTTCCAGATTTCAACCTCGCAGCCTCCGCGAAGAACACCGACTCTCATCGTCGAGAGCAGGTTGTGGGCGGCGTTGGAGTGGCTGCAGTTAGTGTCAGTAAACAAAACGAACATATAGATGAAGTGAACGTGGTAACTTACTCATAGACTCCGCCGTTGAAGATAGCCGTGGCATCCTTGCCAACAGCAGCTGAGATCAAGGCTTTGCCACCTGGGTGGTCTGCAATAAACTTTCCAACGTCGTGAATCACGCCTGCAATCGCAACCCAGGCCTTTCCATTCTTCGACTCGGCCACAAAATCCTCCCAGCTAATCACAGGGAGGTTTTCAAGAGGAATGCCCCAATCGAGAGTGGTTCGCTTCTGGTCGAGCTTCTTCTGCAGCTGTTGGAGACGGCCCTTCTCAATCTCGTTCTGCGGGAACGTTTTCAGGTTGTAGGCAAGTCCCATCTGCTTCCAGGTCCAGATAGCCCACTTGGTAGGGTCGTATTGCCACCATTCAATGGCGTTGCGGAAGTCGCTCGGGAATTCGTGGTGGAAGTTGTGGTAACCCTCACCGAGGGTGACGAAAGCCGTGATCACATGATCTCTCGGGGAGTTCCGGTCGTCAAAAGGCTGGTCGCCGAGCCAATGGGCCAAGCTGTTGACACAGAAGGTGGCTTGCTGAATGAAGAAGATTCTGAGGATGCCGCCATAGATGAAGCCGCCGAGGAAATCTCCCCAGAGCAAGCCGCAGGCTAGCGTGGGCACAACTAAAGCCATGACGATAACAGACTTCAGGTAGTTGCGGTGCTGCCATACGACAACCGGGTCCTCTGTTGTGCCATTAGTACCGAGTGCCAAGGCTAGCGCCAAGACAAAAGTAGAGGGTCCGTACCGTTGAGATCGCTGATATCAGTCCGGCCGATTCTGCGAGGATTTTGCTTCATGACCATCCAACCAATGCTGTGGCATGTGTGAGTGGGGGTTACAAGTGGCAGACAATTGTATACTCACTGGCTGTAGAGAAGTCTAGATTTTGCGCACAGTATGTTAGCAATTTGTGCAGTTCACGGTGCAGTAGAGGCGGTACATACCCTTTACGGACCGAGTACGGGTCCTTCTCCGTGTCAGTGTAACGGTGGTGGGCGCGGTGATCCCTGCAACATCAGGATCAGCTAGTGGTCTTGTAAGGCGAATGGGGTGGTTTGAAGCTACCTCGACCACCACCGGGCACTGCCTTCGACAGCAGCAGCACCACCAGCGGCAAGGAAAATCCGGAGAGGCAGGCTGGCCTTGTAACTTGTGTGAGCCCAGAGGCGATGATATCCGGCAGCTAAATACTAATCAGTTAAACCGTTCGCCGACTTGGCCAGAGAGTCGAATGGGAACTCACTGATTCCGAGCCCAGCAAAGTAGTAATAGGCTACCGCAAATATAGCAGTCTTCATGTGCAGGGGCACCCAGTATGCCGACACAGTTCCCATCAGCGGGACGAAGATGATAAATGTCGTGTTAAGCCAGTTGACATGTTGATCTAGACACGAAAACCCAGTCAGTACACGCCTCCCATCAAGCTAAAACAGAGAATGGGGGCGGGATTCGGCACTTACACCAGTTCTTCAGTGTAATCGGCTGTTCTGTGATATGGGGTTTCCGCAGGTCGTACTTCTTGTTGCGCAGCGGGACATAGTCGCTGACCCCGTCGGGGAAGGCCTCAGCCTGAACGTGAGCCGACGAGGACGCCATGGCTTGGGCGGCTTCAGCTCGTGGCTGGAGGTCGGCGAGGGTTGGGTCAGGCGGGCGCAGTCGAGACCGTCGCAGTTGGTATCTGCTGGCTCTCTCTAAATCGGGGTCGACATCGACGTCGGCGACCGTGGCTTGAGGGTGGGGAGCGGAAGCGGGATGGGAAGGAGAGCGGACAGAGGAGTGGTGAGCGGTCGAGACGAAAGTTTTATACGGCTGTAAAGTAAACTAAGGTACCAGGGGTCCAGGATGGGCCCGGGTGGCTTCAGGCGGGGGAGAGTGGGATGTCTGAGGGTTCAAGGAGGGTCCTTGACTTTTTCTGGTATGTACGGATAGGTACGGGTAACCTGGTCCTCGGATGTCACTAGCAAGCTCGGCGTCTTGTTGGGCGTGTCAGAGTGGATATCGTCGTGTCAAAACCATGCCCAGGAAATGGCCACCGAGCTCCAGTGTCTAGATATCTCGCGATGATGAACAAGAGCCGCGCTCACTAGCTAGTTTGGGGCTCTAGTGGGTGGCGGTGGTGTGTTGGTGATGGCCGAGGGCTAAATCAAGAAAACGAGTCCCACTCGGAGCGCTAAATTGCAAGAAAATAGAAGACCTCGGCCGACAAGAAGAGCATGTGCGTGCAACAATCGTGCCATTGATGGCCTGTGAATGGCATCCCCTGCCCAAAACAGAGGGGGGCCTCTGCAACGGGCGGGCGGCATTGCATCAATTTTTGCTGTTGCAGGCGTTTTGTTGAGCAAAATGTTGGGGAGGCGTCCATGTCAACGTGGGGTTCTTCAGATCTTGAGAGCTCCGTGATTGGTCTACACCACGATTTTGGGCCCCTGACATGTCCAGATTCGGTACCTACATGCCCCACTGCATAGAATTCCTTTCATCCCGGCCCGTCATTGCACCCCGCCATTCAACACTCAGCTTCTCCAAAAGCCCGCTTGCCGCGCAACCCTGGTACGTTGTTTTGCCTCCTCTCAAAGGTGGAGAGACCCAGGACAGATCAGTTATGCTGCTTCAGAGGAGGGGCTTCATCATCGAGACAAATATACGGAGCACCGATTCGTATTTATATCTAGAGTCCTCAAGATTGGTCTTTTGTCTGGCACTTCGGCAGCGCCGCCTTACAATCTTGCGGGAGAGGAGAGATGTTCCTTTCAACAAGGATTGAGTTTGACCTTCTTTTTGACGTTGTTATTCCACCGAGGCTGACAGGGTACCTTTCGGCCTAAGGCGGCAAGGCTGAGACACATGTACCTACTATCTAGGTAAGGTTTGTAGGTGAGATATGGGGAGTTTTACGTGCCCTGTGCCCTATGTTCTCACCGATGAAGTTTGTCGCAGTTGCCTGAACTAAGTAACGAAGAGATAAGAACGCTGTTCTACGCCGTACGCACGTTGGAACGAGGCGGCCCTAGGTACGAAGTGTGCGCTGGTTTTAAGCCGCGCTTCCTCAACATTCTGCAACGACTGCCTTGTTTCGTTTCCGGCTCGTTTCGTTCCATGTTCATGTCCAATCAAGTTGCGACAGTCGAAATATTTAATACCTACCTTACGTATCCGTACCTCGGCTTGGCACCTTGCACGTGTTCAAGGCTGCAAGATGCGGCAAACAAATATCAGATGAACGATTTCTCAATGTCGATACTGCGTATATGATGCCAAGTGCCGAGAGTTGCGAGAATATTACCGGGCTACTCAAACCCAATTGAACAATTTACAGCCAATCATGTCTTGGGGTTTTCCACTCAGTTAAACCTCCCTCCCCACCGACGGCCCCACGACCTTGTTATCTAGCCTCAGAACGATGATGACACAACAAAAAACACTTGCTACCTGCCTAGCTAATAACTACCTAGTACAACGAGATGCGCAGCCAGCTCTACTATAGTTAAGGTGGTTTCAAGGAAACATCAAACTTCGACGTCACTCAGTAAATACATCAGATCACGGGCTCGCTCCGCCGATCAACAAAATTGTCACGGATAATACCTTAGTGACAGACAACCACCCGAGGTAGTCAACTGACTCCTTCTCAATGACTTACAAGCTCCTGGCCTCCAACTACCTGAGGCCCCTAGATAGGTATCCAAGGTATACGGAACGTGTGACAGAAATTCTTGCAAGACAATAAACTGTGTTGTTAATTTGCAATGAAATCATCCAAACGGGACCCCTGAAGTTACTACCAGTATACCCAATGTAGCGTTTGCCGTACAGTGGGTGAATGTATCTCAACCTGCAATCTTACCTAATGTACAGGAAATATGGCAAGATGAGAGTGGCTCATATATCATCTTTGTCAAATGGCTTGTACAAATGCAATCGCAAGGTGGGGCCTGGCTATGTGAGGCCCATAGAATCCTTAGCTTAGGTCAAAGAGCAGTAGGCACCTTCTCCTCCCATTCGTCATCCATTCAAAAAGACCACTTTATTAGCAGGGCTACCCAAAGCCGAAGGAACTGTACGGAGTTCGCTCCTTCATCGACCTGGACGAGAGCCGTTTGTTTATTTTCTTATACATACAAGTGATTTATATAGACCAGGAAAAAAAAATAAACAGAAATTCTTAAATGGCAAGATGCCTCCCAAGCTTCCCTCGCCACCGCCTTCCCACTGCGATTTTGGTAAACGACACGGAAAACAAGAAGCACTCTTGGCCGCCCAATCCCGGCATATAGCTCACGGGCAATAATGCACACATAAAAGCCTCCCAGATCGCAAAAAGACGTAAAAGAAGATGTCGCTTGCGCCAATAGTCTCTGTCAAATAGACAGATAGCTTTCTCGTTGAGGAATAGAAACAGACATGATCGAAGGCAGGCTCATCGTAATAAAGAAGATTGGAAGAAAAAAAAAGCGGAAATATGACTCATTTACATGGCGTTTCTGCATTTGGGGCATAACAAGAGCGTCGTGTCTCTGGGGTTTCGTATCGTCATTCATTTCTCAGCGAACGACACTGCTGTTGTCGTCTGCTACTGGCGTGACTATGGCGGCAATGGTAGGACTTGGGTCGAGATCTATGCCGAAGTCGGCTTCGGGGATCAAATCGTGTACGCCCTCTGAAGCAAAATCATACGCCGAACCAATACCCTTAAGGTCGTCAGGAAGCTCGAATGTTGCTGGCGGGGTTGCTGGTCTCGCTGAACTTCTCGAGGACGATGACTGCCGGGCTGGAAGCTCAGAGTTGGGCCCGGCTATCCTTGTCGTCACATCCGACCGTACTTCGCTTGCGGGTTTTTCGGATGCTGCTACCTCCCGCAAACTTCCCTGTGAGAGCGAAATGGTAGGATATTGCCCTTCATCAAGAATCTCGCCCGTATTTTCGTGATGACTGAAGCCGTTCGGCGATTCCAGACTGGAGATTCCAAACCCACCCGGCACTCTTTGTCGACGCTCAGTCGAGTCCATGACATCCTTGCCGCTGTCAGCTGGGGATTCGGGTTCTGGTTTCCCCGCCCCACCTGCATTCGGATGAAGTCTTTCGTTATCGGCTACCGGGTCGCACTCTTGACTCGACTCCACGCGCCTTTGCGTGGCTGTATCGACGTGTGCCAACCTCTCTAGCAACACAGTAGGCTTTTCACCTTCCTGAACGCGCTCACCGTTCAGTTGTCGGCTGCCCCCCGAGAGCACAATTCGCTCCGGGGCGAATTGTGGTGGTTGCATCGCCTCCGTCGACAGAATTTGGATTCCATCCCTGGCTTCCGAGTCTGCCAGCGGTGCATCAGGTTTCTCAACAATCGATCCTCCTGTCTGCGGCGCCACCCCGTTGGTTTTAACTTCTCCCCGATGGTCCACATCCAATTCGCTGTTGGTCAAGTCACTAACCGACGGTACCACCATCCCCTTATTCTGCGTTTCAGACCAGGAAGGGCGAATGTGGTGGCCGTACCGCGATGAGCCATAGTCTCCATGGTTACTTGGCATTGGAGAAGGTGGCGATCTTCCTCTCGCGGGGTAATAGTATGGGTCCTCGGCCGCCACTGTACCTAAATGGGGGTTGCTCCAGCCAAGATACGACCAGTCCGGTGGCTGAACGGTTCTGATACGGGGGACTGCGCTCCCAACGAAGCTTTCGGTTAGATTCTCATGGCGTGAGTAGTTGTCGTCGATGGAAATAGAGGGTGCGGTCTGATGCCCATCGTACTGGCTCTCCTCGTCGAAGTCTGGAAATAGCGAAAGGAGGCGCAGAGCTTGAACACGGTACCGCGGGTCCTCGCTTAAACAGATCTGAACGATGCGCTTGTACCAGCTTGGCACGTTTATATCAGGTGCGATTAGCAAGGGGCGTCCATGGGCCTCGGGCTCATCTTCCTGGGTGGCTAGTGCCCATAAAACCATGCCGAGTTGAAAGAGATCGGACTTGACACCAATGTACATCGAAATCCGCTGGTTGCTTTCGATCAGAGGGGACGCCTCTGGAGGTTCCCAGCCAACAGGGCAGCCGCGTCGGTTGATGTCTATGATCTTGGCGTCACCATCGTCGTCTATTACGATATTGGACAGCGTAAAATCTCCTTGGACGAAACCAGCCTCATGAATCTCGGACAGGCCAGCCACAATCTGCCGTGCCCATTTCTCGCGTGTCGGCCAGGGCAGCGAGTGGTCGTTCTCGAAGATGACATCGAGCAAGGCACCCTGGTCTGCGTAGCTGATCAGCAGCCCCTTCACGTATTCTTCCTTGTCGTCGACGATAACACCGTAAAACTGGATGACATTTTGAGCAGTGCGAAGCCGGTTGAGGGCGTTTATTTCGTAGAGGAACTCGTCAATCGTGTCGGGGCCGGGTATTTCTTTCTTGACGAGCACCTCACCATTGACGCGAACCTTGTATACGAAGCCCGACATGTGCGAGTCGAACTCAATCTCCCTTTCTTTGACCCGCCTACACCTCATGTGCTGGATCATGCGCACCGTAGGGTAGTTGACGATCTCCTGTATCGGTGTCAGCAAACCTGGGGGTTATCCCATCACTATTGTCAGACAACGCACATTGACATCCTCCACCACGTGGACGTGCAACCTTCCGTCCGTTGTCTGCAACTTTAGGTTGGTCACAGTGTCGTAGAATTGGATGTCCGCCAGGCTCTCCCTGATGGCCTCATAAATTTTGGCGCTCTTGTCGCGCTGGAACTTGGTTTGGACCAGCTCCATCTCCAGCGAGTTTTCAGGGGCTTCGCGATAGTCAAGGGAAACCGTCACGCGCCGCCAAAGAGTGCTGTGTTCCCGGTAAGTAACGAAAAACTTCTCTCGCTTGGACTTGTCGCGGAAGTGCATTGAGAGATTGAGGATCCATATCCGCTCTAGTTCCTCGTGGATCATGGTATCGTATTGTGACGTAGTGATGGAGAGGGCATCGACGACGTCCGGAATATGGTCGACGTTGTTAGAATGCTCTGGCTCTGGCTGAGGCTCAAAATCAGGCTCTGGTTCAAACCCATCTAGCTGTCCAATGGCGTCGAGCGTAATCTCCTCGACCGAGCTCCGGGGCAATGACGGGATAGACGGTGCAGAACTAAATGAGCGGCGTAAGAAATCGGGCGCGCTAGTCCGAGGATTCGAGAACGATGCGCTGTGAGAGGCATGCATACGTCTGTCCACGGATACGGCTCTTCGTTCGGCCGGTGTGGGCTGCACGGGTTCCAGCTTGTTCCGCAACTCGGACTGCTGCCTCTTGAATGTCTGGGCCCTAGGCAGACCGGGAACCACTTTTCGCGATACCCGCCGAATGAGGCCGGCCTTGGTGTCATCCTGCTGCTCAGAGCCCGACCTTTTCGATACAGCATCCGAGCCTAGAGCATTGTTGTCTTTATCCCGCCCAAACATCCTGCGCCATAAACTCTGTTGCAGCTGGCCGTTGCTGTCTGCCGTTGGCGGCGTATCCCGCACAGGGGGGCTGATCTGAGATTGTGCCATGAGGCTGGGGATAGGGTCGGGTTCCCCAAGAGACCAAACCACGCGCTCAGCAGAATAGGCAGCCAGGCCTGTGGGGCAGAATGGGCTTCGGCCGCTGGTGTGCTGCGCGAGGGGGCGGGGCCGTTACCCAGGAGACGTCGAACTCTGTCTATCCCTTCTCTTTATTTATATTCTTCTCTGATCAGTTTCCGTGTGTCCCAGGTTGCCGATGGAGGCCGGGCCGACGAGGGCTCCAAGTATATAGGGGTGCCGGGGGAGGAACCAAGCTTTTGTAGGGCTCGCATTAAGCGCGGACGACTACGCAGGGAGCCGATGGCTGGGACACCAGACGAAAGATGTTTGGCGGAGGTTCAGAGCAGTCCATCAGCGCCACTGGGACAAGACAATTCCAGAACCTTGGGTTTGGGTTAGAATAGGGCACCGAGGAGGCAGGGAGACGTGACGCGATGCGCTAGGAGGGATAGGCATCGACGGTTATGGAACCTCGAGACTTGACTAGCAGCCGCACGGTGATGATGCTATGGGTGTGTTGCCTCAATAACCCGGCATCCGAGTGGTCAGTCTCTGTTTCGGAAAGCAGTTGCAGGCGTTTGGCACCAGGTATTGTGTGGATTATGACAACACAGGCAGGCGTGTGGTGATCTTGGATGGGTGGGCGACTGAGGCGTGGATATTCTCCGTCCGATGTAGGGGCAAGGCAGGCGGGCGGGCGGGCGGGCGCAAAGGAAGTAAGCTAGTATGGTATGAATGCGCTGGGCAGGCTTCTTCTTTCCCCCTCGGGCAGTCCTCAGTACAGCCAGCGCCTGGTGCGGTTTCTCGATGCGCTTCGGGCTGCTGTTTGTCTCTCTGCTTTGTCGAAATGGCTGGCGGGCGTTGGATTGGTCTCTGGCTCGACTCCTATTTACCTCTAGTCCGTCCTCCACACTGCAGAGTGCAGACGGGAGCGAGAGAAGTGTGAAAAGGTAGGCGGATGGGACAACCCCCCCCAGCTTTGCTTCCCTTTGGAGGCTAGGCTGGGCTGGGCTAGGCTGGTGGGTGTGGGAGTGGGAGGAGGCTTGTGGGGTTCAACACGTGTAACAAGCGCTTTGGGTACGTCGGCGAGACAATATGCATGGACGAGGGCTACCCCCTTAGGTGCGACATATTTCTGGCTTAGGCGGTCCTAGAGCGCGAGGCCATTGACTATTGTGCAGTAAATTGCCTAGCCCATTAGGCTCCGGCCTGGCAGCCCTTCCCGCACCCTCCGATGCATCGTACGATCTGTTGCGCGATTCTTCGCGCCCGTGTTCTGGAAGGTATTAAGCATGTCACTGACAGCTACAGCTGTATCGTGTATTTTCAAAAATGGAAGCCCAGTTTGTGGAGGCGGGATCTTCCAGGCTTAGTCCCGTTCCAGTGCCAGGATCCGCACTGGAGCTGAGGTGACCAGGGGTTCAGGCTGAGCCCAAGCTCGCTAGGGCCCCACTGCAGCTCACCGACTTCCGTAAAGTTGGGAACACTTTCAGAGAAAAAGAACGAAAAATAAAAACCCCTAACACAGGTCCGAGAAGGCCTTGACCGGGTTTGTTCTGGTTCTTGCATCCATGGACCTATCATTGGAGAAGTCTGGTTTCCCCAAGGAGGTTGAGGTGATACCCGCCCCAACATGGAACACAGAGACAGACCCTGGGGAATGCTGCCTCTCGCTAAACTCGGGAGAGTTCGCTTTTGATAATCTATGGATATATAAGTAACTTACCGCGGGTAGTAGGCAGGGCATTTACCGGGTCCCAAACAACCTTGCTCCATCAAACAGATGAAGATACAACCAACGATAGAGTGATTCTGGAAAGTTGTGAGACCCATCGTCAAATTCCGCACAGGGCTCATGGTCCAAGGCCGGTCCGAGTTCCAAGTTGTTTGAATCTGAACTCCTTCCCAAACCGGGCGGTTTTGTTTCTAGATCTGTAGCATGGAACCGTTGACCGCTCATTGAATGGTTTTAGTTAACCTAAGGAAGGAACGGAGCAGTAACTCCTCTTTCTCCCTACGGGCATCCCGTCCAGGACTCCAGACTACAGAATGCTCGCTTCGCCCCCCTAAGCATGGGAAGGAGAAAAAAACTCAACCGTCGCGTTGCAAATCCCCCTGACCACGTGCCCCCAACCAGATGTAGCTCATCGCCGAAGCTAAGATGACGAGCTGCAGCCCCTGATGGATTGATCTGGTGGCACGACTCGAGTTTGGTGTCATCGTCACTTTTCAGAGGTACTCGCGTGCTCCTTACTCCTGACGTCGAATTGTGCGTACCTACCTTACCTACCTTACCTACAGTGTACATACCAAGGCAGGCGCAAACGGCCCATGTGTAGCTTGAGAATCGGTATGGATGAGATCAAATGGGCGGCAGCACAGACACTGAAAATAACGACAACCACAACAACACTCACCTCTCTGCCACTGCACCGCCCTGCACCGCCCAATGGCAACCGATAATCCGAATCCGGCATTGGAAGATGGACTATGTGTAGGGCACGATCCGACGATTCAATGCGGAAACCTGGCCGAGTTCGGGCGAGTCCTGAACGCCTCGTTGCCCCTTCTGCATCTCCGGTTGCTTACGCTACCTGTATTCGGCCAGCTTGGCATCTCAAGCTTTGGGTCTTTCGTCCCGAAACCAGCCATTTCATTTGCATCGTTGCGGTTCAGTGAAGCAGCCGACATCTCACCGTGGCTGTCACCTGCCACAACGGCAGTGAAAACCTTCACTATGCGCTCGCATGAATAGAAAGACCTGCGTAATTATAGCCCCGACCCTTGACGTCGAATAGAGTCGTCCCCAGCCCTGCCTTCCCAAGGTTCTCCGGCTGGTTGAAGGGGCCCAGCTCACCGGCCAAGGCCAGCCGGTGAGCCCGGCCCAGCGCGCGCGAAGAAACCAGTCCTGCCGGCCTTTAGCCTCTCGGACTCTGGCCTAGCGTCTCGTCCACTAAAATTGGGTTTGTATTGGGCATCAACATGCCTACCGAAGGGAACCGGCCCCAGAGAGTCGCCTGTTCCTCCAACCACATCATATGCGGGGGACAACCAATCCAGCGGCATGCTTCAAAAATGAGGCTGCAGACGCAAAAAAAACAGGCAGCAGGTGGTTCCGAACTGATGATCTGGACATGCTGCAGCGATGCCCATACCATACCCTCTTGTTCTCCACACTTTCTGTGGTCCCTTGGTGGGGGTGGTGATGGGCGTGATGTTGATGCCGCTCCTCGGGGAAAGAGAACAAACGGAGTTGGCGGAGGGTCCCTTCAAGACTGACTGACAGACAGACAGACTTGCTGCAGTTTCGCTGCTGCCTCTATCGTGTCATCGGGCTTTGGACATTGAAAACCACAGACCACCTTCGAAGCATGCCCAGAGGGTACATGTGCAAGCAAGCAGGCAGGTAGGTTCGGAGTATACGCATACAACAGCCCCTTTTCACTCCTCTCTATGGTGTATTCTGTCACGAAAGGGCACCGTGCTATCTGTCCTAGCTTGCACCCATATCCTTTGGGTCAAGCTTTCCTACCCTGTCTCACACTCTTCTTGCTATGGCTTTTGGGGGTAGCGTACAGTATGATATTTATAATATCCCGTGCAAATATGCCTCCCTCCAAAACGGCGCAGTGAGCCTCATATCCTCCTCCCTCCCTCCCCCGGACGCGGGAAATATTGTGGGGTTGAGGATCCGCGGGGGGGATATTCCGCAAGGGATGAATGGATGGATGGATGGGGGGAAACCACCCACATACATCAACGGGCCATCCGAGCCGTGAAGAGCCCAAGTCGAATAGACGTTCAGCAACACCACTCCATCCAACAAAAAAAAATAAGAGAAAGATTCTAGGGAGTTGGGCATCAGTTTACCTGGTTGGCTCCCTTTTCCAACTCTTAGGGCCTTGCTTGGCCGCGGCCGCTGCGCCTTAACGTGCGTGCGTGTGTGCGTGCTTGCGTGTGTCCATGTGCTTAAACTGCATGCATGCATTGTCAGTTTTTCAGTCTGCTTCGTACATGCTCTGTAGGTAGTTGTTCTAATAAAACTGCATTCGTGTTCCATTTTGCGTGGGTTGCCCAGCTTGGCTTTCTCTCCTGATGACGATAATGGGGTAGGTACTCATTCTTGACCAAACAAGCACCGAAACCGGGGGAAGCCTCCTCTCCCGTAATCTGACTGGCCGTGTCCTGGCTCAACCTAGCCCAACTGCACCCGAGACGGCAAGGGACTGAATCACCTCTGACAACGGGGGAGTTCCGTTGTCGAGAGCTCGGCTGGAGTTGAGCCAAACCCCCAAGTCAAGGCTCTTACGTAGGTCGATACATACCTACCATAACATAGGCAGGTAAGGTACCTAGTTGGCTGGGGGAGGAGGAGGAAGACATTCACATGTATATAATACCGTCACAACTACTAGAGTGTTCTTACTAGTACCTGCCGTATAACTCGACAGCATAGGGCAAAAGGCTCTTCAACCATGGTACAGCAGCTGAACTCCGATGGCGACCACGACTATAAGCATCACCGGCAACACCAACACCACCACAGACAAGGCTTCCCATACGGATAGTAATAGGAGAAAAACATATCCGTAAAAGTACCACTGCCTTTACCAAGGAACAAGATGGGGGCTGTATACATAGGAAGAAGGGGCTTCGGCGCCTTGAAAAGATAAATGAACAATGGAGTGAAGAGTTTATGTTGTGTGTGCTACATGTGATAGGTACAGTGTATAATTTATGCCGGATGTGATGCGATGTGATGCAATGCCGTGCTTGCTAAATATCCTCCCACGAGGGAGGAGGGGAGGCAGCCGCTTCGACGAGGGAGAAGTAAAGGGTTAGGTCGGGAAAAGAAATTCGTCCAAGTCGTTTTGGCCAGCTATAGCTAACCTGCTAGCCAGCTAGCTAGCAAGCAAGCTGTTCGGTCCCTCCTCCCAGTTCAAACGCCTGATAATGCTTTCCCTGGTCCCCCATCCTCTCCCCCGCGTCCCATCAACGCATGCTCTCGCCGTGTCCCGTCCCATGGGGGAAAGGGACCACTTTGGCTCTCTATTGGGTAGATGCAACATCACAATGGGCGCCGCCAGCAGGCGGCAGCTTTGCATCATCTGCAAAATGTGCGTCAGGGTTATTTCCCGGTCGCCTGATGTAGGACGGTGCTGTGTCACTTGTGCTGTGCCTCGGACACTTAGTGGCCGTGCTGATTCTTTACTCGTCGTTATCCGACGTGTCTTCGTCATGTGCCTTCTTAACCTCGCGGATTCGGCTCTTATTGGCCTTTTCTCGGTCGAGGTCGGGGAATATCAGATCAAACACCTCTGAGTACCAGCTTACCGGCCGGCCCTCAATGCCCTCCTTAATGTTCTGTGGAGACAATGTTAGCGTCACTGTGTCATGTCATATCGTGCTCAAGTATCTGCGACAACGTACCTCTGGCAGCTCGAGCCAATCCGACAAGTTGTCCTCGGGAAAGATGACCATCTTGCAGCCTGCCCTCCGCGCGGCAACCGTCTTTTCCCGTAGACCTCCGATGCGGAGCACCTTGCCCGTTAGGGTTAGCTCACCAGTCATGGCGACAGTAGGGTTGACGGGCGTATCCAACGCTAGCGACAGGAGCGATGTTGCCATCGTAACTCCAGCTGAGGGGCCATCTTTCTGCACTGCCCCCTCGGGGACGTGTAGATGGATCTTGGCCTTGTCCAAGAAATGGTTGTCGGGAAACTCCTTGGCCATCAACGATTTGGCAAAAGAGTAGGCGAGCGTCGTCGACTCTTTCATTACCGTCTTGAGATTTCCTGTTATCTCAAGCGAGGGTCTGCTGTTCGACGTAAGGCTGGACTGGACGATTGACTCAATGTACATAGCTGCACCACCCATCTGGGTCCAAGCCAGCCCCATGATGACACCAGGAGGGGTAACGTCAAAGAGCCTGTCAGAGGTAAAGATTGGTGGCCCAACGTAGTCCTTGAGGTTCTCCTTGTCAATGACGACATGAACGCTGTCGGGGACTTTCAGAGCCACCCTAGGCTTCTCGGTTGTTTCCTTCTCAGATGCCTCCGTGGCGGCTTGATTTGTCTCGCTATTATCGCTACTCTCGCTCTTTGTCTCGGACTCCTCTAGGGCGGTCTTGCCCTCGTCAGTCAGGGCTTCTGACTCGGGCAACACCTCTTCGCCCAAGTCCTGCACAATCTTCAGCGCCGACTTCCGGTAAACCTTTTCGATCTGCTTCTTGAGGTTCCGGACGCCGGACTCGCGACAATATGACTTGATGAGCTCTTCGATTGCCTCTTTGGTTAGGTTCACGTCAACGTTCTTGAGTCCAGCAAGATCCTGGGCTTGGGGGGCGAGGTATTTCTCCGCAATAGCCATCTTCTCGTCCGCGACGTAGCCCGAGAGCCGGATCACCTCCATGCGGTCGAGAAGTGGCCGTGGGATCGTGTCAGTCATGTTCGCCGTGCAAACAAAGAGAACCTTGGACAGATCGACTGGGACGTCCATATAGTGGTCGAGGAAAGAACTATTCTGCTCGGGATCAAGGAGCTCAAGAAGCGCAGACGACGGGTCTCCTTGGTGCCCGCGACCAATCTTGTCGATTTCGTCGATCAAGATCAGAGGGTTCTCGGTCTTGCATTTCTTGAGTGCCTGGATGACACGGCCCGGCAACGCTCCGACATACGTCCGCCTGTGACCCTTGATCTCCGCAACATCGGTGAGACCGCCAACGCTGAATCGATAGTACTCTCGGTTGAGTGCGCGTGCTATTGACTTACCAATGCTTGTCTTGCCTACTCCAGGGGGACCAACAAAGCACAGGATTTTGCCTTCGACAGTCCCACGGAGCTTCCCGACAGCAATGAATTCCAAGATGCGATCCTTGACATCCTTCAGACCGTAATGGTCCTCATCTAGGACTGTTATCGCATTCTGTATGCCAAAGTTCTCGGCGCTCCTCAGTCCCCAGGGAATCTGCGTGAGCCAATCGAGATAGTTGCGAGTAACGTTGAACTCGGATGCGGCGGGCTCAAGATGGGCAAGTTTGTTAAGCTCATCGTCGAAGACCTTACGGACTGCCTCTGGCATTGCCAGTTTGTCCGCCTTCTCCTTAAACTTTTCGACAAGCTTCTCTTTCCCATCAGACTCGATGCCCAGCTCTCGGCGGATGCCCTTCATCTGTTCCATAAGCCAGTATTCGCGTTGCCGTTTGGTAATTTTGCTCTCTACATCCTTTGTGATTTTCGATTGCAGCTCAGCATTGAGCTGCTCCTTTTTCAGTAGCGAAAGAGCCTTGTGCAACCTTTCCTCAACGTTCAAACTTGACAGAACATCTTGAAGCTCACTTGGTTCTCCGGCAGAGACAGCAGCAGCGAAGTCGGCCAGCTTGGCGGGTTCGCCCCCAACGTTGCCGGCCGACTGGCTCATAGAAAACGTAGACACCTGGTCTCTAAAAAGGGCGTTCATGCTGGCAACTTCTTTGAAAACATTCACGATTTCGTTGGTGACTGCGCGTATCACCGGGCTCTTGGGATCAAAGGGCTCCTCGGTTAGGTTTTCCACGTTGACGAGGCTAACGGGGAACTTCTTGAGAAAAGACGTCGGAGATAACGTTTTCTGCGCCGCGTCGGGTTTTTGGACAACCGCACTCTCTTCGAAACTCGCGACTACGTCTCCCTTCTGCGCCGCCTCTTCTGTAGGCTTGGGGATCGGCTCGGGAGGCGCAGGCTCTGTTATCTCGCCAGGTTTCGAGGCGTCCGCCGCTCCGGGGGGGATCAAAGAAGACAGCCGTATCCTACGGTGTGGATAGACAATTGCGGTTATGCCATTGCCTTCACCACCTGGCTTGATGGGGAAAGCGCTGGTGATCTGGGCGAAGACACCAACATCATGGACCTCATCCGGGCTGCGTATTATATCGTCGTCGGCGTTCTCGTCCTTGAAAAGAAACGTGCCCACATATGGCTGGCCCCTCTTGATCATTTCCATTATCGCGTTGGCAACGTCGGGGTCTCTGATAGTGATGGCCTTGTAGAAACCTGGAAAGAGCGGGCGCTTGGCGATTGGTATCGCCAAGACCTGGGGGTAGATCTCTGGCACCTGAGGCTTTGTCAATGCCCGGTCGCCGGGTTTTCGGCCTCGTCTGCCCCCATCTCCAGCACCGTCCCCCGCCGACCCCGACGCGGCGCCACCGGCAGCACTGCCTTTGCTATCCGGCGATTCTGGAGCCCCTTGGCCAGAGTTACCGGGCGGTGTGTCTGAGCTGGACAGCTTGGCCTCGCTGACGCCTTTCTCCTCGGCCTCTGCCTCGGCCTTCGCCTTTGCCTTCTCAAGATTTGCCTTCATCTCTTCTTCCGACAGGGGCTCGACCTGACCATCAAAGAATCCATCCTTCTGTTTCCCGAGTGGAGAATAGCTCGAAAAGTTCGAAAGCGACACCTGGGAACCGGTCCGTGAGAGTGTTTGCAATCGCAATGCGGACTGCCGGCCGGGCCGTACAGACAGAGGTACCGAGGAGAAAGCCCGGGCCCTTGGTCTTGTTAAGGCTGTTGGGGTCTTGGTTGCAAGGATCCGCGGAAGGCGTTGTCGCGACAGCATCTTGGAGGGCGTGGAGGCCAGAGCTCGGCGGGAGCTTTTGACGTCAGGGCTTTGCGAGCTTCGAAAACTCAAAGGCCGAGCTGACCAAGCGGCAGATGATACACCCTAGGTCGAAATGGGGAGGTAATGGACACCTTGCCGAATGTTTGATGCACTATAAATACACAGGTTATAGACGAATAAGAACGTATATCAAAAGGAAGGGCTTCGAGGTCTGCGCTAGGGGTGGTTGGCAGCTCGAATGATAGCTCCTAAGACAACCCCAAAAGCCGAGACCCACGGCAACGATGTCTGAATAATGCGATGGAAGAGGCGAACATGGAAGGGGTAGAGATTGCTTGTAATTTTAGCTCCGATTCGGCGGAGCAGGGACTGGACACCAAGGTACCTGGTACCTTGGAAAATGGAGGTGAGGCTGCTTCAGCCACAAGTTCGGGACCCGGTAGCGCAATTTGGAGAACTCCAGCCACAGCCCAAAGGTCCCCGCAAATCCCTCGACTCAGCGGTAGCTGACCCCGCCATTTCAACCAGCCTGCATCCATCTCTACTACGGCTAGTAAGTGGGGAGGCACAAGCAACCAGCTCCACTGCAGACGGTTCGCCTTTCTTTCATCCAGAAGAATCAAAAGTATACTGCGCGGACATAGGCACCGCATTTCTCCCTGAGCGACACATCTGTCATTTCAATCAATTAAATCGTCTTGTATCACCACATATTGCTTGCTTTTCTGGTCGCAGTTTGATCGTGTCGCCAAAGTGTCTGCATCAGTCAGTCGGCGTCGTTAGGTTTACACGCTACGCAACGGAGCCGACTTGGGGGTGTGGCCGTTGGGCCGTCCTGTGCCGCGCAAATCTTGGAGCGTTGTTGAAGAAGAAAAAAACGGTGCAGCCTTCCATCTCCCCTCTTCCTCTGCCAACTTCACCAAACAGACCTCAACAACCACGGCTGGTCCTGGTATGCTTTCGTCGCTTTGAATACGCAGTGCGGACTAGATTAGACCAGACCACCTCACTTGGAAGCACGCCTCATCATGGCGTCTAACACTTCAGCAACCGACCTAGAGTCGAAAGTCTCGAAGCTGTCGATCGAGACGCCGGCTCCAAAAGGCACCGGCCTTTGTTCCAAGACCAAGACCGCTGCCATTGCAGACAGCTGGGAGGATGAAGCCATCAGCTCCGACTCCGAGGTCGACAAGGAGTACGACAATTCGGGACCTTCGTCGCCGGAGCAGGAGAGGCAGCTGGGGCGCGGCAGTGGCCATGCTGGCACAACTGCTCCACCCCCCACACCTATGTCACCGACGTACGGCAAGCGGCCATTCTCACCGACGACCTCTGGACCAACATTCGAACTGCCCTATGAAGCTCCTAATAGCGGCCTTCTAGGCGGGACGACGGCATCGGCAAGGCCGGAAAAAACGGACGCCGTAGCGCGCCGAATGATCGCGAGCGCGTTAGGCATGAAAGTGCCCCGGCCGAACGAGGAGCAGCGGGCATATGACCGTGCCGTCCGCGAAAAGGAGCGTCGGCGGCGTGAGGACGAGAAGGTGCGCGAGAAGAAAAGAGAAGAGGAGGCCTTGAAGGCTAAGCAAGCTGTCTGGGAAGAATGAAGCTGCTGCTGTTGTGCACGGATGGTTGTGTTCATAATGTCTCTATCTTCTCCTTTTGTTGATGTGGGCGAAGGTCGCACGGTCTTCCCCCCTCGGATGTTTACGTCTCTTCTCCAGAGAAGAGGTGATGTTTGGCCATCTTTGCAAACGCATCTATCAGGCTTGTTGGATATCATTAGCCCAGGCAGATATACGAATCTCATACTTCATGTGTCGCGTTTGACGTAGGGCAGGTGTTCGCCCTTCCGAGTGAGGACAAGCTCCTGGCCCTCTTTGCCCTCTGTGTCGTCTTCATGAGGTGGACAGTACCGCATTCCGACGCCAATACCCTCGAGGCCTTCACTTTCGGCGCGCATGTTCCAGAGGATCTGATGGACATGACCTAGCCTCGAGCATGAGATGAACCCCATGGGCCAACGACTTCTCCCTAGCGAGTTCCGAATACCTTTGGTGGCCGGGCGCTCCGTGACGAGGAATCCTAGCACTTTTGATCCTCTCCACCCAGCGGGCGCGCCGATAAAGGCGCCCTCGAGCTCGCGGATGAGGTGGGGACGGGGCTGCTGGGTGACTTTGCACTGCAGTAGAACCTTGAACGGCGGTTGCTGGTGGATGGGGCTGCCCGCCGAAGATGGAGACGAGGGGACAGACCAAGTGCCCAGCAAGTCAATGCCGTAGTCAGATGAACCGCCAACCCTGCGCAGGTCGAACCCGTATGCGGCCAAGGTTGCTGCCACTGTGTACTCGAAGTGCGTACCGACAAAGACCTTGGAGCTCTGGTCTAGGCTGGATCGCTCTGCGTACGACAGGAACGAGGCCAGGTCGTGATGGTTCGTTGTGTTGGGTCTGGGATATGTGAGTCCAGGGGCGGGAGAAATACTAGGAACATCAATCTGAGGACTAGGAGGCGTGGAGGTCTCCACTGGCGCGTCGGCATTGCTGTTCCCGTCTCCATCGTCTTCCTTCGCTAGAGCGCGGCCGGTACAGAAGCTGCGCCGGGGAAGAGCTGCTGATCTGAGTCCGAGACAGGACCTCACGACTGAGAACCCCGCAGCTGCGCTCCATGGTATCCGTGGCAAGAGCATCGCGAGCCGACACAGGCAAGGTGGTGCCGTGTTTGCTGACCGGGGGGGGAAATGGGCAGCGAGCAGAGCACAGGGGAAAAGAGGGTCAGAAGCCTTAACTGCCAAAATTTTGGAAGCTCTCCTGCATGCAGGCTTTAACAAAGCGCGTTGTGTGATTGGTCACAGCTTCAATAAACCTGACGATTTGCGACCCCACACCCCTGCAGCGGGCTTGTATCAACCCTCAAGTTAAGTCAACCGGAAGTCAACCTCAACGACATTAAAACCACCAGTTCGTCTTCACATTGCCACAACCACAATAGCCGAGCGCCTAGCTAGAGTCAAACTTTAGGAAAGCAAACATGGGCGACCGTCTCACACAACTTCAGGATGCTGCAGATCAGGTAAGAAGCCCTGCCATTTACTTGCTTTTCAGCTGCGGCTGGCGCTGACGATGCGCCGACAGCTCGTGCATCAGTTCATTGCGTGCTACTACTACATCGAGCGCCGCCATGAGCTCGAAACGTTTGGGCCCAACGACAAGATACACGACCTTAAAGATAACCCCAAAGAATGTATGAGCCGAGCGCGTGCAACTACCTACTTTTTTTTTTTTTTTTTTTTTTTTTTTTTTAAAAAAAAAAAAAAAAAAAAAAAAAGAGAATGATATTTATGTCCTGAAGCATAGGTTCAAATATGCTAACCGGGGAGGGGCGCTTAATGGCGCGTTACTCGCAAAACAGTGGACTCGTTACCGCCCGATGTCTTCCAGGCGGGTCAGCTCGAGCTGGCGCGCGACCTCATCACCAAGGAGCAGCAGATTGAGTACCTGATATCGAGCCTGCCGGGCCTCGACAATAGCGAGCACGACCAGGAGCAGCTGATCAAGGACCTCGAGGAGGAGCTCCGGGTCGCCGAGGCGCAGCGCCTCGATGCGATCAAGGAAAAGGACGAGATCTTGGTGAGGCTCGACCAGGTCCTCCGCAGTATCCGCCGCAACTGAATTGGGGGGGGGGAGTGGATCATGATAAGTGCATTTATCTTGGGAAGACCATGGGATGGAATTGAGGGAGTCTTTCGGTGAAGCTCTGGCATTACATTTGATTTCACGGCGCAACGGCGTGACAGGGAGGGGAAGGGATCGATACCCGTCTATTTGTGTTCAAAGGTGCTATAGGTATCTTCATGTGCATGATCAATCCACTTCAGATTTTTTATTTATTTCATTTGTCAATTAACATTAATGCAAGGGTCTGTCTCGTTTTTAGGTATTATATGTCTATCACGGCATTCATCAGGTGGCACTAAACCTCTCAGCTGATTCCTGACTTGAAGAGCTCGGGAAATACTGTCCTCAGCTCATCCAAGCGCCGTATCTGATACTTGGATGCTTGAGTCCTCGGTACCTTGACTCCTTCCTCAACAAGGTGTGTCGTCGTCCATCCAAGCTCCTGTGCTTGTTTGCAGTTGTTGTAGGAATCATCTCCAGGGGGGAAAGAGTCAGTGATTTGGTGTTTATATCACGACAACAGATTGGGTTCACTTACCGACGAAGTAGCAGTCTTCAACGTTTTCGACGCCTGCCTCCACCATGGCTTTGCGGTACATGTCTGGATGCGGCTTGCATACAAATGGCACCGAGGCGTAGTTGCAAAAGGTTATGCCGTCAAAAAAGTCCTCGACCTCCAAGAGACGCACAACACGCCGCCCGTGGTTGACGTAGGCATTTGTGAAGAGCCACAGCTTTACCTTGCTCCTGTCGATGTCGCCGAGGAGCCGTTTGAGCTCGGGACGGGGCTTGATGACATCGTCGAGCGGCAGGGCGTCGTCGACCTTGGCATTGTACTCGAGAGGGTCGATCTGGTGGTGCCGAACCAGGCCCTCGATAGCCAGCCCATAGTTCTGGAAGTACTCCTTGTGAAGCCGGACAGCATCCTCCCAGGGAAGTGACAGGTGCGCCGCGAAGTATTTGTCGATCAGATCCGCCATGAGATCGTGGACTTTAGCACCTAGATATGTCTCAGCTGCCCGTTCAAAGGACAAAGGCATGAAAGAAGCATCCACCCTTCACTCACTCTTTGGGTAGAGGCAATTGTCAATATCGCTATCCGAGATGTTAGTGAGCACTATTCTTATCCGTTGGTATCAAGGGGCCGGGACCGGTTAGGTAGCCTATGCTTACAAAAAGAAGACTTTCTTGCCGCTGGATTCCACTCCATTGGCGTCTGCTTTGTCGGGTTCCATGGTGTGTTGGTATTTGGCAGTCGGAAGCAGGTGTTGTGAAGAATGGCAGAGTCTTGACAATGCAAATAGGCAACTGAGTTTGGGCAAGATGTCTCTCAAATGGACAAGAGCGTGGGATGTAGATTTCGAATCTAGCAGGTACTGGTAATTATTGATGGTGGTTTTTGAACAATCAGTGCTAATATTCCAAGTCGAGTCTTTTCTGGGGCTATTTATATACATACCTTGCCTTACACGAGTGCTGTTTGCCCCGAGTCTCTGTTTTACACTGACCTTTTTTGGGTGTTTAATACGGCCTTCCAGCTCTCGTTGAATTTAGGTGACTCAGGCCGACTTGCATGACATGGACGGCGTTGAATGCTGAATGCTCGGGCTTGGATGCTGCAGCCAAGACCCACTGCGGCTTTGCTTGTGCAGGTCTTGGCCCGTGCGCAGCCTGCATTTTCTGTTTTTGCCAGGGTCAGGCAGTGGAAATTTGTCCCTCCAAACCCCAGCCTTCGTGGCCGACAACGATTGATTCTCCCAAAACAATCCGTAAACTTTCATGACTAGGACGCGCCCATCACTCCCTGGCATCCGGCTTCTTCTCTATAGCCCACTCATCGCGTGCGATTTCGGCCTTTAACTTTTTTTCTTTCTTTCTCATTTACGCTTGCTGCATGCTCATGAACAGTGGCTGGACAGAGCTGTATACTTCGCAGCGAGCTCCCTCCCGCCTTTGCGGTAGCAGGCGACAGACGGAAAAGCCCACATCATGGCGCAAAGAGGCGCTGGTGAGGTTGCCTCAAATGGCGGAGCGGACAACGCGCCGCCATTGACGGCACTTGCTCCTGACGAGCTCCATCAGATTCGTCAGTACGAAAAGGTTTTGAAATTTCGCGACGAGGTCATCACGGGTTCACACCCGCGCATCAAGCCATCCCATCTCCCTACCAAACCTCCCCAGGGCGTTGGCACGCCACCCGTATCTAATGCTGCCAACTCTGCGACCCCAGCAGCTTCCCAGCCAGTAGCTAAGCCAGCCACGCTGAATGGTGGCCGACGCGCGCTTGACGACTTGCAATCGTTCCAGGGGAATCTGCAACGGCCGTCAGTGAACATGGCTCCTAGAGTGCCTGGGCTGGACACCCTCTCGAGCTCTTCAGACGGGCCGTCGCGACCCTTTGGGTCTGGGAAGCCAGAGATTAACCCTGTCTTGCTGGAGAAGTCTGATGATCTCATTAAGGCTGAGATACAACTTCAAAGAAAGAGAGTCGAGCAAGGTCTCAAGGAGCAGCTCGAACAGCGCCGCGCTGCTTTGAGGGCGTCTCTCCAGGCATCGGAGCAGCTGGCCGAGCTCAATATCACAGAGGTCATGGCGAGAGCCTTGGCTGATGCGCTCACTGCCCAGTCTACTGACGATACACCCGTCAAAGCCTCTGCTAACGCCTCAGCTTCGAGCGACTCATTTGATGATAACACCTTCTATTCGAGCCAGGTCGACACTCCCCAGTCCCACCAGCTGTCGCGCGTCCCTTTACCTGACGAATCCGATGACGAGCAGATGCGAGATGCATCGCCGTACGAGCCTGAGCTAGACCCGCAGCCTATTCATCAAAAAGTCGTCCAAGTCTTGCCGGATTCGAGGCCGCTACAAACAATGCTCCAAGAACAGAATAAGCTGCTGCCGAATACAACAAGCCCCGCAAATGCTCCTCGACAACCAGATGAAGTGTCTGCTAGACCAGGCTTATCTGGCGATACTGGGAGTGCTGTCCAAGCTTTCCGGCCGAACGCCCCGCCTGAGACGACGGATTCTAGAGGGAGCGGCGTAGAAAGTCGGTCTGGAGAGTCGAGCAATATGGGTATGGTGGGGACTGCAGATCGACGCGATCTGGCCAGGGTCAGCGAGCAACTGCTCAGCCAGGCGGGCGGCTTCGGAAGACCTCCTGTCGTTCGTGCCCATGATCTCTCTCCTGTTGCACCCCAACCAGCCCACGTCTCTCCTTTAGCTATTGCTAGGCAAAACCGTATAGACTTGTCAGACGCCGGCACACGTCGAGCAACCCCTGCGCAAGTTGCTGCACTGAGGAAGCAGACCTCTGCTGCCTCCAGCCCAGAAAGTTCCCCACAGGGTAGCAGAGGGGCCGAGAAAAAAAAGAACAAGAAAAATAAGAGAAAGGCTGGCCGGCTTGCTGCCGACGTCGCGGCTACAGCTGGGACCTCGAGTGGGTCGCCATACATCAAACCTGAGCCACGCTCTCGCTCTCCCGTGACAGCCCCTTATGCCCGCCCGAACAAGCGCCAAAGACAGTTGCAACAGCAGAATTCCGACTTCAACTTTGACCACAGATATGACCAGCAGGTTGTGGTGGATGATGGCTTCCAAGAGCCTTACCCAGCAGCCGTCCATAGGGAAAGACGGGCTGTCGGATATGGCAGAGAAGACGATAGTCGCCCTCGTCACGACCCCCAGCCCATTATCGTTGACTCTCCAAGATACGAGAGGGTGTACTATGATGAGGCCAGAACGGCGCCCCCTGCCCGCCAGGTCCGGCCAGACTCTCCAGACACTCCTTCCGCTCCATATTTCACCCGGGAGGTGCGTGCAGTGCGGCCTGTGCCTCACGTCGTTGAGGCCCCGTATGGGGACTCTTCTGCCTACTACCACGATGCCCGTGCTCCACCGGGCATGGCTGTACGTCCGCCTGCATACCGCGAGCGGTCGCCGTCATTGACCATGTACGAGCGACCACCCCCAGCTATGGCCCCTCCGCAACCGGCGCCGGCTCGCATTATTGTTGATTCTTTTGGCCGCGAGTATCTCGAACCTCCACGCTCGGCAACAGGAATCAGGGATGGTATAGTGTCGGACTCTAGAGGCCAAGCAGACTCGGAGAGACTTTACGAGCGAGCGCCAATCGCTCGAGCTGCCTCGCGAAGGCCTGAATTGTTTGAGGATGATGCTGTGGTGTACCGGCCAGCCTCACCGTCTTATGGGGCCCCGAGGCGCGTCGTCACTCAACCGGAATTTTCCACGACCGATTCTCGTATATACAGGGAACGGGGTCATCCGAGTCACCCGCCAATGGCACCGCCTGCCGGTGAGTACGTGCAATCTCGGGGTCGCCTGGAAGGCCGTGAAATTCCGCGCGAATACATTGCCAGATCAGCGAGCACTCGTCCACCGGTGGAGTCAATCCGCTATGATAATGCTGCGGGATATGAGATTAGGGCGACCGAAGAGCGATCCCGCGACTCGTTTGCCCCTCGCGCTGCCAGCGTTCGACCGGCCGAGGGGGTTCGCTACGAAATGCCCGTTGCTTACGAAAGACGGTTAGGGGACGAGATGTTCCGGGAGTATGCGACTGTACGATCAGCTAGCGTGAGGCCCGGGGGGGTTGAGCCAATACGCTACGAGGTTGCCAGAGAGTACGGAACCCGGCTCAGCAGCGCCCGACCGGATATGCCGGGGCGTGAGTATGCCAGCGTCCAATATCAAGCTGGCCAGCGGGACATTATGCAGCCACCACCCACAGCTGCTGTAGGCCGTGCCTACAGTGTCCTTCCCAGCGAAGCACCGCCTCAGGTGATCCGTCGGGACTACAGCGTGCAGCCTAGCGAGCGGTTCTACGGACGCCCTCAAATGCAAAACGACGAAGAGGTCATATTCTTAGATCGTCCCCCGCACGATGCGTACCGCGAGCTACGTTGAATCGTTGCTGTGATCCCTAAATGAAGCTGGCGGCGACAGGCGCTTTATTATCAACTATATATGATATTTATTTGCCATGGTTTGGGACAGGAGTTGGACATTCCGGAGTAGGATTCTTAAAAAATCATGGATACCTCGGATGGGCGATGGGCGATGGGCGATCAGTGATGGACCGGACTACGCAAAACAATATGCGCACCCCCAGCGGTAAAAAATTAATCAGAGCATGATACCTAGTCTTTCGCATGTGGTTGATGAATATACTGATATGAATATATCATCGTGGAAAGTTGTTTATACCTAGCTACAGCGGAGTTATCAGATGTGTTCCATTCTCACCGTGTATGTATATCTACGGTGGGTAAATTAAGTAATAAAGGAAATCCGGGCATGCTAAAACATAGCTGCCCTTGACGATACTCGAAACGTGCGTGAACCACTTGATGACGTGTCTCAGAATCTTGCCTTTGAACTTTGTTTTCGATGCCGGCTGGCACTTGCTTCCCAACTAGCAGGTAGTACGAGAACGCCGCAATGCATTCCACCAACTGCTGTGCTGCAATCGTAGACGATTACGTCCTGGGGTTTGAGTGAGGAAAGGGGGCGGCCAGGCCGGGTTGAAGGGCTGGTGCTGATGCTGAGGCTGATGCTGATGTTGGCCCCCCCCTTCCCAAAATCGGCCGCCATGTGCTAGTAACTTATTTCCCCAGCTTCTTGGGTGATGGCTCGCAGGCTGTTAGGCTTTTCGCCTTTGAAGTCGAAAAAATTACCTTGGGGGACCGTCAAAGCTCGTGTCTAATGTACGTATAGCGAAACACGAGGGGGGCATGGAGGGCCGACATGGAAGCATATCTCGTGGCCGAACAGCCATCATGCACCATTCCAGATTGGGTTGTCCTCAGACGTTTGTTGGTGGCTTGCAAGTCCCGTATCTACACACAGTAGCAGGCAACTACTTAGGCAACTACCTGTTTTTTTGTGTATCAGAGCACTTCAAGCCTCTACATCCCCCGGTTAAGTCTCAAAATGTCTTTGTCTTTGTCTTCAACTGTTACAACTTGAGACGGCCCTGCATCAACGAGAGATGGCTGTGGATCAGAACATATATGGATTCATTATTTGTGTGCGTCCACCGAGGCGAAGGTGACTGGTGGCTTTCTTTTCTGGTTCGCCGTTTGCACCCCCCCCCGAAGCCGAGACTCGACGACGAAGGAATATCTGACATAATGCTCTCGGTCCAGTTTGGTCGAGTTTGGTCTAGTCTCGTCTGCTGCAGCGCAGCGTGGTCTCACACCACCTTAGACGATTGCCAGCGGGGGGTCGGCCGAGACAACTATCCGTCCGCGCTGAGACGGGACGGTCGGGATTGGAAGCCGCACTGTCCGAACCGTTGCACAAATCTCCTAGGAAACCTAGGCAGGTAGTAATTACCCACCACCCTACAAACGGTGCTGTCAATTTGTGAATATTAGTATGTACATACGGGACAGATGGCTCTAGTCTGCTGCTGCTGCTGCTGCTGCTGCTGCTGCTGCTGCTGCTGCAGGTCGTATAGCGATGTGCTTTTTTAGTGACGCAGCATTCGGTATATGACTTGAGAAGTTGGGGGCCAGGATGGGCACGCCGAGTGCTGACTCCTTAGATATAACAAAGATGCCCCCTTCCCACCGATCTTCGTCTCCCGCCCACACCCGCAAGGATCCCATCCCTACCGACCTTGTGTCCTCAATATCAATCAAATTGCCTAGGGAGGTACCTACCTCGTGTCCGCTGGGGGCACAGCAAGCACACGGCAAAGAAGCGTTTGGATGGCCGACAATCGCTTAGTCGGCCGGGCACTGCAGGCCACCGAACCCTTTTGGCTTCCGTCGTTCGACGGGAAAGATATCACAGTGGCTTGGCCCTACACTAGCTAATCAACGAACAAGTAAGCAAATCGTAGAAATGTCGATGACGGGCCACGAGAAGCAGTAGCCCGGAGAGAAAGGTACTGAGCTCACAGAGCCCGGAGACTCCATCGGCTTCCATCGTTACCAATACGGCATACGTGAAGTAGGTATCTAAGTAGACTTAGAGGCAAAAATGAGCATCACCGTTAGACACGGGGCCGCCAAGGTACCACCCTTACCCATACACGTACAATAATATACATGTGTTTCCTGCATTATTAGCGGCTAGTGTCTGCCAAAAAGGTAGATAGAGGTACCGGGATGCCTAAGGCAGAGAGGGAGGTACGGATATCTCAAGGGAGGACAACGTAGCGGATGTGGGCTCCACTAGCCAAGACCATGGATGACCAGAAATAGATGTCATCCAGACGAGCGAGGGGGAAAAGGAAAGGGCCCGAGAGGTGGCGTGGGCGGAACTTGGCTCTCTTGTCTGTCTGTCTGCCTGTCTGCGTGTTGTGTTGAGTCAGTCGCCGGGAACCCTAACTCTGCCAAACCCAAGGTGCTTGCCTTGCTTAACCTTGGGCCTGCTGCGGCTATGTCGCCCGCGGCAACCCAAAGATAAAACGCGCCGGCTTGAGTAAATTAGATGCTCGTGGTCGTTTTCGAGAAGCTCCCCATGGATATTTAGTTTTTGATAGAGGCGTGGAAGCGGAGACTACCGAGGGATCCTCCCGAAGTCGGCAGGTTGTTGTTGGTGCGCAAATACCTTCCATACTGCACGTAGTACTATAATGAGGAATGTATTCGTACTCCGTATACATGAATGAATGCCAGCAAGGCATTCATTCACACTGCCAAGCCAAGTAGGTACGTAATCAGCACCTGAGCATAAGCTGTGTATAATTTGCAATCTTCCCTTTCATTCCAAGCTAAGAACGCTTCTTTGACGATCTAGAGCAATCAGCAAAGCGTTACCTAGGGGAGGCGCGTCCCAGCCCATGGTACACGTACTCGGTAGCTTGTAAGCTAAGCCCCCGCTGCTGCCACGAACGCACAGCCGGAGTTGTTGAGCAGGTGAGACACGGAAAGTACCACGCCCCCAAGCTTGCCCGCGGAGGTACTTGTAACAAATACCCAAGTAAATACCGTAAGTATCTTAGCTAGGTAACACTAATATAAATCATCCACTATTCTATTCCGTACTAGGTCCAAAAAATGAAGTGTCGAGCATGCAGGTTGATCGTGGGCTTGGTAGTCTATTCCCGGATCTCTGGGCCCTGCCCGTAAATGGCGCTGTAGGCCGCCCGATCAGCGCCCTAAGAAGGCGCTTGGGCGTGCTGAGACCGTGTTATTAAGCAGTCGGGTCGGACCAGCACGGACCAGCGGGCAACCTATCCACCCACTCCCAGACCGGGGGTCCCTTCAGTCAATCAGCTTCCAGGTTCGATCTGCCCTGGACCCTCCGCGAAGCCCTCCCTCACTCCAGTCCACCTCAGTGCCAATCCCTTCGCGTCCGACGGTACGAAAGGTATCTTTCCCTCCTCCACCTCCTCCCCTCACCCCCCAACCATAGAACGCTGGGAGTTGCTGTTACCGCTGCTGGAAGGAAAAGAGCACACGACTACGGCATTTCCTCGTCTTCCCCTTTTTTTGTGCGTCTTTTACCTCTCTACCATTTCAATTTTGAGATACCCCGTTTTCCATTCCACTGTCTTTCAGGGTGCGGCAGGCAAGTCCCCCGCCTGGCCCCAGCATCCCGTCTCCTTCAGTCCCTCATTTAGCCCCAATTGGCGGTGCCTGCCCTTGGCTCCAGCAAGCCCGCCAGAGGAAGCAAGCTTCGGTGTCGACCCCATCCCGTCCCTCGTCACCACCACCCGACTACCACCACAACCCACCACAACCCACCACCACCCGACCCGACTTCACCTCCGTCGCCTCACCTCATCCAACTGGACAGGTCCGGCCTCGCACCCGCCGCATTATAGCCATGAATAAACTAGCCAACATGCGTCACTGGCCCGAGAGGATGAGCCCAAACTTTGGCATGTCGCGGGCCAACAACAGCAACAGCAACAGCAGCATGGGCATGCCGCCAATACATCCTCACCAAAAGGTCACAGCCCAGGGTCCCCTTCCTCTCGCTGCCCCCCAGGTTCCCGAGGCTCCCATCCACTACTCGTTCAACGTGCCCTTCGCCTCGGACCTCGCCGGCCCCGACACCGAGGACATCCTGCACGCCACAGCCGACGCCGTCCTCCGGTGGACCCATCCCGAGGACGCACCTGACGACATCCCTGTTTACGAGCTGCCCGTCCACGCCCAGAATCTGGCCCAGCTCCGCAAGATGTGCAAGGAAATAACCCAGAGCCCCCTGGCCATCGAGGCCCATGTCATGTCGACGACGCCCAAGAATGTCCGCGGCCAGGTCACCACCGTCTGTCTATCCGGCACTGCCGAGTTTGTCTACAAGACGCGCGAGACTATCCTGAATGACACTCCCCTCTCGCTGGTGCGTTTCGAATCTAGTTTCTCACCATGGTTCTCTTGGGCCTCACTGTGCTAACCTTCCCCCCCTCCCTACAGCGTTGCACAACAGTTGATGTGGATGGGCACCTGGTTGCCAATCTCGCCGAAGGGGTGCTGAAGAAGGATGTGACAGACTTTCTCGACGAGGTCTCGGTTTTCTGCGGTGTCGACATCTTCCTCCTCGGCCCCAAGCTTACTCCTGTGGTGGATGGCCTGAGCGGCGATGTAGAGGTGCGGAGAGACCAGCGTTGGAGGGTTGCCATCTATGGAGACATACTGGCCTCCGAGCACGCGAAGTGTCGCGTTCTGGTCCAAATCGACAGGCTTGTATGCGCCACCTCCCCCAAATTTGACCACCCCGCCGAGCCGTCTTGCTTACGTTGGCCCTCCTGCAGCTTGGAAGGATTGTCGATGCCATGATTTTTGAGCTCTCTTTGCACCAACTAGTGTGCGGGCGCAACCGCAAGAATATAAAGCTCATAGAATCGGCAACTAACACGGCTATATACTTCCCCCCGCCATTTTCGCAGGCATACCGTTACTGTCCGCCCAACGCAACGCGCCGAGACCCCCAGGAAGTCTTCATCACCGGAGAGAATCCCGGGGCCATTGAGCAGGCCAGATTCAGGGTTCACGAGCTTCTATCTCGCATGCGAATCTTTGTTAAGGATGTCCAGATTCCCTCAGCCAAGATCGACAGCATTCTGCTCAGCCGGATGGACAAGGTCCGGAAGATCATCGAGGCCAACGGCACATTTATCATGTTTCCCCCGCTTGCCTCAAGGCAAAACACTGTGCGGATTCAAGCTCTTGAGAATCTGCACGCGGAACGCTCTGTCCGGGATCTCATGGCCCTCGTACGTGTCATTGAAGCATATATATGGCCCCTAGAATTTTACTAACACGTGTTAACAGGTTGGGCAGTTCTACACGGCTGCGTGGTGGATTAATCAACCGGACAAGCTCCCCCTCCCGCTCCCAAGTCCTAATGACATTAAGACGATGCTAGGTGACATATGTGCCAACTCGGACGCCGATGTTTCTTTTGACAGACTGTCCTTCAACATTACAGGCTCGGACGAAGCTGTGAAAGCCGCTCTCATGGTGATCTCGCAGATCAAATTTGTGGCGCTCTCAGCATATCAGATCCGTGTCAAGATTGAACTTGCCAACGAACACAAGGAATTTGTCAGTGGTAAGAAGAATGGAAAGATCAATAAGATCATGGGCCAGAGCAACGTGCAGATCATGTTCGACAACTTTGGTGAATACAACTTCAATATCGAGGTCTTGGCCCAAACATACGACTCCATGAAACAGGGGTTGACCCTAGTCGAACAGGAGATGCCCGCCTCCATCTCTTTCCACGTGCCCGACCAATACCACAAGCGTATCATTGGCATTGGAGGACAGCACATCCAACGTATCATGAAGAAGCACTCCGTCTTCGTCAAATTCTCCAACGCTATGGACCGTGGTAAGGCCCCGACCCAGTCAGGCTGGTGATGTGTTTGCAAAGCTAACGCGGGAACAGGTGGAATTGGCCGCGAAGACGAAGACAGCCGTGTTGATAATGTGATTTGCCGAACGCCTGCTCGCAATGCTCAGAACCTGGAACTGGTCAAGAGTGAGATACTGGAAATGGTTGACAGAGTTGTAAGATGGAGCCCTCAGCAGGTCTAGCAAGTGCACAGTGCGCTAATATTCGTGGGTACAGGATTCGGAGTTTACCTCTCAAATCGTCAACGTCGACCGTCTTTACCACCGCCGGCTGCTTGCCCGCCTGCCAGACATCGAGGAGCTCGAAAAGAAGTGGAACTGTAAGATCGTTTTCCCTAGCACGGAGCAGGCGAGCGACGAGGTCACTGTTACCGGTCCACAGTGGCAGGTGCCCATGTGTGTTGACGCGTTCCTGGTACGTCTTGTCAGTTCCATCCGATTGATCCATCACATCTTGCTTACCACACGGGATTGCAGGGCATGGTTCCGGACAGGCACGAAGTGATCATGGAACGGTCTTCCGGACTGATCAAATTCCTTCAATCATCCGATTTCGTGCAAAACATTGTGCCCAAGCTCAAGAGCCAACACGAAGTTGAGGTTACCGTCCACGAGAATTCCGACGAGCGTGCCGAGAGTGGCGCCCCTACAGTCACCATCTTGTGGACCTTCACGCGCAACAACGCCGGCGGCCTTCGTGATGCTATGGACTTCCTACAAGGTCAGTTTGCTACTTCTGGTGTTGAACCCGTCCTCATCAAGGGTGCAATTCCTCGCCCTAAGTCGGACACGTTCGAAGAGTCGCTGCAATATTTCGACTCAAAGTTACTTCAGCACGCGCCCGCACCGGTCTCGACAGACTCTCCTACTAAGCCGTCTTTCGGGGACGAGGTTGCGCGCGAGCGCAACACTATCTTTGATCGCCTTCGCAAGCCTGGCAGCATGTCTTCAATTTCGTCCTTCCTTGACCGACGAAAGAACAGCTCTCACTCGGCAACGAATTCCTTCTTCAAGGGTTCCAGCAACGTTTCCAAGTCGTCGCTTATCTCAATTGAATCGACCCGGAGCTTCAACGCTGGCCGAGATCCGTGGAACGATAGTGGTGTCAATCTCCCGGATGATGACAACAACCCCTGGTCCAATACTCGCGTGATGACAGGCAATGGAACCGACCAAAAGCTGGCCGTTCCGCAGCCGGGGGATGCCACACCACGCCACAATGCCCGACAGTCTGCTGACAGCGGGCGCCCATCGACATCTCATTCTACCAATTCAGGATACCCCGGCCCTCTTTCTGGGCCATTTCGTTAGATTCTCATCGTTCGGCTTCAAAATTCTAGACGCACGGATTGTTTTTCGTCACTTGCGAGGAAAAGAAAATACCCTATGGCTGGATATACCCCTGGAGTAAAATGCCCGGTAGTTACTCTGCATTTGGTCGGCTGCACGTTTTGAGTCTGCATTTGCTTTTCGCTCTTGTCTGTTTTCATTTTGTCTTTTTTTCCTTGTCATCTTTTTCTTTTTTAATCGTCATGCCTTGTTAGCGGGGATGTCTATTGTGCCTCGTCTTTCTCCATCACGAATAACGTCCACTCCTTTACGCAACGATGATTAAACACACGCACAAGCCAGCTCGGAGGAAAATCGTGGACACGATTCCATTCGGCAAATCAGATCCCCGCCATTTCCAGACGATTTAGCAGTTGTATACCCAAGCAAGGGGGGAGGGTATCATGTATCGATTCGTTTTTATTTTGCGTTTTGCGACTTGCGATACCCTTGGCCCTTGCTTCCTTTCAACCCCCTCGCTTTATTATACCCTCGTCGTTTTCTCCTATCTTCGTGTTTCATGTGGCTGCGGTCTGCTTTCTTCATCGTTGTCATATATCCATCCAAACCATTCTCCGCTTGTGTTTTATGTCCTTCGCTCTCGTCTGTCTTTATAGATGGACTCTGAAACATCGGGGAAAGATGAAGGGTTCTCCTGTGCCTGGTGTTTTCATCAAGACGGAGGTCTGTTGGTTGGAGTGCAGTTTGATGCGGAATTTGAGGGGAGCCAGGGAAGATGAAGGTTTTATGTCGCAATGAAGGCAAAGAGTGCCAAGTTGGAGTATAAGCCGGCGGTGTTATGGCCATGGCAATCAGAGGCTGACCATGGCTAGGAAGCCGTGTGCACTAGAAAGGACAAAGTGGGTGGCATCTTGAGGGTGGTTGTAGTTGAGAAGAAAGATGACTGAGCGAAGAAGAGCAATGAGGGAGGCGGGGTATATCTGATGTGTATGACGGGTGAGATCAGCGGTCTATTTCTTTGCTCTTTTATCCCTTTTTTCTATCTTTTCGGGATGGACACACAAATGATACCCCTGGGTTGCGCCATATAACTAAGAGAAAAAAGAAAGAAAAGGTCACGAACTGAAATGATTTCGAAAGAAAAACTAGAACAGATCGAGCCAAATATGTCGTTGTTTGCATCTATCATGACCTGGCGTGTTGCTCTGCCATCTCGTCCTTCCGTTGATTGGGAAGACCATGAAGTAGGTAGATAAAGGGCTCCGGGGGTAACGAAGACAATGATACCCGAAGTACCTACTGAGAAAGAAACACTACCAGCTTTGTAGAGCGTGTGGCCTGAGTTGCTATATAAGCAGTGTTCCATGCTCAATTTTAACGATGATTCTTTTATGGTGGCTTAAGTACCTACCTACCTACAACGCTGGAATGAAGCGCAATCCCCAAGAACTAAAAACCCCCTGGGGTATTTATTTCATCTTTTGATCCTCCCAAATCCTTTGTTTCTTTTTTCATCCCCCTTTCCCTCCCTCCTTCCCATTCATCCGCTATCCCCTTGAGAACCTTCCCCTTAGGAAGAAAAAAAAGGGGACATTAAACCAATCCGATCCGTCCATGACAGTGAAAATGATGGCCCAACCCAAGCAAGCTGTTTTCGCTTTTGCGCTGTGCGGCTTCCTCCGCGTCTAGTAAATTCAGACGGGCATGCAAATGCTCCATCTCATCGCCTCTATCTCTCTAATTTTTCTCCGTGCCGGATATTAAGGGACGGCTTGATCCCATCATCCCGTATTCGCCACACTATCATTTCTCGCCTTCTCGTCAATCTGGACCGGGATGCAAGGCCGTGGTGGTACCTTTATAGTAGGCAATATTACTCAGTACCGTGAACATGGGTCTTAAACGACATCGTCGTCGTTGCGCAGGCCGGCGTACTCGGTTCCCTGATTTGCTGTGCTAAGGCGGGCACAAAGGCTGAGGAGCACTACCGTCTCGGTAGCGGCGTAGTGGTTCAGTGCGTCGAGGAGGATCTGTAGATGGCGGCTGAAGTTATTTTCCCACTTGCGGATGACGTCAAAAAGTTCACTGGTACGGGCTGCCTCGTCCTTGGCTTTGTCGTCCGTGGCTGAAGTAGAGCCCGATGCCTGGGAATCGGCCCCGGCCTTCTGCGACCTGACCGCCTGGAACTGCTTCCATTGCTCGTCCGTCATGTTGGGGGGCTTGACAGTGCCAGTGAGGTCCGGGTCTGTCTTCTCAAGCTCGCGCGACAGCCAGTTGGTGTAAGTGGCAAAAATGGTGCACGTCTGCATCAGTTTTGAGTGTATCTAGGAGAGAATGTAGGCGGTCAGAACGGCAACGACGGGGAGAGATATAGAACTAAAAGCACAGAGAACCATACCCTTAGTAGCTTGCTGTTGGTCAGCATGCACTCTTTCAAGCAGGTATCGAGGAAATCCACATGGTCTTGCATCAGCTCGTCGACAGTGCGGGTAAGGCCGGGGGCTCCGCCGCTTCCCGCCGCTTTTGCGGCTGCAATGCCGTCCTGCGCCGAGCTGGTGACACCGGCATCCTTCTCGCGAAGGCGCGACATCAAGCTCTGCCAGTTGGGCTCAATGACTTCGGCTGTGCAAAAGTACAGCAGCTGCTGTACAAAGACCAACATGCGTGCGCGAAGGGTCCAAACGCGGCGCTTCCAGATCTCGAGATTGCGTGATGACGAGCGATGGGCCCACACAATACCGTTAGTGTGCGTCTGCCACGTTGCCGAGAGCTGCGATTCCAGGTGGCGCAGAGATAGCAGGTAGCGAAACAGGGCCTGGTAGCGCCATACCGTCTTGCGGCTGATGACGAGGGACACGGGGAAGGGAACGGCGTAATCAAGCTGGAGGGAGGTGAACCCGCTCGCATTCTTATCATTGTCGACGGGCTGGTTCGTTAGGGGCTGGAGAGACTCGCCTTGCTCGATGCCCGTAATGTTGACGACACGCTGCAGCGACTTGGTCAGGGTGATCTCGTTCATCTCGACCTTGACATCCTCTTTGAAAGGGTCCAAGGCCACGATACTGCCGGGCTGGCGCAGGACGAGATCCAGGAGCGACTGCAGCTTTCCTGTGTTGACCGACTTGACGGGTTTCCGCAGCTCTGAGGTGCCGAGCTCGAGAAAGTAGGAGAAGTAATCGGAGGGATCCAAGAAAAAGTAGTGCTTGAGCGATCTCAGCCTGGCGGGCAGAGCGTGCGTGGTCAAGAGCAGCTGCATTAGTGACTCGTTGGCGTGGGCATAGGCATTGTTGACATTATCGAGAAAACGGCTATCGTCGAACGAGGTCGGTACATCTCTAACCTGCAGACTCACGTCTACTCCGCCGCACTCCCTGACGACATTGAGATACTTGCCGGCAAGCAAGACCTTGTCCTTGACGGCCTCGAGCTGCGGTGGTACATCGTGGTCTCTGATGGTGTACCGTCGTTCCCAATACTCGTCGGTATAGTCCTGTTCCAGCCTCTCGCGGCGGATGCTTCTCTGTTCCTTGACAAGGAACTCAGAGTGGGGGTCGTTGATGCCGCCGTGGTGAAGCCACTCGTTCAGCATGGCCATGTAGGGGCGGCTTGCGTCCCTCAGCAGAGCCGTAAGTAAGGTGCGCGAGGCAGGGTCGCCAGACATGGACTCGAGCCTCTTTGTTATCAGGCCGAGCACCACGCCCCCCTTGCAGATCTTCTTGCCTGTCATGTTTCCCGGCACTAGGTCGCCGCCGTCCCTCAGCTGCTCGAGGATGTGGTCGAAATCGTCGGCACTATCGCTCGATTCGTCCGTCTCGTCGTCGAGAAGGGCATTCCGCTTCAGCAGATCATGGGCGAGGGCGTATATCTGAGACATCATGTGGCCGGTTGGCAGGGTGTGAACATTGAGCACATGCAAGGTGAAAGTATCGTTGGTGAGGAACTGCGCCTCAAGCTGGGAGATCATGACGAGATACTCCTGGAGGAGCTTGCGTATTGACGCACACAGGGCGTGGTTGACAGAGCCAAACTCTTCGCGGCTCTGAACGTCGACAAAGGTCTCGAGGGCCGTGTAGTGGGTGGCCATTCGAAGCATGGACTGGGTCAGGTCCTGGAGGCTTGGGTCCAGACCTGGCAGGATGCGCCACTGGGGCCCCGACAGACGGTCGCGTTCCTCGTAGGGGTTGTACCCCTTTGCAAAGCGTATATACTGGCCTTCGAAGCCCATCAGGACGAACAGCAGGTCCTCGAGAATGACCGCCTCCTGGACGTCGAGGGACAGGTCGTGTAGGGGGGTAGGCTGCAGGTCGGGGGGCGCCGACGAGGCAAGGGGCGGGATCGAGATGCGCGAGGCCAGCGGCGCTGACGTGTGCGGGAGTAGGGTGGCCTCAGGATCCCAGGGTGCTTGGGGGGGCTTCTCCATAAGGGGTTCTTTGCCTCTGGGCTCAGGGGGCCGCTGCTGCTGCTGCGGCGGTGGCTGCGGTTGCTTCAAGCCATCGGCGCCACCCTTGCTGCTCGGGCCTGAGCGGCGATCGGGGCTCCGGGTGCGGGATACGAGCGTCTCTCGAGTGGTCACCTGCACTTTCTCGGTGCGGCGCTCCTCGACTGACCGGCTCGTCTGGCGTGGATTCCCCGAGGCAGTACGCTTGTGGGCCTGGGAGGTGCCATAGCTGCTGCTGATCGGCGGAGAGGCAGCCTGGGGCCTGTGAGCATCGCGATCAGCTCTGGATTCGGACCTGAAGTTGTTGCTGCTGCCGCCGCCGCCAGGATCCTTAACAGAAGCAGCGGTGGTGCGGGGCCGTGATGTAGATGCCGACGTAGCTGCTCTAGAGTGATCCGAAGTAGCAGCACCAGTCCCAAGGCCACTGCTTCTCTTTTCGGCGTGCGTTGACGGTCTGGCGGTGCTCGACGACATGATCCCTGTCTACATTTGCAATCCGATGCCCTTGTCGTTGTATTCGTCGTATTAGTCGTCGGCGTCGTCGTCGTCGTCGTCGTCGCCGCCGCCGACAGCATTGGTCGGTAGTGCTAAGCTACGCTCTTTTGGAAAGAATGAATATCTTACTCTGTACTTGCTACAGTGGCCTTCTTGTGGGTTTTGCGGCGTGCAGTTGTCGGCTCTCGTTGCAGCGCCAAGTTCGCGGCCGGTTAATCCTAACCTAACCTACCGAGCTACCTACAGTACAAAAAGGTGCAGTCGCGCCTCGACACGCTGTGCATGCTGCCCGCCGCCGCTCTCCTCCTTCACCCCACCCCACCGCCCTGTTTTGATAGTATTAGCGCCTCTTTGGCCCTGGGATGTGGGGCTAAAGGCGAGGCTGGCACCTGCCCTGCCGCCCCAGCGCAATTGGTTCCTCCACTCCCCGGGTACCTTGGTACATGCAGGGGGGGGCTCCTGGGCCAGGTTGTGGCCGCCTGGGCTGAGAGAGGCCAGGAGCTTCGTAGCCTCTCTGTGCCTGGAGCTGTCGACCTCCAATTGCTGCCTCACCTCCAAACGTCCCGCAAGAACCGGCTCACAGTACCACCATTACAACCGCCACCACCGCTGCATCTCCGATCTGTGAGCTTCTAGTTTTCAACCGCAGCATCCCGAGCCACAGCGCAACTTTAACATCACAGAAGCAAGAGCCATCCGGCCCCGAACACCAATACCACCGCCAAAATGTTTATGGCAAGATCAGAATACGGTGAGCTCCTCTTCTCTCTTTAAGACAGCCAGGGGCCATGCACGCTCTACAGCCTGCTTTTTGCTAACACTTTGCATTGGTAGATCGGGGTATCAAGTATGTTATTGCGCGCGAACAATTACTCTCTCTCCCTTTCCTCTCGCTACCCGCGCCCCGTTTGCGTCACCCCAAGCCCGCAGACCGAGAACGAGCATTAAGCAGAGCTAACCGCATTTTCCGCCCGCCTACAGCACCTTCTCTCCCGAAGGGCGCCTCTTCCAGGTCGAGTACTCGCTCGAGGCCATCAAGCTGGGCAGCACGGCCATCGGGGTGGCGACGTCCAAGGGCGTGATTCTTGGGGTGGAGAAGCGCGTGACATCGACGCTGCTCGAGACGTCGTCGGTTGAGAAGATTGTCGAGATCGACCGGCACATTGGGTGTGCCATGAGCGGCCTGCAGGCTGACGCACGGTCCATGGTCGAACACGCCCGCGTCGAGTGCCAGAGCCACGCCTTCAACTACAACGAGCGCCTGCGCGTCGAGAGCTGCACCCAGGCTATCTGCGACCTGGCGCTGCGCTTCGGCGAGAGCGCCGACGGCGAGGCCTCCATCATGAGCCGCCCCTTTGGGGTCGCCCTGCTCATCGCCGGCTACGACGAGGACGGCCCTTCGCTCTACCACGCCGAGCCCTCGGGCACCTTTTACCGCTACGACGCCAAGGCCATTGGCAGCGGGAGTGAAGGCGCCCAGGCCGAGCTGCAGAATGAGTACCACAAGGTATGTTTTGTTTTGTTTTATGTGCCCAAGTCCTAGAGAGAGCGACCCGGCTTCCACGACAGCGCGTCAAACTCGTCCCTCAAACTAACACACCTTCTTTCCCAGTCACTCACCATCGAAGACGCCGAGACGCTGGTGCTCAAAACACTCAAGCAGGTCATGGAGGAGAAGCTCGACTCCAAGAATGTGCAGCTGGCGAGCGTAACCCTGGAGCGGGGCTTTAGAATATACACGGACGAGGAGATGGCTGCTGTCGTTGAGCGGCTCCCTGCGAACTAGATACATTACCTACCTTATCTAATAGGTTTGTCCCGCCCACCCCTCTAGCCATGTTTTAAAATTCTCTTATGTGTACAACCGGTATTCAATTCAGTTACCTTACCTACCTACCTCATGCACACACACAAAGCGTGACCGCCTGCTGGTTTTTGTCTTTAATCATAAAAAGGACAAGCTCGCGCCATGTGTTGTTGCCTTGTATGTACATACATGTTCGTGTCTACGTGCGTCCGCAGCGAGAAAGTTGGCATCGAACGGGATAGGAACCGCGCTATTTTATTGTTGAATGTGAAAGACACAGTCCCCTTTGCATCTCTGTCCAGAGTTTGGTTGTTACAGGTAAGGGTAAGGGTGAGGAAGGTGCTCATCAATCTCTTTTTGTTTCCTTTCCATTAATTGATATGTTGCTTATTTACATTTACAGTTCCCCCCAAGTTGTGATTTCGCAGGTTGGCAACTGATCATGATCATAGCCTTGAAGAACCAGTGTCACAACTACCTATGCGGCAGGGACTGCGATGAGAGCCTTCATGTCAGTAGCCAGTGGAATAGAATGACAACTGGCAGCACTTGAAAAGGACTTTTTCCCGCCCAAATATATACCTATAGCAATAAACAGACAAGACAGCAAAGCTAGTTTCGTCCTGCTCCGTAGCTCCCCTTTTCCGACCCTATTCCTAAATACAGAAAATGTCAAGCGGTCGTGATTGAACATCACAGAATCAACCCGTCTAAAGTGAGAAATAAGTGTGAATAAATCCATTAATCGCCGCCCCCTAAATCAAGAGTCTCGAGATCTTGTTCGACGCTAAGCAGGCCCAGGGCATAGTGCGTCTGCTCCGTTTTGGCAAGGACGAGGCGGTCATCGCCGGCTTCGAGCTCCTGGATGCGGCGATCGACGCGGCGGGGGCGCATCCATATAGTTTGTGGATGGGAGGCGGCGAGGTTTGGCGGACTGTGGTAGGGAGGCCCGCGGCCGAGTTCAGCCGCCTTGAGCCAGGCCGACTCGCAGCCGTCGGCGATCTGGTGCGCCGATTGCCACCCCGTGAGCCGCGCTATGTCGTGCAATCGCCGGATGGTCCAGTGCCGTTGAGTGATATCCCTGTACTGAATGGGACGTAAAGGCTGAGTTAGCAAGAAACCCGGGAGAGGGGTTGCGCGCAAGGCATATTAAAAGGCTGAACGGTAAAGCAAAGGATTATGACCAACCTGGATGGCTGCCACAAATAGACAAAATGAGCTCTCGATAAAGGCCGCGCCCTCAAGTGTGCTGATGGCTTCCAGGCTCTGGCTATCTTCGTGGAGGCCGGCAGCGATACGCCCGATCTCGTTGGCCCACGGTGCCGTCTGCCGTGCAGCTAGTCCCGCCGCCACCACCGAGAATGGCGGCATCGACGGGTGTGCTCTGTATAATGCGATGAGGCCCATGTTAAAATTCAACCAGATGCCCGCGATGCTGTATGTCCGGTATTTTAGGGCGGGGCCAAACGGTGTGTCTTCAGGTGGCGCATGGTCTGGGCCCATGGGCGCAAAGTCTAGTCCGAGACGGGACCGGAAAACCTCGAAGGCCTCGCGAATGGCTTCCCACTCGCCGAGCGCAGTTGCTGTGCTTGTCTCGAGATCCATCCCGTCATCTGTCGCCGGCGAGTTCTCGCGGGGCGGGCTAAAGCCAGTCGGCAACGAGAAACCATGAGACGGAAGCAGGCCTGCGAACATTGGCGGCTCGCCCAGCGGAGGACCATTCGCATGAGGTGGCGGACCGGACATACCATGCCCCTGACCTTGACCCATCGGCGGCGGCCCCCCCATCGGTGGCGGCCCTCCCATCGACGATGGCCCTCCCATTGGCGGAGCCCCTCCCGGACGCGATCCAGCTGCCTCGGCCTTTCTTGCTTTGCGTTTGCGGATAAGGTCCAAAGACGCAAAGTTGGCCAACCGACCAAGTAAAAGCATGAGGTGGTCAAAAGTCCCATAGCTATTCGAAGAAATGCACATTAGCAAAGAGCAAGAGGAAGCAGGGGTAGTTCACAGCCCCCCATGTTTCGACTTACATGGCATCCATCTTCGCGAACTGTGCTCGAGGCGAGCACTGAGTCCAGTGATCATATTCCATGCTTGAGCATTCAGGTCAGCGAACTCTCTCAATTAGGTTTGCGCAGTGCCCGTGACTTACAAAAGACGAGTCCCCCCAAGTATGCTCTGGTAGACATCCATCTTGCAATACCACCAGAAGAGATCGCTTAGGTGCTCATAGTTCTCGATGTCTCGCTCTGTGTATTTCCGTGCGGACGGTCGCGGCGGTCTATCGTCCATTATGTGGCCAGATTCACCAAATGTGACATTTTGGCCCGTAATCTGGGAGATAAAACCCGCATCGACTCGTTCTCCGTCAGGGTCTATGACAGTCTGCAAGGGGTTGCCGAAGACATCGAACTGCTGAGCTCGACACTCCTGCAGCCTGAGCCATCTCTTTTGTTTAAGGGGTAATATCTCGCGCGTCATTTCCCTCAATGGCATCTCTCTCATGATGGCGCGGGCTCCCCACATGTGCTTGCACCACTTGTCGTGATCCGAGTTCCAGACCTCGTAAAAACCGAGCAGCAGCGTAGCTGCAAGTGTTGCCGGCTGCGTGCGCTTGTTTGTACTCTGGTAGTTCTTTGAGATCCTTCGGAGGCTGAGGTGGTAGTGCTTCATGGCTGCCGTAGCTGGTGTCTCTTGTAGCTTGGCCATCTGGAGGGCACCTAGTGCAAGCATTGCTTGCATCAGAGCCGGGTGGTGAAAAGCCATGATTGGGAATGTGTCTAATATACACCAGTTAGAACGCTACACACTCAGGCGTCGATCTTGGGGGTGGGCTCTCACAGGTCCAAATGTGTTGGCGAGCCTTTGGAACGGGTTGGCCTTGGAACATGGGTGTAGGATCAAACGGGTGCCTCTCGTACAGAGACATGCTTGGGCCTGTCACGTTTACAAAATACCAAAACACGGCTGCGGTCTGCGGGTCGTTTAGGGGCGAACTGGCGGACGACGGCATATACGTGTCCAGTATGGTCTGGTCTGCAAAGCTCGAGACGGTTCGAACGCGTACTCCATACAAGTCGTGAGGGACGGCAAGTCGTCTGGCTACTTGGATGCCCAGGTCATTCAACTCGAGATCTGCTGCCTGGCCATCCTCGTCCATTTCGTCATCCGAGTCACCTATGGATGCCTCGTCGTCAGAGTCCCAGTATTCCCTCTCGGCCGAGCTAGAATGTTTCAGAGAAGGTAAGCCATGTTCCACTGGCGAGACCGAAGCACCGGCCGACACGGACGGCGATGCATGCTGCTGCTGACCATAACTGGGTGAGGGCGACTCCAATGGCTGGTTGGCTTCGAATTTTAGGGGAGCTGCAGAGGCATCTAGTGCATTCCCCAGCTGCGGCCCGGAGGTTTGAGCATAGCCGGGGGGCGGTAGAGAGCTGGGAGTTAAAAGGGGAGGGGAGGGTTGCGCCTTGTCCGGGCTGTAGAAGGGAGGACTCGAGCCGGACGGTCCACCTAGCGGTCGGTTCGGGTGCCTCTGAAAGGACTGCCCGAAAGAGCCAGGCGCGACACCTGTAAAGTCTACAGACGGGGGCTTTGGGGCGATAATGACCAAGGGACCCTGAGATGAGCTTGATTTGACCTGTGAGGCAGTGAGCTGGGCGGTCACCAGGGCATCCTGGGCCTGCTGGTGATAAATGGGGTGGCCAAAGAAGTTGCCAGGCGTAAAGGAGCCGATGGGCTCCTTGAAAGTGAGGCGCTGGTTGTAGCCCTCGCACTGCCGCTTGGACTTGATGCAGTTACCGCAGGTCGGCTTTGCTTCGTCGCACTTGATGCGCCGCCGCCGGCATGCTGAAAGGCGGGAGGGTTGGGTGTTAGCTGGCTGACGGAAGCGGGCCTGGAACACGCCATGACGGCAATGTGGAATGACATGGACATACTAAGGCAGCCAGTCTTTGTCCGCTTCCTCACGGCATTCTTCTTTGGCCCCTGATTTGGCCTGCCTTCGCCGCTCGGCCCGGCCGGAGGTGGGGATGGCAGCTGGGACTCGTGGGGAGGAGAGTCATCCGAATCCATGGCGTCGAACAAGCGGCTCAGTTTCCGAAGGAGAGAAGGGGGGGAACTTTTATGTGGTGGTACCCGGCAGTGTGCGCTTCTCCAGCGCCAAGACGGGGTCGTGAGTGGGCAGCGTCTTGACCTCTCTATATTCGGCCCTCGCCACAACTACTATCAACCGACGAGGCTCTAGTAGGCAGTCGGTAAAATTATCCAATGCGCGGCAGCGGCAGCGGCAGCAACAAATAGAGACAGGTAGGGGAGGCGCGCAGGTATTAAAACGTCGACGGCTGTGAGGGCGAGCTGGGCGGCGAAGGGAAGGGGGGTAGTCGGCCGGGGGAGCGTCTGTACATGCGGCACCTCATCGAAGCGACTGAGAGTGAGACAGGAAATCAGAACTGGCGTAACCGTCGACGTCGTGGACCAATCTCGACACACGGCCTCGCCAGGCTCTCTGGAACCCGGGCTCTCGCTGTGGTGGCAGATTGCTGTGTGAGTACGAGCACGGGGTAGCTACCTATGTATGCTTCTCGCACAACACGGCGCACGCTAGCTTGGTGTCATTGCCGGCCGAAGCAGTCAGACAAGAAGGTGGGTGGTGCGGAGACGGTAACGCAAGGCGACCGAGTGCCTGAGAGCGAGGGTGAGGGTGAGGGCGAGAGAGAGCGAGGTCTGCAGGTACCTGCTTGGTACGGATACCACTGCTGCTGCTGTGCTGTAGTCGCCGTGCTAGGTGATAAGATGTATACTATTCGTAGGTATTTGTAGACCTGGATAAGTATCTTATGTGCGCCAAAGATAGTTACAATTGGCTCGGGCCTAGATTAGTCAGGTAAGGTAGCTGACGGCGGCGAGGTCGAGGATGAAGAAGACGAAGACGAAGACGAAGATGAAGACCAAAACTGAGCCGTAATCAATTGAGCGAGCGAGCGAAACCGAGAGAAAGCAATTGAAGCGTCCGTGTTCCTTCTCTCAATCCCCTCAATCCCAGCGGGGACCGAGACGCCGCTTGAAATTACGTGGGGTATGGTATATGGAAATAAGGTAAAGTAGGTAAGGTAAGTAATTGTTTGTACTAATTGGTGGACGAAGTACCGAATATTCGATGCAGTCCGGCTACGTAGATGAGATATCGAGGGGGTCGACGTGGAGATGCTACTATGCAAGACCTACCTTAACATTATCTTCCACCTACACGGCGACAATCCACGGGCCGATCGTGGACAAGAGGCGTTGTGCGAGGGTGGATCGGCGGACGTGTAAGCGCCTTTTGGGGGGGAAGGAGGTGGTTGCCGTGATTGGGCCAGCCCCCCAATCGGAACTGGAGGGCTCCTCCCCAGCTAAGGTAGGCCTAGCAATTAGATACGACATTCACCCTCCATCGTACTAGCTACAATCGCTAGGTGGGAAAATTAGGTACTGTATACAGGAGGTATCATCCATGAATGTTCCCGGTCCGTCACCAACATTTTAGAAACCCGCTCCGTCGTATCCGCTCCTCCCCTAGGCTACACTAGTATCAACCCTACTGAGTCTGGGTGTTCAGTGGCCAGAACAGGAGCGCGGGGGCTGGCAGACAGAACCTTGAGCACATAACCCATGGAAGCCCGGTAGCTGCAGCCTGCAGCCTCCAGTGTTAGGATGTGGAGGGGCACAACGGCCAACAAAAGCAAGGGGCCATCACTGTAGGCAGGGGTGTCGCGGCGACAACCACTGTGTAGCGTTGATGCAGAACGGAGGATGGGATAGACATCCCGAAGGACGACGTTTGGTCAATCCGTTTCCCACTTCCTCGTCTTCAAATGCCGAGGGCCGTAGTGCCCCTCTAACTGCAATTTCAAGCTCCTTCCCGTCGCCAGGTCCATCCTGCCTCAAGGAACTGAGGTGAATGTTGAGACAAAAAGGGCAGGGGCGTCTTGGTCTTGAACTTAATATGCCTACCGTAATTGAGGGCAATCTGGCTTCGGTTGAAAAGACCAACGAGACCGGGACTCGACGAGGCAACTGGGGCACTTTTGTGTCTCCAAATCCCTGGCCAAAGGAGTGCTGGAGTAATCTAGGTGATACACGACCAATCCCCGCCGTGACTTGCAGGAGGTTGGAACAAGGAACTCCCAAGTATGGTGCAAAGGTACTGTGGTTGTACCATTGTCAACCCCCTGATAATATATATGGAAAGTGAAATATCGTGACCTCAAGCCCGCAATGTGCGGCAGGGAGCGCTGGTCCGTCCCTTGCAGACCGGAGACCGGGCTTTTCTTTTTGCGTTTGATTGTGAGATAGATCGGTCAACCTAAAAATACTCTCCACGTTATTAGAGGGAAGAATATCGATATATATTCTGTATGGTGCATATCACCGCTACCGCTACCGCTGATGCGAAAGAGTTGGAGAATACCGGGCTCCGCCCTGTCCAGTTCGCACAAGCCCTAATAAAGGGCCGATAACCCAAGGTCGATGCAGGAGTCGCCGGATCTCAATTGTCGGAGAGAGAGACATAGACCCTCAAGACTAGTTACTCTAAACGATCCGCGCTCGATATGTTAGTATGAAATTCCGGGCTGGCGTTGTGAGACAGCCGGAGAACACATCTGTGCTAGACACTAGGCCGCTGTCACGCACATATGCACATATTCAAAATGTTTTACGTTGGAGCCGTAGGAGACCTACCTAGGTAGGCAGGTAGACGTAACATTGCTGTGTTAATGCTGTGCAACGGTCCCAAGCAAACAAGCAACATGGCAATTCGAGTAAAACAGTGACTTGGGTTCCGTCTCTGGGCCCGGGTTGTCGGGGCTCAGGTATGTACGGAGTAGATAACACGAGGAAAGATGTTTCAAGCGTTGTGAGGTTTGTCCTGTCACTCTCCTACTCAAGGTCTCAACTGCGGGGACAAATTTGGGGTTCAAATGCCGAAGCCAGCTCTCTAGGCCCCTGGGCGGACCGGCACACAAGGAAACAGTTTGTTCAGTACGAACATTCAAAGACTTGCTGGACTGTAGTATTCCTTATTCCCGTCCCTATCATGATAACTAAAAAAAAGAAAAGACGGGACACCGAAGATAATTACTGACCCTCCGTCGATAGGTAACTCCCAGGTATGCAATACCTTACGTAGGTGGCGCCCATCTGATCTTAGGGCGTGCATACACTAGGTAGATAAGGGAAACCTCCCAGCAAAAGGGATGAGATGAGGCGCGAACAACCAGACGAAGTAAATTCCAATAGATCTCGAGCCGACTCTCGATACCCCGCGATAAATAAGGTAGGCCCAGGTAATCGGGCAGAAATTCAGCCATTTATGAACACTGTATTTGGTATCCACATAGTCTTGTAGCTTTGTGGTGTACTATGTACGGGATAGGTTAGATTGCTTCCATCCATGCATAGCTCCCCTGCTCGACCTTGAGGCCCGCCCCACTAAACCCTTTTTTTCCTCTGGGTATCGCAATATTAGGGAAAGGGCTTCCCCAAGACTGATCGACACACAACCTCCTAGACAGCTGTACGCCTGAGTAACTTTCAAGACCGAGCGGAAGAAATCGGCAATTATAACCCGTCACCACAACCACGCCAACATGTTTCCCGTCAAAGGCTGGAGCATGGCGGCGGAAGCGCCGATGGTCGAGAAGAAAACGGGACCCGGCGGCAGTGCCCCGCAACAGGCCAGAAAGCGGAAGAGGCCAGGCCAGTCGCAGCCTCCTGTGACGACAGCTAACCTTGCCGATCTATGGGAGAAGGTAATCGAACACAAAGGCAGGGTGCGATCTAAAAAGGGGAAGAAAGGCGGCCGGAAGACCGAGACCGACGAACATGTTGCCGTCCCCGATGAGGGGCCGCAGCCTGGAGCCGAAGAGCCTATTGAAGATGGCCAGTTGCCAAGGCAACAAGGGCAAGCAGATGCCGAACAGGAGAAGAACAAGAAGAACAAAAACAAGAACAAGAACAAGAACAAGGAGCCTTCTGCTGAAGTCCCCGTTGAAGAGGAGAAGCCAGCCGACGCCGACGGGCAACAGCAGTCGGACAATGAGGAGTGGGGCGGCATCGAGGATTCTGACGATGCTGTTCCCGAGGTGGTCGAACCAGTTGAGGAGAAAAATGACAGGAAAAGTAAGAAGCAGAAGACCGACGATACACGGTCTAAGGCGCAAGAAACCAAATCAGAGAGCGGTGCCACAGTAAGCAAAGACAGCAAAAAGCCCTCCAAGGATGAAAAAAATGAAGGGAAGCCTACTACAACACCAGCACCGGCACTAGTTCCTGTCGCCGAGCCGAAGCTCACTCCGCTTCAGGCGTCAATGCGGCAGAAGCTGGTCTCGGCGCGGTTCCGCCACCTGAACGAGACGCTGTACACACGGCCGTCGGTTGACGCCTTCCAGCTCTTCCAAGAATCGCCCGAGATGTTCTCTGAGTACCACGAAGGGTTTCGGCGGCAGGTCGAAGTCTGGCCCGAGAACCCAGTTGACAGCTACATCCGGGATGTCAAGGCGCGGGCCAAAGTGGCGCGGTCCGCAGGAGGGAAGCACGACTTTGCAAACCCGGCCTCGAACGCCCAGGTGCTACCTCTGCCTCGTACCGGCGGCAAGTGCACCATCGCAGACCTGGGGTGCGGTGATGCGGCACTGGCCCGCGCGCTTGAGCCCGTCAAGCAAAAGCTGCACCTCGAGGTTCTTAGCTATGACTTGCAGACTGGCGGCTCTCCCCTTGTGACACCCGCCGACATCGCTAACTTGCCGCTGCGCGACCGCACCGTTGACGTGGCCGTCTTCTGCTTGGCCCTCATGGGCACCAACTGGCTCGACTTTATCGACGAAGCCTACCGCATCCTGCGCTGGAAGGGCGAGCTATGGGTCGCCGAGATCAAGAGTCGGTTCGCGGCACCTAACAACAGAAAAGGCCCCGGTGGTCCCGGTAAGGTAGTCGCGCACAGCGTCGGGAACCGCAAGAAGGCCCCAGCGGGCCCACTCCCGCCTTCTCTCACCTTCTCTGCCCCAGGCAGCAAAAAGACGGCTAAAGGCCGCGACGAAGCCGCCGAAGCCGCCCAGGCCGCCGAGCTGGAGGTAGCCGTCGACGGCGCCGAGAAGCAGCGCCAAGAAACGGACATTGCGGCATTTGTTGAAGCCCTCCGTAAACGCGGCTTCGCCCTGCACAAGGAGCTGGGCGACGGCGCCGCCGACCTAAGCAACAGGATGTTTGTCAAGATGCTATTTGTAAAGGCCATGCCGGCCATCAGGGGCAAGTACGCCGTCGCTGAGGAAGAGAAGGTCAACGACGTGAACGTCAACGGCATCGACGTCAACCGCATCAAGCTAGGCCGCAAGGGGCCGCCCAAGAAGCAAAAGTTCATTGATGAGGAGGATGATGGCGGTAAACATGAGGTGTCCATCCTGAAGCCCTGTGTCTACAAGCTGCGCTGAGAGTGGATTTCACTGCCTTCCATCACATACCTAGGTATATATAATACATAGTTGTACATACCTACCGGCTCGTCGTATTATATACTATGCTACCCCCAAGGAAGTACTCGGGGTTATTAATATTATAAGTTGGCAGCCTGGCATAACCAAGGCTGTCCCATTATCTCTGCCTACTGATCTACGTAGCTTACCAACATCACATGGACAGTAATATGAAGGGTAACTGTAACTGCAGGCTATTCAAGATAGCCGCCACTGAGAAACAGTGACACGGCAGTCCAAGAAAAATAAAATAAAAATCCAAGCAAAAGCTGTGCGCTTGATTCCGTGTTCTCTAATCCCTTCCGTGCCTGTTGCTGAGCTAAATGCCAACCTAAAATAGAAAAACAAAAGCCACGACAGAATGAAAACAGTGAGATGATACTGTGAAAAATTATCGTGTTCTGTATCTCCCTTTATTTTTTGCTTATTTTTGTAGCCCGTCTGATATTCGCAGGAGCCCTCGCCCTCTTTCGTCACACGCATGTCCTGGTTCACCAATTATGGCGGATGGGGAAAATAGGAGTACTGTAAAAGAAATCCCTCCTTGTCCAATTAAAAAACAGTAGACATCGTAGCAGGAATGGATGGACGACGAGTAACACCATAAAAAAAAAGAGCGACAGACACTGTAGAAGCTACCGCGTAGATAAAGAAAAGGGGAGTTAAATGGTCCACCGCGCTATGCTCACCGTACAAATAAATAAATAAACAAACAGCAACGTATCCCCTTCGCCCTTTACTGCAAATTACGCACACGCGCTTCATCCCTCATTGTGCTGTTTCCCTGTATTGCCGATTTACCATTCCACACCTAAAACCTCACACCTCTCTCCCCGAACTCATCATGGCTGTGAAGAGAGAAAGATCTGCCCAAGAAATAGAAGGAACGTCGCCCTCCGCCTGGTAATTGGTCATTACTACTGCTCAAAAATTAGGCTGGCCGCGTATTCGACGTTTCCCCCAGTTGCATCCAAGGCTCTAATTGCCTTTTCCTCAGAAGCGCCAAGCGCCATGAGCTGTTCGATGTGTTCTCGTGGGAAGGGTGGCCTCTCTGGAGCGGCAGCAGCAGCTGGAGCGGCAGATCTAGAAGACGACGATGGGCCAGGCTGAGCGGCAGCAGCAACCGCGGCCGGCGCACTAGCGGGGGGCGCTGCTGCAGCCCCCCCAGATCCGGACGGCACCGTCACAGCGCCTGACCGCTGGCCGATGACGGTCCCAGCAGGGCCCGGAACCTTCGGCTCTGTCTGGTAGGCATCCTCGACCTCCTTGGGAAGGTCTGCCGGGCCTAGAAAAGGAACCTCGACACCCTGAATGATCAGCTTGTCCTTAGCGAGATCGATAGAGGCTTGATGGCGCTTGAGCATGTCGAGACCGAGCAGGAGCTCGACTGCTTTACCCTCCATAACAGTGAAGCTACAAGGCAAGAACAGAGAGCCGATCTTGATCTGAGCTGAGTGGACACGGCCGATGATGTTGGCCGTGCCGACGCCGCGCGCGACGCCGGCAAAGCGCTTGTCAACTAAACGCATGATTCCACATGCCTCGGCGCACGAAGGGCTCATGATGGTAGTCTGAGCCCCAGAATCCACTAGTGCCTTAAACTTGTATCCATTAACCTCGACATCGAGGTAGAGCATGTGCACCTGGCCGAAGACTAGAAACAAACAAAAACAGAGAATTAGTATCAGCTTCGTAAGATGCCTGGGAAAGTTCGACTTTACCTTCAGGATTATGCTCCATGGCATTTTGCAGATTTTCCGTGACTCGCTCTTGGCGAATCATCTCCTCAATCTTGGCCTGCGCCTCGACATCGAAGGGGTCTGCGTTGAGCAGCTGAATCTGGCGCACACGCTCGGCCCGCTCTCTGCGCTCCCTGTCGTATCTATGTGCGAATATCTCGGCGAACCTCCGGGGATCTTCCAGAACTGCCGCTAGGTCTGGTGCCTGTTGCGATAGCTCGGCTCTCATGTTTGGGTCGCCCAGGATCTGAAGTCGGATCAGTTCGGGGTCTCGCTCCGCCTCGGATCGACTGCCGCCGCGCTGCTGGCTAGAGCCGCTGGCAGCGGCGCTGCCTTGCTGTGCCCCCCGGCCGGCGGCAGCTCCCGGGGCGACGTGCGAGCTCCCCCGCATGTCGCGCACGTGGAGAGCCATCATATCGCCGTCGTTAATTTGCAGCTGTTCCAGTGTTTTGGTATTGTCCATGATGAGTTGGCCGTTGTGATACAGGTGCTGGGCACTAGGGTGGTAGCCCGTCTCGGCCTGGACCGAGCTCCGCAGGGTATCGACCGACATTTCGGGGTAGACTTCGAGCGACAGCAGGTCCTGGTCGTCGGCCTGGGGCTCCGAGTTCGTAATGCTTAGCGTGATGCGCCTGTAAGGGGGGAAAGGTGTCAGTAATATGGTAAAAGGGACAAAGGGAAGGGTGGATGTCGGGGCAGTAGAAGGCAGGTGTTGGTAATAGACTTGCATTTTGAAGTTTTATTGTTTTGTTTGTTGATATGCCGGGTATCGAGAGGGAAACGACTTTAGACAAGGAGGTGAGAAAATCCGCGTTGTCCAGGGGTTAGACTGAAGGGAAAAGATAACCCAAACTGATGAAATCCCACAGCGAGAGAAGGCGGCTGGCGGCTGTACGGTTTTAGTTTCACCTTTGGAAAGGAGAAGAAGAGTTAGCTGGCGGCTCAGGGAATTGAAAGTAGCAGTGCTGGATCCAAGGCAACGAGGGGCACGCGGGGCAGATAGAAGCCTCCGGGAACCGAAGCGAGCCGCGCCCCCGCTAGTATTTAGGTAGTCTTTGGAGCCCGTTTGGACGGTGCAGGGGTATGGAGGGTTGGGCTCAGTTAGCCTCAGGAGAATGGGCGGAAAATACCGAATTGGGGGAGTGCGGGGTGGTTCTGATGTCCCACGTTTCGTTGCTTTCCCCACTCAATGTATTCTATTAAACAAGGCTAAATTACACGCAGTTTATGTACCTCGTAGTAGGTGGTCTCGATTGTTTGCACGTTTGCACTGTTGGGGAACGACAAATAAGGCGCAAAAGGTGAACACGGATCAGTTGGCTTAAATATCCGCACATGCAAAAAAAGCAACTGCGTGCACCTGTTGGCATCGTAAGGCACAGCAGATTGGCTCGGATTTCTGACAAATGGAACTCGCTAGAACATGGTCGATATGCCCGACAAACCCCGTGTGTAAGCCAACCTAGAGGGAGCAGGTACTAAGCAAGGTAATAACCTAAGGTACCTTATACGTAGGTAATGTAGCACTTTGGATGCTGTTTAGCTTCGAACACGAGAAGTTTAGAGACGGCAAATCACCATTCGGCACGAAACCCCATAAAAAGACCTCTTAGATCGGAGGCGTGCTTGAGCTTGGCCTGCTTCCTTCACCCTGTGCCGATGCCCAGGTTATGCCATCGGATGTGGGCAACAGCGTCAAGAGGCTGCCGAACCGCTTCAAACCGGAAGCTTTAATATTAAGGGACTAGGCTTCAGTCTGCATTGAAAATCTCTCTTTTGAGAATGCCAGCACGGAGACGTTCCCCAAGATACAATCCTGGTTTGGGGCGTCCAATATATATGTGTCGCATCCTGACCATGGGTAAATATTTCTGTGCATCCTCCCTCTGCCGCAGCTCGTCGAGATTCTCGTTCCCATCGTTCGCCTTGGACATTCCCCAACAACCTTCCCTAACTGCCGCGAATTACTGCGCACGTCGGTCAGGGACGCGGGAGGCCTGGAAACATCCTGCAGACAGCAGTCACTGCAACCGGCGAGGCCAAGCGTATCATTTGACCGAGTGTGCTGCACCCTTCCTATTTTTCTGTCAAAAGGTGAAATGTAAACCGACGACTAAGGAGTGGCTGGACTAATCTTGTAACGTTGATGGCGACGCAAGACTCTGGATAGGGGGTTGAGCTTCAATGCCTATCATTTTCATAGGGCTACAAAAACCCCACATTTGTCTTTCGACGTGGTATAATACAGTACAGCCTGCCTTCGGTGCCCATGCGCCTGCTTGATTTCATGATCTTCTTTCAGTCTAGTGTCCCTATTAACCAGGCGGGATGGATCCAGATTCGCGGTTCGAGGACTCAAGTTGCCTACAGACTTCGATAATTAAGCGGGCTCGTTGATGAACAAGTATTCGCACTTTATTTCATAAACCTGGCAAGTATTGAGGACCGAAAGACGTTACATTACTAAATTGCTCGTTTTCCGAAAGTATAGACAACTTTTCTCGGCATACAAGTCCAAAAGCGAAAGCACAACCCTGCCCAGGTTTCCTCCACACGCCAAGTTTGCCCCGCATGTGGAGGCGCCCTGTTCAAGCCTCCATGTCCAATGATAGCACGACAAGCCAAACCCAAAATGTCAGCTTTTGGTCGCCTAGTTGCCTGTTTCTCGACCCGGCAATTCTTACACTACTAGCCGGCTTAGCGTCGTGACGTCAGGGCGAACTCTGCCTGTAAGCGTCTAATGTCCAAAAATGCACGCGGAGCAGCAAAATTACTACTATCTAGGTAGGTCCGCCGTATTAGCAGTAATTCCATCTCGGGGTTCAGCGCCGCCTAATAAACTGTTTCCCTGGATCGCCTGTCTCGCGGCAGGAGAATGCAGTGGCAGACCTGCCACACCAGTGAAATATGGATATCTGCGGGGTTGTCATTGGGCCCAAAGTTAAATCTGACCTCGTTGGACACATCAGGGTTCCGCCAGATCCAGAAAAGATCCGCAGGGATTACAGCTTGGCTGGCTGCCACCACTGCTGATCTCTACTGTAGGTTCCATTGTTGGAGCGTTTTGCCTTTAATTTTCATTTCCGTGGGTGCTCTTGGGGCTGTTGGTCAGCTGAGTACATACCGGATAAGGTAGGTAAGGTAGTCAAGTTAGTTGCAACTACTTGTTGGAGTTTTGGGAGAGCAATTGAGCTCCGCATTTCCGTCATTACATCCATTACCTTACTTGGGGCCCTAAATAAGTGCTTTTCGTCTTTTCAGACTCGCATCTCCGCGCTGTCCTGTGTCCCAATTTGTCCTCTCATCAAGTGGAGACCAGTGCATCTTCACTCAACCTCCGGCCCTACTATCCCATTTCCATCCAGGTTGGCATCGACCAGCATCCGAACTTCAATCATCCTTTTGTGGTCACGCGACGAGGAACTTGTGGCGCCGTAACCATTAACATAGCCTGAGGTGGTAGGTAGACACCGTACCTACCTGACCTACTCCTGCCAACTCTGACCCACCTGCGTCACAGCTGATCCACGTTCGTCACTTCCCCCCCGACGAACTCACAGAAGCCCAACTTCCATTGTGAAGACACAGAGTCGATCCCTGGATCTCCTGCTGAACCGAGTAGTCTGTGTTTTCCAGTGTATGCGTTCATTTGAGCTCACTGCCAAAAACTATAAGAAAATCTATTTTTATAACAGGAATCGAGGCCTCCTGCTTGCTCCTTCTTCCTTGGAAGTGGCATCCTACCACTTTCCTGCGCATTTACTCCGCGCATAGCGGCATCGTTGCGATCATGGAAGACGTCTACGGAAGTGCGTCCAAAGACTCGCAAGAATTCGAGCAGGCAGTCGACGACAACGACGAAATTGACAGCGATTTTGCTTCGCTACAGAAGACGCTCAGTCAGAAGAGACGGGCGGCCAAGGACAGCCCAGAGTCCCGTCTCCAGAAGGCCTTCCCTTTTGCCTTTTCGCCAAATATCAGACCGCTGACTATCTCGGACCTCAACTCTTGCGTGGCACTGGAGAATGCGGCTTTCCCTAACTCGGCGCACAGAGCGTCTCGAGAAAAGGTATGTGGCACTCGCCTGCGTATCACTACGCAGTAGATGGTATCCTGGTGCTGTTTTCGGAGGTTTTGTCGGGGACTTCCTGCAAGATCTCCCCGACGACCTGAGACAGCAATCTAGGCCCGGGCGTTTAGGGTCTGTTTCTGGCTTTCGGGCTTATTACAGAGACCCATGTACGATTGTTAGAGAGCCCGAGCACTAAAAGTCACCTACAAGGCCTCCGAAAGTTGACTTGGAATATCATTTGCCGTTGAATGATTACACTGACCCGGCTGTAGTTTGAGTATCGACTCACAACCTGCCCTGAGCTAAGCCTCGGTGTCTTCTGCACTGTTGTGCCCGACCAGGCCAAGGGATGGCGGATCGAGACCTTAGCCACCGCCAAGCCGGTCGAAACTGACCGTGCCGACGGAGCCGTGAGCGTACTGCTTGCACATGTCATAGCTACTAGAGGATGTGGCGAAGTCGTGAGCGACGATGACATGGACGTTTCTAAAGACTGGCGCACCAGGGGCGGTAGATCGGCTGACGTCGGTCACCAAGAGTGTGGGCAGACCATCGCTTTGCACTCGCTGGCCGTGTCCCCCAAACTTCACGGCTGCGGAATTGGCAAAATGATTGTGAAGGGGTTTATCCAGCGGATGAACAGCTTGGACAGGACTGATCGCGTGGCTCTGATCTGCCAAAATGTAGGCTCGGGCTTCTATCCTCGAGGCCGACAGTTTGCTGATAAAGATACAGTACTTGATCTCGTACTATGAGCGGTTTGGGTTCAAGAATATTGGTGAGAGCAAGGCATCGTTTGGTGGCGGTGGTTGGTATGATATGGTGAACAACTTCACTCCCATTTTCTCTCACACCTTGTTCCAAAACTTAACGGACATTCATAGGTCTTTACCCTACCTGGACCACCAAAACTGCCCACGCGGGTCTGATACTCCAGTACAGTGCCAGCCACGGCAACCTGGGCCCCTTAGCCATCCGGAACAGCTCAAATGGGACATCGATACTCCGAAAGTGCCCTGTCCAGAGTTCCTTATTACTATTGGGCCGGGGGAAGAGACTCCGAACATACCAGGAGACTCTATGTCGGGTTCAAATCAGACAAACAAGAAGAATCACCCAGTATTTCTAGATCTTTGGTAGCAGGGGCAGTAAAAGCTCCCATGAACCTGATGGCCTTGCTAAATACAAATGTCGATCCGTTACCCCCATGCTCATCTCTCTCTCTCTCTCTCTCTAATCAGTCGCCTTATACTTGACGCGGTACTCCTCTGTCTTTCTGATGTCGTCTTCCGAACCAAGCCCCTTCAAGCCCTCAATAATGTCGTCCAGAGTCAGGATGGCAATGATGGGGATGCCATATTCCTTTCTGAGCTCGCCGATGGCACTGGGCATGGGCTTGGTCTCATCTCCATCTGGCGATGTAAGCTTCTCCATGCGGTCAAGAGCCACGACGATGCCCGCAACCACGCCGCCCTCACGCCGGATCTTCTCAATGGCCTCGCGCTTGGCAGTGCCGGCCGTGACGACGTCGTCGACAATGAGAACCTGTTTTCCCTTGAGCGGGGCGCCCACAATGTTGCCGCCCTCGCCGTGGTCCTTGGTCTCCTTGCGGTCAAAAGAGTAGCTCTTTTGGCCGTACTTTTCGGCGCTCACCCGCTTGAGCTCAAGCGTCGTGGTGGCGGCGAGCGGGATGCCCTTGTACGCGGGCCCGAAGACGATATCAAAGTCCAGCTGGGCCTCGTCAATGGTCTTGGCGAAGGCAACGGCAATGGCCTCCAAGAGGTCGGCCACGTAGAAATTTCCAGCGTTGAAGAAGTAAGGCGAGATGCGCTTGGACTTGAGCTCAAAGCTTCCGAACTTGAGGACCCCGCCATGGATTGCGGCGTTCAAGAAGTCGGCCTTGTAAGGCGCCAGTGTTTGGGTTGCCATTGTATGCTGATTGATTCTGCGCTGATTTATTTTTCTTCTTAGACTGAGATTTCTGCTTTTTTTCCCTTGTTGCCGTCCGATAGTATGGAACCAAACTCACTCATAGCCCCTTCCTAAAGGAGGCAAAAAATACAGCGACCCGACAGCGGATACTACCCCTCTGGCCAAAGAAAAATAAGATGCCAAATTCTCCAATTAATTCTAATGGTGGGGTCGCACTGTGCTATCAACTTTCCTGGACCCACCGCAGCCGCTATCGCTTATCTTATCAGCCAGGTGCTGGAAACCGTCGGTGGGCAAAAAAATATTTCGAGGCGAGCTTTTGACGGTCTTCCTTTCACCGCCCCGCAGTCTGCAGTCGTTCTCACCGTCCGACGCACTCCAGCAAAACCCCATTCCTGACGACGTTCCGTGACGCGGATTTTGCCCACCATGACGTGGAAAGATATTGCGCCCGTTCCGACGTAAGGCTTCCAATGCGTTCTGCCTGCCCGAGAATGCTCGTCTCGCGGTTGTTAACGTCGAGCCTACAGGTCGCAGGAGTTCATCGATATCGTTCTCTCGTAAGTTCCATTCCCCCCTGTCTGCTGCTAGGAGCGGTAAAAGAAACGGATTGCAGACCGGATGTTTTGGGAAGCCAATTGCTAACGGTATTCCAGGCGCACGCAGCGGAGATTGCCCACTCAGAGTGCGTAGTTGGGAATTCAGCCTAGTGTGTTGTGTGGGAAGAGGACTGTTTTTTTTGCTGACTTGGATCACCAAAATCTAGTTCGCACTGGATTCAAGAGTAAGTTGGCCGAAAGAGAAAAGGGCGATATTCTACTATGAGTCTTAGCCTGTGACTAACTCTCCGCTCTCAACAGTTAGCAGAATCCGCGCTTTCTACACCCGAAAAGTCAAGTCAGTAGCCACTCCGACCCCTGTGGCGCCTCCTCCCAGAGACGAAATACTAGGACGGCTATGGATGCGGTGGAGATTTCTGTCAGCTGCAGAAGTGCTGACTTACGATTTAAAGGTTCACGCAGGAAACATGCAGCGAGAAGTTCTCCGCCATCGTGACGAGCTTCCCGATTCTGTCCGACCAGCACCCGTTCCATCGCGACTTGATGAACATCCTCTACGGTATGAACCTGGACTTGAGCTCCTTCTGACATTTCTCCTTTGGGGGCCCTCAGGGGCGAGGGGCTGTTTATTATGAGAATGTGTAGCGGTTGCTAATTGTACGCAGATGCCGATCATTTCAAGGTGGCTCTCGGCCAAGTTTCAACAGCGAGACATCTGATTGAAACAATTTCTCGCGATTACGTCCGCTTGTTGAAGGTAAGAGCGCCTGCGGTCTTTCAGTAGACGTTGCGCGGCTGTGGGATATGTTGCTAACCCACTGGTGTAGTATTCGCAAAGTTTATTCCAATGCAAACAGCTCAAGAGAGCCGCGCTGGGTCGTACGTTCTCGTCTTGATGCTCCCCGTAACCTGTTGGACTTGGGCTAACCTGAATCCTAGGCATGGCAACACTCATCAAGAGGCTGAAAGACCCTCTCGCCTACCTCGACCAAGTCCGCCAGCATCTTGCTAGGTTACCGGACATCAACCCCACCACGCGCACCCTTTTAGTTGCTGGGTTCCCGAATGTTGGAAAGAGCTCTTTCGTGCGATCAGTGACCCGCGCGGACACTCCCGTCGAGCCGTATGCCTTCGTAAGCGCGACTCTCCCCGGGCACGTTACCGAGATGCTAATCGAAAACAGACAACGAAGAGCTTGTTCGTCGGCCATTTGGACTACAAATGTGTGTTACTCACTTGAAGCTTTGTGCAACTTTTCGCATTGGTAGAAATGCTGACAAGCTCGAAATGGATAGATCTTCGGTATCAGGTTATCGACACTCCGGGGATCCTAGATCACCCATTGGAGGAGATGAATACGATCGAAATGCAGAGTGTAACGGCATTGGCCCATCTCAGAGCCGCCATTTGCTTCTTCATTGATATCAGGTATGTACCTCGATTATTCGATGGGGCGTTTGTGTCTAACAAGTTTCAGTGAGCAATGTGGCTATTCCCTCAAAGCCCAGTGCAATCTCTTCAAGTCGATCAAGCCGCTCTTTTCCAACAAGATGGTGTTTATTGTCTTGAACAAGATGGACATTAAGAAATTCGAGGACCTAGAGCCAGAGTTGCAGGCCGAGTTAGAGGACTTGACAAAGTCGGGTGAGGTGGAGCTGTTGCGTGCGTCTTGCGCTACCCAGGATGGTGTTCAAGACGTCAAGAACCACGTTTGCGAGCGGCTCCTTGTGGAGCGTGTCTCTCAGAAGTTGAAGGCAGGTACCGGAAGCAACGGCGCTATGGGATCCCGCCTCACTGAAGTCATGACGCGCATTCACGTCGCCCAGCCGCTTGACGGCATCACCCGGGAGACCTTCATTCCGGAAGCTGTCAAGAATCTCAAGAAGTACAGCAAGACCGACCCGGAGAGGAGAGTTCTGGCACGGGATGTCGAAGAGGCGAATGGAGGCGCTGGTGTCTTCAACGTGGACATGAGGAAAGACTATCTCCTCGATGATCCGTCGTGGAAGTATGACAGGATACCGGAGGTGAGTAGTATTCCTGGCGAACGGAAACCCTCTCTCCCTCTTGTTTTGCACTGGATTGATGCTAAAATTCTTGTTCCGAATAGGTGTTCGACGGCAAGAACGTCTATGACTTCATTGACCCTGATATTGAGGCCAAACTTGCCGCTCTCGAGGAGGAGGAGGAGAGACTGGAGAAGGAGGGCTTTTATGACTCCGACGAGGATCTTGAAGACGAGTCTGAAGTTGAGGTGCTCGAGAAGGCCGAATACATCCGTGAGAAGCATCGCCTGATCCGCAATGAAGCCAAGATGCGCAAGTCTCTCAAGAACCGCGCCATAATCCCGAGAAAGGCGCTCAAGAAGTCGTTCTCCCAGTTGGAGGACCACCTCGACCAGCTCGGTGTAGACACAGAGGAGATTGGCCTACGCGGTCGGACACAAACACAGTCTCGCGGCCGATCTTCTGCTCGCAGCCGTACTGGCACCGAGGATCCGGATGCCATGGATGTCGATTCCAACAAGACGCCCCGCGAGCGCCTCCGCTCGATGAGCCGCGGGGCCAGCCGTGCGCGCAGCCAGCCTGCCGTGGACAGGTTGAACGACGGTGTGACGGACGGAACGGCACGGACCACAGCCGAGAGAGTGGCCAAGCTCGGCCAGAGAAGGATGAACAGGATGGCCCGCCAGGGAGAGGCCGACAGGCACATTCCTGCGACCATGCCCAAGCATTTGGTATGTCTCCCGCCCTTCTTTGATGCAGTCATCCAACTAACCCTTACTCTTCTAGTTCTCCGGAAAGCGTACCATGGGAAAGACCAACAGCCGTTAACTTGGCGTTGCTGGTTGTGGTTTGCGTTATGGTTGTGTATGCTTTGGGGATCTACGACTATTCTCCGCTTCTCATACCTACACCCTTTCTTATCTTTATTCGCCAAGGATGGCGGGCTGTGGAGGGGAAGAATCAGAAAGCAAGAAAAGAGACTTGCACGACATCTTTGTTTCCGGCGCACATAGGATTCTTGATGTCTGATTTATGTGACGGGTAGTGGAAAATATACTAGTAAAAGAATAGTTACCAAGACCGAAAATCGCGTATTTCTGGACTAGAATCATGTCTTATGACTGCGGTGCCTGACTATGATTCTTATGCATCGTTTGGTGCCTCCTTTGCCCGCATCATACCCAGCATACACCCTCATTGGTAGCGATTAGTATCCTATTAGGATTAAGTGAATATTCGAGGGGAAAGACAAGGAACGACACGATAGGCCTCTGGTTCTGCTCGTGTCGGCCGGCATGTGTTTAATCGTGTGCAGCTAACTGCTATTACCAACGACCGATTACATTCTTCCACCAACGATGAGTATCTACTACCGCAACTACGTACCCTACCGTACCTTGCTTGCCATTTTACCAAGGAGAATGGTGATATATGAAGAAAAGAAAAAAGAAGCTTGCAAGAAACCCGACGCTCAACCCCTCCAGCTGCTCTCACCTGCTCCCCCCTCAAACTAGCCGGCAAGCAAGCCTGGCCTTCATTTCATATTCGATATTTCTTCTAATTTTCCTCAGCAACCTGGAGGCCCTCTCTCAGACCTTCTACTACCAGCTCCTCGCCGGTGCAGCGGCGGTAGATATCTCTGACATCAGCCGTAGTCGACTCGAAGTGACTGCTCGCGTCGTAGCTCTTGGAGATAAAGATGTTGTCCTTCTTGCCGTCCTCGAGAGGCTCATAAAGAGGGATAGGCGGGCCCTATTTAGTGTTTCACATCAAGTTAGTTAACTCGATACAAACCAAGGCAATTAGAGCAGACTGGAGTGCGGCAAACCATGAACTGTTCCTCGATCCTGCCGAGGCGTTCGAGACCGGGCCCCAATTCGACGTGGTGATTAGCCGCCGTCTCGGCGATAGTCGATACGATGGCAATCCAATACCCCTTGGGGCATACGTTATGTGCCGACCCGACGCAGGCGATGTAAATATCTGCGAGTAACCGAGAAACCAGTCAGCACAAAACAAGTAACTTCACACATGACAACAGCCTCACTTTAGCTGGCGGGAGGAGGATTAGGGGTAAGACGCACCGTTCTTCCGGCCAACCTGCGACTGAGGGATAATCAGCTGGGACGAGTCACTGTCGTTGGTGCTGGCCAGAGGGTGCTTTAGGATGCAGATGGCGCGGAGCACATGGCCAACCACTCTGACTTTGGAGGAGAAGTAGCTGGGGTCGCCGAGGATCATCTTTGCACGCGTCTCAAACTTCATTTCGGGCTCAATGCCAGTCATGGTGGCCTTGATACCGACGGCCTTGCCGGCACCGTCATACTGAATCTCGTCGATGTTGGTGTTGAGCATGTATGTGCCGCCGTAAATAGCGCTGAGGCGGGCGAATCCCTGTGGCAGTTCGCCTAGACCGTACAGTGGGTAGATGTACGGCGACTTTCCGTAGCGCGCCACGCTGTTGCCGTATAGGCGGATACGCTCAATAGCCTCGGGTGCGGCTCCCCTAGTCTCGAGGTAGGCATCGTTGGTGTATAGCGCCATGGCATGTCCCACGAAGTCCTTGGTTGATGCCTCGAGCCCAAACTTGTCGTACACTTCCTTCATAGTGCAGGTGTTGAGGTTGAGACCTGGATGACAGAGATATCATGGTTAGCTTGACAGTAGCCCCCTCACTGGCAGCGGTGAAGTAGCCAGGAGTACAAACCCTTGTGCGTCGACGGGTCCTTGATGTCGAACTGGCCGACCCACTCGATGAAGCCCTTCATGCGGCGCTTCTCAAAGATGCCCATCAGCGGCGAGCGCAGGGCCTCACTGGCATCCGAGGGGACCTTGGCCACGGTAGCGCGGGGCCCAGTTCCCTGCTGGACGTAGCTACCGGCGACCTGCTTGAACTCGAGGTACCGCGTGACGTCGGTCGAGACGAGGATGTTGGTGAGCTCGCCAGACGACATGAGGAACTTGGGCACCAGATCGATGTTCCAGTCGTTTAGGCGGCCGTATTGCTTCCATGGCTCGGTTCCCTTGGGGTAGTTGCCATACTTCTTGAAGAGCTAGAAGGCAGGAGTGTCAGAGCTTGAGCTCGCTCTCAACCGTGAAGTGAATGGGGATAGGAAGAGGAGGGGCAGCAGGGGGGTTTATCCACGTACCGTCTCGAGGTTGACTGACGACGCTTCTCTGTGACGATACTGTCAGCTCTCAAAATGGCCGTGCCCAGCGTCTAGGGACAACGTACCCGCCGTAGTGGTCATTGCGGTCGATATGGAGGACCTTCTTGCCCTTTACGCTGAGGACACCCGAGAGAATGCACTCAGTCAGGCCTGTGCCCAGCACAATGACATCGTATTCCTTGGCGATCTCGTCCATGGCTGCTGTTAAGGAGGAAGGTTGGCAACGGCGAAGAGGAGCTTGGAGGCAACGAACGGTTGGGCTCGTCAAATGGGTAGGGGTGGGTGGGTTGAGTTTAAGGAGGCGGCGTTGGTGTTGGGCGTTGGCGGCTTGCTTGTACAGTACGGCTTCTGGGCGCAGGCCAGCACTAAAAAGGATGGCGAAATCAACAGCGTACGCAACCAACAACCGATTGGGCGTTGACTGCACGGAGAATTCAGATACGGTACGGTAGCTGTGGCACGACAAGCTTTCTCAGGGTCACTTGTTTCGAGAAGTAGCTGTGCGCAGTGCAGGTCTCCGTTGGGTGGTCGCCTAATGGTGGGGGAAGGGGAAGAAGGGGGGCAAAGGAGGGGCGGCCACGCCCATTGTGCCCCGCTCTGGGCCGCCGATTTGCCTACATAATTAGCGAGCCGACGCCTGTGATTCGGCAAGCTTATTAGAGACTGAAGCGGTCAGAGCAAGGTCCCGTCTCGTCTCGGCGGTCTCGTTCATGCTGCGAGCACCTGGACTGCTTCACGTTGTCTGTCTGGTGACTCTGGTCTGGAGCAAAGGATGCAATGGAAGAAGCAGGTCCCAATTGAGTCCAGGTATCTTAAATAGGTAAGGCACTGTACGGGATGGGATACCCTCGCCTGCCCTGCCTTGCTTGCCTGCACCTACAACTGCACCTGCGCCTATCCTCCGCACACGCTCTCGCTTCTTGTTCTTCCCGATCACTTCTTCCTGATTCCCAATACACACGTTCGCTACACTATCTGTGCAGGATATCTGCTGATGGGGCCTGTTATATGTATAAGGTAGGCTTTTTATATATGGTACAGGGACATCAATTCTTCCACCCCCTCCACTAGGCCAATGTCCAACTCTTTGTTGCCTTGTTCGTAAAAGGGTGCCATGTCCAGACCCACTAGATGCTGGCGGGTTCGACCTTCAAGTTTCCGGCATTTATCTTGTACTTTCGGGTGCTTTTCCCGATGGTATTGTCTCCCGTTCCGGTACGGTAGCAGCCAGCTCGGAAGCAGCCTCCTCGGAAGGAGCCTCCTCGGAAGCGGGCACTTCCTTGGCAGCGGGTACCTCCACCTCCGCTTCTTCCGATTCGAGGTATTCGCTCGGCGTGTAGGCAGCTCCGTCTCCCAGCAGATTCACCTCAAGATCGGTCTCGGCCAGCTTGACCGCGTCTTCCCACACATACTGCCGCTCCGTCAAGACGTGTCTGATGCCTCTCATGGTGAGTCGGACCTAGTAGAGCATCGAGATTTCGCGTCAGCCACAGCAAGAAATACGTAGGTACTCATCTTCTCGAAGTAAAAGGAACCTGTTTGCACCTGTGAATCACGGGTCTTGCTCTCGGCGTCGCCAAATCCCAGCTTGCTCTTGTTGCGCTCCCAAGTCGCCGTGGCGATGCGGTTGCGCTCCTTGACACAGACCCACCACAGGCGGTGCAGATCGTCCCACGATTTGTGGCGGAGCTCTTCGACGCTCCAACCGCGGCCGTGTTTAGCGTCCTCCTCTGGCGCCTGTGCCACAGTCTGGCGGTCGTAGAAGAAGTCCCAGAGACCGTGGTTCTCGTCCGTCTCGATGTGCGGCAGCTGGGAGCGCTCCACGGGCTTGGGAAGCGGCTCGTCTGACATGGACAGCCGCCACCGGGTGCCCGTCCGCCGTATGGCACTCTCGCCGCGGTGCTTGTTGTGGTCGCGGTTGTCGCGTGCCCCTGGGTATTTGTGCCGCTTTAACATAGCCGCAGTCGTTGAAAGGCCGGCCCTCTGCTGCTGCCGTAGGAATGCTGCTGCCGCTGCTGCCGCCCGTCTTGCAGAAACGCCGTGCGCTACTCTGCAGGACTGGAGGAGCATCGAGCCCATCGCGGGTCCCATCGCGCCTGAGCTGGCCATGGAAGAGATGTGGCTTCCGAGGGCCGTGTCGAGGGTCACCGTCGCCGCCGAACCCCCAATTCAATTTCCTCTTTAGTCTTGGGGTTGTTGATGGCCTCGGGGGCGGACAGTCGGGCAGATTGGGAAGTGGTGCTACGATGTGGCAGCTGTGGACTCCAGTTTCCAATTCTCGTCAACGCTTTCGAAAATTTAGGTGGTCCGAGCTTCGGCAGGTCCTTTGTGCCAGGGGCCGGCTGTAGCTGAGGCATGCACCGCTTTTCTTGCCAGATCAATTAGCTCAGCCGATTGATTACCTGACTACTAGCTCATCATCTCATGCAGCTGCATTCAACCACTAAAGGTCGTGAGCCAAATCTGTACCTTCTTTATTTCTAGGGGGTTTATTTACTCTCACATCCTTCCAGCGCTCGTGGTTGACCTGCATGAACCATCAAGTCCCCCCTTGATTGAACTCTCTTTCTGCGAACCCTGCGCTTGACTTCTGGATATAAGAAACCCGCCTAAACCCGCCAAACCGCCAACCAAATCACGCCCCGAACCTCCAGAGATGTTCTGATATACCAGAACAACCCCTTCCAGTCTGAGAGACAAGCATACTGTCGCTACACACCAGCCATACACCAGCTCTCTCGCACACACCAAGAGACTCCGAGTCGCACTAGCATGTCCATATGGCAGTGAGTGAGAAAACGACCCGAGCCTGCCTCCACACTTCTTTTCACTTTCCACAAGACCACGGCACTAACAAAACATGGGGGACGCGGCCCCCCCCACCCCCCCCAAAAAAAGACTATACCGTAGCCTTTCATCCAAGGCCAAACTGGGCGTTGGTGCCGGCTTCGTAGTCTGGGGGCTGGTCGGGCTGCGCATGTCCGACAAAGCTGAGGAGAGGTTGGGCTTGACACCGACTGACGAGGACCGCGCCGCCTTGGAGAGGGCAACGCCGCGAATTCGGCTCATGGAAAAGGGCGATAGGTCTTAAAAGGCTCGCCCTCTGGTTTTCTTGTCAAAAGCCTTTTTCCCCCCTTTATTCTCAGTTCTGGTTTGTCTACCAGCAACGAAGGCGTCGCAGACTGCCTGCTTAATCGCTTGGTTTTTTTTCCAACCTTCTTCTCTCTACTTTATGTTGCCACTCGTCAATGTGCCTACAGTTTGTACACGCATGTACACACGTTAATTACGATTGAGGGAGACTTTTTGATACTATGAGATGGATGCACAACCGACCAAACAGCTTTTTAAAGCCCCCATCAACATGTGGCGGCATATCTATTCCTGCTTTGACTGTCTAAGATGGTTCACAGCGCTGGCCAACCAGATGTCTAACGTATGTAGTAGTAATGTTGCACACTGATGTACATTCTGGGGAGCACGCATCAATGTGCTCTTGAAAAAGAAGTGATCCCCTATTCCACTAGACAGGTATTCCTTTTAGTGCCGTTCACACACCACTTTCACCAATCTACCAAAAAAAGGACATTTGAACTCGAAGGCTTCAAGAAACCAGCCATCAAGGCGAACTGAACACGCAAGAGATAAACCAAAAAGAGGTAAAAAGGTCATTACTCGCGGCGATGAGCCATCATACCATAACATTCTTCTCCAACACGAAGACGAGACATGAACCACCCCCTGCCTTCTTCCGTCCATCTGTCATTGGGAATGGGAACAAGTCTCTAATGCAAAGCCCGTAGCAAAGTCTATCATCGCAGCCCCTCCCCGTGATGCAAAGCAAACAAACCACCAGTGTGCCACCAATCTGATGCAACAAGGGGAATCGTCAAACTTTTCGATAAAAAGCCAGACCGTAAGGAGAAAACATGGATAGGGAAAACAAAACCACGACAAAAACAAAGATAGAAATGGAAGCCCGCCTTTCCGAGAAGGGGGTGTGAAGAAACGCCACCGATGCTGAGGTAAAAATGTTTTGCCGATTGTCTAGACCACATCGTGCTGCAGTTATTGTCTGTCCTGTCTTGACCTTGCCTGCTGCCGACTAAGCAGTTGTGGTTCTTGGCGGCTTCCCCATCCGAGCTAGAGGCTTGAAAAGCTGTGTCATGTCCAGCGTCAAATCCGCGAGCCCGTAATTATCATCAATGTCTCCAACCGACCCCAGTTCCTCTCCACGAGCCGCGCCGTCCGTCATGACCCAGTTCTTGACAGACTTAAGCAAGTGGATCACTTCTGTGAAACGTTGGTCCGGTGCCGTACGCAAATCCGCCATCCGCGTTCTTGACAGAAGATAGGTTGCCAACCAGTAGAAATGAATGCCGTCCCGAGAGAACCCATACCGGCGCGGATGAACTACCACAGACGGAGGGAACTGAGTCACCATGTCGTTGTCCCAGTTGTACTTGAATTTTTGCAGAGCGGTCAAAAATGTCTTCGTAGTCGCCTGGTCCAACAAGGAAGCGCCCATGTCCACAGGCGTTACCCGACCGCTGCTGTTCGCGCTTGGAGGCCCCTGAACTCCTAAAAACCAGGCGTTTTGAGGAAGTGGTGTGCTCGACCGCGCCATAGCAGCACCGCCGTCCAACTGGACTCGCTTCATCATGGCAAGCAGAGCGTGGATTAGGATGAATTTTCCCTGTAGATTTGTTGCACCTGGTTGGATCTCATACGAGCTTTCAAGAAGAGCCTTCAGTACCAAATGCATCTCAGGCTGTTTGCACCGCTGGGTTCCGTCAGAATTCCGCATCCTCGCGAGATCAGAGCCGTGAAGGCCTAGTGCCTCGGCGCACTCGCGTGCGCTGCTGGCATCCCACGCCGCGTCGTCTGCCGGAAGCGGTAGGCGAATCTCGAGGGCATCAAACTGAAGGCCCGCATTAAAATAGAGGCCGAGAGCCACGTCAAAAAGGAATATGAGATACATTGTCCGAATGCGCTTCTCCTGCTCGACCCAAGTCATCCAATCGAAACTGAATGGGCTATTGACCTGGACTGGAACGTCGGACTGGTGCAGCTGGCTATAAATTGTCGAATTCTTGGGGATCTGAAGCAACCCAGCATTCCGAGCCAGTGAGGCGACCAAAGCAAAAGAATTTCGTGCTTTCTCTCTCTGGAAGGATGTTCCATGCCAGACGAACAAAATGTGAGAGAGCATAATGGCCTGTAGCTCTTCTAGGTCTGCTCTCATGCTTCTAAATGCGTCGTGCTCGTAATCGACCTGGGGTTTGATGTCTTCAGATATGGAGGCAAACAGTCGTGAAGATGCCTCGAGGGCGGTCTTCAGATAATCCATAATCTCGCGAACGTTAGCTGAAGACACACGCTCGGAGTAGCACGCCCCAATACAGCACATTCCCGCCAGCAGACCAACAAAGACATCCATGGCCTTGAATGTGGGAATGTGAAGTATAGAGAAGTGTGTGTGAAAGTGAGTATAATTCTCAAGAAAGTTGCGGATATTGCCGGGCTGGAAAAATAGGCTAACGTGGTTCGAAGCCGCGAGGTTCGTGGCGGCTTCTTGGGGGGATAGAAAACTGATTATCTTGCTAGAGAGTAGTTGATAAGACTTCGGATACGTCGAGGGCACTCCCCACAAGGGGAAGTGGTTCGAGTCGGTGGGGGTTTCGCCAGGAACGCCAACCGCTCGCGCGGCGCTAGGATTAGGCTCTTGTTTGATTACGGTCTGCGTCTGTCCAACATTAGGGGGGAACACATTGACGTAGGAGGTGTGCGCACCAGCCTGAAACATTTGCGACCAGTCAGTCGATCCTGACCCTGCAAACATCTGCTGCATCCCATTCTGACCCTGCGGTAAGCTGTAGTTGGCCAGCTGAGGGTTGATGTTCGACGTCATGTTGTTCGCAACATCGCCGCCGTTATACTGCTGGTCAAAACTGCCTCCGCGGGTCGAGGGGTTGCCCATGACCGAGCCCGTCATGCTCCTTCGGTCGCGGTTTGCATCCTCGAGTCTGTTAATGCTGCTGGACCTCGAGAGCTGGCTCTGATCGTTGGCAATGTTACTCATCCCATCGGGAGCGGGAATAAGACCAAACGGGTGGACCATCCCCTCTGCTGGCATGTTTCCCATACCGTTGATATGGTTCACGTCGCCCTCGCCACCCATGGTCTTTTGCTGCGTGGCGGCATTCTTCTTGACATGCGCCTGGGGATGCGATAGGTGACTGGCGCCAGTCGGATTGCCACGGCGAACTGAACATTTTATAAAGTGACGCTTCAGGATGTCACTGCGAGAGAACGTATCGCGACAAAGGACGCACATATAGGGTCGGTCGCCGGTATCTGTCAAACACTGTTAAGTCACCGCCGCCACAAGCGCAAGTCAAAAAGTAGTACTTACGTCGAAGGAGATGACGCTTCAAGTGCTTCGCGTGCAGATAAGTCTTGGTACAGTGGGGGCAGGGGAACTTCCCGTCTGCGTCCTTTTGGGGTATCTGGCTCTTCGCAGGGCCCGCACCGGCCTGGGGAGCAGCAGGTCTTCCAGGCGCACTTGGCAAGATTCCCCTTCGGCCCTGCGACCCGACAACATGAGTTGGCTGGTCCCCTTCGGGAAGCATCGACTGTTGAGCCATGAGTGGACTTTGACCGTAGGGCGAGTTCATGCCCTGCTGCATGACCCCTCCCGCTGGCATAGGGCGGAGGACAGGGGGCACACGGCCGCCGCCTGGAGACGGCGCCGGAGCAATAGGTTGGGAGTGAGAAGCCGCGGTGGTAGTTTGCGGCAACATGGCCGACGAAGAGGGGTACGGCTGCTGCCCGTACCCGTTGTTGGTCATCATGGGATAGCCAGCACCACGGCCGGCGTTTTGCGGGGGCGGTGGTGGATAGTTGGCCATGGTGTTGGTCGAACCCGGGGTGCTAGCCATTGTTGTTGCTCTGGAAGTTGGTGGATAGCCGCCGTAGGGGGGCTGTTGCATAGCAGGGTTGCTGGGCTGGAGCGGAGGCAGTGTCTGCGGAGGCCCTCCTGAAGACTGCTGGAGATGATGCAATGGTATAGCTGATGGTGAAGAATACGAGGCCGCCGACGTGTTGTTTATGACATTCGTCGAATAATTGGGTAAACCACCATCCATAATCCGTCACGAAATTACCCTGAAACTGCGAGCCCCAGAAAAACCATCCGAGCCTGGGCACGAAAAATGGCTTTCCTGCAGTCGCCGAGGAATTTAAGGCGCGTCAACCTAGAGGAAGAAGCCCCGAACAGTTTGCACCAAGGGACAGACTGGAAAAACAAGACAGTCGAAGCGACTGCAGGTCGTGACTTCTGGTTCCTTTTCTCTTATTTTCCGGTTTCCGCGTCTAGCTCGAAGCTTGCGGCTCGAGCTGTGCGAGCTGTGGCGTGGAAAGTCCTTGATGGAGCTTTCAAAACAACGCGCCTCGCTAATGCCGTTCGTACGCGTCGCCGACGTGCAGGCTCTGTCGAGCAAAGCTTGCGATCTGAAATCGTCGTCGTCGTCGTCGTCGTCGTCGTTGTCGAGGGCGTAACACGATGGAGGAGTTGCTATAAAGAAAAGGGTGGAGAAAGTTCCCTAAGCGGAAAGTTGAGGCTCAAAGGAAAAAGATGTGGGAAGTGGAGAGAAATGGAGAGGTTTGAGTGGAAAATTGGGGTGGAGACCACTTTTTTTGTGCTGCGGCGACCTTTTTATTGTTTTGGGGGGAGCTGTCAGGTACTTGGCTGATGGAGGGCGGGCGCAGGGTGGGTTATACGGTTCAAGTCTTGGTGTGCCGGCAACGGTTGGGTACCGGGTGGAGATTCCTTGGTCGGGACGTGGGAAATTTTCGAGGGACCCCGTCGAATTGGCGCGAAGGCGGCCTGGACGTAAAAAAACCCACCACTCTCTTCAGACGGCACTGCCAACGCTTCCAAACTCCTCTTAGAACCAGATCGCAACCTCTGTAGAGTCCAATTGCTGCGGAATGGAGTGCGAGAAGAGGCGAACGATGCGTGTTGCAGAGCGGAAGGAGGAAAATGGAAAGTGGATAAATCAAGGAGAAAGTGGAAAAGGTCAAGAATGAAAAAAGACCCTTAGGACTTAGGAGGGACGAAGGCAAAATTGCAGGTGGCAGGTGGCAGGTGACAGCGCCGTGTGAATTTAATTTTTCGGCCACAAGTGGACTAGCGTCCCGGTAATAGAATCTAAAATTCGAGAACGACCTTGCCGTTTAGAGGCATGTAAGACCGGGAGCGTAATCTTTTTATGTCTGTGGTTGAGAAGGGGGAAACCGTTTTAGAGTGCTACCGCAGAGACTCATAACGCGTTCATCCAGCACCGCAGGCACCACGATTTTAACACGTTAAATCGTAGGCAAATAAATACCTTACCTAGGTACAGATACGCATGTAAACCTTACGAACTGTCTGACTTTGAAATTGCCCAATTAAATTACCGCCGCTGCAGACCTTCGTCTGGACGGAAGCAGTGCACAGCAAGTGCCTACTGTAGGAAAGTCAAGTGATGCCGCTCTTTGAGCACAGTGCAGGCGCTGTCGATCGGGTCGAGGGCGCCTAATACTTCGATGTGCCGAGTCCCCTGCCACTACGGCTTGTCCACTTGTACTGTATGCTCCAAATTAGCAATGGGCTAAGTTAGCATTGCTTAGGGCTTTCGATGTCGCAAGCAGGGACCGGTAAGGAGGAAGCATGCTCCGTGCAAGGTAATTCGCAGTACATGCTCGAAAAAAAGCGGTCGTCTTGCTGGCCAGTAGGGTCGAACCCCGGTTCATGTGATGGCGAGAGGGGGCGGGTGTGTATACATTCACGGAACAGATCTGTTCGCGGAATGGTCTCAAAAGGTGCTACAGGCAGACCTACCACTTAGTAGACCACGGATTGCACATTATAATTGACTCGACTCCCTACCTTGAAATGTGGCACATTCTCAAGCCCATCCCGTGAGCCCGCCGATCCCTGTGGCCATTTCCGCCAATTACGAGGGTCTTGAAGGGGAGCCGGATCACTTTTGACTTGGATGGCAAAACTCATCCTCATACATACAACCAATGCTCGAGCTGCAAGACAGGACCAACAACGTGCTGTCCGGCGTCTCCCCGTGACTTCCTACTTGGCCGGGTACGGCTCGCACGGGGTGTGCCCTCAAACAATGTACTGTAGCGAGATTCCTTGTTTGACGCGTTATGAGCTTTCAACTTTTCAAGGTTGTACTATGTATGTGTGCAGGTAGGGATACAGTGCACCTTTTTGCGACTCGCGCTTGGCAACGCGGCTGGCTGTCTCCCTGATGTTTGTTTGTGCCCGAAGAGCGGCAAGTTCTGCGCTAGTTACTGTCTGGCCGTATGTCCATACAAGGTATCTCATACGAACACGACGCCACCCGAAAGCGCTCTGCTTCGGCGCAAACCAAAGAAGAACTGGCCAAAAGAGTTATTACGGAGTTTCCGTATACATAATAAGCAGGATAATGGCTTACATTACCAACCAAGCCTCGCTTAGTTCCTATGTGTTAGCAGCCGGCCCAACCTAGAGACATAACAGGCAACAGGCATGGCTAGCCTGTCCAAGACGAATCACGATGTTTAGCCAGACTCAGGCAAGGCACAAGTGCCGACGGAACCCTAGACACAAGAAAACTTCTCGCTGCCTCTCAAACCATATTCTCTCGATCCCTAAAGATAAGTTTCTTTATTGGTCAGTTGGTCTGGATGGCCCCCTAAACGTAAAGTTGCCTTACATCCATACCATACAATAATACAAGGGGAGCGAGCAGCAGCCCGCCAGCCAGCCACATAGGTTTCAAGCTACTTCGAAGGAAAGAAAAGCGCCAGCTCCCGTTTGCCACTTGGTTATACCGTAGGTCTACTGGTCTTGCCTCTATTCGGTTTGGCTGGTCGATTCTCGGCTGAGCGAAATCTCCAAGGTTCGAGAGAATTTGCCGTTCGTGCACGGCACCATTTTCCCCCCTTTGATAGAGATGGCCACCGTCCGCCTTGCATATGTACAAGCCTCTGCACATACAGCATTGCGTATTCGATGCCCAATGGGAGGGAGAGAAGGTGTAATGTTTTGGACTTCCTTTTGTCGATCTGTCTTTCAGGCCGTGCGAATAGAGTTCACGAGGTTGTGGTTGCAGGAGAAAACCTAAACTCCCGCATCCATTTCCAATTCTTCCGCTGCAGCGCTGGCGCCTCTCCCGGTCACCCCGATGTCGCAAAATTTAGTAGAAAAAGATCCGAGAGGCATCGGGTCTCGTTATTAGAGATGAGGCGCCGTATGACCGACCCGCAAGCCAGGAAAGGGCCTAAAGGGGTCATTTCCCACCAGAGTAACAATAATCTTATCTAAAAGGTAAGCGATCACGAGAAATACAACTCGGGTTTTATCCGTCCCCAGCCCCCAAACACGAATCTACCTTGCCTACTTAGTACACCCAGTAACAAACTCGCAAAGACCCTGAAATTGAAGTGAAAGCTGCATTGTCCACTTACAACTTCAAACTAGTAATAATTTAAACTACGTATCATCTACAGGACGGTTTCGTGACCCCTCAAACTGTACCCAAAAGCCAAGCACGCAGAAGTTGCGGTGAGAGCTGTGTGTGTCATCGGGATTCCGTCGGAGGACGTGGTTCGCTTATCTAAGCGGGACCAGCACCGCATTTTTAGATCTCGCCAATTTTGCTGTCATAAGTTCTGTCCGTTCATCATCCGGAAGCGTGCGCCATCATTGTACAGGAGTGCACAGGTCGTCCGCGAAAATGCCGGCTTGGACGTGGCGCATTGGGGGCCTGGGCACTGGGTATTGGGTAAGAGGAAGGTACCGTTCGGAGTACTGTAGCTAAATACATCATGGTCTGTCCTACTTCGTACAGTACAACTCAACGCTGGGACTGAGACTGCAACGGCATCAGGGAGTCCCCTTGTAAGCGAAATGGTATTTCTCTGCATAGCCAATCGTGATGTTGGAACTGTACATACTGCCTCCTCTAGGTCAATCGTCGCGTGCCGGTCAATTCAATGCCACCAACAACATGCATGCTTGCTCAGGTTGGCTTGCTCTGGCTGTCCTTCCGCCTTGAATGGGCCCATGGAAAGGATGATGAGACCACCCACATTCCTCAAGTCGGGTGGCTCCCTTGAACAGATTGGTGGGATGATGTGCAGCATCCACGAGTCAAGAATCGAGCGAAACAGGCCAAGACACGCGCCTGTCCCCCTGTCCCCCTGTCTGCCTCGGCCTCTGTTGCTCTGGCGGAGACCAAGTAAGCAACTGATGCCGAGAGAGGACCGCCCGCTCAGCGCGCCCGCAGACTCGCACTGTAACGCTCTTGGTACACAAGGTACGTATATAGAGTAGTGCAGTATCGTTCCATCGGCGGGGATGACGACAACAAAGTCGGCGGAGCACAAGGCCAATAATGTACGACGGAATTCGTTCTTGAAACATGAGCCTCGTGCACGACAGCGGAGGTGGACACTAGCGCATTACTTAAACATCTGCCCGGCTGATAATTACAGTATCTGAACAACGGTTTGGCAGAACGGCGAACTGCCTTACCTGTGTGCGGCCCGGCACGGCAAGGCAACTTGAACACGGCCGCTTCCTCGCCCTTCCAAAGACGACCTAGTTGAGAGGTCAGAGAGAGAGTTCTGTCATTGTGGGAAGGTGCATGTTGGCAGGGCTAGTGCGCGTGCGCTGGCGCTGGCGCTGGCGCTGGCGCCGTGCCAAACCATTTATCCTTCAGGCAACATGGGACCTAAAACTTGGGGACCTCAATTCCACGGTCCGTCTCATCATCCGGCGCGTCGAATCGCGGGCGCGGCGCATTTTCACAACCCCTCTTCATGATAGACCCGCGTTGCTGATGCTGGCCGTAGCTCTCCTGGCGTCGGATGAAAGTGGCCCCCATCCCTCCCCTCCCCCTCGCCCCAAAGCGGCGGGTAACGGCGAGTGAGTGGAGAGCTGGTCGATCCGAGAACAGCTTGAGGCTCTGGGAGGGTCCTATCGTGAATCCACTCCAGCGGGTTCTGTGCGACATATAAAAATTAGATTTATGAGGGGCGCCCGCCCACAGTGGGTTTCCGACCTGGCTTCTAGAAGCTGAGCCTCTGCTCCACT